TCTTATCTAACTATAATAAATATAATATACTATTATTAACTTAATATTCAAAGCAAATATTATTTAGAATAGGAGATAATATAATAGCCTAATATAATTTAGCTTAATAATATATAGTTATTATAAAAATACCTATAGACCGCTTTTTATAGATAAATTGTATATAGGGAAGATATAGAGCTAGATATACCTTATAGGAATTACTTTATATTTTAATTCACACTACAGATTACTAGAGGATCTTTATAATATTAAGAAAAGCAAATAGCCTTTACTAGCCAGTATTCTATATTATTAAAACCTTTTAGAAATCTAGATTACTAGACATCAATATATAATAAAGATAGCCCACAGATATCCAGAGTAGAAGGAAGTATAAGTAGAAGAAAGATAGCCGGTAGTTATTCTTTTCTCTTCTTCTTCTCTCCAGTTTAGTCTCTTCGTGTTTAGCGACCAAATAGATTTGGTATTGCATCGTCACAATAATACGTAATATTAATATTATAAGAAATATTTATAATATTTAGATTACCAAATAAAATTATATCTAATTAAGATAAATTATTTATATCTAAATTTTGGTAGACAATTATAAAAAATTGTGGAATAGAATATAATTTATTAACAGCATATTATTAATAGACTGATAGCTAGACTAAATAAATAATTTAAGTAGTTGAATAATATCTAAGATATTATTTAGATTGGAACTAAGATAATTAGATAGAGTTATTATTAATTACTTAGTTTATAATAAATAATATAATAAATATATTAATAGGATAAGTATTGTATTTTATTAATCTAGAAAGAATTCTAAGGATAAGTTAAAAAAATATTAAATGTAAAAAAGTATTAAATAAAATAAATATTTAAGCAATATATATATAATTAATATATAATAACCTATTAAAAGATATTGAATAGATAGAAATAAGAATAAAAAAATATTATAATAAAAAACGTAAGGATATATTAGCACTTAAAAAAGAAAAAAAAGTTTATCTTCTATAATAAATACTAAGATTAAAAAATTTTAATATTAAAGGCATAAGATTAAGTAATAAATTTAATATAATTAAATTTAAGTTATTTACTATTAAAGAAAAACTTATAAATAATAATTATAAACTTTAGCTATTAATAAGAATATAAATATATTTAATATTTTATATCTTATTATTAAAACTAATAATTAATTTAATAAATAAAGATAAAGTAATAGATAATAAAAAATATAAAATTAAGAAGATACTATAGTGCAAATTAGAAAAAAAATATATCTATTATCTTATAAGATAAAAAGAATATAGATCTAAAAAAAATATATAAGAATTTATTAGATATTTGAATTGCTCTAAGAAGATTTAGGAATAGAGATAGAAATATAATTAAGAAAAATAAAAGGATTAAAGTTGATATTAAAAATAAAATTATTATTTTATAAAATAATAATTAGAAATTTTTTAGTCTTTTATTATTTTTTTACTTATTTTATTTTTATTTTTTTTTTTTATTTTCTCTAATCTTTTTAATTCTTTAATATCTTTAATATTAGACTAAATAAATTAATTAGTATATTTTTATAATAATTTTTATTATTTATTAAGATGAGTATACTTTGCTAAGAGAGTTTTAATTTTAGTATTTACTTTATTACTATTCTTTTCTAAATACTCTTAAGCATAAAGAAGTTTTTTCTATATAAGATCTAATAAAACTATTAAAATATACTTATAATAATTATTCTATATATATTTATTATAATATAATAATATTTCTAATTTTATATAAATCTTATTTAATAAAAAGTAATAAAAATAAGATAAAGATAATTTTATATTAAATTGCTCAATTTATAGTGTAAGATTATATTTATTAATATTTTGTTTTAAAAATATAATTAATATAAAATTATAAGATTATATATTTAGAATATTTAAAAAGTTAAAATTAGTTATCTATATTTTAGAAAATATAGGTTATTTATTAAGCTATTAAGATGTCAGTCTTTAGAAAAAAAGATTATTAAAAAATTAGAATATTATAGTTAATAGATTAGATTAATTATTATAAGACTAATATATATTAAAATAAAAGATTATCCATAAAGTCTTAGGATTAGGGTAATAAAGCTAGTAGAGCTATTACTATATTAATTATATTAATTAGAATAGAGCAAACAGAGTTATTACTATATTAATTATAATAAAAAAAGGTTATAAAAAAACACTTATTTATTATATATTTAGTTTTCTTCTATCATCTTAAATTAATTATAATAACTTAAGTATATAATCTTCTATTAATTAGAATATTTATAGCCTTATTCTTATTTTTTTTGTCTACTGAGACCTTTTAATCTTAGAAGCCTATTAACTTTGCCCGTTAATAGCTATCCTAGCTATACTCGACGGTAATCCAACTGAAGTTTCCGATAAGTTATTATTCTAAGATAAATAGATTATTATTATTTATTATTTTAAATATTTAGGTAAAGACTTTATCTTTTGTATTAAAGATCTTAAATTATTAAAAACTTTAGTTTAATTACTATTAAGTATAGCTAAAATAACTATTAATAGATAAAGTTAATAGACTTTTAGTATATAAAAATTATAAAGAAATAAATAAAGTCTTAAAATAAAATAGAATATTCTAATTAATAGAAGATTATATATTTAAATTATCTTAGTTAATTTAAGATAATAAAAGAAAACTAAATATAGAATAAATAAGTATTCTTATATAATTTCTCTTTATTATAACTATTATAAAAATCCTTTAATTTCTCTAATCTATAGATTATAATTATTATAAAAATCCTCTGATTTCTCTGATCCATAGATTATAATTATTATAGAAATCCTCTAATTTTTCTGATGCCTTAACCCTAAGGCTTTATGGGTAATCCTTTGTTCCAATATACATTAGTCCCATAGTGACTAACCTGATCCATTGGCTGTGATGTTCTGATTCTCTGACAAATAGCTATAATAGAGGAAAGTTATATAAGGATACTCATTTACCCTATATTTAGTTTTTTTCTATTATCTTGAATTAACTAAGATAATTTGAATATACAATCTTCTATTAATCAGGATATTCTATCTTATTTAAAGACTTTATTTATTTCTTTACAACTTTTATATACTAGAAGCCTATTAACTTCGCCCATTAATAGCTATCCTAGCTATACTCGACGGTAATCCAACCGAAGTTTCCGACAATTAGAATATTAGAATTTAATATAAAAGACTAGTAGAAGTTGTTAGTATTAATAAAGATAATAATAAAGATTATTATAGAGTCCCTTATTATAATAATAATAATAATAATGATAGAGTTAATAATAATTAGACTATTAATTTACTCTTTTATTTAGATAAATATAACACTATTTAAGACTAAGATTATATTAATTAGAGTATTCTTAATTAAGAATACTATAGATATTATAAAAAAAATAATAATTATAATTATTAATATAATAACTATACTATTCTTTATAAAGACTATCTTAATAACTATTTAAATTATTATAATAGAAAAAAGAAGATCTATAATAAAAAAAGTTTCTCTACTATTTAATATAATAGTACTACTAAAGATAGTATATAATAAACTATTAATAATACCTACCTATAGTATATAGGAAGACTTAATAGATAGTAAATATAGAATAATAGGAAATATATCACTAAATAGAATAAGTATCACTAATAAAAGACTAAAGCTGTTAACTAGATTAAATATAGTAATTAGAATACTTAAGAAAAAGACTTTCCACTAAAAAAAACTAATCTATAAAATTATAGAGAATAGAATTACTATTTAACTTATAACTAAAATACCTCCCTTATAACTAATTAGTAGATATAGAGAAAAGTTAATAACTATAAGAGTAGTAAGAGAAGAGATAAGCTATATTATAATAAAAGAAGGGTAGCTGGCCACAGTTAAACTAGGCTTATTAAAGATAATTAAGTTAATATAGATAATATCTAAACTGTTATAGTTCTTATTACTATCCTCAGACTACAGGTCAACAGCCTAGTCTATCAAGCCAAGAAATATGAATAGCTTATATAGGGCGACATGCACCGTCTTATTCATATTATTCATATATCTAGCCCATTAGGTCTCATTAAAGACCAAGATGTTTCTGTACGAGTCGTCATCCCAATAAAGCTCCGCAGTAGGGTTCTCCGACATCACCAGCTCCAGCTCGTAGTTCGCAATATACCCGGCAGTATCTGGTAATTCAGAAGCATGGCAAGGAAGACGCACAGAAGAAGATTGATATATTAGTACAGCATGGAAAAACACTGGATTTTACGCCTGGAATGTGGGCATACATTGAGGAGCAATCCCAGCTTCTACCGGGGGTTGGATTTAAGGAGATGTTCTTACAGCTAGAAAAGAAGGATTGAGAGGTTATTATGCATGATTGATGGTCTATGGGCCATAATTGTGATGATATAAGATATACCAAGGTGTATATAATTGCAGCAAAACGAGTAAAAGAAAATACTCAGCTCTATGAAGAGAACGGGGACTAGAATCACATGGGCTTTCAAACCCTAAACAAACGCCAGCACAAACCAGGCATCCCCATTTGACAGCATTTATTGTTCCCTTTGTATAGCTATGTTAAATAACTTCCACCTCAATCCCATAAGGAGAAGACAAAACAGGAACCCTTAGGAGTAAATGAACACAATGTACTTTCTTATTGAAGAGAGAAAGTCGCCATATTCACAATTCAGAGACGTACCAGAGAAAGCACCTATAAACAGGAAAAGCAGAAATTTCAACAAATTATGTACAGGGATGCTTACAAAAGAGCTCAACTTCTGCAAGCCCAGAGACTTTTAGACCAGGAAACCCATACATCTGCTTCGCTTACAAGAGAGAATTTACACGACATATCTGGAGGTTGTGCGATAAAAATACCTACATAGGAGAGTAAATTAGAGCATACTATCAATTCTGCCAACATGGATGAGAGAGAGCCTCCCATACCACCAGGTCATCAGCGCATTCGATGGAAAAATGTAAGTGTCACTACCGTATTGCGCGATCTTTCGTTCCTGGAACCAACTTATGAGTTACGAAGGCACGCGGCAAATTGTTGCACGATGATTACACCGAGAGGAAGCCTGGTGCACTACAAGAACTTCAGGACTATTTGAATTCCACCAGTAAGTAATACTCATGAGCAGTGAATGGGAGAGATGGTCAAAGCCATGCATCTTCTCGTTTCTATGGACAGCTCTGAATGCCCTTATATGAACCAGTCAGCTATATAGGCAGAACTAATCAAAATTGTATGAAAGAAGAAGAAAACGAGGATGATCTTCCATTTCATAAGTTTTGTCTTTTGTGTATCTTATGAATCGGCAGACAAGAGGTGAAAGTCCACCAAGAGGATGATGCCACACGCAGAACAAAAATCACGAATGACCGGGAGCTTTTTTACACATTGCGGCGCTTCTATTACGACCAAAAAGGAATGTTTATGCATTAGTGGTCTCAAAACCAAAGCCTGCGATATTGAAATCCGGAAGGTATGGCTTTTCAGTATCTGTTGTCAATGAGGAAGAAAGAACCACTCTATCCGGGTAGAATACCACCGGAATCGACATTGGTACTAGACCAGCTTGTGAAGACAGACCGTAGAGAGGTCGAGTCGAAACCTTCAGAGGCCTCAGTAGTGGTAGAATTGCTCGGAGTTTATTACCAGGAGGAATGGAGCTCGATATTCAGTGGCTTACTATCATGAGGTTAAGTGTTCGTGGCTTGCTGTTCAAAAAACATATCCCGGATACATTCTAGTAGTGGACGGCGTCGGCCACACTTCTTGTGATCATGTTCGGTAAATTCTAGCACATAGATGATCGAGGTGAAATAGATTTCAGTCCATAGCATGGAAGTTGCATATTGTTGAACCCAAGGAGATGCAGTAGTTAAGAATGTTACGTTACTAAGGCTAAGCGGGGAGGCCGATAAGGCTTATCGCACACACACCGCCACACGGCAGAAAAAAAAATATGCGGCACCGAGATTGAAAATATACAAACTGCAACAGAACCTTTAAAATTCGACCTCAGAAACGAATAATGGGCAGGTGAAGTGAAAAATCGGCATACTACGAAAACACTTACAATATTCACCAAAATGCCCAAGGCTGCCACATCATCTCGCACTGCCGCGCGCAGACACAACCCCCTCGCAGACGATATCCTTTCCGCCGGCCATTTGCGAACAACATCCAAGTCCGGAAAGAGAAAGTCGCACAACGACGACGATGATGAAATAGACGGCCGGAAAGGCGGTAATGGCGAGGGATTTATCGATGCAAAGGCCTCGCGCAAGATCTTGCAGATTGGACAAGATCTTGCCGAGGAAGAGGCGGCAGAGCAGCGGGCAGCGCAAATTGCAAGCGGCGTGCAGCACAATAAGGCATTCGACTTTTCAACACGGTTCGGTGAAGATGATGAATATATCTCGGAAGATGAAGACAAATATGGAGAGGAGGAATGGGATGATGAGGATATCGACAAAGGGGTATGTTACTGCATTCGGTAAACATGCAATTCTGCTTCCATGCTGACAATTCGCGTAGGAGGTTGATCCGAATGATCTTGATATGTTCAATAAATTTATCCCTGCTGGCGAACAAGATCCGATTTTTGATCCCCGTCCAGCCGATGGAGCCCAAGAGGGCTCTGGAGTCAATCTTGCAGATCTCATTCTTGAAAAGATTGCCGCATATGAAGCGAAACAATCCGGTGACGGCCAACCGGTTATCCAGGGAGGAGGTATGCCGGAGGACGCTGTTCAGATACCAGCAAAGGCATTGGAAGTATATGAAAAGTATGCATCACTTGGTTCCTTTCTCTCAATGTCTTTTCGCATGCTAATATACAACAGAGTTGGCATGATTCTCTCCCGGTATAAATCAGGACCCCTCCCGAAGCCTTTCAAAATCCTACCTACGCTACCACAATGGCCTACGCTGCTTGATATCACGCGCCCTGAATCATGGACTCCGAACGCTGTCTATGCCGGAACTCGCATTTTCATATCCTCGAAACCCGCCATCGCGCAAGAATTCATTAATATTGTGTTGCTCGAACGAGTACGCGACGAAATCCGTGAGACCCGCAAACTCAACGTTCACGTTTACAACGCGATGAAAAAGGCGCTTTACAAGCCAGCATGTTTTTTCAAGGGCCTACTGTTTCCCCTGATTGCTTCAGGCACATGCACCCTACGAGAGGCGCACATTGTGTCCTCCGTTATCGCTCGCGTCTCGATTCCTGTGCTCCACTCAGCTGCAGCATTACTGCGCCTGTGCGAGATAGCAGCGGAAGAGACGTCTACATCACTCTCGTCTGAGGGTACGGGGGCAACTAATATGTTTATCCGTGTTTTCCTTGAGAAGAAATACGCCTTGCCGTACAAAGTTATCGACGCACTCGTCTTCCATTTCCTCCGATTCCGAGCCATGGCAACTCCCAATAATAACGACAGCATGATGATGGATGGAGCTGGAAGCCGTCAGTCTCAATCAGCGGCTGCTGCCATGAACTATAAATTGCCGGTATTATGGCACCAGTCCCTTCTTGTCTTTGCGCAGCGGTATCGAAACGATATCACCGAAGACCAGCGCGAAGCGTTGCTAGACTTGCTACTTGTGCGCGGACATAAAGAGATTGGACCGGAAGTGCGACGAGAGCTTCTTGCAGGGCGAGGACGGGGTGTGGTTGTTCCGAGTGCAGACTCTGTCGCTGCAGCGGCAGCTGGTGATGACACCATGGACGTGGAGATGTGATTTAGAATGCATGAAAGAGACATCTTATCTGACGAGTTTTCTTTGTTGTACGTAAATGTTTGTTAGTCTTCTGGCGTTGGTATCAATGATTATTGCGTGACCTGGGAATTTATTTCTGCAATTTGAGATTTAGATCTCCGTTCAATCCTTCCAGAATCTTCGTGCTTGGTAGATTATTCGCTAAAAACGTCCGCTAAGTTTTAACTGCCGTCAGATTGTTAGCCATCTTCCAGAACAATGCTACCCTGGGTCCAACGCATGTGCAGTAATCCATCCTCCGGTCCTACCCTAAGGCCCCTAACGCATAGATAGACAAGCAGTCTGACAGACATATCTACCGTCGTAGAGTCGCAGCACATGCAGGCACACAACACGTCGTTAAAAATAGCCGCTCCATTAACAAACCTTACTATAAGCATTAACGTTATGTTAGACTGTGGCATGTTGGCTAAATGACTCAGCTCTCCCCTATCCCTGCACTCCTCCGAAAGGGTTGTGCTACGTGCGGATCGGCTCATTGGCGCAAATATTGTGGGATATGCGACGCTGCTGAAACGCAATGTGGAATAGTGGATGCTAAGGGTCGCAATGGGGATGGAGCGGGGGTAGGCGCAGCCAGGGTTAGTTGCGTATTATCCTCCAGGAATGGCTGACTCGCGCTCGGAGTCAGCACGGCATGCATTCCAGCCAGGCTGACTGTCATCAAGGGATAGCATGGGTTTATGAGTGCTGAGCTGAGTGCTCTGTAAACATATCGAGATGTCGATATCTCCGCGAGTGTGTAGGCTCCCTGATCACGCATGCGATGGGCGACATGAATAATATCTGCGATGGTACCAGTCCAGCGCCACAGTGAGACTGGATGGAGACTCGAAGGCTGAAGAGAGAAGGAGATGTTGCAGTGTGGAGTCCTCAGGCAGGGGCCGAAGTCACGCCCCTGCAGCGCGCATGCTGACTGGGCGCCCATTGGCTGGCCCGCTGCCAGTCACGGGACCGGCGGAAAGGGGCCACGCTGGCCTTTAAAGAAGGCGCTGCCGCTCTCTGTCTCGCTCTCGCTCTGCCAGGCTGCGTCCTCGCCTTTCTCTCTCTCTTACTCTTAGCTTCTCTCAAAGCCAAAAGAACACCTGGCCTCTTCCCTCTTTCGGTCGTGGGAGTGCACTGCACACTCTGGATCTTCACTTCGATGCGTGCGTTGATGACAGCGTGACCTTTCCGTACGCCCGCCGTCATCGTCTAACCTGGGCCAACTACCCTCGAGTGGATTTCTATGATCTGCTGCTCCCTTTGACCCATCTTGCTACCATCACTCCCGCCATCACCTGCATACAAACAAACAAGCAAACTACCGAATCTCATATTATTCACCATGGAGAATTTAATATCGCCGATGGACATGCTCCAGGACTCCACATCGGTGGATGTCCCGCAGCTCACCATCTCCCCGGCGGACACTTCACTAGATAGCCCGGCTCCCGAGGAAGTCAAAGCCGAAAAAGGCACCTTGACAGAAGAGAAGAAGCCGGTGAAGAAGAGGAAATCATGGGGCCAGGAACTTCCCACCCCCAAGACCAACTTGCCTCCTCGGTAGGATCCACCGGATCAGAAGATTCTTTCCATCACTCTCATTACTAACACATACTATAGCAAGCGGGCAAAAACCGAAGATGAAAAAGAGCAGCGTCGTATTGAACGTGTTCTCCGCAATAGAGCCGCGGCACAGACCTCGAGAGAGCGGAAACGCCTCGAGGTAGAGAAGTTGGAAGGCGAGAAACAAAAGATGGAGCAACAGAATCAGTTCCTGCTACAGCGACTCGCGCAGATGGAGGCGGAAAATAACCGTCTGAATCGCCAAGTCGCGCAGCTGTCAGCTGAAATCCGCGGTTCTCGCGGTACCACGCCCAAATCTGTAGTCGACACCACCTCTCCAACACTCACTCCTACATTGTTCAAACAAGAAGGCGAAGACTTGACCATGGACAAGATTCCTTTCCCTACTCCCTCCATTTCCGACTACTCTCCCAGCATCAAACTTGAAGATCTGGCTGAATCCTCCGACTTGACACAACATCCTGCAGCGGTGTTGTGCGACCTGCAGTGTCAGTCGAAGGATTCGAAGGATCTTCAAGCTTTGGAGTCGGTTATGTCGAGTCCTCCCAGTCAGGCGTGGAACCCAGCGCTACGAATGGTGCTGCTACAGCTCCTCTTTCTGACGATGACTTCCGCCGCCTATTCAACAGTGATTCTCCCTCTGAGTCAGATTCTGAACTCCATCAAAGCGGGCTCCCCTTTGACTTTCTCGACGGAGGAGACGTATCGGCATTTGCCTTTGATTCATTGGTTGATTTCGACCCGGAGCCTGTCGTCGTCCTCGAAGACGACGTCGACTCGTCGACCGGTCCTTCGAATGAGAGTGCTCACCCGACTTCTGGCGTGCAGCCCAGCCTTGGCGCGTCCACTTCGAGATGCGACGGGCAAAGCATTGCAGCTAGCGGTTGAAGGAGCAACTCTTCGTCAGACCCGGTCAACGACCATCGACGGCGTAGTCGGGACTTCACAGAGCTGGGAGTCGTTATTGACCATGGCATGGGCCATTGATTGGATTAGTCGTACCAGCCGTCACCAGCGACGGGGGACCGGGCAACAGAAGAGGGCGCCTTTCACACCGCGGCGAAAATTACTCATGAAACGAAACCACGACACTGGAGCAAGCAAGCGGAGTTCACGGAGTTTTGGGTTGGATAAGTTCACGTCCATTCTTGGGAAGCCACCCTCAGATAGCTTTATGTAAAATACGGAATGATTATTATTTGACGTCCTTTCATCTTATGCATATAATATCCTCGTCGTAACTCTGTAGTTTTGTTAAACACTGCAAATTACAGCAAGATCTCTTCATTGTGCAAATAGCCATGGTGTTGAGTATTTTGCTGCAAAATGTGTTAGCCTGGCTATCCGGGATAAGTTGCCTCAGCCTGGCCGCCGCCGAACTGACCGCGTCACAGCCAGCCTTGTCTGTCCCGCCATCCAACGACATCTCAATCTACACCGAGCAACCAACCCACCAATCAGTCCAATATATACCTGATCTCGGTGGCCATACTCTATTAGACAGCAATACCTCATACGCCATAGAAAATGCCAGTCCGGGATCCCATTTTCGAAGCTCGCACCAATGTGAAGGTAGGTATCTATCTCCCCGACCCTCCTCCTCTTTCATACAAGCAATGAAACTGATGTGACTAACGGAAAAAAAATATTCTATACAGCTGCATTCCAACCGGCTCAAGAAAGAAGCCGCCCGCGCCGAAGCAACCTTCAAATCTGAAAAGGCTAAAGCCGACAAAGCCATGAAAAACCACGAATTCCAAATCGCCCGCATCCACGCTGGTTCCGCCGTGCGCGAAAAGAAGCGTCAAGTCAACCTCAAAGCCGAAGCGGCGCGTGCCGACGTGATAATCAATGAACTGAAAGCCGCCCAGTCGACGCGGGATACGTCGCGGACTCTGGCCCTTGCATCGCGCGGTCTAGATGCGGCGTCGAAGAGCGTCAATTTAGAGCACCTGCTAGCGCATGCGAATAATTTTATGGCTCGCTCGGAGGACTTTAAGATTGCGAGCAATGCTATCTCGGATGTGGCTCAGGGGGTCTCGCAGCAGGAGTATGGTGCGGAGGGGGAGTCGGAGGTGGATAAGATGATGGAGCAGTTGGCTGATAATGCCGGTGTGGATTTGAGGATGGCGCTGGACGCTGATGTTGCGGCAGCTCCCAAGGAAGATGTGAAAGAATCTGCTGCTGCCAGTAAGCATGCTGATGCTGACGTGGAGGATGCCCTTGGGGCGAGATTGAGGGCTTTGCGTGCCGAGGGTTGATCTTCTACACGCGCATTATGCGAGACTCTCTGTCTCTGCGACGGTCTTTTGTGTTGTGTTGTGTTTGCTCATTTTTGGAGTTATGAATGTTCTTTTCTGGCGCTGGTTTGTGAATGTATAGCGTACACACACTTTTTAAATGAGGATATAATCATGATTATGATGAGAATATGATATTAGGCCAACTTCAAGGCACGACGTATTCCTACTAAATCAGACGGATTACTCCTATTACATGCAACAAATCCTCATAGGATTGAGATTGCCATCCTGGAGTGTGTAATGGTTCTTCGAAGAGAACCGTGCGCCCTTACTGATGGCATTCGGATTTAGTCCCAAACAGGAAGTTGAGGCCGACTCGCCGTGTAAGCTCCTCCAGGCTCCCTCCCGCATCAAATTTGCTGCATAAAAGACTTTTATTCTTCCAAATCTAAGATAGACAATTCTTTACTCTCCAAGATTCTTTATTCTTGTCTTTCTAGAACATATGCACATATAACATTGTATATTCTCTCCCCCCCTAAGTACATAGTCACGACGCGTCGTGCGTAAACACCATGCTCCATCGCATCCTTCAAGAAGTCGGCCTGGTAGCCCTCTTCCACTCCCCCCTCGACTCCAAACTCCTCTGCGCCCAACGCTTCGTACGCCTGTTTGCTTATGGCGGCTCCACGCTGATCCTCGCCTCGTACCTATCCGCCCTGGACATTTCCGACGACAGGATCGGGCTATTCATGACTCTGACGCTCGTCGGCGACGTCGTTATCAGCTTCTTGCTGACCCTCTTTGCGGATGCGCTGGGTCGCAAAGCCGTGCTTCTGCTGGGCTCCGGCATGATGTGTGCGAGCGGTGTGGTGTTTGGGCTTTGTGGGAATTACTGGGCGTTGTTGGCCGCCGCCATTTTTGGGGTTATTAGTCCTAAGTGAGTCATCGGTGGTGGTTTGTTGTTTTTACTCTTCTACTGTCTAATCTAACAAATGTGTATAGTGGGAATGAAATTGGCCCTTTCCGGGCTGTCGAGGAGTCAACTATAGCGCATATCACTCCAAAGGAGAATATGAGTGATATCTTCGCTTGGTACTCTCTCATCGGCACTGCGGGCACAGCTCTGGGAATGATGGTATGCGGCTGGTTGATGTCGATCTTGCAAGAGACTCAAAACTGGGAGTTTGTGGCCGCATGTCGAGTTGTTTTCTTGCTGTATGCTGCTGTGGGCGCGGTCAAGTTTGCGTTGACGATGGGGTTGAGCTCAAATGTTGAGGCTGACAGTAAGAATAAGAAGCAGCAGCAGCAGAATGGCAATAATGGACCCAGCGAGACCGAGCCGCTGCTCGGATCCAATAATGGCCAAAACCAGGAACAAGAACAGCAACAGGATGAAGTTGAAATACCTAACCGGCGCAGCATACCCTTCCTGCCCGGGGTTGAGTCTCAATTCATCGGCCTGGTTACCAGTCTCTTCTTACTCTTTGCTCTGGACTCGTTTGGTTCGGCGCTGGCTTCATTGTAAGTCTGATTATTCGACAATAAATCTTGAACATGCCGACTGATATCCACAGGTCATGGATTACCTACTACTTCAGGAGAAAGTTTGACATGTCTGATGGCGAACTCGGATCTCTTTTCTCCGGCACCAGTATTATCCAAGCAATTTCCATGCTATTGGCATCTTCGATAGCGAAGAGATTCGGAAATGTCAAGGTATGTCCATACCCCTCCACACATACACGCACACAAGCATAGAATTTCCTCCCAAGAAACTAATTCATCATCTAGACAATGGTCTTCACCCACCTCCCCTCCAGCGTCTTCCTAGCTCTCATGCCCATCCCCTCCTCCTTCCCCATCGCCATGATATTCCTGGTCGGCCGCGCCTGTCTGCAGAATATGGACGTCGCCCCTCGCTCAGCCTTCCTGGCCAGCGCGCTCCCCGCCGAACAACGCACAGCTATCATGGGCACAATCAACGTCGTGAAGACGACCTCGTCCAGCCTGGCGCCTGTTTTGACGGGTATTTTGTCTTCCAGGGGTGCGTTGTGGGTCTCGTTTCTGGCTGCGGGTTGTCTGAAGATTGGCTATGATCTTGGGATGTTGATTACGTTTGGGGGCATGGATAAGGAGCAGCATAAGAAACAACAGGCTGCGGTGAGGGATGAGGAGGATCAAAATTAGATCAGATCAGAAGTGTGCCCGCACGCGGTTAGAGGAACAGTGTCTGCCATTGCAAATCAGAAACATGGAATCGTAGTGGTGGCAAGTCGACAATGCTTTGTATTGTGTGTCTCCAGCATTTGATTGCTTTCATAAATTTGTACTTATTCCGAATAAAAGTTCGGCACTCTCATTGGCTGCGGCCCGCGCATCGCCGGATGACATAATTCTGTAGGAACTCTCGCCACAGCCCTTTCTCGTGAGATGATGCAAGCGTTGATACTGATTTCTTTTCTGCCTAAAGCAGTATCGAATGGAAAAGATCTTGTTTCGAAACAATATCCAATCACCTCACGCAATCTCTGCACGACAGAAAAAGCCACCGCAGAGCTGAGTGAGCTAACATCGGCAGAACGCGTCATCGCCAGTCTTAGCACCTTTTGATAGCATAATTTTGCCCTGAATTTTATTCATTTTGTTTCTTGCAAATTGGATTACGTATCTAGGCCTTTGTACTAAGTTCGAAAAAGGCCTAGCTTAACTAGATTAGTTGTTTGGCAGGCTTCCTTCTTTTTTTTTTCCCCATCTCCTTCTGCTTCCTCGCTTGAGTCAAGAAGCATCAGCAAGGAACTAGGGGCTAGTGAAAGGCAGCATGAAAACAACTCTGCTTCTCTCCGCGGCCTCTCTGGCCACGGCGTTCGTGATCCCGGGGAATGATCAGCAACTTCTGTCTGCCTTCACTACGGATGAGGCCTCTACGACTGCCGTGCAGCGATTGCCATCGGAAGAGCAAGGCCATCACGGCGCCGAGGAACACCGTCACGGCGATGCAGACAAGGGGGAAAAAGTGAAGGCGATGTTCGCCGGTGATGTCCATGCTCACGACCAAGGTGACCATGTTTCCGGTAAATGGCACCGTGCCGCTGGCTTGGCAGATGGATTGCAGAGATTTGTTGCTCATTTCGAGCATTTGGAGAACCTGGAACACATGGACAGGCTGTCTCTGGATGGTGAGGATGATGGGCATTTTGGTCATGGAACGGAGCCGAAGGAGGGCAAGTTTGGTAAGGACAAGCATGGCAAGGACAAGCATGGCAAGAAGGGCGAGAAGGATCACAAGTTCAAGGGAAAACACCATGAAAAGGGCCACCACCATGAAGATGAGGAGTTCCACCACGGAGGTGAGCATCCTCCGTTCAAGGGAGAGCACCATGATGAGGAGCGTCACGAACATTTTGAACACTTTGAACAATTTGGACACCACGATCTTGATGTATTCGACTTCCCACCATGCCCTCATGCCCGACCAAGCCATCCGCCTGGATTCTTGGACAAGGTCATGGGACATGTGAAGCATATCTTCGGCTACTCTGCTCCTGAGCCCGAGAGGCCTATGCACCATGCCGGTCACCACCACGAAATCAACCAAACCATCTACGAACTCATCTCCGGCAGCAACCACACCCGCATCTTCACGCACATCGTCAACCAATACGACGATGTAGTCAGCTACCTCAACTCAACCCAAGCCAATTACACCGTCTTTGTGCCCGTAGACAAGGCATTTGAGCATATCCACGACCACAACCGCAACTTCAGCAAGGAAGCTGTTGTCAAATGGCTTGAATATCACATCTCGCCCGAAGTCTTCACTCTGCATGACCTTTTGGATGTCCAGACTCTGCCCACCTTCAGACTGGAAGAGAATGACAACAAATACCCCCAGCGTATCAGCACTTCGTTTGGTCCCAAGGGGTTGACCTTGAACTTCCACTCGCATGTCTTCCGTCCTGACATCGTATGTATCCGTCTCGCTTTACTATTACTGAAAATACTAACATCCGTTTAGCACGCTACAAACGGCGTCATCCACGCCATTGACAAGCTTCTAATCCCAGCCCTATCAGCCCAGACGACCATCGAACTAGTCCCCTCAATTTTCAGCACTTTGAATCTTGCTTTAATCAAAACGGGACTGATTGACAGTGTTGATCTCAAGGAACTTAGGGCTGGTGGTACCCTCTTTGCTCCCACAAACAAAGCCTTTGCCAAATTGCCACCGCAAGTCAATGCATTCCTTTTCAGCCGCGCTGGTGAGAAGTATCTCAAGGCTCTGCTGAAATACCACATTGTCCCGGGACACACTCTTTTCACGGATGCATACTACCAGCCCAAGACTGATGATGCTGTTAACGATGATGCCATCATTACTAAGGACCATGTAAGCTTCCCTCCTAACACTGTCCATATGAACAAGTCTTATGTTTTGTTGAATAGTTTGAGCTTCCCACTCTTCTCGATTCCAAACCAGTCAGCGTCGATGTCCGCCACTTCCATCGTCTAACCCTAATGACTGTCAACGAGCACATTCCAGTGTCCGTAGCTAATGTCCCTGTTAAGGAGGGGGTGATTCATCTTGTTTCTTCCGTTCTGATCCCACCTCATCCTGAGGATGCTGTTGCCCCTGCTGCCCTTGACGACAGAGAGCAAATGGAACGTGAACACGAACACGAGCATCGCCACAAGCATGGACTCAGTGTTCGTGAATTGATGCAGAGACTCGAGCCTCTTCTTGAGTAATGTCTTCTCTCATTCGATCTACATTTCCTTTTTTTCTTCCGCATGCATTCATTTCATTCCATATATTCCGTTTATACTGACCACACAGCTTAAATCTGTGTTTTCTTTTTCTTATTTACACCACCCAAGCCGGGGTTTCCTTTTCTCTTCTATTGTATGCTATTGTCTTTATTTTTTGTTTGGTTGACATTGACATGTATATGTCCTATGACTTACAAACTGCAGTTCTGGCACAGGTTCAGACTGAGTTCCTTTTTTCTTTAAGAAAATAGTAATTCTACGTTGACCGTTTGATATTTATTATTTGAAATAATCCAGAGTGCATTGCAGAGCAAGGTCCATATTTCCAGGATACACGCCATTTTCGAATAGAACGGGCAGATCCGTCATGCTGTCGTATGAAGCACATAGACCAATTCCTTGACAATTGACATGTCAAATTTCTTGACATTATCATTGATCAAGGCCATTGACCTATATTTAAGGTTCTCGTTACTGCTACAAATAGTTTGGTTGATCTGCGACGCTACCTCTCTAAGCCTCTTGACGCGTATTGAAAGTTTTCTTGGTATCAATGAATTATCAAGACGCGGCTTGGAAAAACCCCTTGGGTACAACTTTCTTTTTCTATAGATACTGCAGGAATCAAGGGATACATCTGAAGAAGAGAGAAGAACAAAAGGAAACAAGGAAGTACACCGACAGTGTGGCTTAGAGGGTTCATACGAGCATCCCCTCTTGGCAGACCTTTTACGGGGCTCAGATAATCCTGCGAAGCATCTACAGCATCGCAGGGCTAATGAGGCATGGACGTTCTGATCCGAGTAAAAATTGGCAGTCTTCGCTTATCGTGTCGCCAATATCGACTCATCATGCTGGACTCCGAACTCAATCAAGATCGCTGTATTTAAGTACAGATTGCCCCGGGAAGATTCAACTTCATATTACTTCAACATATACATTCTCATTCGTTGAGTCAAACAAGGGAAATAGTTCATTAGTTACCAAATAGGAAGCGAAGCATGCCCAATATGTTGCAATTCTCTTCACCACCAAGCCGACAAGACATGGCCGATTTGCCTTCCGACGAGGAAGCCAGTACGAGCAAGACCACAAAGTTTCAAGTTATCAATCAACATCTGCTCTCCGATATTGACACCAAGTGGACTGATATTATCCTCATCATTTGTGGCTTTGTCGGTGGCTTGGTTGATGGTACGTCATTCAATGCATGGGGTAGTTTTTCCAGCATGCAGACCGGTTTGTTATTCCAATTATTTACCTAGATATCGGGGCTTTTGCACTGTGTATGCATGCTAACCGAAGTAACTCTGAAGGGAACTGTGTCTTCATTGGCCTAGGAGCCTCTGGCCAACCCGAATACCCAGCATATCTGTGGGCAAAAGCCCTCGCTTCCGTATCGACCTTCATATTCGGCAACATATTCTTCAGTCGTCTCATGCGTTTCCTCGGCTCGAAGCGCCGCGGAACTTATATCATCTGCTTTACAATGCAAGCTAGCACTCTTCTCATAGCCTCGCTTGTAGTTCAATTCGATATTGTGTCTGAACGAGCAGAAGACCCACGAGCTCCCATAGCGTGGATACAGATACTCCCCATCAGCATGCTTGCTTTCCAAGCCGCGGGACAGATCGTGGCAAGCCGGACTCTGGAATACGATGAGCTGCCAACTGTCGTTCTGACAACGATGTTGAGTGATCTTCTGATTGACCCGAACTTGTTCGCGAAAGATAATTCCACGAGGAACAGGCGGGCAGCGTGCTTTGTCGCCTTGATTCTGGGGGCAATGACGGCCGGTGGTCTGTTCAGGCTCACAGGTATCAAGACAAGCTTGTGGTTTGCGTTTGCTTTGAAGGCGGCTATTACTCTTTCCTGGTGCTTTTGGAAGGCTTCTGATTGAGATTGGCCACGATTGTGGGTGCTCTGGATGGATTATGAAGAAATTTCAAAATGTAAACACAGTGTTCTGAGTACGTTATTGCAAGTGGTTAAAGGCCAAGCTAATCTCTGACAATCTACGTAGCAGCGGCACAAATATCATTGTTTGGTTTCTAATTCTTGAGATAATAGTATTTTCAAACCAGTCAGAATGTTATCTGAATCTTGATAGGAAAATATTGCATAAGGAAATACTAAACAGATGCACTTCCCCTCCGCAAGTGGTCTACATATTCTCCAGCTAACTAGCAGTAACCTTACACTATGTTGCGCATATCAGGTGTAGTACATTTCCTACATATAATTCTGGCTGTTCGAAGGTTCGTTCTACAGCTCTCACGTCCTTCACCGGATCCCGCCTGACAATGTTACGCAATTTACCTAGCTGCCTGCATTAAAACAGGCCTCGCCCTATATGAAAGAAAATCATAAATGTATATGGATGAAATAAACGCCTTCTATGCAACTCGCCGCATCCCCAATTCAACCTAGGCAATACAATTGTAGCCACAAAGCAAAGTACAAGACATGAAAAGGAGTGGCCCGAGTGGGAAGAAAAGGAATGACAGGTTAAAAATAGCAATAGAATGCCACATAAAACAAATAAAAGGATAAAAGTTGTTTATGGAACAACTGAGAGTGTATCCTACCGCCTAGTAGAGTCGTTTGTGAACAGGTTTGCCATCATTTCGGAACGTGCAGGGACACTTATTGTTATCTACTGCCCTCTTAGCAACGACAGCCATTTCCTCCGCTCCCACTTCTCCAGGTTCCACACGGAGGAGAGGGTATGCATTGTTGATTTGGAAATTTGGAAATATCCCTTCGGAAGTCCTCGTCCATTTGCCTGTGGCGTTGTCCTTGGTGTATTTTAAAGAAAGAGGAATCGGCACCATGCCATTCTCATAGATAAGGTGTTGATCCTTCCATGTGCCACAGATAGTTCTAGAGAAGATGTTATTTTCGGAGATTTTTGAAGTACTCAAGTAGAAGGAAGGAAGTGGGAGAGCACGGAGTAGATGTAGATAGTCGTGAAAGAAAGAAAAAGGAATCCAAATACAATATCACTTACTCGAATCGAGCCATCTCGGCGTCGGAGGCCTTTGGTGGGACATAGTTTGCTGTGGTAAACATTTTCAAAGGTCGACAATAGTATGATTCTGACTCGGATTTCAGATCAATCAATTTGAAGAGCTAGAATGTTTGTAGTTGATTTGCAAATCAAGAACAGGCCTTGAGGACGTAAGAGGGGGCTATTTATATTTTTTTATAGCTACTCTCTACGACAAAATTGTGACTGCAGATTGTATGAATAACTTCTACGAAATGAGTCTTCAATGACTCCTGGAGAATCTGGACCTCTCCAATACGATGTTCAAGTAGAGATATCTCGGAATCTGATCAGCGCCACTGGAGGTCTCTCGTACGCCGATCCTCTTACGGTATTACTGGAGCACGAAAGCGAATGTCTAGAACGAACCAGCCATTCTTTCGTCTGGTGCATAAGATGAATGAGAACGATGTTATAGCAGTCGACCAGACCATGACCTAAAAGGAGTCAAAAATAATGAAGTAGACAAAAAGATTCATTCGTTGAAATAGTCGATAATCTACTCGGACTGATGGAGATTCATATTCATGTGGGAAGGCAGTGAAACAGCAATGGTTACGGGCAGACAGAAAATCCTATCAGATATCTGTTCATTGAATCTAATATCCAAGTATAACTTGTGATGACTCTATTTGTTACATGCATCATTTCGTGAAACCTGACAGAGATGCTCTAGAACTAAGTTATGACTATTGTCCGTTTAAATGCGCCCATGAAATTACTCCTACATAATATGGACCTCATTAGACAAGGGGGATACAAGTATGTCACACAATAACATAGTAGAGCTTATCATAGCGAGATATTGCAACTTGGCAACTATTCTCACTTCTACAATGTCAGGGCATTCATTGATTATGACTCCAAAAGAGGCATTTATTCTTTGCCCTGCTGTATAGGAATTATGGGACCTTGAATACATTCATTATTATATGATCAAATCAATAAAAGAATAAACAATATAAACCAGCACAATGCAACAAAGCAGCAAAAAGAAAAGGACAAATAAAAGGAGGAGAAGAGACTGGCCTAGAAAATAAACCACGAGGTATAAAAGCCCAAGAAGGTAAAGAAGAAGATTAAAAAAAAAAAAAAGAGAGAACCTATGCTATCTAATTATATAGTATGCACCAGAGTTTCTTGTGAATACAGATACGTGGCAGAGTTACATCTCCACCAAATACCATCACCATCTTGTGAAATTCTACTAGCAGGAGTAGAATCCATTAAGCACTTGTCATCCTACTACCTACTCACAGCCAGTGATTGCTGATAGTTCATTGCCGTCGCTACTATCTTGAATGCTACTTGGAGTAACATTGATCCACGAAACCTGCATGGAAGTTGGCCTTGATATCCAGGATAAGTGAGAACTAGCAAGGATGTCCCTCCTCAAGCAACTTAGCAGTAAGATACAACCCACTGGGCAGCCCGCCAGACATGATCACTTCATACCAAGGAAGTCATGTCAAGAATTAAGAGCCAGGGAGTTTTGCGACCTCGCTTTAGAGACTTTGTCATGGATATCAGCCAAAAGCGGCAACTAGACTCTATGTATTTCCTACATAGGTTTAGCGCCTCTCGAGTCCAGCTTCAGCCTTAACTAGCCCGTTACCTATCACTGTTATCAACCCACAACTTGGTTCTTGTGGATATGCCCAGGAAGTTTAAAGAAGACCGCAAAGTTTAAGACGAAATCGGACTGCAATTAGGTACTCGAATTTGAATTCTTAGTAACTGATAAGATTTCCGCTTTTGCCGCTTCCCCGGGGATACATGCATTGACTTGGGCACTGGTAGCAGAGGAAGTAATAATAATAATTCAGGTATATATATAGCTGCTGGTTCCTCGCATCTGGATCCATACCTTCGATACTCAGGATCAATTGGAAGCCCCAATCATCATCATGCCCACCCTCCGCGCAGCAGTGTGCCATGTCGCACCGGTCTTCCTCTCAGCCAAAGCAACGACTGAGCGCGCCATCGCGCTCATCCAGGAAGCAGCGCGCCACAAAGCCAACCTGGTCGTCTTCCCCGAAAGCTATATCCCGGCATTTCCAATCTGGAGTTCCATCTTACCACCCACCGACAACCATGACTTCTTCAAACGCATGGCCCAAGAATCCGTGTATGCCGACGGCGAGGAGATCCGTGCTATCCAGGCTGTTGCACGCGCGACAAACACCATGGTGAGCATCGGCTTCTCTGAGAAGACGCGATTCAGTACAGCGACATTGTACAATTCCAACATTATTATTAGCGAAAAGGGAGAAGTGGTGGTGCATCATAGAAAGTTGATGCCGACGTTTTTCGAGAAGCTAACCTGGTCGCCCGGTGACGGGCATGGCCTGAGGGTCTACGAATCCGAGCAGGGATATGGCAAAATTGGGAACCTTATCTGTGGCGAAAATACCAATCCGCTGGCGAGATATACACTTATGGCGCAAGGGGAGCAGGTGCATATCTCTACCTGGCCGGCTATATGGCCTACTCGTGCGACGACAGCGGGCGACGTATCTCCCAAGAATTACGATAATGTCGCAGCAAATAGAACCCGAGCTGCGGCACATTGTTTTGAGGCCAAGGCCTTTGGAATTCTCAGTGCTGGGTTTTTGGATCAGCAGACAATCGAGCTGATTGCTTCTGGCTCTAAGAACCCAGAATTTGTGACTGAGGTGCTCAAGGCATCTCCGCAAGGTCCAACAATGTTTCTGGATCCTACAGGCAAGCAGATTGAGTCTGCTTGTATTGTAGATGGTGGAAAGCAGGTCGAGACAAGCCAGTTGACCGACCGTGAGGGAATTTTGTATGCGGATTTGGATCTGGATGAGACGATTGAGGGCAAACAGTATCACGATGTGGTCGGTGGATATCAGCGGCTTGACGTGTTTAATGTGAAAGTCGACCGTTCTCGACGGAACCCAATCTCTTTCGTGGAGGATCAAAACAGCAGGGAGGAGAGAAAGGAGACCGAAACTGTTGAATTGTGATTGAGATTTGTGACTAAAATTCGGGCCCTTGAACTATTCAATCTCATGTATATAACATGGTAGCTTAACCACTGGAAGACTATATCTATCGATTTAATTTATATCCCAACTATTTTTCCAATTTCGCAGTTCCTGTCCCCATGTATTGGTATCCATTGACATTTAATGGACAAATATCGAATATAATAACCATTCTTAGAACCAGGCTCGGCAATAGTGGAATTAGCACTAAGTGGACTCTCATTAAAGGCAAAACTTACCACTTGGAACTCTTATCTCAGAGGTCTGGGAAAAAAAGCACCTTCGGCTCTTGATTTAGAGCCGACAAGTAAACCCTAATCAGTCTTATCTCAGAGCTGTTAGCAAATTAGGTATCCCCCTATCGGCATTGCTTCTACGGGGGTTTGATAGCGATGCATATATAGGCTTTCTTTCTAGCTTCTAATGTTCATTGCACTACATGGAAATTTCCAAAACTGAATGAATTGACGCACCCCTACTTCTGCCCCCTCCCCCCCTTTTTCATCAGAAAGTGCTAAACAATGTCGCTTCCAAAAGACGACAAAGAAGACATCGACGTCGCCATCGCCGAGAAGCTGGGAGACTGCGAACCAGCAGCAAAATTGAGCGATGCCCGCGTCCTTCGAAAATTGGACATACGTCTGATTCCTATGCTCGCCGTCCTCTATCTGATGAGTTTCCTCGACCGAGGCAACATCGGAAACGCGAAGATCGAAGGACTGGCAGAGGATCTCCATATGAGCGGATCCCAATATGATTTGACACGTAATTATCTCCTGATTGATTTCTTTTCTCTCTCTATACTTGCGTCTTCTAAGCTAACGGCCTGTAGTGACGGTGTTCTTCCTCACTTATGCCTTTGCAGAAGTGCCGTCGAATATTATGCTGAAGCGTCTCAAACCATCAATCTGGCTGCCGTCCATTATGGTGATTTGGGGGACTATCACGGTGAGAAGCTTTTTTCCTTTCGTTCCTTTTTTACCCAGATACTGAGCCGAAACTAATGGACGAGAAAAAACAGACATTGATGGGGGTTGTGAAAAGTTTCAATGGTCTTCTTGTCGCTCGTGTTTTCCTGGGACTATCAGGTAACTATCCCATTTAGACATCTAAACCCGAGGACCCGTCTAATTCTTCACAACAGAGGGTGGTCTCTACCCCGGTGTCATCTATTACACAACCATCTGGTACTCTCGCAAACATGCCCTACTCCGAAACGCCCTTTTCTTCAGCGCCGCCAGTATCGCAGGCGCATTTTCGGGGTTGTTAGCATTTGCCATTGATGTATGTTTTCGTTCATCTTTTTGTTTCCTTCTTTTATGCTCTGCGGCTAAGAATAAAATAGAAAATGGACGGAGTCGGAAATCTCGCCGGCTGGCGCTGGATCTTTATCCTCGAGGGCATGGCCACCGTCGTTATTGCAGTGATTGCATATTTCTTGATCTATGACTCTCCAGATGAGGCATCTTTCTTGACGGATGACGAAAAGCGTTGGGTATATGAACAGCTGAATCGTGACGGGCCAAGGGCACAACAAAACGAGAAATTTCGGTGGAATTTTGTCACCGCGGCATTTACGGACTGGCAGGTTTTGGTGGCTATGTTTATGAACTTATCACTGATTAGCCCGATTTACGGTATGTTGTCTTCTCCCCACGATGGCTAGGTGTTGTATGAACCCCGCTGACTGGCTTTCAAAAGCAATCTCTCTGTTCCTCCCCACGATCATCAAGAATCTCGGGTTTACTTCTACCAATGCACAACTTATGACGGTATTTAGTGCTATTTCAAATTGCAGACAAAGTGTAATTTGAACTAATGGTGAAATAATAGATCCCTATATACGCCTGTGCAGCCTTCATGGCCATCGCTGTCGCCTGGTACTCTGACCGTCACCTCAGCCGGTCTCCCATCCTCTTCGTCTTTTATGGTGTCATTATAGCCGGCTACATCATCACTATGGCTGGAGCGGCCGCGTCTATCCCCGGTCTTACATATGCGGGAGTATTCATAGTTACTTGTGGTATGTTGTTTTCCTCTTTTGATGTTGGCAAACCTCCTTGGCATTCGAAGATTAATTTTTCCTTTGCTTGTTTAATAAGGCCTCTATACCGCATTCCCATGCAACGTCACTTGGATTTCAAACAACCTTGCAGGGAGCTACAAACGTGCCGTCGGCCTGGCAATTCACGTCGGTTTCGGAAATTTAGGCGGCGCCATGGTGTCAAATTTCTATCGGTCGCAGGATTCACCCAAATTCCTTCTGGGACATGGTCTATCTCTCATGCTTGTCCTTATCGGACTGGTGGCAGTGGTGATTCTGAGGTTTGGATATGACCATTGCAATAAGAAGAGGGATGCGCTCGGTTATACGGAGGGGACGTTGAGTCCAGAAGAGATCGAATCGCTGGGCGACAAGGCACCAACCTACAGATATATCTTATAAACGTGTATTACTGTTATGAAAAGGCCGCGGGTGACACTGGACTGAGGTCCCAGCTATTTACTATGTAATTTTGTTTTCATAGAGGAATTCTAGCTCCGTATAACGCTTAATAATAGATCATAAAAGTTTTCAACCTTCACATCTACGACTGTAAATCCATTCTTCAGGCCTTTGAATCAAATATCATTTATCCAAGGTACCAAAGATTCAACAAAGGTACCAAAAAGTGATTGGCTTTATAATTGCATGCTCACTACCTTAGGGCAAAAAGGTCACGTGTGCATCTTGCCGGCTTTCTCTGACAAATACTGTGATCGTGTTCGCGATTCATTCGCAGCCAATGGAGATGCAAGCAAGCCGAGATAAATTTTTGCACCAGCAGGTGGAATGTCTCTGGTCAAATCCACCCATGCCTCATAGTTCAGTGCAGGGCGAGAACAATTCGGGTGGTTGTAGATTTGCACCCACAGATATTCAAAGATAGATAGGTGTCTGAACGATTTCCTGCATTTTTTCTGTATATCTAAGCCTCCTTATGGCCTATAAACACTAACACCCAATAATAGTCTGGTGCAATCGGCATCTATGGAGTCTTTCTTGATCTTGACCGTTTCCAAGAATTGCAGAGGGGATGCCAAATAAGGACTCGGAGAGCAGCGAAGAAAAAGTTACCTGCCAGATCATCTTCTTCATGGTGTGACATCTCGAAGATGTCGTAGTACGTGAGCGGGCTTTTCTTCCACTGTTCCGCGAACCATACAAACTGCCGATCAATGAGTACCCAGAGAATCAGTAGCCTAGTGAGCTGTTAGCTTCGATCTAAATCAAATAGGCACCCATCCATAGTAGCTCAGCGTTCTAAGGATGATTCATTACGGCAAACTCACGGCTGTAATCCGGCAAGAACCACGGCTGCTAGTCCCACGGAACGGAATCGCTTCAAGAGTGGCGATCGAACAACCCAAAGCAAGACTCCCATATGTATCAACCAGACTACCATTCTGAAAATGCTGGTCATGATTGTTCTCTTCTGGAGCACATTGATATTACGATACGCCCACTGTATAGGGATCAAAAACAGCGACACGATGACGGGCAGGAACGTCAAAGCCACTGCAACTTGCTGAAGAGTATACCCTGCAAGCGCGTGATCGATACATGCAAGCAGTCCAAGCTCTGTAAAGCACAACATCAGCCTCACCAGGGAGATCTTTTCCTCCATTGACATCACAGCTGAAAAGACCGTGAAGAACTTGTTGATGGTGTTCAATGCCGCTGCTGGTTGTGGCCGCTCTGAGAGCTGACTTTCCAATTCTTGCACTCCTTGCCCGCCGCCGCTGGCTTGTTGTGCACAATCATTGTGCGATCGGTGCGTTTTCCGGCGAAGCCACCGCTCGAACCGGTACTGCCATGATTGAGCCGCCCGTAATTCCGGATCGAGGAATAACGCGGACCATTCCTCGTGTGTTCTCGTGTCAGGTTCGTAGTTAATCCGGGTGCTGGTTCGGACTGATATGGTCCATAGGAAGAATGCCAGAATAAACACAATGAGGACAGCAGATACGCCTACTTTGACGCCGACGCTGGCCTTCGTCACCGAATCGCTATTGAGTAGACCGAGGCCAACAGAGAGGCTGAGAAAGATGATGATGACAGCCGTTATTTTGAGCTTCAATATTCGATCGTGAAGATCAGCCGTCTGCTCGCGAGTCAACGAGGAAACCAATGCTTCGGGAGATGCCCAATTTTGCATATCTTTTATTCCTTGTTATTGGTGTTGTGTATTCGGAATAGCGTGCAGAGCGGAACTTACCACATTCAACATATAACAATTCAGCTGTCAGCTCCCTAGCATTTATCGTTGTCACGTTCGTGGACACTCTTGGTGCAACGGTGACTTTGGCGGTCATATCCCATGTTACCAAGGCATTCTTCGTATATCTTTGATACATGGCTCCGTCAAAGCTTTCTTCTACTTCTTTTTCAATATGCATCTTCTGGATTGTGGCACAAAAAGCAATAGATGCGGTTGTGGCCAGATATCCATCGATCATAAAATCTGCTGGAAGTACCAGACACCATTGCTGGTCCGTCTGATTCGGCCTGGCATGCGATAGCTCAACCCTAAGATGGAGCTGCTCCTGAGCTACAGCTCGAGAGGTAATTGACGAGCTAGAGCATACACAACTTTCGGTCGCTAAATCAAACTCTCCTAAAGCCGTTGCAGGAAAGACCAGCGCCCGAAATGCCGAGGTGTAAAGTGGCCCTACCATACGCCCTTCCTGGTAAGTTCTCACGCTGGGCTTGTCAGATAGGGGGCGACCACCATGTATCTGGGAGGGCACCCATTTGTTTTTGGGCTCATGGTCATATTTTGGTCCATCGTTAAAGAGTAGTGAGGCTGGAATCTCAGAGAATGTGTTGATGATAGCTTTGAGGCGCTGCGAGTAGTCCAGCTGAATAATGTCTCGAATTGAGATGGAATTAGCTACTGCTAGGATTCCCGGTACGTCCTGAAGCTTGGTAGTTGACCGGTACAACAAAGTGTTCCATGCCGTGACAAAACTGGGTTTACCCTCTTTCGCAAGATCCAGAACATTGAAGCATGCCATCAAATCATGCCTAATCTCACGTGAAAGGACTGATTTATACTCCGAGCCCCATGATAGCACAGCTTCTGAGAAACCTTGCAGATACTGTTCGTATCGAACAATTTCTAACGTTGTTGAATTAGACTCTAGTCGAATGGGGTCATCATAGCCGACTGGAGTTGGCATGAGTACTCTTGGTTTCTGAGATTCAAAGTTTTCGAGATGTGCTCGCAACTCGGTGAGGTTGTAGGCTCGGTCAGCAAATTCTAAGTAGATTTTCCAGGAAGCAATGCCCTCGACAAGCGTCCAGCATCGTGTGAGCCATTTGAGACAGCGCATATGAACAGCAAGCTTCAACAACGGCATGTCAACAAGTGGTAGATGGCGAATACTGCGTTCACGCACTAGTACCGCCTTGGCTGCGGCAAAAGTCCAATCAATACGTCCGATAGCAATTTGCCGCGCTTTTTTGTCCAGAGGAATACACAACGTATCGAGCCAGAAGTATGCAGGATGGTGGCTATTGGAGGCGTCGAGAAAAGGTAAACGTCCTTCAACCAAGGAAGCTTGCGAACCACTGGGGCCATTGTCGAGCATATCCTGAAGCCGCCGCACTTGCTGGACAACGTCAGTCAGTTGGCATTCATGGAGCGCGTTGGCTGTGTCATTTCCTAGCCCATCAGACCAAACGTGGGAGATCGCAGTGAAAGATCTACAGTTGTGGCTGGCGAGTACACCAACGCTGATACCACCTGTGTAGCTGTCTATGGTGCAGGAAAGCACCGGCACGTCCCCGTCTCGATAGATGGCTGCGATTTTGTCAACGGGGACTTCGACGAGCGGACAGTTATGGCACAAGCAGGTTTGAGTGTGCTGCGCCGGATAGCTCGGAAGGTTGTCTAACCTGCATACTTGCTTCGTACAGTCTTCGTGGTCGGAACCAATGAAATCAGAGGCTTTGCACGCTGTTAGGGGGTACAGTGCTTGGGTTGGGAGCTCACGGCTGATGCTAGCCAGTCGGCATGGGCACCATCGCTGCTCGACGAGGTAAGCGAGCAAGAAGGTGGAAGTTTCAGGCTTCGTCACAATTGCAAAAGGGTCTACAAATGCTTTCACTATAGGCTCGACAGTCACGGCCAAAGTATCAATAAGCAGTTTGATCGAGAAAACAATCAGCTGTGCTTCGTGGCATTTTTGTGATTCGCTATATTTATCGAGGCGACTGCTCAGTCTTGCCGCGAAGCTGATATTGTTCCACAACCTCTGCAGGTCGCTTTGGGGCAGATGGGAAGATCGTTGCAGCCAACCTTGGCAGTATCGTGGCAGTTGTGTGGTGGATATTAGTTCCCTTGACTCCTTAATAATTATGAAGTCTGATATAACAAGATATGTACCGAAAACTTCGCGGAGCAAGCCAAAATAAAGCCATCGTTGCAATAAGCCCACAAAAGAATTTGGATCCTGTTCGTGAAGCTGAAACAACTCGCGAATACTTTGATAGCCCAGACGCGAACCGAACTCTGTGAATTCACCGAGGTCGTAGTCACTTGAAATGTAGGGGATTTCGAAAGTCACCAATCTGTCGGTGGCGTCAAGAATGGACTCGAGGTGTTCCATGGCACCGACAACATAAAGCGCTTATCGAAGACACCGAGCGTCGTTCATTTATATCTGGTAAATGGAGCACTTCCCAATGTCTATATTTACGCTCAGAATCTGTTGAATGTCGGGCATCCGAATCAGCGGTTGGGTATGCATTCAATGAAACAACAATGGTCAGACAGGACAAATCAGCCGACAATGTGTGACGACCAACCCGGTTAACTACGAAGTATCTTGGCTTTAGAGATATAAATTTGTTCACAGTAGCCCCGGCCCTATTTCCAATTGAAGGAAGGCTAAACTATAGTATTTGAACTATAGTATCAGAGCGTTAGTCACATTGTGCTGCCGCTTAATGTACCTAGTTCACAGGTCAATGCGCCACAGTCACTTGCACCTTGTAATCACATACAAAATAGCCATTTATAACATATCAAGATTCCCACAATGAAGCTGTATTTTTACTTGATATTTTAGATATGATAACGAATTTTGTTTGTGTGCCTCATCGGGGAATCGGGCCTCATGGCACGTAGCTGCTGAGACGGGGGTGGCGCACCTAATCATAATAGTTATTAACATTGACCATTCAAGTACCTTACTTAGGGAGTCGAGTCAGCTTGCGATGACTGACTACTTCATGGTGGTTCATGCCTTTTTCTCTTCTCTCTAGATCTTTCATCGTCAGAGCCGCGTGTAAGCACTACTGGGACAATTACAGCTTGGCCGTGGGATCGTACTGAACCATGCACGTACATTGTGCCGTCCACAGTCATGCTCGTCTATACTACAAGCATCCTAGGGGAAAGCCCTCAAACGACAACAGTGACGAGGTCGACTGGGGCCTACGTGAATGCATACGGCGTGCAGGTTAGATTCCAGGCGACCGATCTTTTCATCGAGACCAGCTGAGGCGAGATGCTGCTTCAATCGATTTTGGAAAATGGTACCCCCGATTGCAACGCCGAAAGGATCATAAACGCCCAGCCAGACCAAAGAGCCCATCGAACGTGGGTGATGGCCAATGATACACTGACACTGAGGGGCATCAGGATGCTGCAAGAGAACGGTTGCCAAACCCTATGTTGTCCTAAATTGGGAAAGCTTGCTTCGGTTTTTCTTACTGTTTTCCCGTCACAAACGGACATTAACTATATATTTCTATACAGCAATTTGTGTTTATAGTGCATCCTATACGATTTGGTATGTAACTAGCTATAAGAAACAGTAACCGGTATAGTGAAGCTAAACCATTTACGGCCTAGAATGATTCAGGTCTAGGGTTTGGGAACGGATATCTACATCTCTCCTCCAGCAGGAGCGCGCGTTCCGCGAAGACTTGTGCAGCGGCGCGGCCGAGCTTTTGCAGGCAATGTTTGCACGCACTGTCCAAACCTGCGTATCTTGCTCCACCTCGCTACAAAGCGAGGCGTGTCCCGAGGTAGTTGGGATGCAACATGGAGGAAAGGACACATTCGGATACAATTACGTGAGCCACAGGTCATAAGTGGAATCCAGGACCTGATATGCTGGACTGAGACTGAAAACATCTTGGACCGGCCTTAAATGGGGTTCTTTTTGGAACAACTTCACCAGGCACAGATTTGGCAGATTCCGTCGAAACGTAGTGTTCATCTTTTTAGCGAAGGGTAGATTCATTAAATAATGGTTTCATTTCAATCGTTGGTTGCGGAGTGTCTGATATTTACACATAGTTTCTGCTCTATTGAACATGGCCATAGTACGTGTAAAATTCATCCAACTGTTAATCATAAACAACAGGAGGGGAATTAAAACATCCAGTTGAGCAAAAGTAAGCGCGTGTAAGCCGAAATTGACGGCCCTAATGAATTTCAGGGGAAAATGTTGGTGCGTTCATCTGGGCAAAATTGACCACGAGAACTTTCTACTGCAGTTTTCACCTGAGCAGGTATTTCTGATAAAAATAAACGCATGTTCTTGCCTAGAGGGGGGTTTCAGGGTCTACTTACTAGGCCGTGCATTAGTGAAGTCCAGGTCTAGGTGCATGTCTAGTACTGTCAATCACCTTCACGCTCTCAAAAGTCTTATCAATCAGTATAAGTACTTCAACCCAGTGTAGAAGGTGCTCTAGGAGGAACAAGTGTGTCTTACTCCTGCAGACAAATGAGCATTACCACACTGGAGGTGTCCAACCCTATAGCATTAGGCGTATCGCAGCTCCGTCGATATGTGCTGATTTTCCCGAGAGGTATCTATGTCATTCTTGTAGTGCGCAAATGTCCCACTTTAATTTCTCGCTCATCAAATCTAGACTTGAATCAGCTAGAAAATTCTACATTTATGTAAAATCGTTCATCGAGACCATACTCTATTAAGCCATGATATCCTTCTTGCTGGAAGGTCTGTCCAGTCCGAAGAAAGTCACGTAATAGAGGGTGATGGAGGCGAATGAAACTATTCGAGTCTTTGGGAATGTCTATAATCGAGTGTGAATTACCCAGCTTGGACTCTATGTCTGAGCTTTTTATGAAATTTCTCAAAGCAGTCACCGAGAGAGGAGCTTGTAGGAGGAATACATCTCGGGGAGAGTCATAATGTTCGTCCTGCTCAATATGGCTCCATTCCGTTCGAATTGACTCTGTCAAAACTCTAGTATAAATTTGACCAAGCGATAGTTGAGGCGTCGACTCCGCGCAATTGCCTTGGACAGTTTGTTTTAGACGAAGACGCGATGTTTTTCCGTCCTGCCAAGTTCAACGTATCAACAGCGCTGCCCAGGTGAACAGACTGGCTGCACCATCAACAAGACTATCGATGGCATTTTTCCCAGGCCATTCACGTCCAGCCTGGACCTTGATGGACATACTCTTGAACTCCTTTGTAATATAGTTTGTAATATAGAGGATTATATCGCCATTCGTGACATTCTTAATGATAAATTGCAGCTTGAATTCTTTATGCTCAACCTTAAAGAGCTCTGGACGAATGCAATAGTCCGGTCTACTTGTCATAAACACAAGCAGTCGTTTCCCGCAGTCCTGAGGGATTTGAGCCAAAAGATCAACAATAAGAGCAATGTTAGCTTCACCTGCACACTCATCCAGAGCATCAATGATAATCAACAAGGGCTTCTTGTCGGTCTGTACAAAGATGTAGTCAACCTTATTAATCCGAAGAATTTCTAGTGCTTGTGTAACGATTGGGTAGGTAAAAGACAGTTACTGACTGGAATCAATGGCAATCAAGTCTCAACAAGCGAATGGATGAAATTAACTCTTCGGCAAATGATTTACTTAGACGTTAGGAAATCGAAACAAACCTGTATATTTATTCAGCTATAAAGTCAAGTGAAGAACAAATTGTGCGAAGGGTAATGGTTATAGGACAACAACAGCTTATTATGTCGACTTAGGGCTGCCGGACAAAGACAGCCCTAGCCCTATTAACTCATTACCAAATATGAAGATAATGATCACACCCGAAAGGAATCAATTTTGATTATCATAAATTAGGTTCCCATTGAATTCTTGAGTATACAATCAAGAGCGCAGAGGTGTACGAAGCAAAGACACCTTAACTGCTCTAAGGTCAGACCTCAGACTATAATTGGCCACGTTAAATGTTCCAAGTATCATATCAATCGTTTAATCTGATCTGTAGATAAATCTATGAAACAAACTCAAGCTCATGATACCCTCTGCCTCTTCGCACTATCAAAGACATTATTAGTAGAAGGCATCCTTTTATTATTATTATTTTTTCGCTCCATGGCCTCCATTTCCCTCTTCATAATCATCTCTTGCTGCGAGACTTTCTGCTGCTGCGGCACAAATGTTGATTTCTTGGTGCCTGCCAAGGGATTTGCTAGTGGGTTTTTCACTGTATTATTCGTTTTAGGAGCAAAAGAGGAGGAAAATACGTTTTTCGGTTTGGAGGTTGTCGAAGCGGACGAGGACGAAAATGATATAGCGGGTTTTGATGCTGATGCTGATTTCGGTTCTTCTGCTTTCTCTTCGGTCTGACCAGATGCAGTCATCGTCGTCGTCGTCGTCGTGGTAGTAGCTGCAGCTTTAGGCGCCCCAAAGCTGAGCTTAACTTTATCACCTTCCTTCCTCTCCAACAACAAATTCGACTTTTCTGCAGCCCGCTCCTTATCCTCCTCACTACCACTCTTCTCAGCTGCGGCAGCAGCTTTTGCCAGCTCCGCCTTCCTCATCCTCTCAATCTGTGCCTGAATCTGTTTCTGCTCCCTCTCCTCGTCACCCTTGTCCTGCCTCTCCTTCTTCATAACCGCCTCTTTGCGCCTCAAGGTCTCAGGGCTATTATCAATCCAGCTGATAAAAAGCCCCTTCTCTGTTTCTTCGACCCTGCAAATTCCTTCCCTGCCCAGATATTTGCAAAACTCCGTTAAACTCGACCATTTCGTCGCGTTCATATGAATATGGTCTTTTTTCGAAATCACTTGCTGATAGAAATGATTTATATTCACTTTTTTCTCCTGGTGAGTCGTCTTTAATAGACTGATAAATTCGCGCAAAAATTCGGCTGAGTATTGGTCAATGGTCGCTTTGGAGTTTTCTCCAATCAAGAGCATCTGCCGGACATGTGACTCGCTCTGGACGTGGCATTTAAACCCGTTGGCGTCGCGACATGCCTAGAATCACTTCCAGTTAGTAACAGCTTCTACAAGGTGGAATCAGAATTCGGGAGAGGGGAAAAAAAAACCTTTTCGCACGGCTGGCAGTACCATTTCAGTCTTGTCAGCCCACGTTGCTTGATTTTATTGCTGATTGCTTTGGTGCTGCCTGCTTCAGCACGAGGCATTGTGCTAATTCGTTGTCCGTACGGAGGATGGAAGGCGGAGACGGCGGACGGAGAATCGATATGAGCGACCGATGTTGATTAGTCGAATATGAAATCAAATGCGATGAAGCGATGATAAGCTAGCGACTATGGGATCGAGTGTAGAGAGTTGAATATGGAAGCTGAGAAGAGTAGTAGTAGTTGCGATATTCCTCAGCGGTGGCGCTATTCTATCGATTGGCACTAGGTCACGTGGGATACTGCGCCACACCAGCGATGATTGGTCCAACGTACTGCGGCTTTCCCTATCAGGAGCCACTCTACCGTCAAGGTACGGACTACATAAAAAAAAGGAAACATTGATTGGACTGCAAATATACAAATACAAATTTGATTTATTTGAAAAGACAGAAACAGTAAATAAATAGACCGCCTCGCCAATCAATCAACCAAAGATCAAGCCGGACTCCCTTCTCCCGTATCAAGCCAGCAAAACAAAATAAGCCGAATCTAGTTCCAGGTAATAAAAAGACTCGAATTTGGAAACAAAACTCCTGTATACAGACGAGATCATGTCTGTCAAATACTTTTTCCCCTTCCTCCTTCTTTCAACTTCAAGCATATCATTGAGTATATGCGAACAATTGAGAAAAAAAAAAAAAAAAACCTTGAAATTAGATCACAGCAGCGCAAACTCATGAATAGCCGACGGTCCATTCTCATTGTACTCGGCCCTTGGTAGATAGCCCTTGTACTGGCCCTGGGTATCATTAATGAAGACCATCTTGGCCGCTATTTGCGCCCCCAAGAACACGCCTTCTTCCATTCCGGGACGGGGTGCGCCCGATGGGTTGGATGTTGTATTCGTACCACCGGCTCCGGTAGTTCCAGGCGCATTGCTGCTGTTACCGCCGCCGCCTTGGTCCTTCCATTCTGGGAAATAGTCTGGTGGTTTGACGGTTTTCACTGATGTTGGGGTCTGTGAGTGGCCTGTGGAGCGGTAATGCATAGATGACATGTATAATGCTGGGTTTTCATGCATGCCCGGTGTAATTGGCGGCATTGGTGGTGCGTTGGCATGTGTGGCGGCGACGAGTAAGGGGTTGACTCCATGCGCAGCTGGATGAAGAAGAGGTCCTGGCGTTTGACTTCCCGGATTGGCCGGGGTGGTTGTGCCAGTGGCCATTGGAGTAGATATATTCGAAGGAATCTCCGAAGTGAACATACCTGCTGACGGGGATAAGATGTACCTTTGGGTAATTATTGAGAGTAGAGCAGGGACAAAACCTTGGTGATTGCGAATAGTCAGATAAACGCTGTTACTCGACAATTTAGGACTTCCAGCACATACCTCGAACACGGCTTCCGTTTCCAATAATAATCAGATTGTCCCAGAGTTCACTCCGTTTCGTGGCATCCGGGACTGCCAAAATAGTATGGTGAATCTGAGCCGCCAAATCTTCCAAGACACCATTACTTCCACGCTCTTCCCTCTCCTTCCCGGGCGTGGTAAGAAGAAAACGCTCAAGACCAACCTCGACATCACGTCGCTGGCGGATATACTGAGCCGAGTCGTTGATACGGGCAAACTCCTCAAACTGGAAAGTAGTCGTTTCACGCTTCGAATTTGGTAAACGAGCTGCCCTATTAGCCTGCTCAGCGGCGCCCTTCTTGCTCGTAGCCTTTTCTTTCTCGCGTTTAGCGAGGAACTCGTTGGTATTGCCACTCGTGACAATAGCAGCAACGTCGAGAATACCTTCGTCGTCCTCGCCGTTTTCATTGTTCTCAGTTTGGGTCCCTCGACCAGGACCGCGGGGGATCTTGGATGAATTGATTCCCTCGCTTGTGCCTGTTGACGCAGCGGCAGCTGGATTGCCGGCTCCTTGACCGTTCTTACCAGCAGCGTCAGTAGATCCCGGTAACGGGGTTCCCAGGGGAAGGATTTCCGTGACATTGCTGCGTTTCAACTGCTCGCACATTTCCCTCGTGAATCCCTTTGATTTCAACAGCTCTTCCAATCGATCCGTCATTGTCTCACCTCCACATCCCTCCAAAGCAATTCCTCGACCATTTTCTTGCACAACCGAGTCGATAACAGCGGTCACATTCGCCTTACCATAGCCAATATCAACCACAGTACCATTAATTGTGCCGTAGGCATAGCAAGCTGCGAGCGCAGAGTCCATCAAACAGAACGCCGGGGGTTTGAACTTCTCAAAAACGAACTGTGTTAGGATTTCGCGATCGCGCGCCGTCCACGCTGGTTCGGATAAGATCAAAATCGGCGTGTGGAACGGCGGACTCAGAGTGTTGTATACATGTTCTAGCAGAGATAGGAAACACGGCCAGTCGACGATATGTCCATTGCGAATGGGGTATACAGCGCCCTCGTCGGAAATTATATCTTCTTCAAGAAAGAATTCCTCCTTGGGTTCTGCCTCTTGATCTTCTTGGCCTTGCTGTTCCGCTGTGCCATTGCCAATGCCATTGGCAGCTGTCTCGCCGTTGTTGGCGTTGCTTGTTTCTTCCAGTTTCTTTTCTGTTTCTTCCTGTTTCGGCGCCTCTGTCATGTCAACATCGGGTTTCTCATTGTCATTATTTTTGTTGTTATCGGTATTATTGTTTGTCGTCGTAGCATTGACCTCGCGTCTCTTTTCCCGGATTTTAAACGGCTCAAACTCGCCTTTCTTTTCTGCGGGGAACATGCGCGTGGGAAACCGGTGACTGGCAGGAGTGAAGGATTCAGGCAGTCCCAACTGCGCGAGGGTCGTTTGGGAGCCTGGCGCGATGAGCTGTGACGTACAAGCTATTAGCGATGGTCTATCTTCCTTTTCTTTGCTTTACAAAAGCTAGGGCGTGGAGAGACTCACCAGGACATGTTCGTCCTTGAATTGAGGCATGTCGCTCTGCTCAGTCGGCGTGTCTGCCTGGACTGGGATGAGATATCCCGCTTAAGCAGTTAGACAATTAAGCAGTGGTAATATAATTGTGACAGAGAAGAGGCGGGGGATTCTGGCGATGTGACTTTGAGGTGTTCAAATGCTCGACTTGCGGCGACGCGCTTTGCATTCGGCCCAGCCACTCTTGGCCAATCAGGACGCAGCATGTCCGTATAGCATAAGACCGACCTATACGAACGTCAAGGCCACATTAATTTGTAGAGCAAAACAAGGATAATTTATACTGGACAACTAATCAATGCAACGAGATTTTATTCTCAGCTTCTAGCCATGCGAGTCCGGCTCTATCGAATCTATCCTGCTTTGTATGCATGTAAAGTACGCCCATCTAACTTAACCATGCCTCCTATCTATAACGCCCATGCAAATGAAAATGAAATCTTGGAAAATCGAAAGAAAACCGAGACGATCCTATGGTGCAAACATCCCAGCCAGCACGCCAGCCCCAATAATAACCCCATCCGTAGCCTCGCGAAGGAAAACACTCTTTCCGCCCTCCTGCGGGCCGCCTTGCATTAGCAAGCGATCAATATAGCGCTGGCAGTTCTCCTTATAGTTCGGATAGTGCTGAATAATCCCTCCAATGTATGCCACCACCAGCTCCTCCGGACCGCCGAACCAATCCTGCAGGCCGCGAGGAGGAGCCGCAGAACCGCCACCACCGGCACGAAAACTCATCTCGTGGAAGCTCTTTGACGGCGAGCTGCTCAACTCTAGAGACGTCGGAAAAGTAGCTGCCGGAATCTTAGGATCTCGGAGAGAGACTTCGTGGTTGGACGCTAAAAGGCCGACGGTGGCTGCGGCTACCAGTGCAGCCGATCTCGTTTGCACGGCCTGCGCCACGTCGCGGAGTGCGCTGGCGGTCTCGGGGGTCCATGACCAGCCATTGGGAGGAGGATTGTGGTGATGATGAGAAAGCTCGCACTCGTTGAGGGTCTTGACAAGTTCGTGGAGAGGCAATTGTGCCGATATGAGGTTGATGATGGATTCTGTGCGGAGGGCGTATGGCGTGACGAGGCAGTTGGGAAGAAGTCGCTCTGGGATGCCCAGAATATGTGCAAAGTAGTCGTTAAGGATGATGCGCACCAATTCCCCGATGTAGCGGCCACCAGTCATGTACTCCAGGGGCTGGAAGCCCGGTCGAGCCGAGCGTGAATCCAGCTGCAGGTCCCATTTGGTCATGACGCCGTGATCGCGCAACGGAGAGGCGGCACTGTGCAGGGTCCATTCCGTGCTGACCAGAGTCTGCGCGGCATTAGGCTCGTGTGCCTGTATGTGCCGGCCTTTGGAGGGGTGCAGGTCAGACAGCGTCATGGGAATGGTGGCGTTGCAGCCTTCGTCCAGCACGATGCCCATGGCGACGCGGCTGTTGGGGAATGACTTGATAGAGTACGAGAGCGAGAGCAGCGTCGCGACCGCATCGTTTGTGAGGGCGATGATTTTCAGTTGCGGCAGCACATAGTGTCTCTGGCGTTTGGCCGCTCGCTCCTCGTCCCCTTCGTCTGCTGTGCGGCGAGTGTGGCGCTCATAGCCCTGCAAGATGGACTGGCGGAGGTCCAAGTCCGTGCCAATGGTGAAGCCTTTCCCGGTCTGCATCAAGGTGGCTGCTTCGAGGGAATCTTGCCTGAGCAAGTCAGTTCCTGTCTGTCAGGAGGAGAAGAAGAAGAAGAAGAAGAAGAAGAAGAGACTTACTTGATTGGAAGGCCAAATGCAATGCCCGTTTCGATATGCGCCGGCGGATCCCGCGAGGAGGCATTCGAGAGCAAATCGTCCTTGACCACCTCCGCGATGCAGTTGCCAATCCACAAAAACAGCTCGTGCGGCTGGTCCTGCTTGAGCCGGTCCTCGATCCTCCACGCCTTCTCGAGGGTGCGCCGCACTCGCGAATGGCGCACCTGGCGAATCACGTTGCTGATGGAGCGCGACCTGGCAGCGCTCTCGCCCAGCAACTCGATAAACGCGACCCTCAGCGTGGTAATGCCCACGTCGACGGCGAGATAGCGACCGCGCTCCTGGCCGCCAGGCAGGCGGGCGACGGGCACGGGGCTGAAGGAGTCGTTGTCACTGCTGGACGCCAGATCGCGAAAGACGCTGGAAAAGGAGCAGGCCATGTTGTACAGCTGCGAGTCGGTGGTCCGCAGCGGGCTCAGGAACTCGCGCAGCGTCGTCCTGGCGCCACCGCCAGACATGTTATTGTTGTTATTGTGGAATTGGAAGTGGAAGTGGTGGCTTGGAGTCGTCTTGTTATTATTGGAGTAGTGGTGGTTGGAATTACGACGGTGATTGCAATCGTTATGCTCCTTGGGCCAGGGCCAGGGCAGAGGGCAGACCTGGCTGTGGGCGCGCATGTTGGCGGCGCGGTATACTATAGTATAGGTATAGCCATGTGATAGCCAGCTTAATCCGTTAAGTTAATATACGAGCAATTCCTCAATATTGCAAAGGCCCATGAATGAAGGAATAGGGCTCGCTGGCTGTTATATACGCGGCGAAGCGATGTAACGGTGCCGCGGTGGATGCTGGACCATTGATATTTTGTCTCGCACAATCATACAGTCTACGCTCTACAGATGGGTATATCCTGGCAGCGCGCCTCCTGGAGCTGGAGAACAATACGCGCGCCCAGTGGCCAGTGGGCTACCTAGAGGCTCCTAGGGTATGTGGACAACGGAGAAACGAAGCTGCTGAGGTCGCAGAGAAAACTCTGCCCGACGGTTGCAATCTCCTGTTGCGTTCTGCTGGCGGTCCACCCAATATGAATAGTTTATATGCAGAATGTAACTTGGCAGATCAGCCACGCGTTCATAAAATTTAGTCGTTCATTTATTATTTCATTACTTAGAAGTTATTACCCAATATCCATTCAGCTAGTGGCGCTTGAAGTTTGTTTCGAGGCTGCCCTTCTAGTCCGCTTCTAGGCGCGCTGGCTAGCTCTGGCAGGGTCCTCGTAATTGTGTGAATATCCATGGATGCTTGGGTATAATGGAGAAAAGTGCCTCCCAATGCAACTGGAATGCAACTGGGCGGAGGCGAATTCAGGAACGAAAGGAGAGCAAATGCTACTCGGTACCCTAGGTACTGCGCCTCTAGGCAGATGCTACTGCTACTACTGCCCTGCGACCAGTCGATGTCAATAACATTGCATGATCAGGGATATAAAATATAAACGAGTAAATAGTAACCGGAAACAAACAGAAATAAGCCACCGCGTGTCCGCAAGCTTCAAAGTGCCATCCATTTTCTAATAATCCCAGCCCAGCCCATGTATGATTCTCCCAATGAACAAACGCCCAACTCCAACTCCACATGCTATGGTCGTAACGGCTGATCGAAGCGCGCAAAAAAGGGGGGGGGAAAAACGTAATGAGACAAAAACTGTCGACATGGTCTCATTCAGATCCTGCATTGAATTTCTGCCCGGCGGAAGCAAATAGCTCTTGTTGCTGGCGCAGGAGTTCTTCCGGTGTCAACCCACTCTGTTCCATTTTGCTGGCCTTTTTCTCTCGCGTCTATCGTTTTATTAGCTCTTGTCTGTGGCTAGTCATGTTGGCTCGGAATATTTCTCGAGACATACCTTCAACGCCTCCTTATGCTCCTCCGCACACGCCAGCACGTCCTGCACATAGTCGCCAAACCCGAGATCCGTCAGCGCCCTCTCCACGTGCTCGCAGGCAATCGTCTTCTTGGCTTCCTTCTCGCTAATGTCGTTGGCCTCGGAGGAGATGAGAGTGATGAACTCGACGCAGCACTCCATAAGCAGGTCGCGCGCATCTTTGGTGAAGGTCTGGCCGGAGGAAGGGGGGAGGATTTCGGTGATGATTTTTTGGACGGTCGCTTTGACAGTCAGTATACACCGGTGAACGTAGCTAGAAGCAAAGGCATGGCATGGCATGGTATACCTTTGGGTAGCGATAGATCGTCATTTGCTGTCAGGCGCGTCAGTATGGTTGCTCGGTTGTTGCGTGTGGAAACCCAACACTCACAGCTAAACTCGCGGTCGGACATGATGTGTAGATGGTGTGAACTCTAGATATTCAGGCGCGGAACCGACAAATATGTCTGACAGTATTGAGCGAAGCAAGAGCGTTCAAATCGGAGTCTTTGACTCTTCGCTCTCGTCGCTTTTGCCGCGGACGACGTGAGCTTGCGCTATGCCAGATCAGGAATGGCGCCACTCCACTTTAAATCAACAACAGCTCAGGGTTTTTTTTCTTCCTTCATTTTTTTCTTTTTCTCTTTCGTCTTCCTTCCATCTCTTCAGTTTTCTTCTCACCATTTCCCAACACTTCTCATACTAACCAACGGATGCTTCTTCTATTGCATTTCTATTGTAATTGGTACGTATCCATCTTTTCCTCACTTCTTCCGTCATTCGCAGGATGAACTTTCGTGTCGCCCCTATCTTACAAAACCGTGGTGATTACCTGTCCCGCCAAAGGACTTACTGAAGAATGCACATATTTTCTGAAAAATACCCCGTTGCAATTCTTGTGGCAAGCTTGCTAACTCTGCCATAGTCCTTGTGTAGGTACCGCGTCTTGATGAGAGTACTTGATTTTCTTCAATGATGTTTGAGAATTCTTATGTACTATCAAATTCGGATTGAATATGACCGAGTCAAAATTTTTCTGCTGATTGTACTATTTCTTTCTATAATAAAAGGAAAGATGGCGTCGGGTTGGATAGTCGTTGACTGGTGTTTGTTAGGATTGGCAGAAATACACCCACGAATTTCACACTTCGTAAACAAAGTGAGTAACTTTTGTTCTTTTAATTCCTCCCCGACGCGTGATGATGCCATACATTTCCATGCTAAGTATGAAGATGCTCTGCGTCTAATGCTTATATTATGTATCTGCTTTTCATCTTTCGGCTGATGTCATGTTCCTTTGCGAGAATATCTATTCTATTTCTCTGACAAGCACATGCTGACTGTACATGAAGGAACCCACTGTCTTATTCTTGGAATGCGGCGAGATCCTTGTCGTTCCATCTATAGCATAGAGTTAGACATCACCCTTTAGATATATAGGACTGAATGTAACGAAAAACTGAGAAACTCACGTTATAAATCTCCCACTCAACTCCCGTGGCGCATCCAGCACCAACTTAGCCATAACATGCCCCGGCTGCTCAGGCCTCAGCAACTTCCCATTCTTGTAAGCTTCGTCGTACCGATCAAACGCGCCTGCGGGCACATTGTCCTTGTGATCCTCGCGGATCTCACGCTGCATCTCCGTATCAACCATGCCCGGCCGCACAGACACCGACGTCACCTCGGGCTCTTCTTGGGCGAGCGCGAGCGCAAAGTAGTTGACCGCAGCCTTCGTGGCGCCGTATAATGTCCATCCGGTTGTGACCGAGGTCGCGGCGCCGGAGGACGTGAAGATGATTTTCCCGTTGGAGGCGCGCAGCGCGGGGAGAGCGAGTTTTGTCTGTTTTCATGTTCAGTTTCTAGTCATCATCTCAACTATGAACAAAGATGGAACAATAAATTGAAGGGGAGGGAAAGAAGGAACTTACAAATCCCACAAAACTAACAAAATTAATATCCAGCCCGTTCTTCCACTGCTCCAAATCCGCATTCGCGACCACAGACACCTGGCCCAACGTACCATGATTCAGGACCAGGCCATCGAGTCGACCGCCGAACCTAGACAGGGCCAGATTGACTGCTTTCTCGCCAGTTGAGTAGTCCGTCAGATCGCCCGCGACGTAGTCAACATGGTCCGGGTATTGGGCTTTGAGTTGCTGGAGGGGTTCGGCGGTGCGGGCCACAAGGATCACGTTGTTGGGCGGGGTGGTGGTGAGCAGGTACTTGGATATTGCGAGACCGAGGCCTGTCTTTTCCTTTAGTATATTTATTCCACTGTTGGGGTCTTCGTCCTCTGAGGAGAGGATGTTGGTGTTGGGAAGAAGGAATGGCACCTCGCGATGCGCCGGTGACGATGATTGTCTTGGGCGCCATGCTTATATCTGCGTTGTTGCTCGTATTCTTTGCTTGCATATAAACAATTGATTTTCTGGCAGCACGCACAGCGAGAGAGAGTCGGGTTCTAGGAAGAGACTAGAGAAGAGAAGAGAGAGAATGCGGGGCTCCATCGCCGACATCCGCCGCCATGATGTATATCCATGGATGTATATAGTTACTATGGATGCTGTGCACAACTCCGAGATACTGTTCATTCAGTCTATATAGTATTTTTTTTCTCAACGCATAGCATTCATTCTCAATTACTCCAGTGTTAGCACATAATGGCCGTCGGTGCTTGACTTCGTCTACCCCGCTGCGGAGACGCCCTATGATTATTGATATAGACTATATCTTGACCCTACCAACAAACCAGCTACCTAGATACACCACACAGAACATAATATAGAAGAGGATGTCGACAGTAATCATCGGCGGTGGCATCATCGGCGCCTCTATCGCCTTCTACCTAAGCAACGACTCCGCCTCCAACGAACAACAGCCAATCCACGTCATAGAATCATCCTCGCACCCCTTCACTGGCGCATCAGGCTACGCAGCTGGTTTCCTTGCCAAAGACTGGTTTGCGCCTGCCCTCGCGCCGCTGGGAGCATACTCGTTCGAGTTGCATAAACAACTGGCCGCCGAGTTTGATGGGAATAGGAAATGGGGGTACATGCCGGGCACCGCGTTAAGTCTGGATGTTACTGCTGCGAGTATAGCGGACAATGCGAGCACTGGCTACGACTGGTTGCGCGATGGAGGTAGTCGCGCGCTAGCATCGACTGTCAGTCAGCAGAGAGGTCAGGACGGGGAGTCGAATCCCTTGTGGTTGACGAAGCAGAGAGGCGGTCGTGTGGAGGTGATCAGTGGTGAAGAGACCGTGGCTCAGGTGTGAGTTCTCCTTTTTTTTTTTTTTGCTTTTTTTGTCTTTTTCACCCAGACTTGTGCTATACTGAGCAGACGCACGCCCAGAGATCCATCTCGACTATGCCACTTCCTACACGAAACCACTCTCGCGCGAGACGTGCAATGGCATCATCCAGCACAAGTAGTCTCCGTCACCACCGATGCCAGCACCCACGCCGTCAGCAGCGTCACGGTGCTCAACTCCTCGACGCAGACCGAATACACTCTACCCTGCCGAAACCTGGTTATGTGTGCCGGCCCGTGGACGACGCTGGTATACAAAAGCCTCTTCCCCTCGGCATCCGTCCAGCCTCACATATCTCCCCTGGCCGGCTACTCGCTGCTTGTGCGCTCGCCGCGTCACACCTTACTCCATGAGCATGACAAGTACAAAGGACGCAGCCATGCCGTGTTCACGACGCTACCCGAAGGAGAAGGAGGGGAAGAAAATGGCGAGAACGGCTTCAGTCCGGAAATCTTTTCGCGCGAAGGCGCCGAAATCTACATTGCAGGCCTGAATTTCAGCAACCTCCCCTTACCGACGCGAGCCGAAGGGTCCAAGGCGGTAATGGATGCGCAGAAAATGGCACAATTGAAGAAAGTAGCTGTGCAGTTTCTGGGGAAACTGGCTGAAGACGACAACAACGATGGTGTTAGTACCAACGTAGATGACCTCGAGATCCTCCGCGAAGCACTCTGTTTCCGCCCGGTCTCGGACACAGGCCTGCCCATCGTCTCGCGAGTCAAGGAGGAGTATCTTGGCCATCAGCACCAGGCTGGCAGTCGCTCGGCGGTGGGCAGGAACATTGGCGGCGTGTTCGTTGCGACGGGGCATGGGCCTTGGGGCATTTCGCAGTCGTTGGGGACGGGCAAGGTGGTTGCGGACATGGTGGACGGGATTGAGCCGGCGGTGGACGTGAGCGGGCTGTCTTTTTAGTGTATATAATTCAAGGAATTGAGATTATCTTCATCCGTGGGTGTCGTTGCTACTGTTGTTGTACCTCAGATTGACTGCAAGGCTTAAGCGTGCGGAGAGTCACGCGTCTCCCCCGCATTCCTGGACTTTTCCTGTCGCAACTCCGAGAGGAATCAGCCATCGCTGAAACACAATATACCATTTGCCTCACAACCCACCATGGCGAATACAATGTACGAAGGCGGCTACAATGACAGCAACCGCGCATTTCTGCAAGCCTTCATGGCGCGGTCTACCATGACCTTTGAAGACGCAAGGCCCGTGCTGGCCGCGATATTCACAGCGCAGGGTAAGACCGACCTTCACACCGCGAATACAACTTGGACTATCAACTAACAATCCTAATAATCCTACAGAAGGACGCGAAGTCCTCGCCGAAGACATTACCCAAGCCGATCTCAACTCCTACATCGCCGCCGCCAACAGCGCCATCTCGCCCTTCGACCTCGAAATCCGCAGCACAAAGCCCCAAATCGCAGTCTCCCTCCCCAACGGCGCGCAAACAGTCTCGTCATCAAACAACCCGCCGCTGGTATACGCGCTCGTCAACACGACCAGCGACCCGCTCACGCAGCTCGCGACAACCTATTCCGTTGACGAGATCGCGTTTGTGAAGCGGCTGCTCGACGCCATGTTCGAGACGTATAATACAAGACGCCTCGAGGCGATGGTCGTATCGAGCATGCAGGCAATACAGCTTGCAAAGGCGTCTTCCGAGAATAATGCGAACCGCCGCGAATCTACGAATAATGCCGCTACAAACCAAGGCGGTGCTGCGCAGTCGCTGACCATGACGCAGGCGGAATCAATGCTGGGTAGGCTCGTAGAAGAAGGGTGGTTTGAGAAGAGCAGCAAGGGCTTTTACAGTCTCAGTCCGCGAGGGCTGATGGAACTACGTGGTTGGCTGGTGGAGACGTATAACGACGAAGATGAGCATGGTCATCGGGCTAGGCGCATCAAGTTTTGCGCGGCTTGCAAGGATATTATCACTGCTGTGAGTATACAACGATACATTTTATGGCTGGACATCTCTGACAAAATCTCTCAGGGCCAACGATGCTCCAACCGCGAGTGTCTGGGTCGGCTCCACGACACATGCGTGCGCAACTTTTTCCGCATGCAGCAAGCCGAGCGCTGTCCCGTGTGCAAGATTGAGTGGCCGGGCGACAAGTTCGTTGGTGAGAGAGCCATCACCACCTCGGAGCGGTATATGCAGGGCAGAAGACGGAGTCAGAGTCAGAATACGCAGGCTGCCAATCAGCAGAATGATTCCGAGGACGAGGATGGCGATAGCTGAGCGGCAAGAAAAAGATGAACGATGAAATTGAAGCTATTGCATATAGATCCCTCGAGGATATCCGCCTGCGAATGCCAGGGCTAGATAGAACCAGACCGGATAGTATGGCGCCAGCCAGCAGTCACAGCGTTCAGTCCGTGACGACAATGCAGACAGTCCGTCGTAGTCTGCATACACCGAGTCGATATTGAGGGGCGGCTGAATGATTCCAGTAGACAAACAGCCATGTACTATATTCTATTCTATTGCTACAAGTCAAGATATGCTCGTAATGCTTGTATCCATAGATTAAAGTATGTAGTTTGCCGTGAGCAGGCGTGTTATGCGCACACCACAATGATTTTTTTTTACTTATTTATTTTTTTTTCCCTTAAATCCGAGGACGAACATTTCATCAGCAGTTATTTAAGATTCGTTGATAAGTACAACTCTATCGCAGCTGTTTTCCAGGCTTTCCATACTATCTCGCCGAGTGGAGAGACATGCGGCTGCGCATTATCCGCGATAACAGCAGATAACTCCAGACTGTGCTGAATATCGTTCCAGAAAAGAAGGGGGGAAAAAAAAAATTAAGCCTGCCTCGAGCTCGGTTCTCTATTATCCTATCTTGCTCAGCCATGGAGATAGCTCATGGATATCAAAGTAGCTGTATAAAGACCTCCACTCTACGCCTTCTCTTCCTCGCAACTCAACTTGGCCCAGTCGTAACAACTTTGATACTCCTTTCAACATGAGCGAAAAGATCGTGGACGAAACAGAGACTAAAAGTGTCGTCGTGTCTCAGACAGCTGAAAGCGACGAGACTGCCTGGCAGGCAATCCGAGCCCAGCCAAAAGTCTTTGCGTGGTGCGTGTATGCCATTTTCGTGACGTTTCTCAACAGCTTCGACTACAATGCTGCGGGATCGGTCATTTCGATTCCAGAATTTCGAAAGGACTTTGGCTATCTGTATGAAGGAGAATGGACTTTGGAGGCAGACTGGCAATCGGCTTTCTCTGGTGGTGCTTTGGCAACGTGAGTATAGATATCATTTCCTCGGCCAACAACCAGTTTTGCTCGTTTCTGACACACACTTACACCTACACTCTCGCCTTTTCAGGTCTATCATCGCTTCCATGCTCATAGGCTCTGTCGCTGACAGAATCGGACGACGGCCTTCGTTCATTGGGGCATTCGCGTTCATCTTCGCCGCCATTACCTGCGAATTTGTCGCCACCTCCAACGCGGTTTTTTGCGTCGGCAAGCTTCTCTCCGGCGTTGGCCTTGGAATCTGTGCCACCATCACCATGACTTACGTCGGTGAAATTGCGCCTTTTCGGTTGCGAGGCATGCTCACAGCTGCGTGTGCCGTGGCCTTCAACGTTGCACCGCTTATCTCCAGCGTGATCATCAAAGGTACGGGCAATTATACGAATCGATGGGCCTATCGAGCTGTTTTCACGGCCCAGTACGGCTTCACCGGAATCGGGTTCTTGCTGGTCCCATTTATCCCTGAATCGCCATGGTATTACATGAATCTGGGCAAGACCGAACACGCAAGGAAAACTCTGGCCCGGCTGGGGTATTCTCCTGCGGATACTGAGAAGAAGATCTCCGATTTGGCTGTCTCGATTGAAGAAAGTCGAAGACTGGCCGATGGAGCAACCTATTTTGAATGTCTTCGAAAGACGAATCTGCTCCGAACCCTCTCTGCAGCGGCCCCAATGATCTTTCAATCTCTGTGTGGAATCCTTTTCGTCAATGGCTACCTCACTTACTACGCCGAACTCTCGGGCTTCTCGACCAGTCTAAGCTACGACATCAGCATTATCTACGCCGTCCTCTCCATCCTGGGCAACTTCATTGCTATCGGTTGTATCGACAAGGTTGGACGTCGGAACTTGACAGTCTACGGCATCATGTCTTTAACCGCTCTGCTCTTCGTCACTGGAGGCATTGCCTGCATCGGAAGCGTCCCGGCTATCAAAGCCACGGTCATTCTTTTCCTCGTGTATAGTCTGATTTACAATGCAAGCCTTGGTACAACCGGCTACGCGGTCCTGACAGAACTTCCAACCGCTCGCCTCCGTTCCAAGACAGTGTCACTTGGATTTTCATTCCAGTATTGTCTCTATGTAAGTTTTGTTTTCCCCTGTCAATAAGCAGAATGGAGTCTATACTGACTGACCACAGACCATGTGGGCCTTTGTCCTTCCATATCTATTCAACCCGAACGAGGCAAACCTGAAGGCCAAGGTCGCGTTCATCTTTGGTGCTTTCTCTCTTCTTGGATGCATCTGGACTTGGTTTTTCCTGCCTGAGATCGCAGGTCGGACGTATTACGACATCGACCAAATGTATCACCTGAAAGTCTCTCCGAGAGCTTTCAAGTCCTACGAGTTCGAGCCAGAAGGCCAACCTGTCTCTCCATAAAGAAAGCATAGGAGCTAGTTTATGCTCAAGTTCTGTCTTTCATCAATTAGTTAATAATTTATCAATGAATATTTCAATGGATATATATAATTAGTGCTTGAATTCCATAGTTGCTCTTCTCGCCAGAGGCAGTTTCCCATCTAGCAACTCTGCAACAAAATCATCTAATAGCCATGACGAGATAGGTAACTTGCAAGTTAGATTACAATGCAGCAATAACTATTACGTAGTAAGAAGAATTGATCGCATTTCAAGAATCTACATTGAATTCACAAACGAGCTAATTACACACAAGACTATCTATCCCCGGGCACCTAGGAACTATTTAGTAGCTACACCAGTCTTCTCAAATTCGGCGATCGTTTCACCCAGAGGCTTGAATGCCTCGATCAGAGTGGCCGGGGCTTTTCCATCTGCCCGTTCCTCATAATGCTTGGGCACGTCGTCCACTACCAGGCGCAACAAGTCGGGGCGAGAGTAATGACCAACGGGGTCTGCCAGAGTTTTGGCTTTGTCGATTTCATCCAGATCGATATCGCAGTATACAAGTCCATCAAAGGTTGGGTCTGAATCTGGGGTGATCTTTTTCCCATCAGGAGCAAAAACACCTGCAAGACCACCACCTCCGCCTCCGACAGCAAATGACTTGCCGGTAGCAGAATGTCCCTCAGTGTTCTTCTTCAGACCCTCGGCCGAGATACACTGGTTTGTCACTAGAACGAACGCGCCGCCCTCAATGGCATACATCCGGCTGGCGGTGATCTCGTTTGCTTCGCTGCACACTGACCATGGCTCTTCGCCCGTAGCCTCGCCGTTATATGGCCACGCGGCGATGTGGACTTGTTCATTCTGTGCATAGGTGTGGTATTTCAAAAGCGGCTGAAGATGCTCCCAGCAGTTCAGCATGCCAATCTTCCCCAGCTTCGTGTCGACAACGGTTTTCAGGGAGTCGCCAGTCGAGTCGCCAAACAGGGTCCGCTCGCAATGGGTCGGCTTAGTTTTCCGACGGTGAAGTAGCACGTCTCCCTTGTCGTCAATCAGCACCTGGGACAGATACAGACTGCTCGCCACACGCTCGCTGAAACCAAGGACAACGTGTATCTTGTTGGCAGCAGCGGCTTTGCGAATCCGGAGCATCTCAGGACCATGCGCCGTCATGCTGTTCTTCATGTATTTTTGGACCAGAGGGATGTTTTCGCTGTAGGTGCCACCCCAAAGAAAGTTGGGGTATCCTGGAATCCATACTTCTGAGAAGGCAATCAGAAGCGCGCCGTTGTTGGCTGCTTCTTCAATGAGTTCAATGGTGCGCTTGACTGCTCCCTCCAGGTCGAACCACACCGGTTCGGCCTGAGAGGTTGCAATCTTGTATTGGCGAATAGACATTGCTTTTACCTTGAGATGGGCGCAAAGGAAAAAAAAAAACAAACGTTGGTGATTGTTGATCTGAACTTACTTCACGTCGGAACAAGGGTTCTTAAAACTCTCCAGCCTCCTTCACTCGCTTGAACATTATCCGTCAATCAGCCGTACGAAACGAGATAATGACAAATAGCTTGATCCATCTGTTTATGGCGAACACGGATGTCCATTATCCTATCGAGAGAATTCCTCAGTTGTACGTAGGTAGCTGGCCGAGAAACTTCCCCTTCGGGTAGCCATTATCCTATCGAGCTAATCCAGCATAATCGCGGGCCCACCATGTTAAATCGACAAGCGATACTTCATAATAACTAAATAAAGAGGAGTAACCTATTGTAGCTTCAAAGGCATACTGTGAGCCCAGTGATCGTCGCGATAACCATGCATGGAAGTAGATTTTCTGCACAAACCTCTGCAATGTGTGGGGATAAAGTCTAAAAGCTTGTTGGGCTGGTAGATAAAAGGATACATAATGAATTTGAATCTTCAACATTAATACATATCGACTTTACAGCATTTGTAGAACTGCAGCGACTTGACTTCTCCGGCATCACAACAGCAATAGCTGAAACCAAGTCCCCTGGAAGACGCCTTACAACTTTTTATTTTCAATGTCCTGGTATGTCAACCTCGAGGTTAGGATGCTAAATTTGCTACAATCTTGCATAGATTAGTCTCTTTGCTACCATGGGCAGTCTTACCTACGGCTACTGTACTAGCATCATTACTACTACGCTTGGACAATCTAGCTTCTTGTCCTATATCGGTCTTGACACTGCACCGAATGCTACACAGCTCATCGGTGCGATCAATGGATTATACCAAGCTGGCAGTCTCCCTGGGGCCATCTTTGTTGGCGTGTTGGGTGACTGGCTAGGCCGTAAATATGCCATGTTTTCTGGCGCCTGCTTGTGTCTATAGTCGGCGGAGCAATCGAGACAGGATCCGTACATATTGCCATATTCATAGTGACTTGATTATTAACAAGGGTTCAGTATTGGCAAGTATCTTGTTTTAACTGAATAATAAAAACATCTGCTGACTGAATTCCTCCTAGGAGCTCTTGTGACGTTGACAACCTTGTGGCAGAGTGAGATGGCACCTCCAGAAACCCGCGGACTGTTAGTCGGGCTGCATGGTTCGGTTTGTTCCTGCTATCCCTTCGGAATTCTATGTTTCCTAACCATTCTCCTATACGTGTTTTCATTCTTATCGGCCACACAATCGCCCAGCCGGGTCGGAGTTGGGTTCTACCATGTCAACGCTAATAGAGCCCTTTCTTTGTGATTGAAAGATCTCGCTATCGTGACGAAGATTCATAGCGAAAAGCTTGCGGAAAAGAAATTCAGGCTGATGTCTCAGCAGATCGAGCTTGAGAAGACTCTTCCTAGCTCTTGGGCTAGTATATTCACCATCCCATCCTACCGGAAAAGAGCCCTTATTGGATTCACTTGCATGCTTTTTTTTTTGGCCAGGGGTACCGGAATTCAGGTCATTAATGGTTATTTCTTCAAATCGGGGAGTCAGGAATGATACTGTCTCGGTATATTAGGTAGTGAATAGATGAAGTTGGAGATGTATCTATTCAGTTGAAGCAAAACTAATAAATCAGTCTCGCTCCAGAGAACCATTATCATGTATTAGCGCGCAAAGATGGACACTATAATGCAAATCCAGATGTCAAATATTTAGCGGCGAACTAGTGGCGATGGCTCCCCGGCACTCTCCGGTTCGGGATACGCACATCATGCGCACATACGAGACTCCTAGTCTCCGAGTGCATTGGTACTAGTGTCAGATTTCAACTTAGATTCAATGATTATATAGCACATGGCATTGGTGATGTATATCTAGTATTCAGTTGGAGAACGTCGAAGCAAAAGCAGCTCTTGCCGGCTTTCCTGTAAAGTGGTTTTTGCAAGATCGCAGGCGCAAAAACTGTTGCATACAGTATCAGCTGCCATGCAACAGCAAAAACAGCAACAACCTCCTAGGCAGCGTGTCTCTCTAGCTTGCACGACATGTCGAGCAAAAAGAACCAGAGTAAGCGTTCTCCAAGTCGATCCCCCATTTGTCTACCTGGGCACTGAACTCTGTCAAAGTGCGATGGTCAGCTTCCAGAATGCGGTACCTGTCTCCGAACAGGAAGACAATGCGAGTATGTGCATGATGCGGAACGCAGAAAGTAAGTGCAGATCGTCAGACTTTAGGAAAGTTGGTTTGGTCCTGATCGCGAATGTAGGCCACCAAGTAAACGATATATAGAAGCCCTCCATTCACGCATTGAAACCCTAGAACGCCAGCTGCAGCAATATCATCAAGCAACTGTCGATGGGAAAATGAAAATTATCAATCCTTCGACGCTGGCTTCTCCAATTTCATCACTCAACCGACCAAAGTACGATGCTGAATTAATTCCCGATGACGATGAACCTGGCGTCAGTCCAGAGAACCAAAGGGACCCAGTTGACGACTTGACTGACATCTATGGCCGCCTCGACGTTGCAGAAGATGGCCATTTGCGTTACTTTGGTGCCTCAAGCTACTTCAACATGTTGAAACGCCCCCAATACGACGGTAGCACGGCAAAGCCCCATGTTCCTTCTCTCAGTTCTACAGCGTTCCAAGCACATATGCCTACGAGAATCGACCTTCCACACGAGGTGCAGAATCATCTGCTGGACCTCTACTGGAAATGGCAGAATCCATGGCAATATATCGTCCACAAAGACGCTTTTTGCCGAGCCTTGGAACAAGGCCATCATGACGAGTACTGTACTCCGCTGCTACTTCACTCGGTTCTTGCTTTGGCGGCTCGATACTCAGACGACATTTCTCTTCGGACAGATCCTTTGGATGCAAACACGGCGGGAGATGCGCTACAACGGACGGCAAAATTCATATTACAGTCGGAAGTCGAGCACCCGACAGTATCGACGGTTGTATCTTTGGCCATTTTGGCCCTACGCGAGATGTCCACTAATAAAGAAGCAATCGGCTGGACGTATATAGGTGAGATGACAATTCGAAGCTAATGCGGAAAGTACTTCTTCTAACGATGCTTGAATAAAAGGAATCGCAGTTCGCATCGCATACAATCTCGGACTCAATCTCGATTGCACACCATGGCTTAATAAGAATCTAATTAGCGAGGAGGAAGCAGAGATACGCAAAATAGCCTGGTGGGGTTGTTATCTGCTTGACAAGTATGTACTGGCCGTCCCCCTTACCCAACAGACGTCTGGCTGACAATCTCTCGCAGACTTTTCAACATAGGTCTTGGAAGACCGGGCATGATTAAAGAATGGGATATTACTGCCCTGAGGCCGTCGCTCCTTCGAAGTGTAGAGTTCTCTCCTTGGGAAATCCATGAAGAGGGGCTGAACATCTCCATACCAATGTCGAGGAGTATAAGCAATATGCACTACATGTGCGAAATCTTTCGGATTGTTTCCAACGCTCTAGATCAAATGTCAGCTCTGAACCTAGACTTTTATCGATGAAAGCCCGCTAATGGCCTGTCTAGCTACGCTCCCAATAGTCATCTCAGCCTCGTTGAGAAGGAAAATCTAGCCAGCAAAACTCACCTCGAATTGACGACTCTTTATAATAATCTTCCCAGTTTCTTGAAACTACCAAGCTCAGCCAAAACGCCTCGTCCAGCTCATAGCTATTCACTTCAGTGTGTTTCCCTTTCACCGAATAACTAAGATTGTATCTGCTAATCATCACCATTCCGTAGTCTTCAATACCATACAGTTACAATTCTGCTACATCGTCCATTCTTACGCAGACGTGAACAATCTACCCTTTCTGACCTAGTGTCATTGACCGATCTAACGCATAACCAAATCTGTACAGCTTCTGCGGAAGCTATCTCCTCGGTATTGAGGGCCTACAGAACCCACTACACGCTTGTAAGCCAATCTTATAATCCTCTGCAACAACCGATCGATAAAGCTTGCTAATTAGAACGTAGAGACGAATTCCCATCTCCACAGTCCACGCTGTCGGTACCGGGTCCGTGGTGCACCTCTTAGATGCCACTTCTCAAGACCCCATTATGAGCCGGACTGCAATCAGACTGTTGAAGTTCAACCTGACTTGTCTCAAGGAAATGAGCACAGCATGGACATGGGGTCTTCGAGCAATCAGATCACTACAGATTCTGGCGGAAGGATGGGCGGTGAATGAGCTTCTTCACGCACAGGGTGACAGGCCATCTGCAACGCAGAATACTTTAGACTCGAACCTGGCTAGAGGAAGTAATCAGTCGAACAGTGCGGCGAGCCCTTTGGACAGTCACCTTCAGAATATCGACTGGTTACTAGATTTTGACAGCGGGCTTGACCACGAGCCTACGGACATATATGACTCCAATAATGGGTTTTGGGCTATGATCCCTTAGACGTGTGAAGCTATTCTTATAATAACGAGTGCTTTATTTACAATGCCAGCAACTAGCAGAACAATTGTCGAGAATAACCTTGTTAGGGCTGAGCAGCAAGGAGAGAGAAGTAAACCTAAAGCTATTATAAAAACCATCTTAATTGCTATGCTAAGATAGGACTAAATTATGTCAATATAGCCATTATATCAGTCAGCAAGCAATACTCAGCCGGTTAGTTTATCACAGTCCATATAAACTGAGTCAACTGCTCCGAGTATAATCTATGATACATTTCATTCCATTCTGTTCCATTTAATTTGCCGTGTGGAAATCTGTATCCATAACTAGGTATTCCGCAGGTCTAAGCGAGATCCTAGATAATCCGTACTATGCTATACTCTGATCAGTATCCACACGCTGCAGTGCTGCCCAAGTCGCAGGCGTTAACGGCACCATGTTTTTCACTGAGTGACGTCTGTGGAATAGGTGCTCAGACCAAACTGACCTTCCTCTTAGGGCAAAGAACGCAATTGATCGCCGAGCTTTGACAGCGCTGGCTTACGCGGTGGTGCTAGAATTTTCCGGATTCGGCGTTTTGTGGCGTCCCCCGCAAAATGCACGCTGCACGTTTTGTGTTTATTTACTATATTGTCTTGCCGTTTGCGGTTGCGCTGTTGAGGAGAAGATAAAAAAAGATTCTAAAGCCATATAAGTATGAATATTTCATACTCACCATTTGCTATTCAATCAATTGATTCATGTAGCTCAGTGTCAAGAATTCCAGTCGCATTGATATCCGGGGCTGTGGAGTTGTGGGGAAGCTCTTAGACTAGTGTGTACAACTGTGTAGAGCTAGCACGAAGCCTAGCGAGACCAAGATTTCGTCCGGCTTTTAGTATTTATATTCCTGATTTGCAGCTTCATCTGGCAATCTGCTGGTCTTCGGTGGTTGGCTGCACGCGTTACAGATCTGACGTCTTGGCCTGCATATAGTATATCGGTTCTTATTCTGCTGGGCGATCAATGTATAGCTCCAAGGTATGTTATCTTCGTTTTCTAAGATGGAAAAAGAAAGAAAAAAGAAAAAAGAAAAAAAAAAACACAAGGCTCATACATGTACAGTCGCTCCAAGGCCTGTTGTGCTTTCTGCCTCTTGCCTCGGGCCTCCCTCTCCAAGACAGAGTCGATCAAGTACTCAGAGCCTATGGTGTGAACAGCGCCCTAGAAGCAGGCGACACTCACCACAACAAATACATCTACCAAACCCGATTCTCTGGCGTCACCTGGGACCAGCAAAACTGGCGTCTGCAAAGCAACGTGCTGGATCAGGGCCACTATGCCTCTCGCGGCTCTATAGCGAATGGGTACATTGGCCTCAACGTTGCCGGAGCCGGACCATTTTTCGAGCTCGATACGCCTGTGAATGGTGACGTGATTAGCGGCTGGCCCTTGTTCTCGCGGAGACAGACCTTTGCCGGATTGTCCGGTTTCTATGACGTGCAGGCCACCACGAATGGGTCCAATTACCCCTGGTTGGGAGAGTATGGTTACGATAGTGTGATCAGTGGTGTTCCGCACTGGGGTGGCTTGGTCCTTGATCTTGGAAATGGCGAGTATCTTGATGCGACTGTTGATAACTTAACAATCTCAGACTACATGACAACATTCGACTACAAGGCTGGTGTTTTGTCCTGGGACTATACATGGACACCCAAGAGCAAAAACAGCTCCTTCGGGGTCAACTACAAGATCTTTGCCAATAAACTCGACATCAACCAGGCCGTGGTCCAGCTGAGTATTACTCCGTCCGCAAATGGCACCGCCACTGTCACCAACGTTATCGACGGATATGCTGCTGTTCGCACGGATTTTGTCACCTCTGGCAATGATAGCGATGCCATCTTCACCGCCGTCAAGCCAATCGGTGTCAACAACGTGACTGCCTGGATCTACGCAGTACTAGGTGGAGACGAGGCTTTTGACTTCTCTTCGGCAGCGCTTGTCAGCAACAAGCCTTACATTAACCAGAACGAGTCATCTATTGCGCAAGCAGTGAACGTAAAGTTTACTGCCGGCACCACAGTCACCATCACCAAGTTTGTCGGTGCTGCGTCCACGGATGCGTTTCCTGATCCTCAGAAAACCGCCAAAGATGCTGCTTTAAATGCCCGAATCAGGGGCTTCGATGATCTCCTGCATTCTCATATTTCCGAATGGGCTCAGATTATGCCAGACGATTCCGTGGATGACTTTACTTGTGCTGATGGAACTCTGCCTGATGAGATTTTCATAATTGAAACTGCAGTCATGGCAGTAGTAAACCCGTACTATCTTCTACAAAATACTGTGGGTGAAAATGCTCTCCGCCGTGTGAACGACGCGCCGGTGAACATCTGGAGTATTCCCGTTGGCGGCCTTACTTCGGACTCCTACGCTGGTCAGATATTCTGGGATGCAGATCTCTGGATGCAGCCTGGCCTGGTAGCTGCGTTCCCCGAGTCAGCTAAACGTATAAGCAACTACCGAGTGGCAAAATATCCACAGGCCCTTTCCAATATTGAGACCTCATTTGCAGGATCTCAAAATAGAACTACCTTCTCTTCAGACGCTGCAATTTACTCCTGGACTGCCGGACGGTATGGTAACTGCACTGCTACAGGCCCATGCTGGGACTACGAGTATCACCTGAATGGCGATATTGGCATTTCACTGGTCAACCAATGGGTTGCCAGCGGCGATACTGAGGATTTTCGGAATACCCTTTTCCCAATTTACAATTCGGTTGCTACATTGTATGCTGATCTGTTGAAAAAGAACGGAAGCCACTGGACTTTGACAAACATGACTGATCCTGACGAGTATGCCAATAACGTCAATGCTGGTGGATATACCATGACTCTGATTGCTCAGACGTTGTTGAATGCCAACGCATTCCGGAACCAGTTCGGATTAGACCAGAATTCTACATGGACTGAGATGGCCGACAACGTTCTCGTCATTCGGGAGAATGACGTGACTTTGGAGTATACTACCATGAACAACAGCGTAGCTGTCAAGCAGGCTGATGTGGTCTTGTCAACGTTTCCGTTGGACTATACGCGGAACTACACTAGCAACGAGGCGCTCAATGACCTGGACTATGTTGAATTCCTCTCTAATCTATCACCTGGCTTGAATTGACTAACAAAAATTTTAGTACGCCCTCAAACAATCCCCCGACGGACCTGGCATGACCTACGCCATCTTCTCAATTGTCGCCGGCGAAATCTCAACATCCGGCTGCTCCGCGTATACCTACGCGCAGTACTCGTACGATCCATACATTCGAGCCCCCTTCTTCCAGTTCTCCGAGCAGTTAGATGACGACTACAGCACCAATGGTGGCACACACCCGGCCTTCCCTTTCCTCACCGGCCATGGAGGCGCCAACCAAGTCGTTCTATATGGCTACCTCGGTCTCCGCCTCTTGCCAGACAACATCCTTCACATCGATCCTAGTCTGCCCCCTCAAATCCCCAACCTAAAGTACCGCACTTTCTACTGGCGTGGATGGCCCATCCAAGCAGGCTCAAACTACACGCACACCACCATCCGTCGCGCAACCACCGTCGCACCACTATCCACAGCCGACCAGACATATACCAATACCAGCATAACCCTGCAAGTTGGCCAGAGCAATAACGGAAGCACCTACTCCTTGCGCGCCGACGGATCACAGCTGGTAATCACCAATCGCCAAATCGGGTCCGTGAAGACTATTGCTGGAAACATCGCCCAATGCCAACCCGTGCAGTCCCCCGACAGATACCAGCCAGGCCAATATCCACTTTCAGTAGTTGACGGCGCAGCGTCGACGAAATGGCAGCCAAAGTTTGCTGCTAATGTCAGCTCTGTAACTGTCGCACTGGATCCATCTTCTCCTTTAACATACAAATCTGGAGATAGTCGCAACGCTACCGCCATATCAGGATTCTACTTCAACTGGGCACAAGCTCCTCCAACCAATATCACAGTTGTCCTACACAATACCCCCATCGCAAATCTGAATGCATCGTCCTTATCTAACACGACAACGGAGACAATGACAACAACGGCCTTGGATATAGCAATATCAAAGCCCTACTCTGCCGCAAGCAACAACGATGACATCATCGCCCTGTCCTCCGGTAACACGACGAATTACACGTTTCCGTCTCCTGTGCCCGTACCGAGGTTCGCCACATTGTTTATCCAGGGGAATCAGGGCTTGAATAAGACGGATCTCAAGTATGGGAATGGTACGGGTGCAACGGTGGCAGAGTGGGCGATTCTGACTGTTTAGTTTTACCTGGCCTAGGTATGTGTGCTGGTGTGGGTGTCTGTAATGAGTAAGATGAACATCTTGATAAATGGAATTCCAATAAGTAATAGCTTGTACTTTTCGGATATGGTAGATGTAATAGATGGCCTTGAACATCTATGAGGCATGACTAGCTGTAGCTATAGTTACGCGTCGATGAGAAAATTGCCTAATGTGGACATAGTTACCCATTTAGGCAAGTTATGGGTTGATATGGGTAGTTGTTTGTCAAACGATCAGCGACTGTCACTTCCTAAATCACTTTTTGAAGGGCTACTACTCGGACAAATTAACAGCGATGGCTGATATGTATGCATTTACCCCGCACCTTACATATGATTTGTGATAATTCGATATGTGCAGACTGGGGATTGATTGTATTCGTGGATAAATACTGACTGCATATCCAAGTGGCTCCACTGAGTCAGGAAATATGCATTATAAAAGAGATCTTGATTCCGTATTCCGCTATCACAATGAATGTTCAATCGCACATATACCGTCAAAATGAAGTTTCTCATGCACGTCTTTGTTGCTTCGTTAGCAACAGTATTATTGACACTAGCATGCACGACCGATGATGATTGCAGTCTCAATGGTACCTGTCAGCAAGGTACATGCCTCTGTGATCCAGGCTGGGTTGCATCTGACTGCGGCCGTCTTGATCTCCGACCTGCAACCCGGTATACCGGCTACAATCGCACTGCCGAGGGTATTTCCTCCTGGGGAGCAACGGTTGTGCAAGATCCCAGTGACTCTAGAATATTTCACTTGTTCATGGCACAGATCGCCCATAACTGTTCGCTGAATTACTGGACTCCCTATAGCACAGTCGTACGGGCAACGTCAACATCTGGTCCTGAGGGCCCCTATCAGTTCGCTGGAGAGGTTGTGGGAACATTTGCTCATAACCCCACTGTTATTTACAGCGAGGCAGATGGGCTGTACATTTTGATCCATATTGGATGTCCGGTCACAGTGTCAGCTGGTTGCGGATCATCAGAGGCTTTTAGTTGCGGCCCAGGCAATACAAATAATGGAGAAAGCGGGATAAGCGCGTGGTCATCGCCAGATCTGGAAAACTGGGATTTTCGTGGGCAAGTAATGCCTGGGAATGTTAACGGTACCTGGGATTCTGACACCACCAACCCGTCGGTGTTCCCTCTGTGGTCTGCCAACGATCGTACGCATGAGATACTCATGGCATATCGTGGCTGCATCTGGAATTGTGGCGATGGTCTCGAGCAGATTGGTGTAGCAGTGGCTGCTAGCTTCCCTGGCCCCTATATTCGCGCGCATGATCACCCAATTTTCCCAGATAATACCGAAGATCCCTTTGTCTGGAGCGACAAACGAGGAAACTTCCATATGCTCGTGCACTCACTCGACTCTGCTGTCAATGGAGATGGCTCTGGGCCTAATGTTGGACGTCATGCGTACGCACGCAGTTGGGATGGACAATGGACTTATAATAATGAGACGCTGGCGTACGGCACGTATGTCACGTTCAGTGATGGCCTGTCGACTAATTACTCGCGGAGGGAGCGGCCACAGTTGTATTTTAGCGACGACGGACAGATGACGCCGCTGTTTTTGAGCAATGGCGTGCAGGAGGTGAATACGTCGCAAAGCTATACGCTTGTTCAGCCTGTTGGAGACGGAGCGAGATTGTATGTTGAGTCTTTAGGATTGTAGAGTAGAATTTTAGTGAACGAATGAATCGGGGCTCAGAGAGAAGGCGCACCTCCCCTTTTCGGCGCACCTTCCTCTTCCTTCCTCCTTCCGGTTTTCCTTCCCATTTATCCTTCAGTCAAACCTCACTCTTCTCTTTCACCATGCCCGTTTCTTGTCTCCAAGCAATAATCCATCCACCTCTCTGGTCTACCAGAATTTCTCCCTTGACAGTTGGAATCACTCACATCTTGCTCAGAATGTCCCTCGACCCACGAGTTTCACGTTTCTCCGCTGATTCGGGGTCCTCCTACGAAAAACCCCAGCAGCGAATCCTCCCCACGCAGCAGGAGAATCCCCAGCCAAATTCGTCCAATCTGCGCAAGATACTTCATTCTATGGCAAGACCAGCGCCTCATACTGAGTCAGATATTCCAGATCCAAGCGACGAGAACGATGTTCGTGCCATGGGATGCTACGCTGACTACATCTGTGCATACAATGAGTGGAAAGATTGGTTAGCGAAACTCTCTGATTCAGAAGACAAGTTAGAGAGCATTTCCCTTCAGCTCGAGCATTTCGCTGGCGATGGCATGATGCAACAGAGCGTACTTATGCAATGGCGCTCTGAGCGCCTCCGCTGGCATGACCTGACACGGCTGACGTATATTGCGCTTCACAAGTGCGCGTTTCATATGACCGAATATCACAATCTCCTGACTGAGTTGTATAACCAAGCAGACGCTGAATCTGGAAGGCTAGCTCAAGAGCTCAGAGAAGCAAACAATACGGTCCAAGAGTTATCAATCAGACTACAAGCAACTGCTGGGCATGCGCATTTAAATGTTGGGGGAGTTCGTCCAGGAAGTCACGGCGATGGTGAAGTCTCAGGATTGCAAGACCATTCCAATGCATGGTCACCGAAGTAACTTATCTGGATTAGATGTGCAGTTGCCAGGGGTGGTCGACGGGCGTCAGATTCTTGGCTCTTTTGACTTAGCGTCTCAATAATATTGACTTCCTTGGCTAGTCATGGAGTTTTAGAGACGGCATTTGATTAGGAAGTGAGCTTGTTGTCGTTACTGGTTTTAAACGAGGATATTCATTTATTATTACTGATTGTATTTCACGATCGTGTGGGCTTGCTGGGACTTTGACCTACAAGAGTCCTATTTGACGACAACATATATGTCACGGAACTCGTTGTAGCCTGAGGCTCTGACACGTTCTTTGTTTGCCTTCACAAGTTAGTTCGCACGTGATGTGAAGCCTATCAGTGAAAAATTTCCCAACATCTGGTTTTTGGTCGTGTCACTGATCCATATTGCTTTCTCTGCCAGCTCTATCACTCCACTCTGCTGATTCACAATATACTAAACTTCACAAAGAGATATGTTTTGGACCAAGCTGAAGTAAGCAGTTTCAACTTCCTACCATTGATTAAGACTTACGTGGAATGAAAGATAGGTCTTCTAGTTCCTGGACCGAAAGTCACAGCAGAGCCTGCCATAGAGCCGGTACAATATATTGGACTGTGCTCGTCCATATCCTTCACCTTGACACGTTGCATTATTTGGCAATTTCAACTACTTCTGGAACATACTAATGAGGGAATCACCAGAGAGTTATTGAACGTGATATTAACCCTCACATACTTAGCCGGAATATATCCTCTATCACACATATCTAAGGTTCATGAGCAAGACCACAGACCAGAATATAGATCATTAATCAAAATGACTCCGTCATTGATCCTGATGTAAGCTGCTCATAGAATACTTTATGGAAGTCGATACATGAATAGCATACAAACTTGATATGTATGTCTTCGTATTCTTCGCTCATTGTCATATGTTCTATAGCTATGTACAAACAACCTTCTTTATACCAAAGATCTAAATATTCTATGTATGCAAGATTTCCTCCGTCGTACTGACCAAAATATCAAATGCGCGCAATAGATGCGATTCATCCGCCAATGCGCTTCCACTCACAACTCTAATAACATATATACCAGCAATAACTGAAGAAGTCAGATATACCTCTCCGCGAGAATTGATTAATTCATAGACCTGTTTGGTGAGTTCATTCGCTTTTTCGTCGACCTGTGCAATGGCATGTTTAGATCCACCTTTCTCGCCATTCGTGCCGTTGGTGACTGCCGTAGTGCTGGGGCTACTTCGTACTCGAAGCACCGTCAATCCAAAAGCAGGCTTGGTAACAATTTCGAATAGATCCGGTCGACTCCGGATTTTGTCCACGAACAAATCCCCCAGCGCGATGCCTTTGCGGATATGCGCTTTCATTCCATTGAGCCCATAGCTGCGCATGACAAACCAAATTTTCAGACTGCGGAATCGTCGGCCCAGCGAGATCTGCCAGTTGCGGTAGTCGATGACTGTGCCTTGTTCCGAGTAGGGGTTACGCAGGTAGATTGGTGTGATGTCGAGGGCGTCAGTTAGGTCGACGCGGTTGCGGACAAAGAGACAGCTTTAGAAAAGAAGTTAGCAATTAATCCCACAAAGCGCAATATAGAAAAATGAAAGACATGCCTGGCGTCAAAATTGACTAGTAGCCACTTGTGCATGTTCATATTGAAACTGTCCACTCCCTCGGCAAAATGCTGCGCAAAATGTTGATATTCATCCGCAACCAAAGCTGCGCCGGCATACGCAGCATCGATATGCACCCATATACGCCGCCAGGACTCCTTCTCATTCAAAACGGCCTTGAGCTCCGCGAACCGATCCACGGCGCACGAGCTGGTCGTGCCCATAGTAAATGTAATAAAGAAAGGAACGAGTCCATCTCGTTCCTCGATCTGTGTCAACACAGCCCGTAGTGATTCCCCCGTCATTTCTAGGTTATCCTCCAGCTTGGCAGGGACACTGCGGAACCTTGTGCCTGCAACCAAGGCAGCCTTTGCAATACTGCTGTGCGCTTGATCGCTGCTGAGAGCAACTAGCTTAACCCGGTGGGCACATATTCTGTCTTCGTATTCGGCCGAGCCATCTTTCACGCCATCAGCGAGGGTCAATTCGCGTGCGCGCCGCTCGCGCGCCGCTATTAACATGGTTGCGACTGACTCGCTTGCGGTGCCTTGAATAACACCACCACCACGATTCGCGGAGGTGCTCTGGAAACACTCAGGTAATCCCAACGCCTTGCCAACCCAGTCCATTACAACAGTCTCAAGCTCAGTACATGCCGGCGAACAGATCCAATTGAAGGCAGGCGCGGTGAAGGCCGCGGAGTACATCTCCCCTAGTATACTGGGATATGTGACGGACGCGGGGAAAAAAGCCATGAAGTTGGGCGATTGCCAGTGTGTCAGTCCCGGCTGAATTTTGGATTCAATGTCTGCTTGGATTTCAGACCATGCTTGTGGCTCGAGCGGTGGGCTGTCGGGGATTTGGGGACGCAGATACCCCGGTTCGATGGTGGGGAGGACGCGGCGATCTGGAAGGGAGTCGAAGTGATTTATAACTTGGAGGCACAAGAAGATTAGTCCAGTGGGATATTTGGCTGACTGCAGTGCATAGTAGAGAGTACTTACTGTCGTCAATGGCTGCATGGGCCGCTGCTCTGAACTGCTCTCGATCCATTGTGCCGAAACAATGTGGGCTGATTATATATATATATATATAAGAAGAAGGACGTATAAAAGAAAGAGTGTATTCTATAGAGTCGAATGTAAGAAGGATTAGACAGGTCAATGGCCGGATATAAACATATATAGTTGAGTGCGATGCGACAAAAGATGAGCAGGGAAATAAATCCAATCAGATAAGCGCGGAATCCAGAATTGCACTCGGAAATTTCCGGTGGGGTAAATAAACTCTTGCAGCCGGAAGGGCGCGCCGCTAGTCCTTTCAGGGCATATACATGCAGTTGGTAGCCCTAATTACGAAAGGTTGCATACAGCTGAACGAAGTCGAATCAAGAAGAACAATTGTCATCGTCTAGTTATCTCGAGTTATATTCTACCTAGTCGTGAGACCCCTCTTGTTCCCTTCTATCCTGCTCATCCCTGCTATCATACCGCTCTTGGTACCACTCCTCTTCCATCTTCTTCCCACCGATGATCAGCTGCTGCATAGGCATAAACACAAACAACAGCCGACACCATTTCGTATCACTGCGATTCCTGAACGAATGCGCCGTTCCACGCTGAATGCTAACGTCTCCTTGCCGGAGCGTCCGTTTCTGGCCGCTATCCAAGACTAGATCCACCTCTCCCTCTAACACTACGCTGTAATCGACTGTCACCGTGCGATGCATGGGCGTCTCCTTGAGCGGCTGCATGTCAATCACTCGAAGCATGGTCCCGTGTCCGGGCGTCATGCCTGGCGGTGTGTGTAGGTAAGAATCGTAGACAGCGACATCGACTTCGTTGTGGCATTCCACGGGAAACGTGTCGGTTGCATATAACAAAGCGATCTCGCCGTCTTCGCCGCATGAGCGAAAAGGCGCACATTCAGGAACTTGGCTGCCCGAGAGGAATATTGCCTCGCCCTCTCGATTGTGTGTGGTGATGTAGCGGTGGACTCGAGGGTAGCCCTTGCGAAGTTGATCAACGGGCATGATGTTCTGCTATTTCCGCGCTTTTTATTGCTTAGATCAAAGTTCGTCCACGAAATTCCATATCCATAGGCCCGAAAATACATGGAGGAAAAAAAAGTTCTGGGAGAGATGTATGAATATTGCCTCTGGCCTGATGATCTCATTTCCCGCATCTGATGTTGCCTTCGAGTTATGCTTCCCGAACTCAAATCAACGGTTCGGTTTCATCATCAGCGGCGATGGATTTTTAAAACAAAGAATGAAAATCAACAACGTTAACAGAATGTAGAATCCATCCCTGCCATAGTAGGAGCAATGTCATTAAGATCGGATAATAAGTCCATCAACGCACTCGGACTACCCGCCATCATGGCACCGTTATCCAAAAATTCGGACCATAAATTCTCCAAATCACCAGTGTCACCAGCGGCGTTTGTAGAAGACACCACGTCGGTTCCTGCATCTAATGCATTATAAAGCGCAGGCGTAGCCGAAGGAACATCACCAGGTTTCTTCCGTTCACTAGTGGACTCTATCACACGCGCTGAATCTAAAATTGAACCCTGTTGCTGTAGGGCATAATGTTGCTGCTGCTGTTGATGTGAAGGGGGAGGCGATGGTGGCGGTGATTGATCGCTCGAAATTGGCACCCAGTGGCCCCGTAAGACGTCCATCATAGCATTGATCCCTTCACGCACGACCTTGGAGCTCCTCTGTGCCCTGTCAAGCATCTGACAAGCCTCTATGACCTCTTCTTTCCGCTTCTCGGCCAAGATATCATCCCAATTAAAACAGACATCCATCAATAAGATAACTGCTGCCATAAAATCGTGGTGAATAACGGTCCAGGCCAACGAAACACTTGGCGTATTTGGAAACTCTTTATCCATGATTCGTTTGATTTCTATCACACGACGCGCGCCACTCAAACACATAATATGTGAATAAGAGTACTTGGGATCGCGCGCTCCCCGGATGAAGTAACTGCGATGCAATCGACACAAACGAGAATGATATCCTTGTTGAATCATAAGACGTTGCCACGCGATTTGAGGTGAGTCCTTATAGAGTTGTGCGTATTTACGACGGTTGATACTGTCCATCCGAAAAAAATCCGGCACCTCTTTGTAGTATTGGTTCCATTTCTGATCCAAAGCCATGATTTTGCTGTATGGAACATCGATCCCTTCTAAACGCTCACGGCACGTGTAGTCAGTTATTTGCCGGCAGCACTCTGATAATTTGAGTCTGAATATAAAGTATGACATCGTGGTAGGTACATGGTCTGGCAGGGATGGTTTGCCAATTTCCTCGTCTGGAATGTTTGCAGGATAATCAACGGCCATATGAGAAGGCTGGATGAGATAACTTCCCTCTTGAGGACCACCCATGTATGATAAAAGCCTGAGATCCAAAGTCAGATCGTATATTTCTTTCTGATAGAAACGAGATATTCGACGTACCAATCGGTAGAGACGACCGACCACACCAACCTACGCTTTATCTCCAACTCTACAGGATCAAACCCGTGTTTCTTCCTGAAATCTTTGTTTTGTGCGGAATCAAGCTGAAGAAGTCCCATAATTCTACATTGATGGGCCAAAGCGCCCACGTGGAACATGGCACGGACAGAAGTATCTTGCCCATTATTGGGAAGAAACTGAGAGACTATTATAGCGGCCTGGAGGCCCTCAACGGTAGGGTAATTCATGTAATCACTCTGAGTCAAAGCCGCTGCCACAAGGGTGGTGTACTCCCGATACCCCTTCTCATCGGCCGACGTGCATTCTGATTCTCCCATATCCTGGAAATATGTAGCAGTGGCTAAGATACTGAAAAGAAGAGCGAGATGATTCAAATCTACTGCTCCTGCTCTTGTTGATGGTGATCTCTGTCCATTGTGCACGCTTTGATAGATGGCATTGATCTGGGCTTGGACCTGACTTGGAATGATTACATAGTATAGATAGCTGACATAATCCACATAGTACTTGAAGAGCATAAGCGCTTCTGTTTCGCGTGGTAAATATGCTGTCAGATTCGTCGATAAGAATGCAGAATGGGTTGTTGTTTTAAGCTTGTTCTTGACGGATGTCGGCATGGCATCGGGAATGCGCGGTCCCATCATGATCTTCTCTAGCCAATCGGCAGTCCTCTCGTGCTCAATATCTTCTTGAGAACGTAGTTGGCTTTTTTCTAGACCGTCAACCCTGGGTATCTCAAATGCTGTCACCGGCTTTGCAGTAATATTGCGGAGCGCTGACGACGAAGCAACAATTCTGTTCTCTGCCGTCGTCGGAAACGCATTCGCAACCGGCAGAGGAACATTTTGATCACTAGCTGAATTAGCATCATGATTAGCATTGGCATATAAGCATGGTATTCTTCTTGAACGACAATTGAAGCATGGCTGCTGGCGGTCGCATTTCAGTTTCTTTTTCCGACAAGTTTGGCATGAGACAGGTTCCTGTCTGGGAGCTTGCTTTCTAGCGCCCTCAGATGAGAGCCCTCTGTTCGGAGCCTTCCGTTTGGCAGACATTGCAGACGTACAACAGGTCAAGATCGCTTTTGAAAAACAGCATCGTAATCCTGCACCGGAGTATCAAGGTCCGGGAGCATAGAGAGAGGTGCTCCGAGACTATTCCGCTTGCGGGTTAGCTCTTCAGAATTCGGACAGTCCGTGGAGCATCCGTGGAGGCTTTTGATATCTCCCTGCGCGGGCTCCCCGTTCATGCTTCAGCAGCAATAGCATAGTCGAACTAAGGAAATTTTAAATTTTTAAATTTAAGATGAGTCATTTGCTATTGGCACATATAAAGCATGGAAGCTGCTGTCGAGGAAAAGAAAGGCCCGCAGTCTTCAGCTTTCTTGCTTTTCGAATAAGGTCTATTATTATACGGTCCAAGCGCAACGTGACTTTGGGCATAGACCATCATGGATGAAACGCCGTTGAAAGAAGTCTCTGAAGCACTGCCTTCAAATCTATCGGACAGCGAGCATGGCACTCTGGGGGATCCCCCGAGCGAGTTTACGTATGGCACAGACCTATCTCGACCTTGATCAACGGCATAGAAGACGTTCTTGGATTCCACTAACGCGATGGCTCTCTCACAGCACTCGGTCGACTATGGCCTTGCTTGGCTGCATGGGTGCTGTATTCTGTACTGTTGGGTTTTTAAATGCCTTTGGAGTTTTTGAAACATACTACGCTACGAATATCCTGTCGAACGAGAGCGACTCGAATATCGGATGGATTGGAGCACTTAATATTTTCCTCTTGTTCGCGGGCTCTCTCATTACAGGACGTATCTTGGACCTCTTCGGACCTGCCGTAAGTTTGCAGAGCCTGATTATGACTGTATATGAAAGAATGAAACTTTGCTGATGTGCCAAATCACATCCTAGGTCATGTTCTGGGTCGGCTCTATAATAACGGTCTTTGCCATTATGATGGTCTCACTGTGCAAGACCTTCTGGGAATTTATCCTCGCCCAGGGTATAGTTCTTGGAGTTGGAGAAACTTTGCTGTTATGCCCAGCTGTTGCGCTAGTTGGTCAGCACTTCAAGAAAAGACTTTCCATCGCTCTTGGAATAACAATCGCTGGCTCATCATTGGGAGGGGTGGTTTGGCCTGTCGTTATGCATTCCCTCCTGGATTCACCTAGCATTGGCTTTGGATGGTCCATGAGAATCGCTGGTTTCATCATGCTTCCTATCTTAGCCGTTTCGTCTATGATCGCTCGGCCCCCGATTGAAGCGAAGAATTCGACTACAGCGGCGAAACCATCAAAGCCTGCATGGGACTGGTCACTGGTCACAAAACCGGCGATGGCATTGACTGCAAGTGCATTTTTCTTCGTCTACTTCGGCATGTTCATGCCATTTTTTTACACCACGGATTACGCCCTCGCGCAAGGATTCTCGTCGAACCTGTCATTCTATACTATCTCTTTGGTCAATGGCGCTTCCCTATTCGGGCGTATACTTCCTGGGTTTGTCGCAGACAAATACGGGAGATTTAACTTGTGTATCATAATGATAACGTTCTCCGGAATTATTGCCATGTGCATGACGACTGTCACCACGGTTGCCGGCCTTGTGTTCTTTTCACTTGCTTACGGGTTTAGTTCTGGGGTTAGTATACGCAGTCTAGTTACCTGACAAGACTATATCTAACCAGCGAACTTTCGTGCAGGGCATCCTCTCTTTACAGCAAGGCTGCGCTGCAAAATTAGCCACGCCAACCACTGTCGGTACCGCAATTGGTTTCGTCATGGCCTCAACGTCACTTTCGTGAGTTACAGATCAGGCCTATAAATATTCTTTACGTATCACTCATAACTTGTCTAGAGCATTATCGTCCACACCCATAGGGGGCGCACTGATTGAGAAGTACGGATATTTGTCGTTGTCCATCTACTCTGGAGTCAGCCTGCTTCTTGGCGCTGCCATACTTACGTTGGCGAAATTGTCACAAAATCGCCAATTTTTTGCAGTAGTCTAGGCTTTGTTTTTGGTGATTTGAAGGGTATATTGATTCTTTAACTCATGGGACAAGAGTTTTCTTGCGTCTTGTCATTTTATTCGTTCCCATTGACCGATGTGTACTGATGTTTTAACTAGCGTGCATTTCAAAGGCACATAGAGATTTTATAAGGCCAGATAGTGTCACTAATACCATTTACAATCCCTACTCAGAAGGTCACTAAACCCAGAGACTTGCTTATCTCCAAATTTGCGTCGTAGATATGCTAGTATTTGTACACCTTCCCATGAATAGCTACAGCGAACGATTTTGCAGTATATGATGCAACCAAAAAATCCCAAACACCGCTAATGCAAGTAATGCCAGCAATGCGAAGAAAAATGCAACGAAGTAAAGATGCAAAGAAACGAGAAAAGCACAGAAGTCTAACATCAAAATGATCAAGCAATCCATGATCTACGTGCCTTGCCTTGCCAACACGGTAACCATTCATTCAAGGCGCTCTTAAACAGATTCCTCGAAACCTCCCCCTCATCAAATTGAGTATCAAAATCAAAACAATGCATGGCATTCTTCATCACGTACCCAAATATCTCCCTTTCCGCCGTCTCACGATTGCATTGTGGAATATCGGACCTGAACGTGACGAAGTCCGGCGCAAAGCTTTCCGTAGACAAAGGTGATAAGGTGCGCCAGGGATCGAATTCGCCACCTGACCAGTACGTATTTGAAGGCCGGATTGTCCAGCCTCCAGTTTCAACATTTGTTTCCTCTGTGGCTGGAGATGCCGGCAGTAAGCCATTATCGACAGCGTCCGGGAATTGGCGATTGCAGACCTCTTGGTTATAGGCCAGTGTCTGATAGGTAGATAGAAGGCCGTGGGTAGGATCTAGAAACATGTTGTCGGATTGGAAAAATCCCCATTGAGAACAATATTGCCACGTCCAGCTGATAGAGGCTGCATCGGTGAGTCTGCCACCCAGAGCACAAGAGTCGGAACCGGTCTCGGTATTGCATTCCGTGTCAGCATAGGAGTTTATTAACGGAATCAATTGAGGCCATGATGCTAGCCTTTCGGCCACAGCTCGATTTCCGATATAAGGAGCCCAACCGCTCGTTGGGGTCGGTGTAGCTTGCATCGGTATTGGTTTATCCATCAGGTCTTCCACTTGATTTTCTGGGACAAAGACTCTGTGTCTACCGAGAATTCTGGAGATAGGCTTCTCGGCACTTCTTTTTGTAGTAGTTGCTGTCGTCGTTGCTATACTTGCAGCCCTTGTTGAGGTTGGCTGGGCTTCCATCCAGTCACATAACGAGCCCAGGCCGATGTCTCCTCCGTCCATCCCGTACGACTGGAAGGTGCCATATATATAGGCTAAAGCGGAGGTAAAATCACCATCAGAGTTGACCTCTCCTCCCTCTCCGAGAAACAACTTCTTCACGTCATCGCTTGCGGAGCCGTTCAGTGCCAATTGCGAATCAACATAGCCCATAGCTACATGCAAATCATTTGCACAACCTTCATACCCGTTGGCAACCATTCCGCGATATACCTGCTCGAAATAGATACTCATATCAACATGCGCTTGCACGGGTGCCGAGGATGCATAAGCTGCGTAGATAGTATCAGGGTACTCATTGCGTGTGAATGCAGCTCTCATGCCAGAATACGACCCACCGATCATGATCCATGGTGTCGCCTTGGGAGATAAATCCTCGGAGGGGAACTCTGATCGACTGAAATTTGTGGCAAAGTATGGGATATCGGCTATCGCTTGGGCATGAGTCAAGTATTGGAAATTTTCCGCTGGTGTATCTGCATTTATAGAGCCCATTGGTAGAGAATCTCCATAGTACCTGTAGCCAGAGAGTTAGTCAAGTTCAAAATTAATGGATATAATTAAGAGGAGACAAACCTATGTTCCCAAACAATACCAATGCCTCCAAACTCTTCCAAAAAGCTCCTAAAAAACGACGACTGACCTAACATACCCTGCGCTGAGCTATATGCTGAAGACTCGCCGACATCATAAACAAAAACGGGGCCACCGGAGCGATAATAATTGGTTGACACCCAATACCTATTACGATATGTGCCCAGGGTGTGATTGTTATGATCGATTGGGATCTATGATTGTTAGAAAACTTTGCACTCTACACGGAGAAAAATAGCACATATATCATACATCAACATATTCAGTTGGTATAGACCTTGAAGAAGATGTATCAACCATTTTGCGAAAATTCACAGGGTCCAATAGCACGGCGTCGGCACTTAGCCCTAACGAAGCCGCTAAATGTAGGTCGCGGGTTGTGGGAGTGTTGACGAAGCCAATGCATGATGCTTGTGGCACCAGAAGACTCGTTAGATATGTATAAGAGAGAAATGTATTGCGAAGTGATAGCTTCATTGTGAATGGTCTGATAAATATATCTAGGTACACCTATGTATCATTGGTGCGTAGATACTACGGTGCAGACCCGGGGGAAACGAGCAAGAATTTCATCTATCATAACATTGTAAGTGAGAAATGAAACTGATATTTATTTACTCCTGATAACAAGACTTGTATCTAAGGTATACACATAGTGCTGTATGCGGAAATCAAGATATCACAACATGTGTGACAATATTGATCGATATTACCGTGAACGTCCAACCTTCCGGATTAGGTAAAAACCCTAAGCCCCGGCCCTATCTCTAGATCTAGATAACCCTTTAGACAGCGTGAACATAATATATCGATAAGCCACTGCTGTCTTCTGAATAGTTTGTCCACTATGTCTAGTTTGCTCGCTTTGTTTGATTTGCTTTTTTGTGGAATGTCGGCGAAGTTGATTGGAATGTTCCTAGGTAAGGGGTAGTATGTGTGGCTAATATGTGGCTCCCACGGCTGTCTTGACTACTCAGATATACAGTATCAGAGTCCGGATATCATACAGAGTGATTGAAAATACCATTTGCAAGCGTACAGAGCTCAAGCCAATGCGGATGGCATAGTCTACAAACCGTCTACTACGTGCGTACACCAGCCACCTATTTTATGTATATTAACAATATACCGTATGGCTGGTGAAAATGTGCTTCGATGGTTAATAGGGAGGTGAATGGCTTTTGCTGATAGATACAAGGGTTGTGTGTAGCAAACATATACAGTTATGTCAACACTAGTAGAATTCGATGCTATTGTCCTATTTTATACCTATGTCATTATAGACGCCTGACATCTATTAATGTGTGTTAGGCAGGTAAAAGTAAAACCCCGTAAGTTTAACTATCTCTTGAATATTTAGTCAGGGTACGACAACAATATATACCAGAAATCTGCTACACCTTAGGACTACCTTGTTATCTCCCTCCGTAATGCTCAGAGTTCCCACGTTCTAAAAGAATTCCAGGCCCTGATATATAACGATCCTGTTGATTTGGCATTCTCACGTAGGGTTGGGGAGACCTGCCACTGTACCCAGGAATGTGAATACATATGGAAGGCTGGTCTATTGGATGGTAGCTCATCCGGAATGTGCATCAAGCTCCGAAACGAGGGACATAGGTAGATACGAGATGATAGACAGAAAACTAACATAAACACAATACAAAACTTTCTATTTCAACATAATTGGTTATCTATATTCCCCGTTTATGCACTAACCTCCCACTGACCCAAACCGCCTTGACATTGCGATCATCTCCATTCCACACCCACTTCGCAATCTTCTCTTCCCAATTCTCCCACCCAAATACATCAATATTTCCTGTATCCCCCTGGCCATCGTCTAGAGATACTTCACTATCCTCAGATAATGTCTCAACAGGGGCCCCAAGATCAATCAATTGCGCATCAAAATACATCCCCTTGTCAAATCCACCAATTTGATCCGCCATATCGACTACCTGCGCGCCTCCCCTCGTTGCCAGATACAGCGCCTCTTCAACACTAAGACTTTCATAACCCGTAGTCTCAGAAGCAGCTGATTGTGAGGAAACCAATCGTGAGACGAGACAGGCCTGACGCGCTGTCTCGAGGATACTGGGTGAATAACCACCGCTAACATCCGTTCCTAGTCCGACGGTAATTCCTTCGTCGAGAAACTTGCGCACCTCGCAGTGCCCAGATCCCAAAGCACTATTAGATGCCGGACAATGTGCCACCTTCGCATCTCGCGCCTTGACAAGCGCGCGCTCTTCGGGAGTCAGATGCACGGCATGCGCTAGAATCGTGCGAGGGGTCAATAACCCCGTGTCATCGTAAACCTGCGCGTAACTTTCCGACTCTTCGAACAATTCCTTAACGAGAATAACCTCGTTCTTATTCTCCGAAATATGCGTCTGGATATGCAATGGCGGGTTATACGACTTGGCCAACTGGCCCAATTCGCCTAGCACCTTATGAGAGCAGGTAGGCGCAAATCTTGGCGTGACTATGGGCGCCACGAGTTTGCCCTGTGGATCTAATTTGTGTATGTAGTCAATAACTTCCTGTGTTGCAGTTACGGATTCCTCGCCTGACGCATCGTGGTAATCTTCCGGGCAGAAGACGAGGTTATCCATGCATACTCTGCCAACGAAAGCGCGCTGGCCACGTCGATGACACAGCGTCGCTAGAAGATTTGTTGCTGGTACGTGGATGGTAGCAAAGTAAGACGCAGTCGTTGTTCCGTGTGAAAGGGTGCGAGAAATAACTTTGTTATAGACAGTGTATGCCTGCGGGGGGGCTTTTTCTTTACCCTCAAATGACCTTTCCATGGGGAACGTGTACTTTTTCAGCCACTCCAGTAGGGTCGAAGAGCCAAAAATGCCTGCATTAGGATATTGTGAGGCATGGATATGTGTATCTATCATTTGTTAGGTCAGTCACCCAATGGACAGGAAACGAGAAGAGCGACAAACCGATAAACCCCGGGAAAAAGAACGAATTCCCTCCTTTCCGACATCCCTTGAGAATGATCACTGTGTCCTTCTGCACAGATCCTTCATCGCTGCCGTTCTCCACGACCGTCCACCCCTTTCCCTGCACAAATGCACTCAGAGCCTCGTCCTGTCCCTTAGCATCATCGTGTTCATTCATTGGAACACTCCAATCAAATCCTTGAATTATCCCATCTGCATTCAAGACCCACAGGACACCAGTGTTTATCTCCAAACTGGGCTTGATTCCTGGTTGACTATGTTGTTGTCGCGGCAATTGAATGAATCGGCCATAGTAGAGGGTGTATGTTGGTGCCATTTCTTTTTGTCAAGCCTGTTGGCTCAAGGGTCTAGGCAGGTCTTATATTCCCCGGGTTTGAATAACCTCGAAAACTCTGCCGTTGTCTGGATGAAACCGTTTATACGTCCATGCATGCATGCACTACTTTCAAGGTTGGAAATGCATCCTCCAGCCCAACTCAGTCCAAAAGGCAATAGTAGACTTCAGGATTCACACGAAAATGGCAGCAATGCTTTAAATACTGGGGCAGTCTGAGAGCTGGAGTCAAAGCCGAAATCCAAAGAATCGCAACGACGGTATCGGCCGCCTCCGATATTACATATCCGTGGCGGGGTGGATTGGTTCCTGAGGCATCAATAAGTTATAATTCATGCTATAGTTAGATCTAAACTATTAACAAGGTCTTTATTGCTATACATAATTCTCTCTCATTCAGCATTGCTAATCAAATTTTATAACTAGTCTATGTTGAAGAATTAATACTCAGTCAGTAGACCTATAACTGTCTATCTGTCAACAGGAAAGATGTTGAAATGCACGTCCTCAAAGAAGACATGACGAATAAAAATATCTATACAATAAGAAATGAACAATATTCTTCTCAAAACGTCCCAAAAAAAAGAAAAGAAACGCCTGCTTTTTGCAAGAATAACAAGGCCAGAGGGTGAAATAAGAAATAATTAATCACTTGGGTATCTTTATTTTTTTTTCAAGCTGTATAATCTTCAACCGGACCGCAGGTGCAGAAAAGGTTTTGGTCACCGAACGCTATAACATATCTGAGTTAGCTTCGTGCATGCAAAGTACTAAAAAAAAGAGAGAGAAAGCAAGATACTTACCATCATCAACTCGTGTGACCGTTGGCCAGAACTTCTTTTCTAACAACCAGGGCAATGGGTAAGCGGCCTTCTCCCGGGAATATGGTCTTTCCCACTCGCTGACCAACAGATCGCGTTGGGTATGGGGCGCGTTCTTAAGAACATTACCCTCACGCGGCTGCTCGCCTTTCTCAACGGCCGCGATCTCCTGGCGAATTGAGATTAGAGCATCACAGAATCGGTCTAGTTCGGCCTTGTTCTCGGATTCTGTGGGCTCGATCATGAGGGTGTTGGCAACAGGCCACGACATGGTGGGTGCGTGGAAGCCGTAGTCCTGTAGTCGCTTAGCGATGTCAATCGCTTCAATGCCGCTTGTTTCCTTGAAGTGGCGGACGTCTAGAATAAATTCGTGAGCGCAGCGACCGTTTTCGTTCGTGTATAGGATTGGGTAGTAGTCCTTGAGGCGTGCGAGGATGTAGTTGGCATTGAGTAAGGTAATCTTGGTGGCATGAGTAAGACCCTTGCCGCCCATCATATTGATGTAGTTGAAAGTGATTGGTAGAAGGCTGGCGCTGCCCCAAGGAGCAGCGCTGATGGGGGACGATGCAGTAGTCTCGACTCGCTTGGATTGCAAATACTCGCTGGATGGATGTGACGGGAGGAATGGACGCAGATGCTCCGCAACACCAATGGGGCCGACACCAGGACCACCACCTCCGTGGGGAATACAAAAGGTCTTGTGCAAGTTCAAATGGCATACATCTGCACCGATTTCGCCGGGAGAACACAATCCGATCTGCGCGTTCATGTTCGCACCATCCATGTACACTTGACCGCCATGCTTGTGCACGATATCGCAAACCTCTTTGACACCAGGCTCAAATACACCAAATGTACTTGGGTAGGTGATCATAATTGCAGCAAGATCATCCTTGTGCTTCTCACACTTCACTTTCAGATCTTCAATGTCAAGATTTCCGGTCTTCGTATCACACTTGATAGGAACAACTTTCATGCCAGCCATGGCTGCACTAGCAGGGTTCGTGCCGTGTGCTGATACAGGAATCAAACAAATGTTACGGTGGCCTCCAGAGACTGACTCTTGATACAACTTGATAAGGCGCAAGCCGGCAAACTCTCCTTGGGCACCCGAGTTTGGCTGGACAGTCACTTCTGCCATACCAGTAATGTCGGCGAGTTGCTGCTCAACGTCATCAATTAGTTGAGTATATCCTGCCACGGCATCGGAAGGCATGAAGGGATGGATTTGCGAGAACTCAGGCCAAGAGACGGGAATCATCTCAGTAGTGGCGTTAAGTTTCATGGTGCAAGACCCGAGAGGAATCATAGAGTGAGCAAGTGAAAGATCCTTGGATTCGAGATGGTGAATGTAACGCAACATATCGGTTTCAGAGTGGTATGAGTTGAAGACGGGATGTGTCAAATATGCGGATGTGCGTTCCAGGTTTGCCGGGATGCTGATTGGCGAAATAGCAGTATCGACTGAAATATCAGCAGTATTTGAGGTCTGAGACTGGGAGGCAAAGACCTGCAAGATATCGCTTAGTTCGCTCTTGCCAACAGTCTCATCAAGAGACAGGGCAACTTTGTTAGGTGTAACCTGACGGAAGTAGATCTTCGATGATCTGCCTGCTGCCAGAAGGGCGTTTGCTGAATGGTTGTCTGGTAGCTCAACAGTGATAGTGTCGAACAAAATGCCCTGCTCAGAAGTGTTGCTGGGGACAGGGATACTATAACCCAAGCCCACAAGCTTCTCACGGAGTAACGCTGTCATGGCCATAATACGTTGGGCAATGACTTTAAGACCCTGAGGACCATGATAAATAGCGTACATGGCACTCATATTAGCGAGCAATGCCTGGGCAGTGCAAATATTACTTGTGGCTTTCTCGCGACGAATGTGTTGTTCACGAGTTTGCAGAGCCAATCTGAGCGCGCGGTTGCCCAGTCGGTCCTTCGACACACCCACAAGACGGCCGGGGATCTTGCGCTTATACTTTTCCGCACAAGCAAAGAAAGCAGCATGGGGTCCACCAAAGCCCATTGGAACACCGAGGCGCTGGGCACTACCAAAAGCAATATCAGCACCGAACTCGCCGGGAGCTTTAAGGAGCGTCAATGCCAGGAGATCAGTGGCAACAGAGAATGTTCCTCCCAGTCCGTGCACAGTCTCTCCCAGTGCGCTGAAATCGAGGACGCCGCCCTGAGTGTCCGGGTACTGTGCGAGAACACCAATCAGGTTATCGCCTTGTTCCTTGACAAGCTTGCTGTCATCGGCAATGATGTCTCCGACAACCAAGTTGATTCCGAATCCTTCGGCACGAGACCGCATCACGGCAATAGTCTGTTCATGGCAAAGATGCGAAACAACGAAAGACTTGCTCGCTTTCTTCTGCTTAGCCAATGGTGCAGTAGCCAGAGACATGGTCATGGCTTCAGCGGCAGCTGTAGCTTCATCGAGCACCGAGGCATTTGCAATCGGCAGACCAGTGAGATCGGTCGTGAGAGTCTGGAAATTTAGCAAAGACTCCAAACGGCCCTGGCTGATTTCAGGCTGATAAGGAGTATAACTAGTATACCAAGCAGGGTTTTCCAATATGTTTCTCAGAATGACTGGCGGTACAACAGTTGGGTAGTAACCACCACCAATAAATGACTTGCCGGCAGTGCTAATCGATTTACGATACTCCCCTAACAATTTGAGCATATCACTTTCTCCGAGACCGCCGTCAATGGGGTCGCGGTACAGCTGCTCGGACACTCCGCCAATCTTCGGAGGACTAACAACAAGATTCTTCTTTGACAGGATGTCTGCGGGGAGCACCTGCTTGACGAATTCATCTAGCGACGCAGCTGGAGGGTTCAAGGTAGCCAGCATTTCTTTGGCAGCATCGGGAGAAGGCCCGATATGGCGACGGGGAAATGTGTCTATAGGCTGAAACAAATCACGCGGCTTGGGGTCTCCGTGTTCATCGAGGGAAGATGTGTATACTGTTCGGTGGGATGAAGGAGTACTTGTTTGGCTGCTACCAGCCAGCGGTTGAAGACGCGCGCTACATGTCGAGAAGCAGGACGCAGGGGGCTGTCTTCGCCGCAACGCTACAGGGGCTACTTTCCCGCGTAGATGCGCTGAACCTGTGATTTGGAGCTGGCGACGAGCAGCTCCGACAGCCAGGGAGAGAGCCATGGTGAGTGGGTTGAGGACGTTGAGAAGGAAGAGAGGAGAGAGGGGAGAAGGAAAGAGCTGTACAACAGCTCAATTGCCACTCAATTGGGCTCAGCACGACAGCACGCGAAGCATAAAAGCGATTGAAGTCAACGGAAGAATAAAAGGAAGAGAAAAAAAGAGAAGCAGAACTGCGTGGTTCTTGGATCGTACATTTTTCCTTTCCTGATAAGAAACAAAGCTCCGCGGCCGGACAGGCGCAGGCTGGATGTACTGTAACGCGCCGTAACACGGTGTGACAGCCCGTGCGGCCGTTGCGGCCAGAGCTTGGAGAGGGCCAATCACAGGCCGGTGTGATCTTATTTCTTGGCAGCGGCGTATCTGTATTACCATCGCGGAAAATTGGCGGTCGTTGATAAGATAAGCATTCTCCGCGGGAAACGGCGAGGGGCACAGCGGGAAAGCTTTTCGGAGTCCGATTTTCCTATAGCTGTTTCGCTATATGGGCTTTGGGAAGGTGTATACTCATTCATGACGGCGATGGAGGCCTGTTGAGAGAGTGCGAGATGTTGCCTAGTATCTAGGAGTTGTCATTCTCTAATAGCGGCTTCAAGCCGGACTGTACGATATGTTTCTCTCATATAGCCGAGGATAAGACCAAAGCGTGGTGCATCACCCAGTGATATCAAGATTTACATTTCAGGCAAGCAGAAGCCAGTGCTATTCCTCGTTCTCTGACTGCTCTTCCGCCTCAGAAATTAATCGCTGCCTTTCGGCTTCAGCTTCCACGTGCAGCAACCGCCGACTTTCCAGGTGGACAAACACAACAAGAACCGCCCCAACTACAAAACTGGATATCGCCAGAACAATATTTATTGGAATTGGATTCCCTTCCAAGGAGCTCTGGGTTAGAGCGTCGAGCGCAGTTTGCGAAAAGTTGATAACACCAGAAATGCAAATGATCGCACCGTAGACCCGTCCAAAAGTAGCGAAGCCAAAGACTTTGGTAGCGTAGTCACTAGAGACCATATCTGGTCAATATGCCATGCTTGTACTTGAGCCTGCAGCTGATGCACAGGAGGCAGAAGGTGATATGTCGTGGATGGACAGAAGTGACGAGGCCAGGCAGGAAACAAAAGGAGAGGGGGTTGTTGGCAGCTGCCGAACCTTCTCGACCTGCACGCCGCTCCACATGTTTCTACGTCAACAAGGCCGCCTGCTGTCATGTCATATTATTTCTCGCATTGCACTGCGAAGGAATCATGCCTGCATACCGAGGTCTGCATGCGAGCAGTTCAAAGCTGGAGCCTGGGGCCGTTGCCAAAAAGCTTCGACTTGTCCACTCTCCGCAGCGGCCCCGCACGCAGTGAAACGCTCAGCAGTTGGGAATGAATCCGTGCAGTTTCAGGAGAGATGGTGTAACACTGTGCTTCGCAAATGATTCACTGCAAAAACAAACCAAAAAAGGGGGGAAGCCAAAAAAAAGCACTGCCACCAACCGCAGCTGGAATGAGCTTGAGAGAGGAACTCAGCCTCGAAACTGTCGAGCTAGTATCACACGTGATTTCCTTAGGCATCCAGATTCTGCTTCTAGTGATAAACGGGCTATCGACGCATGCGAGTCGCAAGAGTCTTTTGATAGCCCTCGGGTGCACTTCTTCACGCTCGCCGCCATGTCGACCGTGCCGAAAGCGCGTCGAAGCAATGTCGTGGACGTGACTGTAACCCCAGCCGGGTGGGACGCTCACCCGGAAATATCGCGTTCCAACATCACCAACTGCACTTTTAAAGACTTGAGCTCTGCAACCAACATCGAGCGCTCGGAACTCTCCCGGTCGACAATACAGCCCAGCTCGACTAAGAAGGGATCTCGTATAGACCGTTCGAAAGTTCACGACAGCCAGGTCTTTTCGGCCCGTATCCTTCGCTCTGAACTCGATCACTGCAGTGTCACGGGTTCCACGGTGGAGAGAAGCAAGCTACAGAATTGTAGCGTGGCGGCGCCGAACAATATAGCCCGCACCGAGGCACGCGCAACCAAGTTTATAAGCTCGAAGCTTGTTGAAAGGTCACAGCTAAATGATAGCGTGGTACTGGGCGACAGCACTCTTGAGCGATGCATTGTCCGAGATACGATTGTTGCAGACAAGAGTACCTGTGAACGCTCGGAGCTAGACAGTTCAGTCATTACTAGAAGTAAAATCGAGAGATCCAAGGTTTCGGACTGCGATGTTATGGACTGTGTCATGGAGAGGACGGATTTCAAGGGGATGATTTTAAAGTATGGTATTTGGAAACGTGGCGATTTGATCGGACGCACATCGGATCAGCACGAGGTGGTCATCAGGCCGAGACAACAACCGCTATCAACTGCTGAGCCGTCGTCTCCTTTGCCGACGCCATCTTTCCAGACATCGGGACCCGGATGGAAAGCCGCAGAGGCTGTAAGTCTATTATCACTCTCGCTGCGAGACTACACTCTGACAAAATGCTAGGAGCGAGATCGATTACCAGTGGAAGATGAGGATGAAGAAGATGAGAATTCACTAGGTGACTTGGAAGATTCGAGCGATGATGAGACAGTTGATCCACTGCCTGATGCCACAAAACGAGCCAAGACACATAAAAAGAGCAATCGCGCGTCAATGGCAGATACTAGCGACCCACCACCTCCTTATGAGCAATGATGCCCCTGCTTATGCTATTTTTTGTTCTCGGGCTCGTAATGACCCGGTTTCTTTTCTGCTTGTTCTATCTTCGCGTCATTATAACAGATATATACCAGATACGCTAAATATCATTATTCGTAAATAGAGACCGAAGTTCCTTTTCGTTTCTATCTCTATAAATGATACGCGAGCCACACTATTCATACAGATGATATGTAGAGTGGATGCAGCCGGTGTCAGGAACCAGGGTATTTCGGACCCATGTAAGTTTCCGAAGCTTAAAGCATAAGCAAGTTCATTGTTCATCGCACCAGCTTAGTTTCGACGTTGGTCTGATTGGAAGAAATGCAAGATAGTAAGAAGTTCTTTATAGACCGAAAAGTGGACTTTAAGCCGTTTTCGGGCTAGCCGCATAGCTCGCGCGGCAACTAGTCCCTTTCAGGGCAAGCGTGCAAACCACGTGCCAATAGTCAGACTGCGCCAACCTCCAACTGCGCCGCCAGCGATTCGCTCAACCCGACCATCCGACCTCCTCGCAGCGTGCGCATCGTAATCTGTTCCTCTTTGTTTGCGCCGCCTGTGTGGAACCTCAGTGCTAGCTTGGGCATTGTTACACCAATCTCACTGTCTTCCCTTTAATTCCGTGGCTCCCCGAATCGCAAGAGCTTCGATGTCGTCGAGTGGGACTAGTCTCCGCAGATCGTGTCAGGGCTGCGTCAAAGTCAAACGCCGATGTGATCTAATCTTCCCTGAGTGCAGCAGGTGTCTGAAAAAAGGAGTGCGTTGTCACTATACTAACATTCCTTTGTCGAGCCGAACGAGTCCTGTCGACGATGGACGAGTCACTAAACCCGTGCGCACGCGGCCGCAACAACACCACCACCCTCATCCTGTTGCTGCAACAAAAGCAAAAGGACACGGAGTTGCGGTCGTTACGAAAAATGCTATAACGGACTTCACCCAGTCCAGTGATTCTAGTGATGACAATGACGTTGATAACAACAACGAAAATGTTTTCTGGATACGACCTGCATTGGATATGGAGATTCGCAAACATCACTCCCCGTACATAGTCGACTTCGTATCACAAGTGGTGCGTGGAGCTCCAAGGTCGTTCGTCCAGGGAGAATCATTTTTCATCCATCCTTGCGTCTACGAAAAAGCCTTACCGCGCCCTGTAAGAGATATACGTGTCTTGTGCGATATATACGAGAGCGACAGTGACAGTGACAACCATCTATCGTCCCCAAAGCTAGGGATGCTTCTTCAACGGCAAATCGTTTCATTGCTGCAACAATCCAAGGGATTAAGCGATTTTGAAGACCTTGTCGCTTGCGTGCAAGCACTAACTTTGGCACAATGTATACAACTGTCAACTGGAAATATCAACGGCCCCGGCGTCGAGAAATCGCTTGATGCGCTCGCTTCTCTGGCGCGTAGGATGTGGTCAGTAGTCCCACATCAACTGCCGAGTAGTATGTCACCATGGCGTGCATGGATATTTGCCGAAACTGTGCGTCGCACTATAGTCTTTTCGCATCTCGTTATTGCTGCATTCAGCTTTTTGACTCGTGGCTATGCATCTCGCACACCATTTATTGATGCACTGCCGTTTGACGGCCGCACATACCTATGGGACGCCAGATCGGAAGACGAGTGGGAAAAGAAAAATTCCGGAACAGTCCTTCCCATGGTATCTGTAATCGAGTATGCGGATCTTTTGCAGTTAGGCCGCACAGTATGCTTTTCTCCATTTGAAGTGTTGATCATAGCTACCTGTCGAGGCGTGGAGCTGCCTATTCACGATCCCTCAAGCTTCATACAAATGTGATTAGCCAAACCTCCTTCTTTATCGCTGCTCTTCTTTTGTCCGTGTCTTTCATCCTCGAGGCGGATATGTGTCATTCTGTATATATGTTCGATACCGTGGCCTCTTTATATATTACAACGTCATCGATGTCTATGCATGACATACCTTATGTATCAATTGGATGAAATAGAATATATTTTCAACCAGCTCATCGTCGACTTCACTTATTGTCTACCGTATCGCTGTAAATAATGAATGGCCCTCCTGTTAGCGAGAGTCCAGTACGAGGCGAACTAGCCGGAACCATGTCATAGGTAGAGCATAGAATGTATGTCTTCGTATACCCTAATGATTACCAACACGTGGCCATAATATGGGATTTTATCTAAATGTCTAGGTACCGCCGGAAGTGAAGTCCGAAGGCCAAACGTATGGTTACCTACACAGACGAAGAGCAGAAGATGGCCTATACCAGCCCATTTAGGCTATCATTTACACAGAATATACCAATTTGTTGACTCAGATCACTTTTATACGAAAAGAAATGCCATCTGCCACGAGTCCTCTGCCTCCAACCGCTTCACCTACATGGAACGGACCACACTCACCGTGCGATTTTCTAATGTATCTTTCCCTAAAAGTCATGCTCGCATTTGTTATTCTAATGATAGACTCAAAAATGGCAGTTTTGGCGACAAAATTAACCCTCTCCACGAAAGCACAGCCCACCGAATCCAACACCTCCAACAAATCTACTCTTCCCTACAGCCCGATCACGCCTACCGCGAAACAATCCCGGCAAGAATCGAGGCATACCAATGCGATACTCTCACAGTTGAGTCCGGACAATTGACCTTCTGGACCCATGATTACTAGCTGGGGCCAGTGCGGAAATTCGCAACGGTGGTCCGCACTGAGGAAGAGAGAGTGGAGCAGCAAGAGGTTGTTATGGCGATGCTGGATGATGCGCTCAAAGTGCAAAATCAAGGTTCTTTGTTGTGGATTGAGAATGTACGTTCCTGTTCCTATCATATGAAACGAGTTACTGCTGCTCATGAGAGCAAAACTGAGATGAGGTTGCTCTTAGCTACTGCGTTTGGAAGAGAATTTCTGCCGTATCAAACGAAACGAATTCGTGAGGAGACTCTACAGAGTTTGGTGCTGTTAGCAGATAAGAAAATGGAAATTTTACATTACTAGGATATATATGATGCATGATCCTGCATCCACCGCATTCATGTGCTACCTAGGCAGATGTACCTAGGTGGCTGCTCACATGCAGCAAGACTCCAAATGCAGTTTGACTAATTGGTTTGTATGTAACCTCAGAAGGACACACATCATATGCAGGCATTCTAGTGTCCTTTCCACATCTCAGGTTTTGGCCGATTAAGCCTCAGTCTGTAGGCTCTTAAGCTAAACATCAAGCTTTCGTTCATGAAACAAAGAATCAGAGTAGAACTCAAAATGCTATCCGTGCTTTGGGCTAATGTCCTTTATTTATCTGTTTCTTAACCTATATCGTTCTGGCTTCTATTTCTGACCCTAAATTACCTGAATCTCTCGCGGAATGTCGGCATCTCATTTAGCCAGAAGCGAGCCCGAGCACTCCGCCAGTCATCCAGTGGATATGCATTACCCCAGACTTTCTGGCAGTCAAATTATTTCCGACTCCGCAATTTCTCAGTTAAGCCTAAATCTGACCTGCAAGCTATTCGTCTTGATTGGTTGTCATCTCGCATCTCGGTCTCACTCCTAGTCGAGTGTCATGTAGTCGACTTGGTTTTAAGCCGCTTGGCAAGCAATAGTAGACAAAATCTAATTACCCATTAGCCAATTAAACTGCTAGCTAAGAAGCCATTCCTTTGGCGAACACTTAGTTGGCTGGTTTGCCTCGTGTCACGACAGACGCCAACGCGGAGAGTGCTAACGGTTTGGACCAGTTGGGCTCCAAGGCACGGACAATAAGTCCTGAAAGAGTCTCATGAAATGTTGGGAGTAATTTGGATTGACAGAATACCTCTAACAGACCTTGTATGGTGCTCAGCAGCTCCTTGCTTACTGACGGTCATGGATATACATGCAGTCTACCTAACCGATATTCCCTGTTGCTTCGAGGCTAAGAGACGCCACATGCCAGTTAATATAGACATCCCAGAATAAATGAGAATTTTCTTGCGGTGACTAGGGATGTGGCTGCAGAAGCACGCAGAGGAACGGATTTATTGGAGCGGAGAACAAAAAGTGTTGCTCTCACGGATGAGGTATAAATTCTGCATGCTTCCCCTTACGTGGAGGTGAGATGTTCCTGGCTCCCTTGTCTTCCATTATCTATTATCAATACAATCAATCTAGGTTAACTTGGATCCACAATGTCTGACAACAAACCACCAGCTGCTACTACAATAGAAAATGTTCAAGTCAAGGGCGTTAGCAACGCAGCTCTCGCCGATGCCACCTATAGACAGAAACCAAAGCTTCTCACGAAGCGCATGTTCAAGGTACATTATAAATACAGTTTCTCGTTTTCCAAAGGGAAAGAAATGCTAAATCAAACACAAGCTATACTGGTGCATCGCAGTCGCAACCCTGAACTCGTGCATCAACGGCTATGATGGCTCCTTGATGGGTTCTATCAATCAGTATCCGCAGTATCGATCGTATTTCGGCTTTGATCCCACCGCTGGAACCCCAACTACTGGAATTGTGTATGCTATATATACGATTGGAAACATTGTGGGATCTTTTTTTGCGGGACCCTTTACCGATTTTCGAGGTGTGATTCTCTCTTATCTCCCACCTCTATAAGCCATATATCTGATAGGAAATGGACAGGCCGTCGTGTCGGAATGTTCCTTGGTTGTCTATTTATCGTCATTGGTACCATCGTACAAGCTACTTGCCACAACCTGGGAGGTTTCATGGCCGGTAGATTCCTTCTGGGTTTCGGCGTTGCAGTTGCAGCTACCGCTGGGCCTTCCTATGTCTCTGAGATAGCTCATCCGGCTTATCGCGGCGCAATGACCGGGTTGTATAACGTGCTGTGGTATGGCGGTGGAATTCCCGGGACGTTTATTCCCTGGAGGACCTCGAGCATTCAGTCGGATATGAGCTGGCGAATTCCCGTTTGGTTACAGATGATTTTCTCTGGGTTGGTGATGCTGTTTTGTTTTACGTTGCCGGAGGTATGTCCTTCCTCGGTCCTCTATTGCTGTCAGATGTGCACTATCTAATACAGTGCTAGTCCCCCCGTTGGCTCATATCTCGAGATAAACATGAAGAAGCCCTGAAAGTCTTGACCGAGTACCACGGTGAAGGAGATCGAAACTCGCCAATCGTTCAGCTGGAATACCAGGAGATGGTGGAGGATATCTCCAAGACAGGTTCTGACAAGCGATGGTGGGATTACCGCGAGCTCTTCAATTCACGAGAGGCTCGTTATCGGTCAATGCTGGTGATTTTTATGGGTATGTCTAAGCTTTTCCCATTGCGCTCATTTTTGAATCTCTCTCAATTGTAACAAACAAACTAATGGATTGCATACCGTCTAGCATTCTTCGGCCAATGGACTGGCAACGGACCCGTGTCGTACTACTACCCCCAAATGCTCGCAGGGGCCGGCATCACCAGCTTAAATACACAACTTCTTCTACAGGGCATGCAGAATGTGTGCTCACTAATAGGTGCCGTCACCGGCGCCCTGTTCACAGACAGAATCGGTCGTCGCACGCAACTTCTAACTTCCACCAGCATAGTCGTCTGCCTATTTGTGATCGTGTTAGTACTGAATGCGGTCAATGTTATTGATACTCCTTCGGGCGAAGAAGCCAAAAGCAGCTCCACGGCTATAGCGGAGATTGCGATGATTTTCATTTTTGGCTTTGTCTACTCGGCTGGTTGGACGCCTAACCAGGCTATGTATCCAGTCGAGTGTTTGCGATATGAATCTCGGGCGAAGGGAATGGGGATGTATAACGTGAGTTTCCCTTGTCTTTTCTCTTATATGTGGCTATTTTGACCATGATTTTGAATATTCTCCCCGCAATTTCTAACACATCCAACACAAAAGTTCTTCGTCAACATCGCCGGATTTTACAACACCTTCGTAACTGGCATCGCCTTCACCGGCGCCGGTTGGAAATATTACTTCCTTTTCATATTCTGGGACACCTTGGAATGCCTGGTTATCTACTTCTTGTTTGTAGAAACACGGCACCGCACTTTGGAGGAACTGACGGAGATATTCAGAGCTCCTAATCCAGTCAAGTATTCACTGCAAAAGACGGAGATTGCGGTTCAGGATGGGAAAGTCACTGAGATTTTGGATAAGGAGGCTGCTTAATTCGCTCTTCGCCGTACGCCCGTGGTCATAATTCGTGTTTGTTTTTTTTTTTTTTTTTTTTCCTTTTTTTTTTCCCCCTTGACATTGGGGTTACTCGTCAGCTAGCTTCCAAATGGGGAAATATTTGCGGGTTTATTTAATTTCCTATTATGGATGGACGCATTGATCTCGGGCCACGATATGGACGAGATTATCTTATCAGAGCTGAATTTAATTTTTTTATATGTTCTACTAGAACGTATTAACTATTTGTCGATTAGGTCTATTCACAGTTTGGTAGCTAAAAGTTGGGTGGCCAACAGTCACGACAACATGACATCACATCAGTCCACGAGAGATATACAACAATATAACTCCTGAAACTCACAGAGCCATTCTCTTTATCTTTATCCCTCTTATTTTACAATATCAATACATATACACAATCAAGAAGATGCCCTTCTCAACAGACATCACCAATACCCTAAACGCTGAAGATGTTATCCCAGACATCCTGCCTACAGGCACCATAATACGCCACAATCTGAAGGTCTCATTTCCGAAAGCTAAACTCGACAGACCCGGACAGATGATTGCTGTCAATGATACACAACCGAAGCCCACTGTCTTTGTGGATCCACCTGTTCGTCGGCCTGCGTTCGGTGATCCTGATGCGTGGCATGAAATAGGTTGATAGTAACTATATCCATAGATCGAAGCGGATACATTGCAGGATATCTATACGCTTATGATGGTTGACCCGGTGTGTCTTCTTATTCTCTCCTCCTTTCTTCTCTACTAACAATCATGGAGGATCTCACCCACCGGCATGACACTCGGTTCGGACAAGTTAGGCACTGGCTTGTAACCAATTGCTCGGTGAGCAGTGCTGGGGAAATAATCGATCTAAAAGCCAGAACTCTCTCGCCCTGGATTGGACCGGCGCCTATACCGGCGCATCATATAGCTGAGTAGGTATGTTGATTCACGTATAAAAACAAAAATTACTAACCCAAGACTATAAACTCGAAATAGAAAACCGCATCCATCGCGCTACACCTTCATTCTATGCAAAACTAAATCCGCTCCCTCCGAAAAGGATACTAGGAGAGCCAAATTAGATGACAGCATACTGCAAGATCAATACGAGGGACTAGCCAGTGAGCTTGGAAGCCCATCCCAGGACCTCTTTGACCGGAGTAAATTCAATGCGCAGCAATTTATCCAGGCAAATAATTTGGAGGTTGTCGCTGCAACGTTCATGCTCGTTGAAGGGGATATTACAAGCGGTGTGAGGAGCGCCGGGTTAGTGGCAAATGCTGCTGGAAATAAAATTGTGGGTATGGGACGAGATAGCTGTCCTGTTGGAAGCAGTTATTGAATCTCGCAGGCTTTTTTAAGGGTCGGATATGTTGTGAACTGGACGGGAGATATTATTTTGAGATTGACCCTAGTTACATAGTACAGGTCTAGATAAACAGAGTACTACTACTTTATTGCCTGTGTCATGATCTATATAGGCTAAGTATAGGAAGTCTTGACAGACTTATAGACCACTACGACGGTACCGTCCTTCAAGTGTTCATGCTGCGGCTCCAAGGTATACTTCCCAATAGCCGGCAGGGCCACCCACCAGATCGCCCAATAAACGACAGATGCAGCCAAAACTGCAATTCCAACAACAGAAGAGAGCCAGTATGGAAGTGACGTATCTCCTTTGCCACCAGGAGGGCGCAAAAAGGGAGCCACGAGTTGAAAAGCCTGCGCAACCATAAAGAAACCTGCTATAGGCCACCAGCATTTGAACGGACGATGAATTTCCGGGTGTCTCCATCTAAACCAGAACAGCCCTATCACGACGAGAAAGTTGATGATGCTGCCCGGGTATCCTTCCAAATCCAGAATGAAGTCATAGGCGTCTCCGAAGGGGATGGCGACGATGACAATGAATGAAGGGATAAAATGGAGCAGCAAACCAGCTGAAGGGGAGCCAAACGGCCAGCTGGAAGCCCAGAATTTGGGGAATGGGATGACGCCTTCTTTGGCGAGTTCCTGGTTGACTCGGGATTGCGCGAAAGTGATGGTGAGGACATTTCCAAATGCAGATAGAGCCAGAAGAACACTATAGGCTCGATGTTAGTTTTTGTCAAGCAGTGAATATGTAAGTTAAATCGGTTGCAAGGAGACATGCCTCAAAGCGCGCTCAGCTGATTCGCCAAATACCTTGCCCATGAAATAGCCAGCAACCGTGACCCCGGATGCTGCAATTTCATCCGGGGTAGCTGCTGCGTAGTACGAGATATTTGCCAGAACATATAGAACACCGCAGATAAGGAGACCGAGAGGGCCGGCGATTTTCATCGTTCGTACGGGGTTTTTGACTTCGTTCAACACGTACATGGCATTACTCCATCTGTTTTACCCATTAGCTCGTTTCCCGTTACTTTTCTCCAATGATTGAAGACTTACCCAGCGTATGAATTCAATACCTTGTACAACGCCGAGGCATACAAGTTGCTGGACGAAGTCGATCCAGCAAAGGCATTTTTGAAACTCGCATGTGGATCAGGTATGCTGCTCACACCACCGGCGAGAACGACCCATCCGGTGACGACGATGAATAACAGCAGTACGATCTTCATAATGGTAAGCAAGTTCATACCCCGGACACCCCACTTGGGCAAGAAAGTGTGGAACAACGTGATGAAGACAATAACGCCAATTGCAATGCCACGTTTGGCCCACTCGGTGACGGCGGCGTTGGCTGCTTCGAGGATGTATTCAGCGAAGACGACGCATCCAGAGGCTATATATCATACGTTTAGTTCAGGCATAATCAGATGCGGGAGGATGCAAGACGCACCTGTAAATCCCAGTGCAATAGCCTGCACCGCGAAAACTATTGATATCAATAGCTTCGGTTTCTTGTAGACTGCTTCCAGGTAGTTCTTCTCGCCACCGCTGCGCGGAATCATGCAGGCAAATTCAAGCCAGACGCAGAGACCCGCGGCACACAAAACGAGACCCAACACCCAGAACATGAGCGACGCGCCTACACTGCCCAGCTCTTCGGTAACGGAGGATGGCGTCGAGAAGATACCGACACCGATGATACGGCCGACCCTGCACGCATTTAGTCAGCATGTGGTATAACTATGATAGTGGTGATAACAGTGGACGCACACTAAGAACGTTGTCGAGATGATACCCAGGTGTCGCCCGAGACCACCCTTGGAGTATTCCTCGTACTTGAGCTCGGTGCCGACCTCATTTTTGGGTGCGTTGGGATCACCGTCAGGTTCACCAAAGTCAGGATCAACTGAATGCCCGATGTCTTTGACGTCTTCATACGGCGACGCCATGGTAATTTTTTCTTTTTTTTTTTTTTCCTATTTTCTTTTTCTTTTATTTCTCTTCCCCGTTTATATAGAAGTTCTTCCCCCCAAGTTCTGCCGGTTGGCGTTTTTTCTAGAAAACAAGAAGCAAAAAGCGAAGACGTGGAAATATATATCAAGCAAGTTCAGCAATCAGTAGCATCCCATAGGTCGCACAGCAGTGATAACACTGCGGACTCTGATTGCGTGCTTCTATAGAAGCCGGCCGGCGATGCACTAACCGGCGAAGGATCTGCGCGACAATCTATTGCCCGCCGTGTGATTTGCGCGCTATTGCTCGTGATGGGGCTGAATGGTGTCTTGTGTCTTTCGTGCCTCAATTGGCGAGAGATCCCACGCGTCTTATAGCTTTTTCCATTCCTTATGCAACATCAATCTGCCTGGTTTTTCTGCTACCCTCGGGCATCTCCGTGCTTTAGCCCATCATGCGGGCTTAGGTAGTATGCGGCGGAGCCCTCGCGTGCTCCCAACACTGCATGATGCGAGTAAAGGCGAAATATAGGTATTGAAAATATCTGCAACATGAGGCGAACGGTTGAAAGAAATTTTCCTTCCTCTCAAACGGGCGAAAGGGCTCTTCTGGGTCTTGGACCTTCGCATCTCCTCTCTCTATCTAAACACTAGGCGTGCATATACTGCTTGGCATGCATGATAGGGGAAAGAGGAATGCATTCTTATCAGCTGTAGCACACTATATATCAGTGAGCAGGTAAACTCATTCTGTTCACGTTGAATGTTGCTGATTAGAAACTTTGAGCATGAGCGATGGATGCTATATTTCCAATTCCGGCGATTTTGCACTCCACGTTCCAAGGTTGATGGATGACGTCTTCGACTCGGAGGACCTGGAAGAGCCGTGTCTATAAATATTCATGGTAATTTGTACAAATTTTATCAAGCATTACTTTTTATTTAAATGGTGAATTTTGAAGTAACGTCCAAGTGCGAATGGAATATTACGCCTCTCGGGCTTAACATACCACAGAGATATATAATTACATCTCACCGATATCGAATTCCCGATCCACCAAGGTCTGTGACGAATGCACTAGAATTATCGCTATAACCTACAAGCCTCAAGAAATCAGCAGCAGAAAAATGGGTCTCTGCTTCAGCACCCCCAGAAGCCACATGTTCATGAGCCCAGCACCCCGCATCCGCCCTGTACCCATGTATCCGATGTCGGGCGGTATGCGTATGCATCATAGCTACGGAGGTTACGGGGGATATGGAGGATACGGCGGAGGGAGAATGGGAATGGGGGGATATGGCGGGCCGCCGCGAATGGGAGCGCGTTATGGCGGTGGTGGAGGTGGTGGTGGATTTGGAGGTCGCGGTGGGTTTGGCGGCCGTGGAGGGAGGAGGTTTTGAAACATGAAGCAAATATCGAGATTTGACGATCTAGTGGCGTTTGAACTGTGTATTTTCTACGGGGTTTCAAAGTGCTTGGCACTGTAGATGGCTTGTTTAGATTGGTGTAGGGATAATCAAAACGTCCTGGTTGGAGTTTAAGATGGCTTTGGTCGGACAAAATGCTTCTAGTGAGATTACTGCGAAGATTTATAAGTAAGGGATCATATGTTTACTGCATTAAAAGCATGCCAATTGAGCACTCTGGTGGTGGAAAATCGTTCACTTCATGAAATGATCATGCTAGGGCAAGATAGATCATCTGACCCCTGCGCAGGGAAGCGCCCAACGGCCAATGCTCTAAGTAACGCATTCAATCAACATCCACTGAGAAATATGCTGAAACACTTAATTTGCTCAAGGTTATTTGCTTTTCCCTGGTCATCATGTATTATACTGACATTGCCTCAGCATCATTCGGCGCCGCTGCTAGAGCAGTTGACCGGACCAAGCTCATTGAGTGAAATCGAAGAGTGGATTAGATTGCAACGCTGTTAGATTCTTAAATATAATCAAAACCAACGGTTAACTCTCAACCTATCGTTACTAGCTGCGTATCCTTTATTGAAACATGATCTAGTTTTAGGGGCACACTAAGCACTCCTTACAACGCATATCTTGCCGCCAGCTAATTTCCCTAGCCGGGGTCACAATTGACCATCCAATAAGATACAGGAGGAAATGCTATACGACAACTCAGGTTGACAAGTTTTATTATTCTTTGTGTTCCTGGCGTCAGGTACTACATGGAATTACAGTGATGTGATTATGGCTCCACTACATGCACTTTAATGCCTGAGTAGATCTATAAGAGCCGTATACTCCATGTGCTCTAGATGTATGATTAGAGTGCAAAGGTCTGTCTACTTGGGTCATTCAGCTGCACTGGCCGGCCACTGATCTGTGCTTCATACTTATGCTGGCATAAGGGTACTAGGTTGGTACTTTTTCTTGCCTTTCCTTCTATCACAAAGCGCCGTTCATTCTGGTTATTGGGTTAAGGTAATTTCTATCCTTTTAAGTATATCAATTCAGCAAAGATCCTTCGAAAAGAAAAAGAGGCCGGATGCTATCAGCCATCATCGCCGCTCTCGCGGGCAATGTCGCCATAATCCATGGCCATACTCATAGTCATCCCCACGATCATATCCATAGCCATACCGTCTACAAACGTGCTACAGCTCCAGCAGCTTATTGCTCCAACTCAGATGGAACCTATAACCTCTCCTCTATCACTGCGCCGGTCGAAGGTGCTGGATCCACTGGTGCCCAAATAAAATGGGATCTTACAATTGATGATACATCCTCCGGATACAAGCAGACTATCACTGGATTTGGTGCTGCAGTAACTGATGCTACTGTCAGCTCCTTCAACAGTCTGTCAAGCGATACCCTTAGCGAGCTCCTCAATCTCTTGATGACCCCCGAGGGTGCCAACTTCAGTCTCATGCGGCACAGCATTGGTGCATCTGACTTGTCCGCCGACCCTGCGTACACGTACGACGACAATGAAGGGAAAATAGATAGGCATCTGGCAAACTTCAACCTCGGGGATCGGGGTAATGCGATGGCCGAGATGCTGGCGCGGATGAAGAAACTACAACCGGGCTTGACAGTGCTTGGTACACCGTGGAGTGCTCCTGGATGGATGAAACTCAACGGAGTGATCACTGACAGCGCAAAGGATAATAACTTGAACGACGGCTTTCTTATAGATGATCCCGGATACCCCAGTGAGTTTGCGCGGTACTTTGTGAAGTACATCCAGGCATACGAAGCCTTGGGTGCTACTATTGATGCCATTACTATCCAGAACGAGCCCCTTAATAGTCAAGCTGGTTATCCTACTATGTATATGTACGATTCTGAGGCAGCAAATTTGATTCAGTACTACGTGGGACCTGCTCTCGCTGCAGCCGGCTTAGATACGGCCATTTGGGCCTATGACCATAACACAGGTACGTCTAGCATTCATTGACTTTGCAGAATCACTGATTACAAAATTTTAACATTCTTTCCTAAATGTAGATGTCACTACTTTCCCTCAAACTGTTTTGGAGTTTGCTAGCGAATACGTGGACACTGTGGCGTGGCATTGCTACGCCGACCCTCTGGATTGGTCTGTTTTGACAGATTTCAAGAATTGCAACCCAAACGTCACCCAATACATGACTGAATGCTGGACCCCATCATTTGGAGAATGGTACCAAGCTTCCAGCTTCGTCGTCGGACCACTCAATAACTGGGCTTCGGGAGCTATGGCATGGACACTTGCTACAAACAGTTCCGATGGCCCCTCCTTTACGACCGGTGGGTGTAGTGAATGTACTGGATTAGTTGTCATCAACGATGATGGCACTTATACTTTGCAAACTGCATATTATATGCTTGCTCAGTATAGCGCGTTCATCCCCTCCGGCGCTACCATTTTGCATGGTTCAGGAAGTTATACATATGCCGACGGTGGTATAGAATCTGTTGCCTCGTTGAATCCGGATGGTACTCGCACCGTGGTTATCCAAAATACTCTCGCCCATGATGTCTATGTTACTCTGACTACAGCTAGTGGCGAGAAATGGGGTGGTGATGTCCCAAAAGAATCCGTTGTAACGTGGGTATTGCCCGAGGCAAACTAAGTCGATTTGTGCATTGAAAAGCAATTAGTTGAGCGTATATACTAGTCTGAACAATTTTAAATCGTACATAATCTTGAATGACACGTATACACAGCTTTTCTTATTGTCTTTTTTCACGCTTTCATTGCTCTGTTTTCGACGATTGCATTGTACTGACGGAAGACACGGACCCATGGGTTTCAGTTTCGATTTGATGGAATAAGTAACAGTAAATAAGTGCCTGAATTATATAGACAAACTCAAAAGTACAAAGTCAACTCATCTTCATTTGATCAGTCATCGTCTACTAATTGTGAGACACAACATGATTTGAGTTGATCACCTGACCCGGTGTGCCCTATCTCGTCGGTGGGCAAAGCAGACGACGCAGAAACTCAACTTCGATTCAATCGTCAATATATTCGGACTAGTGTTTTTAATTCAACTGTCCAGCGTTTTAGCATAGGAATTTACAAGCCTAGTGTTATATTCTTCCTAACGCTCTCTCACAAAAGCCTAGGGCTTACGGATACAACAATAAGCGCTCGGTCAAATAAGGAAAATACTATTATTCTATTAACTCAAGCTTGATTATTTAATATATATGAAATGAACTAACTAATCAACAAAAAGTTTTATTTGAAGTCACTCAACTGGTAACATTAGAATCCGGAAATTTCGAACGACGATCCCTGTTTCCCCACGCTTGAGGGATGATCTATCAATAAATCCAATGGATCTGCCACTTCCCATCAGAATGTCAAAGTAATAAATAGCGTTACTGGAGCTTAGTGCGGGGTTAGTACTTAGTTCGGGTTCCGGTTTTCCTTCTGAACGAGCGTACTTGCATGCAGAACTGACCTGATGGCGGAACTGGCGCGGCTTGTGCTCAGGACCGGATCACAGAGGATGTTACCTTAAGCCAGCCACCGACATAGTTATCGTCCTCGTCACACTTTTGACCGTGTATCCCGGTGTTCTGTTAGTTATCAACCTATATTATTTGCTTTCTTGCGTATGATTTTGTTGGATAGAGTTGCAACAAATGGAGTGGCTGAAGAATAATATGATTACTACTTCTGAATATGAAGAGTACATAGATTGGACATAGTATACGAAAGTTACTCGAGTAAATGTACGCAAAACATGATAAACTAGGTATTCATGCATTCAGAAGAGGGGGAAAAGTACTACCTGCCTAGTTAGCCAGGCAAACAGCTAACAACTTACTAGGGCATAATAGCAGTACAGAAGCCCCACCTGATATCATCAGGGATCTTCTGCACTATTTGCGAACAAGCACAGGAGAAGGCATAACGCTCCGAAAAACAAGCATTGAAATTTCCTTGGCCTGCGCTGTGCCGTCGTCATGGCTCACATCTTACTGGCCACGGCAACCACTTATATGCTCGGATGAGTCTAGTTGAATGACCTGCACAATTTCTCCAAGGATAATCACAACTATCCAAGGATTAGCAACAATGGAAACGTGACAGACTATCTAGTGAAATTGTGTCCCGAAATGATCGAGCAGGACGTCACCCCAAGGGCTCTAGAGTGCGGGGTTTTTCAGTCCTCTCCACGCCAGCGTTGTATTATTTCACAACAGTTCGGGTTTGATATCTGATGCTACATATGATGCTTATCAGTGCAGTATGCTGGAATAGGCATTGATCTGTTGACATGTATTCAAAATACTGCTAACGGCATTAGCGAGGTACCAGGAACAAACAAGTAGTATAAATAGATCCTTTTTACCCGTGATACCATCACCTTTCCTTGAAGTTCGGTCCTAGAACGAGGCCTTCTTACATTGACTGCTGATTGTGAGCAAAAATGTACTACCTCAGATTTTATAGCCTTGGATTCCTGCTCCTGGCAGCGAACCCTGCCACTGTAACTGCATTTACTGCAACTGGCAGTGCCGCAAATGTAGCAGCCGCTACAGACCCGGCGGTTGCGTACCCTGGGCCAAAACAGTCTGGCGCTGCTGAAGGATCCCATCCATCCTACATCTGGCCACTGGCATCCTCCTCAACTGCTACTCCTAATTGCAACAAAGTCCAGTACAATTTCCCTAGCGGGACGAATTCAAACACCTCGCGGGCTGATGCCGTTAAGAACCTCTATCGCCGATCATGGGACCAGTATGCTGAGTACTGTTTTGGTTCCGACCAAATCCTGACTCTGACCAATACTTGCGCCGATGACATTTTTGGATGGGGTGCAACCATTGTGGATGGCATTGATACTGCGATTCTGATGAATTTGACCGATATCGTGGAGCAGCAGTTGGCTCATATTGCTGCCACTGATTACACGTAAGATTGTCTTCCAATACAACAATCTTCAGACTGTAGGTAGAGGTTAATATAAAGTGGAAATAATAGAACTGCAAACTCTTTGGTCGATGGATTCGATGCTATCATTCGTTACTTAGGAGGGTACGAAATTCTCAAAACATCCAGTCTGCATACACAGAGGCTAACAGTTACACGATATAGACTACTTTCTGCTTATGACATTCTCAAGAGCGGTTATGTGCCCGAAGGGACTTATAACCAGACCAATGTCGATGCCCTCTTAACCCAGGCAAAAATTCTAGGTGATAAATTGAAAGTCCAATTCGATACGCCGAGTGGATTACCAACGTCTGAAATAAACTTCACGACTAATGAGCCTATAAATTCTCAGTATACCAGCTCTTTGAACAATGTCACTTATAATGCTACCAATGCTGCCGTAGCTGGAACTATTGTTTTGGAGTTTGCCAGGTTGTCCGATTTGACCGGAGACGAGTCTTTCTTGGAGCTTGTGAGTCTACCGTAGAAATTTCTGTTACACATTCTCTAATCTCTTTGCTTCTCGCATATTTCGTGATGTGCAATCACTAATAACATCAGGCCTTGAAAGCAGAAGGAAACTTAATCTTTCCCAACCCGGCGCCTGTCTGGCCTGGTCTAGTGGGAAGTGAACTTGATATCGAGACTGGAAACTACCTGACATTTGACTTTGGATGGCATTCCCAGATTGATAGTTTCTTAGAGGTTTGTTATATCTTATTTGGACCTATTATTGCTTAGTAAGGTCTTCAAATTCCATGACTAACCCCCTTCCAGTACCTCATCAAAACATATTACTACAAGCCAGAGTCAGCTGCTTTCTCTGTTATGAAAGATTTCTGGGTTTCTACGGCAGAATCTACCATCAAACATATCGCCTTGCACCCATACAATCACCCTGAATTGACATTCATTAGCGCAGGTGATGTAGAAGGAAACATTGAATGGTCGGGAGATGACTACGTTAGTATCCCATGCTTCTGAACAAATGTATGATCCGACCGTGCTAAAGCATGTCAATACTGGTAGTCCTGCTTTGCTGGAGGCAATCTTTTGCTCGGGGGTGTCTTTCTAGGTAGACAAGATATTACGGACCTTGGAGTCGCCTTCACAGATGCTTGCCACTTATTTTACAACACTACCGTTACCGGTCTTGGGCCTCTTGGTAAGCAAGACCTATGCCTTTTTCTTCCCCAGAGTTCACTAATTTGTTGCTCCATTATTCAGGATTCGCTTGGTACAACGCCTCAAACGACGCCTACGAAGAATCCTGGAACACGAACGAAACATATCGTGAAATGGCCGAAGAATTCGGTTACTTCATCCCCGAGGGTAATGAACAATGGGACTCCTTCCCCGAGTCCATCGAGAGCATTTTCTACGCGTACCGAATTACCGGAGACAGCAAATGGCAAGGTTACAACTGGGAGATTTTCGAAAGTGTTGCAAAGCAAAGCGAAGCCGGAGTTCCAGCTGCACCTATTTCTAACGTCGAAGTCAACTATAGCTTCATTTCTGAGTTGCCCAGGTGGGTGGCCTTTCCCGTCTTGTGATCATTTAATAAGATAATTTATAACTAATACGTTTCTTTACGTCTAGCTACTACTTCGCTGAAGTACTGAAGTACCTTTTCCTGTCCTTCGTGGATCCGGAAATTATCAACCTTGACGACTGGGTCTTCAATACTGAGTGCCACCCTATAATTCGTAATGCTGGCTCTTGTGGTACAGACTGAGCGGCATTTCTCGACTGGTTACATACAGCTATCTGTACATATAGCTACACTAACTACTAGTTAGTCATAGAATTCCCAAGTACATGTCTTTGCCACCAGGGGCACCAGGAAGTTGACGGAATGTAGATGGGTCTAAAGACATTATCTAGATCTATTCTAACTTGGTTTTAGCCAATTCAAGAGTGGTTAGATACATGATTAATTGAGCTGTTTAACCCCCACTGGTACAGCCCGACGTCGTGTGTCTAGAGAAAGTTCGGGGCCTTAAACCCCCGAAGTTATCGCCGGGAAGGAAAGCGTTGATCTCCGTATTGATGGCATAGAGGCAGGTCATCTGAGATCTTTACCCCCCTAGTAGTAGAGCCTGACGCTTGATGCAGCATCGTCTTGCTGGCGGTTAGGGCTGGCTATTCACGTGGTCAACCGTAGCCCTAAATATGAACTTGGCATATAGCCAACGCTGAATCACAGCGTTAGATATGATAATAATACCACAAGGGCTGTCATATAGAATTTGTCTGATAATAACCAGCAATATAAAATATACATTCACGGATCTATGAAACTCATGGGAGTCCTAACTCCTCGAGTTGTATCTAGAAAGGGAACTCTACCTTCACATTCCTCTAGTCGCCTTCGATTTGCGCTTTGTGAGAAGAAACATAAATATCGAATACTCAGTAGATACTGCCCTTTATTCCTCTCATTATTCGCAGTGATGTCAACAGCGTGAGATGGAATCAGGCGTTATCATCTAGCCATATCGCGCTTATCTTATCGGAGTATCTTATCTTATCTCTGTCGATGTTCGACTCACGAAAAAAGACCCCGCAGCAGCCGCGCGACTTTTCTCCTTCACTCGGACAATCATCCCTGGAATCACACTCTCACCCACGACTGAAAAGACACATCCACATGGCGGACGCAATAACCGAGGCTGCAGCTAAGCTGCAACTCGACGAGGAGACCGGCGAAATGGTCTCGAAGAACGAGTTGAAGAAGCGGCTTGCGAAACGCGCGAAGAAGGCCAGTAAAGCAGCCGCAGCTTCAGATCCTTCGAAGAAGGGGAACGAGAACAACAAAGCCGCTGCCCCGAAGAAGCCTAAACCGGAGGAAACTCAGCTCGACCCCGACGCTATGTTTAAAGGGGGCTTTTTGGCGCGTGTTTATGATGAACGTCCCGTGGGCAAGGATGTTATGACTCGTTTCCCTCCTGAACCAAATGGATTGTAAGCTTTCTTTTGCCATCTACTTTGTTTACTTCGGAGAAAAATTTGAGAAACATCAATATTGTCTAACTTTCTTGCGCGATAGTTTGCATTTAGGTACAGCATTTTGCTCCCCTCTATTAGGTGCCCTCCTTGTTCCCGCTAATCGATCATAAGGACATGCTAAGGCCATTGCCATCAATTTTGGTTTTGCTCGTTACCATGGCGGTAAAACGGTGAGTTTGCTCTTGTTGCAACATGCACAGAATGACGCGAGCTAATATCCGTTCGTAGAATCTTAGGTAGAATTCTCAACCCGACGTGATTCAAGTTCCGCTGCTAATTTTCTAGGTTTGACGATACAAATCCTGAGGCTGAGGAGGAGATCTACTTTACTTCCATAATTCAGACCATTGAGTGGCTCGGTATGTGAATCGTGTGACCCCGCAGGATACGTGAAAAAACTAAGTACGGGTAAATAAACTTAGGCTTCACGCCTCACGCTATCACATATTCGAGCGATAATTTTCAAAGACTTTACGATCTAGCCGAAAAGCTTATCGGCCTGGAGAAAGCATACGTTTGCCATTGTAACGAGGCAGAAATCAAACTTCAGCGCGGAGGAGAAAAGGGCACTTCGCCACGCTATCGATGCAAACACGCCGAACAGGACATCGAGACGAATTTGCAGAAGTTCCGGGACATGCGAGACGGCAAATACGCACCACAGACGGCGTTCCTTCGCATGAAACAGGACATTACAAACCCGAATCCACAACATTGGTTCGCAAATACAATCTTGCTGATAACTACGCTGGAGCTGATTCATGCTTAACAGGGATCTCGCCGCTTATCGAGTACTTTCCAAACCACATCACCGAACAGGCGATAAATGGGTCATTTACCCAACGTATGACTTTACGCATTGCATTGTAGATAGGTATGCGGAATTTACAATGGTCACACGCGGAGATACAGAAGATGAGCACTTTCTAACAGACAATATAGCATTGAGGGCATAACCCACAGCCTGTGTACCACGGAGTTTCAGCTGTCACGTGAAAGTTACGAGTGGCTTAACTCGACGTTGTCTCTATATGAGCCTATGCAGCGCGAGTACGGTAGGTGCAAAGTATATCAATTAGATTTACATTTGAAAATAAACTGACAAATATACAGGTCGCTTGAACATTTCTGGGACCATTATGTCCAAGCGTGGACTTAAGAAATTGATTGACGGCAACTATGTGCGCGGCTGGGATGATCCTAGATTATACACATTGATTGCACTGAGGAGGAGAGGAATACCACCTGGCGCGATCCTTTCCTTTATCAACGAACTCGGTGTGACCACTGCAAATACCGTTATTCAGTTGGTGAGATTCGAGCAGAGCGTGCGTCGCTACCTTGAATTCACCGTTCCTCGTCTCATGATGGTTTTGGAGCCTCTGCGCATAGTCATTGAGGACGCGGACTCTCTGGAATCGAGCGAGCGAGATCTTACAATCCCATTCTCACCTAAAAAGCCCGAACTCGGGACACACCAGCTCCGACTAACAAACACAGTGTTTATCGACCGCTCCGATTTCCGTGAAGTAGACAGCAAAGACTATTTCCGCCTTGCTCCTGGGAAGACAGTGGGACTGCTAAACATGCCATACCCCATCACGGCAACAACATTTTCCAAGGATGCAGATGGCAAAATCACCGAAGTGCGTGCTGTCTTCAACAAAGACGGCAAAAAGCCCAAGACCTATGTACAGTGGGTTCCCGAAGAATCGCGCAAAGTGGAAGTCCGTATCCACGCCGCACTTTTCAAATCGGACGATCCCGCAGGTGTCGAGGGTGGGTTTTTGAACGATATCAATCCCAACAGCGAGACGATTTATGTCGATGCCTTGATTGAGCCGGGCTTCGATGAGGTGCGTCGCAGAGCGCCGTGGCCGGCTTCAGAAGGAGAAAAGGCGAAGCACGGACCTGAGAGTGTGCGTTTTCAGGGATTGCGGATTGCGTATTTCGTAAGTTCACATTTTATTTCTTTTTCATTTTCCAATGACGGATATTTTATTGACAAGTCTTAATTTAGTGCGTGGATTCGGATTCAACGGACGACAAGGTGGTCCTCAATCGCATCGTGTCTCTCAAGGAAGATTCAGGAAAGAGCTAGTTTGTTTGCATGTGTATTTTCAGTCAGTCATAGCAATTGAATTACTTGATAAGAGTCGTAGTGTATTCATTTAATATAGTCTTAAACCCAAGATATACAATGCCTAAGCATAGACTAGTCTGCAGTTAGATTCTGATAGTAGCTGCGCTTACCACGACCACCCGTCGCAATCACAGTGACAATCACAACCACACTATCAGAAGTTGGCACTAGCCCGACCCCCCCTTCGCTAGCTTTTCAGTGGGATGAGAGTCTGACTGATGCTAGAGCCTAGCGGTATATTTCATACTCCACTAGTAGCTGGATTGGGAGGGGCTCGAAACCTCTAATCGGTTGCATAACATTATGACATATAGATCCGTATAATTGTCAGTTTTGATGCGACTTATTTGAATTTTCCAAATACTTTCAAGGCTAGCTTTCACTTGATCACAGATATCAAGATAAAATTAAGGGCCAGCTGCCCGGATAGTTCGGCTTCTCAGCATGGCTGCCCTGCAGGAAACCGACAATTCCAAGAAGAGCAAAGGCTCCCTTCTGTGGAATCTCCCGACCGAGATCGTGATCAAAATCATGAGGAACTCCCAAAATTTCTCATGTCTCTGGAGCCTCATCAACGCCTCGTCACGTTTTGAGTCGATCTTTAGGGCGGTTGCTTGGGAAACTGTTGAAGAAGTCATGACAAAGACAACACCTGTCTGCACTCAGGCTCTCATGAGAATAGTAGTAAACACACGGACAGCACCCGACTTATTTACTGGCGTTAGTGATGTTGTCAGCTACATGTCTAGGAAAAAGCCCATTGGGCCGTTGCTCCAGGGACTGTCGCCACAGGTGTTGCATGATTTTGTGGAATTAGCACATACCATTCATGGTGTAGCACATGTCTGTTTGGAATTCTACTTGGAGAAATTGATGACTATGAAGCCGCAACGCATCGATGACTGTGACCTTGAAGACAATGACAAAATCCAGAATATGCTGTATTCAGAGCGTCAGTCACCAGGGCGGCCGTTCCAACCAAAGGAATCTGGACCTCCCACATATTTAGAAGAACAGATAGTTGTCCGAGTACTGTGGCGACTGCAAACATTCCTCAACATAAAAGCTGCGTCCAGGACAGGCAGGCTTGCCCATTGGTCAGAAAAGGAATACAATCAACTAGAGATGATCGATATTCCTGAAATGCCACGCCTGTTTCATGAATCAACATGCAGGTGGAAATGGCAGTGTGAGATGGAGCAAATCCTAAGCGTGCTCGACTTCATAAACGAGGTTGCAGGAGATCAATACGGTCAGATGGAGAATGTACTGGCACATTTCTTAAAATGTCCTCCTGCAGTTGTGTATGACAGGGGCTTTCGTCTGCCTTCCTTTTCTCAATCTGATCCAATGTTGGAAAAAGTCAATGGCTTGGAAAAGCTCTCTGATATTGACAACCAAATTGAAAGGAGGCCAATGGGTTGGATATTTTACTACGTGATGACCACGAACAAATATCGTCCAATCAACCATGCTTCCTTCAAGCCATATCGCAAATTTGGATTTGCACTTTGGCATACTGGGCGAATGGAGGAATTAGGTTTTATAGCGCCTAAAAGCGAGTTGCATGGGCTGTTGGGCTCCCATGAACACTGGTTTATATGGCGGAGTATTCTTACACCAGAAGAGGATGCTGAAAGACGAGGTATGGCTATATACTGGCATATGCAAGAACGTAAAGAGAGAACAATACCATTCTAGTAGAATATTTGCATTTCTTTTGAACATCTATTATCTACTATCAGACAGATATCTCGACTTTATCTATCTACTGCTGTTTGCTTTTATTCTATGCCGCAGAGACAGAACATATTGAGCTAGAGACTAATTCGCTGAAACCAACGCTCCCATCTGGGGGCCAGACGTACTTTTTGCCTCATACTTGCGTCTTGATGATCACTCACCCACCAAACCAAGATTGATGCTGTGCCTACACTGTATCAAGAACACAAAAGACCTTCCTCGGGGCATTAATCTCAAGTTTTGCTCCCGGCTATGTAGGGACCATGGCATTTAGACATATGGTTAATTTCTTGGTGGTACCATTCGGGATAATGGCTCTGAAGATCAAGGATAAATTAGCCCTGCTGGAAGCGTGTTTTGTTTATCACCTACGCTCGTTCTGTTCCGTCGGATGACTTCAAGTCTTGAAGTTGTGCATGACCTTGATTGATCTTCACTGGCATTAATGGCAATATCATTCACTGTAAGCAGCCAAGGAGATTTCCTGGTATTGGCAAAAATTTCGGCCTCCGACTGACTCGAAACCTTGGCCATCAATCGTGCTGTTGCCTGATCTCCAACCACTATATCTTTTTGCTTGAAATTAGTCTTAGATTTGCATCTGTCAGTAGGTATGCTTAGGAAAATAACGTCGAGAATGCAAATGTATCAGAGGACATCAATTTATGGTCTGCTACAGTTGGCTGAATTGATTATTCTACACTTATCTTCCTATAGTTTATTCCTATGGATAGCTCTGCTGGAGTTATTCACAGTAATATTAAAACATAATATGCTAATTCTAATGATGTACATGTACATCTGACTATCTAGTAGGTTATAGCATGCAGTAAACAAACACAGGCAAAGTGATATCAAAAACTAAACAGACCGCTTCTTCGCTTGCCAGTGGGATAAACAACTAACGCAGCCATAAACAATCCAACTGTAATGCCAATAGCAACCTGCACCATACCAAATCCAAGGATGAATACTGATGTCCCCGATATGCCAGTGCCTGCTTGACCACCGGCACCAGTTCCTGCTCCTGTATTAGTCCCATTTTTTGGTGATGTGACATTTCTTCGGATCTCGTCCGCTGATTGAACGCCTGAAATCAACGAGCCCGAGGATGCAAGACCAGAAGGCACAAGAACAAAGATTGCGGGCAGAATGGCCGTTGCTGCGTGGCCATGCCATAGCCTACTGTAGAGATTCCCCATGACTCCAATTACAAAAGCCCCGAGAGTATTTGCGACTTGCGAGTTGCTGCCAACACGCTTAGTGCTGAAGTAGTTGACCACGTAGCCAATGAACGCAATGATCATCATAACCGGAGCCTGCTTGAATTTCCCCTGGTTGAGGACGACTATCCATATTGTCATCGCGACAACAAAGGGAAATCGTTGAACATAAGGGTTGTTGATAGGCCACGAGGGACAAGTGGTGTTGGAGTTCGCGTTGCCGTCGATCAACCCATATATGGTGACGCCGACAGTGATTCCATAACCAAGGAATAGCGAATAGATAATAGCGTAGACCATTCGGATTGAGCCCGCTATCATTTGATGGGATTGTAACTCCAAACTACTGCAGAGAACCAAGAATCCTGGCAAAATAAGAGCAATGCCGGCTTGGGCAATACCAGCGAAGCAAAATAGATATTCTTGTTTGCCATTGACAACTCCCCATCGAATGCTTCCAAATGCACGCGCCAAGAACGAAATCAGCACCGCTGCACATACTTCAAACACGTTAGAGTACAAAGATGACTTTTTCGCAAGAACGAGCTGCATGAATCCAAGCATGGCACCAAGTATAAATGAGACAGGCATGTCAATGGGACGAGCTCCAAATGCATACGGCCCAACAGTCGCACTAGCTAAGCCGTACATGAAAATCAAGAACCAGATCGGAAATCTGGGCTTGCGGTTCATGATCTCATCTAATTGGTGTATCGCTTCTTCGACTCCAATCATATCATGTACCACGTTCTTGTACACGCTGTGAGTGTCGGCCAGTCGGCTAAGATCCACCCCCTGTCCGATTCGAACTAACTTGAATTCTGTGGTGCGTGTTGTCGTATCATCAAAGGCCATGATCATGCAACCTGGCAAGTACAGAAATTGAGCATCAACTTCTAGGACACGGGCAGTCATCTGCATGTATTCTTCCAGCCTGTGAGTTGGAGCGCCAAACTTCATCAGGGCACGGCATAGTTGCATCAGGAAGCGCTGTCGAGTAATAATTTCTGCAATATGAACAGTTACACGGATTTCGTCTTCCAGTCGGGGCTTTCCTGACTGTTTGCGTTTCTTTGCAGCTGCCGACATCATGCGGTTGGAGTGGCTTGGTGCTCCTGCGGCGCTCAAATGCGATGCAGCACCGATTAGCGAAGTTGTGGATTTGTTCTTGTCTTTGTTGTACCATTTCACCTTGTCTTTCTTCGGAGTCGTCGCTCCAGACGACGGGGTGGACCATCCGGGAGACGGCGAGACATCCGAATCTGTGGTACTAGTGCTCCCAGCACGGCTGTCATGCCCTCCTCCTCCTTGTGCGCCTGCACCATAGAGCTTCAACAGGTTACCTAGAACGCCTCCACCGCCCATTCGGGCCATGGAATCTGGGTCCTCTCCCGGTGCGCCGGCCTGTGCAGACTCTAATGGCTGTCGCTCCCTATCATGAGGACGAGATCGAGGCTCTGTGTGGTGCTGTGTCATTTCTCGGACCAACCGATGAGCCTCTGACGTGGGATGACCTTGGTCCTTTCGACGATCTTCATCAGTCTTCCTGTGGTTATCCGTGATATCTGAGTAAGGGACACCTCCGTCGCCTGCCCAAGTAGCGTCCGGTATCGACGACGTCAGGCCATCTCCCTGTGTTGGTTCACGGCCCAGCTTTTCAGCAAACAATCTTGCCTTTTCCATACTCCAGAATTTCTTTGCTTTCCCCAAACTAAACCATTTTTTCTCCTTCTTTGCCTCTTTTTCTTCTTTCTCTTCGTCCACCTGCTTGCCCTCTTTCTTGGTATGATCTTGGCTTTTAAGGTCATTGATATCCGGTTGAGCACGCTCAGCATCCGTCACGTCTTCGGACTTCCTTGATTCGTCCTGCTTTTCTGCCTCCGGTGGTATATGGAATGGCTGGCGAGGATGGTCGGGGTTATCCAAACGTTCATTGACCAAGGTACGCGCATCATCGCCGTTGTTTAGCGAACGGAATCGCACACGATGCTCGTGAGGCCGGCCCTCAGGGCGCGTCTCGTGTTCTTCTTCTCGCAAGGTCTCGTCGCTATGTATAGACGGCGCGGTCTGGCGGTCCTCGGGGTATTCGTGGTGCTCTTCCGCAGCAGACATCTTAAATACGTGTAAATACCGCTCTGCGTCTGATACGATTCCGCGAGGTAGAGATACTAATAACCAGTGTGAATGCCAGAGCCCAGCCTGAAGGAGCAAAAAGCTGGAGGAGAAATTGGGAAATGGAAAGTCTGTCGCAGGCAGGAGCTGGCTGGCTTGAGCGGCTGCCCCGAGGGTGGTGGCGGCAAAGCGAAGCTTATTCGCTTTTTATTCCAGGCCAATAAATGCCTTTACGCAACTGTCCTTGCCGCACAGATCTATCCATTGCCTGTCGACTGGCTGCCTATAGTCGCTCGGTGCACCCTGGGTCGCGATGCTTGTTGCACTGTCCTCGTCCTTGCGAGCTCTAGATTGCGTATTCCGATCGGAGAAGTGTCCTGTATGCGAGGGATGGCATTCTTTATTTGTTTGACTTTATTCTCCGGGAACCAAGCGCTCCATGGATTACGTGGAAGCAGGCATAGGGATGAGTATGGGCGTGGTCATACCTTGTCGCCGCTGCCACCGACCATCAAGTTAGGGTTTGCCGTTCACGGGTTCCGCGCGGATACAGTAGCAATGGAGAACTGGATCGACTTATCGCGCGATAGGAGATGATGATGATACCGTCCCCTGCATAGATCTGACGTGTTCATTGACATTTAACTTTCCATCTCTATATTAGGATTCCCTGTTGCGAGGGGTGATCAGCCGGTGATCGTCGACCAAATCTATCATCTATCCCATCGCCAACGTCAACCGGAGAATGGCGTCGTCTTTAGCCGGATCTGTGCACATACGAGAGGCTGTGTAGTGTTCCCTTCTTGCTAGAGAATTCATGATAAGCAAGTATTCGGTGAAAATGTCATGCCGTCAATTACCAGTTTATCTTAACCCTGCTTCAAGAATCGGTTTTTTAGTTTTGTTTTGTTTTTTTGTTATTTTTTTTGGGGGGGTTTTCTTCGATATCAAAACAAAAATGAATGCCCTACAGCATAATCAACCAGTGTCTATGGGAGAATATGCGAGAAGTATTCGCAATATGATGCTCGCCTATGTAAACACATAACAACTTCAAATAACCGGCACCTTCACGATGATTCTATCTGATTTAGAAGTACCTAGGTATACCAAACTGAAATAGGTATGGAATTTCTATATTTATTTGTATGTCACCTACCTAGGTACCTCACAAAGGTAGATCCTAGGCAGTGGTACGCAAGACATTAACGAGGATACTATTTAGTTAGGATAGTCGACCATCAGTATTTCGATAATCCCCCGGTATGAGTTAATCTGAAAACATGTTATTGTGTATCGTTCTTGCAACATTTCGACTACAAGTAGAATAGAGAACTGTAATATATGAGTTGTAATTTTATACCTGGGTAGCTAGGTATCAAATATATCATTGTATATTAATAAAAATATTACTGTGAAATTCAATACAGAAAACATAAATACTGAAAGCTTGACTTCTCATTGTCTGGATTCAATGTAAGTTGCCGCATAGAGAAAAGAAGGACGAGAAGATATACTTAGAATGAATCAAAATGATTTCAGTTTCATGACGCGAACTAAGAAACGATTTCAATCATCAACATGGAGGCACAAAATTAAATAATGAACATTATGAATATATGTGAAATATGGATGGATGTCTGCATTGTAGTCTTCTAACCCACAGGTGATGAAACCGACAAAGCTGTCGTTGGACAGATAAAGGATCTTTGTGGGATCCAAAGAAATTGCTGAAAAGAAGCTAATGCATAAATAGGCTAGGTAGGATACTTACTACTGTTCTCAAATTTAATCGTATTAGACAAGAAATACAGCTTCTATCTCACCATATCATACAATACTCCCCACCGTTGCCCACTTGCTATCCGGTGAAATGGAATCTATGGATTTAACTCCTATTGACGGGGATGGTAGTATAGAATTAGGCAGCGGCCAGGACCTTCGTTCAGAAATTACGTTCGAGGCCCCGACAGCGGCATTATGTCCCCATTGTTACAGACACGTCGGCCAACCTCCGCGAAGACAGTCTCAAATCCATCCGCCGGTGATACCGAATTCACATGCTACTCATGCCGAACTCCAGGATGCAATTAACGCGGCATTGGAAAACCAACTCGGTGAACAAAATTATGATGAAGTGAAAGTGTTGCTTCTCAATTGGGAAGACATGTGCTTGAAGAAGTCTGAATATGAATCTTCTATCCTTGAGCAGACCGTAAAGTTAAAGGAAGTCTTTCAAAATGACTATCATTACGATGTTGAACATTATTTCATTCCCTCAGTGAACCCTTACTTTCAGCTCCTGAATGACATTTCTGAAACCATAAGGGATCTCGCCGACAAATCGGGAAAGTCAGTGCTTTTTATACTGTACTACAACGGGTATAGTTCTATACAGGACGGTGGTCAACTCATGTGGTCGGCGTAAGTATTCCTCACTAAAGTTCAAGTTACTGCATATTACTGAAGGTAAAGCATAGCCATAAAGACTGGGGCCCAGCCCTATCATGGTACGATCTTCAAAGATTACTCGAGACTGCCTTGGTGGACGTTCTTTTGCTTCTAGATTGCGACCAGTCTATCGGCCCAACAACGAAAGGCCTATGTGGCACAATGGAAGTTCTTGCGGGCAGCAGCCGAGAACACAAAGCCTCAGGGCTAGAAAAAGACTCTATATTTGCCTCCTCTTTTACTCACACATTAGCAAAACATCTTCGAGAACAAGCTTCACATTTGCACGGGCTACTAGTAACAGAACTCCAGGCTTTGTTGAGTCTCGATAAAACTCTGGAAGGTCAGTCTCCGATTCACGGCGTTCTGAAACGCCACGGAAATCCGATAAAATTGCGCCCACTGCTCTCGAAGGTCGAAGTGGAAGAGACGGCGTCCCGAAAATATTGTGCATTTAAAGCTAGCCGGAGTCCCTTTGTCTCCATTAGATATCGGGGAGAAGGCTATTCAAAGCCCGTTGCCATCAAATCTGAACTGAAGGCTCTTGTTTCCGTGTCGTTTCGGGGGGAGATTTCTCCACATCTAGACGACTTTATCGAGTTGTCGAGCACACAGCGCAAGGGCGAATTTTTGAAGATAGAGATACAAGCTCTCAACATAGGAGCCGCCCTTGACTGTCGCTCGAGCATGGTGCTATTCTCGATGCCTGTCACCCTATGGGCCCATCTCGAAGATTTACCTGGTTGCTCCCTTATTGGATTTGTTAAGACATGGAGTTCATGACGGGTGTATGGAGCGCTGGAACAGATAATAGTTCTAATAGCAAAGGTGTTCTTGACTTGAGAAATCTAGGCGTCGGCTATGCCTGGATTGCATCCCCATCCATTCCTTAGGGTTAAGTACGTGGGTGCCTTGGCGCCTAAGGCTAACATGATAGTAACATCCTATCCAGCGACGTCGACTCATTTTATTTCTACATCTTTCTACTTGTGTTCGACGAGAAACACCATGGACCAGTATTTGATCATGGAGCAACCATGCGTACTATATGTATTAGTGCTTACTCATTTACCTAAGTGTAGCACCCCTTGTGCCTAGATTCCAACAGACCATGATTCCTCTCAAGAATGTGAGTGCCGAACAGGGCGTCTTCAAAATGTACAAAAATGACAAACTTGCCGATGGGACTAAGTTTGATCGCGCCGGGAAATGCAAGCATACCAGAGACACATTGTTTTGGCATGCATGGTATGATGGATGGAGCTGGTCTGGGCGGTCCAAGATGGTATGGACGCGACATCAATTGACTTTCACGAGTTTCATGCTTTGTTACTTCTAATATCATACCTGTTCTTTTGTGCTGTGAGGCCTGATTTCTCTTTTCTTTCTCGTATGCCATATCACAAACTATGTATATAGAGCTTGTGTGGATGGCTTTTGCCTCCACAGCAGCGGCAAATATTGGTCCATTGCCGCTGCCAGAGCCAACTCAGCTTTTCGCTCCTGACAATGGCCTGCTCAAGTTGTCACCCGAGCCGTACGTTTTGAATCCATCTCTACCGACTATTGAGGTGGACTACTAATAGAAGGACATAATCCAGTATTTCCGCTCTCGCCGGGGCTCTACTGCCTTTCCTGTTTACGCAATCAGGATCACCAGTACCGACATCTGCGCAAGATTCACCTTCATCCCAAACGCCTTCTCCTGCTGCTACCAGTACTACTCCCTCTCCTGCTGCTACCAGTACTACTCCCTCTCCTGCTGCTACCAGTACTACTCCCTCTCCTGCTGCTACCAGTACTACCCCCTCTCCTGCAACTCCCAGTACTACTCCCAGCTCGACACCGGCCAGTAGCTCGGGGTATAACAATGGAGGTCCAAAAGTGCCCGGCAGCACTCCAAGTGTGAGCCGATCGGCCAGTCGATCAGCGAGTAGTACTCCAGGCGGCTCAAGTAGCTCAGGTAAAACCAGCACGAACTACTGCATGGGTGCACAGACAACCCAAACGCCAACCGAATACTGGTTACACGCACAGGATCATACTGGGAACGGTCGAGGATATGCCCCTTTTGTCGAAGGGAACCCGTCGTATCCCGTATATCGCGATGTGACGGCGTATGGCGCGAAAAATGATGGTACAGGAAACCAGACCTCTGCTATCCAACAGGCCATCAACACTGATGGCCAGGGAGGCACCCGCGAGAGCAAGGGCAACACCTATATGCCTGCCGAGGTGTTTCTACCAGGGGGTGTATACACGCTTGGAAGTACGCTCACTCTCCGCCTGGGAACGATCATAGTGGGAGACCCCTTGAATAGGCCAATAATTAAAGCGAGCTCTGACTTCATTGGTTCTACTCTTGTCAATGGTCAAGATCCTGCCAGTGGACACCCGGAGACTGTTTTTATGATTGCTATGCGCAATGTCATCCTTGATACTACGGACATCGACTCGTCTTACTCCTTCACAGCTTTGCAGTGGGGAATTGCGCAAGGGTGTGCCTTGAGCAATGTGGAAATAAACATGCCGCAAGATTCTGTTGGACATATTGGTATTCACCTCAATGGCGGGTCTACTATTGCAGTTACTGATGTTGTACGTTTTCTTCTGTTATTTTTGTGCCTACATATGAAAGAATAAGCTAATAATAACATAGACAATCAACGGTGGCGGTATTGGCATCCAGAACTCAAATCAGCAAGTGAACTTCAAAAACATCAATTTCAATGGCTGTCGAACTGGTTTTGCTGCAACTGGAGGGTTCACCGTCGTTCTGCAATCTGCCACTTTCCAAAACTGCGGGCTCGGAATTGATATGACAAAAAATGATCTGGGGTCAATGGTAGTGCTAGACTCTAGGTCAACAAATACCGGTACGCTAGTCAAGTTTCATGATTCTTCAAACGACTCTGGATCCCGAAACAGCCAGATTGTGATTGAGAATCTGTCTAGTAGCGGCCAATATCCTATTGCTGTAACTTCGGACGGAACAACAGTACTCAATTCCCAAAGCTATGTTGACACATGGATTTACGGAAACGATATACCAGGTTCCTACAAGGCCGGTGAAAGTGCATACACAACACGGCCAAGTACCCTTCTGGATGGCAATGGTCGATACTTCATACGCAAACAGCCAGATTATTCTAACTATCCTGCTAGTCAAGTCGTGAATGTAAAGAAAGTATCCGGTCTTCCCGTCAAGGGAGATGGCGTAACGGACGACTCGACAAATTTGAATGCTATTCTTCGTCAAAATGCTGCTAACTGCCAAATCACATATTTTCCTTATGGCGTCTATATTTTGCGAGATACGCTGTTTATTCCCCCTGGCAGCAGAATTATTGGTGAGGCGTGGGCTGTACTATCAGGCGCAGGCTCTGCTTTCACGGATACATGGAATCCACGGGCCGTGGTCAAGGTCGGCTATCCCGGCGATGTTGGCGTTGCTGAGATCCAAAACATGCGCTTCACCGTCTCTGAGGTGTTACCAGGTGCTATACTTTTGGAAATTAACATGGCAGGCACCAACCCAGGTGATGTCGGCCTTTGGAACACTTTAACTACAGTTGGTGGTACGGCGGACACGTCGGTCTCAACTAGCTGTATCAACCAAGACCCAAGCTACTGTATGGCAGCTTTCATGCACGTGCACCTCGCAGAGTCATCTTCGGCGTATGTCGAAAATCACTGGGGTTGGACAGCAGACCACAATCTAGACGGCGGACCTTCTGTCATCGTTATATCTAGCGGCCGAGGTATCCTCGTCGAATCCACTCGAGCTACATGGCTCGTTGGCACGAGCTTTGAGCACAACTGGCTATATCAATATAATATCCATAGTGCTCAGAATATCTACGCAGGCATGATGCAGACCGAGACTCCCTACATGCAAGGTGAAGGCGCCATCCAAACGGTACCAGCCCCGTGGAGCATATCAAACCAGTACAACGACCCGGACTACTCCTGGTGCTCCAGTACAGATCAACACTGTCGCTCCGCATTATCGACAAATGTTGACGGGGGATCCAACATCATGCTATACGGCTCTGCTGCATGGGCTTTCTTCGAGGGAACCTGGAACGGCCTTTACAATACCCCATGTGCCAGCGGCATATGCCAGACGAATATGATGCGAGTGACTAATACCACGCATAATTTGGCATGGTATTCATTGAGCACGAAGTCGACTGATGTGATGGTGCTAGATGCACATTCTAATCCCAGGGAATATAACAATCCTGGTGGGTGGTCTGGGATGATACAAGCCTATCGTCAATTTATGGCCTGAACGGGTTAAATTTATTGCATCTTAACGGCTTTGGTTTGACTATTATGCTCTTCTTTTTCAACTTTCTAAAGTCCGCTTTTCAATGTTGACAAGATCTCCTTCAAGTGTATTACGGTATATCTGTAATGCGACTTTTCTATATGTATGCATGTACATATTACCTACCGCGCTTCTATCTACCTATTTAATCAGATTATACAATATAAACTGAGTTTATCCCAAACTAATGTCATTGCCACGTATTTGAATGCGTTCCATGGCCGGGACTGAAGATATCCATATTGGCTACTTGGATTTCTAGCGGATTTGATCGTTGTGGCCATAACGTCGGAATGCCAGAAACCCCTCCCTACAGTTCCAAAGAGCTACTGCTCAAATTTAGGAGTAATTCGTCTCTCATCATGGAGGCATGTGACCATACTCGACATCTTTTGCGTCAACCTCGGCGCCCTTGTCCAGTAGCAGCTTCATAATGACTTTATGATTCTTCTTAGTAGCCTTTGAGAGCGGTGTCTGGCCATACCTATTTTTTGAGTTTACCCTAGCACCCTTATCCAGAAGCAACTTGACGATAGCTTCATTACCATTTTCGGCGGCCAATGAGAGTGGCATCTGAACATACGCGCCATCCTCAAAGTTGAACTTAGCACCCTTATCCAGCAGCAGCTTGACGATGGCTTCATCACCGTTTTCAACAGCCATTGAGAGCGGCATCCAACCATAGTCCTTATCCTTAGCCTCAACATCGGCGCCTCTGTCCAACAGCAACTTGACAATGGCTTTGTCGCCATTTTCAACGGCAAAGAAGAGCGGTGTCCAACCATTTTCACTATCCTTTGAGTCAATTCCTGCGCCCCTGTCTAACAGCAGCTTAATAATAGCTTCATCACCAACTTTCGCGGCCAATAAGAGCGGTGTCCAATTATGCCCATCATTCTTTGAGTCGATCTCAGCGCCCTTGTCCAGTAGCAGCTTGACAATAGTCTCATGACCATACTTAGTAGCCCACGAGAGCGGTGTCTGACCATATGCATCATCCTTCAAATCAATCACAGCGCCCTTATCTAACAGAAGCTTGATGATGGCCTCATAACCGTTCACAATCGCCCATAACAGCGGTGTCCGACCATATTCGCTATCCTTGGAATTGACCTCAGCCCCCCTTTCCAGCAGTATCTTGACGATGGCTTCATGACCAAAATATGATGCCACCATAAGATCTGTAAAATTCTCGGTAGCACGTATACGTACGGTCTGCCAAAAAATCCGGAACCAAGTCAAGTAGCTCTTCGAGTCTGGATCACAAATTCTAAGTGCGATAGGTATAATGTCAGCATCATCAGTGATCTTAGCCTCGCGGAAGTGAGCGCCCCAGAATTTGGCCGAGTAATCCAAGAAGGAGCGGCTATGGATGGATGGGCTGACTTCCTCCTTCGCATCTGTCGAAACGATAGCGTCGGAGTTCAAAAGATTCAAGTACAGAACGCAGAGTTCCGCAAGAATGGCATGTGCTTGGTTACTAGTAATAGAATAATACCAGCTTGCCCCGGGATTCGACGGAACAGCTGTAGGCGATGCCAGATCTGCGAGGAGAAAATCGCGAGCTGTTTTGTGGAGAAGATAAACTCTGTCATGATATATTGAGACGAACAATCCACATCATGACCTGAGACGCGGCTCGAAGTCTTCCTCGTCCTCAAGATCAAGGTCCCGAATGGACTGTAATGTAGTGTTTATATTCAAGGCAACATTCATTTCCGCGAGTGTTAATGACCGACTCGCAGCCAAAATGATAGCCAAGGCTTTACGAACCATCCAATCGTTCTTGGACTTGTTAAGGATTTTCTCATATGCTTCATTGATGGTCCTTGGGAGCTTTGCAACCGTCGACTCAATCCCCTTTTTCGTCTTTTTGAAGTTTTCTTTTTCCAGATAGTCGAACACAAGGCATACCCACAAATAAGTGCGGTTAGGTGTCTCCTGTAGTCTTTTCTCCAGGTGGTTCTTGATTTCTGGTGAGAGACGCTGCTTCTTCGAAAGTAGATTTACCCGGTGTGTAATGACTCTATTCACCTCCTGACTTATGGTTTCGGATTCTTTCTCTCCATGTATACGGATATTTGGGAAAGCTTGCAATAGGCCACGAAACCGAGACACAATCTGTTCATACGGACGGCTCGTTAGAAGATACTTTAACTTCCCATTGCCTAGCTGGCTGGCGCGTAACTGGCTCGCAATGTTCTGTATCAGGTCTGCAAATTCTGGTTCAGCACATTCATCCAGGGCATCGAGGACCATGATTATAGGCCCTGCTCGGGTGTCTTGAACAGCGTTTCCCAGAACCTTCCAGAGTGATTCCGAAGAATTAATTAAACCTTGCCCAACAATCTCATATTGTGTCATGGCATGTTCGACCAGAGACGGCTTGTGTTCGAAGAGCTGGTGAAGTAGAGCGCAAAGGGCCTGTCGGATGGTGTTCTGATCCTGGTCTTTAAAGAAGAAGTAGCATATGGTCGACGATTGTGGTAGACCGTGGTCGATCAGGTACTTGGCCAGCACCGACTTTCCACAACCAGGGTCCGCTGAGACTAGGAGGGGGCCGAAATCCTGTTCCAACCATGTTTGGTAATTTATGTGTCTGAGGAACCAAAGGCACGTATCTTCAACCCTTTCATCCACTCGGTCCTTGTACCACTCGTATGTAATATCCCTGCTACTGGTTGTAAGGCGGAATAGCTGATGGCATTTTCGTCTCTCTTTTCGCTCCTCTTGGGACAATTTATCCCTGGCTAGATCTTTATGAAATTGCAGCTGCTCCTTTGCGGTATGCTCAGTCTGTCTGGCAATGTCCCGGGTCTCCTTCCCAACGTCTAGATGTTCTTCTGCAACTTTATGAATGCCTGTGCTGGGATTAGCACGTATTACTACCGTGGTTGTAAAACACTCGAATTACCAGATAAAAGTTCACTGATCTTCTTCTCAGCTTCAATACTTTTCGGAGCTATTCGGCAGAGTAAATCTTTCGCATATGCCGCAGCCACCATGGCTGCGTACCCTTGCCATTCTTTATTTTTATGGGTGTCTGCGTAGTCACAGATACCGCGAATGACTAAGCAAGGAAACTGATTCATTAACAACCCTGCCGCTTCCATTTCAAAACAGAGCACGCCACTTTCTGCTGACAATTTATCTCGAATTAACGCGTCCTTCATCAAACTATTCGCAGAGGCGATGAGGCCGTAGTGGATGGCCGGGTTATCTTCATGTTTGGACCGATGGCGTCTTGGTACCAATTTTGTTGTATCATTTCCACAAGACGCTCCGCAGCTTATTTCGCTGTTGACAGGATGGGTGACTCCAGTTCGAGACAGCCTGTCATTACTTATATTTGGTCGCCTATACTCACGTTGCAGTCTTGGGTGCTTCTTTAGAATGTCGTTAATGGCCTCCTCAAGCTGATGCCCTTGAACCTTATAATGATTTTTGAGCCCGTTCACTGCAGCCCGTAGGAGGATTGGCGGCTGGTTTAGAAAGCCTGTTCTGCGAAAACTTTGCCTTTCTATAGTCTTGCCAAAGCCATATTGAAACACTCCACCATTTCCTTCGCGAGGAGCACTGACCACAACATCGCCTAGGCGAATATCATGCTGTTGACTCGGGGCGCCGCCGCCGATACCGACCATTAGGCCAATCCGGATATTGGGAAAGCTATGCAGCATGTCTCTTGCGACACTCGTTGCAGAGGAAATCCCGTATTCACCGTCTGGCAGAACAGCAATAACAACATTGTGCTTCCCAATTCTACCCAAGACATAATCATTGTTATCATTCTGAGAAACATGTTCTGTCCCTTCGTGCATTTCGTCAAGAAACAGCTGCGCGGCAACATGCTCCGTGTTTACGGCGCAGATCCATCCAACAGTGTAACTCGCATTGTTCTTACATGCTGGTTGTCGAGCATCAGCCGTATCATCATTCTCTGGGGCCGTCTTATTCGCTAAAATCGAAACAGATTCCGGAGTGTTACTGCCTTTGTCACCTGGAATCGTCTCTTTACCTTCTAATATATCACCCCATTCACTGCTGGAAATAAATTCATTGGGTACCGCTGTCTCAGTGGGTTCATCGCTTTGTTGGCGACGTTTACCGGAAGTCCAGTCCATCGCGAGCAGAAAACATAGGTAGACACGGCGACGACCAGAGCACAAATCAGAACTACATGTTGAGATCGGGTGAAATCGCCAGTGAGGAATCGCGAGGCAAGAGAGTACAGCATGGCAGCAGTCGTTACAACCGACTTGTCATGAGTTGTGGTGTTGGCTGCGGAAGAGAGAACATTTGGCAAGTAATCTAACCCAATCCATCAACTGAGAGACTGGCCAGACGCTAAAGTGAACAAGTCCCCCGCTTGGTTGGCTTGGCGGCGGATATATGCAACAGATCCACTCTTGGAAGTCATTCAATTGGTGATTCCATAATCTCATACTTCCTAATTAGGATAGGCTCCCGAGCATCTACACCAGGGACGATGGGACTAGTCCCAGAATGGCAATCTCCTATGATTCCATAATCGTCCTTGATCAATGTTATTTGAAAGTTATTGTATAAGGAGTCTACTAGGCTGAACTTTGCTGATGGTGGGCGGTATAAGATAAACGAGGCTATTTGTAATCGTCGATTCACGTAGCAAATCCATTCAGCTATTAGGTACCTAGGTAACGACGTAGTCGTCTCTCAGGTATAAATAGACCTCTAGCTACTTGTCATTATATCAACTTTTCTTCAATTCAGCACTCCTGCTTGGTTCTCTATCAGCATTTCTTGACTTAACTCAACCATTTTTTTCCAACTCTCTCAGAAGTTCTTCACAATGTTCTTCATTGGAGCCAAACTCTTCCTTGCAGGTGCATTACTCGGGTTGTCAGCCGCAGCTCATCCCCTTGAAACAGAAGGAGAATCATGTGAAGCACCTCATAGGGCCAAGGCAGTTTATTTTCTGACAAATGAGGATTTGAACTCGGTGGTTTCAATCCCAATAAATCTCGACGGTACACTCTCTGGAGGTCTGACGACACCCACCGGAGGGAATGGCAGTAGTACTGTTAATGCCACCGGTGGCCCCAACGGTCCCGATGCTCTGGGCTCACAATCTGCTTTGACTGTTTTAGAAAATGTAAGATAGTATTTAGATCCCTGCTGTGCTTGATCGAAGCTGACTCTCTGCTTCACATTATGTAGCTTCTATTTGCTGTCAATCCCGGATCGAACACTTTGAGCATGATGAAAATCTCAGAGGCAGACCCAACAGTTCTTACTCTCCTCGGTGAACCAGCTCCCTTGCCTGGTCAATTTCCTGTGACGGTGGCGGCTTCGAACAAGAACAGCTTGGTCTGTGTAGGCACAACGGGTGCCATAGCTGGAATTTCTTGCGCTTCCTATACATCTCAAGGTTTAGGTGAAATGAGTCCACTGATTTCATTTAACTTGAATCAAACTTCACCTCCCTCCGGGCCTTTGAATGGTGTGGCTCAGACATTTTTCTCTGAGGACGAAACCCGTCTTTTCACCACGGTGAAAGGTGACCCTGCCAGTAATAACACCGGTTTCGTGTCTGTGTTACCCATTGAAAACTTTTACGTCTACTCTGGAGCGCACGATATCCGAAGTTCACCAAACGGAACGGCCGTACTATTTGGATCCACAGTCATACCTGGGACTTCCACCATCTTTTCGGCTGATCCTTCTTTTGGGGCGGCAATTCTCCAGCTGAATCCATTCACAGACGAGGTTTCGCTGGTTTCGAAACAAATTATTGCAGGTCAACAAGCAACCTGCTGGGCTGCTTATTCCAAGGAAAGACAAAGTGTTTTCGTAACTGATGGAGCAGTCAATCGCCTGGTCGAGTTGAGCGCAGTGGATACCCAAATCGTATCAATTGTCAAGCTCACCAACGGTGACCCTGGATTAATTGATCTCAAAGTCTCTGGTCGTTACATATACGCTTTATCTCCGGGTAATGGCACCAATCCTGCCGCCGTGACTGTCGTGGATTCTTTCATAGGCCGTCAGATTCAGCATTTCCTTGTCGATGGATTGGGTGCTAGTAAAAGCTCGCAAGGTATGGCGCTTTTGGAATAGGTTACAAATCCTTACCATAATGCTATATGGAAACGCAAGTATTGGGACTCCTAAATAGCAACTCCAAATGTTTTTGCATTAGTCAATATTAAGCCAACTTAAAGTTCACATACCTACGAGAACTGGCTTTTGCGAATGTTTGAACCAATTATGTATCTGTCTTTTTTTTAAATGCCACGAGACCAGTACTTCCTATACCTTATAGCGAGTCTCTCTCCTTCCTGAGTTCGTTAGTGAAGTCAACCAAGCCATCCCACTCTTCAGTACAAATGCTCTACGGCATCTCATCTTAAATGGCTACGTATAATATTATGTCTAGGTATAGTGTGATACTCCGTAGGACCTCGCGATAATACTATTGCTTCCATACAAAATGAAGAAACAAAACGATTGAACCTTCAGCTAGAAGTCAATATCTCAGCCACCATTTTGACACAGATATCTTTCTCGACAACTGCGCCAAATCTATTCGATCGAGATCAGAAACAGAACAGAAACGCGGATACCCATGATCTAGCATATACGTACCCGTAACACTTTATATGATTTAGTAAATTCTCGGCCAGTTTACGCAGCTGGCCAATGCCGGGTTTGTATGCAAGTGGTTGGTCGACAATATAATTCCATGCTTGTATAGGGCTGAATTCGTCATCACAGACAAGCTCGGAAGATAAGGTCGTTAGACGGTCGAAAATTGCCTTTGAAGCTTCTAAGGATGGAGAATTGTCGGTGAAGGACTGTGGATAGTGGTTGGCATTCAACATTGGCATCGAGGCGGTTAGAACATGGCCAGAAGGCTCACTTGGATTGTTCAAGTCGAGATGGATGTGACCAAGACAAGGTTTTTCAAGTCTACGATTCATGGTCAGATAATAAACAGAGTGAATATCAAGTGTTTAATACTTACGTCAGTACGAATTCCATACCATCGGCAAGTACAGATGTATCTGTCGACTTTTTGACTTGTGTATGCTGGTCTCGTACGGGATGGTAAGATGACGGCGACACTGAATAATGAAAGCAAGGCATAGGTGATTAAACCTATGTTGTATTCAAAGAGCAGAAGACAAGTTTCGTACCGGTTTTATTGGTAGTACCTGTGTTCAGTGAGGTTTGATGCAGTGTAGAAATGTTGCTGTTATGTTCGGCGGTGGATGATGCCGCAAATTGCTCGTCCATAGTGGCGTTGGGTGTAGACATATCGATGTCATTGCGCCTCAAAGCATCTTCGAGTTGACCTACATGGGCACTTAATTCTCGTATCTTCTTCAAGAAGCCGGCTTCATTTGCTCGAAGACGCAAGACTTCGCTTTCCAGTGTCTTGAAGTATTGCTCTTTGCGTTCTCGATGAGTCCTGTTCCAAGGTAAGCTGTAGATCAACAAGAGCACTTTTGATGAGCCAGTTCACTGTTGAGCTTTGCGGACTTGTTCTCGACGTCTCAAGTACGCGGACTGATCTCGGTTAGAGGAACTACTCGTTTCGTTGTCCTTGTCTTGGGCTTTAGATATCCACATAAAGCGAGCGTTAGCCAATATGTGTGCTATTGCGTTCAGGTGCAGGCAGTCATTGTGCAGCTCATGTTTTGAATGCGTAGAACAGACCGTTTAAGTCTTATTAAAAGAAGATGTTTACCCACCCTTGGTCGACCAGTGGCCTGATAAGAAGGTAAATGTTTTCTTCATTTCGGATTTATTCGGGAGATATATAAGTAACTCGAGCTGCAGGTGCTTGATGATATGTTCAGACTCCAGCTTTGTAGGTTAAAATTGAGTGAGACACGATTTTCTTTTTTGATTACGGGATCAAGAAGTATCCTAAAGTAGTTAGGGTTAAACTAGTTGAAGCCAAAAGTCAATTCAGGGTCTACAGGAAAAACTCCGTGTCGCCGCGATAGAGAACTGGTTATTTTCGTGCTGATGTGGTTTCTACTTGGAATCAGAAGCTACTATATACTGTGGCTTTCACACTCTAAATTCTTGAAGAAATGACAAGCACGGTAAGTATAGTCTTTATATAGTAGATCTATTCACACTTGAGCCACACCGGACAGACACAGAGCTCCTGAAGTAGAACTCTCGAGTCTTTAGTAGACTCTTGAAATAATACATGCATGAAAACATCAGGTAATGAGGTATAATAAGTATGTTGTAGTAAAACAGGTTTGAAACCCTTGTTCTGCTTGAACCGATACCTTGCTTTGTTTGTTTGCTTGCGTGGATAACAAGGGTCGAAAAAAACATATAATAAATGAAAAACTTGCCATAAACCCGTAAACATTAATGACATAGATAAAAGGGGCGGGGGAATACATTGATAGAAAAGAAGATCGATCTATGCAACAAATGAAATAGAACAAACAAAATATATAGTGCCAAGTGAATTACTCTGGTTTCCGTCCAACCATCAGGTACATCGGTGTGAAAAGTTTCTTTTCACCACCAGCAACCAGGCAGTCGGCAGCCAAAGCCAAGCTGTCAGCGGTTTTTTGCGTGCCATGGGGCATGACCCCGACTTTCTCCAAAGCACCAACGAAACGGTGTACGATACCACGGCCCCACCAAGTAAGGCGAGCAATGGTCAGGAAATCCCAAGCAGATTGCATATGTTTGAAGGATCCTGAAAGTGGGTAGTACCACGGTACCACGTCATCGCGATCAGCCAAGTCTTCGTGGTGTAGAAGATCGAAGCCAGCGGCCTTGATAGCGTCGAGACCCTCTGAGATCTTGACCATGTTGGAAATGCCGTCACCTTGCTCAATACCGAGACGGATTTCACGGTGCTCCTGGTTGTCATTATCGTATTCATCAGTCATCAGCCACTCGTAGACACCAAAGACACCACCGGGCTTCAAGACGCGACGAATTTCACTGTAAACACCCTCCAAGCTAGGGGCGTGAACTGTGGCTTCAATAGCATAGACGGCATCGAAACTGTTGTCCGGGAAGGGCATTTGCATGAAGTCGCCCTTTTGGAAGGTGACCTGGTTTGCAAGACCCTCGCGCTCAGAGTAGCGGGTAGCACGCTCGATCTGATAGTCATTATTGTTGAAGCCTACCACGTTGACATTGGCGAATTTGGCAATTTCACGAGCAGGTCCTCCGACACCGCATCCAACATCTAGCACCTTCATTCCATCCTTGAGCCCCATAACATGAGCAAGATAGTGTTCGTGACGAGCGATAGCTTGGTGGAAAGGTTCACCATAGGCGAAGCGGCAAAAGTGGAAAGAGGTACCCCATCCATATTCGTAGAGATCGGTGGCAAGATTGTAGTAGCTATGCAAAGGAGAGAAAAGGTGGTCAGAAGAAAAATATCGCAAATGATGGCAAGTGCAACTCACTGGCGTGTCAAAGTGGCATATTCGGCTCGTCGAGCTTCACGAGTAGCCTCTGTCTCCTGGGCAGCAGACTTGTTGTCCCAATGCTTGAAGTACTCGTCCACAGCAAGCTTTTTCGCATCGCGGTCCTTGCCGCGCATGGCAAGGAAGCCTCCCGTTTGTTGGGAGGACTTGCCGTGCAAGGCCTTGTTGAAGGCAGCATCGCGCTGATGGTCCTCCTTTTCCAATGCTGCGGGAGACATGTTTCAATTGATTCGAATGGCCGAAGAGTTTTTGCTAAAAGGGGCGAGGATCGTTGAGAACTCGAAGAGAAAGAAAAGAGAAGGGAACTGCTTGTTGAAATAGGCAGTTTTCACTGAGATAACCCAAAAGACCCGACAACAACAACACTTGTTTCTGGGGAGCAGGAAATTGTAAACAGACAATGGCAGAGAACGAAAAGGAGGTCGTCGTCGCAATCGTCCTCTCCAGAATTTCGGCGGGAGGCCGAATTGTCACGCTTTGATTGGCCGGACGAGGCTGACACCTTCCTTGGGGGAACGCGCATTCGGAGGCCGCGGGTTCCGAGCTGCAGAGTGTTCTGATTGGCCAGAAAGCGGCAATTGCCGGAGTCCTCGGGTTCCGGCCATCCTTGATTCCTTGGAATTCAGGCATCGCAGTTCTGAGAGCTGCGTCGTACGATATGGAACTCATGGTGGTGCGACGCCGAATCCTAGTATCAAACGCATCAAGACTCCGAATAATCACAATACGGTAAGCTGCTCGCATGCGCAACCTTGAAGCCTCGAAGTCTTGGCATGCATGTGATTCGGGTGACTAATCTGCCAGTCGCCCAGCCACAGGTGGCGGTCGCTCGGTGGCTACACCCGCAGCTAACAAACATCTCACTTTTCTCCGACAGCGCTCGTCGAAGAAACACCCCCCTAACACGCAAGAATGCCTCCTCAGATAAAGCAGGATTTGAATCGCTCCGGATGGGAAACCACCGACTTCCCGTCCGTGTGCGAGAGTTGTCTGCCGGAGAACCCATATGTGCAGATGTTGAAGGAAGACTATGGCGCTGAATGCAAAATCGTATGTCAAAATATTTCCACCTTCCCCGCCCTTGGATATAACCAGTGCTAACTGTGATTCCTCCAGTGTACGCGACCATTTACTATTTTTCGCTGGAAAGCAGACCGCACTGCTCGCACCAAGCGAACCAACATCTGCCTGACATGTGCCCGCCTGAAGAATTGTTGCCAATGCTGCATGCTCGACTTGTCTTTCGGTTTGCCAATTGTCGTCCGTGATGCTGCCTTGAAAATGGTCGCGCCCGGGCCGCAAAGCGGGATCAATCGAGAATTCTACGCCCAGAATCATGAAAAAGAAATCGAAGAAGGCCGTGGAGCCATCGAGGCTTACGAGAAGACGGATGAGAAGGCCCGAGAGCTTTTGAAAAGGCTCGCTAATAGCGAACCATATTACAAGAAACAGCGTCGCATTGAGGCTGCACCCCAGGATGAGGAGGACAATACAGAAGCCGATCAGGCTCCCAGTCGTAGTGCGTATGGTAACGGGCCCGGTCCGATTCGCACAAGCGATAGTCGGAGAGGGGGATCACTTAATGGGCGCGGAGGACGTGGCCGAGGAGGTGGACGTGGTGGTCGCCCATTCCCTCCTACAGCTCAACTACCCCCGTCACCTGAGGATTTCATACCTCCAGCTGACCCCAAAATCACATCGCTTTTCGTCACCGGGGTGGAGGACGATCTTCCGGAACATGAACTGCGCACCTTTTTCAGCGAATTCGGTCAATTGCGGTCGTTGATCTGTTCCCATCGTGCTCATTGCGCATTCGTAAACTACGCGACACGAGCATCCGCAGAAGCTGCTGCACTGCATTGTCAAGGCAAGGCCACTATCAAGGGATGTCCTCTCCGAGTCCGTTGGGGAAAGCCAAAGCCCTTGGATAGCATGGGTGACGAAGAACGAAGACGCAATGCTCGCGAAGGTCGACAACTCGTTCCGCCAACTCGGGCCGGTCCTTCAGGTCAGCGAGCAATCACTGCCTCCGGGGACGCTACTGGGGCTGAGAAGCCACAGTACTCCGTCGCACCTCCGCCAGGAAGCAGTGAGATTCAATATGCCAGTTTATCCGGCGAGTGAGATCTTACTTTTTTTTTTTTTCTTCATTTTTCTCCTTTTAATATATCCGTGTGACGGTTCTGCATTGTCTTATGAGCGGGCGTTCCTTTTCTTCCGTGGCTGACTGTCTTGGTTTTCTTTGTGGGCTTATGAACGAGTATTGGGGAAATAAAATTGGGAGATGTATAGTGACATGAAGCTCTTATACAAGTTATATTTCACATGCAGAGTATCGTATCCTCTGTCAACAACCACATTCAGAAAGTAACAAAACTCCTGTCGCCTTTAAAAAATCAAGAATACCAACAGACGAAGATGGCTTAATATTATGAACAGGGCTTATCAACCTTAACATTCTTCCCCCCAATCTTAACCGAGTCGTTATCACCTCTCTCAATTTCATCGTGGATTTGAAGTTCTAAGATTTTTTGTCGCCGTCAAGTCAGCATGAGAGTCTTGAATGGAAGAACATGATCAACCATAAAAAAAATGTAAATAAGATTAAGACATACCCCATTTCCCATCCTCGTCACCTTTATCCCTCATTCCCTGCACAATATTGTGCCGTAGAATACTCGCTGCCTCGACGGCGTGCTGGATCTGCATCGGTGTATCGACGCCGGTTCGTTTATGGCTATCGAATTGTTTGCGTGCTTCGGCACGAGCGGCGTAGAGGAGCGTGTAGTCATCTATCAGTAGCCCGTCTGAAGGTTAGCATTATGTTCTTTCCATTAGAGATCCTAAGCACTGTTTCCGTCTCTCGTCGGTTGAGGAGGCAAGGTAGACTGACTTCGGAAAGCTATACGTGTCGCCCGAAGGAGATTTCGGTACGCAGAGATAGCGGAGATCGAGGATGTGCTCATTTTGGTCCAATATGTATGCTCAGAATCTTTTTCTAAGTTCGAGACTGTGTACCTCGAAGGCGATCAATCGGTCGAGGAGGCAAAATGCGCTGCCGTCGAGCCTGAGTCTGGCTGAGTTTGACTCTGCAATGGACTGAGAGGTTCCGCTGGTTGCAGTTTAGAATATTTCTTGGAAATCACAAGATTTCAAACCAACTGTATATCGCTCTGTTTCCTGCTCGATACAAAAACTGAGAGTGAGTTGCGATATCAGATGGTCGTTGTCAAGTCTCGCCGGCCGAGCTGCCGAAATTCCGCCCCGCTGATTGGCTGCGTCCACATCGGAAGCTAAACGCAAAGGAAAATTATTTTTCTTAGCGGCCAGCCAAATTTCATCCAGAATTCCCCTCATTTCTCACTCCAGACAGACTCCAAGCATCGTCGTCATGGCTGCTGCACAGGTTGTCAACACCCCTCTTCCAGCCCTTCCTGAGGGCTGGTCTGCGGAAAAGGATTACAAGGTGCTCTCTGCATTGTCGAGTGCTACTCAGCGCAATGTTGAGCCTGTGGGACCGCATTTCCTGGCCCATGCCAGACGGGTATGTCTTTTCTAGAGCCAAATTTATTGAATACCTTCTTGAAACACTGTCTGACTTGTTGAATAGAAGCGTCACAACCGAACTTTCTCCGAGGATGACCGCATCCAGGCACAGAAAACCGTCAAGAAGGTTGATGAGGACGAGGACGATGAAATTTCCGAGCCCGAGGATCCAATGATGCTGCAACGGGATGCTAAAGACTGGAAGGTACTTTTTCTCATCTTCCTGTGATAATTTATATTTTACATGTTGCACTTGGGCATTCTTTCTAAATAAAGTACAGGGCCAAGACCACTATGCTGTCCTCGGTCTCAGCAAGTACCGCTACAAGGCTACCGTCGAACAAATTAAGCGCGCACACCGCAAGAAGGTCTTGCGCCATCACCCCGACAAAAAGGCTGCTGCAGGCCAAAGTGACGAAAACGATAGCTTCTTCAAGTGCATCCAGAAGGCCACCGAAATCCTCCTTGACCCCATCAAGCGTCGTCAATTCGACTCCTGCGACGAAGCTGCCAATGTCGAGCCGCCAACCAAGAAGCAGCTTGAGAAGGGCAACTTCTTCAAGCTATGGAGCCCCGTCTTCAAGTCCGAAGGTCGTTTCTCCAACAAACAGCCTGTGCCCGTAATCGGTAACGAGAACAGTACCGAGGAAGAAGTGGAGGAGTTCTATAACTTCTGGTATAACTTTGATAGCTGGCGGTCGTTTGAATACGAGGATGAGGACGTTCCGGATGATAACGAAAACCGTGATCAGAAGCGCCACGTTGAACGTAAAAATGCCAACTCGCGTCGCAAGAAGAAGACCGAGGACACAGCGCGTCTACGCAAGCTTGTTGATGACGCACTTGCTGGAGATGAGCGTATCAAGAAATTCCGTCAGGCTAAGCGTGCAGGCAAAGATAAGAAGCGTCTCGAGAAGGAAGCCGAAGCCAAGCGTCTACTAGAGGAGAAGGAGAAGGCCAAACAGGAAGAAGAGCGCAAGAAGAAGGAGGCCGAAGAGGCCGCCAAGGCTGAGCGTGAGCAGAATAAGAAGACCAAGGAGGCAGCCAAGAACGCAGCCAAGAAGAACAAGCGTGTCTTGAGGAACAGTGTCAAAGATGTCAACTACTTCGCTGAGGGTGGTGATGCTTCCGCCGCCCAAGTCGACGGTGTCTTGACTGATGTCGATACGATCATGGCAAAAATCAGCCCTGAGGAATTGGCTGCTCTTGCTGCAAAGTTGGGCAGTGCTGGCACTGATGCAGCTGCTGTCAAGGCCGCTTATACTGACGAGGTCAAGAGATTGGTAGGCGAGGGCAAGTTGAAGGAGGGCGAAATCAAAACATTGAACTAAGCTCTGCTTTTCACTTGTTTCAAAACTGTTAATATAGGTTTCCACAAGCTATAGATCTTTCCATCAATTGAATTTACATGACCATATACGGGACATGATGCAGTTGAGATCCATGGATTGCAGTGATTTATCTACCGTTAATTGGACATCTAATGACAGAGACTTTTGAAGTACTTGATTATAGAACTATATGGCTGATTAATTATGAAAAACCATGATAACCTTGGAATTACTTCCACCTATGCATAGGAATAATCCGGCATATCAAATCCCAAATTCGCAGAATTACTCATAAACGAATTGCCGGACTCCCCAGTCACTCGAGGATTAGCACCGATCATCGTGTTGGGAAATCCAATGTCGAATGGCACAACACTTTCCAAATATTCGATTTGCTCGGGGGTAAGTTTGATGCTAAGAGCAGCAATATTGCTCTCCAAATGCTCAACCTTGCGTCCGCCAACCAGGGGAAAAACACGGGGGGCTTTGGCGAGCACATAGGCCAACGCAATAGCCTGGACTGAGTCCACATTATGCTGTGCCGCCACTTCTGCAAGTGCTTCAGAGATTGCAACTTCTTTCTCATTCTGTTCACTCGCTCTCCACATGCTGCGTAACGGCTCGCCTTTGGCTTTGCGTTCCTCGATGTCCTTGCGCGATTGAAACTTCCCACCGCCCAATACATCCCACGGACAAAGCGCCATGCCGAAATGCCGGGCCATGGGGATGATGTCCCGCTCAAAATCACGCAGCATCACGTTCCAGCGTCCCTGGTAGATGGAAAACGGCGTCTTGCCGTGTGCGCACGCGTAGACATTGGCCGCCGAGACAACCCATGCTGGAGAGTCGGAGATGCCGAGGTAGAGAACTTTGCCTTGTTCGACCAGAATGTGCAGGGAATCCATCACCTCCTCGATGGAGGTGAGGTGGTCCCACCAGTGCAGATAGAGGATATCAATGAAGTCCGTCTGCAGCTTCTCCAGACTGTCGCGAACGCTCATGTGCAGGGAACGACGACTGTTTCCGACATGGTTACTTGCTTTTCCCATGCCCAGTTCATGGCCCTTGTAGTCTGTCGTATACTTGGTGGCAATGACCATTTGGTCCCGGTTCTTGCGACTGGCCATCCACTCTCCAATCCATGTTTCGGATTGCTCGTTCTGGTAGTTGTTGGCTGTGTCGATGAAGTTTCCACCGGCTTTGACGAAGGCGTCTAATAGTTTGAAGGCCGAGTCTTTGTCCATGGACCCCATGCCAGCCCACGAATTGCCAAGTGACATGCCGCCCAGCACCAGAGGCGAAACATGTATGGAGGCTGTAGAGGACAAGACGCGCAGTCTGCCCAGTGCAGTAGTGTCCGCCATCAGGTAGGTACTATTTGCTTTAAATATTCCTGTTCTCTTTAGCGAATTTCGAATGCTGGTTGTTAAACCTGAGGATATACAAGTACATGTCGGGATCTCAGGATTTATACTTATAAGCAAGAGAGGATAAATCTGCAGACCATTAAGCATGCCACCGTAGGTGACATCAAGGTCTATATTTTGGGTCTCAGCATCATACAGTCGTCAGTAGAAAATGCACTCCATGATGGCAAATTCAGTTACACAATGTGACCAAAAAGGGTATTGTTCCCGTGTTGTGATTGGCCACATGTCGTCCAGCGAATACAATATGTATTTTATTATTCCACATCTATAACTTCGAATCTTCCCTGTCGGAATTTGAGGATAATAATATAAGAGGTAGCAAAAAAAGAACAATTCCAAAAATGTATACAAGTCTCTGTAGACGTCTGCACGTGATATATACGGCATTCACAGGTTTCATCACTAGGCAGCTACCTACAACTACCCCTCATGCAAGTTCGTCTACAGACTCTCAACATTGTGTGCATCAATACCCAAAGTGAGCCAGTAACATTTCAATAAATCAAATGAAACACAATGTCCACCTCAAGAATCGTCCAGCTCGCGCAACTCATCAGCTCTCAAACCGCTGCTATCGATGCGCATCTCCAAAGCAACAACCTTCCGGAGCCTTCCTTCAAACAGGATGGCCCAACCGAGCCCATTCAGCATGAAACAGCAGATATTCAAAAAGCTAAAACGGACGTAATTGAGGCTGCTATTGAGTTGCGCCAACTTCTTGAAGGACCGATGAAACTTCTTCTTCCAGAGGCAAGTCAGGCCGATCCTACATATCATTAGCCGATTCCATACATGAATGCAACGGAGAAAGATTGCTTTATCATATATTAATCATTGCTAATGTCTAAATCCCAGTCCAATTTCTCACCCCTGGTAGCTGTATATCGCTTCAAGATTGCCTCTCATGTCCCCATAGACTCAACTATTTCCTTCCAAGACCTAGCTAATAAGTGCGGTCTACGCGAGCATGATGTAAAACGAATAATCCGCTACACGAGTGTACACCACCGCGTATTCTTCGAGCCAACAAAGGGCTTCGTGGCGCATACAGCAGCGTCGAAACTCATGGCTGAGAATCCCGTGGCAGGCCATCTCTTGGGTCTGACGTTTGACGAATGCTGGCCGGCGCATAACAAGGTGAGCATTTTTCTCTTTTTGCTTCAACATAATACATCTCTAGCCAGTGCTGAAAAATGAACAGGCCGTTGATGCTATAGCACAACAAAGCGAGGAAGCCAACGTATCCGGCTACGCACTTGCCAACAACACCTCGCTAGACACATTTCAATACCTGTCCGAAAACAAAGACCGCGCAACCCGTTTCGCATTCGCCATGGCAACAACTTCAAAAGCCAGCCTCGACGCTCTGAGCACACATTTCCCATGGTCCGATTTACCCGCGAACAGTACCGTGGTTGATGTCGGAGGGTCAAAGGGTCATGTCTCAATTCATCTATCTCGATCATTTCCTGACTTGCAGTTCATTGTACAGGATTTGCCCGAAGTTATTGACGGTGCTGTCAAATCCTTACCTGACGACGTATCTCCGGGACGCGTCCAGTTTGTAGCTCATGATATGTTTGAAGAGCAGCCGCTCAAGGGGGCAGATGTATACTTGCTACGATATGTATTGCACGACTGGGGTGACAAGTATTGCATCGAGATTCTTCGCAAGTTGGTTCCTAGTTTGAAACCTGGGGCAAGGGTTGTTATTCAGGATCATCTCTTGCCGGAGCCTGGGACAATGACGTTGTTGCAGGAGATGCAGATGCGGTATGCTCACCCCTCACATGGAAAATAGAATGGCACACTGATAAATACAGATCCATGGATGCGATTATGATGTCCCTCTTCAATTCTAGGGAGCGCGAAGTTGACGAGTGGAAGGAATTGTTTAAGGTTGCCGACGAGAGGTTTGGGCCAGTCATCGTGAACAGAATCGGGGAGAATGGATCGAGCGGGGTTATTTCTGCACAGTGGATGGAATAATGATTGTCGTTTAATTTCGATAGAAGAGAAATCATTGCATTGTGCACATAGAGCTATGATACATATCTGTGATTAGTTATCAGCCGTGAATGTTAGGGCTTGGGATTACATGCCCTAGTTCTTACCTACCTCGTATGTTCAACGACTGTCAGTTGGACTAGGGATTTCCTTGCAATACATACTTGTATTACGAAAATAACCTTGGAAATCATGTAAAATCATGCTTCATCATATCATAATGGTTAAAATACAGGATGCTACCTAACAAAATGTCGTTACATATATTGAACTTCAGTCTGTAGCAAAGAAAGCAGTTACCAGAAGGTAAAAGATATCAAAGGCAAAATAGAAAAAACTACCATATACTCAAACCTCTCACTCACCATCAGATTCGACCTGCGCACCCATCGGTCTCACCGGCGGAGCAGCTTCACTTTCAGCATCCGCAGAACCATCACCTTCTTTACCCTCGCTGCCTTCGGGCACTTCTCTATTCTGGAAGTCATTGATCTTACCTTCTGGGGCCTTTCCTTTGCCCTCCTTTGAAGTGCCTAATTTCTTGGGTGTCCTCTTCCCACTACTGCCATTGGCGTTCGATGATTCGCCGGTATCTTTGCCGTTAACACTAGTCCCTACATTCCGCTGCTCGATATTCTCAATGCTTGCTGATGACTGGTTTCGATTGGAAGGTTTCGGAGTCGACTGTCTTGACTTTTTACCGGCAGGAGTCTTAGCGCTGGCAATTAATGTCTTATGATATTCGTCACCGCGCGCAGGATATTCGCCCAGAATACGCCGAGCAGCCTCTCGGCCAGTTACGGGCAGCGTCTTGACTGCTCCAGCTCCCTCCGGGAGCAATTTGGGGTCCAACAAGCCTACTTGCACTAGGACGCTAGCTTGGTCCCAGTACAGATGCTCTGTAAAGATCCTCTCTGCTTTGAGAGAAATTATCGCCACAAGGATCAATTCCACTCTTTTACCAGTAGGTGGCACACCAGGCAGCATCCAGGGCATTTCAACGGTGTGCTCAAAACTGGTATAGATCTCGTCGACGACTCGATCTGCTCCGACCGTGCGAGACAAGAGTCGCAATCTCATGGATGGGGGCTTGGTTTGTAGAAAGTCGTTCTCGTAAAAGCGTCGCAGGGCTTTGGCTCCGATGCCACCGGCGAGTGTTGGGCCGAAAGTGACTGCGGGGTTCTTGTGGGTTACATATGTTTCCATAGTTTGAGACAGATTGTCAGTAAAGAGTTTGCCTATTTCAGAGCTGGTCAGAAAGAGTTTTAACTCGCAGTGAAAGAAATTAAACTTACTTTCCGTGTTAATCTCCCACGGCCGCTCCAAATCCGCATCCTTACGGAACGCCTTGCGCATAACATCCAAAGTCCTCGACCAAGCCAACTCAGCCGATGCATGGTCATACTCATCCAAGTCGTGCTCAGCAAACCCTGGGTCCGCAAAGTCATACGTAAACGCCGTATAGGAAATGTCCTTGCGTTCGCCAATACCAACTCCAGTGTCAATCCGGCGTCTGGTTACGCGTTTCTTGCGTCCCTGGATGCCCAGCACCTGTGGCGTGGTAACCACATCGACGCTCTCGCCGGCAAGGTGAACCAGAACTTTTAGACTGGGCGGGAATTTTGTACGGGTATCAGGGATAGCAGTGGGATAATACGCGACGAGGGCCGTTAGTCGGGCCCCCGTGGTAGGTTTGTGAAAGTGATCGAGACAGAAAGACGCCGCATGTCCGTAGGCTGGTAAAGTTATTAGCATTATAACTCATAAAAAGAAGAATGAGGTCAGATGTACTAACCGATAATAGCATACTGCTCCCCAACCCTCAAGCCCTCCTTCATACTCTCCAAACGAGCTGCATATTCCTTCCCACCGCCGTCCAGCGGCACATATGTAACTTCGAAGCCCTCATTTTGCCAGTTCCGGATGGTCTCCGTGTCAAACTCTCCCTCCTCTGAGGTGATGCAGAGCCGCGGCGTAGAGAGCTGCGAATTCAGGAACGTGTTGTAGACGAGGCCGTTTCCCGGGGTATTTATACTGATGGCGGCCATTGTATTTTACTATCCAATACCGTTGTTTTTTAAAGCACAAGTAAGAAAACTGTGTAGAAGAGCGTTTGCTTACGATGGATAAAAAAAGAAAAGATGAAGATTTGATGTTGATTCAAATAATGCATCGACGTCATGCCATGACGTAGTGGGCCATATGTCATTGCACGTACAGATTGGCCAATCATCTTACGCGGCCTATATTTAGTGTTCTTCCTGAGCTTTCAGGCATACATGCGGCATCAAAAAGAAAGCATGCAATATCATTCATGATTGTATAAACATCACAGATACAAGTTAGCTATATGCTGTGTGCAGTTCAGGTCAGGCACCTCAACCACGGCTCGACTCCCGCGTGGATTGGGCCAATCAGAATCAGGCATTTATTCTACTACAGTAACGGTACCACATTCCTCTATAGTCTATGGCTATCACGATAAATACGCCATATGCATGCACACGCGGCATATTCAATGGATACTGACCCTACCATGCCAACTTCGCAAAGACTCCTCGCGGCCAACGTCTCACAGCAGCCTTCCTAAGCTCATCCAAAATCAACAGTCCAAGACCAAAAGCCATAGGCAAGAAGTAATTCTCCACCGGCACTCCTGTTGTATTCAGCACGGTCTGCAAACGCGGAATATACAGCCACAAAACAGCGATGCCCAATGCAAACACGATGGCGGGAAAGAGGAGAAAGTTCTGAGTACGTTTGTTGAAGGCCGGAGGATGTGAGAAGAGGGATAGACGGCGTGTGCGAATTGCCATTAGATTGAACCATTGCCTAGTAAATAGAACTGTTAATAAGGAGCCTAGTGGCTTGACAGTGAGGAACTGAGAGTTGTCTTACATAACAACCAAATTGATAAAGTAAATAGAGGAAGCCTCATTTAGTTTGGCGTTATAGTATGCCTCGTCGAGACCCGCAGGCACAGCACCGAATCCAAACCACAGAGCCGAAAAGGGGATTCCGTTTCGCTGCAAATACCAGTAGGACATGGAGAAAGAGCAGACGGTCTCAATAATCCCAATAACCCCATAAGCGTTCAGCATCAGTTGCCAATTCACCAGCTTGTCCTTTCGTGGATCGCGCGGTGGTCGTAGCAGGACATCAGCTTCAGGCTTTTCGTATGCTAGCACCGTCGCAGCGGAGCAGTCGGTGAAGCAACAGATGATAATCATGAGGAAAGACGACAGCACTTGAGGCAGTCCGAAAACGACATTGGTGAAAACAGGCCAGAATTCCGAGAACGACCCCGCGGGTAGCAAGTAGATAATAGTCTTTTTGAGGTTGTCAAAGACCACTCGTCCGTATTGCACGGCCTCAACGATCGCCGAGAATGAATCCAGGAGCACCATGTCGGCTGCTTCAATGGCAATGTCGGATCCTGTACCCAGCGCAATGCCGATGTCCGCAGCCTTGAGCGATGGGGCATCATTGACACCATCACCGGTCATGCCTACCACTTTGTGTCGGGCTTGGAACTCCCGTACTATACGCAGTTTCTGCTCAGGTGTCGTACGCGCAAAGACAATCTCTTGATACCCACAGAGCTGGTCCCACTGGTTCTCGTTAAGAGCCAGAAGCTCCGGGCCACTAACCACAATTGCTGTAGATCCAGGAGTTCCATGAGCTTTGGCATATCGTTGCAGAGCATTTGTGTCATCAACCCGGCTAGTACTGGAAACGATACCGCATTGACGGGCTATAGCCAGTGCAGTGAGACCGAAATCGCCAGTCACCATGAATATCCTGATACCTGCTCTTCTCAGTGTCTCCACTACGGCAGGTATCTCCTCTCGAGGGGGGTCCACGATACCAACCATGCCGACCAGGATCAGATCGGATTTGGTGTGCTTCATGATTTCAGACTCGAATTCGTGAGAGCCGGGAGAGGTCGTGATATCCTTTGCGGTGACCACTTTCCGAGCAAGTAAAATCACTCGCTTGCCCTCGTTGGACCATTTGTCTTTGGTAGCCTTGACTTGTCGCAGCGTCTCTGCATCCAATGGCTGCACACCGCCGTCGGCAGTCACGATATTAGCACATCGCTCAATCAAAATATCCGGGGCACCCTTGATAGTCAAAAGTGTATCCTCTCCCTGTTTGAACTGTAGGTATTCAGCGGGCGACAATGCAAGACCCAGCCCTTTTGAATCCACGAGTGCAAAAGTGCGAATCATAAACTTGTTCTTGCTGTTAAATGCTAACTCGTACGTCTTCTTCCATAAAAGACGCAGTTCTGACACGGAGCCAAGCACTTCGGAGAACCGGAGAATTGCCTGGTCTGTTGCGTCGCCGAATATGGGTCGTTCGTGCAGAGGGATATAGTCGGCGGCGGCGGCATCGAATTCGGCTGCATTGCAGAGTCCAGATATGGCACGCAGCTGGTGAATGCCGGTTGATTTGCCTTTAAGCACCTTCTCATCGCGCGCGGCAGTAGGACTGTTAAAAGTAGAGGTCGAAATTGCGCAGTCAGTAACAAACATTTTATTCTAGACAAAAACTATCAGTTTAAATGAAGTATGACAACAAGGAGAGAAAAAAATCCCACCCGTGTCAGAGTGCCTGTCTTGTCACTGCAAATCACGTTTACACTTCCCAATGTCTCCACGGTCTTGAGAGATTTGCACAGGATCTGGTTCTTCTTCATAATATTGGCGGTGATAGTCAAACTGGCTGTGACACTGATCGGAAGACCCTCCGGAATGAATGCAATAGCCACACTGACACAGTCCACAATCAGTGTAGGTACATCAATCCAGCCAGGATGATCTTTGCGTAGCCATGCAGCCCATACAATGATAACCACGATAATCATGGTCAGCATAATGGCGACAATGAAGGCGACAAACCGCAGAATCTCCTTCTCGAGAAGAGTCAGACCGGGTTTCGGTTCACTGGCCAGCTTTGCTATGCGACCAAACACGGTGCTGTCACCGGTAGACACTACCATGGCTAATGCGCTGCCAGATACGCAGTGGGTGCCTTGTAAACCGATGTTTTGCGTCTCGAGGTAGTTGCCCTCTGTGGCGTCGATTGTACCGTTGACGGGGATTGATTCACCTGATTCTGTCGTTAGATTTGTGCCCTGTAAAGGGGAGCAAGGGGGAACAGAAAGAAAGAAAGAGAAAAGGAGAAAAGACTATTTCGCACCAGTAAGTATCGAGCGATCAAAACATGCATCCGTCGACACTTCCATAAAACGAATATCGGCAGGAAGTTTGTTCCCAGCCTTGATCTGAATAACATCACCCGGCACAATATCCAAGGCAGGGACAGTAGTCTGAGCCCCATTGCGCAACACAATACAGCTCTCCGGCAACATCGCAGTAATAGACGCCATAACGCGAGACGACGACCAATCCTGCCAGGCATTAAACGCCGCCTGAATGAAGAACACGGCCAGCAGCACAATAGCCAGAGCCAAGTTCGCGATGGCCGGGGGATCACCAAGCGGTTTCCATGAGACGAAGACAAGAATACAGCCGATCAGCAAAATGGCGCCAAAGCCCTTGAAAAAGTATCCGAAGATCTGCTGGAACCAGCGATGCGGGACTGGGGATAATGTGTTCTTTCCGTATTGACTCAGTCGTTGCTGCACTTGGCTGGGGGATAGGCCTTGCGCGGCGTCGACTTGAAGGCGTTTCTGGAGCTCCTCGATAGATAAGTTGTGCCATTCGAAATTCGACAGCTCTTGTGTATATAATTAGCATGCGAGGATGGTGGAGAGCAAATACAAACGTACCGGTGGCAATAGTATTTTTTGCTTTGGCAGCCTCTAATTGTTCGCTTTGTCGAGCTTCATCGATATCGAAGGAACTGAGAAGATGTGCGCAGTATCAGCTCATGTATATGCAGCACACAGGCATAAATTGGGGGAAACCTTACACGCTGCGATAATGAATTGGCAGCGTCAACGCTGGATCCATACTTCCACGTTTCTGGGAACGAGCAGAGCTTTCTGAGACCGTAGAAGTCGTGCGAGTGAGCTGCTGCTGGCGAGACAGGGCATCGCCGGTCTCTTCATCGGCGGTCTGCCACTTCAAGCGAGGTCCATCTTTGTCATCGGCCATATCTTAGACATAGGCCTTTTTCCAGTCAAGTTTGAAATAAGTGAACGGGATGATGAAGAAGACTACGAAGTGATAAAAAAGAATACAAGTGCCTACTTACGGTAGATCCCTGGGTACCTAGGTGCTTGTATTTATATCCAGCAAATCACTCATCCAACAAATAATCTCTCATGCCAAAAAGGCAAATTCCCACGCGAAAAGCTGCCAGTCAAGCCATAGCTAGCTGCTGCACGCACAAATGGCAGCGAGCACAGCCATGGTCCATCCCCTGGACGAGCATTATGCCCAAAACAGAAGTATGAGCGATTTACCGTAGCCTAAAAGAATACGACTTGATGACGGCTTATAATTTCACTTGGACAATAAGCCGAAAAGAGGGGTTGTAATAAGAAGGAAAAAGGGAAAAAAAGTAAAAAAAAAAAAAACGATCAAAATAACTTAGTTTGAAAGAAGGATATAAATGTTACGTAGTTTGGTGGTTGATATGAGAGGTTGTTAAAAATGCCGCATTTTCAAGGCAGCGCTTCCCGTTTGGGCCACCTCAGGTGTATGTACCGCACGATATAAATTTGCGAAGGGTTTCTATTTTTCTATGTCTTTCATAAATGCAAATTGATTTTAATCAAATTGAGCGATTTGATGTAATGCTACGTAGAATACAGAGGCGTCCATCCATTATTTAATTCAAACAATACTTGGCCACATACGGGGATTGCTTACATCTGATCTGAAGACAAAAACAGCAATGCCTCAAAGCATTCTATTAACTAGCCAGGTACTGACACAATCCAGTCTAGGTGACCCATTTGACGTGTTTGTCTTGTTTCATTATAACCTGCCCATTCCGTATCAAACAAACACCGTATGATGAACAACACCAGACTACACAGAGAGAAAAAGACGAGCAGTTTTGGAGTACATACAAATAAAGAAAGAAAAAAAAAAGTTTGAAGATGCAACGCCTGTTCCCTGCAATTGAAGTGAAAGGAAAGAAACATCCCATAACCGAAACATAACATATAACAGGGTGGGCGAAATAAAAAAATCATAACAGCGTCGGAACTCAGGGGCTGGCTCGCTCTATTTTCACATCCGCACCATACTGCGGTTTTCGGGTTGATAATCATCTGTCCGCCGACGTTTGGGCGAAGCCGAGTATGACGCACGTCTGCTGCCAATCTCGGACTGGGAAGTTTGAGCATGACTACTGCTATGGGTATGAGTGTGAGCGGGAGAAAGATTGCGCTGCTTGCGTATGCCCAAGCCGGCAACGGCAATGCGGTTCAACTGAGTAATTTCGTCATTTGTCCCGTTCGATGGCGCGGTGGAGGGCTGATGGTGGTGTTGATGAGGAGCAAGAGGGGGCACTGACGCAGGCGCTGCTGACATGGCCGCCTGCTGCTGTGACTGTTGCGATTGTGATTGCTGCGACTGCGGTGGTCCTGCTGGACTGCCCGAGTCGTGTGAGTCGGCGAGCGGGGGCTCTGGGCGTGGTTGGCTGAGATCAATATTATCTGGCAGCGCTGGGACTTCATTTTGTGAATCAATCAGGCGCGACTGCAGACTGATGATGTACTCGCGCAGCTGGAAATTTTCCACTTGCAGAGCCTTGTAGCTCTCGCTTAAGACTTTGAAGTCCTTAACTTGGGCTTCTAGTTGACGGATATAACCTTCTTTTCGTTGGCGAAATGCTCTCTACATAGGAATGGTTAGAGGCTGTGTTTCACGGCAAGGAAAAAAAAAGACCTTACTTGGGCGGCGCGGTTCTGTTCTGCTCGTTTCGAGGTGGACAACTCTCGCTTGCCATATGTCTTGCGAGAATCGTTACCGGCAGCGTCTTGCATACCAGGGAGGATCTGCGGCAGCACTTGAGCAAGCGATGCCTGCGGATTAGGGGCTAGCATGGCGCCGCCTGAGATGGCAGGATCTATATTATTGCCCTGGCCTTGAGAGGAGCTCTGTTGGCGCGTGTCTTGTCCTTGCGATTGGAGATGTTGTTGGGCGGCTAGCAGTTGGTCATGTAGCACTAGAGAGGCATGATTAGACATGACTATTTAGAGCAGGCTCGAAATTGCCCATTCGGGTAATCAAGTAGCTGTTGGCCACCTGAGGTAGATGGACACGTCAAACTTACCCTGGTCAGCATGATCCTATTAATCAGATTTGGTCAGCCACCAAGCAACAACTAGTTAGTTAAAATAGAACAAGGACTAAAAGCACTAAGACGACGCCACAGCAAGCAAGAACACGGCCGATGGGCACATATATATGTATATATATATAGGAAAATAGCTAACTTAATGGGCGGCGATCATTGATGACAAAGACGCGCTGCTTAGTTAACTAACTTAACTAGAAGTCTACTTACCTGCGCGGAGGAGCTCTGCATGTTGGGATGCGGCGCTAGGGCGGGCTGCATCGAAGGGAGCCTTAAGACCGGCCCCTTCTTGATAAGCTAGACTCGCGACGATGCCAGCCAAGCGAGGTTGTCTTGATGGTCGAGGAGCAGGCGGAGCGGGACGGCGATTGGTCGGAATTTTGCTAGCAGGATGAGTAGTAGTAGTATGTTATGCAGCAAGCAACACGCCCGGATAGGTGTATATAAAAGGTTGTGAACACAAAAGCAACAAAGAGAAGGACCAAATCAGGACCCGAATAAGCAGACCGAATATGGAGCGTTGGCTCGCAATGGCAACTCTTCTTCTCTTTGCTGGGATCTAGAATTGATGACTTAGCAGCGACGCAGAGAGAGAGAAGGCGATCTCGTAAGCAAAAGGCGGGCGGGAGGCGGGACTATTTATGCATATTAATAATCAGAGAATCACGCTCCCGCCGGGACCGGCTTAGTGCGCCGTATTGTTACCGTTTTACCACTCGGCTCTTCGCGCATGCCGAACGCGTGCAATACCAATACCGCGCTAGCCTGGTTTGTGCTGTAGTTGGTTAGTGTCCGGATGAGTAATCCCTCCGGCGCCGAGAGTGGTTGCTATGCAAAGATACGTCCCGTGTGTCTAGATATAATATACATGGCCATTGATTCATAGTTGTTTATGCGTGATGGTATATCTATCTATACACATACATACGTACATACACACATAGAAATAATTGTTACTTACATGTAATCAATCATACATACAGTCTGTTCCCAACACATGACGCAAGCTTAGTCAGTCCGCGAATAGTAACGGGAGGGGTTAGACGCGATTTATCTCTCCGTGTCCGTGTCCTAACTCCGTCAAGCTAAACAGAATCTATACGTTTCGGCCTGGAGCTGAAGGCATTCCTATATAGAGAGCTGTGAATACCAGCGTGCAGGTCGTCCCGGGAATCCCGGCTCTGTCGTCAGATAGTTAGATGTCTTACTTTTAAGAGGCATGGGTTATCTAGCTCGAAGAAAAGCTATACTATATTGCATGATAAATAAACCAATAGATACTACCTTTGCTCGCTACCACAGAACACAGTATGATACAGTACAATTTTGGAACGAATCTAAACGCTTGTGACATTTCCCAGGTCATGTTCCTATTGGATGTTAGTGAACTATACATGTCGTGCGGCTGCGCGTGTTTGAGTTCGGCTTACCTTCAAATACTCGCTGCCCTTCTCCTGGTACTCAGCCCGAGATATCGACAGAGAACCAAGCTCCGACCCTGACGCCCACTGTGCCGCACCCTTCCATGCATCAAGGATCGGATCAGCTGCGCGGCGCACCGACAATTGCCCATTCAATGAAAGAGGTAGGATGCCGATGAGCTCTGTACGCAGTCTCTCGTCAAAGCCCTTGAACAGCGTACTGCCGCCCGTCATGAAGACATCCTTGAGTAAGCGCGTGCGGTCTTTGTCCGCCGTGAATCTTTGGTTCAGGATATCTGCTGCGATTTCCACAAGGCCGGCCTGGTCGACGCCCGCAATCGAGGGCTGAAAAACCACCTCGGGGACTCGTATCCTCTCCACGTTCAGATGAATTTGATGTGCTTCGCGCTGACTCTCTGGGTCAAACGGCCACGGCCCGCGCAGAAACGCATGCACGAGACTCTTGGTCCAATCAGATTGTGCTTCCAGCGTATGCTCCTGCGTAAACTCGGGGTCGTACTGGAGTAGCTGCTCTTCAAGCGTTTTTAGCGACGCGTTAAAGTCTTCTTCCTCTTCTTCGTCGCTCTGTTCGCCCGTGGCCACCGTTCTGTAGACCCCCCAATCCGCGTCGTCGGCTCCAAAGGTATCGTCGTCGCCGCCTCGGCGTCGCTTTTTGGGTCCGTCGGCAGCTAGGTTGGCGAGCGTCTTCATTCGCATCTGGCTAGCGAGAGATTTCCGATTTCCTAGATCTGCCTTGAGTCGGTCTCGCTCTTTGATTTTCTGCAACAGGGCCTGGCGAGCCATTCGTCTTTCGCCAATCCAGGTTTCAAAGTCGTTCTCGCGTTTTTCATCGTCCAATCTCTGTTCTTCTTCTATCCTGGCTTTCTCTCGCTCTTTTTCAGCCTTAGCGCGTTGTCGCGCCTCGATATTCGACTTCATTAGGCGTTGATGCCGTTTCTCCTTCAGGCCTGCCTCATCTAGTTCCTCATCTGGCACGTCTAGTAGCGGGAACGAGGCCTCTTCCATATTCTCCTCGTTCTCATCAATGCCAAGGTCCTTGTTTCTTGATCGTTTGATAGAACGCTCCAGATCCCGAATTGTGCGTTCTAAATGTGCCTCGTCTTTCATATCCTCCGCCTCCAGAATGCGCCGCACTTCTTTCTTCGTCTGCTGCGCCAGTCCTTGCTGCAAGTCCTTATAGTAGTCAAGCTCTTGTTCTTTTTTCATCAATTTTTCCAGCCGCATCTTAGCAGCCTGTTCTTGCAAGCGTCGGCCGCTTTCCTTCTTGCGCTCCGCAATGCGCGCAAGTTCCTCTTCCGTCTTCTCCACGACTACGTGCTCCGTGAACGGGTATTGGACAACATGATCGCGGTCCTCTAGCCCTGTCCAATCCAAGTAATGGCTCAATTCTTGATCATAGTCCGTGGATACGTAGCAGAGCTTGTGCACGAGATCTTCCATTTGATGCTCTATCATACGCGCTGGAAACGTCGGATACTTGAGCCGCATGAGTTTCAACAAGTATTCTGATGCCTGCAGTCCACCCCAGTTCAGCCTCGTAGCGTTCGATAGCAGAGCTTTTGAGTTCAGCACGGGAACCACGTGTGTTGACGTATGGGAAGATGATACGATCAAGCCATCAGTACCGCGATTATATCGGTACGAGAAAAGGGAATCGATACCGTATGCAACCGAAGGCGCGCCATAACATTCAAAAAGAATCTCGTTCATCACTGTAAACCCTTTGGTATTAATAGCCTGTAACAACAGCTAATCAATATCACCACCTCCATTGAGATTAACTTACTTCGTCGCGGATATGTCAAATTGGCGATAGGCTCAGTCATGACAATAGGTCTGTCAACCGCGCCATTTGACCCATCAACGCCCAGCTTCAGAAACACATAATCCAACACCCCTTCCATGACGTCCCAATTACCCACTATGCTGGTACCAGGATCAAAGGCATATCGCAGCTGACCGCGGGTCGTAGCATCGACATAGGCATCATATCCAATAAATTGGCAACCTTTGTTGAGCTTCCGGTCTCGATAACGACTCATCACAGGCGGGAAAACGAATCGGGGGGTTTTGTCGAATGACCAACCAGCTTTGATGGTGTGTGAGCCTAGCAGGCGTTAACATGTAAGCCCTCTATTTCAGTTTTCATCGGACGTGTATGTCCTTCCTACCATTGTCAATCACGATCGCGCTGGAGCTCGGGGATGATTTGCTCTGTTGGTAACCGTCTGGTTGAGGAGGGTGATAGCCCTTGAAAGGGTATTCCTGGACATTGTAAATCTTCGGTGGTGGCTTTGCTGAATCCTTATTGCTCGCACTGCTTGCGCGTGTCGATGAAATGATCGTCTCGGAGGTGATGGCCATTTTTGAAGCTCTTGCGAGAGCAGGCTGGTCGGTGATGGACGAGCAGTGCTTGGGGGGGCTTGTTCTGGGGCTAAGATTGTATCATGTCAATGTAGGCAGTCGCATATACAAGGAGGTCGCAAAATAATCTGAGGCGCCGTTCAACCCCCTCCAAGTATTTTCCAGGCGAGGCGTTTGATCGTCTCTCTGTTTGCAGGGAGAGTGATGGGAATTCTTTGAGTGGTGAACCTCCGTTCCGGCGCCGCCAAGCACATGATCTCATTGGTGCAGATTATGACCATACAAACTGAAAGATATCGGGCTACAAACAAGATAAAACTTGACTTGGTAATAAAATAATTTTATTGCTATATGGCACTGATAATTTCCGTGGGGTATCCCGTAATCCTCATAATTCATAAACCAAATATTGCTGTCATTGATCTCAGGCAGGATCCTTGATATTCTCCGTTGCTAAACGCAGGATCAGTCAGTATACTGACCTCAAATAATCAATTGCCTTACAGTCCGAGAGACAAACAAACCTTCAAGATGAAAGAGGACATTAGACTGGTAGTTCTTGAACATTTGTGCTACAAGTTCAACGTTCATGTTCTGCACATTGACCTCCTAGATGAGAGTTAGCAAAGCCTTGCTTCGTAGCACTCCCAGTGGGAAAATCGCACTTGAAGGTTCTTGTTCAGGACCATGACTGATTCATTGAGTTTTTCCTGCATTCTTATCAGCAGTCTGTCGAATGACAGGGTTTGTTAAATGTTCGTGTTTACATACAATGTTGGTGATGATTCGAGACAACAGTAGACTCTGCTGGTGCTCATGAGGGCTCTCCTACAATCATCATCAGTCACATTAAATAGCCCTATAGTCATACAAGGGGGAAAAAAAAAGAAAGAAAAGAGGGACACACCATATTCAGGGCGATTTGTTGTGGTGAAAGAAACAACGACCGACTGTTGTGTTGCGCCAAGAACGCGCGCTGATAATGAAATTGGCGATACTAACACGTGATCCGCCTCCAAAGAATACCTACCTCACTTTGCTCTTCTCCTTTGCGTCTTCTCTACACCGCATAACATACCTATACCTTCTCGAACATCACTTTTTGCAGCTACTTTCAACAATGCCTCCCGCAAACGCCACTTCCGACGAGCATCAACAGCTCCTTGACTCTCTAGACATCGCGCCCCTTCCACGACCCTTCCGCAACCCTAGCTGGAAGCCATCGCAGCGCCGCAACAAGAATGTGAAGCAATTACTCTCAGAATCATCGCGCAAAGAAGCATCTTCAATGGCCACTCAGGTCAATTCAGGAGCCACAACCCCTTTCGCAGTCAGCACAACAGACGGCTCCCAAACGCCCGCTGTCGGCAGTGCGTCGTCCTCCACGCGTCCACCCAATATCGCACAGGCAGCTCAGAATTTATCAACTCTGGTACTAGAGAAAAACCTGAAAGCGTCCATGTACTTGGGAGCCGGCCCGGCAGTCACATACACAAACATTGAGTCTGCGCCGTCTCTGAGTCCTGCACACCAGCACCGCTACTGCGATCTTACCGGTCTGCCAGCGCCCTACACGGATCCGAAGACGAGACTCCGATATCACAATAGGGAAATTTTCGGGGTTGTGAGAACGCTCGGTCAAGGTGTTGCAGAGAACTATCTGGAAGCGAGAGGAGCTCATGTCGTGCTGAAGTAGACTTGACCTCGTCTTGTTCAGATTTACACACATGTTCCTCATGGATTCTTTCCATCAAATTGGTAAGCAAAATCTAAAATCTTCTATTGTTCAACATAACTAATCGATCAATACAGCTAGCCAAGTCGATGGTTTATATGTCAGGCCAACAAAGTCAAGCCCTTTCCACCCACCTGCCCCTCTCGAGACAGGCTCAAAGAAAACGCTCCGGCTTAATCGTGACCCCTTTATGAAGATTTAATCTTCGCCTGGTTTCTAAAAGAAAACATACAACCGCTACCGAAACTCCATTGGAAGGATAATCAGTTACAGCGCCAATTGACGCTGTTGGTTGTGGCGGGATAAGTGAGGACGCAGAAATTTGGGAAATTAAAGTGTAAATTGGCTGTCAGATGTATGCAATAAATAGTGTTAGCGGTGCGTTTCAAAGAATCAGCATTATGATCTTTGATGGGCACAATAACAAAAACAATGTCAATGCGAAGTTGTTGCAAAGGAGGAAGATAATTTATTTGTTCAGCTCCCGTTGAGATGCGTCGCCGGCGCCAAGACTGCCGGAACAATATTATCGCGTCGCCATCTCAAGCCCTAAAACGAATTGATGTTGGAACGCTGTCAATCTTACTAGGCCACGAATTCCATGAACCAGCCAATTTTTCAATAAATTCCACGGTTGGCGCGGGGGTATCGATTTACGATGCTTACAAATATGCCCAATCAAATAACGGCATCGTTGTAGGAGGGAACTGTCCAACCGTTTTTCTTGCTGGTGGTTATACTCAGGGAGGACACGGCCCCCTCGCATCGAAATATGGACTCGCAGTCGACCAAGTGTTCGAGCGGGAGGTGGTTACTTCCGATGGATCGCCCCTCACGGCATCTCCAATGCAGAATTCCGACCTATACTGGGCCCTCAGTGGTAGCGGTGGTGGTGCATATGGTGTCGTGGTGTCTTTGACCGTCAAAGTGCACCCTCAGGAGGCTGCAGCTGCAGCAACATTGTCCTTCGCAGTACCGAATATGACCACGGGCCTGGACGATTTCGGGCAGCAGCCAAAACGTTTATCGAGTCATTGCCAGGCCTGGTTGACTCTGGATTGCACGTCGGATGGATTCTTGGGCCGGGTTTCTTCGCTGTGGCACCTGCGTCTGGTCCTGGAGTGTCACAGGAGACTATTGATAAGTTGTTCAAGGCGACAAGTTCCCTACTCAAGAAAGCCGATATTCCTTATCAATACATCTCGCAGTCCTTCCCTACATGGCTTCAGAGCTATGAAGCATTCATCCTTCCCTCCGCCAATGTCTCTAATGCTATCATTGGCAGTCGATTAATCCCTCGCTCCGTCATTGAGAGGCAAGTGGAAGACTTTATTTCTGCCCTTCAGATCATTGCTTAGAATAACTTCATCGCAGTTGGTAACTCGTTGAACGTTTCCAGTCAAAAGTCTTCATCCAATGTGAGCGTTAATCCATACTAGCGTCAAACTGTTGTGCACTTGAGTCTCGGGACATATTTTCAACTAACAGGACTTTGCAACCAACTTTCAGAATCAAGACCTAGTGACAAATATCCTCATACCAGTCCTTGCTGAGCTTACTCCAAACGGAGCAGCGTATCTAAACGAAGCCGATTCTCAACTGCCGGATTGGCAGTGGGTGTTTTATGGACCAAATCACGGCTTGCGCAAGGCCATAAAAAGCAAGTACGACCGTTCGGACTTGTTTTATGCGTTGGGGGCGGTTGGAAGTAATGGTTGGGAGGAGCGAGCGGATGGCAGGCTTTGCAGAGTTTAGAGGGGGAAAGCAAGTCAACTACCTAGGTAGTAGCATGTCTTTATTGATAGTATTTCATGTCATGCATGAATATATGAGACGTTGGGATCATGCTTGATCAACCTGCTCAATCAAATATAAAAGTCTTGATTGAGACTTTTGTGAGCATGATGCTGTAGCAGTGCTACAGAAGTTATTGCATTCATATCATTGAAGCAGACTTCCACTCTGTATCTCTAACCATCCGAAGGCTTCGTTCTAAAACTCTCAAATTTGGAAATTTCGTTCAAAGCCATCTCTTTTGCCTTGACAACATCGCTAGGCACGGTCACTAGCCACTCTTGCAAAGCCTCAATTTCTCTTTGGATAAGATTTGGTTGCTCTTGCAGGTGATGACGGCTATATAGATCGTCTGCGTTGATTCCCAACGCTGACTGCAAAGTCTTCCCCGGACACAGTCGGTCTGCATCAGCTTTGGCCTGCACGACTGCTCGCCGATAAATCGACTCTGTTTTGATGGCATGATTAAGTTCAATCTTAGCCATTTTCTCCTCCTCCTCCTCTCCCCCTGAGAGATCATTCTTATTGTCCTTGTATTGCTCAATCATATCTCTGCTCCGGGATAGATCGTCTTGCTTGTCTTGATGTTCTTTCTGTAGGAATTCCAATTCCCAAAGTGGGAGGTCTTCTCTTTTCTGACACACACCATTGGGACAGAGCCTCTCTGCTATGTCTTTGGATTCGCGTAGACGTTTAATGTGCTGTGCCAAGTTTCGATTTTGCTTCCATACTGTGAATTGTGCAACCCATTCATCTTCCATGCTCGTTGCCTCATTCATTGCCGCCTTCTTTCGGTCTTCTCCGAATTTTTTCCATAACTGGTACTTTTCTACCTGCCTCAACGGCTCTTCAGCAAACCACTTTGCACGAGAAGCGGCATAGCCCCGTGCCCGACCTATCTCAAAACTGTCGCCGTCAAGATCATCGGGCCAGCCATTTCTCTGATAAAGGCCCTTTAAACCTAAGATTTCATCCCAATGATCCCAGTCAAGCCAACTTCGTTCCCCGCCTCCAGGTAGTGCCTCAAGAGAACGATACCAGCCGTTTATATCCCGCAAGACGTCTCTAGCCGGTCGGCCAGGGATATGATCGAAGCTATTGTCGTTAACGCTGGTAATCTCTTTTGTCTGCATACCTTCCAGGGCCAGATCGGTACTTGCCCAGCTTTCTTGGTCGATTATCCAGATTTGATGGCTTTTGGCATCGTACAAAATCACACTCCCGTGATTACCAAGTTGTGATAGCGCAGTGACCCACGGACGCATATACGGTCCATTTTCGGCCTCAAAATCGTCCCCTTCGGGACTCGCATAGAAAGGATCCCGCCCCTGTTCTACTTGTTCGGGGTCCAGAAAATTTGCAAACTCGCCCCCATGCAAGAAGTCAGAGTTGCCAGCGGCAGCCGCATCGATGTATGGCAGAATGCTATATAGATACTTGATGGTAGGGTCTAGTCCGTACTCTTCATACTGGGATTGCAAGCTGCTAGTATCGTGTGGCCCCTCTTTGATACCGGCTGGGTCTATATAGCGCATTTTGGCTAGTGTTTCATATATTTCAAGCATCAAATTGGCGACCTCGTCTAGACGAGACTTTTGCGCTTCTGATAGCTGGTCCATTCTGGCGGTGTTTCGGAGGTATTTCCAACTTGACTTTAGCTGGCGCGAGAGAAACGGTATAGACAGAGCAATAAGTAGCGCTACCAGCCAGGTGAGCATTTTCCTGTCCATTGGAGGGATAACCTTGATTATGTGACTGCAATTGCTAATGACCATCCGTAGAAGGCGAGGCTGAGAATTGAGGCTGAATTTGTTGCATATGCAGGCCTGACCGCCAACCGCAAACAGTTAAGCCTGGCCGTCCTCCGCGCGGCTTCCGCTTTTGAATTGCGTGGCAGAAAAGGGGCTCTCTCGTTGAACAACATCACAGCTTTGCGACATCGTGGCTTTACTTGTTTTTATCCCGTGTGGAACGAGGTGACGAATTTCTTTTTCTGTCTTGTGCTCTTCTATTTGAACAGTATATACCAAGAGTTACACCCTCAACGGAACCGAAACGTGTCGAGTACTTTTTGCGCGTGTCTCACGAGAATTTGCGAATCGAATCATCCCATTCAGCAGGATACAACACTCTCGCGACTCGATCCATATTCGCAGCAGACAGGCCTGAAATAAAGAAAAAGTTACAAGTGCGCCCATTCGTGAAATCGCCAAGATGCCAACGATGTGGCTTTCAGAAACGCAGAGTTAGTTTCTTACGTTGTTTATATTAATCTTCACATGGAAATAGAAGCTGATACCTTCTCTCTGGCTGTTAGAAATTGGAGCAATCTTCTGCACCGGTGGTATGTACTCGAATCAATCACGCCTGGGATTAAGGATCAATGGGGAAGGGGCAATTGAATACTAATGGTGGATGGATGAATATAGGCGGTCTGTTTCTATTCGGAGGCGTGCTTATGTTCTTTGATCGATCAATGTAAGTGGCACACATAGCATATTGCTGCGATTATCCTCGCTAATCCGCTTCACCTCCAGGCTTGCCATGGGCAATGTTAGTACAACCTATCCACCGTCCAGCACCAGGAGGGGCATTCTTATCGCATTGAACTCCATATTGAACTTTTATTTGATTTAGATCCTCTTCCTCATCGGCCTCACCCTCATAATCGGTATCCAAAAAACGATCGCATTCTTCTCTCGCCCACAAAAACTCAGGGGCACCGCTGCTTTCGCCGGCGGGATTCTACTTATTCTCTTCCGATGGCCTCTGATCGGCTTCTTTGTTGAATTGTACGGCATATTGATTCTGTTTGGAGACTTTTTGGTGACGATTGGTCAATTTGTGGGTGGTGTTCCCGTCATTGGGCCCTACATTCAACAAGCTTTGAATACGTTGGCGGGACAGAGGAGGAATGCGGAGTTGCCTGTTTGATTGGAATTTCTTGTCTCTAAAGAAATACATAAGGTACATTCGTGAGACGGGACTTTTCTTTTTTCTTCCGGAATTTTTTCAATTTCTGTAGACACATAGAACGTTTATATTTCCGGTGGTTGGACTGGAAGTGAAGCTATTTACTTGGGTATCTGTTGTAATGAAATCAACAGTGTTGTACTTTGCTGCATGAAGTTTTGTTTGACGTATAGTTAAATTAACCAAGAGAGGCACTGCGTGAGCCGGGGAGGCTATAAGTTTTCATTTCTCCTGTCTATGTGGGTCAACTAATGGTATTCATGGATACACAAAAGATGAAGTTTCAAATGCAACAAAGGATAAAAATATCGAATTATTTGCTGATATAATTCGGATCCCAAATCACTTACTAACCAGATTTTTTCTGCCAGAAAAAAGAACTGTTTCAACCATATCAAATTCGACAGCTATAGGCGTGGTGACACTTTAGAGGTTGTTTTGAATGAGATATTTGGCTTGCCCGTGAATGAAGTTGACGGCTTCACCGGCAGAGCTATTTTCGGGGTAATGCGAAATCAAAATGGATGCCTTGCACTTTGCGGCGACGATTCCTTCCTTGCCCTATAATATAACCAGGTTTGCATATCAGGTAATTGCACGGAGTCAACGGCCATAATGAAGGTTTTGACATACCGACTTGGAGTGCATGACGGGAATATTCTCAATATCCTCGATCTTGTTAAAGACATATCTTTTGCTCTCGAAGTGAAGACCGTTTCCTTGGGCGTCGCTGGGGTCACTGAAAACGAGAGCAATCTTCTTCATCTGGTCGGCACTGAGCTGATAGTCGAGGAGAAGTTAGCGATCTCCCGAGACTCCTTCTTTACGTTTTCCAATAGTGTACCTGAATGCTGGACGATTTGCCCCATACGGCCTGGCCAGTCTGGTCAACAATAATAGCTTTATCAATCACGGTACCCGTCGCAATGCTATACAACAAGTGGTTAGGATTAGGAAATATCCAGCAAGATCTCAGTGCGGAAGGTAATAATACTTTGCGTTGAGGTAGCCTGGAAGGTAAGGACTCGGTTAGTTTCAAGAGGAAGAGCGCAAATGCCATACAAGAATAACAGCAGTCGCAGAACACTTACTATCCCAGGCAGACATGATGACTGTGATTCTGTCAAGCAGATAGAAGGATAGACACTATGTTCAGACAGTAGCCACCAATGCAGGGACCAGGCGGAAGGCGCAACAGTTTGTCCAGAGGTACAGGATGGGTCTTTTTCTCGTTCAGGGAAATATAAATGAGGAGCTGCGAGTGTGGAAGTCCGAATGTTTTGAAGACGACACAGCGTCACGTGTAGTGGGGTGCTGCCCCGCCTTTGCAGCTGTAACTTGTCGGTGCCTGAGGCAGCGTGTCGCTCCTGCCACTCTTGCAGATTGCCAACAACAACAATTCTTCAGAGAATCAAACACACATGCGACTCTTCGCGGAGCGCATATCCAAAGACAGTCACCGTTCACAAGAGTCTGTCACCAATGGGCAATCTTGCGATATTTCCTATGACGTGATTTGCCGGGCGATCGATCCATAATACAGCGACAGGCGAGTCCTCGACATTATGGCTATGCAAGGCAATTAACACCTACTATATATATTGATTCGATGAGACAACAATGGCATTCAAGTGTATGACGCCGTGACCTGCAGACACGCCACTTTGTTTCACTAGCGTTTAACCTGCATCTCTGCCAAGTTCCAACCATGCCCGCCACATGCAAGCCATGCGAAGAGCCTAAGACACTTATTCCATGGGCGAGACATAAAGAGCAATAGGGGCAGGGGTTGAGGACATTCGTTGCCCCATCACGTTATATGGTCCGCCGCGAAAGGAGAGTTTTATTTAAACCGATCCTTTGATGATTGGCCGCCTGGGAAATAAGGGTATAATCTTAATTTATCCACAACAACGGTCAAATTTCAATGCAAACTGCCCATTCGTCCTATCCAGCAATACTGGGCCGGTGCTTTGAGCGTTGGCTCCTCATCCATGTCAGCCATGCGCCAATCACCAGAGACTTCTGCGTCAGATAATCTGTCTCATTCTCGAAATGACGCTGCAATTAAAGGGCTGGCCGAGTCCGCTGACTCTGCTTCTTTTTTTTTTTTTTTTTTCTCCCCCTCTCTGTCATGTCAGATTGACGTCCTGCACTGGTGTAGGGCATTTTCCCTTTCAATTTTGTGTCATCTGGCTTCTGGAAAGCCGTCCATTCCTTTATTTATTTATTTTCTAATATTATTTTCCCGTGGCTTTTGTTTTTGAGAGATTATCACTATGGGTATCTTTGGCAGATCCCGTGCGCATACTACAAATCAGATATCACAGCCAGTTCTCACATTCTCCGATGCTGCTCCTAGGGAGGATCTGCAGGCGCTGAGACCAGCCCATTCTCCGAGACCGTATACGGCAAAAGCTGGAAGAAGTGTTGATGGTAGGGGACGTCAAAATGTAACCCAGGGATTTGACTTCACAGTCACGGAGCCTCACGAAGATCCCTCAACATCAGATCCATCTTCTCTCAATGACCATGGAGTGGACGCAAATGCAATTGGCATTGCCTTGGGTAGTCCCAGTATGGCGCCGCCGCCACAAAATCCTCCTCCATCTGCTCCCGAGAAGCAGGAGATGACGACAAGCACGGGGTTGTTACGCCGGAAGCCGAGCAAGTGGAAGAAATTCGGGGGATTGCTCAAATCGAGACAACCGGAAACGAAGCGAACGCGCGAAGGGTTTTATCAGCTTGACGTAGAAACCGTTGAAAATGAAAAAGTCTCTAGCTCCCAGCATCTAATAAACCAGACAGAAGTTCCAGCACCTAGTCAGAAAAGGAATGCGAAACCAACCCCTCCGAAAGACCAGAGGCACGGCCGTAAAATCGACAATCATCATGCAGATGCGGAAAGTTCTTTACTGAAAGTCGATATTCCTCCTGTTGAGATGGAACGGTATAGCATTATGTTTGGAAGCGTCCTTGGAGAAAAGCCATCGTCCAACTTGCTGTCTCGTCGGAGCAAAGCATTGGACCAGCTCCATGTCCATGGCGGAGAAGTAGGTTTATTCTACCCGCAGAACAGAAAGAGATAATCATAAGAAATTGGCATACTGATCATTCAAAGCCCAAGCGCCCTCAGACTTATAAACCCCATCGCCGTGGTACGTCACCAGGAACATGCAGATCCCCAGTGTTTCCTGGAGCTTCTGGGGGGGAAATGACGGATAAAAATATCGACAGCAACCACTTGGCTCCTAGAAGCCCCATTCGATCAAATACCTTTCCTAGAGCAGCCGCACTATCCAGAAACAATCATAAGCGCCATCTGGCTGTGCCTGACCTTACGCCTGCATTATCGACGGGCACATCGTTCGACTACTCCTCAGCAGAACCGTCACCCAGCTCATTTGAATCACCGGTCATCATCAAGTCCCAAATCGATGGAGGAAGGCCAGAACCAGTCTGGGAAATGGTAACCAAACCCTCGTCATCCATCCCCCTCGAGACCAGCTACACCACCCGTCCGAATACTAAGTCGCCACCACTTCTACGCATGGGTAGCGTCGAGCAGCCCAAGTCTGCGACCGTAACCCCGAGAAATAAAGTTGAAACCGAGGAAGACGATAAATTGCTTCTCGACCAACCTTCTGCACCCCAACATCCACACCAACTCTCTCGATCACACACAATGCCACTGCCACTCAAAATCAAAAAGAACAAATCCGAGATACAGACAAAAGCATCTGCAGCAACAACAACAACAACAACACCAACAGATTCCGATGATTCCCCAATTGCGAAAACCATTGAAATCTCTATTGCTCGATCTGTGTCCGTTACCCGAAGGGTACCCAAACAGACCCTCGTACCCTTGGGTGCCACTCCGCAGGCATTTCATAACGAGAATGAACGATTTGGCGAGCATCAGAAGCTACTACCTACATTAGTGGACGTCGGTGGTGGTGAATATAGTGGCGTTCATCGGCATCAAAAATCGCAGGATATTATCATCGAAACGATATAAAAAGTTTACAACTTAAATGGTTGTCCTTTTTGTTCTTGGGGTTGCTTCTTTTTTTTTCGTCATTCATTTTCTTTCCCCCATTCCTTTGATTACTTTATTTCTGTATCATTCTCATCTTCATAGGTTTAATCCTCTTGTTCTCTCTTTTTTTTATTTGGTTTACTTCGTGAGATACCATTTCTTCATTCATGCAGTTCACTTTCCAAAATGTCTTTCGATCAAATGATAAACTTAACTCTCATTTAGTAGTAGGTATGGGCTACTTCTTTTCAACCCTTGCATCAATATCCATGGTTTTCGACGACCCCTCTCCATTCGAATTCGATCCCTCCACGGCCAAAACTGGCAGTTCAATACCAGTCACCTTCCACTCCATCCCTATATATGCATCACTCACAATCAGAACATCAACCTTTTTCGTAGTGGTCGCTGTGGTCATTTGTCCAAGGGAAGACATCACAAATTCATCTGGAAATTTTACGGCAGCCTTTGCTGTGATATTATTATGGGTCTTCTTTTTGGTCGATCGAGAGTCTTGCATATTGCTGTTCGGGCTCTGGTTTTGTTTCTGATTGTTGAACCACGACACACGTTTCAATGCAATGAGTTCACTCGTTTTGTCCGTCGTTGCCGACGTTACAATGAGGAAATATCCCTCGGTTTGCGGTTTAGGGAACTTTGGTGCATGGATTTTGAAGTCTGGCGTTAGTGGTGGGTTCTGTCGCGTGAGGGTTACTGTCATTCCTTTAGCGGAGAGATCGGATACGGATATGGACAGGCGCGGGAGTGCCGAGGAAATGATCTTGTCCACTTGTTGGGGGCTCGAGGCCCTATATAGTGAGGTGGGCAGTGTGTCGTTCAGTGTCTGGATAAGTGTAGATGCACGCATGGACGTAAGTGCAGTTAGTGAATCTGGTAGAGAGCGAGCCTTCTTCTTGGAGTCGGCTTTCGTGGTTCTTTCCATCGCCGTTGCCATCGTGCCCGGCTCAATGCCAGGTAGAATTGACAAGGGGTGGTCTTCTGGCCATCGGGCTGATTTGATGCATTGCAAAAGAGTAATCATCATACGGCATGCGGGAAAATACCCCAATTCGGCCAACACATCAATACTAGCCTGGATAATACGAATGCCCTGGTCAAGCACAGAAGTCTGGTCACCAACGTAATCCGAAATGGGCAGATCGATCCGAGACATGTATGCTTGAAGTAGCAAGAATGCTTTGATATGAGGGTCCCACATTGGTAACTCTGCCATCGCCTCGGGCAGGTCAGACAGTGGCAGGTTACGCGCAAGTTCGGCATTGATGAGATCTTCATTGTGGCGGACGGGCAATTCGTCGAATTCCGTGGCAGAGCACATCCAAGCAAGCACATCCTTGAATGATGGCTGGCGATTCGCATGACTCATCAGGTAGCGGATGGTCTTGTGGGAAAGATAGTAATAGCTCATGATTTTACCGAAGGGTGTCGAATCAATTTCCCCGGTTGCTGAATCCAATAATACACATGAAGACTCGGCGAGTTCACTTAGAGACTTTTCGACAAGGTCAATCATGAACTCCGATGCAATTTGTTGTGCGGCAATGGTGTTGTGTTCTTCGGCGGAAATTTCCAGCCCGTAGTAAGAAGGATTCTTATGTAGACGACGGAAAAAGAATGTCCACGTGAGGTAGTCCAATGCATCTTGCTTTGTAGCTATTGTCCCCGCGGAGACCTCGGCGCCCAAATGATTGTCCAGTACTTTGTGAAGGGTTGATTCCACCGGGAACCCCGTGTGTAAGAAGTGCTTGTAGAATGCCTTCTTAGCATCTTGCGTAAAGATTCGAGCAATACCCGAATTATCAAACTGCGGCCGTCCAGCACGTCCGAGCATTTGCAGCACATCAGTCAAATCCATGTCTCTGTAGCCTTCAATTTTGGCATCAAAATATTGCGTTCCTTTCACAACCACAAGATGTGCGGGCAAGTTCACACCCCATGCTAGAGTGCTCGTAGCTACAAGTATCTGAATCTTGTTATTTGCAAAGAGCTCCTCAGCCAATTGCCTGTCAGACTCAACAAGACCTGCGTGATGCAGTCCGATTCCAAAGCTGAGGGCTTCCCGCAAGGCATCGTCCTTGACACGAGCAAGATTGAGTTCAAGGTCGTCTTCAGACATCCGGACAAACCGCCTTGGATTATCTTCCATTCCACAGTAATTAATGAGATCCTTTGCAGTCAATCTCGTCTGTCTCCGAGACGCAACGAAAACAATGACGGGCTTCTCAGGTGAGTGGTTCTTGATAGCCAGAAAAGTTGGCCGATTCATAGACTGCATTAAAGGGCAAAATCCACGTTGTTCGGGGAACCCATCAATATAGATCTCCAATGGCACGGGACGAACTGAATGTCGAAAGTTATATAGTCCTTCTTTAACACCCAGCCAATTGGCCAAATCAGAAGCATTGGCGCACGCAGTTGACATGCCCATCAACCTGACTGAGCCTTTCGATTGCGACGCGATATAGTTCATACGAGACACAATAATCTCCAAAATAGGACCACGATCACCGCCGAGCAGATGGATCTCATCGATAATGACCAAACTAACCTGGCGGACGTATCCTCTAGTCTGCCAACTACGTGAAATACCATCCCATTTCTCTGGGGTTGTAATGATAATATCCGCATCTCTGATGGTGCGAGTGTCCGGCGTGTTGTCTCCAGTTAACTCAACCAACTTCAACCCCATGGCATTTGTAAGTCGTTTTCGCCAGTCCTGCACTCTCTCACGCACCAGGGCTTTCATTGGCGCAATATAGACCACTTTAGATCCAGGTCGCTCACGGAATGCCCACCACATCGCCAGCTCACAGGCAACAGTCTTTCCACTTCCAGTGGGCGATCCCAGCAAGATATTTGCTGATGTATGATATAGAGTGTGGAAGAGCTGTGTCTGCATGGGATTGAAGAATTGAAACCGCTGTGCATAGATCTCCTCCAGGATAGGATTCTTCAATGCGGATATCGGTAGGGGCTGAAGATCCAGGAGATCAGTATATACGCTCTCCGTATCTGGTCGAATGAGATGTTGAAACGAGACCGGGGTAACTGTCTCTGCGCCAAGCCATCGGTCAGACACCGCGCGGACATAGATCTGAGCGGGCAAAGGATCAGACAGTGGGATAGTGAAGTTAAGTTCGTGGTCGTCGTGAAGTTTCTTCCGACTCAGTATAAAATATTCATGGTGGTAGATCTCCGAGGTATCTGAATTTTCAACCCAAATCCAGTATCCTTCTGACGTTCCATGGTGTCTGTCATTCCAAGTGAATTCTGGATAAAGCAAGAGGCGAATACGAAGAACGTCGCGGTTCAAAGGAGCGATTTCAGCATCAACGCTGAGAGTCGGAAAGTTGTCCAGTAGCTTAGTGAGTGTATTTCCCATGCGATGATTATGCACAAGCTGGCCTATCTCAGCTGGTTCCATATCCCGCATTGACTCGATCGAGGAACTGGGTAGCTTTTGGTCTAAATTCTTGAGAATTGGCAATGGCAGGTCAAATTGGTGGAACGGATGCTGAAAAGGCCATATCTGTTTCTCGATGGACTTGCACATCGATAACAAAACCTGACATTGATATCCCCAGCGACGATTTAGGGCAACCATAAATAGAGCACGGCAAATACGCGCTGATTGCTGGGCCACGTATGCCAAGTCGGAAACCAGGGCAAAGTCTTCCAGTTTAGCACGAGAAATATAAGATTGAAGAAGGATGTTCGTTTTTGCATGAGATGAGTCGTTCTCTCCTTCCACCTCCGTCTGCAAGGCTTCGTCACGTAACCGATCAAGCTCCTTCGATTCATTTTCGCGAGCTTGAATATTGTCGAACTCTCCACTCATACTTATCATTTTCAGAACATCGGCCTCGCTAGCTCTGGGACGCATGAGTTCATTGAATATTTCAATACTAGTTTGCAAGACATAGAACTGGCTTGCTATGCGACCAACATCCTTAGCACGAAGTTCTTCCGTTCGCTCGTTGAATATAATCATCTGGCTTTTCTGCAATACTCGGGCAGCGTTGACTATCAATTCTCGGCGTCTCTGTACAAGCATTGGATCATCGCGAATCTCTGCCCATTCAATACCATAATTCCGCGGCTGGCGTTTCATTCGCACAAAAAGATAGGAATAGCCAAGCCATTGCACAGCTTCGGCAACCGTAGTGACGGTCCCGAGGGAGATTTCGGCATTGAGATTGTCAACTAATTTACCAGAGAAGCGAGATTCAATTGGTTGTTGTGATGTCACTGCAGAGAGATAATGATGCAGCTTGTCATGAGTCGTGCAAATAAAACCGATACCAGTATCCTGAAACTGCGGTCGACCAGCACGACCAAAAATCTGTAGAACATCGAGAATTCCGAGATCTATAAATTTACCTTCTTGCGCACTGTATAGTTGGGTGCCTTTGATGACAACAGCTGCAGCAGGCAGATTGACACCCCAGGCCAAAGTTGCAGTACAACAGAGAACTTTTATATGCCCTTCAGCAAACATTCGCTCCATCAAGTTACGGTCTGATCTCGTAAGACCGGCATGATGGGTTCCAAATCCAGCAGCAAAGAGGTCACGCAGCTCACGTGCGCGAGCATTTTTTAGATCCTTGACTGCCTGGCTATACCCTTCAGAATCTTGCCCTGCCATGAAAAGATCCTCACACTGTTGCTCAGCGGCCATTTGCTTGAATGTGCGAGCTGTCAGGACTGTATCTTTGCGAGAGTGAACAAAGACCATGACTTGATGACCCTCTTCCAACATATCTCGTACTTTTTCAAAGGCAACAGCGTCAAGGTTTTCGCGAGATTGTTTGCTGCCAGGTTTCCCTTTGACGCCGACGAAATGTTGTTCTAACGGCACTGGACGAAAAGATTGGTCGAAGAAGAACAGACCAGCTAGTCGATTCACTTTTAGAAAATCTGCAACATCAATGTAGTTTGGCAAAGTCGCAGAGAGGCCAATAATTCGAATTAGAGACTGTGTGCTTTCGACTTGACGTTCAGTTCGCGCAACAAGAGACTCAATAACCGCGCCACGCTCATCATGGAGCATGTGCACTTCATCAATGATGAGAAGTCGTACTTTCTGAACAAGTTCGGTATCTCCCGTGCTTTTCCGTGTAACGACATCCCATTTCTCTGGAGTTGTCACTATGATTTGAGTCTCCACAATCTCACGCTTTGTCAACTGCATGTCCCCTGTTAATTCACGAACTTGAATTCCAAGCCAAGCTAGTCGCTTGCCCAATTTTTCCGTAACCTCAGCTGCCAATGCTTTCATCGGCGCAACATAAACTATCTTGAAATCGTCAACTTGCACCGTAAACTCAGTTGCATCCGGTACCTCCAGAGGGTTCGGTGTCACGTTCTTTGCAATGGCGTTGAGGATGGTCAACATAGCTGCATCAGTTTTACCCGCACCGGTTGGGGCGCAAATAAGCATATTTTCGCTAGTTTTGTAGGCCACTTCATATAACAAACTCTGCATGCGGTTCAAAGACTTGTAGCCTTTGAACGTCCCTCTGCACAGCCCATCCAAAGATGCGATTTGTACAAGTTTCTGGTTCGGTCCCACGGGAGACACGCCGCGGGAAGCAGGAACACTTATCTCGGTATATTTCGGTTGTTCAACCTGTGTACTCCCCAGCGGAAGTCCATATTTCTTGCCTCCCAGAGACAGCGTGTTTCGAGAGTCATGCAATTTGTACACATGCGGATACTTTGGTTCTTCACGACTTTGTGCTGCTGCCAGTGTGGCATGTTTGTGTTCGTAGTCCTGCTGGCGGAGGGCTTCTTCACGCTGTGCGCGTGTTTGCAAAGTCCCGGCTATTAGCCCGTCAGTCTGTGCAGTTGTCTTTGGTGCCTGAGAAGAGAGGATATCGCCTCGATGGGCGATGATATCAATCACGAAATCAAGGTCATCAAACCCAATAATTTCAGCCAAGGACATCTGCAACTCGTCGTCGCCACTGTCTGAAGCCAGCAGAGCCATGATCTGTTGTAGGAGCTCCCCATAATGTAAGCCAGACTTTTTTGCAGCCAGTTCCTGTGCTTTGGAATCCAGCCAGGTATAACCATAGTCGGTAGCGAGTGCTACTCCATTTATGTCATCGAAACCGTCGCTCTCTTCATCGGAGCTGATGACATCCCAGATATCATCGACAGCGCCTGATGAGTATTCTTCATCGTCAAACTCTAGGTCAATGTCAGTTTCAATAGTTGTGCCAAAGCTCTGGCGGCGGTCCTCGAGCTTGAGGTCAGCGATCGATTGCTTCATCCGAGAGAGCTGCAGCAGCCACTCAGACTGCAACGAATCTATTTCTGACATGGTGAGTTTTTGCTGTATGTTTCAACACCTTTGATTTTCTTATGTATTTGGGGGTCTCTCTTTGACGGAGAATAAAAGGACGGCGCGTCTGGCAGTAAATAAACAAAATGGTATATACAGTTTTGACGAGGTTCAAGGTTGAGTTAAGTTGTCAAGCGCCGCTTAGCCTGAGGCAAGCAAGCTGTACCCGCCGGCGCCTCAGGCCCTCCACTAGCAGGCGGGGAGCTGATAGCAGCACAGGACATCCAAACAACAGACAGACACACAGGCAGGCAGCGAGATTCTCCTTACAAACGCAACTCGTCGTTATTTTCCTCATCAAGTGAATAAGATCATATCTCGGTTTATCAACCATACGTCGCTGTCGCCATCATGAAGATCTATTATATGGGTGTACGTATGTTCATCACCGCTTCGCCTTGTTCACGGGAGCTCACACGGGGTATCAGATTCTTCGCAACGAGACCAAGCCTGCCTTGGAGCTCTCTGGAGAGAAAGATCTCAGCAGGTACTGAAGGCGAACACTTGGATCTCCAGGATAGAAGCTCATATAATGTGTGCAGTTTCTCCCGATTCACTCGCGACAACTACTCCGAGTTCATGATGTAAGAATCCCCACTTCACAATCGAGCAGTTATTTGGAGTTTGCTAATGCCTTTTGTTATTTCTAGGCTATTTACAAAGACCGTTGCTGGTGAGAATAAACTGCGCTGATTGCGAATGAAGCCCGAGCTTATCTTCTACAGAACGGACACAACCCGGCTCAAGGCAAACCATTGAGGAGAAGAGCTACAGTAAGTGGTAGCCAGGTTCGCCGTGAAAACGAGGCGATAAGGTGAACAAAAATGCTAATTTCCTTGTGCATCGCTATAGCCTTCCATTCCATGAGCCGAGATGGCATTGCAGGCGTGATTGTTAGCGACAGCGAATACGTACGCGAAACCCATATACCGTTTCTTCTTCCGCGATGATTTTGAGCTGACAGGCCGCAGCCTCCACTTGTTGCTCAACAGCTTCTTTCCAAGATGTGCGCAAAAATCTCGATCCGAATTGACTTTTGTGCAGCGTGCTGATACTGGTTTTCTAGAACCGACGAGTTCATATCTAAACACCCTCGCAGCGATTACTCGATCCCAAACCTTCCGGAAAGGAGCCTGGCATTTCCTCAGTTGGCCGATTACATCAAGAAATACCAAGATCCATCGCAGGCCGACTCGATCATGAAGATCCAGCAGGAGCTAGATCAAACTAAGATCGTTCTGTACGTACCGAGTACAATAAGAACGGCAGTGGATATCTTGTCTAACATGATTGGATCACAGACATAAGACTATTGAATCGGTTTTGGAACGAGGTATGTTGCACATCACTCTATGATATAAGATGATGAGCTAACCGTCTCTTTAGGGGAGAAAATCGACAGCTTGGTTGCCAAGTCGGATGGTCTCTCTGCTCAGAGTAAAATGTTCTACACTCAGGGTATGTAGCCCCTTGGTTATATCGGTATCGTGTTGATATAAGCTGACAATTATACAGCCAAGAAGCAGAACTCCTGTGCGTACTCCGGAACTACACTCTCTCCGTCTGATATTCTCCGTCTGTTGCGTAACTAACAATTTCTAGGCTGCATTGTTATGTGAATAACAAACATGTTCTTGTCGACATCCAACACCTCGAAAGACGATTCCTATTCCTTGAAGGTTTTCGAAGATCTTCTCTCTTTGTTCACTCTTTTGACAAATATACATGCTTCCCTTTCCTCTTGAATTTTCACATCAACGGTGTGATTCATATATACCGCAGCCTCACGTACAAAAGCATGGCAAATCAAACCAACCCATTTTACTTCGTTGTGTTCATTATCATTCGATACTCTATGTTGTCCAGTTTGTTCTCGTTTGCTCAGAGCCGAAGTTCCATGCTAGTTTATAAAGAAGAATACTTAATGACCGATTATTGTGCACATGTCCAAGAAATGTCCATATGAGCATCACAGTAGTTAGGCACACCACCGTCTATAAGAATAATCCTGTCTCATTTTCGCCCCGAGCTTCTACTTCCCCATTGCCAGCGCTATCGCTCTCGCTGCCACTTTCCTCGGCCTCTTCACTAGGCAACATATCCGGAAACCAGCCATATCTCTGCAAGTCAACGAAAAAAACGCCCATTGCATCTTGATCAACCGTGACGCCCTCGTGTCTCAACGCCGTTGCTTGACGCGCTGCACTACCGGGTCCTCTAGCAGATGCAATGAATTCGATATAGATCAGTATACAGTCGTAGGTTTTTCAACATGACATATCCCCGTAAATCCTTGAACTATCAAGGAAGACCCAAAAAAAAAGTAAAAACGACAGACATACCGATGCGATATAGTCCCCTTTGCATTTACAACCCTCTGCCACGGAACATTATCGTCGTGGAAATGATGATAGATTTCCCCCCTCTCGTCGTTCTCGTCCGCTGGATCGGAGTCATTGCTTCGATTGGAGGGGAGATGTTTGAGGCACATGCCTACTTGGCGGGCTCGACGGGCTGTCGTTCAATTAGGTTGATTATTATTCCACGGCTTATGAATATCTGCCCATATGTATAGGATGTTTGTAGGGCTACGTACGATATCCTAATAGACGTGCTATATGGCCGTATGTTGTTACGGAGCCCAGGGGTATTTCTTGCACGGCTTCATAGACGGCGTTGAACCAGTGTTCTGCTTCATCTGTGCGTGTCATTTGTCTTCTGAAGCTTGGCTAGGTTTTCTGTTCTGGAGATTTCACGTCTTATTTATCCCTCTTACTACAATACTCGTTGATGCTTTTCTATTGGCTCGATTACCCGCAACAACATTAATCCGCGCTATCATCACTTTCCTCGACGCCGGAACATATCTCCAAGCTAGCTACAGCCCAGAAACACAAAGACACAATGTCATCGTTAGCAGACTACCTCGCCAAGAACTACCTCACTGCCGACCCGCAGCCCGAACGGCCCAAAAAGAGACGCAAGAAGAGCAAGCATGCATCCGAAGGCGACGGCGACGGCGGCGGCCTCATTATCGCCGACGACGATCCGCCTTCCCTCCGCGCCTCGGCTGCCATTGAGAATAACGAACATGACGAAACCTCCCCTTTCATTTTAGACGCATCTCGCACAACAGCCGAGTTCAGAAAGAAGAAAAAATCAAACTGGAAAGTGCTCGGCGGGGGGAGCACAACAGGGCAAGACGAGGCAGATGCAATCCTTGCCTCAGCCGCGGCCGAAAGCGCCGCACGACGAGAAGCAAACGAAGCTGACGATGCGCCTACAATAGAGGAACAAGAAGAAGATGATTTCAGCATGCCCCGCATGGAATCCGGAGCGCGCGCCGGCCTCCAAACGGCCGCCCAAACGGCGGCCATGGTAGCAGCACAAGAACGCAAAAAGAAAGCGGAACTAGCCGCATTTCAAAGGGCACATTCAGCGGCAGCAGCAGGAGGAGGAGTAGAAGGAGGATCTCAACACCAAGAAACCATATACCGAGACGCATCAGGACGAATAATCAACGTTGCCATGAAACGGGCCGAGGCGCGACGAGCTGCCGAAGAAGCGCGCGAGAAAGAAGAGCAGGCCAAAGAAGCGCAAATGGGCGATGTGCAACGGCAACAGAGGGAAGAACGACGTGAAGAACTACGGTCTGCGCGCGCAATGCCGGTGGCGCGCACGGCGGAAGATGAGGATCTAAACGCCGAGTTGAAGGCGAGAGATAGGTGGAATGATCCTGCGGCTCAGTTCTTGACCTCCAAGAAAGCCGCAGTTAGTCGCACGGGTAAACCGCTGTATAAAGGCGGGTATGCACCGAATCGGTATGCGATTAGGCCTGGTCATCGGTGGGATGGCGTTGACCGGTCGAATGGGTTCGAGAAGGAGTGGTTTCAGGCTAGGGCGAGGAAGGAGAGGAATGCCAATTTGGAGTATGAGTGGCAGATGGATGAATAACTTTTATTACTTATATCCATCCTAGATTGCATGCATGAGATAAAATAGTTGTATACCCTGGAATGAAGAGAAAAGCATTCAAATCATTCTATCTACTCCTACCTACCTGACCTAACATAACATAACCAAAAAGAAATTCGAACAAATGACAAATCGATCTTTCGTTTCTTCTCATATGAAGAAGGCATGCGTCGGGACAAAATGAAACTGCAGACAGAATTATGGAATTATATAAACTCGTTGGATCGTTCGTTTCAAAATATTCCCATCTAGGCAAGCCAACCTTCCGTATATCTCGGTCACACGAGGCCTCGGAGTCTTCCCAAGTTTTTTTGATCTTTGATCATTCGTCATCATCATGATCATAATCTTTCCTTTTTCTTTAAAAAAAAAAAAAAAAAAAAAAAAAAAAAAAAAGAGAGGGCGCACAATCATCCATCAAAGTAATATTCATGTCGTATCGATCAAAAATCCAAAAGAAAGGGGGGGAGAGTGAGTTCAAAAGAATGTTAGAGATCTGTTAGACGAGCATGTTTAAAAAGACAAGGACATGGCATGCATGGAGGGAAAGAGAGAGAGAGAGAGAGGCAAAAATAAAAAGGAGAGAAACGACAACAAAAATGAGAGGAAAAAAAAAGACAAGATTACTATCGCCGCTTGACTTCCGATGCCCATCCCTCAATATCCTCCCCTTTCGTCCCAGGCGCAATCCCCAGTTCAGCGACATCAGCCATACCGGGCGTCAATTTCAGAAAGTCATGACTCGACATGCCGCCCGCGTTGGCTCGGTCTTCCGGTAATAGCTCCAACATGGGCAGGAGGAAGTCGCTTATTTGCTTGCTCTCTTCCACTGTGAAATGGTACTTCTCGCGCAACACGTCCGGCAGCGCCCAGTGTCGGAGTCGGTGAATGTTGCGCAGCTCACCGCGGCGGTTGAAAATTTCCTGTGACCATCGGCCGGAGATGCAGAGAGAGCGGGGGAAAACTCCCAAGAGTTCGATGATTTGCGCGATGTGATCGTCGTCTTTTCCATATTTTGTGCCAGATTGCGGGTCAAACAGGTAATCGCCAGTGATCAATTCAAAGACCTGGTTTTGTCAGTTCAAAATAAATCCAAGCGAAAAAGAGATGAAGAGCTATGAACGAACCATGCATGCCATGCTCCATACATCAGTGCTAGCACCCCATTTCGCGCCAAGGATAACCTCTGGTGAACGATATTGGCGTGTTTGGATGTCATTTGTGAAATGATGACCGACCCAGCAGGCATTACCCAGATCTGCAATCTTGACAGAAATGATATCGCTGTCAGCCTCCTTTTCTAGGCTGGATGACGATTCGGATGTGTTCTTGTCTAGAGAGATGCCGGATACCTCCCTTTCTAGAAGGTCACTATACAAACTTAGCTACGTTCAGACAACACGCATGGGGCAAAGCTTACGCTGTCTTTTCGCGTTGTTTTTGCTTCTCATCTTCTGGAATGGTAGGGATGTTTTCTTTAATACCCAGAGCATCTTTCATCGACAGTCCTGATTTCGAGGTCTCTGTTTGCTTTTGGGTCAGTGTCTGGTTCTCAGTCAATTGGAAAGGAAAAGAGGCAAAACTCACCCGCTTCGTTCATTACCTGGTTCAAACTACTATGGGAACTGCTCATCTTGAACGGGTCCATATGGCTGAAACTGGTGTGCAAAGGACTAGGGAGCGGCTGGCTCCCTGTGATGAGCGTCCTTCTCCGTCGTCGGCCATTACGATTATCGTCCTTCTCTGCCTTGGACTCCTCTTTCACGTACGTCTTGACAATTTGCTCCACATCTCCAATCTCAATCAAGACATTTTCGGGCTTCAGGTCGGTATGGATGATGCCGCATTCCCGATGCAGGTAATCCAAGCCCAATAGAACCTGTTTCGTGATCTGTCGGACCAAGGGCATGGGGATGCCACGGTGGTTCCACCGCTTGATCAAGCCGAGCAAATTCTCTCCCAGCACTTCAAAGACCATACACACGTGCACGCCATTAGGGCCCTTGTGCTCGAATGAATCCAATAGACTAACGACGTGTTTCCGACCGGGATGGCTTGGTTTCGCCTGGACGATTTTGTTGAGCAGTTTGATTTCATCGATCGCGGTCTCGGTGTAGTGTGCGGCCGACCGCACAACTTTCAATGCGACGTGTTTGCCATTTGTGGTGTCGCGCGACAACCATACCGTCGAAAAGTGACCCCATCCCAGCTTGCGAACGACAACGTACCGGCCGTTGTTGTATGTCTCGCCTACATGGACTGGGTGGTAGCCGCCTTTGCAATAATCCTCGGAGTCCTCTTCGTCGGCTGTTGTTTCTTGCTCCTCCCCAGATGATGACGAGTCTGAGCGGGCAAGAGGGATTCCGTAGGCGGCCTTCTGGTGAGGGAGGGAGGATGCGACCGGCACACTGCGGTAAGAGTTAGAGAGAATATACCCAAGACACGCGGTGCCACATTACGCAAAAGGAAAGAAAAAAAAAGAAGAAGGAGAAACATACCCTTGGCTAGAAGTGCCCCCCGAATTCGAGTCCGTTGCCTGCATGATATTCTCGTTTGTCACAATCGGCTTCAAGTCGGTTCCCTTCCTCCTCTTCTTGCTGCCATTGCCATTGGCAGCTGCGGAGGCAACGCTTGCCATTTGTTTTCCTTTGTTGATCACGGCTTTCTTAATATCACCTCCATTCATCATCCCTCTACGACGCGCGTGAGTGGGAGATGGGGGAAAAAGCAGGTTGTTGCCGGCAGACCCAGACCGAGACCTAGACCGTTCTGTGCTGTGCTGTCCTGTTCCCTGCGCTGAGCAGCGCAATCAGGTCCAGAGGAACAAGGTAAAGGGGTCGAGATACACAGAGCGTGTTGGGCGCAGGAAAGAAACTCGCAGCAATCAGCTAGTTAGTAAATAGGCGTCGTGGTGACGGAGGTTGGCGGCGGTGTTGTGCGGACGGGAAGAGGCAGCTTGGGCTTGGAGGGGTCTTCCTGGTCGAGCTTTCTTTTTTGCCCTGGCCAAACAGAAGCCGAGTCAGGTCCAGCAACCAAGGCAGAGACCGCCACTCGGGAGTCGACAGTAAGCGACAGATTTCTCCTTTTCTGCCGGGAAAGGGGGGGGGGGGAAAGGGAGAGGGGGAGGCGAGAACAAGGATTAGTTAGTTGGGGTTGGCGGTTGGCCGTGAACGACGACGAGAGAAAGAGGGGCCGGGCAGACAAGACGGTAGCCACTCGGTCGGAAGTCGCCACGCGCAGGGCTGAGCATCAAAGCTGGCCGCTCTGTCACTACTAAGCAAGGTGGTATGTTCCAGCAGAGCAGCAGAAGCAGGATGAAGCAGAAGGTGGCAGCGTCGCTGGTGGTGATGGTTGCGTTGGAGTTGGACTGACATGAGTGGGCGCGGGCGCTACTGATTGGCTGCGGGCGTCAGGTGCGCATCTTCATCTTCATCCTCACCTCTTGCGACTCTATCTCGGCATCTACGGGCAGTGCCTGGCAATTTACTCGTCTACTGCATGTCACTGGGAAAAGAGAGTGCTCTTCATTGCGCCTCCTACTCCTATGCCTACTTCGATTCGACTATTACGTACTGATCTCATCGTCGCTCAGGCCGTCTGCCGGTTTAGCGCCAGCCAGCCAAGGCTATGCATATACCGACGGCGCAGCTCTCAGCCGGCTGATCCCAGTACTGCTTCGCATACAGCTCAAGCAAGCTGTTCGAGTTGATCGACGCGTCAACGTAGTCGTGCACTTCGTATGTGTGATCCTTGTCGATGCATTTCAGCACAGCCAGCACTCTTTTCTCCAGGTAACACTTTCTGCACGCTTGACCCCGGCTAGCGACCATGACCGTCATGAGTGTTTTCCTCGCCTTCACCACCGGGGTATTTTTTGTCGAGAGCAGCGAGAATCTTCGAGGCATAATCAGACTTGACATTCTCGACAAACCGAAAGACATTGTTGTACGGGCAGATGATTGAAAGAATTATCGCGTGTGAAAGGACCCTGTGCTAAATCGTATCGAATGGACATCCGATTTGTGAAGGTGAGCCTCGATGTGTCGTTTCTGGTTTCAGAGACCACGATCCGCTCGAGGGCCGTTTCCACGAGACTGTAAATATTGCCTTCGTGGCCGTACGGCTTGCGCGAAATATAGTACGACCGTAGAACACAGCCAAAGTACTCGGTGATGTTATATTCTTCTCAAAGCTCTGGGATTCTCTTGCTGACTCCAAGTCCATCTGGGGTATCAACTCTTGGTCCTTGCCGTCTGTATCTGTATGGAATTGAAATGTCTCGCAGTTGAAATCGAGATATCAACGGGCATACCTCAAGTCTGACCGCACAGTGGCGTCAAGTGATTGAGAGTTCTCGCTGGCGCCTGGCTGTGGTTGGATACTCTTCGCTGGTCGGGTTGGATTTAAGACTCCAAGAGGATTCATGACACCACTACATGTGTTTGATTTGATCCCAGACATAGCAAACCATCTCACGGTCTCATCGTATTTCCTGGACCGGGATGCCTGGGTGTCGTTCCTGGATGATTTTTGTGATATACTCCAAGGTACTATTATTGTCGAGATTTGATTTATCTAGCCGGGCCAGTTGTGTCCGACGAGAACAAACAAATCGATATCCTCGTGCTGCACTGCGGATTTGAACCAGTCTTCCTCTATCATGGTGTGTGCCAGGTGTACTTCAGTGTCATCGGCAGGCGGGTCCATGTCAAATATGATGTCAAATGCCATGATTCGAATTCCGTAGGGTGTTTGGAAGTACCAAACCCGACTGCCAATGGGCACGAGCTCGTTATCATTCGTCGTGGTGTCGTTGACGTAGACGTTGCTGGTAATGTATTAATCACCATAGTGTTTTGCCAGGTTCATATGTGTTGCATTTGGCAGTCCCGCGTCTATGATGAGATCGTGATTGCCCACGGTGAGTAGACTGAAATCGGTCAATTTGAATAGTTCGTCCGTTTCCAAGCCATCGGGTTTTGTCACATCGCTGAGTCCGGCCCCGTCATGCAAGTCGCCTTTGTTTCAAGCCCTATTAGCTTAGTTCAACCATGCAGGTGTGTCAGAACATACCAGGGTCAACTACCAACAAGTCGACTTGAAGCCGCTTGGCCTTCTCGCGCATGCGTTGGACAAAGGAAACAACGTCTCCCCAGTCGGCACGATAGTTTCGCTCCTTCATGTGGCCTTCATACCACCCATGGAGGTTAGTTGTGTGGATGGAGCTTAGCTGTCCCCATTCCAACGGTCTCTTTGGAAGGACATCGTAGGCATCAGGTTGGATACACGCCGATGCAGCCTCGCGTTATCTGCAGAAGTGCAGGGAACTGAACGACAGAGGAGATATAGGAGGTACAGTCCTACGAGACTGAACAAGGGAGCCATGTTGAATGAGTTTGTGGTACAGAGGAGACTGCAGTCCACAGTCGCTTTCATTCAAGAGTATTTAGATAAACACTGTACTGCGTAGTATATACAGTGACCCCAGTTCAGCGGCGCCTAAATACCGATGCAGGGGGTCCATCCTTTCTACATTGAAAGTGCATGCGCATATGCATCTGTAGTGCTACATTGCTTTGTTACACCCCATTCTTGTCTTCTGTCTTCTTTTGCACCGCTATGTACATCGCTATGGCTGTTCGCTGATCTGCTTGCGAAACGGACATGAGCGGTTACATTCAATGACGGCGAGGCATGCCGCAATCCCACCGAGGACATGTCAGTTCTGCCCGTGAAATGCTATTGCGCCCTGACTTTGTAGAAGAGTTGACGAATAAAAAATTGTCCGGAATCAACCCCGGATTTGCGCTCCGGAAATACACTCCGGAGTTAAGAACGGGACGCCTCGGCAGCTTCCGCACGCCATTCCGTATGGGGTTAGGTGTCCCACTATGTCCTGTGCCTCAGGTAGGAGCTTCATTCCATTGTATGGCGTGGAGTGAACTCTGTAAAAGTCGAATATAAGAAATAAAATTATGCATTCTATTCTAAGTTGTACAGTCAATTCGAATGAATTAAGTATTATGCTCAGTCCGCTTATTACACGCTGATTCTGCACGCTACGCCGTTGTTGCTTGGCTTGGCCGACTGGAAGTACACCGCCTAGCCTAACCCCTCAACCCTCAACTCTCAACTCTCAACCTCTCTGCTGCTGCACGCTTTGTTTACATTCCTCATATCAACTCAAGCATCTGCACGAGCCTCTGAGAGCTGGCTGCATCGCGATACATGGCTCGACCAGCCAAGAGCGCGCCGTAATCCGCTCTTCCGACTGCGACATACATATAGATATGGCGAACCCGTTCATCGAGCGACCCCTGGTCGACCGCCTGCTCGCCTCGCCCCTCGCCTTCTTCCTTCACCCCGTACACATTCTACTCCTCCGTCTGCGCGGTCCTCCTCACCGGCCGTCTCAATCCAGTCGACCGATCCGCGTAGTCTGCATCTCCGACACGCACACCCTCGAATGGAAGGACGTGCCCGAGGGCGACCTCCTCATCCACGCCGGCGACTTGAGCAACGATGGCAGCGTGCGCGAAATTCAGGCCGCCGTCAACTGGCTCAAGACGCTGCCTCATGCACACAAGGTCGTCATCGCAGGCAACCACGACAGCTACTTCGATCCGCGCTCGCGACTTGACCAAGACCGCGACAAGTCGCTTGCCTCGGTCTCGGCGTCTACAGCGTCGATACAGTCTATAGATGACTTTGATAGTCATCGCATCGACTGGAGCCAGACCGACGCTGACGACATCCACTACCTACAACATTCATCCGTGAGGCTAGCCTTCCCACCCCTGGAACCAGGCCAGTCAGCACGCTCCCTCAAAGTCTACGGCGCGCCCCAGATCCCGACGCCCATGGCCATGGGTCCAGAACACGCATTCACATACCCGCCTCAGCAGGACGCATGGACAGGCACCATCCCGATGGAGACCGACATCCTCGTCACACACACCCCGCCCTACACCCACCGCGACCTCGGCCCCAGCTTCAGCATCGGCTGTCCCTACCTCCTCAGCGAAGTGTGGCGCGTGCGACCTATACTGCACGTTTTTGGGCATGTGCATTTCGCGCATGGTTCAGAGCCGGTCTTCTGGGACGAGGCGCAAAGGGCGTGGGAGCGCATATCGACGCGGTGCTCGTCGCGTAGTGTGGCTGCTGCTATTGGTTCATCTCGTCGTCTGGGCTTTGTGTATGACTTGCTGACGCCGCAGAACTGGGCTGATGCGTTGCGCGTCCTGTTTTATGGGTTTACGGGCATCGTCTGGTCGCGTGTATGGGGCGGGGTAGTCAATCGTGGCGGCTGGTTGGTGAATGCCGCTGCGATGTATAAGGATACGGGGGTGTTGAGGAACGCGCCTCAAGTTTTTGTCTTGTAAGACATGATTTTCCAGCACATAATGACAAGCAGGAGGAGTTTTCAAGTATGTATGGGAATTCCTGGCGCAGCGTTGCAAATATGTAACTATATGTATGGCATGAATATATATATATATATGTATATATAATCTTTTGACCGGGTATTAAAAGACAAGACTCATGGGAGCAAGCAAGGACGAGGAGAACTACTTATAACTTCGCTTTCTCTGCAAACCTCGGCGAAACCAACGGATCATAAACATTCAACCCCAGCGTGTCAGACGGCACAGCCGAATAGTGGCCGCCCAGCAGTGCGCGCGCATCCACCAGGCTCGGATTCAAATCGGACACTGTCGCAGCGCCAATTAATCGCATGTTCATTTCCAGTTCCTCCTTGAGCAACTGCATGGCCCGCTCGACACCTTCCTGGCCATATGCAGACATGGCGTACAAGAACGGACGGCCGATACCAACCCCCTTGGCCCCGAGACAGAGCGCTTTGATGATGTCTGTTGCACGACGGACGCCGCCGTCAATGAATATCTCCAGTCTATTTTCCCACCCGCGCTCGCGCAGCACAGGCATCACCTCGGCGAGGACTTCGATTCCGGACCGCGCAAAGTCCAGCTGGCGGCCGCCATGGTTCGAGAGCACGACGCCCTGAACCCCGGCTTCCACGGCGCGCAGCACGTCTTCCACGCATTGCACACCCTTGAGTATGATGGGCAGCTTGGTGATGGACTGGAACCAGGGGATATCCTTCCACGAGAGACTGGGGTCGATAAACGACGAAATCGCGCGGGCGGCGCCCTGCGACCGATCGACGCTGTCACCGCCAGACGCCTGCACGCTGGACCCGGTATCTGAGAATTTCACACGCATGTCCTTCTCCCGACGGCCCAACTGCGGCGCATCGACCGTGATGAAGAGCGCCTTGCACCCGCGTTTTTCGGCATGTTGCACGATCTTTTGTGTGATGGCTCGATCCTTGTTGACGTACAGCTGCAGCCACTGGACTTGGTCGCCCTTGCGGGCATCGACGATCTCGTCAAAGGAGCATGATGCCAGCGTCGGGATCATCTGGACGACGTCGTGTTGGTGTGCGGCGCGCGTGAGCACGACTTCGCCCTCGGGATGGCCGAGTTTGCCGAGCGCGGTGGCTGTCACGTAGAAGGGGACGGCGGTCTTGGAGCCGAGCATGGTGGTTGAGAAGTCGACTTTTTCCACGTCGACGAGCGTGCGCGGGCGGAACCAGACTTTGTGGAAGGCCGAGTGGTTTTCGCGCATCGTCTGGCTCGGTTAGATGAACACGCATAACATACTGAGGTATACATTCTAGAGAGTACGTACAATCTCGTCGTCGGCTCCGCTGGAATAGTAAGCCCACGCCGTCGTCTTCATGACCTGCCTGGCCACGGCCTCAAAGTCCAGCAGGTTGTAGCACTGGGCGAGCGGCGGCATGTTCCGGACGCGCTCCTCACGCTCGATTTCCAGCGGGTCCTTGACCTTCTCGTCGTGCTGGACGGTGGCCATGTCGACCTCGCCCAGATGCTTGGAGGCATCGAGGTACTTGTCCAGGGTGTCGGGAGGGTGGATGGGCTCGAATGCCTCGGTGGCGTCCCTGCCGGCGTATTTGAGGATGATATTCTGTCCGCCGGGGTGTTCTGTGGTCGGTCAGCTGCGAACATGGTCGTCTATAGATACGGGAGTATAAGAGGACGCACCGGGCAGGAATTCCGTGACATCATACGCCCTGCCGTGGACGATGACCCAGCACGAGTCCTTGCTGTGGTGCTGCGCGACTTGCTGGCCGGTGAGCTTCGCCATTGCGGGGTTTGGCCGTGGATAGGTTGATGCAGCAATGGCTGAGGAGAGGGGGGGGAGTGTGTCACTTATATACACCGTATGGCATGGTGATACTGAGCGAGAAAAGCCTCGGTATATCTCGCAGCGAGCCAATCACGCCGCGCGGAGGGGCTTACATAATGCCGGGGATGCTTCTCGGCCGACTCTTTGACGACGTTCTCTCTTTCTCTCAGGCTGTCGCTGCAAGGATAGACGGATATACTCACTCACTCACTCCTGCCAGCTCGCGTCTCTCCTCTCATGCACGATGCTCGTCGCTGAGGCACCGCATCTTCGCCACGCGGACGGCTGAGACCGCACGGCGCCACATTCGAAGCCCAACCGACGAACCACGAGTGCTGCCTGCAGCAGAACGATGCAAGGGAGAGCAGCATCTGGCGATTGGCTGTAGCGTTGAAGATTCATAGGCAGCAAGCCAGATCCAGCGCGTTTTGTCGATGCGTTTGTTGGTTTGTTCGTTCCTTCGTTCGTTCGTCGCTCCGTAATTAACCCAGCGTATGTAGGTTGGGCCCCTCAGACAAGACACGACACGGCACGACACGAAACGCTCGTCGAGTAACTAAACATCTCTCTCTCTCTCTCAACTCTCCCTCTCGCCCTCCCCCCTCCCCCTATTTATTACACTCCTCTGCGCGTTCTCGCTCACTATCCCTCTGCGTCGACTGCAGCTGGATAATGCTGAGCCAGCCTGCGACGTTCTGCTCGGTCGCGACTCGATAAGCCAGCCCCGCGCCGCCATGAGCTCCTCGCTGGAGGCCAAGATTGTCGTGCTGGGCTCGCAAGGTATGTCTCCTTCGCCGTGTATCCGTCTCGCGTTCGTCCTGCCGAGAGGAAATGAAAATAATAATAATAATAATAATAATAATAAACAAAAAAAAAAAGGCGTCGGCAAAACATCGCTGGTCAACCGCTACGTCAAGAATGCCTTTGAGCCCGCCAAAACCACCTCGACCGTCGGCGCGTCCTTCGTCACCAAGCGCGTGCTCGACACCACCTCAGACACCCTCGTGCGCCTGCAAATCTGGGACACGGCCGGCCAAGAACGCTTTCGCAGCATCTCGCGGCTCTACTACCGCGGCGCCAACGCCTGCCTCCTGTGCTACGACATCACCGACGAGAACAGCTTCAAGGAAATGACCGGCTGGCTGCAGGAACTCAAATCACACCTTGGTAGCGGTGGCGGCAGTGCTAGTGATGATGGCGACGACATCCCGCCTCTTGTCATTCATGTCGTAGGCACAAAATCAGACATTGTCGCCATCGACCCTTCGCGTCGCAAAGTGCCCTTTGAGCGCACCATCGCCTATGTCGCGGAGCAACTCTATCCGTCGCAGGCATCCACGCCGCCGCCCACCGCCGGCTTTGGGAATATGGTGGTCACGTCCCCATCCAGCAGCCTGCAGAGCCCCGATAGCAAACGCAGCAGTGGGTTCTGGGGCCAGGACATCGGCTGGGACTGCTGCCATGAGATCAGCGCCAAGGATGGAGAGGGTGTTGAGGAGGTGTTTCGGGTGATTGCGCGAAAGCTCGTGGAGCAGCGCAACAAGCAGCTGAACGAGGCCTTGAGGGTTAGTGCCCATGGCCATGCGGATCAGAGCATTGCTGCCGATTTGGACGGCATCATTAATGGGAATGGCAGCAGCAGCAGCAACAGTAGGGGCAGTTTCCGCATCGGTCTTGGGGATAAACGGCGAAGCTGGCTGGGATTTCCGCCAGGATTGGTTGTTTCTGAGGAGGTGGAATTGCCAGCTGAGCCTGGCAAGCAAAGGCGTCCTTGCTGTTGATTTTTTTCCCCCTTCTTTTTGTCTCTTTTTATGCTCATGCTTCGATTCCATATACATACATGTATCTAGTCTATGATGTGCATTCCCGGTGTTTTACGCGGATTATCTTTTTTTTTTTCTTTGTCTATGTGATATGATTTTCTTTTCTTCTTTCTTTTCGGGCTGGTATTGTTTGAGATCTGCTGGGTTGGTTGGAGGCGTCGTTGCGGGATATGATAGCCTTAGTTTATAGCATATGGAATGATACTCGCGTGCATCTAACTTGGGACTGATGTGTTTGATCTTTACATTCAACATGAAAGACACTCTTTGATATCTTCTACCTACTCAACAGCCTGACCAACCAGGATACATACCAGTCCATGAACCCAAATTCAAGAAGAAGGGAAAAAAAAAGGAGAGGTGGTCTCAGTATATCCAGCCCGTCAAACAGGATACTCAGACAGTCGGAGCTTATCGTCGAAGCTATGAACCCGCCCTGCTGTCGCGTTTCACGGCGTATGCATCATAGACCAGGGGCAAAACCAACGAACGAAGGGGGGAGAAAAGCACCATCTTCCAACGAGGGAGGATCAAGAAATGCTCAACAGGGGGATCGTGCTGGAGACTTTGCGCCCAGAAAGAGAGAGAGAAAAGCAGAAACTCTCCGAGGAGAGGGGAGAAGACGGTGAGAGACACAAGTGCGAGAGGTTGAGTGAGTGGTACCTACTAGATCAACCGTGCTGTGGGACGACAGAAGGCAAAAGCGAAGCAAAGCGAAGAAAAGCAAAGCAAAGCAAAGCAAACAGAGTCACCAAGGGCTCGTGCTGATGCGTTCAGTCTCTGCTCAAGCTCTCTGCAGATGCGTGGAGAGAGGAAGAAGAGAAGGAAGAGGAAGAAGATGGGAGATGAGGACCCTTTTATAGACGCGAGGAGATCACATGCTCATCCCCAACCACCATGCCCGGTGAGAGCCATTCAGAGGATGCGCCTTTGCATGCTGTGTTGCAGGCAACAATAGACAAAGCTTTTGTGGCTGGGCGCAGGAGGGTTTTATCTACGCAGATGTCATGGAGACACATGCTAAGGCCATGATTCTGAATTAGAATACGACTATCTTATACAGATCAACTATGCCGCTTGGACAACTCCATGACAAACGTCTCGCCCCATTTAGCACTTCTCCCGTTAGCCCTAGCCCGTAGATTCAGGAGAGAGAGAGAGAGAGAGAGACCCTACCTTGTATTCCTATTCACAAACCGCTCCAGCTTCTTATACCTCTCTGTCCGCTCGTCTCTCGACATCGTCAGCCCCTTGTTAATAGCCTGCGACATCTCCTTGATATTCGCCGGATGGAACGCCACGGTGCCTTCAGCCATAAATACCGATGCACCTGCGAACTCGGACAGCGCAAGGACACCATGCCGCTGCTCCTGGCATGCAATATACTCGAATGCCACGAGGTTCATGCCGTCTCGACTGGATGTGAGCAGACACATGTCTGCGATGGAGTAGAGTGCTGTGAGCTCCGTGAATGGGATCGAGCGGTGCAGATATACGATGGGCGTGTACTCGGGTTGGCCTACCAACGTCAACGTCAGCTATCTTTCTTTCCTCTTCTAAGGTACAAGCATACTGAATTTCCCATTGATCTTCCCAACCAGACAACTTATCTGCGTCTCCAGCTCCTGGTACTCCTTGACGTCCTCTCGAGACGGCACCGCGACCTGTACCAGGACCACCTTGCCCTGCCACCTCGGATTGTCAGTCAGAAACTGCTCGAAGCCATGCAGTTTCTGCGTCAGGCCTTTGATATAATCCAGCCGATCAACGCCCAAGATGACTTTGATCTCCTTGTACCGCTCATTCAGCTGCTTGATGCGCGCCTGGACCTCGCCTTTCCGGAGCGTGTCGTTGAATTTCTCCGGGTCGATGCCGACGGTGAATCTGCCTGTCTTGACGAGTCGGTCTTTGTACAAAATCGAGCTGTCCTGTGCTCGTGCGTTCCTGTTCATGATGTCAGTACTACTTACCTACGCTCTACAGTGCCTTACTGTGTCTGACTTACAGTAAATACTGGCAACTCTCGACAAAATTCAGCCGGTAATCCTCCGTATGGAATCCCACCAGCGTGCTCGACAGCAGCCCCTGCAGCAGCTCCTTAGCCACGGGCAGTGTCCTCATAGCCTCTGATGCCGGAAATGGCGTGTGCAGCGAGAACCCAATACACGCCTGTCTTTTCTTCTTGGCCATTCGCTCTCGCAGCAGCCGCGGTAGCAGCATCAAGTGATAGTCATGCACCCATACCAGATCCTCCTCTTGCGCAGCGTCGGCAATATAGTCTGCAAAGATCTCATTGACCTTTTTGTATGCTTCCCAGGGCCCGTCGTCAAACGCGACCCCTGATTGATAGTGCAGGGTAGGCCACAGAATTTGATCTTTGTTCAACAAGTTTCAGCCATTTCCATTTTTTTTTTCCTTTTCTTTTTTCATGCTCTCTTTTTGAGCACACTTACTGGAAAACCCATTATAATGTCTATTCGCAAGCTCCTCGTCCAGAAACACCGGAATCGCATTGTGAGCCCCCAAACTCTGTCGAATCTTTTCCTGCTCAGCGGGCTCCTGGGGACTCATCCCAGGCCATCCAAACCAGCGAAACTCGGTCGTCTTGGTCAGTCCCGACAGCGAAGTGACCAGTCCGCCACTCGACATGCTGGAGGTGTAGGATCCATCTTCGGTGCGCTTGACGGAGAGGGGGAGTCGGTTGGAGACGACGATGAGGTTCCGTTTTGTGACGCTGCTTTGTTCGGCGTTGGGCATTTCTTTTTCCCTTTTTCTCTCTTTAAAAACGGTGTCGATGGCTTGTTTGATTCCGATGTACCGCCACTCATGTATCTATCTACTGGCCACCAGTAGTCAAACAGCCAGTCTTATTTATACGGAGCGTCAAGCGCGCGTGGCGTGGCTGATAAATACAGCAAATCTTGTGCTCTGCATGCAAAGACTGTGCAAAATCTTTGTTTAATAGTCGTCATTATGACTGCGAAGTAGGACATGCAGTCCAAAGACAGGGAACAGTATGTGAGATGCTGTCCGGGAATCTTTTCCACACCACAGTGGCTACGAACTGAACCTTGGCTGCGCAAAATTTGGCATACAGCAGAGACATTCTATTTATTAAATATATATATATATATATATATGTACACATTACACACGATATATACTCGTGCCTTGGAAAATATCAATACCAAACTAAATAAATCCACATCGCTAACGTCCTAGATATAGGACGCTGCTTCCGGTGCAATCTCAACCAATTTCGCCACCAGCTCATCAACAAACTTCTTCTGTATGCGCACTCCCTTGGGACACGTCACCGACGACGATGGTCTAGTACAGAAAATGTTAGCAAGCTTCTTACAGACGGGGGAGAAGGAGACATACGTCTGAACATGGCAATTAGTCAAATACTGTCCATTCGTCTCGGGCCCTGAAACCACCCCATGAACCAACGCCCGGCTGCCCTCCTCAGTACTGCGCGCCAGCATCTTTTCAAACGCCTTTCCACCTGCAGATCTCCCTTGTGCAGTTCCCAACGCAAGCGCTGACTTGCAGTAACTCGGATTCGGCGCGTTGAGGACAATGCTAGTGGAGCCTTTGAGTCGTTCCGCCAGTTCTCGCACGGCATATACAACAAGCAACTTGGACACGTTATATCTCGCACTCATATCGGCCAGCTCTTTGTTATTCAGGCGCTCGAATATGCTACCGGGCACGCGCTCTGGATCCAACTCTTTCAGGGACGCCATGTAATGCAGCGCCGAGTTGACAATGGTGAATCGCGGGGCGATATTGAACTTGTCCGCCGAGTCACGAAATTTCGGAAGCAGAAGTAGAAACAGTAGGAATGTGCTAACCACGTTGACGGTGATGGTCGACTCGTTATCCTCGGACATTCGGAAGACGTCCACCATAATACCGGCATTGGCAAGCACGCCGTCGACACGGGTCAGGGTGCTCGTCACGCGAGCAGCGAAGCTTTTCACCGAGTCGTAACTGCTCATGTCGAGTTCCCATACTTCTATGGAGTCTGGTTCGCGGCCCGTGGATTCTAGGATCTCGCGTCGCGCGGTTTCGCCCTTGGGTAGGCTGCGCACTGCCATGATCAGCTTCTCGGCCCCGAGCCGGCTGAGATGACGGCTCGCTTCGAAGCCGAGGCCCGTGTTGGACCCAGATACAATGTAGGTTTGTCCCTTGAGGTTGGCACTGGGCGTCGGGAGGCTTATGAAGAGGTTGGAGAAGAGAGTTGAGAAGGCGCCATGGGCGGCCGAACCGAGAGACATTGTGGAGATCTTTCAGGGTTTACCTAGGTGTAAATATATGGTGTGACTTGTTTTTTTTCCAAGGGTCGGTGTAGAGGCTTGCTCGTTATTTTTATTTATTGCTGTCGTGGTAGAAAAAAAATATGGTGCAAGAGCCACGCAGGTATTTATATACAATCAGAGGCAGATAGCTCCGGAAGCAGACTACTTGCATTCCAAACTGGACTATTGACTGAGATAATGGAAGAATACACATCTCCGGCTGGAAATAACTGGCTGGCAGCGAACTGAATCAATAGATATTTCGACTATTTACTCTGCAAGCCCAAAATGGGTAATCCCGGCATTCCATCGTAGGTTTTAGGGCTTGGGCGGGCGGAGATAATATCTCCGCCCAAGATGCCACGGATTTAGAGATTTGTAGTAAGGGGCGTCAATAATACGAAATAGTTGAATACTCTGCAAACATAAGCAAATAAACGATCATTAGGTAACTAGGTATATCGCGAAAGAAACGCTCTTAACATATGCTATGATTAACAAGAGTCCATATTAAGTAAATCCCATCCATCGTCAGGCATGTCCAACGGCGTCATAAGAGACCCCGTATTCTGGAGATATTGATCGAGTATTGCCTACAGTCAAAAATTAGAGAGGCCCGATAAAAAAAGAAAAGAAATAACACAAAGCGTACCCAATCGAGGTTCTCGGAGCCATCAATCATGTCTGTCATGGTCCCGGCGAAGGGCAGCTCTCCGTCGCCGATATTGGCGTAGGTCATCGCATCATCTGAAGACGATTTTGTACTCATCGGATCATTTGTGCTGCCATTTGTCAGAGAATAAGGACTGCTACTGCCCTGCACTTTCTCTAGCATAAGCTGCAACGTCAGCGATGCGGTACGCGCCTCCTTCGAGTACGCACTCTTCGACGCCCAGATACGTTGCGAGTCGAGCAAGGCATCTAGTAGTTTGCCAAAGCGACTCGGCGAGTTTATCAACGACGGAGAACTATCTACGAGGTTGTTTGGCGATCGAATGAGCAAAGACAATTCCAGACAGATCACCATCGAGGCCAGAAGGAAGTCATGTGCAGTCAACGACGACACCATCCATCGATCCTCGTACAACCGACCATGTGGTTGCGTTGCTTCGTGGAGGTCTGCCTGCCGCGACAGGATAGTCAGCGCTGCATCGACGCAAGCGCGTCTTGAATAGTCGTACTGTGCGTCAAATCGTTCCGTGTTTAGATATCGTCGGTGCAGGACCATGATCCCTTTCAGGAAGAGGAGTTCGACCGTGCATCGGTTTATGATCATGCTCGATGAGTCTATAATTGATTGTTTGATGGGTTTCATCTTGAAATCGTCTGGGATCCCCGCATAAGTTTCTCGCAACTTGTTGTCTAGCTCGATTGTCCTCGGGTAGGGAGGGGGCCATGTAATAGATGATTGAGTGTGTGCAATAACCTTCCTAAACACATTCATTATCCCACCCTTCACAATGGTGTACAACACCGGAGTATGATCCGAGAGCGGTCGAGGACTTGGCAGAGAGTCGACGTTGGGGTAGATATCCGAGTCTTTGAAGTTTCTGGGCAGCTCGGTATCGGAGCAATCGACCGGAATCATGCTGGGCATACCCATCTGAAAAGAGAGCAACAAATCAAGCTGGAGTATAGCATGCCAGCGCCTTCTTCGCATCTCACCCTCAAAAAGTGAAATGTCCCGGCGATATTTCGGGTCTCGGTGGTAACCCATCCGCATTGCGAGACGGATAATGTTGCCCATGAGAAACCAACTATCAAAGCTGGAGTCTGATTTTCCAACATACTTGCCGAGAAAGAGCAATACCATGGCCTCCACGGCGTATGAAGTAGCGTTAGTATAGTTTCCCATCATGAGACATTGTGCAGTCCTGTTTCGAAGCATTCTAACTGAAAGTGTAGCTTGGCTGCCAACGTCTATTGTTCCTTCACCCGTCGATTGGTTTATGGCAAGTGCAAGAGTGAGGATGGAGAATAAAACGCCAACCCACAAGACTGGTGCCCTTGCCGGGTTATGCCAGAATTTCTCATACTAAGGAAATAATACTTGTTTCAGTCAAGAATTCCTTGCTTCACTTCACGCAGAAAGGAAGAGTGACAAACCTCATTTAGAAACTTGGTTGGATGGATGATAGCTTGAAAGAAGTTAGTACCAATGTAGATTACCAAGTTTTAAACATGACAAAAACGTACGCAGAATCAAAGACGAATTGAAATATTGCGCGAGAATTTTATCACATATCGGCCGTGGTGGTAAAGACTGAATGATATCCTGAAATTTCGGTAGCTCCATGGGCCCCAAAGCCAAGTCGAGTTCCTCTTCTGCTTGCTCATTATTCATGTCGTTGTCTTCCGGCGTGAAGATTTCCGACTGAGACAGCTGCTCTCTGACCTCCTTGATATCGTCCAAGATCGCAAGCCAGTGTGTTGACTGCTCCGTGGGCCGATGCAGAAATGATTTTCCCATATCATCCCCGTGAGTGGCGGTCGTCTCTATTCGAGACGCGCCACCATGGCCATGGTTTCTTGTCCTGCCTACCTGGCTGCCGTGATCAACGAATACATCATGGTCTCCATTAGACAAATCCATGATACCTCCCCCACCTCCATTAACAAGCTCGAAAACCAGGTTTTCGACTCTTTGTAGCCGCTCGCCAACATTACTGTTGCTAGCGTTGCTGCTGCTGCTGCTGCTGCCCTTTGCAGCCTTGCGATGCCGGATTGCATTGTTTGCATATCTGCAAACTGTTCTTTCACCCCTTTTAATGCAGGATTCACATGGCAGTTCGCGATTGCATTTTGCTCTGGTGTGTTGGAAGTGTTAGATATATTTGTGACTAGAGAAGCTCATCTATTGTTCCATGTCTGTTTTTCTTTTTGTTTTACTAACATACTTTCGAAGACGACACTGCTCGCAGGACGTCGGTCGTCTGTTGCGTTTACTATCTTTAAACATTGATGCTTGCTTGCTTGCTGGATCCATGGCTGAACGCTGATGATCGTATATAAAAACGTCACAGACCGAGGTCTACTCTGTAGGGATTCTTCTTTCACGGTCCGGACCGAAAGGTGAAGCGCCTCGCCAAGCCGCTTACCTAATTACCTCGCCCCATCTTGGCGCGAGTCTAGAAGCCAATTAAACTATTTTAAATAAGTTGATATAACTAATAAAATTAAATACTTATATCGTTAAAGATGTGTATATATATATATATATATATTCGATAAAAGTATGATATTTTCTTAGGATTCTTTCTTTTCCAATTATTCTCCGTTATAAGGTTAAGCAAGATATTTTATAATTAATTATTATACAGTTACATATAGCCAATAGAATTCGTGATTCTCTTTTGGTAGGGGCAAAGCCCTAAGTTAGGGCCTCAGGCATCATATAAGCAAGCTTATAGAACGAACTATCGTGGTTCACAGAGATCGTTATAACTGTTTGAGCCAAATTATGAGGCAGAAAAATCACTATAAAAACAATGAGAAAGAAATTGACCAACACTGTGACAGGAGTAGCAACAGGTGACTTTTCTCAAACCTCAAAATACCATATCAACCCATTATCTTCCCTAGCCCTAATCCCTCCATAAGCTTATCAATACCCAACCCACCCAGTAATCCGTGGAGTATATTGCCCAGACCAAGGCCATCCAAGAGCTTACCAACAAGTCCCAAAACCCCGCTGAGGAGAAGACCGACAGCTGCGATGATTTGGAACAGCGGCTCGGAAAGCAGTGCCCATAAGGGGTTGATCTTCTTCTTCGCATGAGGCATGTCCGCGATGAGCCTGCGCCCATTTTCGATCGTCTCTACCACAGTCTTTGTGAGTTCCTTGAGCGAATCTGCGAGCTGATACTCCTCTGGTGTGGCCTCATGCATAGCACTGCGCGCTTTCGCCCTGGCCGCGACCTGACCGTCAGGATCCAGAGCCCTCAGAGCGCCCTTGCATTCTTGTAGTCCATCACCCGCCTTTTCAATCAGTGGTTTGACCTCGTTGACCAACTTCTCCTCATCGAGTTCCTCCTTTGGCGTATTATGGGCTTTTTCAATATGCTAGATGGAAGACAGCGCGTCAGCTATCCGAAAAGATCAAGAGAAATCAAGGGAAGTAGGCAGGCAGTAGGTACCTGGGTGATCTGCGTGCAAAGAGGCCCGACTGTATCCAACGTTTGTTGCACAATGGCAGACATTTTCTTCGCCAATCTCTTATCCTCCATCTCTTGTTGTTGCTTCTCAACATCCTCCGGAGAGAGCTCGGGGGATAGGTTTTCGATCAAGGTGCACTCGCCCAGCTTGTTACCATCATTGTCCAGGATATAGCCGTTGTCGTCAATTGTCTTTCCCACAAGCCTGGATAGATTACCCTCGGTCACTTTGCCGATGAGATTCCCATCTGCATCACGGACTTCGCCCTCCTTGTTGACTTTACGACCCGCCATGGGACTAATTTCCCGTGGAACGTCTTCCGGTTCCCAGCGCTCAGCGCGTCCTATCACGTTTCCTAATTTATCGACGATTTCTCCATCCTCGTCTACAGCTCGTCCTCTGAGCCTCTGCGGATCGCCATCCAGTAGCCTTCCAACAACCTGGCCGCTTTGTTCAATCACCCGGCCGTCCTTGTCCAGGGTGAGCCCTTCCAACCCGGAGAAGGCTCCCTCTGGTCTTTCGCGATCAGTGTCGGGGATACACTCGGCCTGCCCTATAACCTTGCCAGCATCACTCCAGATCTGACCGTTGGCGTCGACCGTTTTTCCCACCAACTTCTTAGGATTCCCGTCGACAACGCGTCCAAAGACAGTACCTTGGCTATCGACAACGTTGCCCAGCTTATTCACCTTCATGCCCTCGAGTAAAGACAAGTCAGGCTCTTCCTCTTCCTCTTCTGGTGGCTCGTATCTCTCTGCGCGGCCTTTCACGTTGCCATATTTATCCAGAATCTCACCATCATCGTCCACAGCTTTACCACGCAGTGATTTAGGATCGCCTTCGACGATCTTGCCCACGATATTTTCATCTTCATCTCTTACAAAGCCCGAGCCATCCACGACAAGCACTCCGAGCCCGCTGAAGATCCCCATTTCCTCAACCTCCCAGTCAGGGATGTATTCCACTCGTCCAATCACTTCTCCTTTGTCGTTCCAGATCTTGCCATTTCGGTCAATTGGTCGACCAGCGACCTCTTTGAGGTCCCCTTCGACCACGCGGGCAATTGGAACCTGCTGTTGGCCTATGACATTTCCCATCTTGTTGGGGCTGAGACTTTCAATCGTAGAGAAATCAACCATCTCCTCTGGCTCTGGCTCTTCCCACGGCTCCACGTGGCCGATCACATTGCCTCGTTTATCCACGATATCGCCATCATCGTCAACGACATGGCCAACGAGCTTTTTCGGGTCTCCGTCAACAAGTTTGCCCACCCGATTTCCGTTCTCATCCTGGATCCAGCCGCCCTCCGCCACGCATATTTCCCCAAGACCCGAAAAGATCCCCGCGGGCTCTTCCTCCAGAGGGATTGGCTGGGCTTTGCCAACAATGTTTCCTTGGTGATCCCAGAACTGACCCTGACTGTCAAGCTGGAAGCCTTGCTTCCATAGACTTTTGGGGTCCCCCTCAATAACCTCACCGACGGCAGCGCCGTTCTCGGCTATGATAGTCCCTAATTTATTACAAGCCAGGCCTTGAAGGGTAGATATATCAGGCAATTTTCTGGAAACCTCATCCACGGGCTCTTGTACCTGCTCTCCCTGCTCCCCGAGCCTTTGTATTGCAGCATCCGAGGCCTCACCTGGAACAAGTTCGACTTTTCCAAGGACATTCTTGTAGTCATCGATGACTTGTCCCTGTGCGTCAACGGGTTTTCCTGCAAGCTTTTTGGCATCCTGGCCCTCGGTAAGCTGACCAATTACGTCGCCAGCATCGGACACAATCTTCCCTTCTTCGTTGAGCTCTCTGCCTTTGAGGACCGAGATATCCGAAAGACCGGTTTCTGGCTTAGGCTGCTCTACCGCTTCGCTTGCTTTCTCTGGTGATACTGACGCCACATCAACGCGACCGATCAATTCTCCCTCGTCATCCAGGACCTCGCCTTTCTCATTGGGTACCATACCCGCAACAAGGTCAGGCTTGCCCTCTACGACTTGACCTATCAGCCGGCCAGTTTCGTCCTTAATCATACCCGCCGCATCAATCGGGAGGTCTTTCAAATTCTGTAGCATCGTTTTCGACAAGCCCTTTGCATCCGTGGTCTCTGTTGTTCCACCCCGGATGAGGTCAACATAGCCAATCACGTCTCCATCATCATCCAGAATCTCGCCATTTGCTGAAACAGTCCAACCAACAAGATCCTCGGGATCACCCTCGACGACTTGACCGACGGCCTGCCCACTCTCGTCAAGTATCATCCCTCCTTCGCTCACTTCTAGCCCATCCAAGGAAGACAAATCCTGGACTTCTTTGCTGACTTTGTCGGCACCGGAGGCATCGCTAGTCGGGGTCTTCTCCGTAACCTGTTTGACTCCTTGGCTAACCTTGCCGGCATCGACTTTTTGCATAAGATTCCCGGCCTGTTCCATAGATCTCTGAGCGAGCCCTGCCATCCGCGAGCCTGACGGCACTGCTTGTTGATTGCCTAGTCCTTGCGGCTGTTGTCTCTGCTCTCTCTGCTCGCCGGGTATTGGAAATGCCGATTGTTTCAGCGATTGCAGAGGTGCTTGACTAGAGCTAGCTGCATGCTTTGTGTGGGGGCTGGGTAGAGGCTTGACTTGTTTTTCAGTTGACTCCCCCCGTAATTTTGGGGGACCTTCAGCCGCGTCTTGCATGCGTTTCACCTTTGGTCGAGCTGCAGCGGATGCCATCATCCAGGAATACTATTATATTTAGATGATATCTCTTTCCGTTTCCGCGGGGGGCAGAGTTCCTCTCCTTTTGCCCAGTTCAATTATTCAGAGATAAATGTAATCAGAGGTAATAAAATCCAAATGGATTTAGAGAATAATGATATTTCACATAAGTTGAAAGATGTGTTTGCGTCGTAGATCGTTGAAGAATTCAGGTGTAGGTACAGTCTTAACTTTTATAACACAGAAACACACACGACAGCCGGCGTCATAGCTACACCTTTCATTCCTAACTTACGAGGGAAGACCGTAAACCAGGAAAAGAACATTTTGCAAGGTGGCGCATGATATAGATTGTAGAAGCGACTTCCATGGACTTGGATTGTTGCGGTACCATGGCATAGTTTTAGGACATCGTATTCCAGTAAAACATACCCAGGAAATGGCCTTTCTTTCTCACTTCTCTAAAATTTAGTGAAAGGATAGATCTTCTTTCCTTGCATTCGTCGACGTCATATCTACTGTTGTAGAATATGCTTTCTGGGAGAGTGCCAAAAAGCCATGATTTCAGAGAGTACGGTAGCGAGCAAAATGTCTGGCTATGACAAGTATGTGCTATCATGAGACGAGACCTGGCCGATTCTACTTTCCTGTTCTGCAAACAGCAAAAACAAAAAGAACAATTTGACACTGCCCCACACAAAGCTATAGTTGAGAGTTACAAAGGTGTATTCTCTAACAAATTAAGAGTATCCCAATGTGATAACCAAATGTAAACTGCTTTTTGTGTTCAGTGTCAAAAGAGACTGTTATGATATAGGCCACATGCGCCGATAGATGCAATTGTAAAAGAGACAAGGAACCCTGGAGACAGAGGCAAAGCTCGCTGAGAATCGATTATTTCCTAGCCGAGCATCAGGAACTGTAGAGAGAATCATCAGCCAGATATAAGGATTATCCCGGGTTTGAAGCGAACGGCAAAAGGCTTACAGGAGCGCTAGTGTAAGATCTCCATGTATCTGCGCTTTCAATTCGAGCTCGATCTCAAGATTCAGCTCCAGTCGCAGCTTGAGCCCCGAATCGTCGCCCTTGTCATGCATTTGTATCTGCTGGTTGTCTTCATCTTCTTGCCGCGCCAGCTGCTGCCCGGCTGCTCTCTGTGAACGAGACACTTGATGATCCGTGACCGGTTGCACTTGAGAGGCTCCAGCTCGTTCGTACGGCTCTAATGCTTTGGAATCGGTCTCCGCATCAGGGGATATCGCCATTGACGACTGATATGTTTTTCTCCGGCGACGTGGCTGCTGCACTTTGGGTATCGGGCGATTTTCACCTTCGTTCTCGGATACATGTGCAGATGTCTCATCGTGGACCGCGTTTCCACGCATCACTTGTTGCTGGCCTGGCATCCTAGTAATAAAGAATCTGGGGAAATACCGATGTGATTGATTCTTGCTAGGAAGAATCGTTTGGGGAGAAAGGAAAAAAGGCACGGGAGAATCAGCTTTTCGCAATGATCTAGTTTGAACTACATAGCCAAGATACTTGCGAATGCGTCGCCACCGTAGCCAACAAAAGACGATGAGGCAACAAGGATACGCCTCCCAAGATACTTCGATGACGGATGAACAGTCAAATACAGGCGTCCAAGGTCCATGGTAAATATATGTAATACGTCAAAAATGATAGTTCAATTTAGCATCGCCGCTATATCAAGCTAAATAATTATTATTACTATTTTTTTTTCCCCTTTTTTCTTTCTTCAATAATGAATAAAATATAAGTCTAATATTTTATCATCCAGATTTCATTTTATATTAGATATAAACTCTAATAATAAAGTGCCATGTACTTGTATTAACGTGTATAGAAATAATATAATACTGGCACGTATCTGATAGATTTTGGTTCATTTTAGTACACTTGCTGTTACTATTGGCTGGATGACGAGGCCACCCAATCAGAAAGGCATAATCGCCCGAATAGATCCCCATGGGGATCTATTCGGGCGCAGTATACTACGGAGTTGAAAATGAAAGGATAACAGCAAAGGAAGAAAAGAAATAAGAGTAACACGTCGTCTTGACATCATTTAGCCATACCAGTCCTGAGCATATGCAGGAATGGAAAGCGGAACTGTATATATAGATATAACTTCCCCTAGGATAATCATTCATCGAGGCATACAGGATCATCCATGCTCCGAAGTATTTGCATGTTTACTCTTATCAAGAGCCCGCGCACCATATGAACGAGAACGGACAGGAGAAGCGCAACTCGGACGCAGGTGACAAGCGCCCTGCTCCAAAAAACGGCCCTAAACGGAGAGCACCTAAGCTCAAGCCACGGTCCTTGGACGAGCCAATGACTGAAACAGAGAATGGCCAGAAACATCAGCAACAAGCCCAGGAGCAGGAAAAGGAGCAAGAACAGGAATTAGTACCACCCGTGGAGCAATCTGATCCTCATACCCAGGAAGACCGCGGGGCCAGTGACCAGCAATCTTTGGCCACCACCAAGTCCTCCAACAGCGAGCCCCAAACACCTTCAACTGAAGATTATCCACGGTATGCCCAGCCGGAAAGGAGGCGCTCTCAAGCAAAGCGGACCGTCTCCCTGCAACGTGACAAAGATGCACCCCCTCAGGTCTGGCAAAGGCGTAACCAATCTGAAGCTGAAAACTCGCAACTACTCCCGTTGGGTAATGTTGGAGAAGTCGGAAACACAGTCAACGAGGTCGGAAATGTGACTCGCGAATTGGGTTCCAAGGCTGTCAACACGGTTGGCAACACGGCGAGGGGAGCCGTTGGTAATGTTACTGGGGCCTTGCAACAACATGCTCGCCAAGAAAATGAAAAAGAGGAGCAACTGAGATTGCGTCTAGACTTGAATCTAGACATTGAAGTACAGCTCAAGGCCAAGATCCACGGAGATCTTACGCTACAACTCCTGTGAGTGTTCAGACAAAAACGAGAGAGCTTGGAAATCTTTTAGCAGGTATACGGATCTACTGACTAAAACATGTGATAGGAACTAGGAAATACCGCGTGGTTGCTTAGCATTGACCTAGTGTTCTCATTCTATAAATACGGCATAATTCATATTCATAGGTTAGGAGGAGGAGTTGGGTGAATTCATATTTGTGGCTGCCTTTAGCAAATATTTCATTTGAAAACTAAAAAAATCACTTGGAAAGCAGTCTTCATAAAGCTACCGTATTGTATACACTTCAAAGTTCCGATTGAAACACCCACCTACAATGGGTAGATAGATACACCTGAGTTGGATGTTCTGGCTTGATTAATTTGTTCTTCTCTTATGACAAAAAGTATCGTGGTCTCCCACTCACTCTCGTGACATTCCTATCTAGTTTCAGATAGTTCAGGCAAAAGCTGAACTCAGCCAGGACCATTTAAAATGGTCATTGCGGCCTCTTTACCCCTGAAGAGCGAATCCTTCACACTCTCGAACTGTGAAGGGACAAGCTCTGGATTGAGCAATCCAACCTGCGTAAGTACACTGGCCTGGTTCCAGTGAACATGCTCTGAGTAGAGCTTGCCTCCGCGAAGACTCACAATGCTAATTAGGATGACATCCACCTGTCTATTGGTTGGTGGGACACCGGGGAGTATCCAGTCCATGCTCTGGCTATGGATGAAACTCATGTATAACTCATCCACAACTCTATCTGCGCCAATGGTGCGGGACAGCAGCCGTATGTTCATGGATGGTAGTTTCTCGCGACCGAACACTGTCTCATAGAAATGTCGGAGCTCCTCTGAGCTACTGACCCCCTGTAAGCTTGGGGCGTAGAAGGTGGACGGAGTCTTCTCTTCCTGATATCTCGCCACGTAGTCAAAAGGGTCTGAGGAAAAATATCTAGCTGTCAAGCAGGCAGTCAGTCATGTTATCCCGCTAATAGACGTGCCTTGGATGATTTTCTTTTTTTCCCTTCATATATTTTGAACTTAAAGATCAAGCAGTTAGGATAGTAGCAGACCAGTGATGCTCCTCACCATCTTGAACATCCTCCCATACTTTTTCCAGATCTGGTTCTTTTCGAAACCCAGCTTGCAGAGCTTTCAATGTTCGGCTCCAAGCAAGATCGGCTGAGGTTCGATCATAGTGTCCTAGAGCATACTCAGCGAACCCTACTTCGGCGTTCGGGTACGCGTACGCCAAATATCCTAGCGAGAGCCGGTTTCCTGTGCCTAACCCCGTGTTGATGCGCCTTCTTTCAATCAAATGTCTGCGCCTCATCCCTCTGGGGCCGTAGTCCACATCCACGTTCTGGCGGGCAAAGTGCACAACCACATGTATGGACTCAGGAAACTTGGCTTCCGGGTGTGGAATCTTGGCTGGATAATAGGCAATCAATGCACATAGCTTGTTGTTGTTGGGAAGCTGCAGATAGTGGTCTAAACAGAACGCAGCAGCATTACCGAAGGCTGACACGATAGAAAAGTAAATACTTGGGTCATATGTCCTCAGGTAGTATAGTAGGAGCATTCGCAACATGCTCACCTATAACTCCATAGGATTCACTAACACTTAGGCTTTCCTTGATCCGGTTCAGCTGATATGCGTAGCGCTTTGAATCCTCCTGAAAGGGCAGGTATATCGTTTCAAATCCTTCTATCTCGCAGTCTCGCAAGAACTCCTGGTCAAAGGTCTCATCATCTGCTGTAATAACTAAGCGATCAGCTTTGTGGAAGGAAACTAAATTTTGCATAGTGCTGTGATAATTGTTGCAACGGTAAAGTATGCTGAACGATTATTTGCAGTTCAAAACCCCTCATTTGCAGAGCTCTGATTCAAAAGCATGCGCCGTCCTAATACATGTATCGTCTTGGCATAAAGAGATGAACAAACACCAAATTTCCGGCAGGAATTGAGGTTTATGTACTGGCATGCGACAATTGCATCATACTTAGAACTATTCCAACAGATGATGACAGAGACAAACCTAAGTTGTTTTACGAAAACGGTAAGTCACGGCATACGTCTTAGGGTTTGTTCTTGAGTATGGATGGCTGTGGCGACGAACTTGGTTGTAAAAGCGTCATGCAATTGTATTATATGGTACGTAGGAAATAAAAAGGGAGAAACAAGCCCTCATGGGAATATGGAAACATGGGACAAATACCGATGTAGGTGGCGATTTTTAATAGTAAGAGATAAAAACCCTCTTCGCTTGGCAAAGTTCAAGTACGTAGAATTCAGCAAATCATGAGTCTTTCCTTTTTAAACACCACATATTTTGGCTATTGCAGTGGCTAGAAGCCTTAAAATCCATGCTCAAGTGTCTTTGATAGTAAATCGTCAGTTGGGAACAAAATTTGCCGCCATGGGTTGGGGTCAAGCTTACGAGAGGGAGATTCCTGGAACTAGCACCGACATGGAAAGTGATATTTCCCGCTTGTGGCAACCTCCATTTCTGGAGAGCGACATCCCACACCCTGATGTCCTTACGGCGGATGCTATAGTTTGTTTGTCTCAGCTGCGATGGTAATCGGCAGTCTTTACTAGGTTTACTTACGGAAACGACGCTGTCTGGCTGGCTCGAGGGTGCAGATTCTTCACCTTCTGGAATCCTCGTAGTACTTTGGGAGGCTCTTCCTCTACTGCTGGGAACTCCACATACTACCGCCTTGTTAGGACTGCCCATTTTTTGTTCTGTTTGAGGGGTTGTAACCTACGAGTTGGGCGACTTCAGAAGCAATCCATTCGCCGGTGTTGGTGACCTTGGCCGAGATAGTAGCGACAACGTCATATATTGACTGGCCCTCGGTCTGACCATCAAACTGTTCGTTTGTTTCCTGGATACCATGGGCATCAGGATACGTGTCAAGATTTATACCTATGTTGCTATATTCGAAGGTAGAGTAAGATAGGCCGAAGCCGAATTCTAAGGATGTCAGCACATACTGATCAGCAGAAGTATTCGTCAGACTTGGCTCACCGAAACGAGGTGTAATATTGTATGTATCGAACCAGCGATAGTCAATCTTCAGCTTTTCAGTAAAGTTTGCCTGCGGTGTAACAGTATGCGGAGCTGAGATGGTGTGTGGTGGGTAGTCCGTCTCCTTTTTGCCGACTACGTGTCTGTGTCAGCCCTGGACTTATGTAGGATTGGTGCATGATACTTGCCTGTGAAAGGTAACTTGGCGCTAGGAGAGACATGACCCCAGAGGATATCAACCAAACCAGGGCCGGTCTGCTCTCCAGGGAAAAGAGGTGCCAAAACTGCAGTCACATTGGGGTTATCAATCCAAGCTTCCATGATCACGGGTCCGCCAACATGAAGCACCACAATAGTGTTGTTGCAGTTGGCTGCGGTTTCGAGAATAATATCCTCTGATCGGGTCCAGTTTCCAATGTTCAAGTTCAGATCATTGCGATCCATGTTCTCCCGCTGATATCGATCCGCGAACACGAGACAGACATCAGGGTTCTCTACCGCTAGCCCATTCTGACCTGCTAGAGTCTGCAGGATGATCGAGGAAGCATTGTTATCGAGGACCCATTGAACAAAACTGTTGCTTTCCAGTGCCTTTGATTGGATTGCCTGCAGTGGCGTAATCAAGTTGTTTGCCCACGCATACCCAGAACCACCTCCCAAGGAAAGTGTCCCGTTATTCTGCAGGATATCACAGTTACGGAACAAGGCGCCACATCCGTGTATACCCAGAGGGCTAGGTCCAGCATCCTGCCCAATGACAGCGATATTTCGGGGGTTCCTCAAAGGTAAACTGCCTGTGTTTTTCAACATAATAGTTCCATCTGCAGATATTTTCCGAGCTATCTCGACAGCTGATCGCAGCTGTCCATCAACATGAACGGGTTCCGACTCGGCAGCCTTGGTGGCAGTTGGTGGAAGAGGCTTATCCCTCTGGCCTGTCGCAATCCAAGGTGTAAGCATTCGGCTGACCATTTCATTCAGACGGCTTTCGCTGATAGTTCCGTTCTGCACCATTTGGACTAGTTCCTGGTCGTAGAATGGCCCAAGAATGCCCCCGAAGCCGAGGCCCGGCAAGTTAACATCAAGTCCTCCCTGGACAAATGCTTCAGTTCCCCAGGTAGCTATGGTGAACGTTAGCGGAGAACTTGGTCCTACATAGTACTAAACATAACGCACCTCCCCAGTCACTGATCAATGCGCCTTGAAAATTCAGCTCAGTCTTAAGCAACCTATTGTTTGACTCGGAATTGGCACATGAATGCGTGCCATTCACAGCATTGTACGCGCACATGATGTGGGTGACACCTGCTCGGATGGCCTCAGCAAATGACCACATATACAGCTCATGGGTTGTCTTGTCGTCGAGATTGCTGGAGATAGGGACTTGTTCCGATGCGTTGTAGATGCTGTATGGTTCTGTAAAGTTGTATGGGTTCCTGGGGAAATGAGCATGTTAAGATATCTGAAAAGATTAGTGGCATCATGCTAACCTGAAAGTCTCCTGTTCGTATGCGATCCAATGTTTAGACAACGCTTGGACACCTGAGTCACGTAGACCTCGAACACCATGCCATGACGCGATGCCAGTAGCATATGGATCGGCGTACCTGGTTGTAACGCAAATAAGTGAGATTTTATGTTTCTGTTTCTCTTCAATTAGAAGCAAACCCTACCATCCCTCCCAGTTTCGCCCGCCTCTTGGAGAACGGCCCAAGGGCCCCCCTTCCAAGAATTAGTGGTCTTGCCATAGAAACACGGATGATATATAAACGTTTACTACTTACCAGTGACCATACCCATAGCCACGTGGTATCCAAGGTTATAGAAATCCTGCCCCATGGAGTAAGACCGCGCGTACATGAGCTCTGTGTCCCAGGTTGCTGCGGTAGTCACACCGGAGGGCCATTGAGTATTTCCAGGCCTGGGCCCTGCAGGGCCATCCGAATAACACATCTTTGGAATCCCAAGTCGCGTGATGTTGCCAGTCTGAGCGGTACAGATTCCCTCTTGACCTGTAACCAAGGAAACCTTTTCCTGCAAAGTCAATTGATTTATAAGGTCTTCTGCGATCGACAACGCAGCTCCCCATTGCTTGCCACCATTCGGCGCTGGTGGCGGCACGATATAGGACAAGCCTGTTGCAGCAGGGATGGGAGAAGCCTTTCCAGTAGAGATTGAAACAAATGCCAGGAAATTTAATAAAAGTAGCAAGTTCTTCGAAAGGGCAGTAGTGAACGCCATTGTCGGAGCATGTGGCAGTTACACGCTGTCCTGAGGTCTTGTGAAACTCTCAACCGGGGTTCGCAGTCAAAATCTTGCGATTCCTAAATAGTAGCAAATTCTCAATATTTTTTTCCATGATCCCAAAGTATTTATGTATAGGAGCGGCAGTTATCTAGGTTTGAGCTACGTTGCTTTCCTCACGCCCACTTCTCTGTCCGTGATAAGATACATATCTAGATGTCTGTTTAGCCGCGATAGGCAAAAGTACGAATAGATATGTACGATTGCACCGGGCCGCATACAGTCAGTCAGTACATAAGCATGTTAAGCGTCATATTGGATCTTGCAAGCCAGGCAAGCTTGAGTAGATTGCTGCTGATCGTTAGCATGCACCTTGGGGTGAGGCATGATGAACTTGATGCCAAAATCAAGGTGGTTTTTAATCAAATGCCATTTGTGATGTCCAGGATTATGAGACCGGGTGAAGGGAACCAACTAGTAGTAGAGCTATACACATCTGGATCTGGCGAAAGAATGAATACGAGGGGAAGTCGAGGCGCGATAGCCCATAGCCGGATGGTTCTCTCTTTATCTTGCTGGCTTATCTTTGGAGATTAAGCGTCAATTTCTTGCAGGCTCAAACATTGGCGCCCGAGTTATAAAATGCACAAGGCTCGTAAAGCTGTAAAGTAGGTACCGTGGGAAAGTTTGAGAAGCAAAAAAATCTTGGAAAAGGGGTTATACAAGCAGAACACTCTCAGAAGTTATTTCGCTTCTTCCCTCTGCGTCTATTTCCAAGCCGAATCCGGTAGTGGATTAATATCAAATTCGACAGGTTCTTATAATTGCATGTCAAGAAGATCTCCGAGGCTCATGAAGCCGAGAAAAACAAAAACAAGAGTCCATCGAGACAGACCTGCGTGAAGGAAGCGAAGTAAAGGATCATATGAAGCATGACTCGATAGAGACTAACCCTGTGCGATATACGAGTCGCAATTTCTGATAAAGATACTATACGGGCTGTAATCATAAAGATCATCAGCATGCAATGTGGATAGTTACAATCGTGTTTATTTATAAAAGAGAGAAAACCTCCCATCTATGAATAATTGTCGTTAATCTACACCACTACTAGCATTGTACAGGTGCATACGTACTGAGTCAAGATTCGGGAGGGACGTCCTTAGTTATGTTTCTTCACCTCCGGGCTTTGGTACGACTGAATGATCTTGCTTCCGATGTGTAGCGATTCCTTCCAATTCTTTTGCCTTTCCCAGAATGAGTCAGAAGCGCGTGCTGCATGCAATGTACGTGCTCTAGCATCCTCTTCCAAAGTTGCCCGAGTAATCTTCTCATTGACACCATCAGTATCAACATCACTGGCCAAATCGCTGCCCTCCTTGTCAAATTGGGGCTCATCGATTTGCGGAATATAGCTCTTGCGTAGCAGGATTTTCTGAATTTGTTCTTCTCGTATGCTAGGCATTTCGATTTTCTGCATCGCCTTCTCGACCGCGTACCGTACCCCCAAGTAGATATGTTCAGAGAAAAACACTATGGTCATAAGCGTCCACCCAGTAATCTTGCCGGGAGTTCCATCGCTATCGAGCCCACCGCTGTGGAACATGTATACCAGGGCTGGGCTCGTAATGCTACCAACCCAGGCGAGAAGTCCCAAAGTGTCGAGCCATGGTCCAATAGTATCCGCACGCTCCGGGACTGGACGCTTGAACTCTCTGCAGATCTTGAAAAAGTCGGATCGCAGCTCGAGCCAATTGTTGAAAAGAAACGCAACCGGGACCAGTGGCCATACAGTTGAGAATAGCGACAAAAACCCGAACTGAATAGCCATCTGTCGGAGGTCGTCTGTGGTATCGTACTCTGGCAAATCTGCTTCGTCGCGCACTTTCTTAAGGAATGCGACTTCGTCGGGGTGATCCTCATATGCAGAACTTCCCTTGTCCTGAGCATTGGCTTTTTCCTCTGAATATTGCTTGTACTTGGAACTCAATCGCTGCAAGATGAACGGCAACCCGGTCTCCAGGAAGAGATTCACAACCTGTGCAGTCACAGCGAAGTAAACCACTTGTTCGTGGAGACGGTTGGGGTCAATTTTGAACTCGGAGTGTTTGATAGTCTTTTCATCTTCCGGTGACACAAATGGGCGCACAGTCGCTCGGAAAACATCAAGGTACGGGACAATAGCATGGCCAAACGGAATATAGACAAACGCTGTCAGAAAGATTGCTAGGTAAGATGTGATGAAGTTGATGACAAGCATCTTTTGTATCATGGCCACATCACGTTCTTCTTTTGTCTCGTAATTTTCAAAGTCTGTAAGTCGTTCAGCTACATTGGTAAGGATAGTGCTAGCAATAGGAAGAATAGAGGAAAGTAGGACCGTCGGGATGAAAACCTGCACAATTAGCGAAAGTTCTTAGGGTGAATGGGAAAAAACAAAAAGCAAAGACAAAAAGAGAAGCGTGGTCTATAACTCACGAGATATGTTTTCAACGGGCCATTGTAGACTTCAGAAATGAATATTTCAATGGCAAAGCAAGTAGCAATGACTGCGCCCAAAGCAGCTGTCGCTACCAACGCAAAGGGTATTTGAAGAAGCTGTCTTTGCAGGCGCTTTGTCCAGGGAAAAACGGGCCGAAGCTCACCAGTAGCTTCATCCCTGACTTCACTTTCTGGCTTGAAGTCTCTATTCTTAGATGAGAGAACGGAAACACCGCGGACTTGCCAGCGAAGACTAAAATCGACTTCCTTCCGCTTCCAGAATTCGACAAATACCACGCACCAAACGCAGTTGACAATGGCATATATTGGCGAGTAATATGATAGCATAAGCCAGGAGGAGATGCCGAAAAGAGCAGGGAAGAATAAGAACTTGAAGTACGTCTGCAAGAAAGAGAAGTAGAATCCGACCTACAAATTACCGTAGGTATGAGCATTCTTGTCCAAAACCCAAAACAAAGGCAGCAGTGATCCTTCTTACCTTCTCTCCAAACTTGTCGCGAATCTGATCAAGATCTTCATTTGTCAGGAAGGTTTTTTTACTCCAGTCCCTGATCCAAGCTTGGTTCGTTTTGTCGTCATGAAGGGGGAAAAGCGAGTGGACATATTTCCATTTTCCAAACTTCGGAGTAATGTTTGCACCACCGTGGTCAGCAGGGGCGGTTAACATGTAATAAATAACACGTAGCCGTTCTGCGTCTGTCTGCGGTCCTGGGGACGAGTCACCATCAGGTTGAGTGTTGCGCAGTCCATAGAGCCAGTCCCGGACGCTATATGAATCAATTATGGGAGATTAGAGACTATCATAAAAGGACAGGGAGAAAAAGTATACACAGCAGAATAGAAAAGGAGAAGAAGATCTAAGATGTGCCTACCGTGAAGTGTGCGTAGCTCTCAGTAAACTCTTCTGAGGGGCTCTAATGAAGACCAACAACGAAGTCCGATCGCACGGTCTGACTTCGGTGAGAAAACCCACGCCAGCAAGAGTTTGCAGCAAGTTGTTGAGCTGTGATATGGCTTCTTGCCGATCTGCATGTATACACGTATGCGTTAGAGCGCCAGGTCCTCAAGGGAACATGATTGAGGCGTAGCAACTAACCAGGACCGCCGAAAGAATAGCGAATGACATAGTCAACATCGTAGTTGCCCCGCGGGCCGTCGCTGGAGGGTGTTGCAGTCATTGAAGCCGAGCTCTCATTCCATGCCATTGACTGGCAAGTCCCTCTTAGTTGTTAGTTTACAGGATAAAAAGCGGAGAGGAATCATCCTGCGTCGATAGCGCCAGAACAGGGCGGTGAGCTGAGCTCAAAAATCGAGTCGACTACGTCATCACAGCCGATAAAGCCCTAACCCCCTAGTCATCAACCTAAAATCTATTAATAGTCATCGATGTCAAAATCTATTTTATTCTTCATTAATTTGCTAGTAATCTGAAGGTTCTAGTCGTACGTTTTGGAGGAGAACCGGCTACAATGCTTATTTCAACGCGATTACACGTCGCCCATTTTGACAGCGAAAGCACTCTCTCTGTTCAAGTCTAATCAACCGCTCCTGCTTATATATACACAGACAAACTTCCCTAGCCAATTCTTAATTTTTGTTCTAACAGAAGACCACTTAGGTATCTTCGCTATCTCTGAGAGACAATATCGTTAAGCTTGATGACCTGTGATGAGATTAGGTACTCAAAGCCGTGCTTCTTTGCTTCGCCAAACCATGTCGTGACGGGAATTACGGGTAGTTTCCGCCATTCCTGATAAAGAGCAGAGCCCTCGAACCCGAACAGCGTGCACCAACCCTCTCCATTGAGACATGCTGAATTGGCATGGTAGTGGTAGCGAATTTCACCGCTGCCATGGTTCTCTCTGTGCAGCCGTTGGACCTCGCTGCAGATAAAGTTCGACAAATCTGCGACGCGGGCAAAGGACATCGAGGACCCGGAAAGATCCTCATGTTGAAATCGCTTGCCTAGCTTTGTACCCATGCGGCAAATTGCATCAGTAACTTCAGAACGGCTGACGGGATTGTGTCCTGCATTATCATTCTTTGTAGCCCCATCAAGCATGCGAATAATCGTCACTGGAACTTGAAGTGTTTTCTGAGCCTCTTTCAACAGTATCTCATTGATATATTTGCTAGCGAGATACCCAGTGACGTCGGCCTGAGAAAGGTCTGAAACAGAGTGGATATTCTCGACAGCCCCGGAAGAGATGAAGATGACCGGTGTCTTTCTGAGTGCTGCTAGACGCAGTAGTTCTTTTGTTGAGCCTTCATTTGTTGATCTAAGTAAGCGATAGGGGTTCCAGAACGATCGATCGCTTCCACGGTGCAAGATGACATCCGCCTGTTGACCAAGAGTCTTGAAATGCTCGGCAGAAAGGCCTAGGGAAGGGCTAGTCAGGTCACCTTTATAGACCTCAACTTTCGAAAGTGACTCTGAGAGCAGCAAATTGAACGATTTTTGGCGGACTGCAACGCAGGAAATGCGGGATATTTCTTCCATATCGTTGAGTTGCTTCAAGACGTGGCGGCTGATGAATCCCGAAGCACCGGTGACCAGCACATGAACACCACCATTCTCATTGGATGCTCTCGTGCCAGTTTGCTCGATAACATTGATTAAATCAGTATTTAGTCGGCTCTCGCTCTCCCAGTCGATTGGATCTAGACGCTGCTTCACATGTACTGGCTATGCCTTCCAATGTCGTTTCCTCAAGAAGCCGTGCCAGAGGTATATCCAGTTGCAATTCTTGATGTATCAAGGCCTGCTACTTGACAAGAAGGAGAGAGTTACCGCCAGCAGAAATAAAATCAGTCTCTTTCTCGGGCCTGATCGACATGGTTGCCTCCCGCGGTAGCACGCTGCACCAAAGTGTCCAGATGGCCTCCATATGCCCATCTAAGTGGGCTGAGTAGCAGATTCAGGAAGAGCAATTTGGGAAACTGCTTCTTAATCAATTTTACCATGGCTTGTCATGGGCATCTCTTCAAGCGCAAAGAGCATAGCTGGACACATATATGATGGCACCGGAAGTTGGCGTGGTAGCAAACGTAGCAGCGACTCGCGTTTTTCAGCCGATATGCCTGGCGTGAATATTAAGTGACCAACCAGGAATTTGAGGTCAAGCTGCCCGCGAACCGTAATGACTGCCGAAGTGACAAGCCCATCTGCACCGTCTAATATTGATTGTTCGATATCCGATAGCTCAACTCTAAATCCACGCAATTTTACCTGGGTTCTTTCTGAAATCCGACCATCGAACAGAAGGGAGCCATCCTCACACACTCTACCTCTATCTCCAGAGCAGAACACGGTCGTCCAGCCGTGTTCGGCATGATTGATGCTTGCAAATTGGTCCGGGATAAACTTCTCAGCAGTCAAATCAGGTTGTTTGAAGTATCCCGAGCTGATACCGGGACCTCCAATTAGGATTTCGCCTAGCCAGCCAAGAGGTACAAGCTGCCGATTTTGGTCCACAATATAAGTAGAAACAATAGGCAAATGAAGCCCCAGTAGTACTCGCTCTGTTACAGAATCAGACTTGTAGTCCAGCTCAATTCGATAACTAGACAATGTTGCCTCAGCTGGACCGTAGTCACTGAACACGCGAAGTTGGGCAAGTTCCAATGATTTTAGAGCATCAAGCAGCGATCGTGAAATGACTTCGCCTCCCACACCTGCAACTTTCCAATTCCTAGCTTCTCGGAGAGTGGTGGTACCGACCCACAGCCAACTATTGTACTCAGATGGAGTTGCTTTGGTGTACTCGATATTCTTGTCGACAATCAGCTGGGTGATGGCTTTGGCATCTCGACGCATTTCTCGTGGTACAACGTAAATAGAACCCCCATATCTAAGGCCAAGGAAAACTTGGGTTAGGGCATGGTCAAAAGTTATGGCGCTCTGTTAAAAGAACATGAAACCTGTGTGTGCATACCTTTAGGTACTATAAAAGCGCCGTCGACATCTGTGGCCGTCATTTATTTCTCTCGCACGGACAAAAAGCCATTGGATGCAGCCTGATCTGACCGAATTTCTTCATTGGGCATGCGCCAGAATGAAACTCGTGGGTCGTCGAAATGAGAAATATGTTCACGGTTTTTGTATTCTAGATTTGAGATTCCCGTAATAATCTCCACTGGCTCTTCCATCTTGCTGAGGTTGACCTGCGATAACGGCTTCGGCAAACAGCTCATCAACATCTTGCTCGGCTATTGACACGAAAGTATATGGGTTGAGTTCGTAGTCGAATTCGCGCGCTGCTTTGGCAACGTATCCAACTCCGTAAACAGCACTGAGATCTATACAAGACCCGGCGAGTCCCCTCCGCCTACGCTGGGCAGTCAAGGTAGCTAGGAAGTTGTTTGCGGCAGTGTAATTGCTTTGACCGCTATTTCCAGCAACAGCGGCCAACGAGAAGCAAATAAAGAAGTCGACAGGAGACTGGGTCTTGAAGTATTCGTCAAAATGGACAGCACCTTGCACCTTGGTGCTAATGTCAGGTTCTGGTTGTCTCGACGATATATATCCGCGGAAAAGCCACCATCTTTGACTTTGATAGTTGATGCACAGGAGAGAGGCCTGAAATACTACAAGCATTTGGATTCGGTGCTTCTTCGGGACACCATGGCGTCTAACAGCGAGTTACAGCTATGAAAACCCCGCCAGCTACAAACGACTTACGTAGTCAGGTCCTGGGAAGCAGGTGCCAAGCACCATTTAATTACAGAGTATGTACTTAGAAAAGTCATGGCCCAGCATTGAAGAGAGAAATAATATCCGAATAGACTAGTTGAAGCTAAGAACGACATCATGAAATATACACCGGAGCCTTGTACGAAGTTTGAAGTCAAACAGATGAAAGCCAAGGCTTGCTGACCTGGCTTTTGCATCGTTCCCTAGTCCCAACGCTGCGACTAGTCTATGATTGGCTGTTTTATCCAAGACAGACCGTAGCATATAGCACATACCATGCAATATATATGCATAGATTAGTTAGAGATCTTATGCATTACTAATATGGTCTTTGTTTGGCCATTTCTAACGCACGTAAGGGTTTTATGACCCTAGACTTGCAGCCAACCACACGCGTTGTCTGATGCGTGCCTTAGGCGCCGAGGCCGACGTAGCCGAAGAAGCCCTAACCAGCAGATCAGATCACTGCCGGGGTAGCTGCTGCCTGGCTTTTGTTTTTGTATTTCTCGGGGCTCTTTGCTGGTTATTTTCCTCTGCTCTTGAAACTCCCCGAATCGTCCATTTGATTGGCGTTGGGCAAACGAGATGGCATCAGACAACATTCACAATGATAAGTCGCAGGATGATCAACACCAAGAACTGTCCCCGGCTCAGCAGCCGAAGCCCTATCTGTACGGGTGGCGTCTCTACTTGGTCCAGTTCAGGTACGCATCTGCTATCTTGGTTTGTTGGTGCTTTTTCTGATTTTATAATTCAGTCTATATCTGGGGCTCGTCCTGAGCATCATGGACTCGTCTGCTGTGTCCACCGCCCTCGTCACCATTGGCGACCATTTCGATGACTTTACACGCATCCAATGGGTAGTTTTAGCCTACATGTTGACCTATCTTGGTAAGTCATGCTCTTCAAAAGTTGAATGAAAACAGTTCAAGTCGCTCATATTATATATTCACAGGCTTTGCCTTGACATTCTCGCGAATGAGCGATGTCATTGGTCGGAAATGGGCAACTATCACCGTAGGTCAACACACGTGTATTTCCACCTCAGTCATTGAACTATCTAACATATCCAGGCCCTTGTTTTTATCGGCGCATTTTCAATAGGCTGTGGCTGCGCCCAAACCATAGAGCAGCTGATTGCCTTTCGTGCTTTGCAGGGTATCGGCGGCGCCGGCTTATACACAATGGCTATGATTGTCCTGCCCGAGGTCACTCCCCCGAAGAATATTCCTTTGATGAGCGGCTTGATCGGTGGCGTAAGTGTTGTATCGGCGGTATTGTAAGCGTTGTTATTCCTCGTTTTGTCTTCATGCTTATGCCTGACATGCATATAAAAAAAAGGGGACCGGTTGTAGGCGGCGTTATCACGACCCGTTCGACATGGCGCTGGGTTTTCTGGTTCAATATCCCCGTTGCTGGATTTACTCTGGCTCTTATGCTCCTTTTCTGTCCCGATTTCAAATACCAAGGACGTATGAGCTGGAAGCAGTTTGACTTTTTCGGCTGTATGATCTACCTCGCAACGTGCGTCCTATTGATCACCGCTCTCCAGGAAGCCGGTGCTGGTACCATAAACTGGGATTCGGCTGCATTTATTGTTTGCGTGATTCTGGCTGGCCTGACATTTATTGGCTTTGCCTTGTGGATCACATATCTGTCTCGAGGTACCCATTACACGATCCCGCTATTTCCGGCACGCATCGTCAAGCATCGCATTATGTTTTCGACCATAATGTAAGTATTTATTCGGCCTTGGTAGACGCGAGGATCCCCGTACTAACAAGTACTAAGGGTTTCTACTTGTGTTGGCTTTGTGTTTTATTCAATACTGGTGCAGCTACCAGAACGATTTCAGATAGTCAATGGAGACTCTGCAGAGATGTCTGGCGTTTCGCTTTTGGCCCTCTCAGGCCCATCGGCAGTTGGTACATATACTCCCTTCCTTTCCTCTTCTAGCAAGGCTATATGCAACAGTAAAAACCTTGGCTAACTTTCCCCAGGCTCATTCCTAGGTGGCGCGTTATCCAGCAGAAAAAACAACACGTTCTACACTATCATCGCCGGATGCAGTTTTATCCTGTTGGGCAATGGGTTATTTCATACAATCGGACCTAGCCATTCCATTCCGGCTAAAATGTATGGATACGAGGTTATAATGGGCGTTGGCTTTGGAATGATCTTCTCCACCACCACCGTCTTGATTAAGCTACACGCCGAACGGGAAGATACCGGTATGTTCAGCTCTTCAGCCCCTCTCACTCCCAAGGTCGTTTTAATAATCATATATGCCTCCATCTTAACTGACAGCCTAATATCAGCATCGGCACAAGGCCTCATGTCCCAAGGCCGCCTCCTCGGGGGCAATATCGGCCTAGCAATAGCCACCATCGTGCTCAACCAACAACTCATCTCCGACCTAAGCGGCATCGTGCCACCAGACGAGATTGACAACCTCCGCCATTCCCTGCTAGCCATCTCCTCACTTACCCCCGAGCAGGCGGAAGTGGTACAACAGGCGTTCGCGGATGCTTTTAAGACGCAACTCGTGATCAATATGGGTGTTGCGGGCGCTGCGTTTCTGTTCGCGCTGGGCACATGGGAACGACATCCAACCACTTTTGCGCAGGTCTTGCAGCGATATGAGGATGATGAAAATGCTTCTATGGCAACTGCTGCTGTTCCTGGTCAGAGTGACGACAGTCCCAATTCCCCAAGTAAAGAAGAATCTGCGTAGATTGTTCTACTATTCCACATCCCCGCATGACCGAAAAATAAAACATTTACCTAGCATTTGGGAAAAGGTGTTGAATAATTACGGCGATCCTTTCAGTCTTGCTTATCTGTATGATTCGATACCCCTTTGTGTTGGCTGCTGTTATAGATGAAACAAAAATTTGTTGTTGTACTACCTAAGTACTGGGTCAAAAGAATATACCTTCTCTTAGATGTATACCGAGGTAATTGACGACTGAAAAGTATAGATGTAGATAGAGTTAACAACGATGTAATTGATAAGTGGTATATACATGAAATTAGACAAAATGCAACCAATACACCTATCCTTTCTTTATGCTATTTGGTTTGTACCACGTACCATGCACAACACCTTTCCTGTCCTGTCCATGCCAATGAAAATTAACAAAAGTAAGTAAAACAAAAGACCGAATGAAATATGGAAAAGTTGAATGAATGGATAGACTACATGTACCTGTCCCTCTTGGAGGGACTAGGTATACGCGCATGCAATTGTCGGTCACGGCTTCGTTCTGTCACAAAATTCATGCTTCGGGACGGTGTATTCTCAAGAAGAAGTTGCGGTTCTTCTTGCTCCTCCTGTTTATCAAGATCAAAACCGCGCGGATAGTTGTGATAGTGGTTCCGAGTTGGGCTACCCTCGCCACGGCCAGGGGTTTTGGGATACTCTGGAGGGTAGTGATCTTCAAGTGGCCAAGAGGCAGGAGGAAGACATTTTTTTGGTTGTTGATACGGTGCCTGAGGCGGTGGATTCTGAACGTTTGGATATATATATCCATCTTCTTTTTTGGTGTATTGGTTTCGCAGTGCAATGAAAGACCAGTTGCTCGCCACAGTAATTGTTGTGATGGTTAATAGAAAGTAAGACTGGAATATTGTGAAGTTAGAAAACTTCACCATAATCACCCCGGGGTATTAACTTACGAAAGCTTTGAAGCTAATTGCATCGACGAAGCCGGTAATAATGGCTGATATCGTTTGTACCGACACCGTGGCACGCGCAACTCTTCCAGGGTTCTGATCCATACAACGTTCCCAATTGTTGCAAACATCATTCAATGCTGGAGGTCGAGCAGCCATATTGCAACTATTTTGGAGGTATAGCTCCCTGCAAGTTGACATCTCGCTTAATATATCATTTCTTTTGGCATCTGCTGCATGGTCAATGTCTTGTTTAATCGTCCAAACGAAGGAAGCAACAATCCATGTGACCAAAGAAAAAAGAAGCATATTCCAGACCAGTTGTAGCCAATACGATAAAACTGCGGGTAAATTCGGATGCGCATCGAGATAGGCAAAAAAATGTGCCCAAGTCCAACTCTGCGAAGGTACTGAAGGTGTGGTAGGTTCTGACTTCTTATTGTCCGTCCTCTTCCATAATGCTTGTTTCTCTTCCCGGCTACTCGGCCGATCGCTATCATAATCGCTATCTTTCCGCAGATGCCGGTCAATATCACGATCCCGCACTCGTCGTTTGTGGATTCGCCGTGCTTGGTCAGAAGTATGTTTTGTTACTCGTGGGATTTCTCCTCGCCCAGGGCTAGGCGCAAACCGACCGTATAATCCAAACAGCGAATTGCGTTTTTCTTTCCTTTTCGGAGGAGCTTTCTCGGGTGTATCTTCATTGTCCGCATTATCGGGCGAGGACATGTTCTCTGCACCAGAGGAGAAGTCTAGGTCGAACTTGCGAGGGGTCTGAAAGGCGGGTTTGCCAAAGATGGCGCCTGGGCGAGATGGCGATCCAGGACGTTGCGGGGACGGTTGTGAGAAATTGAATGATTGTGGGAGAGTAGATTGCTTTTTGCTATGAGGATCGAATATGCTAAATGCTGTATCAGTGACGCAGTCAGTCAAGTGTTCAAAAACCTTCGTGGCAAACCCAGGGAGCGATGTGACTGACGCTTTTTCTGCTTGTCGTGCTGCAGACCCAGTTGATAGAACGGCGAAGTCACATCGCCTGGGGCTCTTGTCTGCCACTCAAAGTCCATTGGGCTTTCTGCAGTGCGCCTCTCCATTTTGCAGGTTGTTTTCCAGGCGGTTGCTATGATGGCTGTGTCGTAAGGGTCAGAGTTGTTTGGGGATGTAAACACTTCTTGGCGGCCTGCGACTTCCCAGGCGACTGAAGCTTGCCGCAATCCGGTTAGCGCATTTGATACATTCTGGAACGCACTTTTATTTTATTATTTCTCACACCTCATAAATTCCATTGACCAACATCTGAGCACACTATTTCATACCAAGTTCTCAAAAGAATAAACGACACTAACACTGTGATACTAGGAAAATGACAAACGACAGTCTAATCAATCATGCAGCCAGCCCCACGGTATGGTATGAATATACAGGCTCAAATCTTCAAGGAACACGTAACGCCGATTGCTCCTCTATTGATGCCTGCTATGGTATATATATGCAATGAACAAGTGTGAACGCCAGTGTCGAAACAAAAAAAAGAAAAGGGTACATACGCCCCGACAAAGTGCGGCGTTTAACGAAAACAAAAGTCAACAGCGGTAACAAACCGCGAAGCTGAAAGACAAGTCAATATACAGAATTATACAGCGTCGTGCTCGATTATCTCAAAGTCGTCGACATCCGCGACATAGCCGCCGTTACCATTGTCGTCCTGCTTCGAGACAAACTCGTATTCCTTGGCGAGCTTTTCGGTCACTTTGTTCTCGTACTTGGTTTCAGCAGTGGAAACGGCATTCGAGAGGACGGTATTTCCAGAAATCGCATAAACGGCAAGGGGGTCGTCGGCAAGGATTCCATCTGGGGAGAGAGCCTCGTGAACTGCTTCGTCGGAAGAGGAGTCGCTGGAAAGTGCTTCCTTTACATCATGCTGGAAGTGGGTGTAGACGGCATGACGAGCCGATCGGAGACTGGACTCGTTGTACCTTTTCAGGACAGTTTGTGTACTGTTGATGATGGTAATGATGAGTGGGTGGATACGGGGACAAGGAAGATGATGCCTTACGCAGATGATGGAGGGAGTGCGGGACGCAGTCGCATCGGACTGGTAGCAGAGCTCATGTCCCAGCTCGCCCACCGGCCGCTATTGTCCAGACGCGCTCCGCGTGCCCACTTGGCCTTGTGGTCATGGTCACGCTTGGCCTCGGTAGCTGAGTGACGGAGGTCCGACATATTGACGGCGCAAAGAACAACGACACCACGGGTTTCCGCCAACAAGAGAAGATATGCAATGAACGAAAAAGCCTAGGTGGGCGTGTGGAGGAAAGTAAATACGCAGCAGAAATAGGCAGTAATCCAGGGCTGACTCACAGCTTGGATGACTCGCAACTCGGGTACCGAAAGCGGTTAGAGCTTATCAGAGGGGGATAGCCAGCGATAAGATAACAAACTCCCAAGGTACGTATGTTCAAAGCAGGACAAAATTCCAGAGGAAGAAAGAAATAGTCCGGGCAGTTTATATATATTTATCTTTCGGATGGTATCGGAAGAGACGGCGAACACATGAGCATCGTCACTGTCAATCAGAATCAAGTGTCACCGACCGTGGGAGCGCGGCAACTGCGACAACGCCCCTCATGATAAATAAGGGTTACAGCTCTGACGCCATAGCTTAGTGCTTAGTGCCCAGTAACACTGTTCCCTGCATTCACCGGTTTCTGCGCCCTGGTTGGACGAATAACGCAAGGTCCCAAGAATCCATTTCAACCAAGAGCCGATGCTCGTGGGCATGTGCCGCGGAGTCGGAGGTCCGAGCCATTTTGTCCGCTCGATTGATACCCTGAAGCTTCCAAACATAGTTCATCCTGGACTGGAGTTGGAACGCGGCTTGTATTTTGACAATTCCGCCACGGTCATGTAAACCAGCCAGCTAGAGATACATGTAGGTGTGTAAATCTATAGATAGACCTATGAAGATCGCCCAAGATGTTGACCACGGATCATCACGCTTTACCGGATTGGGAACAAAAAGAGCTAAGGTTACGGTTGCTAACCCTAGCCCTAGCCCTAAAGCGGCGCGTGCCTATGTCCTTAAAACGTAGCTCTCTTTCACCAAGTAAGTTCAGTTTTTTAAAGGACCAATGGGAATATGATTATTATTTGGTCTGAACTTTGAAGCCGTTGCAGGTATCACTCGACAAAGTCCAACGAGTCCTAAGCTGGCATCATCTCATATGCCTCATTCCCTTTCTCTTTATGATAAGCAGGCCGAAGGGACCCTGCTTAGCCTGATTTAATATGAAGACGAGATGAAAACACGAGGATGGAACACATCATTTTCATTTTATTTATTCTCTGAATGTATTTTCGATTACGATATGCTTCTTAATATACTTTAGGTCGGGTTTTGAACCCATTTCTTACACCAGAAAAGGGATTAAATCAATAAGACAATCTGTCGCAAATACCCCCTATTGCTTATGAATCGTAAAAGATGGAAATTGTGTCGTGGCATAACATTTTGCGGAAAAATTACTCATTGACTTCTAAGAAAGTCCTTGAGTGAACCTAGGTTCCAGGTAGTGATCAAAGCCTGGAAATATTTACTGCGTAAGTCAATGGGACAGCCGGTATCTGGAAATATTTTATTTCAGTCTAATGCTGATGAAGGGCTGGGTATGGAATGTTATTCTAATTATGGAAAAAGAAAGACTCAATTTGAAGCTTTCTTCCCAGGTATAGGGTGTTCTACAAGGGCGATTTGAACTATGGCGGAGGAAAATCTGCTGCTGCTCCAGTTTGTGTAACCCTTTACTCTATACTTTTGGATCTCCTGGCTTGACTGATATCACCACCGGGGGGTCTGTCGGCTGCCATGGAAAGAGCATCACGAATGACACTAGAGTCGGATACATACCCTGAGCTAGTTGGAATACGGCGGTGGGATGGGATCCGGTGACAGTGTATGAGGATAACGAAATTCTAAGAGCCCTTACTACCTAATATATTGCTTCATCTGATCCAGAGAACATTTTCTAAGCAAAATTTTTTAAGGAGACCTAAAGAACTCGTAGTTTTACTTTTCGATATACCGACATGGCTGCCATACTGGGATGCCATTATTATAGAGAACATACTCTAGTTGCTACTAACATCAATCATCGCAACCTTTATGATGCTTCAATAACCTGCCCTAGAACTGTCTATGACATTTTCACCATTCGCCACTTTGAGCTCATTCAGCATTCCAGTCCTGAAAACACCAACGTCGGTGGTGATAGAAATCATATCAAAGCCTTGTTCTACACGTTTGCGAGCATCCAACCCATCCGTACCTGTAACATTGTCAGTAATACTGTACTCACTCAGCGTAAGCAATCAAAAAACGCATACAAAATATAGCTGCTTTCTTTCCACAGGTGTGGGCAGCACCTAGGATTCTTTTGATAGCAGCTTCGTGCTCTTCGCCACCACGGCTAACTCCCATCATCTTAGAGAGATCGAAGGGCCCAATGAATAAAACATCGATGCCAGGAACGGCTGCAATTTTCTCGATGTTCTCAACACCAGACCTTGACTCAATCTGAACGCATATCGTCACGATGACATTGATGTTATCGTCGTAGGCTGTTCCGGCATCGATGCCGGGCATTGAGTGAGGAGCAAACATCGGACCATAGCCACGCGTACCGAGCGGTGGGTACTTTGCGTATTTTACAATGTTGGCTGCGTCAACCTGAAGCCAGAAGCTTTTAGTGGGAGGACTTGAATGCTTGACGCTGCGATAATCACCTCATTATGGCACATCGGGGTCATAATACCGTGGGCACCAGCATCAAGCGCGCGCTTGATCATCCAATCCTCAGCAAAAGGAACACGAATAATGGGACTAGCACCCTCGGAGCCAATAGCGTTGCATAGCTACAGGTTTATTAGCATAACATCTAGTCAACAGAAGCAGTATGCCTCAAGCCTGACCTCATAGTAATGGTGGTCGCTAATTAATCCATGCTCGGCATCAACCAAGACCCAATTGAACTTGGTTGAAGACCCCGAAGCTCCGTGTAGAATAGTCTTAGCTACCCCGGAGCTAGGAAGGCTGCACATAGTTTGTTATTATATGCCCGACATATCTGATAGATTGAACTTACGTGAGCCAGAAGCCGAATGCGACAGAGGGGCCTTGAAGGCTAGATCGGATGGCGGTGGTGACTGACATTATTGCATTCTTTGCATAGTTATAACAAAAGAGGGATTATCCAAAGTATTTGTTTCGCAAACTCTGGATATTTCGCCCCAAGAAGGCTCGGAAAAGGTACTGAAACGTCCGAAAAACACTCGGGGACCCGGAAAAGCACAACTTAGATTCTACGGACAGAAGAAGGATTAAAAATAATCAATTTACTCCAGACTTGGATGGCAGACACTGGTCGCTGCTTCACTGAACCTTCGTGAGGCTGTATATCTCTGTTAGATACTCTTATCTATAGTGCCTAGCCTCCATCACGTAGACGCGCCCTTCCTTTCCTTCTACATTATATTGTTATCCCTCACTAATGTCTCACTATCTGTACCTGGTACATTTGGATACTTGACTAGCAACAAGTTCAAGTTTTCTCCGACTGAAAGATGCGCTTGAACGGATTCCCTTGACTGCCGCCTAGAACACGTAACGGAAATTCCGATTTTCTTTATCGGTCATGTCTTCCAAAGTTCCCACGTAGTGGGTAGAAACAGAAGTATTCTCATCAATGCCCTGGATTTCATCTCTTCTTTTGTTCTCACTCCGCAAATGAACCCATAGCAGTGCCACACAAATGACCTCAAGCAGGTGCGAAACGACCATACTCCATATACCGAGCGAGTAGATGGGTTTCTGGCTTTCTTTGTAGAAGAAGGGGCCGGCAATATTCCCCGTGCAGTAACCGATGAAGAGGATGCCACTAGATGTTACCTTCTTGGTATGCCCTGCTATGTTGGTAGTGGTCAAGGATAATAACATCACGAATGATGCGTTGTAGGAGCCCGTCAGCTATGCAGATATTAGACCCTGAAACAAAATGTAGTTGAATAAATGAGGTATTCTTACGTAGTAGCAAATGAGGCGGCCGACCTGGGCACTTTGGGGCACAAAGCGAAGGCCAAAGGCAGCGGCAATATTAGGCATCAGGAAAACCAGAAGCATGAGACATCGATTGTTAGGTGGCATTTTTGCGTTAAGCCACACACAGGAAAGAATGACTAAGGAGATGAAAACTCCATATGGAACCTGGAGCAAGGTAGTTCCCACTGCCACAAGTCAGTCAAATGTTGTTCAACGGTGCTTTTCATGATCGATGATGACCTACGAGTTGAAAAGCCAAATCCTTGAATAATCATAGTGCCAAAGTTCGTGACTCCTCCGTTGACAATAGCTTGGAAAAACGCAATCAAGAAGAACAGATGCACTTTGAAGTCGGCCATTGCTTCTAGAAACTGGTGGATTTTGAACTTCCGGTTCTCAATTCCAGTCTGGTTCTCGCGTAGTCGGTTAATCATGATAGTTTTCTGAGCTGTTGTAAGATAGCGAGTAGTGATTGGCGAATCTGGCACTACAACAAGCATGACAAGTCCCCATAGAACACACAAAGCCCCAATGATGATGAATTCATATTTCCAGCTGGGTAGGGAGCCCTGGATGTTACCGATTCCATAACCGAGCACTCCACCGCCTGCAATACCTAGACCCAAGGCGGAATACCATATTCCGATTCGAATTGGTTGCTCGCTTCGCTTATACCACATGCTGGTAATGATCATGAAAGAGGGATCGGCGCAAGCTTCGGCGGCACCACTGAGCCCTCTAAGTGCGGCGAGGGTTGCGAAGTTTTTCGAAACGGCTTGAAGTGCAAGAAATACTCCCCATAGAATAATGTTGACGCTCATGTATTTTGCGGTGGGAAGTCGTTGCATAAGGAGATTGGTTGGTAGTTGCCAACCCATGAACCCAAAGTAGAAAATCGAGGATAACCAACTATACTGATTACCAACCAGATGCAAACTGTCATCAATGCCAAAAATTGCCGCATACGAAAGGGTGGTTTTATCAATCTAGCAAAGCAGATTTCAGTAAAACCGGCGAGATGTCCAAAGGCCCTATCTCTCACAATGCCCTGCAACTCACATAGAAAAACATGTAACACACGCATAGACAAGGGAGTATAATCCAGTCTATTTTGCGTACCAGTCGTTTTTCCTCTTCTGGGTTTATAGGCTCTTGGATTTCGTCACATTTCAGGAAAGCATCGTCTAAGGGAGACGCGTCTTCAACATGGTCCACGTTCTGTTTTGTGGCAACGTCCATTGTTATGATGGAAACAGGCGAGAGTGTCGATTTTCACTCCAAAAGCCTTCTGTCTGCGAATCTCAGACCCGACTTAAAATAAAATCAATATTATTATGATACACCAAACTTATGCTAATTAAATTGCCGGGGGATGGCTGGGGGGGCATTATTTCGAGTCTAACCCCAGCTTTTCCCCAGAAATCTAGTCGGAAATATTGCCGACTTGATTTCCATGCGGAGTACCCCGGAAAAGCTCTCGAGTGGGCCTATGTTTCAGGCAATGATCAGAGCCGGGTGGTTAGTAACCTCTGCATGACTTATACGTGGTCTAAGGATACAAACACTGTCTCTGCAGTGACGGAATCCTGTCAATCTGTTGTTGACTACAGCCATGGAACATTTCTACCAAGTTTTAATAGCATTGGATAATGTGTAAAGTCCCGAGGTCTGAGACAACCATTACTAACTATCTAGGTATCTAGTAATAATCGAACTCCGTTTGGCCTTGCTAGCACTTAGAATTGGATTTGCTAAATGGGTTCTGAGTCTTTTTCACGCAAAACTGCATAACGAGCATGGGAGAATCAAGTCTGAATATGCTTTGCAAAAAGATCTAACAAAGTGTTACATCTAAGCGTAAATATGAGGGAACATATCCACGGGTATGCTAAAAGATGAATCACCACCGCGATGCCCATGCGTCAACAAATTTCTTAATCAAGCCACTATCAATCAACTCTACGCCACCATTTAGCGAAGGACTACACGACTCTGTCTTCTCCGTGGCGAAGTATAGTCCTGCGCGACCAGGGGCATCATTCTCGTATTTGTCCGCAAAAAAGTCAAGCAGTTTGATTGTTGGGTTCTTCTGAGGGTCCTGCTCGGATTCACGCAGGCGCTGCACCCATTCTCTCTTGGGAAGAACCTCAAATGTTAAGCCCGACCGTTGTAGAGCAGGCAGCAGATCCTCCGTCCATCGAAAAGTTCTAGAATTCTGGACATTGTAGACCACGTCCGGGTCGTGAGCAAGAGATCTGGCTCTGTCATTGGGAGTGACTCCACTGAGCTCTAGCACAGCATTTGCCACCACGTCAACTGGTAGCCATGATGGTGTCTCATCTAAGGCAGGCAATGCTTCTAAAGTTTTGGCGGTTTGGAGCATTAGTGGTATTGCTTCGGTTGGGTTCCAATACCCGGTCACAGTGTCTCCGACAATCTGGCCAAGTCTCAGAACCTTGGCAACCATCCCAGTATTTTTGGCGGCCGCGTGAACAATTCTCTCAGTCACAAGCTTAGACCGAGCATAACCCATGTTTTGGGCATGTGCAAGTTCCGGGATCGGGCATTCAGCGATATTGGCCGGAAGAGGGGTAGCAGCTGCGGCAGAGATTGAAGAGCAGAAGTAAAACTCAGCGGGAGAAGGACGTCTAGAGGATAGACAAAGGTTGATAAAGTTCTGAACGCCCTTGATATGCTGTTGTTCAAAACTGCGAACACCCAAAGTGAAGTTCACAGCCCACGCAGCATGAATCACATGCGTCAAGGAACCACGCAGCTCATCAATGGTCGCACTTGGAAGACCTAGATCTTCCCTTCCAAAAGTTGATGGGAACGCAACAATCTTGTACGCGTTGACGATGGGTAGAGACCTCGAGGATATACTCGATAAAACGCGATCTAGTGCGTTGCGCTCAGAAGTTGCACGCACAAGACAGAAGACCTTCTTCACTGAAGGCTCTTCTAGAAGTCGAGAGAGGATATATACACCCAAGGAGCCAGTAGTACCCGTGAGGATCTATGTAAAACCGTGGTTAGAAACTTCATCTGATTGAATAATGAACCCTAGCCACTTACAACAACTTTCTCACTAGGTGGCCTATCGAGAAAAGCCGAATATTTTGTAATCATTTCTGACATCGCTTCTAGCTCATCCTCAGATATGGTATTTGCTCCCATACGTAGCGCGTACAAATGTGCGGCCAACTTCCTTATCGACCCGCAGTCGAAGATGACATTGTGCGCGAGAGAGGCAGCTCCAATGTCAATTTGTGATTGGAGAATGCCACGCACCTTGATCGCCTGCAAGCTGTCAACCCCAGCTTCAAAGAGATCAGTATCAATCTTGATATCAGCAAAGCCAAGATCATTCTGGAACACTTCCAATAAGAAGTTGTACAACTCCGGCAGAACTAGAACGCGGCGGTCCCCCTTGTTTCCATGACCGTTTTCTAGACGCGCATAGGCAGCTTCGATCAAGTCATTAAACTCCACATAGCATTTGTTGCGAATCATAGTTCCCTTGTCGGTCGATGGGTAGGAGCAAGAAGGGTCCAGAAGAATAACCATACTACGCGAGATTTGACTGAACGCCTCGGCATTCTGATTAGCTGCCACAATATCCGGCCAAATTCGATCCAGAATTTCTTCAGATGATAATCCATCACACTTTGTGCTAGGCACCACAATCAAGCCGGGGATTGGCTTCGAAACTCCAAACACGAGGTTATCTTTGACATACACACTCTGTCGAATACGGTTTTCAATCGGCACAGGAAGGACTTTCTCTCCATTATCTAAAGTGACCCGATCATCAATACGGCCCACATATTTCCAAGCATTGTGGATATTGGGGTGCTTGAGGAAGGTGTCGCGGGTGTGGAACGAGTTCGGAGGGTCGTCAGAGTTGGATGTTACTTTTGATCGGAGCCCATCTAGAACAATACATTCATAAGAACCATCCTCGAGAAGCTTCCAACTCAGGAAAGGATCCACAGCTGGCAATGGCCGAAGGTAGTTCCACGCTTTGTCTTCCCGAGGGCGCGCCGATGTCATTAATTGGCCTAGCTCAGTAGCTCCGTAATGGCTGATCAGTCGGACGCCAGCGTTTACTAGCAGATCGCCGAGAGTATCAGGGCAGCTGCTTCCTCCGAATAACACTTGTTCGCACTTGGCTAGTTCATCGATGCCACCTTCGGTCTCACTCAGGAGCTTCAAGACGTACGGTACGCCGTGAAAGCTCTCGGGGACCGTCACCTTCATCGTTTCCAGTACGTTTTTGCCAGTCAGCGGAAGATTAGCGTTATAGATGGAAATCCCTTTTTTTTTGAAGAGGGAACGGAAAAAAGTGGAGAGACCATGATTGTGGAATAGAGGCAATGTAAGTAGAGCTCGGTATGCTTTGCTTGTGCTATAGTTGGAGATGCACGCCCCGTGGGTTTGAAAGATCGGCTTGGGAAGGCCAGTGGAGCCAGACGAATGAATGATAAAAGCGCATTTGTGACTACTCTGCAGTGTTCCACGGGATTGTATGAGCGGTCCGGATGGCTCTTTTGAGTAGTTTGCAAATTCAGGAATTGCAAAAGTGCCTATTTGTAAATGTTCCACTATTTGTTCGACTGCCTTCTTGTTAGGTGGAGCGTAAGCGATGTTGGTACACTTGGTCAGAGTGACGAGGTTTGCGTAGGCCTCGGTGCTCAGGCGGGTTGAAAGTAGCAAAACAGTATATCCCATCCGGGACAATGCGAAAAGCGACACAATGTAATCGAGGTTCGAGGGTCCAAGGATAGAGACAACGCGGTTCTCAGTCGGGTGAGAGAACTAAGACTAGTTTTAGCAAGCTGGTAGCTCATCACCTACAATACCTATGCTTACCTCTGCAAGGCCAGCTCGTTTATACTCTTTCACAGCGCCATTGGCGAATCTGTCAAGATCACAGGGAGTATAATAGACATAATCAGTTACTCCATGTGCGCTCTTTGGGTAGCCTACGAGAGGCTCATCAGGCGCATTCCGCACAAGATCCCTTAAAACATCGTCAATTATGTATGGGGGCTGAAAGCCCTCTGCTGGCGGACTTGGAGGAAATCTATAAGCACTCCCACTCAACTTGCAGTCCTCGTCGAGAGCCGCTTGCTCAAGTGTACGTGTAAGTAGCATGACGTATGATCAGTTTCCACACAATTCCTGATTGGCTACACGATAGTGCATTTGCAAAATAGTTGATTCCGTACAAGAATAATCGAGGAGTTCATTGTGTCTTAAAAATCGAAGCGCTATTCACGAGCGTCGTCACATCATCTAATGAGATGCTGGAGTCGGATAATGGAAGTCGGGACCCACATGTACTTTTCCGAGTTACCCGTACTGTATACCCCCGGCTTTTCCGTACCCCGCGAAGCTTATCCATACCCCAGAAACTTTTTCGGGGTCGATTGTTTCCATAAGGATTCGGATATAACGTAAGATACACATCGGATAAATACTCCGGAATTATATCCCAATGGCGGAAACAATGTACCCGAGACAATTAGAGAAGGGTCTGTACGCGGTGGAAAAGTTGATTGATCGAAAAATTCGAAGCGAACACCAGTGTTTCGCCATTGGCAGTGTACGAAACAAACAGGTCCCGCCATACGGTAAATGGAAGAACTACCATGCGAGGCTCAGAGTTCTATAAGATGCTCTAGCCTTCAAAACTTAAGCCAACCCGCAGTGTAATGTACAAAGACCGTCACTACTGGCTCCCCGAAGTTGATATGGCTGCGAAACATTTCATTACTGATGGGACAACATTCGTCCAAGACGCTCTGCATGGTTTGGCATTGGCCAACCCATCATTGCGGTACGATGAAGATATCAAAGGTGAATGAAATTCTGCTTCACACCCATACAAAGGAAGTGTGCTAATGACACAAAGCTATCATCAATTCAAGTCATGATGGGGATAAAGCGGTCACAATTATCTCCGGTGGTGGGGCTGGCCATGAGCCCTCGTTTGTAGGTCTTGTTGGTGATGGTCTACTCAGTGCCGCCGTATCGGGGTCCATTTTTGCTTCCCCAAGTGTGCACCAAATACAAAGTACCATATCACGAGTGGCTGGCTCCGCCGGAACCCTGCTTGTAATTATGAATTACACGGGCGACGTATTGCACTTCCATCTGGCTGCTGAAAAAGCTAGACTTGCTGGCTTCGACACTAGTGTACTTGTGGTCGGAGATGATGTATCGGTTGGTCGACGCAAGAGCGGCAAGGTCGGAAGACGAGGCCTTGCAGGTACTGTCCTTGTTGAAAAGGTTCTGGGGGCTCTTGCACAGCAAGGCAAGATGACTCTTCATGAGCTCTGCAAGGCTGGCGAAGATGTAGTGAACAACCTCGCTACTGTTGGCGCTGCGTTAGACCATGTTCACATCGTAGGAAAGCCCACGACAGATTTTACAGACCGCGTGGATCAGGTTGAAGTGGGTATGGGAATCCATAATGAGCCAGGATGCTATGTAATTGAACCACAGCCGCCCGTCTCAAGCCTACAAGGTTATATTCCGGCACTTTCATGACCAGTTTGGATGGGAAAGGCTTCAGTATTACGCTACTCAAGGCTAACTCTGAAATGCTTGAGGCATTAGATGCGCCAGCTTCCACACCAGGTTGGTCGATCACGCCAAGAATTGGTGCAAATGGCACCGAAGGGGGAGGGAAGACATCCCTTGGTAGGAGCCATCAGGAAACTTCGTCAACCAAGCCAACATCTCAACTGATAGGTTGGTGCCTTTCCGACATTGATAGCCAGAATTGACAGACTAACAACCTGGAATTAATAGTTGATGAGCGATATTTTTTAGCAATGCTTAAGCGTGCTTGTGAGGTAATCATTGCTGCAGAGGCTGAAATCGATCGGTTCGACGCGGTGGTAGGAGATGGGGACTGCGGATCGACCCTAGCACGGACCGCACGTGCGATCCTGCAAGAAGTGTTCATCAAAGGCCAATATACCAGTGAAGACGGTGACATCGTCCATTTTCTCGAGTTCCTGGCACTCGTCGTAGAGAACAATATGGATGGTACATCGGGGGCGCTTTATGCAATCTTCTTGAATGCCCTAGCTGGTTCCCTTCGAGCAATCGGCAAAAGATTGCCAAAGCAATGCCTAATTCAGCGTCAAAATTGGGTTGAAGCTTCCAGTGAGGCACTTCAAGCCGTATGCCAAGCTACACCAGCCCGTGTGGGAGACCGCACGGTTATGGACGTTTTGGATCCCTTCATAACGTCTCTGCAGAATGGTGCAACAGTAGCCGCAGCAATTGATGCTGCACGAGAGGGGCGCGAAAGCACAAAAGGCATGAGTGCATCTCTTGGGCGCGCTGTCTACGTACCCGAAGAAGAATGGAGTAGGGTTCCTGACCCTGGTGCGGTGGGACTGGTGTATCTTCTGGAAGGCCTGTTGGGTGTTTGAGAAAATATTATAGGATTTCTTGCAAGGTTCTGGCCCTTACAAGTATATATGTTTGTCATCAACATGACGGTTGTAGGAATCGTGCAAGATTAGCCGTCAGGGCACGTAAAATCTATATTCTCAATCCACGGCTACTAATAACCAATTATTGCTCTTCTCAGTTTCTTCGTTCCACGTCATGAGAGAAAAGAAAGTCCAATTCCCCCATCCCGGCGACAGCCAAGGAATCAAGATGTTCCCAGTCTGCGAGTTCAGGTAATCCAGTCATAGGAAAAGTAACCTCCAGGCCGCCTTCTAACCATTGTGAGGAATTAGACTGCATCGAAGGAGGGATCATCAAATTAGTTCCCTGTAGCCCGCCAGTTTCTTCAATGCGGCAATCTACACCAATTTCTTTGTTGGCGTGCAGTGGGCCGTTGACACTCTCGAATTCTTCCAACTGAACGCCATCATGTCGGGTCAAACTACCAATCTCCGATATCGTATGAGAAAAGGTTGGCGTGTTATCTCTGATAGTATTTAGTACTCGAGAGTTATCATTCTGATTTGCCGCAGCTCGAGCCTCCAGGCGAAGCTCCTCCAGGACAACGACGTAGCGTCGCGCGAAGGAGGATCTAGAGCCACAACTAGCCAAATCCCGTTGAGCTTGCTCTCCAATTTGTAGATATTTGGAAACTTCCTCCAAACTCCGTTTCTGTGCAGCCAGCTGAATAACTCGCACATACAAGACCATGATGGCTGAAAATCCATAATAATGCGTAAACTGTGTGCTCGTATCAGCATCTGATTCGAGGACTGCGTAAGTATACTTTCTTACCCAGAATGTACTGTACATTCGGCAATTCTCAACAAGTTCACGAATCATCGCGGCAATCTTCGTGGCAGCCGTAAGACAAACATTAATGTATTGGTTCACGGATTCGGTTTGAAAATTTTTTCGTGGTTTCTCTCGATCAACGAAAGCGCCAAAGGATTTTATAATGAATGGTCGATAGAGCAGAATCTGCGCGTGGTAGAAAGCTAAATTTAGTACTGTATATTGGCGTTGATATATCAAAATTAAAAGGTCAACATTCGAAGAGTCAAGAAAGCTGGAAATTTCTTCACGCCAGCTGTTGAGATCCGCACCATGTTGAGCGGCAGCTGATGCTTCTGATTGAGAGCTTGCTCTATGAGGTCCGTAAACATCATGTAATATACTGCCAATGATGACGGACAATTTGGCATGGTATAAGGGAGCGAGCATTACACTTTGTGCATTTGATGTCGGCGGAAGAATCTGCTCTCTGAGGATGCGCGAGTCATCAGCGACAGTGGGAAAGTCTTGGTCAATGTCATCGTCATGAAATATACGTGGGCGGCCTAAGGCAGCACTGAGATAATTGTCCAAGCTATATGCGCACCAAAAAACGCGCTTTCGACATTCAAAGTCAATATGATCGACGCTAGCTCCCATTTCACGCTTCCGGGTGCGATGTAGGCCAATGGCCATGGCAAGTCGAGCCGTTGTCCCGAATAAACTCCAACAGTGATTGATGCGGGACTGGGACAGAAGATAGAAGCATTGAGCCAGCCGTGCCTGAACACTCGTCAATCGGACAGGGCCCGTCTCCGCGTTGAGCTGTTTTTCCGAGGCCGCAAAATAGGCCGCACTATCAACTCAATGAGCTATCCTGACAGACACCGAAAAATGAAATCATAAGAGAAAAGAAGTATACGGCTTTCATATCAACGAACCTATTATTTGAAAAGCTGGTTGAATTTTGATCCGATTCTGGCGGGCATTGCCGTGCTTGAGCGAAAACCATCAAAATCACAGCTCGTTTCCCCCGCATACCGAAGCTTGGAGCCTCAGACCCTAGCATGGAGCTATAGAATTCATCGACCCAACCCTCGACCTGTTGTTGGTGAAGGAACCGATGTGTGGGGAACGCAAAATCAAAATATCGCGCCACGAGTGCGTTGGCTTCGTTTCTTGGGGGTAGTAGCATAAAGCCCGAGTCAACCTCTGGCAACGGAGAGTCCCCAAATGTAAATATTGGTGTGTTAATGGGCAGCGACAAATATTTATATAGTCTTTTTTGCGCTCTAATTAGGAACGAAACCCCGGAGGAAGGGCCGACATAGTGCCCCTCCAAGTCTGTTTGATGGGGCTCGAGAGAGGCGCGAGATGGTGGATTATCAGCCGAATTATTGATATCCGTCATATTGCAAGATTGAGCAAGCCGAGACTGAGGCAAAAGGGGTAGCCTGTCCGGTTCCACAGCAGAACTTGATTGCTGTTGTTGCCCATTACTCTCCTGCACAGGCTGATGGGCGATCCGAACTAGAGGCAGTTTGCCCCTATTGTAATCAGCTGTATATTCACATGTCTTGCCAGTTCGCTGGCAAGTGTTGCAGGGTAGAGTGCCGGTGCAACGTAACTTCTTCCTAGGTTGATTGTGAGCATAACTGTCTCTCTCGCATACACATACATGTTCAGCTATATGTATACATCAGAGCAGAGACTGGACTCACTTCTTGCAGGAATCGCAAGCGCGAGTTACCCGGACACGTTCTTTGTCGCATCGCCGCTTACTTGGTGGTTCCTCGTGCGACTCCATTGGGACAACGCTTGAGGAAAAATGCTAGGGCTGTGTATGTGATATTGCTCTTCTGGTGGAGGAGCGGAGTAGGGAAAGAGCAGCCAAGACAACGGCGGAAGGGGCTTAATATATGGAGTCGATTTGCCCCGTGACCTGGGGTAGCCTTAGCGCCTTACACCGTTCCCACACTCGACTTCCTTCGCACAGCCTACAGGCCTCAATGTAAGCGTCCAATCGCAAATACCCGGATATAAATATAAAGGATGAGAAATATATTGAAAGACGTGACATGATCAATTCTATCAGAAGGTCTGTAACAAGCAGTATTTGACAGACTTTCATTTTTGCACTTGATAGGGCTAAATCGATCGCGAAATATATCCCTGAACTGCTACTCCAAGAGAGAGATACATATACGCAATTACCACTCTCTCCACTCCCCCCCTGGACCCTGGAAGTAGGGACTTCGCCAGGCCTTAGCCCCCATAGTGGCAGCTCTGATTTTTTCCTCGTCCATCTCTATTCCCAGACCGGGGGCCTGCATAAGATTCAGCATGCCATCCTTGACTGTCCAGGCTTCGGGGTTCTTGATATAAGTTTCAATGTCTGCCGAACCGTGATTGTAGTGAATACCCAAACTCATTTCTTGGATTGCAAAGTTAGCTGACACAGCATCAACCTGGATATTGGCAGCCAGGGCGATTGGGCCGAGGGGGCAATGCGGTGCCAAAGCCACGTCGTAAGCCTCAGCCATAATGGCAATACGGCGCAGCTCTGAGATGCCCCCGACATGACTAATATCCGGCTGGAGAATACTCACGGATGCCGATTCCAAAAAAGGTTTAATGTCCCAACGAGAGTGCAAGCGCTCCCCAAGCGCGATAGGGATAGGAATCAGTTTGGACAGGGCGGCAATAGATTCTGGATGCTCTGATAGCAGGGGTTCTTCGATAAATAATGGCTCATGCGGAGCTAGCTTTTGTGCAAGCTGAATGGCCATTGCCTTGTGTACTCGCCCGTGGAAGTCGACGCCAGCATCGAGTCCCTGACTCTTGACAGTCTTCAGACGCTCCACCGATGCGTTGAGCGTAGCGGGCGAATCCAACCAGCCAAGGTCCTCGGTTGCGTTCATTTTGACTGCCTTGAATCCCTGAGAAATGCGGCTGCGGCTACATACAACGATTCTATCAGGTGGATGTGGTGTGTATTACAACTTGTCAAAACTTACGCTTGTGCCTCAACATCTCCAGGACGATCCCCGCCTATCCAAGCATAAACCCGCAACTGGTTACGGACCTTTCCACCTAAGAGCTCGTATATAGGTACACCGAATCGTCGAGCTATAGGAAGAGTTGAAGTGTTAGCCTAGTTCACCTTGCATAGTTAATCCACAGTCAACCTTACCTTTTAAGTCCCATAGAGCGATATCAATACCCGACAAGGCACTCATCAAGATAGGCCCACCCCGATAGAAGCCCATGCGGTAGCCATTTTGCCATATACGCTCAATATCACTAGAGCACAGAATGAGCTCGGTTCCAAGGAATAAAGGCCACACACGGGTCATACTTTGCATTCAAGCCGACAAATCGCTCAGCAAAGGCATCGAGGCAGCCTTCGACCGCCTCCGTATGTCCCTCCAGTGAAGCTTCGCCCCAACCAGTGTTTCCCTCAGAATCTGTGATTTTGACAAATAACCACCGTGGAGGTACTCGAAAGTATTCGATCTGCTTGATTGGCGCCATTCTGTTGGATTGCCCACGACTCAATCAAGAGGGAGGTGAAGGAGCCGAGGCTTCGAACGGCTGGGAAAAGCCCGTAATTTTGATAGCAACAGACGTTGACAAGTGCCTCACAGGTCAGAAACTAATGTTTACTAGATCAGTGCATGACGTATATTTCCAGAAATTAGTGGGAGGGATAATCCGGCAGCATGTCGGAAAAGCATAGGGTTCACCGGGAAATGAGAAAGGCTTATCCGAGCGTCGGCTGTTTCAATGTTTCTATTATGGTTTGTTCTCTTCTTCCAACGTGTTGGCTAAGACCTGAAGAAAATATTCTACTGTCCTTCATCATACCCCGTTGGCATTTTTTTTCAACTGCAACAATGGCTTCAGGTCGGTCCTTCAAGTTGAGTAGCGGCTATAGCATGCCCGCCGTTGGCCTGGGCACATGGGTATGTTCGAGATTTAGGACTGCAATAGCGCGTACACAGTGGCTTACACATATTCAACAGCAATCCAAAAAAGACGAAGTACGCGAGGCGGTTAAGACAGCTCTTGAAGCAGGCTACCGACATATCGATGCGGCTGCTGTTTATGGTAATGAGAAAGAAGTTGGAGACGGAATCAAGGCGTCTGGGGTACCCCGTGGAGAGATCTTCGTACGTATTGGCTCGCACGATTCTTGTTTGTACACTAAGTCAACTTGATTACTACATAGTTAACAAGCAAACTTTGGAACACCCATCACGAACCTGAACACGTCGAAGAGGCTGTGAACAAGTCACTTACTGATCTCCAGACTGACTATCTTGATCTTTACTTGGTGAATTTGAATCTATCACACCTATCATCATTGCCCTGGGCCCCATTATTGACAAGTTCTACTCTCTTGAACAGATCCATTGGCCAGTAGCGTTCCGGTACTCCAACGAAACCATACAGCCTGTTGACGCGACAACAGGCCTCATTGACGTTATCGACGTACCTATCAAGGACACTTGGTCAGCGATGGAGCGTCTGGTGAAGGAAGGAAAAGTTCGCACGATCGGAGTCAGCAACTTCACTCGGGAGAAGATTGAAGAATTGCTCAAGACGTATGTTACCCTCCTCCACATATAGATACAACTTGATTCGCCAATTGACCTTAATGAAAGCGCGAAAATCAGACCTGCAGTAAATCAAATTGAGGCCCATCCTTACCTCCAGCAACGGGAGCTTCTCCAGTGGAGTAAAGACAATGTAGGAGTTCACGATAGGAATCAATTCCGGCGTGCATGATGATCTCAGATGCTGATATTGTCTTTAGCAAATTCTTATTACGGGTTATTCTCCTTTGGGAAACAACATTTACAACATTCCTCGGTATGCTAATTGAGCCCCTAGCCTATCAAACGGCTCTCCTCTGCTCACGGTTTCTTTTTAGTGCGGTTGATGATAACCTAGTGGTTGACACTGCCCGCCAACTAGGTAAAACACCAGCGCAAGTGTTGATCAGCTGGGCCGTACAACGCGGAACAGCGGTCCTTCCAAAGTCAGTCACGGCGGAAAGAATTCGCAGCAACTTTGAGGGTAAGCATCTTCATTCATCGGGTTGTCAAAAAGTTATATCGCATTCCCCGGGATCTGACCTATAATACCATCCATTTACATCAGACTTCGTACTCCCCAAAGATTCATTCGAGAGTGTTCAGAGTCTAGAGAAGCACAAGCGTATGAACTTCCCCGCGAGACTTGGAGTGGATATCTTTGGCGAAGTTGGCGAGGCTAGTGCGAAGCAGAGTGCATTGGCCTGGGCAGCAGAGCAGAAGACGATCGGAAAATAAACCCGGGTGTGTAAAGCAGATGCGCATGTAAATAGACTCTCTCGTCGTGGTGGTCAATGAATGGAACATGAAAGGCACCAGTTCCGACAGTAGACAATGTCCAAATTAGGGCCCGGATTGCCATCGACATGATTTCTACTCAGCGTAACTGTGCCAGGGATGTAGAGCCCGGCAAGTTAACTCCCTCTTATCCGCTCTTCTAAGATGCGTGGAAGTCGGATAAGGAGTTGGGCTGAAACCTACCAGGATATACGACTGGCTTCCCCCGCACTCTACTGCTTGTTACCCCGTGGGGAATTTGCCCCAGACCGAAAGCGGCAAAGCCAGGATATGCCCCAGGTATAAAATCAAAAGACAACCAACCCCATGCTCCATATCTTTTCATATCAAGCCATTTATTCCCCATACTTGTACTATTTTGAATCATGGATACTGTCAAGGACTCTGAGCCCAATCATATCGAGCAATATGTACTCGACAACCCCAAAGATCAAACGGTACCAGCAGTTGTACTAGAATGGTTACCAGAAGAAAGAGCGCGACGAGAAAAGGACCTTGTCAGGAAAATCGACTTTCGACTCCTGATAATCATGCTGGTCATGTACATCCTGAATTACCTAGATCGCAACAACATCGCAGCGGCAAAGCTGGCCGGGCTGCAACATGACTTGAAATTGACTGGAGATCAATACCAGGTAAGGGAATACTATGTTACGTGTAGAAGAAGACACCTAGAAGCCTGACTGCAATCCCCAGGTCTGTGTTAGCATCCTGTTCGTCGGATATCTCCTGATGCAAGGTAAAGCCCAGCCGATGTCACTCTCCTAGAATGAGCTGAAAAGTGGAGCAGTACCTTCCAATATGATTCTCAACAAATTCGGAAAACCTTCAATTTACTTGCCAGGATGTATGGCAGTTTGGGGTGTCATCTCTTGCTGCACTGCGGCCACAAAAGACTTTGGTGGTTTGCTGGCCGTTCGATTCTTCCTTGGATTTGTTGAGGCTGCATATTTTGTGAGCTTCCATCGCCTGTTTCCTGTTCTGCAATGCTTTACTGATAATGCTCCAGCCCGGCTGCCTCTACCTCCTGTCAGCCTGGTATACAAGGAAGGAATTGGTCAAACGGACCGCGCTGCTCTATGCAGGCTCCTTGATTTCAGGTGCATTCTCAGGATTAATTTCCGCAGGTATCACGAGCGGCTTGAATGGTGCAAAAGGTATTGCAGCATGGAGGTGGCTTTTCATCATAGAGGGCTCTCTGACGGTACACTACACTGCTTTGTCGTTTGAGAGTGAAGACACAGAGGCTAATCTTTCCCAGATCTTCGTGGCTTTAATCGCCTTCTTTCTTGTCCCGGATCTTCCCAGAACGACGCCCTGGCTGAGCGATGACGAGAAGGTCCTTGCAGCCTGGAGACTAGAAGAAGATATCGGTGAGGACGATTGGGTGGACAGTGAACACCAAAGCATGTTCCACGGTGCTAAGCTAGCCATCATGTAAGATGGATCTCTTGCTCCGGATTTTTTTTCAGTAGAGCTGACAATGGACAATAAATCTCAATTAGGGACCCAAAGGCTTGGCTGCTTCTTGGACTCATCTACGGCTGCACTTCTGCTGGAGCTGTAACCACATTCTTCCCAAGGTACGAGGCACTCTGTCTGGAAAGACAGTTGTTGCGTGAATGGTGATACTAAATGCCTTCAGTGTGATGGCTGGACTTGGCAAGGACAACATTGATACCTTGCTCCTGACCACCCCTCCGTATCTCATAGGCACAATTGCCGTGTTGATCAATGCCTGGCATGCGGACCGGACAGGTGAACGGTACTTGCATATGGTGCTTCCACCCATTGTTGCTATTGTATCTTTCGTCCTAGCCATGGCAGCCAACAACTTTGCCGCTCGATACGTGTAAGTCCGCACAATTAATTGGCACATATCAGGCAGTCATTAACAAAAACATTACAGTGCGATGTGCATCATGCTGGGAGGCATTTATTCCAGTTACGTTGTCGCCCTCGGATACATTTCTAACAGTAAGATCTCCGTAATCTGTGATGCTGCAGAAAATAATTTACTAAATGTACACAGTCCTACCACGCCCGGCTGCAAAACGTGCAGCTGCCCTGGCCTTTATTAACTGTCTCAGTAATGTGTGCCAGATTTACACTCCTTACCTTTACCCTGGTAAGTGAATCTACTGTGAAATGCCCTATAATATTGATATATAGTTACATGATTGCTCATTATGTAATAAAAGACTCTGCCGCCCCTCGATATATAATTGCGTTCAGTATCAATATCGGGATGTGCTTTATGACAATCGTGTTTTCCACTGTCCTTCGCATTTATCTTGGAAGATTGAACAAGCAACTTGATCAAGAAGAGGGCACTGATATTATTGCCAATGAGGAACAGGGCTTTCCTGGACTGGCTGTGAGACAAGGCTTCCGGTTCTTGCTATAGACACTGTAGGTCCAATCGATTCCTTGGTGGCCACCCCGTTGTGAAAATGATTTTATAAATATACAGCGGGATTTGTCAATGCATCGCCCATGTTCCCTATCTAAATCCATCGTTAGATGTAAAGTGAGCTGTAATCAGGCGATCCTCAGCGTACTGTTCTGCACCTTGAGTGTCTAAAGAATGATTAAATGCCTCCGGCGCTCATATCTCGCTTCCTAGGACAGTGCCCCGGCGGTTCCCTCATTGGGCGCCGCCACGGCACATATCTTGCGCGTACCGGTCTCAGCTTTGTCCTTCATGCTCAGAGACTCCTACATAGCTTCAATCGAGCCTTTGTCTTGATCTCAGAATCGTCTCCGTATAAAAATTAGAAAATTGTCAACGGGAGGACCCTAGAATAGACCAATTAGCTGACAGACCCTGTGAGAAAGGATACCTCACTTATTACCCCATCCCACACGATACCCCCTTCCATGTCAATCTGCGATTCCTCAATCTTCTTGCCATCTTGAAAACAGACATTCTCATCAGGAACCGTCTGGTCAGGCGGAAAACTTGCGTGCCACTCCTTAACCGCCAGAATGTTTGTTCTCTGGAGAGTGTTCTCGTAATGCACAGATAGCTTTTCTAGCTATGCAAGCCGCTCCTTGCGTGTCAATGGCCAATTAGGTCGATGATTCCAGGGGAACGTAGGTGAAAAGCCAGGTATTGGGGGGAATTTGGGATCAACGTCCGTTCAACATAACATTAGCGTAACATACGAAGAGCCTAGGAAATAACATTCACCAACCCTGCTGTTCTGCTTCGAAATCCTGATATTTCTGTAGGTATTGCAAGTGCCATATTAGTATCATTTTGTATTAGGTATTAGAAACGTCCGCGCACGAACCTTGCTGGAGTCATCGCTCGACTCGAGTATCTCTTCGGATATCTGCTTCGCGTTCAAATTTTTCGTGGTCTTGTTTTTGGCCTTGTTTTTCGTGACCTTGTCACGATGATTCTTCTTCTCATTCGTGATTGTGATAACAAAGTCAAGCAGAGGAAGAAAATGTAGCCGGGAATAGAAGGTGTAATAGCGGGTTTCTAAACATAAAGCCACGAAAAAGTGACTCCTCCTAATGGGGTCTTTTGGTAAATCATAGAGAGTATACAGACGGAGCCTTTTTAGGTGTTGTCAACGTGGTAGAGAATCTCTGAGAGCCTAAGCCTTCTAGGATATGTTGCGTTAAGTTACGTCATAGCATGTGATTCTTCTAAAATATGATAATCACGAACCATTCGGTATACTAACTCGAAACCATTGCTTCAAGGGCTGTACAGAAATGCATCATGCGCAAGTGTTTGATGTGGTACGCCTCATCGCACAAGCAGTTCACCTGCATATAGAGTACGGATAAAAATGTTGCAAGACTCATGCTTCTTCTTCCTTGGCCTGCTCCGCCTCGCGTTTCTCGTCAGTGATGTCTTTAACCTGGCTGGATTCCTCAACATGGCAAGGCACAATGACATCTGCTTCGATGAATTAGTGGGTCTCATTGACATGGAAACATACGATCCAGAACAACCCGATACTTCCAAGCACGTAGAGTCTATGGTTTGGTCAGCTGCAAGAACAACAATAACGAAGAAGATAAAGAGAAAGAGGAAGGAACATATTCCTTACCCGAATTGAAGACTCAATTGACCAGCCACGATTAAAGGAATGCACACGCCAAAGCTTCGCGTGCATTTGTTCATGCCAACAAAATAAGCCAGCGAGGACGGGCCGTTGGCACCCAACGGCGACCTGAAAGCTAGTATAGTACGCTCCGAATAGTATGTAGATGACAAAATGCCAGCGTACCCGCTATCACTCCAATCAACTGCTGGCGGGTCCGCCGAGAAGTCGAATTCTTCATGATTGACCACGTCGAGCCAAATATAGAGGCTAATACAGGAGCCTATGATCAGCTCTGCTGTCAAGCCACCGCTTATCATGTCTATTGGGGTCTGCCATTATAACTAGACTGTAGATGGAAGGCGAAGTAATAGAGCACTGAGCGATGGATAATGATTTCTGTGAAGGATGCGTAGGTATCTAAGATCAGACATATCCATTTATCATGGAGCATCCGGAATTGATGAAAAACAAGGGTCCAATTTGTCTATTGTTATATAATACCAAAACAATTCTATGCCAAAATCACCAAATGCAACGGAAAACTACATTTTCTCTAGAGTCGGTACGGCAATAGATACGATTAGGGAATAGAATTAGAGAAAGGGAAACTCAATAGAACTGCCCCAAAAGCCTCCAACATTAGCAGACAACTTGATTGTATTCTATCTATACCTACTAAGCAAAAAGAGAATTTCCGCTGCCAGCCGCCCTCAATCTCAAATATCTTGCCCACTGCCTGACTCACCGAGCAGATGTCTATCTCGATATTGGGAAGCTACAAGCGAAACCTAGGTAATACCATCCGGTGCTACTTTCACGATAGGAATACTATCATACGCTTACATTAATATATCTAGGCTAATGGCAGTCAGAGTATTGATTTAGTATCAGAGTCTTTAAGAATACATTGAAACGCTCTGCGTTACCACTCAAAGATGTCAGAACCCCATAGAGGCTTGTTCAAGAGACAATAATTGTTTGTTTATATTGAACGCTGGCATCAACCAAAGGCTCCAGAATATTCAAGAGCGATGACCTCAAAAAAAGGGACAGTATTGCTGACCTCAACTAAATGGGACAGAAGTCCAAGGGGAAAGTATGCGTCCACGGTGTTCTAACTCCAGATATTTTCTTTTCCTGGACTGCGTGATGGCCGGTCTCTGGGCAGTCTGTACGAAGGCCCTGGCTCATACAGTAGCTAGTCTAATCCCAAGGAACCTATAGTTCAAACCGGTAGACCAATCCCTGGATATATATGCTGCATCGTCACAGGTGCAGGTGACAATCTCTCATCAACTGGTTTGCTCAAATGAAGCTTGAGAATAAATTTAGAATATCCGGATTCCTTTCCTCAAAGCTATAGATCCGTGACTGTCGGATCAACACCTCAGTTCCGTCCATGCAAGCATACAAAATTCTTGCGTGCTGAGTGTGTAAACGTGCTAAATGGATTCCTGGAAGACAGCATTTGCGGACTAAGATTGACTCTAACAGAGGATGTAGTTCCATTGGATTATCTCCAGAGAAAGTGAAGGTTTCCTTTCGAAGCGTAGATTATATCGCGCGGTCTGAGCTTACAAATGACTTCATGACCATGTACCGATACGGCCCCTACCAGATTGACATTGCTAGAGACGTGTGGGAGCTCTCAGCAATTGTAATCTCGCTTCTGACGTAGGCCGCATTACCTCTCAGCATATTTGGCCATATCATATCTCAATTTTGGACTACCTTCACGTTAATGGCCGAATACTTCCTTCCCCCTTTCGGTGTCCTGGTCCCTCGGTTATTTATCCCTCCCTGATATGAGGGACAGCCCTCTGGCCAATGCTCTGACTGATTCTCTTTAAACAGGCTGACAGGTTCCAAGTTTGAAGAGACATGCCAAAGACTGAAGCCAGCCAGTTTCATTCATGTTCAGACACCGTGCGTATACATTCGTAATCAAGTCGAACAAGATAGTTGTCTTCGTTGTCGCTGCAGCGAGTGGCATTGTTCTTTGTAGAGGGTGCCTGTAGTAGATGTTCCGCAGTAGATGTTTGGTAAGTAGGTTCTAGGCTGCTTTAGAGATACGATCATTCATTACCATGTATACTATTGCCCAGCTATGTAGTCAAATCCATCAGAAGTTGGTATAATTAGGGCTAAGCTAGGCCCAGAGTATACTAGCCAAATAGCATGCCGGCCAGTAATATACCGCGGATAACAGAAATTAGAGCCGCCATGGGTCTACCCCACACTCATATTTTTTTTATATCGACGTATGTCGTAGGGCGTGTCTGGAATAAAAGCCAGCATACTTCATACCTAATTCATAGACTATAAAAGTAACGAAATTCACTGACAAACACATTTGTAAACTACAACTCTGCAGAAGTCAACCACCATGTCTGATCAACCCACCATTCGCCTGGCTACAGAAGAGGGTACGTGCAATTGATCTCCCCGACTACACGAAACCTGCTAAGGCAAACAGACGTGCCCTACATCCTCCAATTCATCCGCGAACTCGCCGACTACGAACACGCTCTAGACGAAGTCGAAGCCACACATGAATCGCTTCTAGCCACCCTCTCATTTCCCGGCACGCAGCCCAAAAGGGGCTCAACATATACCGCCCTCGTCATCCCACCGGCAACGGCCGAAACGCCCAATCCCGTACCCGTCGGAATGGCATTGCATTTCTATAACTACTCAACTTGGCGATCTGCACCAGGCATCTATCTCGAGGACTTATACGTCCAGCCTTCTCAGCGAGGCAAAGGTTATGGATTGGCACTGTTTCGGTTCTTGGCGCAGGAAGTGCACAAGGTTGGCGGCAAGCGGTTGGAGTGGAGTGTGCTGAAGTGGAATGAACCGAGCATTAAATTTTATAAGGCGCTGGGTGCAAAGGAGATGGTGGAGTGGGCCAAGATGATGCTTGATGGAGAGGCGTTGGATAAGCTGGCTGCTTAGATAACTATGTAACTTATATATACACACCTGGGTATATTTTCTCGGGCTCTTATCTCTGGGAGTTTCCAAGATTGGGTTAGCATTTTCTCTTACCTAGGTACTTTGAAAGAAAGGGTACTCCCGAATTCCTTTTCAGGAATGAGGTGAGATATCTGGTAAGTAATGCAGGTGATCCTGTATCATGGTCTGGATAAATAATAGTGTTGCTCGTTATCTAGCTTCTCATGATATCTTGCATTGCTCCTCAGCACGTAAGGATTTATCACGCTTGCATGGATGGGACTGATATGATGATTCGACAATCGCGGATCTATAGCTTTGAGGAAAGGAATGCCGATAGTCTAAACTTCACAACAACAACAACAACAACAACAACAACGGCAGCAGCAGCAGCCGTCCGATGATCAGGTACGGGCCGAACTTCGAGAAACGCAGCGTCAGCTGCAAGAGGCACTAGACGAACTTGCTGCAAGGCAATTGCAGATGGACTCCGGCCGTAAGAGCTCGCCAGAAGTAGAGTACCGACTTCAACAATGCCATATGTGCTTCGGAAGTCCCCTCCATAGTAAAAGGCGGATTTCAATACATACCCGGCACAAGCCGCAAAAAAGCCAGAGATTTTTTCCCCATAGCAAAGCGCGGGTTTTTTGTTCGGTCAGGGTGTATCGATCACTGGCTCCAAAAACATACTTTCTCCTGTAATTTTCCCCTGTTTTCTTTTTCATTTTCTGTGTGTAGTTAGTGCTTTTGTTCCTATACTTTTTCCCCTCTGGCAGGGGGTATTTTTTTTGTCTGTAACTAATGGAAAAGTTCACTTGTTGATATTTGTTAATATCGTCATATACATCTTGGAAGGTGCCTATACATTATCATTCTCAAACGTAGGACGATTTCGGATACGCCAAATACCGCACTTTGGACTGAAGTCGCGAACCCCCTAGCCCTAGAGCCAGCTGTCTGACCTTATCATCGGGACCAGAGACATCTCTTACAACGCCAGGAAGTTGATCCAGCACCTTTATCTTGCCAGTTCGCTTACCAATTTGCAACGGAAGATCCTTCTGGCCAATGGCGGCACCCATGCGCAACATTACGAAGGAATCGAGAGTATGTGTCCAACTTTCACTGAAACCTGCATACAGAGCCATGGCGAGGAGCGGTATCATGTACAGGCCCATCAAGGCGGAGACCACAATGATGCCTGCAAGGGATATAGAAGGCATAAATGCCGACTCAACAGTGCTGCTCGCAACCCCATACGCGATGGTGGAGCGGATCGTTTCGAACAAGGCTTTGGACGCCAAATAGCTGGCGCGAGTCAGTGTCTCTGCGAAGGTAGAGTTTGCTCCTCCAGAAATGAAGGTCTCAAGCCAGTCCATCAATGGGGAGTCTGCTAGCAGGTCCATTATCTTATCCTCGTTGGGACCAATTAGAGGGTACAGAGGTAGTAGTTCAGTTCGAGTGCTTCTATCCAGGTACGCGCGCCATCCTGTTTCGTTCTCATAGTTACCGCCGTACTCGCTGGCGAAGAGCGACTGCTGATTGTCAAACCACGAACCCGGCCCGAAAAGAGCAACGGCAATAGTAGCCAATGGCCCCAGAAGATTATATGAGTCGTAAAGCTGATCTTCAAGCGAATCCTCCTGATCAAGGTCCCGCTTATCCGAAAAAATAGCACTGGGGGTGGTGTCGTCGCGATTGATACACCCATAATCCCACCCACATGATACCGTGGGGTTTGCAAGCAGATCCCCAGGTTTCCTCCCATTGAAAAGATTGGGGAGCTCAAAAAAGGCAGCAGTTGTGTTCATGGTAATCCTGTACGTCCCGTTCACGTCGCTGACGTAAAGGCTGGCGCGGCCAGATGTACTGATATTCAAATACAACTCCTCGGTGAAATCCTGGCGGGCATCTGTGGCAAGCCACGGAGATAGCGTCACGTTAGATGGAAGACATGCCTTGATATTCACTGACCCGAAACGTGCGGATGAATAGTTCAACGAGGTGTAGAAATAGTCAGACACAGAGGAGCAATTCGTCGGGAATTCGCTCAAAGCCACGCGACCACTCTCGACCGATGAGTTGATGCGAGGTGTGACTTGTCTGACTCCGCCCGTGTCATAGCTAGCTGGCACTTGTGCATACCAGTCTGTGTTCGAGTTGTATTGTGATAGTCGCGTGGCGTTTCCCCAGAGCTGGGCCTGGAAACCGCCGGCGTCTGCTAATTGGAGTTTGTTGCGCAGGGTAAATATTGCTTTCGCCTTGTCCGGGTCGGCACTTACCCATCGACGAGGCTTCAGAATTTCCGATAAAGTCTGTATCATATCATAATCGCCACCGGCTCCCTGGTTGAGAACACTTCTACTACCATCGAAGAATCTTTCTTCGACATCAAGAAATACCGACTGAACCGGGTATGTGATGGCGCCGATAGTGTGCGTGAACATTGCCAGATACAAGAAACTGGTGCCAAATTTCTTGAGAGCTGCCGGCGTCCGAGTCAACGACACAAAGTATCGATATGCCAAGGGGTTTGTCCACTTGCGGTCCGCCAACGCCATGACCTGACGCAAGCTTAGACTGTTCGTGTCGCGTTGGTTCTGCACAAAGACCGCCGCTGCGCATGCACACACTGCTGAGATTACGGGGAGGGTCGCCACGCTCACAATGGACTGCGTGATGCGAGCGGCGTAATATTGTCGATACCGGAGGTCTTCGTTCTGCATCGCCCTAGGCCCGCGAGCAATCACGCAGATCACCACCCATGTATACACCACCAGGGCAGTATATAATGCCATGGGAATCAAGATGTAATAGTTTGGGCGCAATGACGTTGTGTTGCGGGTGTCCTGATGCTGATATGGTGGAAGGGCTTCCTCGTCTCTGATGGATGCTGCTGCTACTGCCTCCTCATAATGAGGCACTTCATCCTCGTGGTGCGTATTGGTTTGCTCATGCTGGTTTTGGCTTTGGGTTTCTGATGCCATGTAGACTCTTTCGTGTGACATGGTCACCAGTGGGAATTCCTGCCCTGATGCCATGGTGCAATTGACCCGACACAAATTTGTTTCACAAGTCCATGACAGAAAAAAAAAAAAAAAAAAGGGACAAGTGAAAACCCGGAGAAAATATCTGGGGGAAAGGCGTATGCCAAATAGCGATTAGAATACTAATTTAACAGGGTCATTAGTTTCCTCACCGGCGCAGTCCTACTGGATGCTACTATACCAGGCGGCGGCTGAAGTGAACCCTAAGGACGGAGGCATCCAATAGCCATCGCTTGCAAGGCGCTTTAGTAAGACATCCGAGCGGTTTGCATCGTGTGAATGGACTCTTGGCTCAAGTCCAATTCCCAGAGCCAAGGAGCGAAAGCTGCAACAGGGAAGCGTAACATGTGGTTGTCTACACAGGTGAAGATAAGGAATTGTTAGCCTGGTAGGAGAATATATCCTGTTGTGCTGTGGCTGGTTGTGCATGATGAGCGGATTGTACTCGGATTAATGCGCGATACTACCTAAAACATCTCTGCTTATTCATGGTTACAACACGAGGCTCACGCACGTCTTCTATTATATACATTAATTACATACATAGCCTGTCGTATTACATGGATTCAAAGTATATATATATATTTGCATTTATATACCGGATCAACGAGACATAACTGCAGACATCCACCTCTGCTCATCGTTCCTACACCATTGGCAATCATCGTCAGCCAGAGAGATCTTATAGTTGCATGTCAACAAACTTACCGGTCAAAATGTAGCAGCATCGCAAGCACCGGTATAAGCTGCTTCTGGTAATTCTTATCCTTCTGCTCCAAAAACTGCAAAAGAACGTTCTTCAAGTATATGTAATCGATGGGGGCTGCGCCGGTTGGGGTTTCGCTACGTGCCAACGAGGGATGTCGCTCGCGAGAGCTAGATACAGATGAAGGAACAGCGGCGCCTCGCCGACTAGGCGATTCGATAGATGATCGTGAAGAATCGATGCCGGACTCCATTGTTGATGGTCTTTTACCGATATTGTTGGCGGCCGCGGTGCCGTTGTTCTGACCACCACCTCTGGTACGACTGAATTCGTCCGTGAGCGCTTTATTCGCCTTGCGCAGTTTCTCGATACGACTGTTGCTCTCCTCAATAGACCGGCGTAATTCCGCCTTCTCTTTCTCCACCTCGCGCACTTGTCGCTCACTTTCGTCCAATGCGTCTCGAAGTTGTACCATGGCCTGTCGGACCTCTTTCAGCTCCTCTGTAGACCGCTCAGCTTGAAATTCTAGGTCGTCTCGTCGTCGCTTCCAGTCGCGCTGCGCATATTCCAGCTCTTCCTTGTCATTTTCGGCCGTCTTGAGCGCCTTTTCTGTCTCTCTGACTTTGCTTTTGAGATCTTCCAGCTCTCTAGCGCGTCGACGACCCATAGTATTGGCTTCATCTTCTGCTCTATCCCGCTCTTCAATGGCAGCCTCAAGTCGTTCCTTGAAGTCGCGTACCTTGGCGTCCGTGCGTCCCTCGATTTCGTTCAGAAGACGACGCATCGTCTCACCTTCACGACTTCGCTCCGTCAGGAGACGATGTGCCTCGGCAAGCTCTTCTTCCAAACTCTCGCATCGCTCTCGAGCCTCTTTCATTTGCATGGCCATCTCAGATGTCTGGTCTCGCATACTATTCATCAAGCTCTGAGCACTAGCATGTTGCGCCGTCTTTAGCTGGATTTCCTCTCGAAGACCGCTTAAGTCCCGATCGAGCTGTGTAGCTTTCTCTTCAGCTTCTCGCATCCTAGCGCGAGAAGCTTTCAACTCCTCTTGAGCTTTGGACAGATCCTTTGACGTTCTTTCGTGCGCCTCTATCGACTGCTGCTTCCTCATTTCGGTCTGACGCAAATCAGATTTGGCGATAACCAAGGCTTCTTCGGCTTTAAGTCGATTGTCGGTCTCCTGCCGGATCTTTTGATAAAGCGTCTTGACTTCGTTTTCACGATCCGTGATGCTAGATTTGAGCGCCTTCACTTCGGCGCGTAAATCATCGTGTTTACCTTCCAATTTTTTACAATCCGTAATCTTCTTGTTAAGTTCCTCCTTCGTAGACTTCAGCTCCGAAGACTCGGCTCTCAGATTGCGAAGCTCAGGTGTCAGCTTTTGCATCGTAGCTCTAAGATCAGTAAGGTCCTTGAAGCGGGTTGCCGCAAGCTGCTGCGCAGCGGAAAGATCTTTCTCAAGTGTCGTAGATCTGTGCTTCAATTCTTCGAATTCGGCTTTGAGGTCTGTATGCAGCTTCTGGGAATCGGCACTCTCGGACGCGTGACTTGTCCGAAGATCAGCCACTTCCTTTTCAATCTTTTCGCGAGCTTCTTCAAGCGCTTGCTTCTCTGCCAGCAGGGTCTTGACCTGGTCTTTAGCCTCAACGTGCTCTTGGCCAATGTGAAGCAGTTCGTCTCGTAAAGACTCGATCTCCTCTTTCAAATCGTCCTCTCCCTTCAATTTTGCATGCAATCGCTCAATTGCCGCTTCCTTCTCATTGAGCTGCGCGGTAAGCTCCTCGATCTTCTTCTCAAGCGCCGCAACATCAGGTGATTCGACTGCTTTCTGCCCAGTCTCTGTTGAAGCCGTCGGTTGTTGTTCGGGTGCCGCCTTAGATGCCGGTGTCTCCTCAGCCTGTTTACCACCTTTCTTCTTCTTATTTTTCTTCTTCTTGGAAGCCCCGCCACTTGCGGCTTGGTTTTCTGACGGAGTCACTACAGCTGGTGTATCAGACACTTTAGCCGGTTTTTCGTCGGACGGCGGCTGCAGGATTTGACGGACTTCATCGAAGCTGGCGGGCTTCCCTGCCACAACCGAGTCGCGCGTTGTCTGCCATTTGGGAGAGAAGCCGAGGCCGTCGTCTACGAACTGGACAATCTTCTGAAGCTCAGTTAACTGAGAACCTTTCTCAGCAAGCTCCGTCCGAACCGAAGACACGGTCTCCTCGCCTTCCTTGAGCTGGTTCTTCAATTTGTTGACTAGACCCTCTACGACGCCCAATCGCTTTTCTTTGTCTGCTTTCTCTTTCTCAATGACGGCAATCTTCTCGTTCAATTCTGATGTCTCCGATGCCTGTGAAGCTGCTGCAGCAGATTCCGATCGAAGACGCTCAATTTCGGCCGTCTTTTCTTGTAGTTGGTTCTTGATTTCGGATAATTCCGTGTCCGACTTTTGGACAGCGGCCTCAGCTGATTCCAGCTTCGACTGGATTTCGTTTATTTCTTTTTGCTTTGCCGCTTTGATTCCCTCAATCTCGGATTCGTGCTTATCCTTTGAGTCGCGCAATCCTTCCAACTCCCTAGTTGTCGACTCCAGCGTAACAACCATGCTCTCCGTCGATTCGCGTGCAACTGTCAAATCACGCTTCAGATTTTCCACTTCTGTATTCAACTTTTCAATTTCTTCCTGTTTCTCCTGTATCTCCGACTCCAGACGCGGTATCTCGTTGTCGAAGGAGAAAAAGTCTTCCGACTCCTCTGCAGCCGCCGATTCCGTGGACTTTTTCCCGGTTGTAGAAATTTTGTCAGCACCATCTGTCGTCGTAGAGTCGATTGGAGTTTCCTTGCTTTTCTCCTTTTTGAGATTCGTAACCTCGTCCCAAGCTTCTTTAGCCGACTTCTCCGCCTCTGCAAGTTTCTTTTTGCAGTCCTCTCTCTCAGACGTGACCCGTTTTAATTCATCCAACACCATGTCATTTTTCAATGACATTTGGTTCAGATATTCAGTGAATGCTTTCGGATCTCCGATAGAGGTCAGTGGCGTGTTCTCTTTCAAGGCAGATTCGAAGGGCTCGATCAGCAGGACTCTGGCGTGTGCCATCTTATACGCTTTTAGGAGGTCTGAGGATAGATAACATTAGCAAAAAAAAAAAAAAAAACCGAAAAGACAGTCCAAGATATCGCATATAGTAGTTTCAAGAGGATAAAGCCTACCATGATACTTGGATTCGATCTTGTCCAATCGTCGCAGCTTCGCACGCACTTCAATCGGCAATTCCGGGGTCGGTGCAGGCTTTGATTCCGCATTATTCTGCGAAGTCGAGTCCGTCGCTCTTGACTCGGCAGTGGACGACTGCAACTTCTCATTGTCACCCCCATCAGCGGAATCAGGCTGTGACGTAGCAGCGGTAGTGCCAGAAGTAGAAGAGGCGGTCTCCAGTCGCGGAGTCACAGATCTGCTGGATCCCGAAAGCGTATCATCGTCGCCAATCGAGAACTCGAATTCGGTCGGATCAGGCCCCCTGGTTTGCGGGAGTGTGCTGTTGCTTCGTTGTCGCGGCGTTCTCGTCGACGGGCGGCGAGCAGGATTTGTTCGTGCGGCGCTGGCTTCTTGGGCGGATCGTTGTCGCGCTTGCTCTTCAGCAATGCGGGCGTCTATGGCGCCACGGATACGCTGCGCAAGAATAATATAACATTAGTTAGAGCACAAGAGGTGTAGTTGAGATAGGACATTGACGCACCTGGAACATGGCGATGTCTTCTTCCGCGCGCGCGGCTTATCGGACAACTGCTAGGCAGGAAGCAAGTGAAACAGCAGTGGAATTGACAAACATCTAAAACCCAACACCAGCAAGCCAGAGAGAGAGGAGAAAAAAAATCTTAATAACCAAAACAGACAAGAAACGATGGCTGAACGTGGTGCGGAGTAGAAGTGCAGAAGAATCTCCTTTCTGCGAGCTGTCAGCCATAATCCATCGCGAGAGGTGCCAAGACTCTGGGACAGCCAATCATGCGCCGCTTTGTATAGAGCTTTCTTACGTGGTAGTACAGTATAACCAGCTTAAAGATAACAATTGTATACATATATTCACAATTAGGTATTAAATAAATCGATAAGTACAACGACGAGTAGGTAGTAAGAAATCGCAAAACATCAAACGTAATCCGCCATGTCTTTGGTATTTCGTTTCATCGTTCAAATAGGCCAGTATACTTCACAATCTCCGGCCTGAGGTTAAGATATTAGAGTAGGGCAAGCAAGCGCAGAGCATTATACACTGTATCCTTGGCAGCCAATCAGAGTGAGACATTCTTACTTGCTTCCTTTCATCTGCTGTGTTCCGTGGCCAGGATGAAAAGACGCTACTTGGCTAGTGTCAATCACTCAGGTCATATCAGTCAATTAGACGTTGGCCGCTGGTGCTGGAGCATCTAGCGGAGCACGAGTCTCAGCAGGCTTTTCTCGGGCTACCACTGCGTCGGCATCCCTGTCAGTCCAGCGCGTGGCAGTCTCAAAGGCAAGGCCGAGGGCGGTAAAAAAGCTATGCCAATAGTCAGTCAGTACGAGATAGGTAGAAATATTATATTCTTGGTTTAGACCTACAAGGTCAGGAAGACAAAGGCCTCGGCAGCATGCTTAATGGGGACATTGACACCGGAAGGAGGTTGGAAGCGGACATTGCCATAGCTGTAGCTTTGGGCAGCGAAGACGAAGGCGGTCAACCACCTGCTAAGGTTAGCATCCTTTAATAACTCGTCAGGGAGCCATATTGCAACTCACAGATAAGAAAAGATGAAGTCGATAGGCACGACAAACTTGCTGAAGGTTGATCTGAAGGGAGACAGGAACGCGGGCAGGAAGAAAACAACAGAGAGAACGGCAATAACTTCGTTGAAGATGATGTGGACGCCATGATGTTGTTTCTTGACGAAGTACGAATAGATGCCCATGGTGATGACAGCGCTGATCCATTGCATGGTCCTGGTGGCCAGCAGGATGGGCCGAGACAGAGTTTTGGAGACGGGCATGTTGAGACGTATGTTTTTTTTTTTTTATACGTAAACGCTGCGAGGCTAGGCTTGGCTTGCTTTCCCAATGTACAGCGATATATCTGCCGGCTGGTCTTGGTAAGGAGGAAGAGTGAGAAAAAAAGGAAACTTTTTACTAGCCCGGGGAGAGTCAAGGTTATATAACTTCCATGGCCGGAATGCAGGCCATCAACATCATGTCACATTACATCACATCGAGCTTGCCATTTGAGAAGTATGGCTCAAGTACTCATGGAATCATGGCTCAACCACATACTGTCGGCCCCGTGACCCTTCCCCAGATGCGTCATTGAGAAAGGAAAAAAAAGAACTGCCGAATGAAGAAACATGCAGCAAGCATTGATAAGAACCTTAATCATTATTGCTAGATGACTGTATGCTACTAGTACATCGTGCAGCTGTTCTGGCCAGTGCGAGCACGCCATGTAATGCAAGGTGCAGCCCGAGGCCGGGTTGAGTGACGCAAGGCGAGCAGCCCAGCAGCGCTCCAGGTTTCCGTCATTGTTGCGTTCGAAGTGTTGTGGCGACGTCTGTCTGTCTGGTAGGAGGAAAGCCAGGTCCTCGAGGTCATTCCGCGTTCATCCGGTGATGGCAAAGAGAGACCGACGTCTCTTGTTGCTGGAGAGCAAGTTCTGGAACGGCGCGGAAGCAACCTTGGGCAGAATTCGAGCCCAGCATCAGGTGTGGTGGAACAGGTCGCTCGGGTTCAAGCATCTCTTTTTTTTTATTTCTCGTGTCGGATGTTGTTGATGTCAGACGAGCCCAACACGGACTAGCGGTCGATCGGCAGCCACGGCGCCGGCTGATTGGCCAAACACTATTATCAACTCAATTCTCAATTCCGAAGTTTATACACTCAACTACCGAGTGAAGTATTACTACGTATGGTATATAGTCTGTGTGGCTGCAGGCATCAGGTGACAGCGGTCCGGATGCACCGGAATAGGGTCAGCTCACCTGCTAGGTTTTAACCTTAATATCGGTAATATAATAATAAATAATACAACTAATATCACGATCAACCTTGCAGATCGATGCAAGGCCTGAGTCATCAACCAAAGGGCTTGTGGTTTAGGGGTAATTACAATCCTCCTTTCGCATGGGTCATCGCAATATTATTATGTTTATATTTATTATGATTTAATATACCACGGCTGTCCGGAATAGGAGTGGTACTGGGTTCTTCTCAGCAAGTCTATTTTGTTTTTCCCTACTATTCGAGATAAGAAGGAAGGGAGGGTTTAACGGATGGATGAACATATTCAATTTTTTTGTCAACTATAGTAAATACCTTACCGCACAACCCTTCCCTTCCTTGCTTTCCAACTCGAGGAGAAGCTCTCCTTTCATCCCGGAACTAACTGCTTAGCTAGGGATGTGACAGAAGAAGGCTGCTGACTGGTGTGGTCGAAGCGAGTAAATTTACGTGTCTGCGCAGCAAGTATTTTCGCCGGTTGTTGGTGGCATGAATCGAACACGGAAAACATCAATTCGAAAGAGGCCTGAAGCCTACAGCCGCATACACCTAATATACGAGATCTGAGAATAGGGGTGATAGTTACATGTATGGTAATGCTAACACTAACGCTATAGACTGAACAATGCGGAATAAAAATGAAGATTAAAACTAAAGAACTGGTGTATAATGACGAGGAGGTTGCTTATTTCTTCGCCTTCTTACTTCGAGTCCGCGTAGACACTCCACTGCTGCTCGTATCCCTATCGGCATTTCCTTCGCCGTCTGATTTGTCGTCACTGATCTCATCCTCTTGTTTTTTCAATGCTTCATCGGACAGTTCCTGCGCGTCTTCTCTTTGCTCCTCCTCCTCCTCTCGATCTCCGCTAGCTTCTGTTGATAATGAGGCCTGTTGGATAGAATCAAGCACTTTCTTCGCCTCGCTCTCCTCCCCATTCCATGCACCGCAACCACCACACCTCCACCGACCCAACTCATCCAAACTCTTGATCCCCGGTGGGGCCTGGCCATTCACCAGTCTGCAATTTTGGCATATCAACACAACCCTGTTCTTAGGCGACGCTTCATCCTCCCCGAGCAATACGTCCATTAATCGATCGTACCACTTTGGTCCTCCTACGCCAGCTCCTCCCATCTTGTCATATTGAGCTTCCGAAGGAGGGAAGGCGTTTGGTGCAAAGCCTGCTTGCTCGCTATATCCTCTTGAAATGGGAGGCGGTGGTAAAGGTTTGCCGTCAAGGTAGTAGTTATTGTTGTTATTGTTGTTGTTGTGTAGTGGCGATTGTAGCACAGGTGGTGTTCGGGCTGGTGAAAAAGCTTCATTTGGTGGCTGGCGTCGAATATTTGCCGTCGGCGGAGGCGGTATGCCAGTCCTTCCAGAGGTAAAAGCTGCCGTGGGCTGTTGTTGCCCGGCATCTTTGCGTTTCGTGTTCTTTGCGGTCTTCGATTTGCCCGGGGACGGCGAGTCGCAGCCGTATTTGTCAAGTAGTTGTTGAGTAGAGTTGTATTTGGTCGCGACTTTAAGCTTCTCAATCGTTTCGTCGCGCTGCTTATTTAGACTGTCCAAATGGCTTTGCGTTCGTGAGATACGGTATTCGAAGATGCGACTTGCAACGGTGCGGACGATATAAATCCTAGTATTCCGCTGTCAGCCTTCATTTTTCCATGACAATATATGCCAGCCAGAGAGAAGGTGAAAACGTACACGAATGGCCCGCCAATAACAGCTCCATATTCCCAGTATCCCCAATTCTGACGACCCAGCACCAGAACATCAATGGTGCTGTACAGAAGGTATATAAAGACAGAGTAGAGCGTCCACAAAGCCTTGAAGCGACGCGCCTGCTGGCGATAGCCGTCGAGTCGAGTGCTGGTCTGCTTGTGTTTCTCGGATAGAGTGGAAAGCGTCTTCTCGAATGAGGCGGGTGAATTGTCCTCGCCCTGTTGTTGTCGTTGTTGGGGTTAGTTGGTTGTTTATTTGCCTGTTGCACGGATGCATAAAGAGGTATAAACATACCTTCCAGGGCCAGAGTGACACCATAGCAGTAGATGTCTTACCAATATCACATTTTATAACAGATAGCGAGCTGCAGGGCTGTGAATTAATTTGAGGTTCGTCTCCAACTTCCGTTAGCTGCGGAGGCGCACGGACCAGCAGACAAGCCACGCTGATTATCTAATATTTTATACCTCGTTCTCACCTACGTTAACTAGTTAACTGTCTATATGAGTATATCAATAGAAATACATAAAATGCGCAAATACATACGTTAAGCCGAAAGCACGACAAAAACACCCACGCCGTCCATGCATCCACCATTGATGTAGTTAGTTATGCAGATTCTCAACGCCGACAAAAGCATCAAATACAAGCGCGATTAACTGAAATCAATCAAATACTAGCCCTCCTCGGCGCCATGGTCCTCCTCAGTTTCTTCTCCTCAGTCGACTCCTCTGCCACAGGCAGCGTTCCCTCGCTCTTCAGTTTCTCCAAGAATTTCTTCCCGTACGCATACCCGACCTCATAAATCTCATCAAATCGACCAAACTCCAGCGTGCCATATGGATCAATAGGCGGGCGCATATACAGACATCCCGGCATAATCTTCGCGCGCTCCAGACTGTCCACAGACGACACGTAAGCGAGTCGGGCCTGAATCTCGCTGAGCGTGATAGGGTTCGGGGTTGTCGAGAAAGGGTTCCAGCGATTGGCAAACGTCCAGAACCCAGAAAGCGTGTCGCCATAATCTTGTGGTGTGTTGTCATCTAGGGCACCTACGTCCACGGCGAGAATGATGTCTGCCCCGAGACTCTTCATGTGTGCCACGGTCAGATTGTCAACGTAGCCGCCGTCTAACAGCAGGTTGCCTTCGTCGCATAGAGGCGGTATCAAGCCCGCTAGGGACATCGATGCGCGAACATATCGCCAAACATATCCAGAGGAGTGGAACTCGTTGCGTGACTTGCTGATGTTGGTCGTGTTGCAGTAGAATTCAAGCCAGAAATCCTCGATTTGGCTGTCCCCGAACGTCTTAAAGATACCCCGATTGAACTCATGCCCCGTTGTATATGATACAGCTGGATACGTCACGTCGAGGGCGAAACGCCAGATGCTACCCATTCGACCAGCAAATTTCTTTGCTCGACCATACATGGGAACGACGTCGGCATCTCGCGCATATAGCGCGCCGATGAATGACCCTATAGACGTGCCTCCAACGATGTCTATTGGGATTCCAGCTTCCTCAATCGCCTTGATCACACCAACCTGAGCAATGCCTCGAGCTCCGCCTCCACCAAGAACAAGTCCCACTGATTTGCCGCACAACCGACGCGCCAGTCGGTGGAAATCACCCTTAAAAGGTGTCTGCTGTGAATACAGCGGAGTTTGATGAATGCGACGAGACGTATACTTTTGAATTTCAGCCTGAATAACTTGCACTCGTTGCTTCAGCGCTGTTCCGAAGCGTTTAGTCCGAGGGTTCGTAGGTTCAGTGGTCAGTCGATATGACATCTGGACGTGGTGATGTCCGCCGTTTATCCACATGCGATTCTTCAACCAGCGGCGCGTCAAACCCGGTGGACAGTATCGCTCAGCGTGTAGTAGAACGAGTTCCTTGCGTGCTGTTGTCTTCATGCCAAGTAAGAACCGCTCATATTCACCAATGTTAGGGGAATCTTCTGCAAGTCCGACCAGAAGAATACAATCAGCCTGGGTAATACACGTCTGTGTCCATGGTGCGTTGACGTTGGTGTCGGCGATATACAGCACCATGCCGTACTTTTCTTCGAGATCAGCCAAGTATTGCGCTAGCTTGAGCTTCCCCATCTTGCTAAACGCGTGTCGACCAAGGTGGTTCAAGATAGCTGCCTGGTTCAGAGACGTAACTCCATTCGTTACACCGATCTGGGTAAATGCGTTCAGAAGCCGGTTTCCAAATTCAACCACCGGAACGCCCATTGTTACTGGTAAAATAGCCACGGTGCGCATGTTTATCGTGGATGTAGCCGTATTAGCTGTATTCATGTCGCGAGGGAAATAAGACGTGTCTGCAAGAGGGTTGTATACAATGTCTCGCATACGCTGAGCGATTAATTTCGAGATCTGAATGGTAATGCCAGGATGTTCTTGTGCCAGACTGTTAAATAACGACCGTGGAAACTTTGCCAACTCTGTATCACGGATCGCGTGTAGAGTTGCTGGCCGAGTCGACTCGGTCATTACCTCCAGCTCTCCTACACTCTCGCCTTGACCATACTCTCCGAGCACTCTAATTTTTCCTCCTGAGCCCTCGAGTACCGAGCGGAGACGGCCGTTGAGAACGATATAAATGGCATCACTATCATCCCCTCGGTGATGAATAACTTGGCCAGCAGATACTTGCACCCACTCCAGAGCAAAGTCAATATGCAGAATTAATCGGGGCAGGACGCTGGTCAACCTCTTTGCTAGTGTTAAAAGAACAATAGGATATCGCTCAGCAATGCGCTCGAGGGTTGCGCGTGGAAGGAAACCGACGTAAACGTCTGTTTTGGCGACTACGTCGGTGAAGGAACGATACGAAGCGACAGAGCCCACATACCCCTGCATGCCACCTGGTTTTATCAGGTAGAGTGATTTTCTGGAAAGTTTGCGGCGTTTTGATTCAGGATGAGGAACACGAGATGAGCTAGTAGCGGTCCGTTTCAAGGTTGGAAACGCTTCCTGCTCGTGCTCATGGGAGCTACCAACGATATCATCAACACGATCATTTGCCGGCACGCCTACATCTAGAAAACCATCGATAACGTAATATAAACCCGGATTCCGTTCGCCTTGTTCTACCAAGACAGATCCCTCTGGGAAGGAGACTATTTCGATTTCACTCCGTAGCTCCTCCTTGAGGTTATGCACGGGAGAAGTTCCTCCGGCACTGGTAACAGACATGGACATCAGAGAGTCGGTGTCGGCGTCATCAAACGGATCCATGAAGCCAAATGCATTGTTAAACACCGCTTTCTGTCTCCGAGAGTCGTACGAGACAAGCTTTGGGGACTGCTCTCCAGAGTAGGACTTCCGAAGCGCATCTCGAGTGCTTGATGTCAGACCGATACCTTTCATCATGCATTCGACGACTGATTCTCGAAAAATGCTATCCTCGTCAACAGATTCTCTCCGAGAGAAAGGTGAACTAGCTATATGCACTGTTGGTCCCCTGAATGGCGAGTGCTCCGTCTGAGAAAGAGGGGTTGTGACTTCCGGCGATCTCATTTCATGAGAAGGGGCTCTAGGAGCTAGTTGTGGACGCTTGCCGTAGCGATTGAGATTGATAGTAGACAAAAGATCACCAGGAATAGCACCTGTATTAGATAAGGGTTGATGTGACGAGGAATTATCCCTTGACACGGAGAGTTGTCTTCGCGAGGTAGATATTTTGGCTTGAAGAGCAGCATCTTTTCTCAATGAACTGCTTGACCGGCGTCTGCGGTGCGCTTGAGGATTGTGCAAGGCAATCCCTTTCGAATCGTCGTTTGGGCCGAGTCTTTCTCTCTCCTGTCTAAATTTGTCTTTCAGTCTATCGAGCGCACTGCCTCGAAGGTCGTTAGGCAAGTCATATGCTGTGAATTTGTTCAACTGTTTGTCGATGCTGAGGACCTCTGTATCAAGACCCAGGTACGAATGCGCAGTGGAGAACGTGACCCTCTGTAAGCGAGTCAGAATGACCTGAACAATGTGTGCTGTAGCTCGAGGGTACATCCTTGTGAGGCGTCGAAAGGCACTGGCTGGGATAATGGCAATGGTGGTATCAACCATTGCACGTGCAACAATGTCAGGATGTACCGATTTTGCCCTGCGGATCTTGCGACGGCCCTGTTGTGGTGGTGATTGATCTGCCGTGCTTGTACCGATGTTGTTGCTGTTGTCCTCAACATTTTCTTCCAGATCCAACGGTGGGACGCTGGGCAAAGCCGAAACCCCCAGCCCGTCTGTATTCTCCACAGGGCCCAGTGGATGGTCTGGTGCAAAGCCTGTAGGACTTCCCGGCATAGACGTGGGGAGAAGAGACTTGTCAGAAAGATTTCTGTTGTTATCATCGCTACCTTGGCGCAGATGAACGTCTTCCGTGAAGAGCGTGAGAATTGAGAAGAGAGAGGACATGGATGCCCCATTCTTAACTTCTGTCAATAGCTGGTATCCCTGATTCCCATCTACACGGGTTGTCTCTTCGTCGTCCGTATCTTCCACCACCAGCCCATTCTGTTGGCCAATGTCGTTTCCACGAATGGACTTGACAAAGATTTGCACCAGCCCATCCACAACCAAACAAAATCCCTTTTCCTCCTCCAACAGCAATGTCTCTCCGGCCATCAACTTCCTTGTTTGCATTGTCCGCGTGAGTTCGTGGAAGACAGGCCGTTCGAGATATCCGAATACTTTGATGGCGCTGAGGAATTCGTCTAGGTAATTGGCTAGCCCGGGCTTCGAATCACCTTCTTGTGTGTCGGGAAACAGATCGATCTGCGGTTCTTTACGCTGCGGCTCGGGAGGAAGACGGCTGTACATGTTCAAGTACCGGTAGCGAATGAACCAGATGCCGGTGGATAGGGCGAGCCCAAAGATCAACAAACTGTATAATCGTACATCAGCCTAATGCTTGGATTGAATTTACGGGGAAAGCAACGCACATGGTTGTGAAATTCATGGTGAATGTCAAGCTCATCGAGAACAGCGTGAAGAGCCAGGTCGGGATAGTGATTGTCGCGAAGCCAATCACCCAGAACAGGACGCTGGGGATGGTGTGCAGGAAGAACACCAACAGCTGGCCCAAAGCGCCAGGTACTGCACCCTCTACTGGCGGGGGCACAGCCGGTAGCGTCCGCCAGGCCATAGAGGGGGAGGCAGCACCGACAGCGGAGAGTGATGGCGGAGGGACAAACGGCGATACGGAGAGACCAGCCCGCGGCACAGCAAAAATGGCAGAAGCGGCTGCTTCTGTTGCTGCTGCTTCAGCTTCAGCTCCAGCTTCAGCGGCTTGAGCGGCAGTCTCGTCGTCGTCTGGCGATGCCATGATGATGGCCGCCGGCTCGTTTCCCGGATTGTCGCCCAATATCACCACGGTGGGGGGAGTATCCACTCGAGCGTGGCTGGCCCGTAGATAAGCACGAAGGAGGGATTATTGCACGGCGCCGTCACAATTCGTTAGTGAAAGGATCAATGCTTGACTGGCTTCCCAGAGCAAGCGCTGACCGTGGAAAAGCGCAGACGACGTTTTGCTGAACGAGAAGGCGGGCGGAGACGCAGCCAGCCCTGATTGGCCGAGGCTTAGCCGCGGTGCAACGGTTCGTCACTTGCTGCGACTCGTGCTGGCAGCTCCCGCTGTGATTGACTCTTGCTGCTGTCTCTGCTTGTCTACTATGCCTATACTAGCATGGCTATTAGTATCATCGTTGGATTACTTCGGCTTGTCGACGATTGATGAAAGCTGTGACAACAAGTCAGCCACAAGATATTTTATTTCATATCAAGCACACAGAACGACGTCATTGCACAGGCAAACATGCCGCTATCCACGGCTGGAAAGAGCTGTCTATCTGGTGCGCTTGGAATTAAATTTGCGTGTCCAAACTTTATCTTTTCTACACATTGCGATTTGCGTCCTCGTCATGTGATTGCATCGTGCCCTAAGTCTGCCCTCCTCGTGGCCATCGGACTAAGAGATTCTCGAGCACTATGAGTATCAACTGCACTCCCTATTCCTAACATCCAAGTCCATTTCTCGCCCCCATAAAGTACAGAATATCAGAGAAGCTCTTCTTGAAATGTCGCTCCTACGTCGACCGATCAACCGTTTGCACCAAACTGTATCATGGAATGCCGCATATGAAAACCCTTCGAAGCTATGGTCGTTGTGACCTGGATGTAGCCCGTAGTGGTAATGAAGACGCCGACACGCAGAATACTAGTAAAATGCATGGTGAATTTCAGCCGGAAATTCAGTTCAGCTCAGTGCGTATCCGAAGCAAAGACACTATTCACCAGGCGTATTCAAGACATATACCGAGTCACTGAGTAGACTATACCGCAAGGCCAAACAGAACTCTTCCCGAGGTTCGATACTTTTCACGGCCGTAGATCCTTCAGCGCATATAACCTCTGTGCAGGCGGCTCTACCCTGCAACCGGCCCCCATCTGGGTCAGTGTGACAACAAAATACAACAATCCCCTCATCACTGAATTATACGGCGTTATTGGCAATGACGCACATTTCGTCCACACACGGGCGTTGGGCAACTCCAGCTGCTGTTTGTTGTTGAGTTAAAGTGTCAACCAAAGCGGGGAAGAAAGAGGTGGAGCACGAGCTATCCAGAATAGGCAAGGTGTCATGGCCGAGATCACGTGCCAATCCTCCAAATCGAAAGCGCTAGCCAGTTAGCTTCATCTTGCTTCACTGACACATGCGAGCTGCGTGCTGGACTGCCTCGTCCACGTTCTGAACGGAGTCCGGGAACGAGAAAACCATGGAGAAGGTAGACACGCTCATGCTGCCGCTCCGTCCGCAGCAGAGTAAGGGCACCAAGAAAGACAACTTGCCCATTCGCATAGCTCAGATCAATGCCCAGCGCGGGTCCTTTCGCAACATCACCGAACAAAGCTTGCAGGAAGAAATACAGGCGCAGAAGGAAAAGGGTAAGGGCAAGGATGTTGAGGGAGGAGAGGAGATCCAAAAAAATGCAGCGGAGCTCGATGTGACGGAGCGCCATGAGCTGCTGTATAAGCGACGGGCAGAAATCATTCAATTCGCAGCGTAAGCTTCCATTATCTACTGGCTATTGGCTTATTTAGTCGAGTGTAGACTAAGATGTCAAATTTCTCACCAGTCAGGCACATATGGAAACTCAATTCGCTTTAGATTTTATATCTCTGCTTTTGTCCAAACATGCGCCACGCCAAGCGGAGACGAGTATCTCTCCATACCTCAAACAAAATGTCCCGATGGGCTCACTGAATGTCGATGTCGTCAAATCAACCCAGAGGTCTGAATCGATACAGAGGGATTCACTTAATGTGGCTCGCGGATGGAGAATGGAGAGTTTCAATGCTGCAGCAAGTAAATTACTGAAAGCTGCGTCGCGACTAGAGAACGAAGTCGCCGCCGAAACAAAATATTGGGACGAGGTTCTGTCTATCAGAGACAAGGGGTGGAAAGTGTGCAGGCTGCCAAGAGAAAGACAAGTGCTTGGTGTGCAATATGGATTTATGGAAGGTTTGTTTGTTAGGATTCTGGGAATGGTTAAGTTGACTATTTTATTGACTGGTTACGATATGTATAGCTGCGCCAACTTTCCGCGACCGCGGTCTAGCATCGCTACGGCGTGCGGACGATGGTACACTGGTCTTGGACAAGGGACTGGTACCTTCACGAGCAAGAGCAGTTCGGGTTCAAGTCAGAAAACAAGGCAAGATCACAGGAAGCTCAAGCTTGTCACGTTTCGTGGCCGCTGCCGTTACCGATGATTCAGTTGAGAAGACGATTTTGCAGTCGCGTGACACTTTGTTCGAAGAAGAATTATTCCATGAACTTACTCGAGAGGCACGAGTGCTTGTTAGCTCTGGCGTCACAGCGCACAAGGACCTGATTGAGTTTGAATACGAAACGGATGAACAGATTCTTCTTGACCTAGTGGATGTGGAGAACATAAATGAAAATGAGACAACGGACCCGATGGTTAGCACTCCACTGAATGATACTGTAGCCGAAGCCATTGCGCATGCTCTCCGGATTCTTCTATCATATGCACATCGCCAGAATTTACGCCGCCGAACTCAACTCCCTGCACCTCTCACAAACCAGAAACGGCCTACCCCAGAATATCAACTTCTCCGACCTATTCTCACCTACATGAATCACGACAGAAGTTTCAAAACTCTACAATCTTTCTTATATGACATCTATCAAGTCTTCCATTCCGCCGGCCTCCCCTCCAAATACACATATTCAAAATTCTCATCCCTGCACTTCAAAGGCCCAGACCAAGCCTCGGGAGTTGTGGACACATTACTTGACCAGTTCATGGAGCCACTGGAGTCTCAATTTTCAGGGTCCATGGCCAACCTAACTAGCACCTTTAACATCAAAATTCACACCAGCATACCAGATACACCATCTCGTCAAATGGCCCTCGGGACAGACTATCAGCTCACCATCCGTCTCCCCAATTTCCCTTATACACAACCGCCGTCGCGGATTGGTCTCAAAGACGAGGTCGAACAGTTGCTATTGCGACTCTTTACTCTCGATCTGATTACATACATCTCATCAACCTCGTCTCAAAACGCTTCCAAGGCAGCATCGACAGCGAGCAAAGATGAAGTATCACTGTCGGACAAAAACAATAACAACAAAGGGCCATTGATTTGGCAATCACCGTTTCCGCATCATGGCGAGCTCGAGGGCGTGACGCAAGATGGCCAACAACGTGTTAAACAATTAGCCATCGATCTGAGCCGTGACGCGTTGAGCCTACGCATGACGTCCTGCAAGAAGGCAGAGAACGACAATCAAACCAGTATTAATGCCGATGTTGAAGGTATTAAAACCGAGGACCGGGAAGACATGGAGGGCGGTGATGACTTTGGTGATGATTACGAACAGGATAACGAATCGGAATATATCACTGGTGCTGGAGGGTTGAAATTTACCCGCCCACCTCGCAGGCTGACTGGTGGGAAAGTCGTTTATGTCTGGAAGCGCGGTGTTCAGGATGATACGAAGTCGAAGAAGACATTAGCAGAGGTGATCGAAGAGATTTCAATATAACTAGAAATCAAGCCCACGGCCATGCCCTGTTCATTCATTAATGATATATAGACGATAAAGAAAAGACCCATTTCAAAGAGACGCCGACTAAAGTTCCAAGTAATTAATGTGACCAATTTCCATAAATTAATATAAATGATACCAACGCTGAAAAATTCCGACATTGAAAATTTGCGCCTTCAAGGTGGGATATATATATGCCCATGCTTATAGTCATTTATTGTGTGCCCCTTAGATGATCATCCTCTAATTCAAACATCTCATCTAACAGCTGCACTGTTTCAGGCGGACTAGCTATCCAGGCTGTTGTGCATGCCGTTCTGGCCTGATATTCGACCACCATCAGCCTTTGCAAGAACAGCGAGAAAAATGGGAGTAAATATACCTTGAAATCATTCGCACCCGCTGACAAGAATTGATCGCCTACATGCAATGTCATCGATCGACCAATCCCGCCGAAATATCGCTGGCATGCCCGAACGCCCCACGACTTGTCGCCAATGTCGATGAAGACGTCGTTTCCACCTGAGATAGTGGTTAATAGGGATATTAAAATACAAAAGCAAAAAGCGGAGACAAACCATTAAAAGCGCAAAATGGCAGCTTTTTGCCGACCTCACTACGCTCCACCATGCTCTGAGCCACCAACACAGTTTCCTCGAGTTGCTCGCGATGCATCTTCTGGCCCTTGAGAGGATATATGCCCACGGCGCGTTCCTTTCGCAATACAGTAGCCGGCAAATTCAGATTACTCATGCACTCGCGCAAGGACGCCTCGGCGACATCGAGCAAGTTGGTAATATCGTCATCATTCCAGGTATACATCTCGTCGAGCATCCATTCAGAGCGCGGCACGGAGGACAGCCTATTGGGTGCGGACTGGTCGTAACGGAAGAGGAAATTGCTTTCCCCGCCCATGACGATGAGGCCATTCTTTTGTTCGGCTGTCAGAGTCCCGTCGTGCCACACTGCATCAAGAAGACCCTTCAACCGCACATAGTAGTGATGTGGCTTTGTGTATCCTGCCGCCGTGACAATGCCCACTTTCTTACCCAGCTGCAGCAGACGCAGTAAGCGTGGGATCACAGGGTTTTCTTCTACCAGGCAGCAGCCATCTTCGTACAAGGTGACGTCTCCGTCGAAGGTGATGAGCCGTATTTCGCTGCTCCGCACTAGACCCATTAGCTGCGCCGTGTTGAGGGTTAGGCGGATGTCATTGAAAGACGGGGCCACGAAGCGCCGACGGCTGATTTGGCGTCGCTGATCCTGGTAAATGAATGCATCCTCTAGTAAAAGAGGGGTGAAGAATTGGCCAACTGCCGGAACGAGCAGTTTTAGCTTGGATTTGCCGGGTCGATTGCTTTCGTGGTGGTCAACTGGGTAGTAGATGTTGTCAGCGTCGCGGAAATTCCCATAGCAAAGTGTAGCCTACTGTGATCGTTGATGAGAAGCTCGACATCTCGCATAATCTCTGCATATCGTTTCTGAGTGGCCGTGGCCACGGCGGCCAGTTTGAGGCTCTCCTCATGGAAGACCACGGTTGGCTGAGAGTGCAGTACAAATGGGACTGCTAGCAAGCCCTGGAAAAAAAAGTTAATTGATTATCCAGGCAGAAAAATTATCATCTTTGTTTGTTTATCTTTTCGTTGCTCTTCTTTTTTTTTTTTTTCCCTCAAACACCAGGCAACTAGATAATGCATGCATACCTTGATCCATTCAATCTAGAATACTCCGCACGAGTTTAGTCAGCAAGCCAACAAGTCACTCACTAACCAACTAGTTACTAGCTGGGATGTAAATCAATGTACCAATTGGTCCCGACGGTGAGTCTAGAAGACATGTAGGCAGTTAGTCGATGCGCTTGATATGCAGCTTAATCACGACCGTCACGCCAAAGATGAGACCAACCTTAAGAGCATCTAGGACATGACGTGCGGGTCAGCAAAGAAGCAAGCAGGCATCAGCATAAGGCAGCCCACTTACATTCAACACGATATCTGGTGGTCATTGTTTCTTTGCTGTTTGTTTTCTTGCTGGGGAAGCGAAGGGGTGACAAAAGTTGATGCCTAGCAGAGCCCCAGGTGTCGATCACTCGGAGTTGGCCTGAATCCCGAGGCGGATCGTCACGTGCCCGCGCAGCGCAAAAAAGCAACGCATTTTCACACTTTTGCAGCGTTTTTAAGAAAAGAACTCCGTAACTCTTTACTCTATTCTGCTAGTATGCTACCTAGGTAGGGCATGGGCCTGGATGACTCACTGAGTCACAGCATAGCCTCGCTCTTTGAAATTAAAGCTGACTCAATATTACTCAGAACTTGCCTGACTGTGGCCTGCCTGAAATATTACTTACTGATGCTTAGCAAGGAATGAAGCTTATGGTCTCGTAGACTGCATAGCGACGTGGTAACTCCCAACTAGTCGCATGGCGGATGATATCATGATATGCTCCGAAAAGCTAATTCAATTTTTTTTTCTTTCATGTACAGCAAGTCAATGTCGGTTTTTCTGTAGATTCACGCAGTCTAGACTGTTTAGTGTTTTTGGTGGGATTGTGCCATTGGCCGATAGGCAAATATACTACTTCTCGTCGGAGTTCACCCGCAGTCCGACCACCCTATATGCTCGAGGCTCATCTCAGGCAAACAAGTAAACAAATATAAAAACTGAAAGTTCTGTGGTGCATTAGTTCTTTGTATCTGCTCTATAAATTGAGCCAGTTTCCCATCTCAGTCGCCTTGGTGCTGTCCAAAACTACATCACAGATCAATCAATCAATAGCCCTAGCCCTAAGACAGCCTCGGAAACCAAGCCTCTACTCTGATCACTCATAACGCTTCTCAAAGCCTGGTCTTACCTCAGAGCCTATTTTCTTGTTGTTTCAATACAAAGGTCTACTTTTTGCCTCTGTTGCCTCGTTCCTCTTTCACAATAAAGCTGGCTCCAGCAGCAGCAGCAACAACCACAACAACAATGTCCCAATCACAAGGAATGTCCCTTTCAACCCCTTTCGACACAGGTTCTTTATACAGACCACAAACAAACGACACAGCCATGGACTCCTCCGCGAACTCCATCTACTCTGAAAAAGCCGCCCTCCTGTATCCCTCCGAGGACGGCTCGCACCCAGGGTTCGCCCCGGAACAAACTCTTTCTCGCGGTCTGCAAGTCCCCTCCAAAACCTACCGTCTCACATCTGGTTTCGAATACCCCACTGTACTATCAAAATACAACGTGTCTCAAGAAGACTGGACGCAATTCACACGCGAAATCACAGAGAGCGCAAAAATGTCGTCGCAACAATGGAGGACCGTGATAGGCCTGGGCATTGGCACCATGGCTATCGGCGGTATAATGGTTGGATTCTTCGGTGCCATACCAGCTATGATGGTAGCGAAACGGAAACGCGCGAACAATGAGAGTCGGAACTTGGCTGCCGCAATGGGTGTATCGCCGTCATTATCATCATCAGCAAAAGGAACAGAAGAGCGAGATGGTGAAGATGAACGTGAATCTTCGCTTGCTTTTCAGATCAATCAGTGGAACGAGACTTTCTTCAAACCTCGCGGCTTGCTTATTCGCATCGACATGCCGTATGATGATGCGGCGTTGGAGGATAAACTAGATGTCAGCGTCAATAGTTCGCCGAACTCATCCCGGAAGGGTTCCGTGTCGTCGATAGAAAAGGAAGACCGTGAGAAGGCCAGGTGGAAGGCTCGCGAGCGATGCCGAATTGTTATCATTCCAACGAATCGGGACACTGATACTTTGAGCCAGGCGACAACTTTGGCGTCAGAAAGCCCATATATCCCCGCTGTTTACGAATGATTCGGAAGTTGGATTTCAAGTTCAAGCTCTTTTCTTTCTTGTCGATATTTCTTAAAAAAAATTTATTATCTTCTCTTTTGTCTCCTTCCATTAGGCCGCATTCACAGAACATATCAATTGACGGACTGACAACATATTCGTTACTCAGATACTAAGTTCAGGAATTTTATCACCTTTTTGCACATATCTATACATACCAAACATACCTATGTACACAAATACTTGCTATATCTACATAAGATGTACCCAGGTAGACGCCGCTTATAATTTCCCCTTATTTGCCAACCCCGGCGCAAAACTGGTGCCCTCGCCACGCCCAATACTCTCAACAATGCGATCCACAATTTCAATGAGCCATATACTACCTTCATCAGACGCCAGCCACTGGCCACCTTCAACCTCTTCTCCCTTCCCGGCTGTGGCACTACCGTCTTGAAACGCTTTTCTTAACCCAAATACATGCGATATCACCTGCGGACCAACACCCGTTTGAGCACGGAGACACGCCACAGCAATGATAGACGTCAGAACTCGACCGACTGTAGCTGATACGACTGGTGCTCCTTGCGTAGACGCGGGATCAGCAAATAAATTCCCATACTCGCTCTCGATGATGTGAACCGGTAAATCCGGATGTGACAGCGCGAGCTTCTGCTGTAGTTTGTACTCGAAGGGGTAGTAGATGGATTTCCAGAGCGATTGGCCTCTGTTCAGGATATCTGGCACTACTTCAGGCCTGAGATTGCGGCGTGGCTGGGTGGCCAGCGCGTCTTGGATGGAGGTCGGTAGGCCAGCGCGAAATTCACCTAGGCAATTTATTGTTCGTGGGATCTTTGGTTCTCATGATTTAGTATACTTGAAACGGAGTGAGAAGAATTACGACGACAGAATTATCTATACTGGTAGGAAAAGGGGAGCAAACCTACACCATTAAATCCGATACACTTCAGGCCGATTTCTCTTACCAACTCAGCCAGATAGACAGTCTCATCTACAGACTTTTCGTGTGAAACAAGTTGGTGCAATTGCAGCAATGATTCGGGTGAATTCATGGTCATTGTAGCCGCGGTCTGCCGGGTCCAACGTCAGTCTCAATGTTTGTACAAAAGGCTGTACATGTCTTCCACTCATACATCAAGAAAATAGAACTTACAGCAGCGGCAAACCACGCCCTTAGCCCGACATTCCGTGGCTCTGCTTCTTTCGCTATACCTGCATATACGGCGCTTATCTGTGCTGGAGCCGGAATCGTGCCGGGGCGCGCATACGGAGAGTTGATAAGAGCTTTGAGGGCAGGAGATAGCTTCGACATTGTGTTCTTGCGTTATCTATGCGATGCGATAAATGAATTGAATTGATCGCTTTTATACGATAGGGCGTATGATCAGAGATGATTTATTTAAATCTACCCTCGGCTTGGAGAGACGTCGTGGGCGGTGAAGGGTTCGGGTCTAATTCTGGGGCCGACTAACGGCAGTTTTTTGGTGGATAAAAAGGAAGGTGCCGGAGCACGATTAGACTGGCTCTCACGGCATGAATGTGATCTGATTAGTTATCTAGAGCAATCTATAGTTAAATATTAGAATCAGCGTAGAGATCAATTGCTCAGCAAATTAGAGTAATAGTGAGATGAGGCTATCTATTTCCTAGAGTAGCAAGCATCAGCTTCCTACTTAGAGGTGATGGTTCTCTAAGGCTTGTGATCACAAGGAAAGTGTGAATCGTATATAAATGATGAGTTAGTTACTTGGACTCTGGGTTTTTGTTTTTGAAGGGAAAAAAAAACAAAACAAAACAAAACAAAAAAAGGCCGCAAAACTCACCTCTATCTACAAAAACAAAATTTGGACTCACGGGGAATCGAACCCCGGACCCCCCGCATGCAAAGCGGGTATTATACCACTAAACCATAAGCCCGAACGATTTACGTAAGCGTAATCTGAATGACTTATCAGGCCTCCAATTATCCGAGGATTGGAAAAAAAAAAATGGACTCACGGGGAATTGAACCCCGGACCCCCCGCATGCAAAGCGGGTATTATACCACTAAACCATAAGCCCAGGATAGTTGCCTAAATGAGTACCGCTCTGGCTTATCCTCTTCCGGTAGCTGATGCAGACCTTTGTAAATTCTTTGATGAGTTTTTCAAGTAACGGCTCCTCTCTTCATTAACACCTTCAATCCTTCTGCCACATAATCTATCGGCTGTTATTTGTGATAGAACACCAAGGATCTGTCCTATGCCCGCGCTACTGGGATAGCTTTTTAGAAAAACGTCTGTTTGTGGGAAGCTCTTCAACTTTTCGTAGAACATGTTCGCTTTAAGACCCTTTCGCGCCGCGCAGTTTTTCTTTGAATGAGCCCTATAGGGTTTTGTTTTTGCGCTGACATTGACACACGTCGCAGAACGCAGAGTAAGAGCACTCTCCTATTCAATAGGGCACGATCTCTTCAAAGCGACTTAAGTCCCTTTCTGTGCGGCAGACCTTCATGAAGAGGCAAGGCTCCAAAGCAGTGTGAATATTTCAATTGCCATCCTCTCGGTTCCTCTTTTCCTTCGCTATATATACGAAGTTTGTGGAATATCGCTGATTGGGTAGCGAGATAGTGTGAATGAATGCCTTGGGTCTGCGATAATATTGCTGCATGTTCAAACGCCTTGGTGAACATCGAGGTAACTCTGGCAGGATTTGACCATAGAGTTATCAAGGATTTGTGGCGTTCTGATATAAACCCGTTAAATAAAATCCACTTTCGTTTCCACCACCCTTCCACCACAGAGTTGAGGTTACCAAAGTAGAGTATAAAAACAAAGTTGTTCAACTCGGAGTCCACATGTGGAACGAGTGACTCTTTTCTCTACCCACGAGGATAGCTCTTGGCTTGATTCTTTGAATCGGGACCGTATTGCGCTTGTGTATAATGGAAATGATCTCTGGAGATTCTTGTTGTCATTGCAGGGTGTGATATCGTGCGTCCCAATACCAGATGAGTGAGTTGTTTTCAGTAAACCCGCTTGCTGTGAGACTCCAGGGAATAGAATTCTTTTTTCTTTCGTAGTCAGTTTCTAGTATTTCTGGTTAATAATGATTCCTATTCGCGCCTGTGGGTTACCCAGACGCATAATCCAGCTCTTGTGTGAACTCACCTTTCCAGGTTGACAACTCGTGGGAGTAGCCGCCCAAGTTCTCATCGCTTCCCACAGGCACATTTGCCTCCAACCTTAAACGACCTCTAACTATTTTCTTCAGTTTTCGATGTACTCTTCCCAGTGGACAAGGTATTTGTGTGGATCCTATTTCAAGTAGGACGTATCAACCAGTCTAGTAGCCGCTCTGAATTCTGGCCGCTCCCTGATTTCAGGGTCTGATGAGTTGCCAACTTCAATTGTGTAAGTACGATGTAGGTGCATCTTGACACCTATTCTTTGGTAAAGCGGACTAAGAGCATTTAGCCATAGCCCCTGGAATGTTGGTTTGGGGGTTTTGTAAAGGCTGTGCGAAAAGATAGCGCTAGTAGAGACTAGATCAATATAGCTTCGACCATATAGAATACAGAGGAAATCTCTCTCTCTGCAGTTCTATAAGCTGTCAAGCAAATCCGCAAGTGAATTTCATATTAGAAGCATCATCCTCGTTCGAGGACGTCTTGTTTCCAGAACGATGAGAAGGGATCTAACGATGCGTTGAAGAGGGGCAGGGGTTGGAGAGGTTGAAGAGGTTGGAAAGAGAGGAGAGAGAGAAGAATGGACTTCTGCCTAGGTAATTTGAAGAGAGAGGGAGGACAAAGAACCGCTATATAGAAGAAGACGGAGATTCCCGGTTACGGTTGCAATAATAATATGACGGTTACCAACTCGGGGAAAATAAGACACGTATTATGCTTTTTAGCTTGGGAATATTATTATTTTATAAAGATTAAAAGATGAAATGAGCTTGCCCACGCTGCACTGTTTATGAATTATCTCCGTGATGGTGCTGTTCCTGATTCTACTTTGAGTCTTTGACTGATGAGGGCATAGATCTACGGAAAGCAGACACAAAGGAAAAAGAATCAAAATATGCGCCGCTCATGCCCTGTATGAGGGAGTCTATACTCAGTGAGGCACTGCTTGGGGTTATTCCCTAATTTCTCGAATACCGATGGGTCGAAGCCGTTAACAATCTATTCATAGAGAGAGGGAGATATATATATATGCATACCTAGGTACTTAATTTCGACTTATTTTTGTCAGAAACTTCGGTTGGTGACCGTCGCGTCCAGCGCTGATAATAGCGAGTGGTTTTATGGAAAGCAGACTGTTGTAGGAATAAACCGGTTGCTTTTATTATTACTTGATTCTTCTAATAAAGTAACCACCGTCTCAAGCCAAGATTCTTCGAAGACATTTTTTTGCTTTTGACATCAGCTAGCTCGCTTTCTGCCGTTTCTGCTCTCTTGCCGCCTCCCGAATGGGAAGCCACCTATCCCTAATGCGATATAGCCCCGGGGCCCTGCAGTCCCCGCACTAGTCTGTGTTCGGACTAGTGATGCCTCAATTCAGGCAGGTCGAATCTGCACCAAACGGAGACTTCCAAGTATCTTGCGACAATTACTCCATTGTTAAATCATAAATATCGGATTCTTGCAAGCCTAGTCAATTGAAATCTTCTGGACTACAAAAGCAGACGTGTTACTCCGACCCCGTGCTCGCAGTCCGGAGTAACTGTCGTCGCTGCCCTCTTGTCGTCATACTTGCTGTGACGTACTAAGCTCCCGCCTCCAATTTCTCTCACCGGAATTTTCCCCCACCAGACCACCCATTTTTCCCTTTCTGAACCCATTTTCACCTCCATCCAATTCAAAGACTGCTTACCATTCTATCGGAAGGTCTGGAGAGACAGGCCGTCGCGTTTCCGGCACGATGAGTTCAACAACTTCCATCAAACAACCCGTCAACCCATTGAAGAAACGCCGCATTGCCGTTTTGACCTCCGGCGGCGATGCCCCCGGTATGAACGGCGCTGTCCGCGCCGTCGTGCGGATGGCTATCCATAGCGGATGTGAATCGTTTGTCGTACATGAAGGCTATGAGGGATTGGTTGCCGGCGGAGATTTAATCAAGCAGATGCACTGGGAGGATGTACGCGGCTGGCTATCACGCGGAGGCACGTTAATCGGATCTGCTCGCAGCGCCAGATTCCGTGAGCGTGACGGTCGTCTGCAGGCTGCAAAGAACATGGTTCTCAAGGGCATCGATGCTCTAGTTGTCTGCGGAGGAGACGGCAGTCTGACAGGTGCCGATCTCTTCCGCTCGGAATGGCCGAGTCTGCTCCAGGAGCTTGTTAAAAAGGGCCAATTGACAGAAGACCAGGTTCTGCCATACACAACATTGAACATCGTGGGCTTGGTAGGCTCCATTGACAACGACATGTCCGGCACAGACGCAACTATCGGCTGCTACTCTTCTCTTACTCGGATCTGTGATGCCGTTGACGATGTCTTCGACACGGCCGCATCCCACCAGCGAGGGTTCGTCATTGAGGTCATGGGAAGACACTGCGGTTGGCTCGCGCTCATGTCCGCCATCAGCACAGGCGCCGACTGGCTTTTTATTCCAGAGATGCCGCCGCGTGATGGCTGGGAAGAGGACATGTGTACTGTTATTACCAAGGTGGGTTTGCTTTTCTCTGTCATAAACAGCTCTACATGATTATCTTCTAATCCCAACTAGAACCGTGAACGAGGTAAGCGACGAACAATCGTCATCGTTGCCGAAGGTGCCCAGGACCGCCATCTCAACAAGATCTCTTCCACCGCAGTGAAGGATCTTCTCAGCACTAGACTAGGGCTCGATACTCGAGTGACTGTCCTTGGACACACACAACGTGGCGGTGCTGCCTGTGCTTACGACCGGTGGTTGTCTACGCTTCAAGGCGTAGAGGCCGTTAAGGCTGTACTCGATGTCAAGCCAGACTCTCCGTCTCCAGTGATCGTGATTCGTGAAAACAAGATTGAGAGGATGCCGCTCATGGATGCGGTCCAGCAGACCAAGGATGTTACTGCTCGTATTCACGCCAAGGAATTCGATCAAGCGATGGATATGCGTGACTCCGAGTTCAAGGAATATTATAGTGCATACATGAACACCACCACGGTAGACCATCCCAAGTTACTGCTTCCGGCAGAAAAACGAATGCGCATTGCCATCGTTCATGTTGGCGCTCCCGCTGGTGGCATGAACCCAGCAACGCGGGCAGCCGTTGGCTATTGCTTGACTCGCGGTCACACTCCTATTGCCATTCACAACGGCTTTCCTGGCCTTTGCCGCCATCACAACGACACGCCCATCAGCTCAGTGCGCCAGGTGGAGTGGCTAGAATCGGATAACTGGGTCAATGAGGGAGGTTCTGAAATTGGAACTAACAGAGGACTACCGGGCGACGACCTCGAGGCCACGGCTAGAGCATTTGAAAAATACAAGTTTGGTGCGCTCTTCATTGTCGGTGGATTTGAAGCGTTCACTGCAGCTAGTCAGCTACGAAAGGGCAGAGAATTCTACTCGGCATTCAAAATCCCGACTGTCGTGTTACCAGCAACAATTTCCAATAACGTTCCTGGCACAGAATATTCGCTTGGTAGCGACACCTGTCTCAATACACTGATTGATTTCTGTGATGCCATTCGGCAATCGGCATCGTCCTCTCGGCGGCGGGTTTTCGTTGTTGAAACCCAGGGCGGAAGATCTGGATACATAGCAACCACGGCCGGTCTTTCCATTGGTGCCGCGGCTGTGTACATTCCTGAAGAAGGTATCAACATCAAGATGCTAGCGAGAGATATCGAATTCCTCCGAGCCAACTTTGCATCCGATCGCGGAGCGAATCGCGCCGGTAAGATCATCCTACGCAACGAAACCGCCTCGCAAACCTACACGACACAGGTGATTGCGGATATGATTAAGGAAGAGGCCGGTGGTCGCTTCGAATCTCGTGCGGCTGTTCCAGGCCACTTCCAGCAGGGAGGCAAGCCGTCGCCAATGGACCGCGTGCGTGCTCTACGGATGGCAATCAAATGCATGCAACATTTGGAGTCTTTTGTAGGCAAGTCGCCAGACGAAATTGCCCAGGATGAATTCTCATCCTCGGTGATTGGCGTCAAGGGCTCGCAGGTGCTGTTCTCCCCCATGGGTGGACCGGGCGGTCTCGAATTCACAGATACCGACTGGGATAAACGCCGCCCGAAGAACGAGTTCTGGCTCGAATTGCAGGGACTGGTCGATATTCTTAGTGGGCGCTCTCATAAATACTCGACCCTGGTTGAGACCAATAACCCCCGAGAGAACTGGGGCTGTTTTGAAACTACGTGAGACCATTAAAATAGATAGAAAAACCTAACCAAGGCTAGTACTATGCTTGCTTTCAGCTATTTGTATATTCTTCTTTCGTTCTACGAGAATTAGGACTGATGACAATGACAACGACAACGAATTCAACTGGCTTCTTCTATGGTTATTAGTTACGGGCCGCATTCAAGTAGTCATTGGCTCGTAGTCTGTCAAGTCCGTACAACTGCACTCATTTCAATTGCACCAGCCCCCTGAGTAGAGCCTCGATATAGATATGAATGGGCACTATTATCTTACCCTGCAACACCATGTACATGTACGGAATATTTAGCTGACCCCCGGCGCGCAGCGAGGACTCAGAAATCACCCTAGAAAGATCACTCGTGATCCCATATGTCTAGCGTCCAAACATCAGGTAAATGTTTACTATGTATATTGTGTATACTGCTAGTTTAAAAATCAATTAACAACAGTTCGCAAGCCTTTAGAATAGGTGGCTTGCACTTGCAGCCTTAGGTCAACACCTTTCTCCCTCCAAGTCAAACAGATACATAGCAGGGGGGAACTTCTGGGGAGGAAACAATGTTAGGCCAATTTACATAGCCTTCTCCGAGTACAATCTGCCGTGCCGTCCTACAACTAGCTCGAGGGCGTCGATGTATCCTGGGAGAACGATTTTTGCAGCGACGTGCAATACCTTTCTGCCGTCTTTTCAGTAGCTAAAATTGTAACCCAGAACCCAGTGACTTGGACTTCCGGCGGCTTGTCAACCATCACTGCGTCGGCTAGCTCCTCGACCTCGTCATCGTCATCATCAACATCCACCACCGCAACCACGACATCTTCTCCTCCGACTACCTCGGCGTCGGCCACAACGTCTGCCACGATACCCTCAGCTGCCCCGTTGTCATCAGGTCTAAGCACAACGCAACAGCCGGCATAGCTGTCGGAGTACTCGTCAGTGTTCTTGGACTTTTGGCTATAGGCGTATTCTTTTCCTGGCGCCGAGGGAAAATCGGGTGCAAATCGTTCCCTCAGTCGTCATCACGATTGCAAGCCGAGGCTAAGTCCCGTATACTGGATTCAAACAATTCTCTATCACAGACGCACGGGCACCTGGCTGATTTGCCGGCAGATTCAGTAGTTCACGAATTGAACGAGTGATGCCTATACGTCCCGGGACGTACAAAACATGAAGATAGATGCAAATAGGATAATCGTGCGTGCTTTGAGTTATATGTAGAACCTAATTTAGTGCATAATGCTAACAATGCTGTTTACAATAGTGGATACATTCGGTAAGGTAATTAATGCTTCTTATGCAGTAATTACACTTATACCCAAAACACTGAGCTGCTCCGAGGTTGACTTCGATACCCGTACCTAATGACATTGCTGGCATTTTCAGATCTGAGTTCAGCAATTTATACCACCTCAGCTTATTACTCTATGCAATTAAGAGCGGCAAGAAAGGCATCCTCATGGAAAACTCGTGGTCCGATTCTGATAAGCAAGCGGTAGGGATAAATAGACCGGGCATCTAGGGCTAGATGGAATGACGACTTCCTAATACGGTAATAATTGACATTCCTAACTTCACCCCTCGATCCTGCATTGTTTATCGCGTCCTCTTGATCTAGAAGGACATGTTTTGTGACTAATTTATTTTATTTTTTTTTTCTTCAGCTTCAAAGTGCGTAACGTACTCATAGTGAGGCTAGCCACGCTTAGTGATATCTCGTTGATTATTGGAATATTTACAACTCATATAAAGACAACATGATTTTACACATACAAGGACTGGCTCCTTTTGTATCAACGATCCTTCTAGGCACGCAGGCCGTTCGCGCTATTGATCTCAATATCGACGACTCGGGTATATCCATCATCCATTATTCTACGCGTACGATCATCTGCAAGTCAAGACTAACCGAATCTTTGATAAACAAAAGAATCAATAAAATCAGCCGCGAAAATAGTCGCTACCGAAATGATGACATACTACACAGGGAACCAACCCGGCGACAACCCCGGCAACCTACCATCCCCGTACTACTGGTGGGAAGCGGGCGCAATGTTTGGAGCCCTGGTCGACTACTGGGCCTACACAGGCGACAGCACATGGAACGACATGACCACACAAGCGCTGCTCTGGCAAGCCAGCCCCGACGCCGACTTCATGCCACAAAACCAGACCATGACTGAGGGCAACGACGACCAGTCCTTCTGGGCCATGGCAGCATTATCTGCCGCAGAGCGCAACTTCCCCAACCCGCCGGCCAACAAGCCGCAATGGCTGGCATTGGCGCAGGCTGCGTTCAACTCGCAAGCCGCGAGATGGGATGATAGCTCGTGTCAAGGGGGTCTTCGGTGGCAGATTTTCACCTGGAATAACGGATTTGACTATAAGAATACCATTTCGAATGGCTGTTTCTTCAATATTGCCGCCAGATTGGCAAAGTATACTGATAACCAGACGTATGCCGATTGGGCTGAAAAGACCTGGAAGTGGACTGTGGATGTTGGCTACCTGACGAGTGAATATCGCTTCTGGGACGGGGCTAATATTGCCACCAACTGCTCGAATTACAACAAGATTGAATGGACTTATAACTCTGGGGTATATCTGCTCGGGGCGGCCAATATGTATAACTTTGTAAGTACTGTTTTCTCCGTCAAGTATAGGAGGCCATCGAGCTATGATTTACTTTGTCTTCCAATTTCTATATCGCGTTCACAAAAACATATAAGGAAAAAGAGAAAGAAACCCACTACTAACATACCCAGACCAATGGCAGTGAAATCTGGCGTGAGCGCACACTTCAAATTCTCAACGCAACAAGCGTGTTTTTCAGCAACGACCCGGAAAACGTCATGTATGAGCGTGCCTGTGAACCCATAAACACATGCAAAGTCGACCAGAGGTCATTCAAAGCCTACTTGTCTCGCTGGATGGCGGAAACGACCCAAATAGCACCCTTTACTTACGACATCATCATTCCACGATTGCGCGCATCAGCTCTCGCTGCCGCTAAAACCTGTACAGGAGGGCCGAATGGTACCAGTTGCGGGCTCAAGTGGACCGACCAGAAATGGGATGGGAGTTTGGGAGTGGGCGAGCAGATGAGTGTGCTGGAAGTGCTGCAGAGTAATCTGGCTCGTGACGTTGATGCGCCTGTCACGGATGCCAACGGTGGTACAAGTATGGGCAATCCTGCTGCTGGGGGATCCAAGACTGGTGGTACTATGCCTCCAGAAAAGACGTCAGGTATGGGAACCCGTAATATGACTGTTGTAGATAAGGCTGGAGCCGGAATCTTGACGACTTTGTTTTTGGCTGGTGTTGTGGGCTGCACAAGTTGGATGATTTATGAGACTTGATATTCTGACTTTTTTTTGTCTAGCCTAGGGGAGTAATTTGCAACAAGTGAGGGAATGATTTTAGTAGAAATAAAGCATCATCAAGGTCGTTACGTTGGTAGGAAACTATTGGAAACGGAATTCAAGCCATCGAGAGAGTATAAAAGTAAGGCAAAACAAAAGGAAACAAGTATTCCTGCATTAACATTATTTTACTCCATTATACAATCCAGGTACCCAAGGGGGCAAAAGTCACCGTCAGTCTATTGACAACGTCCACAACATCCCGCGTAACCATCCTCGGTACTGTGTAAGTAACGACGATTGTTGGTACTACCGTGCTGGATATAGTCGAGGTTTTTGTTGTAGCGAAGGAGGCTTGGGGGCAGGTATTCTCGGCAATATAATTAGACTGGCTGGGTAATTGGAACTCCAAAGTTGTTAGGTATACTCACGGAAGCATGTCTCCTGGTGATGGTTGCATATAATGAAAGGGGCTTTGTCAACGAAGTTGGTGATGGATGCTGATTCTTGAGTGGGGATGAACCTTCTTGACGACTAAATGGCGACGGCTTCGTGCTGGTGGCAGACAACGCTGTTGTAAAATCACTCTCTCCAATAGGAGGTACCGCTATCTCGTTTGACAGGGTGGTTGACAGGATGAAGTGTCATACTCTGTCTCCCCGTTTGCCGTGTCACCAACTTCCCCGTCTCTATGATATCGATATCCCACATAAACAAAGCAAATTCGTCCGCGGCTGTAGGAGGCACGACATTAGTGACTGTTTGTATTGGTGTCACTGCAGCCGTAGTTGTCGATGCGCGAGTAACCGTTCGACTGCCTGTAACCGTTGCTGTAACATATGCAATGGACATCGAGTCCACAACACGACATGAGCCTGGTGTTGCCGTCGCTGGAACCACTGTTTCACCAACACTGACATACAAGGTTGAAATGACTGTAACTGAGGTGGTTGCAGATTGGGGGTGACTTGCATCATTTATTAAGAGAGTATGGTGGTTATGCCTGCTGCTGAAACCTCTTAGTCCTAAAGGTGGCAACGCCAGTGCCAATTGGGCATATGTAGCCGTCAAGATCACCCGCATCCACGATATCGTTGCTGTTTACAGGTTGAATATTCGCATGACGAGATAGTAGAGAGTAAGTGCAGTTGGCAACGAAGAGAAGAACGACATGTGAAGTTTTAGTCTCTAAGTACAGAGAAGCAGCCCATCTTTATGCGGACCTGCTGAGCTAGAATGCCCGTGTTTATTTTTGGAGCCATATCAAAGAATCATGCCACAAAGAGGACGCTCCAAGGTTGATATGAATATGGAAATACTTTCGCTTTTCCCGCTTCATGAGCCCTTTGTCCATGGTAAAGAGCTACTAGAACTGCAGCTTGGTCTTTCAATTATGAAAACGACCGTAATGTCCAGTGTCCTGTGCTCTAAAGTAAAGCCAGATAGAGGCTCCAATCACTCAGAGGGAGCTTTCGGTAATTAGAAATAAAACCAATGCCAGAAACCGCCATTAATGAGTCAGTGTGCTGGGCCACGAAACAAATTGGCATTGTTCCTTGATCCAAAGTGTCAGTGTTGGTAAAGTTACTCTGAGAAAGAACCACACGATTAGTTAACTACAGCCAACCAAGGCAATCAGGTGTCCTAAATCTGTACTGCTGTTGAGATGTTGGGGAAACTAGGTGGGAATGCCGAGATAGGTAATATGCGCTGAACAACCACCATGCTTACTGCGTCCTATTCCAATGCTTCGTAAACAACAGATGAACGAGGCTTACAAAAATAATAAAATGACTTGAGAATTATATTGAAACCCTGAGATATTCAGCAGCAACTAGATGATCTCCAGCCCAGTATACACGATGAGAGTGTAGCAAGTTATCGATGTTTGTCGAAAGACAATTTCTTGTCACTTGCGTCTAGATCCAATAAAACGACGTCATAAGCCAACCACCCCAGTATTATTGATTAAATAGTCGAATCCCCGGAAGTCTCGGAAATGCTGGATTGCACAGCGGTCAGGTTATGACCGCCGTAGTCTTGGGCGTGCGCTGTCATGATATGACTGGCCAATCAATGATTAGGAATCATGTGGAACAGGACAAGTCAAGTGGGAAAAAGCAAGGGCTAGAATGCATGCAAGAACGCCTTGACTCTCAATATCCTGTGGAAGAGAATCATAAAAGCGCTGACAACCACCAATCGGATCAGCCTGCTTATTTAGGAGGATACATAAAGCAGGCCGTGCTACTCCACAGAATCAGAGTCAAGAGACAGAGATTCCAGGCAGAAGAATAACGGTCCACTTGATATGCTCTGAATAATCTAAAAATGCAGATGAATGGCGAGTGATGAAGAGTAATTGCCATCTCTTGCAGGAAGGCAAGAATACAGCCACAGCAGGCAGCCACAATTCGGCCAATGGGCCAATGGGAAGCTGCGGCTGAGTCATACGTGCTATTTTAAAAGTGCGGCAGCGACCGCTTGTAGAGCCAATCAGATTCGAACCAGCGGATACCGTACGTCGCTGTACGTGTATCGTCGCCCTAATTTACCAACGCCACATTACCGATTACACAGCATCCCGGGCGTGCCGCTGACTGCATCTAACCATGCGAGGCTTAGCGACGTGTCAACACAGAAACTGCAGGCTTGTTGTAGATCGTCGAACTTTGGTCTGTTGACTTGCTGCGGCTTTTTCTTCTCATGCCGGAGTAAGGATATGCAGAGCTATTGTATAGCCATGTATGACGTTGGTAATTCTAGTTTCAGCCAGCAAAAAGCGCTGCGTTACGCGTCTCATGTTACTTGAATTTCCACGTTGGGCAATATTTCTGGAAGTTGGGGCTGAGCACGCCCCGCTAAAAAGTCCTGCATGATTTGCTGGGGTGCTGAAGATCCATTGATATCTTCAGAGCGCTAAACAATTACGGTGGACTCCACTGTGTATGGCAGTGTATGCAATGCAAACCACGTCTCCAGACATATAAGGAGCCAATTCGCCCTCGTCTGGCCACGATGTTTTTAGAATCAGCATCCTTGATCGATCAAATCATAGATAAGGTCCCTCCAAACCGATAATACAAAGATCAGCAAGTCCCTCGCCACATCAAATAACTTCACTTCCCACAAACAAATCACAACCATGCAGTATAGAATCGTCATCCTTGCTTCGGCCTTGCTTGCCACAGTCTCTGCTGCCCCTCGCCCCGAAATCACAGAAGCACCCAAGTATCGTCGACAAGACTTCTGGAACCAGATTGGCAGTGACTTCGGCGCCATCGGTACCGATATTAGCAACGAGTTTACCTCAATTGCCGGTGAACTAGGGGGAGATATGAGCAGCGTTGGAAAGTCCATCACCTCCAACTGGGACTCGTTTACGTCCTCGGTTGGCTCACATGTTTCCACTGCCGCTGCATCAGACTATAGCAGATGGTCCAGCCAGGCCTCCAGTTTGGCTAGTGGTGCCTCTGCGGCAGCGACCTCATGGGCTGGTAAAGCCGCGACTGAGACAAACAGTGCTTCGGCCTCAATAGAATCACAGTTCGCTGCTGATGCTTCTAATATCGCGAACAACGAACAACGCGCCGCTTCATCTTTCGGCGTGCGAGCTGCAGAAGCAACTGCTGCTGTTGCTACTACTACTTTTACCAGTGCGACTACGCTGACCAACTCTGCTGGTTCAGCTACTGGGACCAGCACCCTGACCAGCACTGAGACCACAACCAGCTCAAGGTCTAGTTCTTCGACTACTTCTTCCTCGACATCTACCTCTACCGGTGCCGCTGCCGCTGCCACTGCTGGATTGAGCATAGGTCTCGCCGGTTTCGCAGGTCTAGTTGGCGTCGCTGCGGTGGCTCTGTAATGAGTTCAATAGAAATTATAATACCCAAGCATATCATGAATAGCGATATACTCAGGGGCGCTAGCGTTGCATATGTTTTGTTTGCGTGGATTTGGAAGGCTTCTCTGGTTTCACTTTTTTTTTTATATGGGACGTTTTTCGAGTGATGAATTTTTCTACATTTCAAGAGTCCGAAGTTATGACCATGTTCAATTAATGTTAAGAAGCAATGAAAAGTGGCATTTTGTCTTCAAATTGATTATCTAGTAACTTCATTGGATCGTTCTAGAGGTTTCCCATTTGATACTGGAGCACTCCAACAGTTTCTGTGGCGTTGTATCAAAGCTAGAAGTTTCAGATTGACTCCACGCCTCATTTATGAGATTAATTTTCACTTTCGAGCGCACTGATTTGAAAAATCGATCCCAAACTTCCATTGAGATATATTAGGAGCAGTGTAAGTAGAACGAAAAATGCTTACAAGAGCTCAGTACTCCGTAGAGGTATGTGGTTTCTTGAAAAAGACAGTCAAAAAATCAGTATGAGAAGTGCTAGTAATAGCTGGGCATCTGTAACAGAGTTCACAGGAAGTCTAAAGATCTTTTGTAGTATTCTGTTGAAATTCCAGTTCAGAGGATAAGGTACTTTCTTTACTCGCTAGTTTTCTGCACACGATCATGAATACTTACGGACACTCTGTACTTATTGTTGTTGCCACAGGCCAGAAGAGGATATATAGCCAGTAATGATTTATGTTTGGCAAGTTTGCAAAAAGGGAGGAAAACCCGGGGATTCGATTATTCTAGACATCTCTTCATGGACGTCACCATTAGCCCCGCTCATTTACGCCTGGACACCATTTAGAAAGAGAATTATAGATGAGAATATGTGCTGACATATATCTATTGGCGTTTTAAAGACAATCTTTCTAGCGACGTGGAATATTCCGTTTGCGGACACATGTGATGCTCTGGCAAAGTCTAGACCTTGTAGACAAACTTGGGGTCTAATCAATTTCTGAAACGAAACAATTAAAAGGGATTCGGGTGAATCGTCGCGTCTATATGTTTTGATGTCAGTTAGAAAAGACAATCAAGCTTTCTTAATTTGATATGATGTTGGTGGCTGCTGTCATGGGCGCTGGTGGGCAAGAATTAGGACTAGCAAAAAGAAGGCCTGCCGCATCGGGTAATTTCAGGGCTTGATGACTCTACGAGTTCTAAGTTGGCAGAGGTAGTTCAATTTCACTTTTTAAATCTATAGTAACTTCATGTAGTTAGTTTCTTCAAGTATGTATATATCTGTTACTTGAATTTTGGATAATCTGGGCCTGCTTTCCACGGTCCTAATTTACAAGGTACAGTATCGACAACTATTTACTGTTAACTCGGTTGTAGACTGCGTAAAGGGCCATTGGCAATATACGGAAGTGTTCCAGCCAATAATTAAATAGCCATAGGGCTGTCATCGCTCAAATCAAGAGTCAATTCCTCGGTTTGCAAGCATGAGATGTTACATTGGACGCCATACAGCCAGTACGTTCTGCTTTCCCATTGGATACAGCTAGTTATATGGCTGATTTGACAGATAATGAAGAATGTGCCGAATAATAAAGTCATGACGTAGGGTTCTTTTTTCGCAGCATCTAATGAATTAAACAAAAGTATAAGAATCCACATCCCATCCTGGGGGTTTTTGGGTTATTCTGCACCCGAGCTTTCTCGTCTCTCGAAAAGTTCGGAGTCAATTGAAGGGTTTGAAATCAAGCCTGAAATAAAACAAATATTTATCTACTCAGCAAATAAAAGAAGACAAGGAAAATGGGGATTCTCAGCGTGCCATCACGGAGATCTGTTCAAACAGATGAGGGCCTATCACGCATCTCGGCAAATCGCCGTTCTGTGCAGCTACCCATGCTGAACCTGGCGGATACTGGTCGCAATAATCTGATTGCCGTAATCGGAGAGTTTGTTGGCACTTTTCTCTTCCTCTTCTGGTCTTTTGCCGGCACTCAGATCTCCAATACCCCCATGCCACCACCTGGCTCGGACCCGAATCCGTCCGCACTGTTGTATGCAGCGCTGGCATTTGGGTTCTCCTTAACCGTGAATGTCTGGGCTTTCTATCGAGTTACAGGAGGCCTCTTCAATCCCTCGGTAGGTTTTCTGCTGACTGCTAGAGGCTTTTTTCTTGCGAGATATACTAATAGTGAATGGCAGGTCACTATGGCGCTATTTCTCGTTGGAGGTCTCCCTGTAATACGCAGCGTCTTAATTGTAATCGCTCAAATCATTGCAGGGATATGCGCTGCGGCTGTGGTATCTGCCCTGTTTCCTGGTCCTCTTAATGTTGCAACCACGCTTGGTGGAGGCGCAAACACCGCGCAGGGTCTCTTCATTGAGATGTTCCTTACTGCACAGCTTGTGTTTGTCATTATCATGCTTGCAGTTGTCAAGCATAAGTCCACTTATCTGGCCCCGGTGGGAATTGGATTGACGTTCTTCCTGACCGAACTCTGCGGTATGTCATTATGAGATTTTGTCGCCAATTGATTTGTCGTACTAATATCATACTTACAAGGTATTTACTACACCGGCGGTTCACTAAACTTTGCCCGCTCACTTGGACCAGCCATTGTCAACCACAGCTTTCCGCACTATTTCTGGATTTACTTCCTCGGCCCACTTCTTGGTTCTGGTCTGGCATCCGGCTTTTATTACTTCCTGAACAGAATGCGCTATGAAACCTGTAACCCTGGTCAAGACGCCGATAGTGTCGAAGTCCCCGAGAAAGAGGTTTCTCCATCTCTTGGCGGGGGTGATCCTGTTGGGGGTGCTATTGGAACTGGAACTGTTGATGGAACAGGTCGTGTGCATGGACATCAGAGAAACATCTCTGAGGCTACTGCTGTGAGCCCTGACTATACAGGTACAACAACTGGGGCGCCTCAAAAGGGGTCAGTATTTTCATCGCCAACAGGCCACACAGCGGACCCATCCCCATATCAAAATGCGGCTGAGTCTGCATATGACCCTGTAAACCAGCGTGGGACACTGGGTGCTGAGAGTGATAGAGGAACTGGACAATTGAACCAATTTTAGGACCTGAATTAACACCAAGGACTTAAGGGGGCGGAATTACAGACGAAGAAATGTTATTTGAGGACAGATACCCTAATTGAATTGATTGAACAAATGATTGGGAACTGATAATGCGATTAAAACGAGCTTCAAAATCGCGAATATGCTTGTACCTACTTAATATAAGATACCTAGCTGAATGTAAAAATGATATTTATACGTATTAAAGGTATAGACAAACTAACAATTCAAGCAGCTCCAGCCAACATACCCACAAACTGGCGACCCAAATCCTGAGCCGCCAACGGATTCCCTCCACTCACTACCTCCTTGTCAACTGTAATATATCCCACTTTCTCCCTGGCACCCTCGACCATCACCGCACCAGCATGTGCCAACGCCGACTCAAGCTTTGGATTTATTTCTCCTCCCAGCATGGTTTCCACCGCTTTTTCCTCCGCATCGCTGAAACTCGTAAGCTTGTAACCCTTATAAGCAAACTCGCCCCCCACTTCCCACGCACATCTTGTACTTAAAAACGCAATCAGACCATGGCATATGGCCGCAGTAGGCTTGCCCTTTGAATGAAAATGCTTCAATATGCGACCTAGCTCTGGATCGTTTGACAAATCTCGTAGAGGGGCATGCCCTCCCGGAATGAATATACCGGCGAAAGAATCGAGCTCATAATTACTGAATGACTTGAATTGTCGCGGAGAGTTAAACCCATTTTCCCGCTTCATGCGTTGAATTAAATCTTTCTCGCGCTGGCGTTCGTAGAAATTTCCCGCAAATGCCATTAGACTCTCACTGTTGGGATCTGGAACGGGCCTTTGTCCATTGGGAGACGCAAATGTCACTTCATAACCGGCCTCGAGAATTTGGCTTAATGGTTTTGCGAGCTCCATGAGGAAGAAGCCGGTTGGCTGTTGGACCTGTTGGTTCGTACTGGTACTGCTGCCGGAAGATTTTGTGACGACGATGGAATCAGCATCGCTGACGACGATTAAGATCTTCTTGTCGGGCATCTTTTCTCTGCGTCTCGCTGTTTCCTGTTCGAGTGCTTTGATGTTATTTTGCAGAGACCATCTGCTAAACATGCGAAAAATTGGTCAAAAGAAACAAATATTGCCTCTGACGTCGCCATGACAGAGTTGGCTATGTTGTCATCGGTGCTTTCCAATGTACGAAATCAAATGGAACTAAGAAATAGTAAGTTTTTAGAATAAAAACGATCATAGCAACAATTGACGTTCTGCGTTAGACGGCGATTTCCTTTGCCGGGCATAACCTAACCCTAATATCGCACACTGAATCTCACCGCAGCTATGTGTCAACCCCCCGTATTCTGACTAAATTCTCCATAGACTGACACTAAACTAGTTATCTCTGTTCTCCATCATCAGCATGCTTGCTTATTCATTTATCTATTATTTGTGTCTTTGTACTTCATGTAAGGTTCCTAGTACATATATGATGGAGCTACCGCCACTCTCCCTAGTGGACATCAAGCATATCGCACCGACGCTGTTCACCCGGCTGGCTGGTCCAGCGCGATATCTTAGGCGAGGCAAAACGAAGCCCGTATCGGCATACGTCGGAGCTGATGGTGCTGCACCAGGGGATAACCAGTGTGAACCGGATGGGATCTGGCCGCCACCAGCTCGGTATGTAAGTACTGCTCTGGTTGATCTAGGTAACAGTCCAAGGAGTAGCAGGGTGAGAACATGTTATATTGACTCAAGAGTACTATTGCATATAGATTTAAGATGTATAGGCGTATATGTTATGTATTATACTCTCACACAAACATAATACTCATTGCCTTCGGCCTTACAGGAAGACAGACTATCGAGTGAATACAATGAAATAACACAGCTCGCTTCAGCATAACTAGCTCGGCAATGAAGGACTGCCGTCTCATCTGTTACCAGAGCTAACATCATTTGAAAAACAAGCATGAAACAAACACAACAAGAAAAGCGACATGAATATGGAGAGTGGTGACTACTCTGCCTTGATCTCACTCTCCTTCACTTCTATGCCGTGCACATCATTCATCAGTCCCAGTTCGCGGTAGATCTGTTCCATCCTCTCCTTATCCGCAACAGCGACCCCTTGGCTACCAAAGATAACATCCATTTCTTCAAGAGTCAACTGCTTCGTTTCAGGCACATAGAGCCACACAAAACCGGCCCCCAGCAAAGTCATCAATCCGAAAAAGATAAAGGTGCCATACGTCATGTCCGAGATCATATCGGGGGTTACCTGTCCGACGATGAAGTTATTCATCCAGTTTGAGCTCGCACCTAAAGCAATGCCGTATGGTCGCGCGCTTAGAGGCCATACTTCAGCGACTATAATCCACGCGCATGGGCCCCAAGACCAGCCAAAGTTTCCAGCGAATAGCCACACCATAACAATGGCAGCCCAGCCGGCTGCCTTGTGTGTGGGCCATTGGTTTTGCTCTCTCGCAAAGATAATGGCTATTATCAGATGGTTGATACCCATGGCAATGGCCCCTGCAATCAGAACCGGCTTGCGTCCGATTCTGTCGACGTAAACCATCATCGGAATGGTGGTTATGAACATAACTGCAGCATGATGGTCAAAAAGATCTCCCTGATATCAAGTTACTATACGAAGCACGAGGATACATACCAATACCAACGACACCAGTAGCTAACAAGGAGGTGGTATTACTAGACAAGCCCAACGCAGCAAAAATACTCGGGGCATAATACAAAACTGCATTTATTCCAGTCCACTGCTGAAAGAACATAGTCACCGTGGCGACGATGACCCGACGGAACATGGGCTTAGTCCTGAAGAGGGAACTGATAGCAACAAACTGCAACTTGAAGGTATTCCAGGGAGTTTGCTCTGCCAAATGTGGAAAGCTTTCCGCTGTCGACCGCTTTTCAAACATGGACTGGGCTTTGATTTCGAGAAATTCGAGCTCGACCGCCTCATCGTTAATTGAGGCGCCGCCACCGCGCAGCATTGCAATAACGCGGCGGGCCTCGTCTTCACGACCATGGTGAACAAGCCACCGGGGTGAGAAGGGCATGAATATCATGCCAACAAAGAGAATGACGGCGGGAAAAAGTTGCAGACACAGTGGCACCAGCCAGGCCGCATCGCTTTGGCCCTGCCCAGTACCACCGATGAAGTTGGTTCCATAATCAATCCAGAAGGAAATGACTATGCCAAACTCGATGGAGAATTGTTGCAAACTGACAAGTAGACCACGTATTTCAGGAGGTGCGCATTCGGCGTTGTCTATCATTCATTAGTAAGACGATTTCATGCCATATTATAATGGTTAATCCCTTACACATCGGCACAATCATCCTACAGTACAACAGTACCATCATCTGTTAGCTACCAAATAATCCACCGGAAGAATCTTCCTATGAATGAAAGACAAGTGGGTGCTTACGACAACGACCCAACCCCCATACCAGTAATAAAACGACCCGCAAGAATGGAACTTGCACCGGATGAAGTGACGGCCGTACACTGGATAATGACACCCAACACAAAGATGGCCGTGTTAATCAAAATGGCGTACTTCCGACTGAGCACCTCGGCTAAAAATCCCGAGTAGAGAGTTCCGAACCAAGCGCCCAGCTCCAGAATAGAAGTCAGCCAACCCTTTTTGGTTGTGTTGGATGTGTAGACACCCATGTGGTTGTCGAATGAGGTCATGGTTAATACGCCTTTTGAAATTCCAGAAGACAGTCAGTCGTTAGTCCATCTAATCTCAAGCCAAAGATACTTAGCTAGCTATACGGCAGACATACCGCTGAAAACACCTTGATTGTAGCCGTACAACAATCCGCCGAGGCAAGCGAATAGGGCAATACCGACGACGCGCAAGTTTTGAAAAGCAGCCAGCGGCCCAGAAGAGCCTGCAAGCGCCATACGCCGGCTGAGAGCCACATCATCGGACTTTGAAGTTATGGCAAGCGGCATTATAGGTGAGCTTTGGGCCACCAAGTCGGATTACGTGGGGAGAGATGTGGTACAGCAAAGTGCAGGAAGAAAAGCAAGAAGCTCACGGTCAGTACAATGACTTTTCCCTCATTCAGCTTCGATCCTACGCATGGAACGAGCAACCCCCATATATCTATGAATTATGAACATTCTGGGTAAATTGACGTGTAATCCGGGGTACGCACATGTAACGTGCAAGGCCTGAGCCCATCATCTCGTATAACCATACGGCTTCTAGCAGTTTTCCGTGTCTGTGCATGCGGCTGATGAAAGGATCTATTAAGGATTAAGTCATCTTTTAGGCTGAATAGAGACTTGGCGAATTGCAGGTATGAACTCTGGATAATTAGTTGCGCTCCTTAATTGGTTACAGAATCCATCTGCTCGGTGTCACAGTGCCTTTTTTCTAGTCGAATGCTTGCTTACCCCATGGGGAACTGGGAGGCTGTCTCTGCCGGCTAAAACTGGTTACTACAAGCTTCATTTAAGCCGGCGAAGACGAACATCCATGGATGTAAACATAGATCGTAAAAGCTTTCAAGTTTTCATACTCAAATACCGAAAGTACTACATTTTATTACAAGGTTTATCTGTCACCTAGGTGCTTTGTCAAGACAGGATAAAAAGCCCTAATATAGCGATCTTGATATCGCAAACCGCAGAACCTTCTAGCTAAGCCTATATAACAATCTACACGTATCATTTGAACATACAGTCTTGGTCTTATCAAATGTCTACAAGGATCTATCACCAAAGTTTCAATAGCATATGTACCCAAGGCTCTCAACCACTTGGGTACCTAGGCAGACGAGAGGTATACGTCTAATTGTTGACTATGAGCTATCCCGATTTTTCGGCCTCGTCAGAAATCACAACAGCAGCTTTGCTGTCAGCAGCCGCTTCTGCACTCTTGATGGCGGCAAAATCGCGCTCCGCGTTCCATACAAACGGGCTATCGTTAGCGAAGAGATAATCCAAGTCTTCGAGATGCCGACCAGCGGTTTCTATGGATCAAATAGTTAGCATGGTGAACATGAGACCCATTTTAAGTAGAAAAAAAGGGAACACACCGATATAGAAAAGATAGATAGGAACTAGCATGACTAGATTCAGCAATGCAAAAAGGATAAAGACCCAGAACGACACGGCGTCAATTAAGTAGGGTACAATCTCGTTTATAATGCCGCCGGCGAGCGAGAAAGCAACTGTTGCCAGCGCAGTTCCTTTCGCACGAGTCGCCAAAGGGAAGATCTCGGTGGGATATACCCAGCTATACGAACACAAAAAGGTCAGTATACGTCGACTTTGCACTTTTCAAGGATAACAGAACTTACCACGTGGTTAGCCATGTACTTCCATAAATAAATGTATAGAGATACAACACCGTAGTTACACCGGCACCGCAGCCAGAGGCTACTGAAGGATTAGAGTCGGCAAGAGAAATGACTTCATGAGACAGAACCCCGCCGACAATCAGAACCACAAACATCGACGACGATCCGATGAGCATTAGACGTCTTCGGCCGACTCTGTCGGCAAGATAGATGGAAACTGCAAGACTGGCTGTGTATCCGAAGAAATTGCAGCCTGCCAATATCGCAGGCTTGTTTCCAGTATACCCAGCAAGTGCAAACATTTCAGGCGCGTATGTAGAAATGAAGTCGATGCCTGTGAACTTTTGCATTATCTGCACACCAGCGCCTAGGAAGATACGACGGCGAGTATGTAGTTCGTCTGAGGTGGTCATGAGTTTCCAGAATGATGGACTTGGCTTGCGGGCCTCGAGACGGATGGCAGCGACAATTTCGGTGATTTCGCGTTCGATTTCGCTCTCGACAGGGTCAATACGGGCACGGAGCAGAATTTCTCGAGCTTCTTCCACTCGACCCGTTCGAATCAAGTGACGCGGAGACTCCGGGTAGAATGGGGTTGCGAAAAGGATGAAGAGTAGGAATACTACCTGAAAGCCGAGTGGAAAACGCCAGGCAAATGGAAGACTTTGTGTCTTTATACACGCATATTCTGTCCAGTAGACACTACATTCTGGACGTTAATATATATCCTTCTTTGCTTTCAATTATATAAGAGCACAAAAAGGACTCACATCGTGCCACCAGTAAGGGCCAGCGTAAACTCGACCGCGACAAAGGCGCCACGAGCCTTGGAATCAGCCAGTTCTGAAGTCCAGATAGGGACTATAGTATTTAAATGTCCACATCCAATGCCCGAAATAACACGGGCGAATGCCATCCAAGTGAAATTTTGTGCAGACGTCATCAGCGCGCAGCCCAAGATAGCCCATATGGCACCGATTTGAAGAGACTTCAGACGGCCGACTCTGTCAGCCAGAGCCCCGACTAACAATGCGCCTATAAAAAGTCAGCTTTGATCATATAATATGAACCTATCTCATACGTAGAGATGCTTACCAATACCAAATCCTCCAAACCACAAACTCACCAATCCTCCCACAGCCGCCGAATCACGAGCTGACCCGGAATCGGTCCCCATCAAACGCAGATAATCATCGTTTGTATCGACCTGGCTCATGCACGAGGAGTCGTATCCGAAGAACATGATTGAGATGCCGGCCAGAACCAAGATGGAATTGATCATTGAGCTACCGCGCACTTTGATGCATCGCGATGGCGAGTATCCCCCTGGTATATATTTGGCCCATGACGCCTCCGCTGTTTTTTGATAGGTATTAGCACTACATTGCCATACACATACTTCATATGATATAGCAAGATACATACGGTGACAGATATCCGGCTCGATGCCTTCCACATGCTGCACGTCCGATTTATCCATTTCATTTACTCACTCGGCATTTGCCTCAACTTCTAGAAACCTGTCCAGTGAGAAGGAAAAGTCTGTCAGACGGAATGCGCTTCAAGTCTGGGGAAGGGTCTGGTTGAAAAGGGTACTCCATCAATGCCGGTGTGGAGGATCTTCCTGTCTGGGGTATGATGTCGTCCCAGGCTGGACTAAGCATCAATAAGCAGAGACTACGGGGTTACCCCGTGAGAAGGAGCCCAGGCTACGGCCAACGAGGACTAGTGTGTATGGGGGTGTGGAACAATACGGGGTAAAATATGCGGGGTGGACGGCGAGAAAGCCGTTCTTCCAATCATAGTTCTTGCTGCTGCTCGGAGCTGAGCCGATGGTAATGCCGGGGTTGACGCCGAGGAGAGGGGAAGAAGAAATGCATTGCCTGTTCGGGTCAACAAGCAACCGATATGAAGAGTGCTTGGAGAATCCTCCTACGGTGTCGAAAACGAAAAGAGCGAGACAGCGAGACAGACAAGAGGCTTGCACAGCAATGAGTGTATCGATACGCACATGAAAAGGGGTACAAGCAGCACAGCAAAAGAAATGTCTGCCCCAAAGCCCAAGCTGATCATTCTCCACATCGGGGACTCGATCCAATATAATATCGACACCTACAACCGTCTCGCCTCTCAGTTCACCATCATCCAGCCCTCAGTTGAAGAGAGGCAACGGGATGCTTTCACAAAAGCCCTCAAAGAGAAGAAATGGGGCGACTTTGATGCCATATGCCGTCCGTATTGGAATTCCGGAGGTGAAATGGGCCGCTGGGATCGGGAGTTGGTTCCGTTGCTGCCGCAGTCGGTCAAGGTGTTTGCCAGTGCTGGTGCTGGATATGACTGGGCGGATGTTGATGTTTTGGCTGAACATGGTGCGTTTAGTGTTCTCCTTCTGAATAGTGCTATCGTTTTGTAGTTATGCGTCTATATGCAGTACATTATAGCGGAGAGAACGCTTATATCTCGCTCGCAGGTATCCTCTACTGCAACGGTGCAGCAGCATCATCTGAAGCTGTCGCTGATACAGCCATCTACCATATCCTCAACGTATTTCGCAATCTCAAGTGGTCCCTGACTGCGGCCCATTCCGGTGATGCTGCGCAATGGCAAGAAGCCCACAAGGGAACGCAGCTCACAGCCTGGAACCCGAATGGTCGGCCTCTAGGCTTAATTGGTCTGGGTAACATCGGATACACAATCGCCCAAAAGGCGTACCGTGCCTTTGGCATGAAGATCTTCTACCATGACCCCTATCGCAAGAGCCCTGAGCAGGAAAGGGCCATCGAGGCTACTTACTGTTTCACGAATGAGGATCTGGTCGCCCAAGTAGACTGTGTCGTGCTAGCTATGCCTTTTGGTGGCAAGGAGATTATTGATGCCAATTTGCTCTCCCATTTCCGCAAGGGATCGCGTTTTGTGAACATCGCCCGCGGTAAGTTGGTTGATGAAGAGGCCGTTATTGCTGCTCTGGAATCGGGCCAATTGCATGCTGTCGGTCTCGACGTCCAGTATAATGAACCCCATGTTCATCCTAAAATGGCTCAAATGCGTAATGTAGCCTTGACTTGCCACACTGCCGGCGGTGCTATGGATACTGTGCTTGGGTTTGAACGATTAGCCATGGAGAACTGCGAACGTGTCTTGCTTGGCCAGGGTCCGTTAACGGCTGTAAATAAGCACCTGATCAGAAAATAGAGATATCTTTCTCTTTTACCTTTGATATTTTCATGACCATTGTGAACGTTAAAATAAATGCATTGTATTTGAGCAAGCAAATTTAGGACGCATGGAAATGGAGATTGATCATGTTGGATGCATGAGCTTTTTGTGTTTTAGGTGTAATTGCTAATCTACTAGAATCACCAGCCTAGTTCCTACCGCCAAATTCATTCCTCATCGTCGTCTCAAAGTCTTGCGGTTCTCTTCCCAAAATCTCCTTCAACACAGGCGTCACGACTGCACATTCCCCATTTCTTATCGCCTGCCAGGCTGTCGCCCACTCCCGGCTCAGATCGACACCATGGTAAGTCATCAACGGACCAATGTGCGGTTGACTCGCGTACTCGTCAATAGAGACCTCTTTGATGTTGATCTTCTCATCTCTCCCAGTAATCTTTACCAAGACATCAATCACGTCTCTAAGAGTTAGCACCCGAGGCCCCGAGAAAAGAACAGTACTATTAGTAAACGGAAACCCCAGCGGATTGCGCGCGTATAGACCTATTATTTTAGCTGTAGCCTCCGCCAGCTCCTCGCGCTTTGCCCACGCCACACCAGGAGCGAAGCCATCATGTGGAATCTTAATTACGGTGTTTTCCGTGTCTCTGGTTTTATGCAGGTCAAAGAACGAGAGGTAAAGAGGGAAGGACTCGTGATAGAGACCCTGGCGGAGAATAGTATAGGTGAAATCAGGTCCGTGCGTGCGACCTTGTTCGTCGAGGTATGCTTCTGTGTCGAGATTTGCACGCATGATGAACGCCGCTGTCGTCTTAGTGAGGTTTCCCGCGAAAGCTAACGAGGAGTAGAATATATGCTTGACGCCGCTGTGACGGGCGGCATCAATGGCTTTTTGGTGTGCCTAGAACAGTCAACAGTGAACAGCTGCTATAGACATGCTCCGCCTGGGAAGAGTTTCCATAAAAATAGATGCATGTTCATCACGTACCCGTGATCGATACTCGTGCTCACACGACGGATACGACATCAGAAATAGAATGCCCACGCCATCGAACGCCCGCTGGAAAGACGTGTCATCTTCGTAATCAGCGTAGCGGATCACGGCTCCTAGACGGCTGTGCTCGGCAAGTTTTTCGGGCTTTCTCGAGATCAAAATCAAGTTCGCCGCTGGGACGAGTGGCAGCAGATGCTTGATGGTACACCCACCAAACTTTCCGGATGCCGGGAAGACGCCGATCTTCTTAGTCTCTGTTGTTGTCATTGCATTAGTCACTTGGTGCTTGCTTTGATCTTATTTTTTGATGTCTGTACTATGAGAATAGGTTGATTTACCATGAGTCGACGTTGGTATGGCGGTTCGCCGTGGCTGATAATAATTCCGTCATAGTTCCCCTGGATGGTTCCAAGGTTATCTCAAACTCCGTGTATCAACGCCTAATAAATGAATCTCTGTTGAGTACATATATACTTTCGGGCGTAGCAGTACGCTCAAAGTGCTGTACCTAGGCAGTTAGTAGTTACAGCAGCCCTGAGAGCAAGGAAACTAGGAATTCTTGGCTTATGTTTAGTTGGAGTAGTTGAGTGGATGTTCTGGTTGGAGATGCCACGCTGGCGAACAGGGAATTGGCCTCAGCCTACCGGTGATGTTAAAGTTAGCCTTCATAGTCCATACAATGCTTTGAAGATATGGCTATTCAAGTCACTTAAATCTCACCGGGCAAGCCATTCATTCGTCCGCCATTTCCAGCCAATCAATCATTCCCTCCGCACAGGACAATGAACTTTCTAGGCCGTAATGATTATCAAGCGATGAGTTGGCCATACGCAAAGCCTATACTAAGGGCCTAGTTTTATTGCACACATACACACGGCGCGGAATCCCTCGGTAGTCTAGACTCTGAAGACGCAATTTATAAAATTAAAGACTATCTGAATTCAGTAAAGGCCTTAATATATCTTCTTCACTGGCCCACGCCAACGCTTAGTTGAAAATATTATTTGCCCTAAACCCGTTAGTAGAAAGCTTGGAAAACCTTGATGTCGGTGGAACCTTAGCCCTAATCCTTTGGTGCCGCCTTGACATCGCCACAATATAAATATATATAGCTCCAACACAAATTGCAATCTTTGAAAATTATACATACATATATATACCCTTAAACAGTGTAATGGAGCGAAACTCTAGATCCATGTCTAGTAGCTCTACCTCACTCACCACTGACGGCGTTTAGGCAAAAGGAAAACATGTCATCTGGGAAACGCAAAGTCTTAATCACCGGTTGCTCTGATGGCGGTCTAGGCGCCGCACTAGCCATCGCCTTCCACAGAGCTGGACTTCATGTCATTGCAACGGCGCGCAACCCAGCCAAACTGAAGCGATTAGAAGCGCTCGGCATTGAGACATATACGCTGGATACCCTCTCCGACTCCTCCATCGCGGAGTGTGTCAGTAAATTGGCCGAGCTCGATATACTAGTCAATAACGCCGGGAGCGGACACTGTATGCCCGTGGCAGATGTTTCCATTGCCGAGGCTAAGAAGTGCTTCGATCTCAATGTCTGGTCTTACATCGCTGTCGCGCAGGCCTTCTTGCCTCTGCTGCTAAAGTCCAAGGGAACCATTGTGAACCAGACATCCATTGCATCTGTCTTCAATTTCCCCTTTCAGGCTTCATATAACGCCTCCAAAGCAGCAATGGCCATCTTCTCGGATGCCATGCGACGCGAGCTACAGCCCTTCGGTATTACTGTCGTTGATCTGAAAACGGGCAATGTCAATACCAATTTCTTCGGTAACCAAAGAGGGGGGACGCCAGTGGTTCTACCCAAGGGTTCCATCTACGAGCCGGCGAAGGAAGAGGTTGAAAAAACCCTGCGCGGCGAGAGATATGAGGGCATGGGCATGCCAGCCGAAGAGTGGGCGAGGCAAGTCGTACACGACCTGCTAAGACCGACACCTCCCTCTACCATCTGGAGAGGCAACTATGCATTCATAACGCGAATTTTGGCTTGGTTACCACTTTCATGGACGGACGGGATCCTGAAGGATACAACTGGATTGTATGCGGTGGAGAAGGCGCTGCAGAAATAGACTCAAGCCATGTTAATATTGACATACCGCGTGTCCATAGATCAATAATCAAAAAAATCAATAGTCTGTCTTGACGATTGATGTGTCCAAACTTTCGAAGTATTAGTCTGTTAGCCAATGAGAGTGCCGGATCTTAACGGCAGATCATTGGCCGAGATCTCGGAATGGGGCACCTGCGACCAATCACATTGCCAGTTGCTGATCATCATTTTTGCGTGGGTTCAACCATCATCGACGTTGTTTCAATGTGAGTTCCGAGTGCTGAAGTATAAGTAGTGCATGGTCAGGGGCGCTTGGTATTTCTTATTATAGTCAGCAGAAAGACAGCATGTCTTGACAGCGCATTCCTGTTCCAGCTGAGACCCACACGTGTTTTCCGTCTGGCCGGAGTGCTTAAATATAGATCCAGGGCTGCAACAGCTGAGACATGAGCCTGATGGGCTGACGACGCTCTCGCTAGCTAAAGTACTACATAAGATGGCCGTGTCTTACAAACCTTCGGTCCTCGCAGAATCTGCATTGCTTCTGAAGATAGTCTCTTCTTCATCAACCAAGCCAACTTGACTCGTTCATTTGACCTCACTCAAAACGCTAGCCATATTGGAAAAGACAGCCGGAAAGAAAGAACAGAAAGGAAAAATGTCTGCCACTACCTCTGCCACTCTCACTTCCACCGCAACCACGACCTCCGCCTCGACCACGTCCTCTTGCACGCCGGTATGGACAATCCCTACAACTGACGCTGCCTGCGGCATCCATCCCTCCGGCAATGCATCCGAAGTCATGACACAATGCTGCGGTGTCGCCTCGGTTGTCTCGTACAACAACGGATGCTCTGAGTACTGTCTCGCACAAGACCAGAATGTTGGCGATCTGGTCAACTGCCTCTACAAGAACGGCCTCGACTGGAACTCTGTCTACTGCAACGATGCTTCCAACGCCACGGCCACAGCTGCGGTTTCCAGTGCCTCGAGTACTGGAACATCATCGGGCACCGGCACCGCCTCTTCCACTGGATCGAGTGCTTCTAGCACATCTTCTACTGGTGCTGCGGCGCCGATCGCTAAGGTATCAACTGGTGGTGTCGGTGTGCTGGCATTGCTTTTCTGCTCGGCCTTCATTGGAACTTTCGCCTAAAGTCACAATGTGTCTAAATCATCGATTTGGAGAGTGGCATGGAGGATAAGAATTGATCATCCATAGTGGCGTTTTCTCCTCGGTTGTACTATAGTGATACCTACCCCTTTCTTTCACTTCCCGTGTACTTAATCTTGCATCTATCATGTTATTCTAATTACAAGTTCCAAATGACATCTATCTAGGTGATCGATCCTTGAGAAAAGTTTGGCAATATCTATCTGTTAATTAATTCGCTCGGAATACTTCTCCGCTAATAACCCGGACTAACCATCCCCATATCAGTCAACTCTCCTTTCAACGTCTGCAAGGACTCTGCAAGGACTTCATTCTGGTCGATAATCATATCAGTCATACCAATCATTGCCAGGAAGGTTCACGTCATCATAGATATAGTCCTATTTGCCTCCACTCACCGACTATCAATTCACATCAAGGTGTGGATGGAACTCATCTCCGAAACAACGCCTCGCATCTCATACCCCTTGCCTCTGTGGCGTTAGCAACGACATAACGGCAAACAGCAAAACATAATCGCCAACAGCATGCATGATACAGATCTTTACAATGAAAGAATGAAGTTATTCTGTACTAGAATAGTGATGTCATGTAGACTCCACCGGCGCTGATTTATATCACGTCCTTCTCCCATTCGATCTATCACTCTCCCGAATTTATGAACTTGTGATATACCGTTTTACGGAAACGAAACATCCAGATCGCTACCTATAGGTCTTATCTACCAAACTTAAACAACCCAAAGAAATTTCTAAAATGCCTCGCTCCGCTTCCCCTGATCCCGGCCACCAAGAGGCCGGATACAAGGCGTAGGTTTAACACCTCGCATCTACCATCGAGACATGTGAAAGCTAACCCGAAGATCAGAGCCCTAAACAACCCCCGCGTTGGAGAATCCGCTAAGCAACATGCACGCCAGGTGCTCGAGGACCAGTTCGGAGATACCGTATTCGAACAACAAATGCCTGAAGGTGGACGATCAAGGGCACCCCCTGACGAGACTGTTGAGGGTAGTAAAGGGGGTCAAAGAAACAAGAATAATGTCATGAGAGGATTGAAGGCGTAAGTTTATTACCCCCACCTGCTGTCGACCAACAGGAACTTTTCCAAGGTGGAAAATTGAAGCTGAAATTATTACAGAGCAATGCACAACCAGACCAATACTGATCAAGGTAGAGAGTCGGCTCGTCACAAATTGGAGGATCTAGGTCAGAATCCGGAGGAGTAAACTTGTTGACCTCTCAAAAGAAATTAATGAATCATGATAGACAATGGGGGGAGAATGAATGGTCTATCAATTTGATATGAGATTTACGATATGATGTTTTGAAATTGTGTATATGTATATACATTTTATTTATTGTATTTATTATGATTTTATAAGAATGTTACAGATTGTATGATGGTTCGCTTTTTACCTCTTTCCCTCTCCTACCGAAGCTCAAGAATGTTTGAGAGTAATGGCAAAGAAATAAGTATGTTGGTGTTTGTACGAAAATGAGAATGAATGGTTCTCACTGCTGCTTCCGCTGCGCTCGGATGTTCTTCCACCTCATGATCCAGCTCGCAAAAGGGAAAAACAATATGGAGATAGCAGACCAGGCGAAGAGAATGCCGAAATCTTCGCCAATTGACGACTTCGTATTGAATAAAATGGTTCGGGAACCTTGGACAACTGTAAATATTATATGTCAGCAAAGCAAAATAAAACGAAGAGAAATAGAGGGCAAATCGAGGAAGTACACGAGTTGGAACATACTCCTATTCAATGGCCATGCATATCCCCAGCGATAAAAGTCCGATTCCAGATCAATCGAATAAAACGAAGTGGCAACATTGGAAATAACCCAAAAGATCAACCACAGTGCAGCATATGGCAGGCCCAGAATCATGGCCATATTCTCACTTGGCAGACCTAATGCCGTCATTCCGACCCAGTTAAGCATCCAATACACCACGAAGGAGCCCTTTCCGTACGCATTTGCATTCAGGACGCCCCAAGTGTGGGACGCCGGCTCGTTGGAGAATGGGATCTGAAAGGCCAGGGAGACGAGGGAGTAGAACAAGGACAGTAAGAAATAAGCCGCGATACTGGACGTCAAACGCCAGAGCAAAATGTGTATTTGATTCACGGGGGCATGGCCTTTGGCTACAAAGAAAAGGGCATGAATTGGCATGAGGAACGAGAAACTAAAGAAAGAAATAATGATCAAGTAGATAAGCCCTATAGAAACCGCCGGGGTCGCTGCTGGAGGCACAAACGGCCGTAAATCGATCATAGTAAAACCTATTCCGGGATTAACAGCTTGCGGAGTCAGAAACACGTTCTGTGTCGACGAGTTCTTGCCCAGGATTGAGGCCCATTCCGCTCCAAAATCGCTCAGAACCGGGAAAAGGGTGTCTAACAGAGCAGGTAAGATATATGACGAGGTAGTTGACTCGTCACGAGCGGTGTTGTATATCACCTGGGCAGCGCCGGCTGGATCGTACGACGAATTCCCATTATTGACTGCATCCTGCAAAAGGGTGGTCGCGTTGGCATTCACTATGATAGCCACATAAGCCTTTTGGTCATAGATTGCCTCGCGCACCAGTGTCGGGTCATAATTGAAGTCTGCTGCGGAGACAACCGTCCATCCTAGGTTGTCAACCGGAGCGGGCTTTAGTTGTTCAAATGAATTCGTGATAAAAGGCCCGACGACAGGTGTGGTGGTTGTTGTATTATAAGGCGCCACTTTTGCATCAAAGTCCACTATCCAGACAGTGATGTTGGGCAGTTTCTCGTAGACGTCGTACAATGCACCCCAGTAAATCGGAAGAACCGACAGTATGTACACCCCGAGTGCCAGAACTAATTATCAAGTTTGTCAGACTGTCAACAGACAAAAGCTGCTTGATTGCGACACTACCTGTGATAATCCACCGTTTGTACGCCCGACCTCGCTTCCCTTTCAGGTCCGGATGGAAAAATCCTATTGCCTTTGGTGGTCCATTTTGCGCAGCTTCCGTGCCGTGTCCGTTAAAATCTGAACTACCGGCCATACCATACGTTGATCATAAAGTCAGATCAGATATAGAAGCAACAATGACTCATGAGTCTCTCCGTGGGGCCCCATATCATGCTGCCATCAAGGCAAGAAGATGATAAGATCGTATACAATGAAAAACCCGGGGGGGGGGCGCCGCTCGGGCCGCGGGAAAGCCAGACCAAGCTTATTTGAGCCTAGTTCGCAGCTGTTTTTCGGAATTAAGCTCGCGGGCGCCGAATACGGTGATTACGCCCGGATCATCGGCATTATGTAATCAATTCCGGGTAGAATTTCTATATTAGGCATATATGTTCGGAGTATGGCTTAAATCCGAGGCTTAGTACCTGATGGTTGAGTCCATATCTGGTATGGCACTGTATGGTTTCGTTTCTAGTATACGCTTGCTTGATCAGTAGGAGTAGGAGAGGAAATAGCCAGATGAATGCCTGAGGAATCACGTCTTTTTGTGCAAACTCGTCATGTGACCTTAAACAGAACTCGTAGCAGGAAGGCACCCACCGCAGAACAACGACAACAACGACGAAGCACTTCTCATCTCACGGAATCTTATGCATTTTTCGTCTACTAACAGAGCGAGCGCGTCGCGTGAATTCGGTATAGACAGAAGGGGCAGATTGAAAAGAACACACGCCTAATCGGACTCAATAGGCATGACAGCTAGGTGCTAGATGCATAGCCCTATACGTACCGTTTCTGCCTTGACAGGCTACTACGACCATAGCTATAAGCCATAGCGACACCGATTTCGGAATTTCCTAATCCCACAGCCCCATTGACTTGGTCGAGTGAATGGGCATGCACTCTTCCGCCCTTTATTTCTATGTGCCTCGTTTGCAAGTTGAGTGACCGTTGTTGAGTTACCCGACATTGTGGTTCCCTCAGTTCTCACGCACGCACAGTCCTCCCTATCCACTCGATTTGATCATGCATGAATCTGATCTGTGCTTGAGTCGTATTTGAAATTTCGCTGCATATTTATCAGCTGCAACACTCGTATGCCCCTGGTCTCCGTTACTTTTGACAAAGAAACAACGACGAAAATAGTTATGTTCTGCCCCGGGGATCGGTGGAATAAAAGCCGTCTCATTTGCCGTGGTGGGGACAGATTACGGATGCTGTGTTGCAATCGGCGCGCCAGACAATACTCATACAATTCCATCTGCATGTCGCCTGCATGTTGTTCTCATATTCTCCCATACTAAATAAATGACGGGGTATTGCCATGCATATAGGCCGTCCAGGTATTTATAATTTGGCGGAGTTCACGGAAATGCCGGTTCAAATGTGATACATGTACTAACTCGTGATGTTGAAGTCGATATTAGCCCATGGAGCGGTGAGTTATGTATGTCAATTGCAACCACATTACAACATTTATCCGTTCCTCCAAGGATTGAGTCGATAGTTAGCCTTGAACTTATTGCACGCCATTATCCATCGTGTTCCCGGAGTCGTCAGCATGCATCCGTTTGGACGGCAACGACAATCGTGTGGATTTGACATTCTAAAACTGCATAATAATATGCGACCTGTCTGGGTTTACTTCCTTTCACACTTGCAGGGATTCTCGAGACGAGCATGATTCCGGTTCGAGAGCCAATTATACATACGCAATCTATCTCCCCAGCCGATAATTGACACCCAGCGCTGATGATCTCTTGCCCAAGGCGCAGTAGGTATGATAGAGTATCTACGCAGTCTCGATACAATTTTCTCGAGACACTCACCTCGGTTTCGCCTTTCTAGTAACGTTTTTGGCTTGTCTTTGGTGGATCGAAGCAGCTTTGGCACTGGTCCCACAACCATTCCAAAGTCTGTTTGTTTGCCTTATCAACACGGTACTCAAACTCAATAGAATGCATGAGAAATGGTGCGACTCAAGGTCATGTTCCCGTGGCGGTGAGGTTGGCTAATGTGAAACTCTGTTTGACATTCGTTCTCGATCGCGCCATCAATCACCCGGCTGATTTTGATCCGTGCTAATGCGTACTGGGCCATCATCTGTCTGCTCAATATTCGCGGGTTTTGTAGTATGACCGACGGTTGAAAAAGCTGCAGTAATTAATTATGCAGCCAACGCCCGACAAAAGCGCCAACGCTACTAGCGAAACAGCCTTTCGTTCGTTTTCGAATCATAGCAACTAGACCACACACACATCCACACCAAAAATAGGTCTTTGGCTGTCAATTGATGACTGTAACTGACTGCATCCGACATGCGCGGGGCTCACGGAGAGCATCATTTCCTATGCGCATTGAAAAAAGAGCAAGCCTACCCCGGGGGTTCCAAAATTCCAAACAAGGTACTAAAAAGACTATCCCTTTAGCCTGAAGTTAAATTTCGTTCTTTTTTTGGGTCTTTTTCCAGCAAAAGCATTTTTGAGCGAGTTCCACGACTAGTGTATTGCAATCTTATGCTCTCGATAACGCTGCCTTCGGCTCAATCATTTAATTGCGTCCGTTATGCAGCAACGACAGGGATATCGCCACCAGTCGTAGAATACCTTCGACGCCATGTTCTGACGCTGGCTAATATCGTTATCTGCATTGTTAGGAGCTAGGGGCCTGGCACAGGAATCCGCTCGCTTGATTTGTCTGACGGGACGATAACGAAGTCGCTGAAAGCCTGTGTCACAGGAATTGGGATTATCATATCAAAAGACCACTAGTTACTTTGTGGCCACCGGATCTAGCACGCGCCGGCATCGTTTGAAGTTGCAAGGGTTCTGACGATTCACAATTTACCCGCTTTTTGGTCCCCAACTGCCAGTCACGAAAACTTTCAATGAGCTTTATCGAAACCAAGGGCTTGACCGCCATTCTCCTGGAGCGTTATCGGAATCCATTAGTCCATTCTTTCACATGTGATATCATTGTCGTCCATTGATGGTGCCGGTGGCGGATGGAGCCCGCGAAAAACGACGCCTGGTTCAGCAGACCGTCTTATTTTCTTCGAATTCGACGCAAGCTGCAGTGGCCTTAGTACAATGAACCAACTTGATGCAAGCTCAACACCCTTTGCTTACGCTGAACGTTTTCATTGGCCGCGGGGAGATGCTCGCTGGTAATCGTAAAGGAACTTGGGAGTTTCACAGATCCATGGCCATGGGTCCCATCGAGGGGGATTTATAGTCCCATGGGGACGTCACAAGACTTGTCCCAACTTTCATTTTCTTTTTTAAATTTTTATTTTTGCGCGGTAACCTCGCCAACTCTTTTTATTCAGAAAAGAAGTCCCGCACTGCCATACCTCCCTTTCGGGCAGACTACTTCTAAAGCAGCCAATAACATTTTCATACCATGTCTCAAACAGCCACGCTTACCAAGGCTGAAAAGCCCATAAGCTACGATATCAACATTCCTTACGTCAGTGTCTCTGATCACTCCAAGCGAAACGTCAAATATCCCGAGTATTTGCCCACCTGGGACAAGGTGTGGTTCGACCCGCTGCCTCCATTCGAGTATCAAGACCCCGCTCTCCGCGTGCAGGACAAGTCTAAGCCCAACTTGCTGTCGTCCGCCACGAAAGTATCGCATATTCAGCCCAGCATCGGCAGCATTGTTGAAGGCGTGCAACTAAACAAGCTTTCTGACACTGCCAAGGATGAGCTCGCGCTGCTCATATCCGAGCGCAAAGTGCTTGCGTTTCCCGATCAGGACCTTATTGATGCTGGACCGGAGGAACAGTATGCCTTCATGCGCCACTTCGGCAAGCCGAATTACCAGCCCATCTCCGGCTCGATGAAAGGATATCCAGGGTTTCATATCATTCACCGCGATGGCAATGTGGATGAGATCAACCGTTTCCTCGAGCAGCGAACCACCACAACGCTATGGCACCAAGATGTGAGCTACGAGATCCAGCCCCCAGCCTATGTCATGCTGGGCCTTCTCCAGGGCCCAGATGTGGGTGGAGACACTGTCTTTGCCGCCACAGACGCTGCGTATAAGTATGTTTGCTTGTTTGCTTTTTTCTCTTTTTTGCGGGGCATGATCGCCCCGAAGCCTGCAGACCAATCGAGCTAACAGGTATGAAACCTGACTAGGAGACTGTCTCCCACTTTCCAAGCCTTTATCGACGGTCTCAAGGCTGTGCATTCCTCCGCTAAAATGATTGCCCACGCCAGACTAACGGGTAGCTTGGTGCGTAAGGATCCGGTGGAGACTGTGCACCCGCTTGTGCGCGTGCATCCTGTGACGGGTGAAAAGTGCTTGTTCATCAATGGCGAATTCATCACCAGAATCCAGGGACTTAAGGAAGCTGAGTTCCGGGTGCTCCAGGACTTCCTCATGCAGCATCTTATCACAGGCCATGACTTCCAGGCCCGGGTGCGGTGGCAGCCCCGTACTATCGTTCTATTTGACAATCGGTCGACCATACGTGAGTTCCTCTGCCACATTACTCATTCCTTTTGCCTCTGCTAATGATGAATTTCCCAGACTCTGCCATTGTCGATTACATCGATGAGGAGCTTGGCGCAAAACCACGTCATATCTTCCGGCTTTGCGCGCTCGGTGAGAAGCCTTCCCCAGTAAGCCCTCAAACTGCGTCGACAGAATAAACGATAGGGTAGGAAAGAGAAGCAAAAACTCCTGTTCGAAAACTTTGCTTTGATTATAGACTGTAAAAATGGTGTTCGGCCCGTTGTTTTATTTGCGCTCCTCTCCACGGAATTTTTCTTTGCTTGACCTTGTGGAGTTGGCTGGATTCGGGTTATGGATATTCGTGGACCGTTATAGACTGGCTACTAGATGAGGTACTACTAGATTTGCTTGGCTACTGACCGTTCTTGGCTCTTTTTGTTTTTGCTTTTGTTTTCTACTTTCTCCTCCTTCCATTTTCATCCTTGACAAATCGTCGGACTCTCTCGTCGGACATGTGCGAAACCCTAATGTTTTGCAGCGACTTGTTATATCTCGATTCACTTCGATTATCTTTAATACGTATAATTATGTGACTCTTTCGGATATCCTTCTGTTTCTTCATCCTTATTTTTTGAGAATGCCGTACATTTTCACACCACTCAAATACAGGATAATGCCAGAAAACTAAATCCTAATACCTGACAAGTGTTCATATATATACTTATACTGATCCTGTCGAAAATCATCCGTGATAGTTGTGGCTTTGTGGGCGGCAAAATTCAACATCTCATTCGCAGTGCTCCATTGCGGCCATTCAGGGTAGCTTGAGTTTGCGTTGGGATCTAGATCATAAATGAATGAAATATAGTACGACTGAATAGCTGCAGAGGCATAATTTGGTAGAATGCCATAGAATACTTGCAGAATATCTGTCCCATGGCCTGTGCCGATGATAGGGGTACCGTAGTCGTAGGACGCAAGATAGGACCAACTCGGTATATCTGGATTCACGCTACTTGCAAGATCCAAGAATGCGCGCCGTGTCAGGGTAAATGTGGCGTCCCCAAGTATTGCGGCTAGTCGCTTGAATTGAGGATACCAATTGTTCAGAATGCCGGTGTTGAATGGCGAGCCGAATGTGATATCGTCTGGATAGACATTGACGAGACCTTCTGTAATGCTTTTGTTTGTACTGTATGGGAAGAAAACAGTCTCAAGGTACTCAATAACGTCTGCAGTAGTGCTGAGGTTAGATTGAAAGAGGGCAAACAGAGTTCCTTCGTCCTCTTGATCGCCTACAATGAAGGGAACCGGGGCATATTTCCCTTCTTGTATCAACACTTCCGGGCTATCTGATAGAACAGTGCCATCGGGTCTCGGCAAATATGATAAAGCAACCGAAGTATAACTAAGAATTCCCGGGACGGAGTTGGCGGCGTTGAGGTAGTCAGTGTAATCAAGTTCTCGAAGACATTCCAGAGTATCGGCAGCGGATGAGCATCCTGCGGCCTCGACGACCGAATCATAGATTGCTTGGCCAGCATCACCGTCAACTGGATTAGTTGGTATCACACTGCCGGAATCCATAATCGCGCCCCGAAACAAGGGCTGGCCGTTGTATGTATAGTTCCCATCGTACAGGATCATTTGATCTAGAACTGAGATAGACCCTGCCGATTCGCCCCATATAGTGACCTTTGAGGGATCTCCACCGAATTCCGCAATGTTATCAGCGACCCATTCGAGAGCAAGTCTCTGATCTAGCAGCCCCAAGTTGCTAGCGCCATCTGCTAGGATTTCTTTGCCGGCTAGAAACCCGAATCCGCCGACACGGTAGTTGACTTCAACGAAAATAAAAGGTTTCCCCATCGCAACACCATTTTTTACAAGGCTAGCACCGTTGTACATTGAAGTTCCACCAAGCTCAAATCCACCCCCAAAGATCCAGAAAAGAACAGGTAGATTAGATGTTGAGTCAGTTCCTGTTGGTCGAACAATGTTTAAGTTCAAGCAGTCCTCACCGGCATTTGTGATTTCCTGCAACAGTGGTGTGTTCAGTAGAGTTCCAAGGATTCCGGTCAAACTGCTCCAAGAATCTTGAAAATACATCTGAGGACACGACATAGCCGTGCCCGTGGCAGTCACAGTTCCCAAGTTAGTAGCCAAAGCCTGTGGAGGCTTGAGTCGAAGTGAGCCAGTAGGAGACTGGGCAAAGGGAATCCCATTGAAGATATCAAGGTTGCCAGAAGAAGATCCAACGACTGTAGCAGTCGGAGATGCAATGACGACTGTAGGCGAGCTGCTACGTTTTACCCTGTCCACTGGACCTGCCTCAGTGACAGCAGCCAGAAAAGCCAGAGGTAAAAGAGAAAACATCCTCATCATGAAAATTAAAGTGAAATGATATACTGTGCTCTAGTATTTGCGGAGGAGGATCGTCTGTGAAGTCCTGTGTAATATCGAAAACGGCTCAGGTTAGGCAACCACGGTGGTCTTCAGCTCGTTCCTGCTGGTGTTAGGGGATCCTGGATTCATCTACTTCATATAAACATCAAGTCCTCTATGTTCTTTACGCTGGTACTCCTGCTTGACACGTGTATCCTCGGTAGGTGGAATTTCTAATGTGGCTCATCCAGCTGACTCCGAGTCATTACTTGGTTCAATAATCTGGCTTGCAGTAGCAGGGTAAATGAAAGGGGTGGTACAGGTAATTAATTACAATCTTCTGCCCGAGGCAAGCAAGTGATGTATATAAGAGAGTGATAGGATAATTATTAGGCTCATACCATACGAAAATGTACGAAGCATGTACGATTGTGAGGAATGATTGGCGGGAGTGACGAGTCGTGACATTACTCAGTGCACCAATTGCAATGGAGAATAGCTATAAACATGTTTTCTTGCATATCTTACTTTCTGCGCTCGACCGGAATTTTTAGGGTCTGATAGAACTCTTAGCATAGCAATAGGTTGAAAAAAGACTATGCACCGGGGAACTCAAGGAATCGACAAAACGAACTACAAAAAGATGAGGTCAATACATAGACCAGTCGTAAACATTAATTACATTATCTTAATTTCCGAAATTTTGAAGAAACAAAACTGAAGCTGTATATTAAAGATGGTCCTAGAAAGTATATAGAGCTGCAAAATCAGGGCTGTTACCCGATAAGGCAGTCATAGTTCATGCACCGAAGAGGGGCACAGAGAGGCAATAAATGAGCAAGAAAAGCCTTAACTTGGACATTATAAGAAGGTTCATCATACAGTCTTGATGAAAAACAGAAATAAAGTACGGATAAACCCCGAATGAGCCTCGGAAGGGACTGGGGACAATGCGGGGTACATAGCATATGCTGTATATTAAAGTCATAGATACCTGAAATATGGTCCTATTGATTACCAATATCAAATCTAGATGAGACTGGTGCCTAGCTAATACTTCTTTTTCTTGCCCAGCCATCATGCCGAGAAGCTGATTGCAGCAGATGACCCTTTCTGGCTTGTCAGATGATTCGATGTTACATACCTAGCTACTATAGGGAGGTGGGATCATTCAACACTTCAAGGTTAACGATAGAAAAACATTAATCTCCGGATTATTCCATATTTTTCTTCTATACGGGTTTGCTCCACATTCTCCAAGTTTTGACTCAGATCGTACAAGACTAGGACAAAAGATAACAGAATCATGCTTTGTATTTGTAGATAAACAGATAGCCAATCGATGCATAACTGGTGGGTAGGTATGATTCATCAAAACGTTCCAACCTTTGTTCCCGGCGTTCTTATGGTTGAAGAATTTTGTTCCTGTGTCCTTCATTATATAGAACATGGTGCCAAGTACAATGCCTATACTCCTTATATCACTGCACAAATCTCACAAAGGACTTGAGATAAAGAGGTACTATTTCAACATGCATTGTGTTTGGCATAAATGACAACGCCATTAGGAAGCGAGTAGATTCGGCTGTTTAATGTGCCCTACATGTTTTTCTGGTACATTCCCAGCATATAATTCTTGTTAGCTGGCCATTATATCATAGAAAGATCCAATGGAATTCCCTCGTCAATAGGTGAAAAAGATATCTACACAAATCTATGGTTAACGGTTAACTTACATTGCGCGTCTTATTATATTGAATCTTCGAAGATTAGCGAAACAAATAATTTTATACTTATATCACCTCCTGCTTTGTTTACTACCGCCGAAAGTTACAAGCAGTTTTTATAGCTATCATATACCTGTGAACAATGAGACAGCGTGGCTAGTACTTGATCATATTCAAGTGAAACGTTTCAAGCCTTTCAGACCTAAAAAGAAAGGAACTTCAATGCCCTTGTTCTCCAACGATGTCACAAACAGAAAAAGGGTATTACCTGCCTGCTATTTGACCACGATTATTGCCTCTTAATCATATATAAACCTACCAGTATTCTTCGTTTCTAGAATCTAGAAACATCAGTATCCATCCAACGTCCAAGTTAGAGAATCATCTACTCCAACATTTCATTCTTCTTTTGCTTCCACCACTATACACGTCACAATGCGTATCTATACTAGGATGCTAGGAACAGATGACGGTCAATGGGCCAACCCAGCATTGCCCTGTTGCATATTATGTGGTACACGGATAGAATGTGACGAAAATGCTCGCGATTTCTTCTCGCAAGTCCCCGGTTTAGAACCAAACAGTGTGCGATACAAAATACTCCCGGAGGGTGAGCTTCATTCTATGCTTGCTGAAGGCAAATGTCAGTGGAAGTCCGCGTACAGAGCCAGTGAGTGTGCTACGAACCTGTGTTTTCTCCCCTTTATATACCATGTCTATCCTTTGATAATTCAAGATTCGAATTAACAAATAATAGTTGTGAAACCTTTGGATGGACCTCCAATCATATCGGGTGCCAGCTATCGTCACCGTAGCTTCGGAGTACGTGGAGGATACACCATGGCTGTCCCCCGCCGTCAAGACACAGTTATCCTTGCCAAGGGGATAATCCACCCCAGAGGAGAGTTTCTCTGGTTTAAAGAGCCAGAACAAGATCCAAGTCTTGTGGAAGGGGCGCAGATAGGCTGGCCCATACATGAGTCCTGTTGGATGATGGCCGATAAATGCTTTAGGCGCGAATTCATTGAGAATAACATCGAGTTGTTTATGCATGCACTCGATGAAGAACACCGTCGCAAACGCGCTGATCGTGGAATAAACGGTCCAATAGACAGAGAATCTGGAAATTGGGGCTTCCTCCAGAGAGACCCCATGTATATACCAGAACTCCGACAGCTCGCGCAAATGGGACTTGAAAAATATCAGTCCAGCACTGTCGCGCAAATGAACCAGTCCACCTACAAAGGTGCCATGACTGCTAGTGCATTCAGAATCTCACCGGGCAGTTTCAGCCGACTACCGCTTGACATTGCCATGGAAATTGCCGGCTATCTCAGTGGACCAGACCTGCGCCGTCTGATAATAGCAGCCCAATGGAAATTTCCAAGTATATACTGGAAGCGAAGAATTCCGGCAGTTATTTTTGAGCTTTATGAAGTGCTAGCACGCAGAGATATCGATTGGCAGCACGTTGGACTGGAATATGACAGGTTGATGGAACGAACGAATGGAATCCATCATCGCCTTCGCCTAGCAGACTATTTGTCGCGGATACATGCGTCCTGTCACAACAATCTAGGAGAGGTTTTTCTCGAAGAAGGTCAGTTTATTACCTATGTGGATCTTTAGAGCAGCCAACAGGCCTTGGGAGGCTACCGGCAAGGGTCCATAAGACGATTTGTATTAAGAGTTTGAATTCGATGCTTACTTGTAATCCTGTGTTCATAAAGGCCATCTAATAATTATAGCAATATGGTTTCCATTCAAAAGGAAATACACTCAACAATCGTTCTGTTTCATTGGACCTCAACTGATTGAATCAACTAACTAGCGCATGTCTTAGACACGACTAGCCACGCCACATCAGCCATTTCCGCTGACTAGTCTGATGTTTAATTGTGCATCGTGTTATGCAGCGAATACTACTCAATGGTTCCAGCTCAGAGTACGATTTACGAGTTCCTTTGACTGTACGGAGTGCATGTGTAGGATGCACCAACCGAAGTATACCATCCACTGGGATCGAGTCTGTAGACTTATATTCTTCGGTCAACATCAAGTATCGAGGTGGAAGCTAACAAACATTTTCACGTCTTAGGTAATGCATCTAATGCATCCAACTTTGAAGCTGGCTTGTCTCAGTCTTGCTCTCCTTATCAAGTAAGATCGACACCATCTGTCACCCCGCAAGCCGACATCCGATGGCTTAGAGTATAGAGTCATTAGATTCAATAGTTAGTTGTTAATTAACAGGTACTATGCAGTATGCACTCTCGCCTAAGCACTAGCAGGCCGACAGAGTTCCAACTATCCATGTATTTTCGTGCTGATCGTCAAATGATTCTTGCTGCTCCGAGTCATGACTTAATAGGTCTCAGCTCGTCTTGGCGGACTCGTGCTTTTCTCCTCCAGATATTCCCATCTAACGTGTCCATCAAATACGAGACCTCAGCCCAACGTCTATAAATAAACTAATACGGTTCTGTTTTTCTCCGTATCTTCAACCGGAAGAGGTAATGATGACGAAGATGGCCTTTCTTTCCGACTTTCAACTAAACTCATACTGGACATAGTGTGAATCATTCCAATGAGCGGTGGGCGTCAGGCCTTGATCTTGCGATGTATTTCTTTTTTGTCAATGCCTTTGGTTCGTCATGTCTTAGCATGATGGCAGTTAGCAATTAAGAGAAAGGCATACACGTCACGATGGTTTTCAGCTTCTTTTCGAGGCTGAGATGGTTCAGCTATCCACTCAAATGTCTCACAGTTCGAGGCCATAGAGACGAAGCAATCATGCAGTAGCTTTCGTAAAGTCTAGTGAGTACCTTTACGTACTTCCAAAATGCTAGTCGTGGCATTGTCACGGCTGGGTATAAAAAGGACGACCTTCCTCATCGACAGTTACTTCTATCAGTATCAAGCACATCAGCAAAAAGCATCAAAATTCGTTGACAAACTTAACACATCTCACATCTGAGACTATTATATCAAGATTATATCAAAGTTCAATAACTCTCTCAATCAAAATGCGTACCTCTATCGCCACCCTCGCTGCTATCAGCGGCCTCTCCTCTCTGGCCTCTGCAGTCGGCAACGCAGTCGTCCTCAACAACTGCCCATTTCCCGTTTACGCGTGGTCTGTTGACTCCACTGTCAGTCAAGAATACACCATCAATCAAGGACAAACATACTCGGAAGTACTCCATGGCGATTCCACAACTGGCGGTGTGGCAATTAAAATCACTACCGTTGAGGGTGGACTCTACAACTCTTCTCCCGAGACCATCTATGCCTACTCCTTGACAAACGGCGAGGTCTGGTACGACCTGTCCGACGTTTTCGGCGACCCTTTCTCCGGCAGTCCGCTCACAGTGACAGCCTCGGATGCTTCTTGTGGCTCAATCAGCTGGCCCGATGGAGTGTCGCCCACTGGCAGTCAAGTTAATGTGTGCGAAGATACCGCTGATATCACTTTGACCCTGTGTTAAAACGGTATCTTTTTCCTTTTGCTTCTCTTCTCTCAGGATTCTCGGTTATAATTTTGTTTCGCATTTGGAATTTTGGAAATCGTGTAGATGAGCTGGATGAGGGTTTGTTTTCTCACGTGCAAGGAATGAACGATGACGCGTCCATCGAGGCTGCTCTTAACGGATTTCCAATATGTCTTTGATTTTATGTATTTGAACTTAATCTGTTGTGTCAACATTGGTTAGTTCAATGCGCGATAAATAAGTTGTTTTTCAAAATATAGTTGTATATTCACAGACGCTAGTTTCTAAAACGAATGCACTTATTGCGCATTCAATCATAAGCCGCTAGCTCTCATTGCAAACTGCTAGGTGATATCCACCCCGATGTCCTGGAGACGAATTAGATTTAGATCAAGAAATCCACTCTCTGTTGTCTTTATTTCGATATAAACACTTCATTTGTCGAGAGGAAATGAACCGACAAAATTGAACCTGACGGGTATTCAGTACAAAACCTCCAAAAAATTTTCGCATCATGCGTATGCTACCAGGATCCTCATGGACTCACCAGTCAATTACGTAGCTAGAACTCAAGGAGAAAGCCCAGCATGGAGAGACAAACCACGGATGTGATTGTAAACTGCGATGTCAGTTTGAATTCCAATTTGTGTGTTTCCAAGGGCAATGATCATTGACAGATACAGGTACGTATATCGGCTCTGCAGTCACCTTCTCTAAATATTCTACAGAACCATACAACTATACAAAATCCTAACAGCACGCATACTACTATATATATGACAAGCCCGAATCAGTTCATTATATCAGAGTTGTAAAACAGCTAGCCTATCACAAAATGTCAATATAACAAAAGTGCGTGAATAGAAGAAAGAGCAAATCCCATTCTCCGTCACAAACAACCCCCTTTAAGTACGGCGGCTCTCCAAGTTTGATTAGCAATGTAGATGCGAAAGGAAAAAGGGAGCACCAGGAACGCAACGCCGATCGGTGAAAATGTTATTCTCCGAAGACCTGCGTGCGCTACTTCATTTTTTGATTGGCGTTCTCTACGACAGCCTATTCAGGAAGCCAGGTGTGTACTCCGTTTCTGGGGCGTTTTCGTATAGCCATCAGGCTTTCAGCCAATAGTTATATTGACTAGTTATTCAGCCATCAGCAAGCAATGCAATGCAATCTTTGAGATGTGACTTGTATCTACTAACTGCTGGAGATTCAAGAATAAGAAATTACGTAGACGTATTTATAGAAGCACTCTTTGATGTGTCCTACACCGCATGGGAGTTTAAACAAAGAAAATAGCACGCACTAGTGAAATATCGGAGTGCAGCATTGGCCAGGGAGACATGAAGGGCCAACTCGGATCATATCCGGTAGGGTTATTGCTTTTCTGGGGGCATAGTAGGCTCCCAGCCATCTCCCGGGGTGTTGGCGCTGTCGGGTAATTAGGATAATGTCAGTGTTATTCGTCGTATTTGCTCTGGATCCGGAGTAATCTTACCGTCAATAACTCTGCAATTTTCGGAGAATGTTATTTTAAATGTGCTATGGACTCCGTAGTACAAATTTTTGGAAAAGGGATTTTCAACACAGTTCCATTGGACCAGTCGTGCTTCTTATCGCTTGATCCTTGCGCAGACCATTTGCGCCTAATTCAAATCAAGCTGCAAACATGCAACCAGTCAACTTGGCAATCTTCGGCATTTGATTCGATGGTAGTGCCAAGGGCTCTCGTTCTACTTGTTTTTTCTCGAAGGAATATGGATCCGTTTCTGAATACCAAACGTTTACTCGTTTGAAGAGGCCGCGAGCGGACTGACTGCTTGCAGGAGAGAATCCGTGCAGATCTCTCGACTCAAATATCTGATAGTTTGAGAGATTGTCCGGCTAGCTACTGTACGTCCGTGTGGATCTACAGTATGCTTCTCCACAAGGCACAAGGCCAATGCATCAGCTAGCTCAAGCTCCAAGCCCTAAGGGGGCTGTCAGCCACCGCCGGACTGCTAAGTATCTCTCGTTATCTGCGTCGGAGCCACCAAAACAGTAATTACAATTACGGCCATTGTGCCTGTCGATCATAACCTATGAGTAAGTACGTAAAGTAAACATATCTGACGATTCGAGACTCAACGACCTACCCTTTTTCTTCCTCAATCCATTCAGCCTCGCTTGTAAGGTTGGCCAAATGGGCCGAGACACCTTTAGATACTTTGTTCATCCAGTGTCCTCGGTACGTGCGTAGTTGTCACTGTCTAAGCCCGCAAATCATGTCCGAAATCGATAGAAGAAAAAAGAAACAAAAAGCACATCATGCCGGAAGCCCGATTTGCTCGTGTGTAAATGAGTGCAACGAGAAAATGCATAGACCAGGGTATGCCAGCAGAGTGCTGCTGTCCGCTCGGAGTAACAGAAAAGCTTTCTGCGGTGCGTTGCCGATAATGGAAGCCCTCCTTCCAATAGTAGCTAATGAGGCTTAATAAATAATTGTGATCAGTCCGTCCGCTCACAACGGCGACCTGCAGTGTGTACCTGATCGTCCAAGTCACAGCTTGAATCTGCCCAGGCGTGGCGTGTCCACACAGGCAAGTCCAGACCATGCGCAGCAGATACGTGCGTGTCTCTTTTCTTTATCTGTCCAATCATTTAAATGCCATCGGTGAGGAAGCTGAAGATGTACTCCGTAATTTGGTTAACTAGGCAAACATACTAAAAACAAGGCATGGTCGAGTTCTTATCCAGCCCATTTAGCGTAACTTCTGACTCTTTGAGCCGAACACGCCAGCCCTAACCAAATAGTCTCTCCTTTACCGTTCCAGGGGCGCCGAGGCCTTTGCTTTGAAGATCCATTCTACTACAAAATACGATTCATTCCCTCGCCTTCTGTCAAGACTTCTTTCTTTTCCTTCCTCATCCAGATCTCTCTTAAGTCCAGTCACTCTTTTGGCCAAACAACGCCCCCTCGTTGGTACTAGCAATCACTCTTTTTGCGATATCCAACATCCACTCTCTAAATCTTGGATTAACCCCGAACAATAACTATATCCATATAATTAATCTTTATTTGTTAATATATCCGTTCACACGTTCACAATGAAGACTTCAGTTGTTCTATCCGGCCTTGCCCTTGCAGCCTCTGCTACTGCTCAACTCGACAGTCTGATCAGCATTCCTGTCGGCCTCTGTGCAGGAGTTTTGGGTAAAGCCAACTGCAATCAGACCGAATCAGCCGCTGGAGGTTTGATCAACGTTCCTCTGAACGCCTGCGTTGCTGCTCTCGGCGACACCAAGTGCCAGCAGGCTTCCACTGCCTCCGGCAACCAGGGTGCTTTGATTAGTGTGCCTCTCAACGTCTGCCTTGCGGTTCTCGGTGAGACCGAATGCAACCAGAAGGCCACTGCCCCCGGAGGTCTCATTGATATTCCCATCAACCTCTGCCTTGCCGTCTTGGGAGAGGCCCAATGCAAACAAAACAGCGGCAGCGGCGCTTCTGGCACCGCTTCCGCCACCCTTCCAGCTATCACTAGCATCATCGGATCCGTTACCCTTCCGGCCGTCCCCAGCATTGTCGAGCCTGTTACTTCCTCCGTCGTTGCTGCTTGGACTTCCGTTGTTGGTATTATCCCCTCTGCTTCAGTCGTTCCTGGCCCCCTCGGTGCCAGCTCCGTCAGCGCTGTTGCTCCAGCTCCTTCAGCTTCAGCTTCAGCTTCTTGGCCTGCAGTTTCTGCCGCCAGCCTTTCATCTACCGTGTACGCTGAACAGACCAGCACATCTACCTACTGCCCAGGCAATACCCCCTCCACCCTGGTGCCTGTTCCCAGCGGTCCTGTCATTGCCCCTACTGGCGTCGTTCCCAGCCCTTCCACCAAGTCATCCACGGGTGTGACACCTGCCTACACTGGCGCTGCTGGTCACTTGGAGATGTCTGGATTGACCGTTGCTCTCGGCGCCATGGCTATCATTGGTTTCCAGCTTTAATTTGATGATCTCGCTGGTCATTTTGTTATCATTGTATCAATACCCAGGCGTTTACATGTTTTGACGACTAGACGTCTTAATTGTTAATTGAAAACAATGTTTGGTGGACTCTTCTCTTTTCTCCACGGCTCGGATAGCCAAAGTAATGTCTTCTTCGTGGATATTTTTAATAATTTGTTTTTCTCTTTGCTATACCCTTTCCACGGCGCTGTCTCTGGCACTGAGCAAGGTATACATAATTGTTATTCTTTATGACAGTTAATTTCCACATCCAAAAGGAACATGCAGGTTTGTCATTCGTCCTGTATTGGCTGCATATTAGTGTCTCCAGTCTACCTTTTTTGGTTGTTGAACTGTGCTCCCACAATCAGACTTCTTTCCTTTCATGTCTTGATTCGTTATGTTTGAGCTAGCTAGTATTCTAAATGTCTTTGTCGATTAACGTGATGGCAGCACTTACGAATGATTCCGTTTTCCTTTCTTCTCCAGTCTTTCTACAATAATAATCTAAAACCATATGAGGGGAAAATGAGGTAGTTTTCTTTTTTTTTTCTTTGGGGAAGAAAAAAAATAATCCCTGGCTTAAAGGGACATAGTAATCTATAAGGGGGGAACCTCCAATATCATCGCCTGGTTCAAAGCACTTAATTTTCGCAAGCTCACAGTGCTGAATGGCTCTGATATAAAACACATCAATTGCCTAGTTACAACTTGGGGCCTAAAAATGCCTAGAATTATCAAGATGCAGATCACACCTAAGACAATATTCTACATTCAAGTGTCTTCTCGAGAGTCTGGCCCTGCAAGGTTACGAAGGTATACGAACTCATCCGCGCGATATATATAATTCTAATCACTGGACCTAGGTAGCCATTCGTCCAGCTTGCAACCCTGGAACCAGATAATCTAAGGTGCCAACCAGAAAACTGGGATCTCCAATAAATACCTTGACGATACTGCATTCAATCCAGGTCCTAGGCAGTAGTTTAGCTTTGAATCGCTTCATAAGAGAGAAGCCATGAGCACAGTCGCCTATACCGAATGTGGTTCAAGAACCGACTATACTAGCGGCATCCCCATCTGGCCCGTTGGCCCAATGGTAAGGCGTCCGCCTACGGAGCGGAAGATTGCAGTTTCGAGTACTGCACGGGTCACTCTCTTTTTGCAGCTTTTTGATATATTCGAGGTCTTTACTTTTTCCTCGTTGATTTTTTTTTTTCTTTGGCTAGCTACTATTCTATTATGTCTCCAGATTATAGTGAAACCACGTAAGCCGTCTACCACTTTCTATCTCTGATCATTCTAACGGCAGTAACTACGGATGTCCGGAGACTATAGTATGAGGCGCACAGGGCAGATCCACAGCACCACCTATCTCAAAAGGGGATTATACTCCAACGATTAATGCTAAAAAGAACATCCCAATTGAGTGAAATATTTCATATCAGGTGACTATCTTCTTTCCACCTGCAGACGCCTGTTCGGTGTGTTAACCTATTGATCCAATATGAGGCGTTTCCCTTGCAGGAATGTCTTAGGGCTAGTTTCCCAATCGGGTATGTTGTGTCAGGTACAGATCTTAGCGTACGTGATCAATCAGATATGAACCACCGCACTATCACAGGGATGGTGGTACCCACGTCCTTTTTTCTTTGGCATCTCATTGACCTGTCTGTTAAATAAGTTTAACCAAAAATAAAAGAAAATAAACAAAAAAAAAAAAAAAAAAAAAAAAAAAAAAAAAAAAAAAATACGGTAATCGAAGGGTCAAAAGGCGGAGTAAATGTGGAATTACAACTACCACACGAGTAATCAGTCACATAGACACAAAAAGAATAATGATGATTACTGCTGCAGTAAGTCACTAGTATCAGTATCTAACATTTAAATTTGATACTGTATGAGGCGTAAGGAAGGAAATCCTTCCAGGCTTACACAATTACCCACCTACAGAAAAAAGACTCTTCCATGCATCCAATTTTACGATGGTCCACAGCATCAAAAGTCATATGCCAGTCCAGCACACAGGAGTGTACTCCTTACTGCTACTTCCTGTAACCTTGATCGTACACATCTTGCATGTGGCGTCTACTACTGGATTCCCATTCTGAGCGCCTACCCCTGTCCTTGTCAGAGTGGTAGTAGTCTTGGTTTGCAAGGACATCTCTCCTTCGTCGAGAATTTGTATATAAGTGTGCCTCTTGCCGACCTCTAATCGACTTCTTTTTCTCCATTATCAACAATCCCAAAAATCAGAAAGCGAACTTCTCTCTTCTTCTTAGTTAATATTCACTCGTTGACCAACTCGAAACACTCGTTCAGTTACCATACATCAATTAATAATTCCAAACTACCCCAGTCAAAATGCATTTCAACTTTGCCTGTGCTACTGCCTGCATCTTTGCAGTTGCTGCTCTTGCAGTCCCCGTCGAGGTTGAGAGAAAGGTCGTTGTTGTCCGCGCTGAAGTTTGCCCTGCACCTGCACCTGAACCTACTGCTACCACAGCTCCCGCTCCTGTTCCCGCTCCTGAAGTTACATCTACGCCTGAATACCAACCTCCTCCACCCTCACCTGCACCTCCTGCTGCACCATCTGTCTCTAACGCTCCGGAGCCGCAGACCACTACTGTTGTCGACAACAACAAGCAATGCTCAGCTGGCACTTCGGTCCACTGCTGTGACACTGTTGACAGCACCGACAACTCCAATGTCCTGAACCAGCTCACCGCTGCCGGAATTGACCATCAGACTGCTCAGCAGAAGGGCCAGGTTGGCCTGACTTGTAAGCATTCTCCGTTCTGAAAACCTTAGTACTTGACTTCGTTGAACAATGTTAACTGAACATCTTATAGGCACTCCCATCACGACTTCCCTCGTTGATGCTCTTAACGGCAATGTCTGCCAGGGAGCCGTCACCGCCTGCTGCGAGAACACCAACCAGGTAAAGCTCACAGTCATCGATGCACAATAACGAATGCTAACATGCCGTCCTAGGTCGGCCTTGTCAACCTCAACCTTGGTTGCACCATCATTCCCGTCACTCTCTAAGGAGCGCTGATGGAGCCCGAGACACCAAAACACGAACGAACGTAACGATTCCAAGGATTCAGCTATAATTTTAACGTGTTTTCGTTTGTCTTCAACAAGCACAGGAGCTTTCAAAAATTGGACCGTGCATATGTTCTTTTTCTCTCTATCTTTCAAGTTTATTATACGGGCTCTGCATAGCGATATGTCAACCACTTTTTGCCTTCGATTCTGAGTTGTGTTCTACGACTTTTTTTGTACTCCATCGTACTTTATACCGTGACTAGTCCTTCTTGTTGTAACTAGTCAGACAGTTTCTTCAAACCATTTCCTTGTGACTCTTTGTGTATTCATTTGGTGGCGAGTAGTATTATTCCGTCAATACAGTCATTGCTATTGTCTACAATCATAATCTCAAAAATTTTAGGAATGTATAGCTATTTGCTTCTTAGTCATAGAACCATAGTGTCACAGTTTGTGCGAAATTGGCCGTAGCATCCTATTGCATCAGTATTTCTTTTGTACATCTGATATCAACAGCACCCCTCCTGCAGTTTTACTACATGCTATCTTTGCCGGACCGTCGCTGGCTCCCTGAAAGAGCGAGGAGCGTTGGACGAGACAGGCATTTCCACCGGTTTAGCCTATAGCTTGGCCAATTGCTTAGAGGGGGGTATTTACTGGACAGTAATTTGCAAAATTCTTGTGTGGTATTTCGAAGTTTTATTCAGTCTACGTGCTTGTGAGCGTCATCTTTGCTTATGCTTCGCTGGATAGTTATCCAACTACCTCACCATTCCACTATACAAATTAATTTATAATGATCCGAGATCTTCTTTAGCCAATCAAGGGAGCTGGGTCATTAAGAAAGTCTTGGGAAAGAGTTGGAAATAACCAGGACACTTTTAAATACAAAAGGAATACCCTGCAAGCGGAAGGATCTTACAATCGAAATGTGGATACATTTGCATATTATGGCACCAAAAGACCGCCAAGGACATCTTTCTTCATCGTAAGATACCGATCATAAACCGAACAGTCCAATTCTAGTGATTTGCAATCAGATTGGAATGATTGGTGCTTTGTGCCAGTTTAGCGTATCAAAAGGTTCTGTCGTGTCTCTGACGTGCGAATGACATCCGGACGAATGTGGTAACCTTACAATAATGGCTTCGCAGGTTGATAACGCCACTGGCTCGAATATAATGATTGCTTCTTAATTCATAAATACTTGGGCCAAATATTCTCCTCATTATCTCTGCTAACCAGTAACGAAAAGTAACATGCTTCTTCTGTCTCGCCTCATCCAGAGAGAAACATTTCAAGTATCAATAATATTTCGAACGCAACAACAGTATCGCTCCTTCAGCGCCACTATTCCAGCCATGACACTCATCTCGCAGGCTATCAAGCACGACCACCGCGAGCTCGAGGATGCGTACAACAAGATTCTTAGCGCCAGCTCGCCTGACGAGCAACGTCGATGGCAGAATCAGTTTACCTGGGAACTAGCCCGCCACTCTATCGGTGAAGAGTTGCTCGTCTATCCCGCATTCGAGAAGAATCTGCCCGATGGAAAGCAGATGGCCGATAAAGATCGTGCTGAACACCGGAAGGTTAGCCACGATACCGTATAAAAAATAGGTTGTACCACATTACTGAATAGGGGATAGGTCAAACAACTTCTTCACAAATTTCAAGGCCTCAAACCTAACGATCACGAATTCACCCCAACCCTTCAGTCCCTCTGGTCCGACCTGTCACAACACATAAAAGAAGAAGAAGAGCAAGACCTCGTGAAACTCGAAAAAGCCTTGCAGCAATCGGACTCAGAGTCACTGACCACAAAGTTCAATCGCACTAAGAAATTCATCCCAACTCGTAGTCATCCCAATGCACCAGATAAGCCGCCTTTTGAGACTGTGGCGGGTTTGTTGGCAGCCCCGATAGATCATCTGTCGGATATTTTCAGGAAGTTTCCGGCTGAGTCGAAGAGTGAAATGCCTCCTTGACCAATCGATCATACTCTTCATGCAGCCTGTATATTTACAGTCTGAAAGAACTGTTTGATTGCTTCGATACGGTTGACGGTGGTCGGGGGCGAATCTGAGGCTTAATCAAAGTCTTCTGTAGTACTCAGAAAACTGGAATTGGCGTGACGACTAAATAGTTATACCTATTACATTTCCGAGTATATATTGTTCACAAAAATTGCACAAATTAACACATCTTTCATTTGATCAGGCCGTATTGCTTTTGTATTATCGATGCCATCGATACTGATATCAAATGAGAACAACCATTCGTTTTGATATTTTGTATGATGTACATTGCATTATACACATAGTAGATAGAAACTATTTTAGCCTGAGAAGTTCGGTTCGTCAATACTAGGTTGGAGGTCGTAACAATCGAGAATTCCCCCTGTCAATCTGACCGATAGACCACTACTTTCCACTGGCTTTCCGCTTCTTACTTGCAGGTTTTTTTTCAAAACTCTCCGCATAGACCTTAAAAAATCCTGGGGGTTCCTGCGGGTGTACACCAGTAACATCGTGGAATGCGGTTGTGGAAATGTAGTTGGTTTTACCTTCTCGGACTAGAGAATAGTACTCGAGTAAATACTCTAGTTCCGCTTCGTCACTATCAGATTGTGCTTTGAGAACTTTTTTGGCTTGAAATCTGTGGCCCATCATTGTTTGTCAATAAGAATCAAGTATTGATATATTGATTATGGGGTTTACGGCCGGCACTTACGGCGAGATATCCTCAAACTTGAGTTTGGTATCGAGTGCTTGACTCGCTGCCGTTGCAAGTTCGTCACCGGTAGTGAGCATCGGTCCTTTACAAATCTCCGGGTTAGATATAGCACCTTACGATATGGCCAGGCAGACATACCGGTCACCACCATGAGCTGTCCTCGATGCTTATCAGCGAAACCGTGTTTTCCGGTCCCAGTCATGACATGGGCAGCAACTTGTGCGACATCCTTGCATAAGAGTTCAGCCATGGTACGTGAAAAACAGAAACCAAAAAAAAGAAAAGAAAAAACAGAGGAGCTAGATCGACATACTCCAAGAGCCACCGGGGCGAATTTATGATTCGTTCCGATCGGAAGGGGTAGTACGCCTTCCTCCTGGGCTTGCCTGGAGTAGAGGAGGAGATTTTCGGCGTAAAATCCGGCTCTGCAGGGACAACCTACATTAGTGGCACAAGAGACCAAGCTGGAAAAGAAAATTCACCGAATAATAACAGGCGAATGTCCCGTAGACGTAGATGGATCCCCTTTCGTCGCCATTACCTGCGCCTCAATATCTATAAACTCCCTCAAACGAGGTTGCTTGTCTCGTTCTGAAATATCACATCCAGCCGATGACAATAGACAGACATTCGGTACATTAGCCTGTTTCGCAACCTCAATTAATTCCAGTGATATATCAAGCTTATCCTTGTGAGCAGGCGGGATAAGGCAGATTGCGTCGATCTGAGCATCTTTCAAGGCTTTAACAGCTTGCTTGAAACCTTTACCGGGGTTGTAAGGGACTATCTTAACACCCAAATCCCTAAGATCATGGCAGTGCTGCGAATCTGTGTCGAGTGCTAGCCCGGTCACGGATGAGACTTTTCGTTTGAATGTGCCATCAGTTAAGATCAACTCGGCGATCAGGGAGCCTGTATGGCCGTCGACGGCGGTGATCGCGACGTTACGACTCATAATACACACCTTTTAACAAATAGCTGAGAGGTAAATGTAATGGTGCTGTGAAAAATTCGACTGGGACACGTAAGACTGAGAGACTACATATGTCTTTTTGTAGTGGCGAGTAGCATACGGAAGCATTACAGCATCAATCCCATCCTTGGTTTTAAAAGCCAATACTACCAAGATCTCCTTTGGTGGCGGCAGGGAACATTATGTCTGAGTTGCGTCAAAGTCACTTAATATTCCTGGACTAGATCATAGGCGACGATGATCTAAATACTTGGAAACAACATTCACTACAAGGCCTCTTGCGTTTTGGTTGCGGACATGCAGCTCCCCAATGTGCTATTAGAAGTGAAGCGCAGGTACCCAATTTCGCATAACAAATTTGTACGCTTTTTCCAGTAGAATAGAAATCCAAGTCTTGTCAGACATTACATGTATCTCTGGTTTCCTTTTTCCGTACCTTGCGGTTCGCATTCAGGGTGGTTTCCGACAAGGAAACACCCTTTCAACTTCAGAGAATATCTCAAGATAGCTCTCTGCTCTTTTGAGAATCTCCTATTGATTCTAGACAACATTCAAGGCTCAACTCAACTTTAATTAAACTTGAACTCCCTGACTCTGGGCGGTTCAATTTGTCATATAGTATAAACTAAATTCGATCAGCCGCTAGTAGTAAGCAAGATGTGAAACACCGTTGCTACAGTCAATCCCAGGTTCTCCAGTCATATACTCGTCGTGAACCGTCATTATCCCTGGATGCATAATTCTATCAGCAGGAAACTCAAATGTATGCAACGGCTGAGAGCCCTGTGTATCCTGCGCGTCGTATGATGAAGGATCCCTATGCGAAAACATAGCTACTCTTGCTGTGGACTCTGGCATGGATATAAGACACGTTAATTGGCAAAACGGGCGTTATCATGAGAACCCGAGCGTGAAGGTCTTTGCAGGTGGCCAGAGCTCTTTGCGCTGCCAAATCATTCAAAGATAAGGCGACTAGCCAGTCGAGTCCTTTAGAAATATGAAGCTCAATGCGGTTCAAATCAAGGAACTCGCGCTTGCGACAAAACTCCAATTCTATCAATAGAACGGCTAGGGCTTGTACGAGATAGTGTAGGATACACCACCAGGGCGAGACCTCAATCAGCCACAGGGCTTTCGGACTATCCGTAGAAGACCGAGCATCCCACAAGCGGAGTTTATACATATCTCCGCTATGCCCTGTGAGCCTGTGCCAGAGTCTCGTGCACGATCTGTAGGTCGATCGATCCGACAGGGCTCTCAGAGGGTCGACTTATGGTGATTCTGGTGCTGTAAAAGCGGAAAGCAAGACTCCAACGCTGCCGCACAAATGGCTGAGAAGCATTCTGCTAGAACTGAAATAACTCTGGGAGGGTTTCTAGCCACACATCAGTTTTAGCTAACAGGTCTGCCATCGTGATAGTAAGATAAGATCAAGTCTTCGCTGCACTTCCTGGAGAGTATAATAAATCAATACTTTGCCGCATGATTGACGTCAAGTTCACAAAAGATAAAAAATACGATGAAATATTAGGAGTACGCTTGAATACTGAAGTGCTTGTCTGTTTCTTTGCGAGCACATTACCTATGTCGTAAATGTCGGACTTTCTGCTCATGAAATCTTGCATATAGCTACTACGAGATTTGAAGCCAGATAGTATAGCCGAGGCCGGTAATAATTGAAATTGCTCCTCATCAGATCGGATAGGAAGTGGTGTGGCGGAAGATCCGCTTGCAGCGTTTGAAGGACGTCCGGTCATTATTGCTAATGTGTCTTCCAACGTGTGGAGAGACCACCAGACCCGGTATAGAATCTCTTTAGATGAATCAAGCCTATCTTTGCTCTCACTCCGCAGATTGATCCCCATCGCCACAGCAGAGCTTAAAGCCATACCACATGCTCTCCACGCTCTGTATACTGTCAGTCAGATATGCTAGGAGAGATAGCTTACTTTCCGTGAGACAGTGACATGAGGAAGAAAGAGGTGAGACCTTCTATCTGCACTTGCTGCAGGTCCGGGTGATCGAACAACAGCGTTTTCTTAAGACTGAATCTAACAGCCTGCAAGAAGAAATCTTCCGGTATATTTATGTTGGAGGCCCAAGGTTGCCTCGTAAGGCGAGCATATCTAGCCGCTATAGCGAAGACTAGATTCGGGATTGCGAGCCACTTATTGCCGGGCTGAACTCAATTCTTAGGGTAGTATACTTTGCATTGTTGCATGAACGGTTATTCTCCAATTGTGGGAAAAGTAGCATACACAACGTGAAAGTACACCTCTAGCAATTTGGCCGCGGTGGCAGCCAACGGCTGGCAATACCCTTGGCCGTCATGTAGCGTAAGATTTTGGTCATCCAGGAAGTAACATACTGACCGGAGAGTTGACGAGTTCTGCGCCGATACAGTCGGCGCTTATGCTTCTGGCGAAAGGGCATTAACCTCCATCTCCGTCATCAGATCACATATCCATGCTATCTCAGAATGCCCGCCAACGAAGCCGATAGGTTGCAACTTTTGGTCGTTATGAAAGTCTTCTTCAATACTATCTGTATGCCACGAGGGGTTTGACGTAGAAGTGATTGGGTGCGTATAACTCGCGAGCTCGGATGGAGAGACAGCAGCATTATTGTACTACGAAAGAAACAGTCAGCGACGTTGGATATTTCATGAGATTATGGAGTGCTTGCATCAACTAACAATCGTTCAGGCAATTTTCTTTCTGGTGAATGTACTGTGGACTGCAGATGCTGTAGTAAATCTCTATATGCAGCTTTTTGTTGTTCTGAATCCGCCAGTCGCCTTATTCGCCATACTCACAGTACTTATTAGTCCTTCCGCTCTGTCGCTTCGAATGATGTGCTACTACTGACTTTTGCATTGCCTCTCGTTTGGCATCGCCCGCCCAATTGTTGTCTATTATTCTATTCGCTATGAATCATGTACAAAATATTAACTAGTATTGGCGCCATCCTCTGAGTCAAAATTGCCAGAGTCATTCTTCGTTAGCGCCAAGTTCTTATTACGAAGTGAATCGTGAATGTGGACGTCAATCCAACCCAGACTTTATCATGAGTAGCCACGAACAGTGGACCCAGCTATGATGCCAATACGAGTCTTCTGGGGATTACCCATCTCCAGAACACAGAAGAGCTTGCTGTCAGGTACCTTGTCGTTGGTATTCCGACTCTTATTTTGGCATTGTGCGATTGATGGACTTTGCACTCTTTCCCTCCTTTTCAGAATCACGGCTGTTGAAAAGGAACGTAATCTAGAGTCGACCCATCCCTTGCATATAGTTAAAGATTTCCGTATTAGGTAATTCTGGCTAATCCGTACGACGCCAAACTATTCCAAATGAGGAAAGTGTACGTGCGGCTGGCGCCATTTATCTTTACTCCTTTTTGCTTTTTTGAAAAAAATACCTTAATGATGCGTCAGGTCAGCGAGTGTGATCGTTTCGGATAACTTATTAATCGACCGCCTTATGTATTTCGACGTCGTCGCAATAGATCTGTATACATATGTTTTTCGTCTCTCATGCTAGAAAGTACAATGTCTGCAACGTTATGGAAGTGACAAATATATATGTGTGTCTATGAAGAGGAAAAAAAGAATCAGTATGCATACATTGAATTCGGCAAGGTAATCTCAAACCTCAATGCCTCTACATCCATCCCCTCCAGCAAGTCGGGATACCTGTCAATAAACTCAGCCGTCAACCCCCAGCCACCCTCACTCATAAAAACCGTTTGAAAATCACTTCTCAGTTGTAACTTATCATCCGCATCACGCTCTAACATATCTTTACCCCATGGCCAGCGCACCTTTACACAACAACTTAGGTAATCAACCAACTCAATGAGGTCATATGTCTGCCATTTCAGTATGATATTCGACCTCAACTGCGGCCAGATAATCAGGTCTAATCCCGCCATATGGTCCTCTTCGAGTTGGACCTTATTTGGATGTTGAAAACTGGCTAAGCGCGCAAAGGTGGCTGGAGTCGGCGATGCGCGCCACTTGCTATAATTATATACGAGACAACCCAACGCAAGGCATTCGGCATCACGCATTGCACGCCCTCGGACTGATTTGTTAATCTTATTGGCCAGATAGTTGCGCCGTGTACCGTAAAGAAGGTCGAGCGGAGATGGTTGCACGGGGGAAGCAGCTATTAACTCTGGGTGATCAAACCACGCCTGCGCATTTTGCAGAGGGAAAACAAGGTTATTATTTTTGTCGAACTTGTTGAGAGGCACGCGACACCAAGCTGGCGCCCCAGGTTGCAATCCCACTGCCGAGGAGGGTAGATTAACAACTGCATGGGCAATGGGACAGACTTTAGGCGTTATAGTGCCCGTAGTGGTGGTGGGAAAAGGTGAGGGTGACAGTGCTCCACGAAATGGCATCTCGGTTGGTGTTGGTGTTGTGTGAATGCCATTCGTAACTATCACCATCTCGGAAGTTGCAGGTGAAGTAGTACTACATGTTTCCTGTTGTGTGTCTCTATTTGGCTCGCTATCCTTCTCCTCAGTCGCGTCCCATGAGACCACCATCTGGCGCAACCGCTGCTGGCGCTCACGTAACCGGTTATTCTCTATTCGCAGTCTCTCCAGAGTAGCGAGAAGCTCCTGAACGTATGCAGATTGAGCGCTGGCTTCAGAGCCATGGTTTCTCTCGCAAAACGCAACGCGGTCTTCCAGTGCCTGCATCCGATTTTGTCGCTTTTCTCTGAGAGTTGCCTGGGCTTTTCGGTCCCTCAGCCGCTTCTTCTCCGATGAAGAAAGGATAGCTGTGCTACGTTTGGCTGACATTTCTCTCTCTTCTTCCAGCTGTCGACAGATCTCTTCCTGGTTCAAGCATTCTCCAGGCCCTGGAATGTGGCTTTCCGCTTTATTCGCTGTCGGTTTTGCACTTTGCAAGCATTCAGTTATGAATAGACTGGCACTAGGCTGTACACGGTTAGGCGTTTCTGCAGCTGGCAAATCACATGTGCTAACTGTGCTTAGTCATCTGTGCATAAATAACAAACTAAGTTAGTTAACTGCATAAATGCCTTACTGGATATCGCCGTTCCGAAGCTTTGATGAAAGGGAAATTTCTGTGTATTAAATGAATGTTCGCCACTGAGAGGCTTACTATAACTACAAAAGGAATCTATGTGTCTAGTATATATCTATTACGTTCCCGCCACTCCGGAGCTTGAGTGCGTCCTTCCTCCTTAGTCCAGATTGACCGTGAATTTGGTCCTAATAGCCTTGCCATATCGGTTGAAAAAGATGGGAACCGGTACAAATGCCAATGCTATGAACCCAAGCAATGAGTTCCCCCATCCTAGTCCCAGAGTAGCAAACATCCGAGGTCCCGCCAGCGGCAACAGAGCACCAACTAGCGAGCGCGTCGCGGTCATGACGGCCACCGCGGAGGCCGCATAGGCCGGATAGCAATCAATGACATACGTCTGCGAAGGCAGGAAGAGGCCCATCATGCCAACACCAAAAGGGAACATGCCAATAATGGGCACTATCCATTGTACTTTCTTATCGGCCGACCAGCCGTACCAGAAGAAACTGATAGGTGTGATACAGGAGAAGATGATCATCATGACCAGCCGCATTTCAGGCTCAAACTTCCCCCCATTTCGGGCCGTCAGTCTCATGACAGTTCTGTCGTTTGTCAACGCAATGACAATGAGGCCGACAAAGAAGCCAACTCCAATTCCCAAGTAGGCAAGGCCCGCCAGACCAGTGGAGAAGCCGTATTGCGCTTGAAAGACATCGGTGATAGTCGTGAAGAAGAGGTATAGCATGCCATAAACCAATGACATGTATAAAGAGAGGAGAGCCACAATGGGCGACTTGAAGAGCAAAATCATGGGCCGCTTCAGTCCCTGTCTGAGGACCTGGCCTGTTGACACGTTGGCCTGCTGCCCGGCAGGATCATATCCACTGCGCAAATCATTCCGACCTAGCTCCTTTGCCAGACGGGCTGTCTTCCATCGAATGATAACGCGGGCATAGGTCTCGCGGTTCAGAACTTCAATCAATAGAGCCAAGGCGCCGCCCACAATCAGCAATATCCAAAACACCCAACGCCAGCCAATTGTTTCGCCAATGAAGCCACCTGCTATAGGGCCAGCAACTGGGCCGATCAATGGACCCATGCTCCAAATTGAAGTTGCCATTGCACGCTTCTCCACGGGAAACAGGTCGGCAATAACTCCGGCTCCGAGCGTGACGCAGCCAACACCGCCCATACCGGCAAACAAACGAAATACGATAAAGGATTGAACGTTCGGGGCGAGGGCACACCCAATCTGCCACACAATAAAGAACCAGTTGGCGCCGCTGAGCACAATTCGGCGGCCGTAGATTTCGCTGAGGGGTGCTAACACCAAAGGGCCAACCTAATCATGAGTGTTGTAAGTAATTATACCCCCTAGGAGCAGTTATCTCAAGTGCACTCACCGTATATCCCAGAAGGTAGATAGAGACAGAGAATGAAAGCAGAGTTTCATTTGTCACATTGAATTCCTCAGCCATGTATCCCACTGCGGGTGCAAACATACTCGAAGCGAGAGGCGATATGAACGTCATGGAACTCAGAAGCGCCAACAGGCCCCATTTCCGAGCTGGAAGGAAGTTTAGTGGATTAGCTGGGTCGTCCTTTCCATCCCAGCCGACAATGCCATTGTCAAGGTCTGTTTCCGGGTAGAGGGGAGGGGAGTCCTGCGCGCGGTCATCCTTGAGGCCGTCTTCACTCGTAGTTTCTCCTCGAGGAGGTAAAGGGTTTGATAGTTCCGCCGTCTTTTCTACCTCTGCGGCGGAGGAAGCTTGGCTCTCGAGATCAGTCATGGCTGAGAAATTGGCAATGTCTTTTGTCTCTCCCACGTTGACTGCAATGCCGTCGAGCACAACACAAGGAGTTTTACACGGAAAAGGTATAAAATTTGAGACTCGAGGCTGAATATATAGGGTAGCTCCAGTTTCCCCACAGAAGGAGCCATCTTCACGAGCCACATCAATGATTCAGCGCCGGGGATAAGTAACCAATCTCCACGTCCAAAAATATTTTTACTCATGACTCCACTGATGGGCTCTCTTCGTTCATTGGGGAGAATTCGATGAGTCTTCTCGTGTGCTGCGCAGGGCAGTTCGGGCCTGTATGCAATAAGGCGGAGGTCGAAACAAACAGCCAATCAGTGTTAAGCAGCTCGTCGGGAGCTGAATCAGTGTTTTAGAAGGCTCTGATTGGTGTCTATTATCGGCAAGACAGGTTGAAGACGCTGAATCATCGACATAGTCCAGGTGCTAGGTATCAACAACTGTCGTTCTAGATCTGCAATACACGTTTTATGCACACAGAGACGGGCCTGGCTGGTTCCGAGGCTGGAGTTGATCTTGATTGTAAATTATGCATAATTCGCCTGGGCTGGTGTGTAACTACACAGTGTACCCTCACTACCTAACTAATCAGAGGGCCGGCAGAAGCAGACCAAGATGACTATATATCTATATCTCACTGCCCCCTCGTTATAGAACGTAGAGTAGAGGGGTTCGGCAAAACCTCCGACCTCGCCGAGGCTCTCCGCAACGAATTCCCGAGATAAGAGACCTAAGAAAATCGGAGTCGCAGTATCTCCAACGCATTCTCTAGTCCAATTGATACGGCAATTTACAGATATTTCCGGAAGGATAAGCTGATATAAAAAAGCATATTTAGTTTGATTCATTTCTGATCTTGTTGTATTAGACAGAGAAACAAATTCATATCTTTTGTACCAGTTATATAAACTTAACCAAGAATAATTCTTCTATTTCATTCTTCTTATTATTTTCTCTGCAAAATAAAAGAAGATAAGCATGTCTCCAACGCGTGAGGAAATCGCAAAACTCGCCTCATCCCCCGCCCACGAGGCTCGTCTACTATGCCGTCACAACCTCGTAGACACAACATCAGGTCTGGCCGGCGACTACGTGCAAGCAAACCTGGTGATTCTACCATCCGCATACGCAGACGATTTCCGCATGCTCTGTGCCCGCAATCCGGTGCCATGTCCCATTCTTGGCGCGACGCCAGTCGGAAACCCTAAAAGGATCATACCAGACGCATGCATTTCATCAGACAAGGACGATTTCGATATTCGTACTGATTTTCCCTGCTACCATGTCTTTAGCACAATAGAGAGCGATGGCAAGAAAAAGGTCATTATTGAAAAGAAGACGAATCTTCTCAATGACTGGACAGACGACCACATAGGATTTCTGATTGGGTGTTCATTCTCGTTTGAGCAGGCGCTCAGCCAGCGAGGTCTGCGACTGTGTCATCAGGAAGACAACAAAGTGGTGGCTATGTACCAGACAAAAATTCCGCTACTCCCCGCTGGCATCTTTCATGGCAGCGGGTTTGTCGTCAGTATGCGCACGTTTCAGCCCGAGGAGGTCGAATTAGTTAGAGACATAACCAGGCCGTATCTAGCAGCTCACGGAGAGCCGGTGGCTTGGGGATGGGATGGAGCGCAAAGTATTGGTGTTGAAGATATTAACAAGGTGAACTATGGTGATGCGCAAACCATTCGAGAAGGAGAAATTCCGGTCTTTTGGGTACGTGCTAGATATTCTCCCGCCTCTAGGTCAAGTGTTAATTGTCTGTCTAACGGGAAAAACACGAGCAGGGCTGTGGAGTCACACCTCAATTTGCAGTCGAGAAAGCGCTTGAACGAGATGCGATCAAAGGTACAGTAATGTCGCATCAGCCGGGGCGTATGCTGGTCACGGATTGGAAGATTGTTGATTTTTTAAAGTACACTCAAGAGCAACTGGGGTTGAGTAGGTGAAAATCTGGAGAATGCATCGTATTCTGTGGGTTCGAAATTCAAGCGTCAATATGTATTTTGCGTGCATACAGTGGTTAAATTTGATCGGAACATGCATCGAAGTCCGTACTTCATGAAGAATAAATAATACATGCGTCCGTATCGGTACATACAGAAGCCACTGAACCATGGGCCGCTTCCGTGTGTGACCACATATTCTCACGCCATGAGTGGCCTGTCTGCCACCCTCCAAGCCTCAGGGGCCCACCCATTCCACATGCTGAAACACGCTGTTGCTCGACTAGATTTGCCTGATTGGGCTAGAGCCATACTCTAAGTCTCCAACATTCTCCGTAGAGCTGCGTGTAATAAATTACCGTATCAAACCTCGATTTCACGTGGCCTCGGATAGGCCCGCCAATCATCTCCTGCACCAATTGGATATATAATGTTGGACGATAGATACGGCGTCTTTACGTGCAGAGATCTCGGCGACTAAGCCAAACGTGGCTGCAGGTTATACTTTGTATCACCAACTATTGAAGTATGTACGATTGCGCATCATCAGAGGAGAGGATAGGAAGATAGAGACATGGGCAAACTAGGTTCAGCCGAGTCCCTAACTAAGGGTATTACTCACTGACTACGTGACTTAAGTGGTCCTAGTAGCAATTAGCAGGACTAGTTGCATGCAACGGAATTGGAAGTTTTTGGCCCCCGAGCCTTTTTTCTTTCCCTGCAGGGAGGATCACCCAAATTTTCAGTCACTGGATATTACCAGTCGTTCTATTGGGCTGGGCCTTCGTTCGATTCCTTCTTTAATAATCCTTTTCCCCATTGATGGCCCAATGCAGCATTGCATTGCATTGCATTGCGTGGTGTGAGAGAATTTTCTTCTTTTTTTTTTTTTGCTTTATATTGCCGTGCACGTAGCAATATGAAGTAGAGTAACTACTTTGAAGATCAGCAAGGAGTGCCTCCGTAGCCTATAAAATTGAGGGATTAGTACAGAGCTTAATACACGGAGCCAGGAGCAGTAGTTACCCGTGCTATATTATAATAATTATTACAACGCTATCCCATTCATGCCGAACCGTGGCAAATGCGAATAATACTTACTGAACGGCGAGTGTCAAAAGCATGGTTTTTGTTTGATTATCTAGCGATCGCCAGGAGGACGTTGAGTGGATCAATAGCGTATGTTGTATAACTATAAACTATACTAACAATAAGGCATGCTCCGTACTCCGAAAGCAACAGATTGGTAGCGAATACCTCGTCCAACTAGTTTCTGAAGTTCGTACGCCAAATCCTGCGGAGCCGATCTCCTACTACTTCGTATCCGAGGTGTGATGACTGATCAATCCGTTGGTCTTGTTATGATAGATAGTATGCAGCGCTCGCTGCCTATTCCAAATCTGAACGTGGCACAACACATTCCCGTGCGACAGCCATCTTCAGCGGGTTTTTCTTCCCAGTCTCCAGTTCAGAACAGAAAAAAAGAATAAAATACAACTCAATACGTTACTATTGCCTCGTGGACGGCCGCCAGGTGGATGCTTTTGCCGCGTGGTGGAGAGTCCGTGCAGAACAAGATACTAAACAGCAAACACCGAATAGTATCGTATCATTTGCTGGGAACGGACACTCCGTAGTGAAAAAGTCAAATACAGCGAGAGGGCATATTAATATACTATTACTATTATTAATGCTTATAATAATGCAACCCGCTCAACTACTATCCAGAAGGCTTGTCTTACGCGTGGATAATCATTAATGCTGCATTTTTGTCAGGTCCCACAGCAGCAGAAGCTAATACTAAACAATACTAAAAGAAAATAAAATACTTGTCCACCCCAGGCTGGGTGTTTCTTCTTGCTGCTGCACACTCCAACCACAGTCGCTACTGCTTGTCTACGATCCAGCCACAGGAGGACGGAAAGGAAAGGGGGAAAAAAAGGAAGAAACAAGGTAAGGAGAATCCAATCCGTCTTGCTGTCCTCTTTTTCTCCTCAAGGGGGCCGTTCCGGCGCACCCAATCAGCTGCTGCGCCTCTCGAGGAATGCCCTTTTTTTTAAGGGCCATATACCCTGCACGCTGGATGCATTGCTGCTGCATGGAAGGGGGAAGAGAATGTTAGAATGGAAAGACTTGCATATTAATGTAGTAGTATAATGGTGTACCATGGCTGGCTTCCCATCCCTTCCGTCCCATCTTCCGTGTTCAACCATTCAAATACTACGTATTACCAAAGTACATTGTCCCGAGCCGATGCTAATGTGAGGTCAACGACTCTGCAGGTTTCTTTCCACGCCTTCACACGGAAAGCTTCTTGAAGCGCATGCCCTAGTCGGTCGGGTTATATACTGTCCAACACACCTCCACGGAGTTGCCAATTATACACGCGACAGCTCCAACACATGTGTCGGAATTGGTTATACCGAAGATCCATCCATCCAACTCGGCCGGTGGCCAAGCCAGCAATCAATCGTCTTTGAGGTTGGTTTCCGTCTCGCTCTCCTGCCTCGTTCTGTCGACGCAAAACAAAACCGGAGCTGTCAGCCATGCGAAGTGCGTCTCTACATCTCTCTACAACAGACAGGCTGCTGCTTGGCTCAAAAGGCTTTTGCCGAAACTATCCGGGGGGGAAATCACATAAAGTGCAAGCGAAAATCGTCTAACATCACCAGCAGGAAGTCTCGCGTCAAAAATCGCCATCATGGGTTGTATGAGTTCCAAGGTCGAGCCGGAGGACAAGGAGGCCGCCAGGGTCACGGCCACAATCGACAAGCAGATTCGTTCCGACAAAAAGACTTATGATCGCACAGTCAAGATTCTCCTACTGGGTGTGTACTTGCTTCTGTCTTCCTAACGAACTTGGTACATTTTGCTCACGACGTGCCATGCCATGCTAGGAGCCGGAGAGTCGGGGAAGTCCACTATCATCAAGCAAATGCGTATAATCCACTCCGGCGGCTTTCCGGAAGACGAGCGTCGGCAAAATCGCGCTGTTATCTACTCCAACTTGGTGGTGGCATTCAAGGTTTTGCTGGAGATTATGCAGACACAGAAAATCGACTATGAAAAGGAGGAGAGCAAGGTAGGTAGCTCTCGTTAGGAGAGGAGAATACACATCAATAACTAATCCTGTGCCAGGCGCTTGGAGAAACGCTCTTGAAAACCGAACCCGACGTCGATACCGACGAGGCATTCTCCGACATCACTGTTCGAGACGCTATGCGAGATATATGGGGCGATGCTGGTGTTCAGCAAGCGGTTGCCCGAGGTCATGAATTCGCACTTCACGATAATTTGCATTAGTGAGGCTCAACCACGACCATCATTTCTCTGTAGGATGTCAGACAGCGACTAACCCAACCCGTTTTCAGTTTCTTTAACTCGCTCGACCGTCTATTTACACCGGGTTGGTTACCGGACAACCAAGACATGCTCCATTCTCGTCTTCGCACAACCGGTATCACCGAGACGCTCTTCGAATTAGGACAGCTTAACTTTCGCATGATGGACGTCGGTGGGCAGCGCTCTGAACGAAAGAAATGGATACACTGTTTTGAAGGAGTCCAATGTCTTCTCTTTATGGTCGCGCTGTCTGGGTATGATCAAAGTCTGCTCGAAGATCAAAACGCGGTATGCTTGAGGCTTTCCTCTGTAATTTCCATGCCAACATCTAACTTTTTTTTGGTGATATTAGAATCAAATGCACGAAGCCATGATGCTCTTCGAATCCCTAGCGAATGGCGAATGGTTCAAGAGAAAACCGATCATCCTCTTCCTAAATAAAATGGACCTTTTCAAGACCAAACTCCCACTATCGCCCATCATTAAGCACTTCCCCGACTATAGCGGATCTTCCACGGATTTTGACACGGCCGCCAAGTATTTCTCTGATCGATTCCGCAGCATCAACCGAATGCCGGATCGAGAAATCTACATTCACTACACCAATGCGACGGACACCACTCTCCTGAAAGCCACCATGGATTCGGTGCAAGATATGATTATTCAGAAAAATTTGCATACTTTGATACTATAACTTTGAGCGTTTTTACAAGCAAGCAAGTCAGCCACATCCGAAGCGTCCGTCCGTCCCTTTTGCCTAGCCCACTCTTTGCTATGAACGAATCTCGTCTCTTGGCTTCGCCAGCAGTTTCTTTTTTTCTTTTTCTCAACACTATAGACATGCATCATCGACAGCCTGTTATAAAAAAAGGCGATGCAAAATCAGTGACGTTCTCGCTCGTCTCTTGTTTCTTCTTCTTCCAAAACATTCCGTTGTGGAATTCTATGAGATACCTTGTCATGATTATCACGCCACTTATGCTCATCATAGCATGCGACTATTATCTCGTTATATGTTCTTTTTCACATCTACTTATTGACCAGGAGGTTCAGGCGTCAGATTCTTTGTCAAAATATTGTATATTTAATTACCAGTCCACACGGATGTCTTTTATCATTATTCAATATCTACCTATCATAATGTATTTGCACACAGTCTGGGATGGATACATGCAAGCTATATAGTTGTAACTAGAAAAAAGAATCATTGACATTAACCACTTGGCACTAGAACAAATGTATATAGGGTTAGGGTTAGAATAGGGTTATGTATCCATACTGCACCGCCTCACCGCCTTGTTCGGTCACACGCTCTCTGACTTCGCCTTCCGAACTCCTCCAAATCTCCTCATCCATTCCCCTCGACCAGAAGAGTGAACAGCCGGACACGCCTAGCAAGCCCGGTTGACTTCACCATGTTATCCTCCTCCATCCGACGTGCTGTCCGCACCACCTCGTCCACTGTTCCCTTCCCCAACGTCCTTCTGCCCACCACCGCGAACGTCGCTGGAGTCAAAAGCGGCCTTTTGCTGGGAGAGCACAACCGGCGAGCGCAACACCAACGCCGGTATTCGTCTTCTTCAAAGCCACCAGTGCCTCCAAACGATGGTTCGCGTCCAATCGATACTTCTTCTTCTTCTTCCCAAGCTCCCGCCAAAAATGGTGTGAGCAACAAATCTGCGGCACAGAAGCGTGAGGGTGGCAAGAATAGTAACAAAGAACATGGCCGAAAAGCCCCTTCAAAATCAAGACGAGCCTATTCCACTTTCTTGAATTTGCCCAGTGTGCCTTCAACTCAAGACATGCCCATGCAAGGTATGACTGCGCTGCTTGAAGAAAAAAAAAACTTTTTTTTTGTCTCATCAGCACCATCGCTAACAAAAACGCTTTTAGATGTACATCTTGCCTCGTTCTTCTCATTCCATCGGCCCATATCCGTCAGCAATTCAATTCCTCCGACAACAAATGATGACGCTTTCAATGCTATCTTCGAATCGAAATCCATGTCTAAAAAGGGACGAACCGACGTGATCAATACATTAGCTTCGGCGGTGCAGTCCATGGAGCATGCCTACCACGGCCAGGATGACTTGCGGCATGCGGTGACGCATGCATCGGTCAGCAATGCAGACCCAAGGATCATACACCTTGACGACGTCTCTGAAGAGGAGCTCCACACCTCCATTGCCGAGTTCGCCCGACGCCTCACCCCCTTCAACCCCCCAGCGGCACCCAAACCATACAACGCAGAAGAAATAGCCGCCGCGGAGGAGGGTCCTGTTGATGTTGTCGCTGAAGAAAATCCAAACGTTCGAACGTATTCCACCGTCCTCACCATCCGCGAAACAGCCTACGCAGATGGTCAACGGACCTTCCAGACGTACGTTGCACCATTAGTCCCGGAGGAACAACACGGAGATATAGAAGCACCAAGCGCCAACGAAACGGCACTCGACGAACCAAACAGACCAAACTCATCCTATATCGAGCGCACCGTTAACAATACCATGTACGCCATCTCCGTTCGACGACAACGGAAATTGAAGATGAAGAAGCACAAATTCAAGAAATTGCTACGAAAGACGCGAACCCTTCGTCGAAAGCTTGACAAAGCTTAATCTCTTGTTCTCTCTTTTTTGGTTTTCCCTATCATCTCCTTTTCCTTCCTCTTAGGCATATATCTCCTCCATATCTGTTGGCGTTAGCTCTTTTTTTCTTTTTTCTTTTTTTCCCCCCTATTTTCATTTATTTACCCATTACACACATGTTCAGAAATGTGTGTATGTTATTGTTATCATTTCTCCTTTCTATCTAGAATATAAACAATCATAACAATAACACTGGATATATACATACATATACACTTGTCTATCTGTGTCCTTCTACTCAATCCTATATCCGGAGGTTTTATTAAACAGATATTTGGATTCCTATCTATTCATAACATTCCAGGTTCAAAATTCTCTGGTCTGCTTAATATCCAGGCACCAAGACGAAGCAAAACAGCAAGCACACTTTAATATCATTCGGATCAGTATAGTACTCTACATAGTCCGTCGCCCATCTTTCCGCTAGAAAGCTACCTACCTACTCATCCTGTCCTATCCTTTCCTTGCTTCCTCCACTCGTTAAAACAAAAAGAGAACTCATGATGGTTGATGTATTCAAATATATAACATGCACGAATAACGGGGAGGAGCCCGGAAAAAGTAAGGAGAAAAGAGATCATGCTTTACATTTGAGATACACAAAAAAAAATAAAAAAGGGAAATTGTTGAGAATGGTACCAGACCGGATCATGTTAAGATCAGGCTAGACCATGAATGTGAGAAACGAATCGAATGATCAGAATCTGAATCAAGCAGACGCATGCATCTACCTTTTTTAATCGATCAGTTGATCATTCGATGCGAGCTTGTCTTGTTCGTTGGTGATGTTTGCGGGTACCTCGAATAGACCGATCGAGACATGTAAAGAGTTAAGAGAAGAATATCCCTATCACATGCACGTGACCCATCCATCACCATCACCGGCGTGTATTATTATGAGCTTAGGTAGCATTCGCCGCGTGAACGCGAGTTCATGAGAAGGGCGACGATAAGACCGTAGAGACCTGTATCACGGTAACAGTTAGTAAAGATAAAACGAATCGACCAAACAAGACAGAAAACAAACTTACCCAAGACTTCCGCAAAAATGAGAATAAGAATCATTCCGACATAGAGTCTGGGCTGTTGGGCAGATCCACGAACACCGGCATCACCGACAATACCAATAGCAAAACTATGTTCTTTGAGTCAGCACGATCGTAGACATGGCGATCTAGAAGAAAATAAACATACCCAGCGGCCAGACCAGCAAGACCGACAGCCAAACCGGCACCAAGTTGAATAAATCCAGTGTAGAGTGGCAGACGTTGATTCAAGTCATTGGCAATCAAGACCGACACGACCAATCCGTAAATAGCAATGATACCAGCCATGACAATGGGAACGATGTCTAGGGAGAAAAAAGACAGGAATTAGTACGAAGGCTCTGCATACCGAACACGCGGTGCAATTCCAAGGTGTATACATACTCCTAACAATCAGGTCAGGCCGAAGAACGGCCATACCACAAACACCAACACCAGCCTTGGCGGTTCCATAAGCAGCACCAAAACAGGTGAATACGATGGCCGAGGTGCAACCCAGGGCGCCAAAGAAGGGCTAAAAATGGTTATGTTAGCTGCCTGTTACCAAGATACAGAAGCCGTGACGCTTCAGCTGGACGATCCGAAAGTGGAACGCGATATTTGATTGGTACTCACCGCATAAACCGGACTAGAAGATTGAAAGAATTAGTACCGAGATGAAGCTATTCTTCCAACCACTTATATGGACAAGAGACGAATGGTCGAGATAACCCAGGCGGAATGAAAGCTGGAGGACAACTTACCAAAGATCGGTAGACATCTTGTTATAAAGAGCGACAGCTGGCTTCTTTCTCAACAAAAAAGCTAGTTGGAGCTTGGAGAGTACGGCCACCCGAGGTCGGAGAAGGTGTTGTCCTAAGGTGGTAAGGGTAAGTCGTAGGGGGAGACGTTGATGAGGCGGGCGAGGAATGAAGTTCTTGGTCCGAGTAAGCTCGCCCATCCGTGTCACGTGGAGGCTCTTGGCATGCCAGCTCCAACTTCTTTGCATATACACATTTCCTCTCTCTTTTGTAAGCAGATGTTTATGTTTACTTTTGACATGCAAGCGTATTTATGCAGTAGTGAGATATTCTACGAATATTCGACTGACTTTTCTGGCTGATCTGTATAGTAAGACCATTATAGAGATCTATACGGAGACAAGGACTGGGAATTGCACCGCTCCGGGGTACGGGCTATGAATTAGACCGCTGCTAGATATATATACACCCAAGACAGGGATATTTATATGTATTATGATGAAAACCAGTGAATACCGTGAATACCGTGGATACCGTGGATATCTCCAAATATGCCATCTAGAACAGTCCTGATAACCGGTTGCAGCGCAGGAGGCATTGGCTCTGCCCTTGCTGAAGAGTTCCACGCCAAAGGCTTCCGTGTCTTTGCTACTGCACGTGACCTGTCAAAAGTTGCACACTTGAAGGCCATGGGCATGGATGTTTTGGATCTCGACATTGAAAAATCCGCGTCCATCAAGACTGCGGTGGGCGCAATTACTGCCTTAACCGGAGGAACGCTCGATATTTTGGTCAATAACTCGGGTCTTGGTTCGTGATCCCAAGAATTTCATCGCTATCTAATAGCTCTTCAGCCTAACTGACTTTGCAATGTTTATAAAGGTCAAGCTGGGCCCATTATCGATTCTGATATAGAGTATTCCCGCAAGATGTTCGAAGTTAATTTCTTTGGCCGCATGGCTGTAACTCAAGCCTTTATGCCGCTCATTATCAAGTCTAAAGGGATAGTTCTCAATATTGGAAGCATTGCTGGAGTCTGCCCACAGCCATGGAAAGGCATGTACAATGCCAGTTGTGCTGCCGTGCACCACTGGAGCGATACCCTGCGGATTGAGATGGAGCCATTCGGTGTGCGGGTTATTTTGGTTCGTTGCCTTCCCCGGAATTTACTTTCTGCTGCAGCTCTGGCTAAAGCAGTTGATACTCTAGGTTGTCACTGGTGCGGTACGCACTAATTTTATAACCAATCAGCCAAGCGTTAAGCTTGTCGAGAATTCAATCTATTCGCCAGCGAGAGAAAGTATTGAGGCTGTCATGACTACCAAAGCGGTAGAAAAGAACTTTGTGGATGCAGATATATATGCGCAGCAGGTGGTGGCAAATGTGCTTCGATCGAGTCCAGAAAAGAGGCAGTGGGCAGGCGGAGTTGCAAAGTTGATTTGGCTTACTTCTGCTATTTTTTGGACTACTGCTTGGGTGAGTTAGATCATTGTTGGAAATACATGATATCTATTGACCTTGTCTACTAGGATTTTCTGCTAGCAGGCCAGTTTGCCATAAATGATCTGAGACGGAATTTAGTCTCGGTCTAAGCATACTTTGGTGGCTGAATGGCTCGGTTCCTTGTTTATTATGCTACTTTTTTGTGCCAGCCTATTTCTTTTTCATGCAGGGCAGTAGAATGTTAAAGAGAAAATTTAGTGTCTTATAAGATTAATGGCATTGCTTAATGCCTATCCTCCGAGTTTTTCTCTACAAAATGAACTTTCAATTGATATCACGATACATGAACAATCGCTTGCCCATGGAGTTGCCGGAAATAGTTTCAGTGTATCTACCTAGTAAGGGGCCAAAAGGCAACGGGTTTTGTTTGTTACTGTGACAAGCAGGGTAAAACATATCAGCAAGCCTAGCTTGAGTCCAGTTACCATATATAAGCAGGCTTGTAGCCTAGGGACTACCTATTCCTCCGCATATTGCCATGCCCATACCCTGTCTGCATATTCCTCCCAGTCACCCCCAGGAAAGTTGATATCCTGTTCTAGAGGTTCCTGTGGATCGCGGAGTAAGAGATCGTTGAATCCAATAATCAAAGGATTCTGATTTGTAGCTTTGGCTCCGTTTACGTCTTTCACTACCATGGTATGGTATTCTCGAGTTGGCCCCTGATCAAATATCCATTTCTCAATCGTCATTTCATTTTTTTTCGGATTTTTCGAAATGATAATCATGGTCCGTACATCACCGTTCGACTCGGACAACCACCATCGAGCATCCGTTTGCAATTTCCGTAAATCCTGACTAAATCCGACTTCTACTACCAAGGTAGGCCACTTTCGATTGGGATACCGAATCGGGAGATATGACGTGTCTGGTCGCTTTGTCCGGCCTTCTCCCTCTACATCGGCTTCACCTATTCTAAGGATCGCTTTATGAAGACGGCCCATGTGCATCAGCTTCTCATCCAGCATTGTGGCGAATTCCCGTTGGATTGCTTCATGTGTCCGAGTCGGCATTTTATATAGGATGATCTCGAGATTTGGAATGAAGGAATCGATGCCTAACTCTTCGTCGAGATCGTGATAGTAGATGTCCTTGGTAACGCCAGAAAAGACGATGTATTGGCTCTGATTCTTCTTCGACTTGAAGAGAAGTGTTGCCTCGTCTCGCACAGCAAGGAAGGTGCGTTTGTTCTTGTACGCATATTGAGGGATATTGGGGCTAAGCCCAAAGAGGTGGTCGACGTCGACTGCCATTTGGAGGATATCAATACTGAAGACTGTGATACTGTGATATTGTTGAGAATGAGATGCGTGGAGAGTGATATAAATGCTTATTGTAAATGACCAACGCATGGTGACGTTAGACTTCCACAACCCAGCCTGTGATTTTTGACTTGGTACAAATAACCCTTTTTACCAATATGTCAAACCCAATAGCGTCGATCAACAGTCAGTAGCTCCTTGTTTATTCCATCCTGTTTGGTACCATGCTTATCTCCTAACGGCTCTAGTACCCTTTAATCTAGCTTGTTGAATACTTCTACTACGTGAGCATATAAATATATCTACTGAAGATTAAAAGCAGTTGATAGATATATTAATTCAATTATTCCCTATCACGATGAAGAGTAAAATGCTGGTTTATAATAAACGTAGAGGTAACGTTACACAGGATATTAGTATTAAGATCTAAATATAGCAACGCGTTCTGGCCGCCCAAAAAGAGAAAGTAAACCAGTTCCAATATTCTGCATATATCACGTGATTCTGCTGACTTGGCAGTCTTGATTTGTTGTTTTAATCCTACATCAACTTTTATTTCTCGGAGAAATTGCCAGTAAATTAATGAGATCATGCGTCTTGTTCTCTAATTTTAGAGTGCTCTTCTCTTATGTTACCTAGGTACAGTGTTGTGTGTAGTAATGAACTGGGACCTTCACAACGCTTCATCCGTGAATGAACGAGGGCTTTTACGTATATCCACCGAGGTACTTCCTGGGCTAGAGTTGAGATGTACGATTATTTATAAGAGCGGCTATACCTTTGTACGGTTTTGGTGCAGTGTCGTCAAAGCTTTGGGATGACAAGGATATTCTAGGTTTCCTTCCGGAAATACGGTCCGATATATATATATATATCAGCGATATTTGCATACGCTCACCTATCCATGGATAACTTCAGTGGCGCTCTCCTAGCCGAGTACTGAACAAAACTTCATGTTTATCCTTGACAGTACCCGACTCGTTCTACGTGGGTGTATAACTAAGAACACAGCTTCCACGAGCCCAATGAAGCGCATGCACGGGCGTCCTTTGCACGGCGGACGAATTGAGTATTCTTCAGCGAGGGCGTCAATATCCATGCATATAAAATGCCTCTCCTCTCAGTCGCCAGTCTAGTACAAGGTTAGCAGAACAAAACCTGGCACGTAGTCCTTACAATGAGTCCTGCGCACCAATATCAACACCCGCTTCTTCCGCGCGGCTGAGCTGCTGTACTAGATGCTGCACGTTGCTCGGCCAGAGCAGATGTGGAAGGAGGTTGAATAATTACATGAACATATCGTGCAACAAAAATAAAAGAGAAAGCGACAAAAATATTGGACTTGCTGGGAATCGAACCCAGGACCACTCCCATGCTAAGGGAGTATTATACCACTAAACCACAAGCCCACTTGTTGCTGATGTGGCGGTGAATTCGATTTATCCACTCCGAGTTAAAGAGGCCGAGGATGATTCGTGATTGGCCGAGGACTCCCATATGAACAGAATTATTATGTATTAGATGTAGCATTTGTTATATATGACCTTGGCCAATAAATTATGATAAATCATGTTATACACACACACGTTATAAGTTGATTTTGTAGGTAGAACAAGTTATTCCTATCACTCAACTAGCAACTCTACACGCGATCCCGGTACCGATATCTTGGTCGAGATATTCTCGTGTGAATAGCTTATTGCTGACTCGGAAATGGCGCCAAAGTGATTGGGAATTATGGTTACATCCTCGCCCCTAGACGCAGCAGCACTCGATCCCACAGTCTCTGTTTCAAGGGGAGCTTCAACACCAAAAGAGTATGAAAGATTAGCCGCTGCTTGGTTCACAACCTCCGCACTGCCGAGCGAGTCCGAAGCCACAAAGAATTGAATATAATCCCCCGGCGATGCCACCTGCGATAGTGACGCCATGTTTTCCTCGAGTCCTTTGCCCTCAGAGGCATCACGATAAGCACTCATTTCTGCTAGACTAGCATTTGTAGTCTGAGCTTGGAATAGCTCACCCAATGAAACACTACGGGGTCTGCGGTGTTGACCCTCGAAAGTAATCTCCGGATCCAGTGATAGCAAGCCTTGCTTCTTGCCCCAGCCCCCGCCTCCACTGACTACACGATGGATCTTGCTTCCGGATAGAATCGATTCCTGAAAGTCGCGCCGAGTGCGGGCCTTTGTAGTTAAATCTGTTTTGGACGGTTCCACAAGTGCCCATACGGCTACTCGTTGATGCGGGATACCTAGTTCACTGACATAGCGGGGGAGCTCTTTCTCCAGTTCAGACGAGGCAGGAATACCCGTGTTCATGTCGTCTTCACCAATCGCGGACTTTGATACTTGTCGGAGTATATTGCCCATGCTTGAGACAACCCGTCGGCGCTGAGTCACAGGATATAAGGGAGTCTTGATGGAGCAGTGTGCTTTGGTAGCTAGAGGTGTGACAAAGCAAGTCGATAATTCTCGACACTCGTCAAGACTGTACGTGTTTGAGGATCTATCCCGAGTCCATCGCATGCCCAACAAAGTCTTATCCCTCCCATTGCGAAAGACGGTTTGGGCAAGGCGTAAACCGACCTCGTGAGACAGTTGCGAGTCAGTTCCATTCTTGAAAGCACTTTTTGCTTCCACGAAAAAAGATGGCTCCTCGGCAATGCTGCTTCGCAGACGTGTAGGCGGCGCAATCGAGGCAGTTACGCACGAGCTATCAGCGAGCAGCAGCGATATGCCTTCGGCGCCTAATAAAGTATTGTTCTTGCCCCGCGGTGTCGAGATTCTGTCGACCACCGCCGCAACTGTATGGACGACGTCGGGAGCATTGCTGGGATAGATCTTATTGAACAATGGAGTCGCCCATTCTGCAAGCAGCGGGCTTGCTGGCTCGATCCATGGCGTGAATTCAGGTGACGCGAAGAGGATAGGTACAACGGCTGACTGTTCTGATGGGGGACGAAGATGCGCGTAGGCTGCAATGATATCCTTAGGAGTCTATTACCATCAGACAACTAGCCAGCTAGAGTAACAAGAAGAGAGGGGATAAGTCTTTGCATACCACGCTATGAGGATCCCGGGCAACCCAAGTCAGCGCCTGGCATTGCTTGGCTCCATTGCGAGAGCTGAAATCGCGGACAGCCCGCCTCGGTAGGCACCGCAATGAACCGAATCCCACCACAGAGCCTGGGACACACCCGAGTGATTTGGTCATGGAAGCATTGGTGCCTGCGGCGCGGTCAAAGAAGGATTCGAGGCAGTGTCAAAGATCATAATTATCAGATGCGCGGCTGCCAAGCCGGTGGTGCTATGGGGGTGGGTCGGCCAGAGACTTATTAATAGCAGCAGCAGCAGCAGCAGCTTAGTTAAGGTAACAAAAGACACTGCAATTCACCGTCGTTGCAGAGTCTGAGGGTAGTTACATACTCTCATAAGCGCTAAATAGGTGGTCGCTCGCCAAGTAGAATGCTGGTCGAGCCACGATATCTGCACTGCTGTGACTGCACAGCCTGGAGATCAGGAATCAGCGCATTCAGCCAAGCCATGATAGTTACCTGTCATCTTCTGTAGCAAGATTCCAGCACGTGTTGCCAGGAAAACGTCGTCTTGACGCAAAAGGAAAGCAGCAGCAGCAGCAGCAAAAAGGGTTGGCCGGCCTTGGCAGCCAATCATGGCGCAGTTAGCTCGCGCCTCAAGTGTGGCGCCGATGACGTCTGGCCGTGACTTCCGCTACTACTTAAGCCAGCCTTCCTCGCTCCGTCTTCCCGTCCGTCGTCATACTACTTGCTTGCTTCGTTGATTCCTCCTGCACAGCTGCCACAGCTCAAGAAACACCCCAAAACAGGCCAAGTCGAGCACTGCTGAGATTTCTCCTACCTTCACCTTGCCAAAATGCCTTTCACTGCATCGTAAGTCCAGCCAATCCATCGATTTCGCTGCCGAGTTCCGGCAGGAGTACCCCCTTTTACATCACCACCACCGTCTCCATCAGCTGCGCCTGTGCCAGCGTCATCGCCATCGCCGTGACCATGCTAACCACAGCTCGCCTGTCGCAGTGATATCTGCAAGATCATCCTTGCCATCATCCTACCGCCTCTGGGTGTCTTCCTCGAGCGCGGATGCGGTGCTGACCTGCTCATCAACATCTGCTTGACAATCCTGGGTTACATTCCTGGTATCATCCACGCTCTGTATGTCGTCCCCACTCCGCTGCCACAAAAAACGTGGGGCTCTCGTGCTGACTCGCTGCGCTTTCCAGGTATATCATCTTCAAGTATTAAACGACCGAATGGCCCAAAAAAACAGTCCTGACTCCTGCCCAGGCGGGGGCGCCGCTCGCTGGCTGCCTGCCGCTGATTAATCAAAAATTAATGCGGGTGCAGGGCTCTCTCAACAAATTATTCAGTTCATAATTTACCACCACATCTGCCTAGCCGCCTCCGGCTAGCCTGACTCCCCGGGTCGTCTTGGCGTGATTTCGCGGCGATAAACCTGCTTTTCTTTTGTGTCTCTTCTCTTCTAGTCTTGATGATACCAGTTTTGTTTCATGTTCGCAATGAGCCTTCTGCCTCACGCTATTACTAGTGGATTTTGTTTTGTGGGTAGCCTTCTTGAGCCTCGGAGCTGGCCGTCTCTGGACTACATGGCCTTCAGCTATTGTTAGATTCCTATTTTTCCTCGAAAAGACTACAACAACTAGAACTGTCTGCAAGATTCTCTTCCACAATTCCGAAACGTCCTACGTATGTTCGAGTACGCAGCAGTAGATCCGTTTACATCATGTCGCAGATCATCCTTCTTCCATGCGCTTTCTCTGGTGTGTTTCGGATTGGCGCTGTGATCGGGCAGCTCCGGCTTTGCCATGCAATGGATACGGCAAATCTGATTCTGCGACTACCTCGTAGTAGTAGGCTTTTGGAAAAGCACAACGTAGTACGTTCACAGCGTCTAGAGACGCGAGCAAACCGCGGGCTGTGGTTGGCCAACGTTTGCATTTGGCGCTAGCCCCGCAGTCACATGACTATCCATCTCGCGCCTCCTATTGGGTCTCACGAAGCGCCGAGGGAGCGCCTGCCTTAGACCTCGTCGACGCTCTCTTTGCCTCACAACCAACCATCTCCTACGCGCCCGCCTCGCTGCGTGCCTGTATGGCTGCATCATGTCATACCGTTTCATGATGGAAGGCCTCGCTGTGTTTGACTCGCTCGGGTCACGGCCCCTGGCGCGTACCACTGGTCGCCGGGTATGTGCCCAATGGCAGCGACAACGGCAGTTTCTGATGAGAAGAAATCAAGGAGTCACATAGGTCATGCTGTTTCACGTCTCATGTTTGCTTTGGGGATTCCTTCTTTATCTTGCGCTTCATCCCGCTCATTTACTACTTCTCATTCTCTCATTTCATAGAGCTACAATATTAATACATGCATTTTTGTTTCTCACTGCTTTGACCTGGCTTTGTTTATCCTCCAGCGAGCTGTCGAGCGCAAGAGAGAATCCGATCTTTCTCTCCAACAGCTAGGGCTATACTACTATGTCTCATTCTATACTAATCTATTCCCTCGGGTAGCAGCTACTCCTCACCAGACCGAGCAGTGTGAGTCATTTCGAGTGTTTTCTTTCAGCTGGACAAGTTGATATTGACTTGCACCCGCCCATGTTTTATATTCCAGCAGTATGCTAGAATCATGCCAACAATGGAGAAGCAGTGTCTTCATCGTTGCTTCAATCTTCCTCGGACTCGCCCGATTCTCAGTTGCCGAGTGCGACTCGTCTTCAAGCGCTCGAAGCGTCAACGGTTCCGTTCCATCGTGTGCGCTGGATTGCGTTTGGCACTTCATCGACACGCAGTATACTAGCGGAGCTTGCTGTGATGGGACCAGTCTCAGTTGTCTGTGCCAAACAAACACCACCAGTGGACTGACTCTTGGTGAAGGGTCGTTAGGCTGCACCGTGGGGTCCTGCTCGTCTTCGATAATTACAGAAACTAGCACCGACGTGTACCAGATATGCAGTGGCATCTCCGGGGCACTCCCTGAAACGCACACGGCAATTACAGCCACGAGATTGTCAGTGGTTACGGAGACGTCCTACCCAGCTTCTGCTACGGCGTCTGTATCCAGTACCGTGGTGTCCATACTACCATCTAGTAATACTATTGGTGCTTCGCCGATCAGCAGTGCTACGCTCACCACCAGCACGGATGGTACAATTCTGTCTTCTACCGCAACGACTACAATCCCAGCAATCACTAGCATCCCCGCTACCATCACGACCTCTGCTGCTTCGACGGCGACCACATCTGCCGCATCGTCTTCGCATACCTCAGCTTCACTCAGCTCCTCCGACGTGATTGGCGTGTCTGTGGCTTCTGGTGTATCGGCCATATTCTTGGTTGGGGTTTCAATATTTTTCTGCACAAGGAGACTCAGACGTAGAAGACAGAATAAGGAAAGCAAGGAAATTTTCGAGATTGGAGGCCAGATGAGCGAACCTCCGGATTTCACTGCCGCAGCTTTACGTGGATCACTAGCAGGTGGGCCGAATGTCCCAGGCATCGGCTCTACCTTTAACCAATTCCCATCGCAACCAATGCCTCGTCAAGGGTCCACGGCAATTCTCACGCAGCCCGGGAAAATTGCCAAAACTCAAGAAATTGGACCATCACCGAAGACAGAATATGGTGGCTCTCCACAGAGTCAGGTCTCGCAGCATACGGTATCTCATCTGCTCCCCGCGGGCACAGCCAGCGGAATCGTCCCTGAACCATTAAGACTTAACCGTCAACCTCTTATACGCCCACAAAGTGAAGCGACAGTATTCGATGAAGAAGAGCAGCGCCCAGGGAGTATTTTTGGACCACCACTTGTCAAAGCACAGTCTCTTGATGCACGCAGCACGCCAGATAGTAAGCAGGATCAGGGAGGTCCTGTGCGAGGCATGGGGCTTCCGCCTGATCCTCGCCCTCGCCGACAAGATCAAATGTCATTTGGACCGTCAGGCTACCCATACAAGTGGGAAAAGAGCGCTGCTTCGATACCGACTGCATCTCAAAATGATAATTCAAATAATGGGCACCCTGCTCTTAGTAAGAGGCTGTCGCCTCAAGGAGCTTCCCGCACGTCGCCCGTGCAACCTGGCAATGGAAATACCACGTTGCAGAGAAATTTCTCCCGACTTGGAAGACAGACTAACACACCTCGCTCCGCTGAAGCATCAACGGATACCAGCCACAAAACCATCGAAGCAGAGGATGAGTGGACAGAAAAGAACAAACTTTCAATCCCACCACAGCTGACGACGGTTCAGGACAGGACGCCAGCGAATGAAGTTTCTGTGGCATCGCAATCATCACCCGTGCGATACCCGGCCATGCCTCGCTCTGCGGCGATTGTGCCGGCTTCAAAAGTTACACGCAGATCTCAAAAAGCCGAGCTCTATACTGAAAACACGCAGATCGACACGTCTATGGACGGACAAGCCGGTGTTTTGAACCGTACTGCTGCTGCCGCCGATGAGTCGCGCGTAGCGGAAACTCATGGCCGGAACACAACCTTCTTCATCGACTCGTCATCTAGGTCTCGGTCGAGCAGCCCAAGCAGTCTCCTAGCGAAGAGACGCGGCGAGACGGTGGCTGACGAGATGGAAAACCAGTTCCGCAGCGGAGTGCATCCAAAATACCCAGCAGTTTCTGGTGCAGACAAAGGACGAGAGAGAAGGAAGCCCGTTAGAGGTGCAGAAAGCTCTGAAGCCCTTGGCAAAACGCCTCGATCTGGGATTCCGTCCTCCCCGCACGCGCATAGCATTACGCCGACAAGACGAGGTGAAGATCTTTATTTGAGAGTTGATTAATAACCTGCCAGACAGCGCACCCCTTTTGTGTCTCTCTTTTTCTTTTCCTTTGCCATTCTTGTATAAATAGTAACTTTATCCCATCCCTGATCTGATTATGAATGATTGTACACAACAAGATTAACTATACGATATATGTATCTAGATTGTCGATCCTTTTGTTTTTTTCTTTCCTTTCCCCTGTCTGTACCAACAGTGGATGGTGTGATTGATACTGGAGTTTGGTTATACTGTACCTTTTCTTTTCTTTACTTGTTTTTTCTTTTCGCTCTATATTTCCCAGCTGTCTTATCAACAACTCTTATATATCAACCTGTCTATGGCAATAAACTCCTTTGATAATGTAAGTTATACCATAATTTGATCAAAAACTTCATCAGGACAGGAATCAAAGTAACACAGCTTGTTGTTAGTGGCCAGGCGCTCATCCGATACGTTTAGGATACGGACGCAACGCGGTCGAAAGCGCGGCATTGTACCGTGATACGAATTTTCACTACGCTTGACAGCTGATAAGGGAGATGTCATTGTACAATTGCAATTATTTCCCCCTCTGGAGGAGGCACGGAAAAATCTATATATACTTTTCTAATGCTCCGGAGTGAGAAGTTTCGCAAGAATCTTTTCACAGAAAGATGTCAACGAGGCAGCGTTCATGATGTCTAGAGTCGTTACAAGGCAGCCTAGCTCGGTCCTCACCCAGTTGCGGACTTCGACAGCGGCCAGCGAGTCGGTTCCGTACACACTAATCGGCCGCCCTGGATCCATGGGCTCAGAAAGGCGCAGTACACGCATGAAGCACCCATTAACCACGTCCACAGTTGCCTTCAGCCTGGCGGCTGGATCCGCAGATTCGGTGCGCAGCAAGAGGAAAAGAGCCTGCACGTCGGTGTTCGCATTGTCATCGCCGGCTGAACTAGACGCGAGTTCTTGGGATTCACGCTGGCCGGTGAACAGAGGCGAGAAGCGCGCATCCGTCTTCAGAACCGAGTCGTCAGGTTGCGGGGCGGTTAGACCTGTGATCATGGGGGAATGCTTGAGCTCGCGTGCGGCTGCAAGGCCCAATGTATTCTGCTTCTTTCGCTGCTGCAGTAGCGCGAAGTACAGAATCTTGCGTAACTGGCCCTCGTTCAGTCCCTTATACATGCGCGAATCGGTTGAATTCTGGAGTTTGGCGCTCTCGGCGATGACACCGGCGTCCTCGCTGATACCCAGGTCGATGGAACAAGCCGGCTGGCCACGAGACTGACGCCAGGCGGCAAAAGCGTCCAGGAAGACGTTACCGGCGGCGTAGTTGGCCTGAGCAACGTGGCCGATAATACCAGAGAGCGAAGACAAGAGTGTGAATGAATCGAGGTTTAGACCGAGAGACTCGGCGGCCTCGTGCAAGTTCCATGTTCCCCGAATCTTACATTGGAGAGCCTCATGGTACTCGGCAAGGGTCATCGATTCAAAGGGTCGATCCTACGAATACTTGCTCAGCAAGTTTATTCCACTGGAGGATGGCAGCGATTCTTTTCTGTGGTGATGGCAGTGGAAAAGGAAGGGAGAAACGATCCAAACTTACCCGAAGAACCATGGCACCCTGGATGATGCCAACTATGGGCACCGCTGTCTGTTGCATATCCTTTTTGACATCTGTCGCAATTGTCACATCCGCCGTAAGAAGGTCGATGTGAGCCCCGAGTGCGTTAATCTGCTTGATCACATACCTGGACTTTTCGTCCGCGTACCCACTGCGTGACATGACGGCGAGATGCTTCGCTCCTTGCTGGGCCAAGTAGATGGCCAGAGATCCGCAGAGACCACGGAGACTGCTGACTATGAGATAGCAGCCATCAGCGCGGAGACCGAGATTTTCCGGCGCTCGTCGAATCTACGAAGTCAGCCAAAAAAAAAGGAAAAATACTATATCGGGGTTTGTGGCAGGGCGAACTTACCGGCACCTCAACTTTTGGTTTCGGCCCATCTTGTGATAGCACAACCTTTCCAATGTGTGTTCCTGGCCGCAGGAAACGGAAAGCGGCAGGTATATCGGTCCACGAAAACTTGTGAATGGGCGTGATTGGTTTGATGAAACCGCCATTGATGAGCTCAAACAGCTTAGACATGAGGCGAGAAACAAGGGCATCGGACGCCTTCTCAGGAGATAGATCGACCGCTCTGAATGAGCTGTTGCGGTCAAATGGAGCCATTGGTAGATTGTTCCGGTCCAGGACGTCCCTTTTACCAAGCTCGACCATGATGCCACCATCGGCCAAGATGCGGAAAGACTCGTCAAGCATATCCCCAACCAGCGAATTGAGAACCACGTCCATGCCCTTGCCATTGGTAGCTGCCAAGACCTGGTCGCCAAATTCCGTGTTGCGTGAGTTGAAGATGCGGTCATCCGCAAGGCCAAAGGCTGATTTGAGGAACTCTCTCTTCTCGGGCGTTCCCACCGTGACAAACACTTCTGCACCGACATACTGGGCGAGCTGGATAGCGGCGATTCCCACGCCACCGGCGGCCGAGTGTATGAGGACGCTCTTTCCAGCCGACAAGTTGCCGTGGTCGAGAAGGGAGTGGATGCCTGTGAGGTAGACAATTGGCAGAGTGGCCGCTTCCTCGAAAGTCATGTCATCCGGGATGCGGTGTACACGTGCAGGCGTCGTCTGGGTTCGGTTTGCGAATGATCCTTTTCCAAATACAACGACACGCTCTCCAACCGATAGCCCCGATACACCTGGCGAAACCTTGGTGACCACCCCTGCCGCTTCGTGACCCAGTGCAGTCTCATCACCGGGAATGATGCCCACTATAGTATACGATATTAGACTTCTTCTACTTGAAAGAAACAAAAAAGAATGGAGCTGAACCTACTGGTAACGACTACATCCTTGTAGTTCAGTCCGGCTGCATAGATCTCAACCTCTACCATGCCATCAGACAGAGGGATAGGCTCTGCGTCCACCTCGCCAAAGTGCACGGCATCCAAGTTTCCCAACCGTTCGCAACGCAACTGCACGAGGGTCTCGCATGCATGCAAATCTGCCATCTCGGTCCTCCTGGCGCTTGGCTCATCATTTTGCCGCGTTGTCAAGTCCGAGTCAGTGTATACACGGCTGATGGAAATGACACCGCCACGCTCTACAAAGTCATAATCGGTGGCAGCGCGCGAATCAACGGCCTTTTTGGATATTATGTCCTGCACCTTTTTGAGGCAGGCCGAAATGGCGTCAATGGTGGCGTTTCCACTGGTGTTCTCAACGTCAAGCGTGAAAAGAGGGATCTGCTCCTCAGAGCGAATCGTGCTGAGGAATCCCACAATGGCGGCTCGTGTAGGATCAGATGTTCTGCTGGTGATCCAGAGGAGTGGGCATTGAGCCTTGATGAGATGCTTCAGAAGCTCCCATTGTCTGTCATTGAGACCGTCCATGATGGAGGAGAAGAGCTCGTCCAGGACAACTACGACTGATGCATTTGAGGAGATTTCTTGGAGGGGGTTGGGGTGAGCCTTGATGGGCCATTGCTTGGCTGCGAGAGCATCTAGAACCTCAGTCATCTCCTTAGAGCAGGATTCCTGAGAGGCCGTGTCAAGAAGACTGATGTGGGCGACGGGTGCTTGCGGTGTTCCATTGACTGCCTTGGTCTCCTTTTCCACTCGGCAGATGCACACATCACCGTTCAGTGCTATCATTTTTCCAAGTTGGCTTAGCGCAGTCTCAGAAAGCCCGCTGGCTACGATGAATCCACCCTCCTTCACCGAGGTAACGATGCTCTGAAGCGTAGCGTCTACTTCGACTGTTTCTTCCTTTCCGGCATTGACGATTGCGAGATCGATACTGTCGGGTTCGGCGACTACCGCTGGTTTAGATATATCCATGACTAGGTGGAACTGCGGACGGGGAACGCGCGAGCTCAGAAGTTCCTGGGCGCTGAGCAATGTTTTGGGATCACGGACGGCAAAGTGGTACTTTGAGCATCCGCTCCGGACGGGGTTTTCGACCTCACCCCCGCCCTGCGCCATCCAGAGATTTGAGCCATCGAGTGGGCTCAGGTTCATTTCCAAGACACTAAGTCCAGGCTTCTTGTGTGCTATTAGATCGATAACCTGCTGTGTGGTCTTGGAAGCCAACCAGCTGTTAACCAACGACGGTTCAGCCTGCATGAGCATATCCACATCGGCGTCCCAAGCAACGCGCATGAATTGATGAGGCCTTTTCTCCTCATCGCTCGTCTCCATTTCGGCCGATGCTAGGCCCTTCATCTGGAACAGCAAGGCGCCATCCTCAGGATCATATAGCTCCACATTTGTGGCATAATTGCGTGCGTTTTCGGCACTTCCAACACCTATGAAGTTTGCAGATGCATAGGCGATGCCCTCGGTAGGAACCCGCTTTTTTCGGACACTCCCAGACTCGATGACGATGCTGTCTATGGTCTTGGGCACCAGGACTGGATCCCCAGACTGCGGCAGATGACCCTTCCACAAGGATGGCGTTGCTGCTTGGAAGCATCCATCTATGACCGCGGGGTGCAATGGGTAGGAGGATTGGCCCTTGGGGTGGGACGGAGGAGGCTCGAGGTTGATGGCTGATCGACTCTGGCGTTGACCCATTGTAGACTCGACCATCAGGTGTTTCTGGAAGGATGGGCCGAAATTGTATCCCATCTCGGCCAAGGTCTTGTACCAGATGCGAGCGCTCGTGGCAAGTTCCAAGGGCGCCACGGTTTTGAACGTGTCTTGATAATCCGTCTCAACGCACACCAGCCCCGTGCTATGTACGAAGTCGACATCCACCCCGTCTTGAACCGAGCACATCTGGTACTCATACCAGGACCGGGTTGATCCTCCTTTGACCGGCGTGAGTGCTAACGTGACCCTAGTTTCCTTGTCTTCTGCCAGGACCAGGGCACGAAGCAGTCTCACATCGCGTAGTCGGAAGCGGTAGTGACTAGGCGCCTGTTTTTTCCATTTGGTAATCATGGCCGTCTGATATACGGCCTCTACAGCCATGGCCACATAACCAGCAGCCTTACCAAAGAACGTAGAGTTAGCAATTTCTTCCTTCGTATAAAAACAATATAGGAAAAGTCTCGTAGAAACCTACTGGGAATACCACATCGCTGCCCAGCTTGTGGTCTCGCAGCCACGGCAAATTGGCCAGCTTGAGGACGCTCTTGAAAATAGGGGCATGCCATCCTACGGAGCTCATCTTGGAACCGATCAGATCGTGGTTGATGAACTCTTTAAATCGCCAGTCCCTACTCGCGCGCGTCTCATGCCAGTAGCGTGTTGAATGGTTCCATGCATAGTTGGGCAGGTCGATTACGACCTTAGCACTCTGGCGATCTACGCGATTGACTCGTTCCAGACTGACCTGTTGATCGCCTGCTAGGAACAGTCGGCCTGCTGCTTCGTACATCGAGAGTGTTGGTTCGAGATTGCGTTTGAGTGCCGAAACATACTGGCTATCCTTCCCCAGGCTCTTCTGGATCTGTGCAATGGGACCAGACAGAGCATTGCTGGGGCCGAGCTCAATCAAAAACGTGGCCTTGGTGTGAGTAAGTACTTCTGATGTGGCAGATGCAAATTGTACTGGTGAGACCATGTTCTTTTTCCAGTACGCCGCGTCGAGACCTACATCTGGGTCTACGACTTTGCTCGTCACAGAGCTGAACATGCGCACTGCCTTTGTTTTCTCGGACTGGTTTGACTTGTTGGCCATGATGCCATCGCGCAGCAACATGTCCTCGTATATGTCACCAATCTCTGCCATGTAATCGGAGTGGTACGCAAGGTCTACAAGAAGCATTCTGGCGAAATGGCCGTCTTGCTTCAGCCGGACACACAGCTTCTCGAGCGCCGATACAGTGCCTGACATGGTCAAGCTGTCTGGACTATTGTAGCAGGCAATCTGAATCTTGCCCTCTTCATGTCTGAGATACTTGTCGATGGTCTGCGCACCGACACCCACAGCAAGCATGCCCAAGGGCTCGGCCGGTGCGGCCGCCTTTTGGGAAGCCTGGCCACGATAATAAGCTATCCTGATAGCATCAGACGAGGTGATGAGACCGGCAGCAAAAGCAGCCGCGATTTCACCCGATGAGTGGCCGACGACTGCCTCCGGACGGATACCCCAATCATCCAAGACCTGAAGGAGCGCAATCTGCAGAGCCGTCACTAGAGGCTGGGAGAATTCAGGCTGGCGCAGCGCCTCGGCACTGCGAGTAGCAGTCAATTCCTCCAGGAGGGACCACTTAGGTGGATCGTCTAGGCCCTGAAGGACACTGTCCAGATCTTGAATGGTGCTTTTGGCTAGCGGGAAGGTCTTGACCAAATCGGCGCCCATGGTAGACCACTGTGCACCCTGGCCGGTGAAGACGAAGGCGATGCGAGGAGCAGATGATGCCCGTTTGCCATGGATGAGTGTTTCCTGGTTGATAGTCTGGGAGCTCGAGCGCACCATGGCAAAGGCTCCGTAATAGTGCCTGCTCCTCCTTTCCGAGAGCGTGTAAGCCAGGTCACCGAGATCGATAGATACCATGGGATTCTGCAAGTGTGCGTTCAAGGCCTTGACGTAGTTCTGCAGTGAAGATTGATCGTTGGCCGAGAAAACTAGCAATGTCGGCGGAGTGTCTGCCTTTGTCTCTCCATTTTGATTATAATCTCCTTCTTCGTCGTCGTCCTCGTCGTCAAAAAAGTCCGTCGTCAACTGCTTGTAGGAAGAAACATGGCGTGATAGAGAACGAGCGTCGTTTTCCACTACAGCATGGGCATTGGCACCGCCAAACCCAAACGAATTCACACTCGCTCTTCGAACGTTGTCTGTGCCTGTCACCGGCCAGGGTAAGGAGATCCTGCTGGCTTTGACATTCAAGTTCTTCCAGTCGATGTTTGGGTTCGGGACAAAGAAGGTTGGTGTTCCGGGGATGACAGCCTTCTCTAGGGCCATGGTGGCTTTCAGGAGACCCGAGAGACCCGCCGCAGGCTCCGAATGCCCAATGTTGCTCTTGATAGATCCAATGATGAGTTCCTGGCCTGGCTTGCGGCCCTTGCCGAAGACAGACGCTGCGCCCTTGACCTCGATCGGGTCGCCGGCGAGCGTGCCTGTGCCGTGGCATTCGAGATACTGCGTCTTGACAAAGTCCTCTTCACCGATGCCTGCGTTCTTGAAAGCTTGCCTGGTAACGGCAGCCTGTGCGTCCTGACTGGGATTCGCGATACCGTTTGTGCGTCCTGACGCGTTGACGGCCGTGCCACGGATGATGGCACGAATTGGGTCGCCGTTGCGCACGGCATCGTCAAGCCTCTTGAGAAAGAAGCAGTTGACTCCTTCGGCCTTGACATATCCATCTGCCGATGCGTCAAAGCTCTTGGATTTCCCCGAGCCGGACTGCGTGACATGCATCATGCCCACCTCCTCGTTATGCTCTGGCGTAAGCCACAGGTTCGCTCCTCCAACGAGCATGGAGTCGGCTTGGAAGGTGTCGAGATAGCGGCAAGCTACGTCGAGCGAGACAAGGCCGGCCGAACATGCCGTGTCGACTGTCATACTCGGTCCATGCACGTTGAGGAAGTGACTGACTCGGTTGCTCAGCAGCGCGGTAGCCAGGCCGATGGTGATGGACTCGGCAGTGTCTTCTGGATCACGATGTTGTATGGCACCATAATCTGGAGTTGAAAATTAGCAACTGTAGTATAGTCTCTATTACGATGACTTTCGCCTACCTATGAAGTTTGTGCCGACGATGACGCCCGTGTTAGTGCCACTGAGGGCCTCAATGGGTATGCCGGCGTTTTCGAGACACTCGTAGGCCACCTCGAGCATCTGCCGCTGCTGCGGATCCATGGCGATACATTCAACGCGGCTGATATTGAAGAATTGACCGTCAAAGAGGGCCGGGTCCGTGTCTTCAATGAACATGCCACCGGGCGACTTCATGGTCCTTGGACGCCCCGGGTTTGCTTTGTCGTAGTGGCCGTCAAGAGAGAAGCGCGAGGGCGGCGGCTCGTTCCTGGCTACACCTCCTCGTTCGAGGAGATCCCAAAGCGCAGTGGGCGAGCTGCTGTGGCCTGGAAGCCGGCATCCCATGCCTACAACTGCGATGGGTGTCTGCTGGGGACGAAGAGGCTCGGGCTCGAATCTCTCATCACTAGAGCATTTTTCGCTGATGCTCGTCTCGAGAGGACTTGTATAGCTTCCCGACGAGGGGCTCGAACTGGAAAACATTGTTCGTCTAGGGGTCTATGTAAAAAGCCGGTCTCTGCTTGTATCAGATGGTGCGTACGTACGTGATACTCCTTGCCGTCTGTGGTTTGTCTATGGAAATTAGGTATTTAACAATGAAGCCGTGCATAAAGGTGCGTTCTTGCTGAAAAATAGGACTTCGCTGCCTTCCAGACTTGCCATAATATCGACATGTTTTATCTCGATATGCTTGAAGCTCAGCATATCCAAGCTGCGGCTTACGTGCATACGCATCGTACAGCTTACCTGCATAGCTGCATATTGACTTATGACTGACCGGCATCGCCCACTTGGTAACGACTTGATTACATGCATTCGGAGGGTCTATCATTTCGTGCTAATGGACATGCAAATAAGCCACAGGTTGGGGTCCTTCGTCCTGTGATTCAGTTGTACATCTACTAGGCATTCCGTCCAAGATGTGCTCACATACCCTACACCTACACCTACACGTACCAGAGCGGAGGGCACACCGGCAACAACCATGGCGAACAAGCAAGATGTCGAGTTCAAGACGATCGATGGGCTCACGCTCCGCGGATGGCTCTTCCCAGCGGCACAACGCGGTCCCGCCATCATCATGACCCCTGGGTTCAACCTCACCAAAGATATGATCATATTCGAGGCCGGACAGTACCTGAACGCAGCGGGCTTCACCGTCATGGGCTACGATCCAAGATGCGTTGGGACGAGCGACGGCACGCCGCGCAACGACATTCAGCCCATGAAGAACGTCGAGGACTACCACGATGCGCTCACCTTTCTCAAGGTGCACAAGGCAGACCTCGTCGACCCGACCCGTATCGCGTACTGGGGCTACTCATTCAGCGGCGCAGTGGCCCTTTGCGCGGCGGCGCTCGACAAGCGCGCCAAAGCCGTCGTGGCCGTGTCAACTCTCACCACCTGGGAGTTCTCCAAGTGGCGCCAGGTGCTGGCCAAGGCCATGAAAGACCGCGAGTCGCAGCTGGCGGGCAACCAGGGCATTTACCTGCCCATGCTGACCGAGGCTGGTGAGCAGCCCGCTGGCTTCGGCACTGGCTACGAGAAGGAGGACGTCCTCGGCATTATCAAGCGCCATGCCTCGATCGAGCCCAGCTTCGTGACGCGCACTACGCTGCAGACCTACTATAACATGGCCGCCTTCCGCCCGATGGCGCTCATGCCATTTGTGAATCCCACGCCGGCTTTGGTCATGACGGGCGAGAACGATGAAATCTCGCCGCCGGAGCTGCAGAAGAAGCTGATCTACGACGTGTTCCAGGGGCCCAAGGAGTTTGTGACCATACCCAATAGAGCGCATATGGACGTATTGACTGGAGATGGGTCGATGGAGACTTTCAGTATCCAGGCCGACTTTCTGCACCGCGCCATGGGTACAGCAGGGAAAGTAATTGCTACGTAGAGCGTCTCCATCTTCTTGAAAAGAATCTCACACAGTTGCCTGTTATTCTACTTTGATAATGTCTCAATCTAGTGCACTCCTCCTCGTGAGGCCTTATGGATGTAGATTAATGGCAACGTTGAGGGAAATCAAGTACCTGCGTACTATGGATGAACTTGAATTTTAAGATACATGTTCTCTATTTCGACCTCAGCACCTTACGAAATGCCTAGCCAAATTGTAACAACCTCTCTTCAGACACTTCGATCAGGATGATTCCCTCGTATTCTTCTTGCCTTCTTTTTGTGCGCGTTCCCAATCACTCTCGGTGCAACTTGTCGTAGTCGGATTTCTTGAGTGCGATTGCAGATTTAGGGTATTGAGCGTCCGGAAGTGACTGTTTCCACAGATGAATAGCATCCTTGCAAGTTTTCTTCATTTGGTCGGCGATTTCCTTACGCTGCCGACTGTGGTAACGACATCGAAGAGTCAAGTCGCCTAACTTGTTCGCAGATCCGATCACTTCCTGTGGCGCCTTGTGGACCAGAGACTTCCATTCGCTGGAACTCACGCCATATATGGCCTCAAATCCTTCTCTTGCAGCGCTGAGCATGTCGCTGTACCTGTCGTGGCGTCGTATCCAGTCCAGGGCCTTTAGATCCACCTTGATGTCTGCGCCGTGAATACGAGCATTTCTCTCCTCTCGCTTATCGTCGTGCTTAGAGGATTGTGGGCTTTCTTTCACGAGCTCATTGATGCGGTTTAGGAACCGTTCTCCCCCAAGACTTTCCACTCTGTGTTTCATGTCGTTCAACATCTGTAAGAGGATGATGCCTTCTTCGTTGCCGATCATTTTGTCATCCGCTGATACGTTCAAGTGTTGTTTTTCAACGATTCTCTTTGCTTGCTTTCTCATCTGATTTGTTGTTTGACCCTTCGGGCGATCCATGGCCGTAGCGTTGGTATTTATACCCGTTAATCAAGCTGTCCAAGTGTCCAAAATGCTTCAGGAATCTCCCTGTCTCGGAACATAAAACGTACCCTTGCCATCATTTCCTTGGTGTGCCGCACTCTGTTGGGCGAATGTCGTCGTCGTCAGACTCATCTCTTTCAAGCGTTGCGCTTTCTGCTTGTTTCTCTCCTTGATTTGGGTTGTGACGAGAATAGCCCTAAAGAATTAATCGATTTTAGGCCTGACAATTTGTTTCCGAAGCGCTCCAGGGGCAATGATGACCGGTTGAAGGTATTCAGATGTGTCTTGAGTGGCTTTATACACATAGCTCCCATACATAGGTACTCAGTAGCATTATGCAACACAAAGGTGATCTCTAAGAAAGCTCTTTCTTTCTGCAGAAGCCTTTCAGACTCTCTTGGTCCGCATCCATTGACTGCCTGAAACAGAAAGATGTTTGAGCCCTGGTTCTCTTTCGTCTCCGCATTTGTAGATGCATTGCTGGCCACGGCCCAATCCAAGTTGCAACCACACCAAAAGCATCTTCCAATAGTTCGACTCAACCCTGGACCAAGATATCTTCCAGCTCTGTACATTGCCGTAAGGCGTTATTGTGGTAAGAATGAGCCATCAAGGACCATATAGACGTCATGATGGGACACAGGAGATGGCAAAGGATGTCCGTATAGGCGAGGCCATTGACAATTCGCCCTAGTACATAGACAGTAGACATATTTGTTCAAGCTAGGATTTGAGGATTGGGAGCCCTGTCATTGCTATCCTGCCTGGTAGACGAGTGTACGTTTAGTTGAGTGACGAGGCGTTACAGTTCTTCTCCGCAAAATAGTCTTTTGTCTGCGACTACACTAAAGCTTTCTACGTCCTAGCGGTTGAAATTTGCAGTAAACCTTGAAGAATTGTAATTATAGCGCGATTCTTGAGGCTATTCTCACCGCCTTGTGCGGAGATATTACGCGGTCTAACTGCTGGTCAAACTCTACCAGAGATACTCTTCGCCGGTGATAATGTCAAGAAGCTTTCCAGACGTCTTCTCTCGAGTTGCCGAGTCAATGACCTCTAGGAGCTTGGTGGCGCTCTCCTCCGGCGTGGTGGGAGGCATATCCAACCCTATAGCATTTGCTGCCGCGATACCCATGTCTGTCGCAACAAAGCTATCGAGGGATTAGTATTCGCTGCGCTCGGACTGTACATCGTGAAAAAAAAAAAAAAAAAGAAAAATATTGACGTACCCCGGGTGAACGGCAAAGGCAACGAGAGACTCTACCGAGGTGTGGATAGCCCTAAAGATGCCCAGTCAGTCAAAGCGGCTTTCCTCCCCCATTTGAGTCATTCAATGGTCTTGACTTACGCCGTGAACCAGTTTTGAGCAGCTTTGGACATGCCATAGGGGCTGATGTTGTAGTAGAAATCGGCAGCCTGGCCAACGGAACCGGCGCGGCTTGTGACCGAAATCCACTTGGGCGTGCTCGACTTGCGAAGCAACGCGTTCACTGCCTGGAAGAGCACGACAGAGGCGACGGCGTTGACGCTGTAGGTATCAACCAGGACCTTGGGGTCGACAGCCTCGAAGGGCACGGGAGTTGGCGAAACGCCGGCACAGGAGATGACAATATCAATGTGGTCGATGCCCGCGGCTTCGATGTCCTCGACGGCCTTCTTCGGATCGGTCCAGGACGTGTTCTCGATGGTGACCAGCAGCAGTTGCGTGCCTTCTGCCGTGGGCAAGGCTTTCAGCGCCTGGGCCTGTGGAGCGCTGACATCGCGAACACTGCCGATAATGGTGTGGTTGGGCCGCGAGAGGTACGCAGCAGCTGCCGCATATCCAATGCCTGGCTGGAGCTGTCAGAATCTGCAATGAGCAAGCGCTTCGCACAAGGACGCACCTCTGCCAACGCCGGTGATGAGCACAACGGTCGACGACGCCATTGCACGTTGCGTGGTCTCTCTGTGTGTGAGTGTGTGAGTGTGAGTGTGAGTTTGTGTGGCTGGCTGACTGTGAGTATGCTGAGTATGGCTGAGTATGACGGGGCGTATGTAACTGCGAGGTTATACAAGTTTATAGCACGAGCGCAGTCACATGTCTGCCGCTGGATTTATAAGCAGCGTGGACAAAGAAAGAGCCAGCGTTGATGCCGCAGAATGCAGGCTGCACACCCGCCAATGAGTGTCTGCGCTGCACATAATCGTGCGCTGCTTACCTGCATGCGTCTGTGGCCAGTCGGTGATATGGAACTATCGCTCTCGGTGATCATCGCGACGCTGCCAGTCATGCATCTGCCAGTGAATCGAATTGTGGAACGAGGCAGGGCAGAGAAATACTCGGTCGTTCCCTGCCCTCGACAGCGCCGCACGGCGTGTTTGTTGTTCGCCTGCCACCTCATTGAGAGCAGATTTACAATACTACTAATTATAAATCCATTAAAACTCAGCCACAAGCCTACCTAGGTAGCATGGGTTCGATCTCTGCCACCCTGTGGGCGGCGGCGGTGCTGGCCGCGTCCATCTTATACGCCCTGGGCCTCGTTCTTCATCGCCTCTACCTCAGCCCCCTCGCCAAATTCCCAGGCCCCAAGCTGGCAGCTGCTACGCACTGGTATCAGAGGTATTTCGACCTTGTGGCCAAGCGGCACGGCGGCCAGTTTCTGTGGGAGATCAAGCGTATGCACGCGAAGTACGGCCCGATTGTGCGCATCACCCCTGACGAGCTGCACATCGACGACCCGGAGTACTGGCACGAGGTGTATTGCAACAGCACCTCGGCCGCGCCCATAGACAAGCAGGAAAAGCTGAGGTACCGCTTTGGCGTCCCCGATGCCATCTTCAGCACCCCGGCGGGCGAGCAGCACCGCCAGCGACGCCAGGCCATGGCCGTCTTCTTCTCCAAGCAACGCCTGCGCGCGGCCAACAGCCGGCTCAGCAGTCTCGTCGAGCACATCTCCCAGCGCCTGTCGACCGAATATGCCGGCACCGGCCGTGTGCTCAACGTTGGCGACATGTTCTCGTGCCTGGCCGTGGACATCGTCACGGAACTGGCCTTTCACCGTTGCACCAACTGCTCGGTCGCCCCCGATTTCAAGGCTCCCCTGGTAGGCGTCACTGCCAATACGCTCTGGGTGAGTCACTGGAATGTGCACTTTAGATTCTTGTTCCAGTGGATAGACTGGCTGCCAACCGGCGTAGTCACGGCCCTGATCCCGCTGTACAAGCCCATCTTGGAGCTCCGAGACAGCATCACTCAGCAGGTTGGCGAGATTCTCTCGGGTCTGGACAAGAGCGTGAAAGGTGCCGACTCCGTCATCTTCAACGACATCCTGTCATCGAATCTGCCACCCCACGAGCTCTCTTTCGATCGTCTGACCCAAGAAGCCATCGCCTTGACTACTGCGGGAATGGAGACTGTGAAATCCACCATGACGCTGGCTGTGTTCCACGTCCTGAATCAACCAGCGCTGCAAGCCCGTCTTGAAACCGAGCTCGCCGAGGCCATGCCGGACCCTAACGTGATACTCCCCTGGGTTGAGCTAGAAAAGCTTCCGTACCTGACAGCCGTGATTTACGAAAGTGAGTACTGCCTACACTGCAAGAGAGTCTATGTATGTATTTATGCTGACGAAACAGGCCTGCGACTTGCCTACGGGTCAGTCCAACGCAGCCCACGAATTAACCGCCTCCACGCCTGGCAATACGGCGACTGGGTGATCCCGCCCGGCACCGCAGTTGGCATGGACTCGTACCATATGCACTCCAACGCAGACATCTTCCCCGAACCATTCTCCTTCCGGCCGGAGCGGTGGCTCAACGATCCCAAGGGGCCAGACGGGCGTCAGCCTCTGACGAACTACCTTACTGCTTTTGGCGCGGGCTCGCGCATTTGCATCGCCATGCACCTGGCCTATATGGAGCTGTATGTAACTCTGGCTACCGTGTTTCGTCGCCACCGCTTTCAGTTGTTCGAGACGGATCAGAGCGATGTTGAGTTTGCGCTTGAGATGCTGGCGCCGATGCCGCACTGGGAGAGCAGGGGTGTCAGGGTGACGGTTGACAAGTGATACTACGTGTGAACTTGTAGATCAGTTCTCCGGGACTATCGATCTGAGAGTAATTATATCAGGTTAAAAAGGAACATAGTTGATTTTATTGCTTTCCTGCTCTGTCCTTGGACTTTATTGTGTTTTTACTGGATTCTGTTAAGGTAGTTGTCTCGATATCAAAGTATAGACGCCGACTGCGTGCAGGGGTGATATCGGCATATGTTTTTTGTCAAGAGATAGTGCTCCTCGATATGCTGTGATGGTATTTTGAGAGTTTGCAACATGTTGCAGGCCGAGAAGGGAATATAGCACTGTAGACCCACTTTCCAATCTGGGAAGAGTTTGCCCTAATTACCCCATGCAGGGCTTTTTAGCTATATATATTCCAGGCCCCATACTTGGGCGTGTATTTACATATACACTAAAATCCTAATTTTCCAGATCGCCGCTCATCGTATCTGGGAATATCAAGATCGTCCAGCTGAATGCTGGTCTTACCTTGGGGTGGCTTAACACGCTTGCTTGGAAATGTTACACCATAGCCGGCAACTCTTCAACCATATGCGCTGCAAAGATAAGCATCGCCCGGAGTGATGGACTGGCTGGGCTCGTAGGTAGGCAGTCGTCTAACAGAGTATGCACATCGTTGCAGAAACCCCCGCATATACATATTTCTTTTTTCTTTTTTTTTCCCACGACATCCGTGCCAATGATTTACCGGATCCTCAATAGCATCACACAATGCGGTGGGCCAATGAAGCAATTTCCGTGTTGATCGATAGAAGATGGAACTGAGAACAAAGGCGAGGGGGGCTTGTGTTGGGGGCTAGGATTTTGGTTCTTTTTTTGTCTTACTGTTGCCGGGGTCTTGCCCTATGATCGTTTGTTGGTATGTATGTATTATTATTAATCAATGCTCAACGACTGTAGGCATCTCGTTTATACACCGAGCATAAACCGGCACTTCCAAGGTTGTTCTTGCATAAGGGGCGAGAAAGCTATATATATCCAGTTCGTGTACGTATAGTTGCGAGATTAAGGGGAAAACACAAAGCCTCGTACCTAGGTAGCCTAGACCACTTTTTTCCTCGCTGATGGATTCCGAGCCGAGTTATCAAATGCAACCGGTACTTTCAACGCGCCGGAGGTTGCAAAACAGGGAGGCTCAGCGTAGATATCGAGGTGAGTACGAAGCTTCTACTTGACAGTTTATCTAAGTAAATGTGCTCACCATGTATCGTCTTTAGAGAAGGCTGCAAAGAAGAGGAAAAGCAGGGAAAACACGATGGATTGGACGTCCATGTCGCCTTGGGACCTGGGCTGGGATGATACAGTCATTGCGCCAGATTTGAACTGGGAGCAAGCTTGGACTATTGAGTCTTCTTCTCCTCATTCTTCCTCCTCTTCTTCTTTCTCTCCTCCAGATGCAACCCTGTCCAACAAAGATGCTCTGTTGATGCTGGATCTCGATATGATGAGCCCCCATGGTAGCACCACTGTACACACCCACACGCAGAACCAGCAGCACCTGGACATGCAGAATTCACCACCCTCTTCCTCACTCGTGGCTCTGTATCAGCCTTCCCTTACGAGGAACTTCTCCTATCATCATCACTCTGCGACTTCTGAGCAAGAACAACAAGCACCCTTAGAGCTAGCACAGACGCTGGAGCCATTGTTACATGTGGCCGTACGATCACGCAAAAGTACCATGGTATCCATGCTTCTCCAACACGGGGCGGCCGCAGTAGGTGATCAGAACAGCGACGGCGCCACCGCATTGCACGTTGCCACTGAGCTGGGAGACGAGGCTATTGTCTCCTTGTTACTGAGCTATGGGGCTGACAGCAGCGTACGCGATGTACGTGGCCAGGATGCTCTGCACCTTGCTGTTTCGGCTGGACATACGGCCATTGTCAAGCTAATGTTGGACAATTGTAAGATGACACACGAAGGGTCGTGTTGAACTATGTCTATATCTATATGAAGAGTAAATGTTATGTTGGTCAATGGTGTAATATTTACTTTCCTTTTTTTTTTTTTTTTTTTTTTTTTTTTTAATAAATCAAACACGGTACTATAAAGTGCTCTGTTTCTGTTAAATCAACCCTCGTTTCATTCACGGAGGATCTTTGATTATGCAACCGGTCGTGTTGTGCGACAAGTTTGTGCAGAAATTATACTCGATATATGACAGTAAAGATGTTCATGTAGTATCCCATTCTCGGCCTCGGAGGAGAAGATTCACCGAGAGACGATTTTGATCGCTCTGTAAGCCATATTGCGTATTCTGCGACCCTCGTGTGTGAATTCCATGACCAATGCATACCGTATACATACTCGCATGTGTTTGAAATCGAACGCATTTCGCCCCACGGAGTTTTTCTCGTGGGAAACTCGCATTATTTAGCGCTGGTGGCCTTGCAGCTGAGCCTGCTGGGGGCTGGACGTGGTTTACAAATCTTACAAATGGTAAAGCATATTTGTTTTCTGACAAGAGAATGAATAATAGCCGGCCTTCCGCATATATAAGTAGAATAAAACCATCAATTTTTGAGTAGACAAGTTCCAGGAAGGAATTAGAAGCAACAAATATTCTCTCCAATACAGCTCTGGATCGTCATCCACCAGAATGAGGGTTTCCAAATTCACGCTTGTCCTCGGCCTGGGAGGGCTCGTATTGACAGTTGAAGGCACTTACCAAAGTAGTACGGTATGTGTGTCCCAGCATATCGTCCCACCCCAAAGGTACCTACCTAATCGTTCATTAACATGCTGCATTCCAGTGTGCTGCTCTCGCAGCAGCCTTTCCAGGAGATGTGTTCTACCCCAACAGCACGGCCTACATCCAGGCCAACGACTACTGGTCGGTGCAACAAGAGGATGTGCATCCGCATTGCTTCGTGGCCCCCAGAGACACAGAAGGGGTATCAACAGCCATGAAGCTCCTGACATCGCGAAACGCATCCTTCACAGTCAAAAGCGGCGGCCACACTCCCTTTGCCGGTGGCTCCAACATTGCCAACGGCGTGACCATCGACCTAGTGCACCTGAACGGCATCAATATCTCGGATGATCGTCAGACCGTCTCCCTCGGCCCGGGCAACCGTTGGATAAACGTGACCGAAGTCCTCGACCCTCTCAATCTGGCCGTGGTGGGAGGACGCTCCGGCGCAGTTGGTGCAGCCGGGCTAATCCTCGGCGGTGGCATCTCATACTTCTCCGGTGAGAGGGGATGGGCCTGTGACAACGTGCGCAATTTCGAGGTCGTCGTCGCGTCGGGCGAGGTCGTCAATGCCTCACCCGAAGTAAACCCGGATTTGTACTGGGCACTGCGCGGTGGCGGCGGCTCGAATTTCGGCATCGTGACCCGTTTCGACCTGGAATCCTTCGAGCAGGGAGACCTCTGGTCGAATGAGTTGACCTTCCCAGGCGCGTTGAACGCGACCCTGCTCTCGCTTTTCCAGAATCTCACCATCAATGGCATGCCCAGCGATCCGGCAGCGCACTCGTACCTTTCCATATACTACGAAGCATCGCTGGGGGAATACATCGTGAATACGAGTTTCTATCATGCCGGGCCCCCTCCGCCAGCGGCAAGCATGCCTGCAGTCTTCGAGCCCTTCCAGTCCGTCCCAGATGCGATTTCCAACACGACGTTGGTAGCCAACATCTCGACGCATTTGGGCGATGTGCCCATCCCCTACGGCTTTCGGCAGACGTGGTGGAACACCGCCATCTCGGCTACGTCGCTGGATCTACTTACTGAAATCGTGTCTCTCTTCGAAGCCCGCAATGCGCCGTTGCTGGCAGCATCGAACGGGAGCTCGACTACCCCGTTCCTGCTCTTCCAGGCTCTGCCACTGAACATACTCACGCAGATGCAGAAGAATGGCGGGAACGCGCTGGGACTGAAGCCTTCGGATGGGCCGTTGCTGGTAGTGTCGATCCCCACGACATGGGAGGATCCGCGGCTGGATGCGCGTATCGAGAGTAGTTCGCGAGAGCTGATTGCTCAGATCGAGCGTCTGGCGAAACAGAGCAACCTGGATAATGGGTATGTGTACATGAACTATGCGAGTAGCACGCAGCAGGTGCAGAAGCAGTACGGCGAGGATAACCTGCGCAGACTGGAGGAGATTGCCAGGAAATGGGATCCGCAGGGAAAGCTGGCGCGGTTGTGGCCGGGCTATTTTAAGCTTGACGTGTAGAATTATATCTACTCAGGGTGTAGGATACGACGACGAGAGTAGGGGATGTTTTGATTTACACTGGAGCTAAGAAAGAGATGGTATAGCTATAGCATAGAGAATAGAGTCTTGTTCGTCTTAGTAACTGTTAGTTGTAGTATAACCTCATCCAACCAAGGACGAGCACTCCCAATCTTGGAAGCGCAGTGAGTTGGAGTACGTTTTCGTTTTCGTACTTCGGTGTATGGCCATGCAAGCTTCTGATTTGTATGTGATGGTGGACCTCGGGGCAGTGGAATATCCTAAACAATGACATCATAAGGGGCCTTGACTGGATTTATAAAATTAAGAATTGACTACCGCATAGATGTAAGACATACAACTAAGCCGCAAGCCACCTGCAACCACGGCCCTATTTACGATTTGTTTATCGAACTTCAAGCGTGTCTGTTTTGGTCAGTTAGGGCTAGACTGCCTATTTGGGCTGACCTCGACGGGTGGATGGCGGATGGCCATGCGAGCCTACTACCTAGGAACTCGGAACGACGGAGTCAAATACAATGACGTGTCTAATCAGAAGCAACTGCTGCTGCTAGGTTAATAGCTCAATAGTTCCGAATTAATAATGTGGGATAAGCACTAGTTAACTAACTAGGCATGCTTCCCTATGGCAGGCGTGAATGATGTCGATTCGAAACGTGTCCGGATATCCCGGTGGAGACGCATCGAGGACGGGACGGAGCATGGGATGCAACCGGGGAAGTGGAGCGGTGCATTGCGTACTTTTTGCCAGGAGAGGAGCACGTTTCGTTCCGTTTCGTTGAGTTAGGGTGGCGGTACAGTTCTAAGACTCGATGTCATAGAAAAAAGCGTGCCATCCCTGATTGGGCCCTGATTGCTGCCTGAGGCGGTGACGTCAGGCCTCCCGAGATGGCCCGAGCACTAGGCCCAGAACGGCGTAGCGCGCATGTGCCCTTCACAAAGTTCACATGCGCGGGCTGACATAAGCCGGCGCTCATTGGGCAGAGAAATACGGGGCTGAAGCATGCGGCGGGAATACCAAACGGAGTACACCGACGGTATATTATATTCACTATATTATTATACTGTTATCCTATTATAATATGTCTCTCTTGGTACTAAGCCGGTAGCATTTGCTATTCGATGTACGCATCTTATAGTGAGGGCATGTCTAGGTTGCTACCGTCGAGCACAGACACTCAGGTCCGTTCCATGTCTCCACAGGAGACTCCATACAACACGACCTAATCATCGACTACACCACACACAACTAGTATAGTATAGCATAGACAAAGACCCTTGGATGCATGCCTGTAAGAGCTCCACTCCGTCTGAGCGAAATGCATCATCCAGCCCACCGCGAGTGGAACCGTGCCATAGGATCCCCTCATTCCGGGGCAGCGACGTCGCCATATAAGATATCACCCTCTCGCTCGCGTTTGATCGGTATACCTGCATATCCCCCCCTTACCTAGGTAAAAGATCTCCACCTCTGCTCCCGACCAGACAAACAACCATGGCTGCTACCGGCAATCTCCTCGCGCCCGAGTCCCAGCAGACCGGGCCTCCTGCCAACACGGCAGACCTCTTCACAGGGCCAACCGTCGGGGTGCCGCCACACCATCTGATGGCGCGAAGCATTTCGTTCGAAACCGCTCGCTCGTTCCAGCTCGCCAAGGAGCACCTCGAAGAGCCTTCGTCGTCATCCTCGGAAGACACCAGTCCGGCCTCTGCATCTCCTGTGCTCAAGGCCATCCCCCACGACAAGACCGGGCGCGCCATCACGGACAGATATGCCTTTGCTTTTGATATCGACGGTGTCCTCATCCGTGGAGGCAGGGTCATTCCAGAAGCCATCGAGGCGATGAAGGTGCTCAATGGCGAGAATGAGCTTGGCATGAAAGTGTATGTTTACTTCCAATATGAAAAAAAAAAAAAAAAAAGAAAAAAAGAGAGAAAAGAAAAACAAAAACTGACTTCGTCCAGACCGTACATCTTCGTCACAAACGGAGGCGGCAAAACCGAAGAAGAACGCTGCAACGATCTCAGTCGCCAGCTAGAACTCCAAGTCTCCCCCGGACAGTTCATCTGCGGCCACACTCCCATGCGAGAAATGGCCGAGAAGTACAACACGGTGCTCGTGGTCGGCGGCGTCGGCGAGAAATGCCGCCAAGTCGCCGAGGGCTACGGATTCAAGGACGTCGTGACACCGGGCGACATCATCAAGACGAACAAGGATACCACGCCGTTCCGCAAGCTGACCGACGAGGAATGGGCCAACTCGCGCGTGCGCGACTTCAACACGCTCAAGATCGAAGCCATCTTCGTCTTCGCCGACAGCCGCGACTGGGCCGGCGACCAGCAAATTATCCTTGACCTGCTCATGTCCAAGAACGGGCTGATTGGCACGCGCTCCGCGACCTTCGACGAGGGGCCCCCCGTGTACTTCTCGCACAACGACATTGTCTGGTCCACCGCCCACGACCACACTCGCATCGGCATGGGCGCTCTGCGCGCGTCGCTCGAGGCGCTCTACAAAGCCGTCACGGGCAAGGAACTGACCACCATCGCCTTTGGCAAGCCTCAACGCGGCACCTTCGAATTCGCCACCCGTCTGCTTCGCCAGTGGCGTGAGGAGACTCACGGCATCAACAAAGCCTTGGACACCGTGTACTTTGTTGGCGACACCCCCGAGTCTGATATCCGCGGCACCAATGAATTCAATGACCACGCGGCGTCGGGCAGCGCTGAATGGTTCTCCATTCTCGTCAAGACAGGCGTGTTCCAAGAGGGCACGATCCCACGTTTCCCGCCCAAGAAAATCACGGCCAACGTGCTGGAGGCCGTCAAGTTTGGCATGCAGCGTGAACTCGCCAAGACGATTGAGTCCCCCTCGGATTCGGATCGAGTGACACTTGAGTAACCTTTTTTTTTTTCCCTTTTTTTTTTTTTTTTTTTTCCTAAATATTCGTCTTTAATGATTCCCTCAACCTTGATCAAACCCGCGGTCTCTAGCGACCTTGCAGGAATATTTTTCCCCCCCATCATATGCTCGGTTCATGGATATAGGCGTTTGGCTTTCTTCGATTAGTGGTTTATATGGCTAGTTTCTTAATCGTCTTCACATTGATTCATGATTTATGACCTACACATACATCTTCTTCCCTTCTATCTACCGTCATCTTCTGACCACGCCTTTGTCCGTCATGTATTTCCTGTCGATGAACGTTGCTTGCATCGATTTTGATTCTCTATACATATATCCCTGGAAACGGGATGTATACAAGGTAGAACAAAAAATAATGAAAGAACATTATGCTTCAAAAAATATCGCTAGATGATTTGTAAAGACATCGCCGCCCGCTCTATATACAACAAAAAACAGATCTATACACTGGTCGGAAGAGTAATTACAGATGAAACTCATTATCCAACCAATGCTTCACCACAATCTTGCCCTCCGAAAACGACGCCCGCGCCATCCGCACAATGATCGCCGCATGGCTGTGTCGCGCCTTGTGGATATAAACAGGATACTTGCGGAAGCCAATGGCATTGAGCGAATCGATAATCTCGAACTGAGCTGGCGTGAGCGCGAGAATGGGGAACTCGGACTCGGTCTGACCGGCGTCGAATTCAGTTTGCTGCAGGAGTGGTCTTTGCTCTTCTTCTACTTCTTCATTGTGTTTATCTTCAGTCGGTATTGATTTCCGTTGACTCATCCGTTTTTGGAGTTTGACCTGTTTGTGATACTCTGCGTCTTGCTCGGAGAGGTATTCGTTGGCCTGGGATGAGTTGAGATTCTCAAATACATCTTCTACCGCACCCCGCACGTCCTGCATGATCAAGGGAACTCTGTAACGGCCGGGCAGCAAGTCCGTCTTCCCCTGCTCGTAGAGCTTAATTCGCTGCTGGCTGAGGAAGTTCTGAACGACCGAATTCAGGAGAAAGAGCACAGAGCCGACGGGGATGAAAACCGAGAGAATCAGGGCAAACGACACCTTGTCGAAGAGCGTGTATAATCTGGTTAGAACGCTTTCCTTGTCTGCTTGAACCTGTTCCCGTGGCAGAACGTGCATGTCCGGGTCGATGATGACCGGCTCGTATCCTTTGACATAGTTGAAATGCGTGCCCTCCGGGTTTGGGAACGGGTCGACTTTCGAGATGGCCGTCGTGTAGAAGACGGTGGATTTATCATTGACAATGTTCGAGTAGACGGAACGGTTCTTGAACCTGGCCAGCCCCCGCATGAAAATGCTGTTTGGATCAGCCAGGATGCTAAGCAGTGGCTTGCCGGTGTCGCGGAAGTCGTCAATCATGAACAGCTGTCTCCCAGACATGGATATAGTCCGCGCACCCAGCACATTCCACATATGACTATGCAGGCCCTTGATAGGCGTACGCACGCCGACATGCGGAGACGCAAAAGTGGTGAAATTCACTGGCTCGACCTTGTCCAAATACCCGCTTGCCTCCAGCAGGCCAATGGCATACCTCGCAACCAGACCGCCGAGCGAGTAGCCCACTACACTCAGTTTCTTGATCTGGTAGCCCTGGCCGGCCAGTTGCTCCAGGGTATCTTCAATCTCGTGCGCGACTCGTTCGCCGCCCAACTCAATGCCGTCGTAGGTATACATCCCGGAGTTGCGCTGCGCCGCGAGGATATAGAGTCGGTCTTGACCATGGCGTTCCTTGAGCGCGGATATGAGGTAGTCTAGATGCGAGGGGTTACCCCAGAGGCTGTTTGTTTGTCTACTGGTTAGCTAGCTTTACTTTTTGACTTTTTGTTTTTTAACATTAGCTGGCTAACTATTCTTGCTGGTAGAAGCGCACTCGACTTACCCGTGAACGAGCACGCAAAGATGGTCGGCTTTGCCGTCGGTATCTGAGTTGTCGTTCATGTTGAGCTATCTGAATAATCGTGGAGGTCGAAGTGAGGATGAGATGAGGTAGAGTAGGCAGCCTCATTAATTATGAATGCGCCGGCGTACTACTCTTATCGGACCAATCAGAAAGCGGCGCTGTGTATGACATAATCTGGAAGTGCTTTCGCCGCCACAAAGAGAGAACAATGAATATCTGTTTAATATATTTATATATTCATATTGATGTGTATATACATACTTATAAATTATCACGACTTGCGGTCTAAGAGACAGAGTGAAAGATTAAAGTGATCTGGCGCGTGACTGCACGTGACGCGATAGCCCGGCGAATCAGGACAACATAAACTGAGGACGGCGCAAGGAATCAACTACTACAATATATACCTAGGGATAGTATACCTCCTCCCACTTAGGTTGATGGGCGAAGTGCAGCAGAGGCGAATGTGAAGAGCACGATTTTCGTGTCTTATCAACCTCTTATCTCGTACACCTACACGCTACGACTTGGATAGCGCCATCAATATGCATCATGTTTGCTCCGCTGGGACTATTCAAAAGCGTGGCCTGTCCTGAGGGACCGCACTGCAGACAATTGAACTGCATCTTTCTGCATTCAGAGACAGAAAATGAAGAGCAAAAGCCAGAAGCTCCGGGCTTGGATGTCGCGAAGGATGCTGTCAGGGAATCCGAACCAGCCAGCAAAAGGAGAAAGCTCGCACATGATGACCATCACACCGGCCAACCTGAGCAAAAGACAAAGCTGACACGTCACGATGCTAAGCCCACAGCACCTCGCGACATAAATGACCTTCCATCAGCACGTAGAAAGGTGTCTCCGCCACCACCTTCAAAGACACAGGAGACAGCGAAAGAAGATGCAAAGCAGAAACTACCAGCAGATCCTGCTGTATCGGCATCTGCAGCAGCAGCAGCAGGAGCAACAGCAAAGTCGGTCCCAGATGCTATGCCAGGCTCGACAAGGAGAAAAGCCCTGCCGAAGCAATACCTGAACCCGAGAATGCTCAAGAAAGCGCCTGCAACTCACGCAGTGCGAACATCCATCTTACTCAAACTCCACGGCGCAATGAAGGCTCTGAACGAGAAGGCGGCGAAACTCAGAAGCCCCGAAAGGCCATCACTCGTGCTCTCGCCCGACGAACTGATTGTAATGGCACTAGACGAAGAGCAGAAAACGGCGATTGACAACCCTCGGGTTTATGGGAATGTGATCAAGCTTCGAATTGTCCAACTTCAAAAAATGACTCTGGAAGTATGGGAAAAGGAAGTTACAGCATACCTCAACTCGCGGTACTACAAAATCAAACCGCCGCCCACCACAAAACCAACCCCCAAGGCCCAAAGGTTCACGACGGATCTGAAAGAAGATGAAGAAATCATTATTGCTCGCATGCTTCGGACAGAGCTCAAGGGCAAAGAGCAATTCGGTTATATCACCAGGGTCCCTACAGATACAGAAATTGCGGAAGCGAGGAAAGGCATGGAGGCTGCGCAGGGTTGGGAAAAGTGCGAACGATGCGCTGGGCGGTTTCAGGTATTTCCTGGCCGTCGAGAAGACGGGTCTCTCGCCTCGGGAGGCCGTTGTACCTATCATCCCGGCAAGATCGTGAGGCCAGCGAGGAAGGCTACGGATCATATAACGGGTCAGGCGGAGGCGTATTATCCCTGCTGCAATGAGACACTGGGGACATCAGCAGGATGCACAAAGGCAGAACATCATGCATTCAAAGTATCAGATCCCAAGCGATTAGCCGCTGTGCTACAATTCGAAGAAACCCCGACCCGAGAAAAGCCAACAACAGAGCCTCGGAAACCAGTGACTTTTGATTGTGAGATGGCCTATACAACTCTCGGTTTGGAACTGGTGCGATTGACGGCGCTGAGCTGGCCTCAGGGGGAATTACTACTTGATGTGTTGGTCAAGCCCATCGGGGAGATTTTGGATTTGAACTCGAGGTTTTCCGGCGTCTTTCCAGAGCATTTTGCGACTGCAGTGCCATATGGGACAATACCAAAAACTGCAATCACTGCCACTGCCGCTGCCGCTGACCTGGAGAATGGCGAAATCAAGCCTTCTTCTCCCATGCAAGTTGTGGACTCTCCTGCTGTCGCGCGGACACTGCTTTTTGAATTTCTCGACCCCGAAACGCCGCTCATTGGACATGCGATTGACAATGACCTGAACGCGGTGCGCATCATCCACCCGACTATTATTGATACTGTTCTGCTGTACCCGCATCCAAGGGGCCTACCGCTGCGATATGGTCTGAAGCATCTTGCCAAGTTATACCTTGACAGAGACATTCAAATGGGCGGAAACAGAGGGCACGACTCGAAGGAAGATGCTCTGGCGACCGGTGACCTGGTCCGGTTCAAGGTGGCTGAGAAAGCCAAGATTCTCAAAAGGGCTGGATGGACAATGAAGGCAGGAGGAGTCTTATAATTCAGACCTTTGGCCTTCTATAACATTTGTATGTTACGAATATCATACTGCATACAGCGTTTACTGAGGTGTAGAAAATTGGCATCAACGCGGAGCGTCATTTCCCATTTTTTGGACTTTTATTCTGTTTTATTTTGTTTTGTGCCATACTCATCACGTCATGAATAGGCATGATACCTAAACCCCACAAACCGGGGTATATGTGTATCGTAGCATTGTATCAGAACCGACCGAATCCGTCCATCGTGCCCGTATCATAAGACAAAAAGGTTTGAACCCGACCAACCCATCGCATCACAGAAGAAGAAGACATTTAGTCCTCGTCCTCATCAGCCTCCTCGTTGACAACGTTGTAGAAGCGGAGTTCGTAGACGCCCTTGGAGGTGGAAACGACGCGGAGCCAGTCACGGAGCTGCTGCTTTTTGAGGAACTTCTTGGTCCTGTGGATTGTGAGTAACATGATACACTTTTAACTGCCAGGATAATTTGTTGCCAACGTACAAGTACTTGAGGTAGCGACCAGAGAAAGGAATGTGAGTGACGACCTCGATCTTGCCATCGCCAGACTGGGAGATCTGGACGTTGTCGCCAAGGTTACCGACGCGGCCCTCGACCTTGATGCGGTCGTGCAGGAACTTCTCAAAAGCAGAGACGTCGAAGATCTTGTCGCTGGCGGGTTGAGAAGCGTTGATCACGAACTATTATTATTCGTCAATGACTTATACAAGATAATGAAAAAGAGGTCAGATAATTGAATTAGAACATACCTTCTTCGTGACCTTTTGAGGCTTCTTGGTACGAGCCTAATAGAAAAAAAAACCCCCCCAGAATCCATGATTAGCCTACTGTTCCAGTTCCTTCACGAAAAAAAAAAAAAGATAATGAATAATTTTTACTCCCCGGGGGAAATGCCCCGGGGATGGAACAGCAAAGCGATTCAACGTACAGCGGGAGCCATTGTGAATTGATAGTTTTTTTGGTCGTTTTTGTTCTGACGCAAAGAAGTGAATATCCTGCGCCTGGCGGAGATGGTCTGGATGGAGAAAGATCAAATTCTCGGGATGCACGCAAATTGCCCGTTGGTGCGGTAGGATAATTTCCCAATTGGGGGAAGGCTTAGGGCTAGGGCTGCGGGTATGTTTTTGTTTGCCTCGTTTGCCTGATTTGTAGCGTTTGCCCTGTTTGTCTCGATGTGGCTGCTGCTTGTCTACTCCGTAGAAGGGTGCTGCACGCTGATTGGCTCGCTTAGGCAGCATCTCTGCGCACGGACCACCGTCTTTTGTCTATAAAAGGCGCGGTTTCCCTCGTCTGCTTTGCTTGTTTTCTTTCCTTCTTTTCTTCAGCTCTCTTTGCCTTTTGGCTTAGATCAAGTGTAGTATCTGTTCTTTTCAGTTTAATCTCTGAAAGTGTTCTAAGGAACACAACATTGATTAATCTCATTTTTGGATCTCGCATGGGAGTCTCTGTGCTTGCACATGCTCCTGCGCACAGTGTCCTCGGTCTTACACTACCACCGAGCGATGCGAATCACTTTTTTCATCATTTCGTCGGCTTGCCGGCGGGCTGGAGAAGAGGTTTCACGTAGCATAGGTACTGTCATCTTGTCCGAGCTAGTTCTCTAGGTAGAATCATTGCTGTGCCGCGGCCCTATAGTCCTAGGTCATGGAGGACCCAGTGCCCTCAAGCGTAGAACCCTGCCAGTTCGAAATGCTATTAGCGGTACACGATTTTTGCAGCTCAGGACAACTTAAAAAGTAGTATCCTAGGCCCTGTTACTAGTAATCGAGTGAAAAATTAGCTGAACAGTGAGTGGCTCGTAGAGCAAGGCAGGCTTAGCGCATACAAGGTAGTTAAACTCTACGTGAGTTGGATCCCAAACCTCGTAACTTGTTCTTACTTCTGGCTTGCTTAAGCCTAAAATAGAGGTGTGAGTTCGGCACCACCTTACTCTTTGGGACGTTCGTTCGGCTTCACAACTTGGGCACCGGAAGGCAGTTTGACCCCTTGCTGAACACCTCTAATAATAGCTAGATATTCATTCAAAATCCCCCTCTAGCCACTCTTAGCTTCCCCCGCAGTCACTGAGGAGATAAACATCCGTTTCTGCCCAAGCTAGACTTACAAGTCAGCTTATAACCTCCATACGGGGCCGTTTCAGCGTTTGGAGGTACTCTCATTGTGACTTCTACAAGGTAACGTCTCCGATCTAGTACAATATTTTCTAAACATTTCGGTTAAATGGATCAATCGCAGTTTGAGAAATTCGATGACCACGAATTCGCACCTAGAATTCAACATGCATTTCCTGATCATGTAAATACCGAGTACGAGTATCAGCCAAGGCCGATGGACAACATTCCCCCGATTTCCGAACATGAATTCGAGAAACGTTTCTACGCTTGTCGCAAACCACGACCACTACTTCATCTACACCACAAGTGTAAAAGACTAGGAGCTCATTCTTCTGACATTCTGAATTTTCTCCCTAAGAAAAAGACCGTACTGGAAGAAGCAGGTGACAAACGAGAAGATTTCTGGGGGATATATGCTCGCGAAAGGGTCAGCCTAAGTGGGATCATCATCTACAATTTGGTCTGTGTCTTGCCTTTGTTAGTATTCTTCGTGGCATGGGTTACACCACGAGGGCATGTTACGGACTTGCAAGATCCATCGATCCCAGTCGGCATTATGGTTTCGATGCTTTCTCTTTTTTGGAGCGTATTTATCGGCAGCTTACAGTTCGCAAGGCCGCATTAAAGTAAGCACGTTGTAATTTCACGTAAGTTTAGATACACTGAAATGCTTATCGCCTCTTAGCATATGATATATCAAGTAAAATCTAGATAGATGGATAATACAAGACTTAATACCTAGTACCAGTATATAATGATATGTTTCAATAATCATACGCCTCGTCTCGAGCCGCATAAATAAGAGTAACAAAAACTCTACGCGAAACGGATGGTCATAGTAAACAGCAGGGTTACATGTAATTTACATAGGTATTAATGCCGCGACTGCGCAGTACCACTAGGGTTAGTCTGGATCTAGCTAGACATGTACCGGAAAATCTTCGCACTATTTTAATTTCAAGGGAGGAGATTTTCGAGTTGTTACTCTGATTTTGCAAACTAACTACTGTAGATATATCTCCAATTCCTTCGTCATGCGGCAAAGCTCTCCCCACCAATCCGCGGCTCTCCTTCCCCGCATAGAAAAATAATCACCACCGTCACCACCGACCGCATCGTACTTATTCAATTTTTGTCCACAACATAAGTGCCAGATCCTGACATTCGAAATGATCGACCCAGCCATTTTCGAGAACCTGCAGACCAAGATTGACGAGGAGACCTTTGTGCGTGATGTAAGCGTTATTCCTCACCTGCTTCTTGACAGCTTCACTCACCTTGTTATCACGACAGGAACTGCACGAAATAGTGCAGACACTTGCTAGAAAAGGTATATTCTCCCATCTATCACTACCACAGCATCGCACAGCTTTCCCTTTTAACTGGTGTACGTGTAGGACGAACGACACAAGCAATCCTCTCCCGAGCCCATTCAACCCCGACCAGAGACTGTAAGTCTCGCTCCCCTCTGAAGCCTTGAATCGTCGAACAAAACAAAATCCTCATTTTTCAAACAGTGAAATCCGTCCTAGACGACGCCGCAAACCAAATCCTCGCGCAAAAAGAAGACATTTCGCGATTGGCACAGTTGGCGAACAAGCACCCATTTTACAAATATAATGGCGTCTGGTCGCGCGAGTTACAGAACTTGGTATGCACAAAATAACGAAAGTGGAACCCCTTTCATTGATTGACTCGGTTGAAAGGTATACTACATCGAACTGTGTGCGTGGCTAGGCGGGTTATCCGAGTATAAGACTTCGTCCAAGGCTTCGTTCTTGACGATTGAAGAGATTGGAAGTTTCCTTGAAGGTTTGTCTATTTATTTCTAACTCATAAGAAGACAGAAGGAACACTGACTGTATCGAAATGTAGTCCCCGTCAATCTCAAAGACGAAGACAAATTCCACCTCACCATCGAAGAATACCTGCTCGCCCTGATTTCGATGGTTGAAGAGCTTTCGCGTCTGGCCGTGAACTCGGTCACCTTGGGCGATTATCATCGTCCTCTTGAGATTAATAATTTCATCAAGGATTTGTTCGCGGGCTTTCAGTTGCTCAACTTGAAGAATGATATACTGCGGAAGAGGAGCGATGGGATAAAGTACTCGGTATGTTCAGACAATGAAAATGAAAGGAAAGGGAAAAAAAAATAAAATAAAATAAATAAAGCTAATGTCACTGAAATATACAGGTTAAAAAGGTGGAGGATGTCGTGTACGATCTGTCGCTGAGAAATCTAATTCCAAAGGCGTGATGAAACTATTTATTATGCGTACTGAAAGACTGAACACGGTAATAATCATTATCAATAACAATAGAACCATCAATCAACTCATTCTTCTGAACGTACAAACTGCAATCTGGTATCAGAAAACTACTATGGCTACAAGAAAACGAAAAAAAGAAAAAGGTCGAATCAACTAAGTTGACTTGGGCTCGTCCTCGGCCTTTGCAGGGACAGCACTTGTCGTTTCAGTAGCAGCAGGGGCAGGAGCCTCCTTCTTAGCGTTCTCAATCTCCTGCACAATCGTCGACTCCAAACTCTCCGGCTTGGTTAAACTCCTCCATCTCCCGACCACTTCTCCCTTACTATTAATCAAAGCCTTCTCAAAGTTCCACAACACCCTTTTCACGCCAAACAGACCAGGCTTCTCACCCTTGATCCATTCAAACAAAGGGTCGGCCTTGCTCCCATTGACATCGATCTTTCCGAGCATAGGGAAAGTGACGCCGTAGTTCACCTGGCAAAAGCTCTGGATTTCATCGTTGCTTCCGGGATCCTGATTGCCGAATTGATTGCAGGGAAAGCCGAGAATGGTGAATGCGCCGGGGTGCTTTTCTTCGATGGTCTTGTACAGCTTTTCCAGCCCGGCAAACTGCGGGGTGAAGCCGCACTTGGACGCGGTGTTGACGACGAGCACGACTTTGCCGCGGTACGAGTCGAGCGGGTATGGGTTTCCCTTTTCTGGTGTGCGAAAGATATATCGTTAGTAGGTGCGTGCTTTGTTATATGCACGTTATAGCTGGGATGGAGAAACGTACTGTCGGGAGGAGAGAAGTCGTAGAAGGTGGTTGCGGATGCCATGGTGCTGTAGTTGATGCGACTGCGCAGGAGGGCAGTGGTCGGCTAGTTACTGATTAGTCTTTCGCTCTCTCTCTCTCGCTCTCTCTCTCTCTCTCTCACTCTCTAGGATAGCAAAACACACCGTCAAGCGCAGGTGGCAATAGCGTAAGAGCGCAATGATGGCGATGTCAGTTACCTTGGGGATTGAAGATGGCAAGAGGACGAGAAAGGAAGTTGACCATGGGATCTTATCGCGCCAAGGATCTAACTAGATCCGTGGATGGCGGGGTGCAATTTGTAAGCAAACCATGGTAACCTAGTTAACTAACTTAACTAAGTTAGTCACTTAAGGCCAAGCTACGTCGTTAAGTATCTGACTGAATCTGAAAGTTGGCCTTGTTACTACCACTAGGGAACGCAATGATGAGACGAATAAAATAAACTATCCAGACGTAGGCACCTTAGAAGTACTTCAGCAGAGTCCTTGGTTGTCTGCTGCAGCCGCTCTGAGCCAAAAGGCGGTGGCAGAATTACTGTGATAACCACGCCCAGGCGGCGGCCCAGCCAATCATATGCTTCATCCTCCATACCCAGCAGATAAGACTTCATGTCTAGAGATCCATCTTGGCTTCCTCACCATGGGCCGCCTAGGCCTACAGAGCAATGGCTGTACCAAGACGACGTCAGAATGGTGTACCACAAGCCTGCGAGCCATGTCGCAAGTCCAAAGTTCGCTGTGACCATGAGAGTCCCAGGTGTTCGCGCTGTACCATGCGCAACCTGAATTGTGTCTATCATCCTGCACCCATGACCAAGCGCCGCTCTCCTTTCACTTTTCATACTCCTCTGCGCTTCGATACTCCCATCGCTACCCGTGCTTCTTCCTTGTCCTCTGCTGCAGATCCGGACAGCGGGGGCTTCGACGTCGTAGAGCGGAACACACTGTTCCAGAAGGAAGTTGGCCGACACCAGACGACTCGGTTCTCCGCAGTCTTCTTCGAGAACCAAGAGAGTTTTGTCCCGGTCATCAATGATGCGACCAACTCCCATCGCGAGACAGGCCGGGAGCTTGATGTCAAGGACGGGCCTCGCATGGAATTGGCCATCAATACCCTCATGAATTTCCCCACACGTCGCACTTGTGACATGCTGGTGGCGGATCTCCATCACATTTACGATGTCTGGTTGTCCCCGACCATGATCCAGAAGTGCCTAGAGCAGGTATGGAGGGACTACGGTGATTGTCTGGGCGACCATCGGACACGCGAGTCAGTGTCTAGAATGGCAAATGATCTCTTCCATAATGACAAAAAGCTTCATCCGATGCCCCAGAGTGATTCCGACACCAGCTTCGATTGCTCCACTTGGGTGAATTGGTTTTCTGGAGCCTATCTGCGGTGGGAGATGCTGGGGATTCTGTTTGGCTGGGCTGGGATTGCTTTCAAACACAAGCAAGAATGGGACTCGGTGTTTGATCTGCCCGAACAGCAGAGGCGGGATCGCAACACTGCCGCAGACAAGATGAGAGAGTGCGCTAATGCCTGTGTGAGGCTCTGCGAAGACCATTTTGAAGTCAGTGATATCATGGTCATTTGCATGAAGAACAGTAGCAAACTGCAGAGTGTGATCATTAGCGACGAGAGCGATCGCATACGAGTAGACTTTGGCACTGTGTGCAGCGCTTTCATAACAGCAGGATTGCATCGCCAGCCGTCTCTTGACAAGGTCACGCCGTTTTCCCAATACCGAGCATCCATTGCGGCGTCCATATACTATCTCGATAAATGTGAGAGTTTGTTTAATGCGCGACCACCTATGCTAAGTCGTCGTTACTGTCAATACCCACTTCCCCTCGACCTGTGTGAGAAAGATGTCTACGGTGGCAGGGAAAGACTGGCAGCTGCCTTGGCGAGGCTCGACTCAAATGGCTGGAATACAGATGGTCGAATCTACACGACAACCTGGCTCCGAGCACTCGCCATGCTCAGCCCCATTAGAGAGGGAATATTGGAACTGTCCTTAAGCGTGAATCTGCAATTCACAAAATTAGAGGTAGAGTGAGTCAGTCTTCTAGGAGGGTACATTTTTATTCTCCCTTCTGACTTTGGACTATCTTTTTGCAGGAATCTCATTGTCCAGTTGAGGCAGATAGTTGCTTCCTATCCTCCACACATTCAGTATCGTCGTAGCTCGGAATGGCCGTCAGAGCCAGGCTCAGGCTTCTATTCGCAAAGCGCTCACGACATGTACATCATTACTCGTATACACCTCGATATATTACAATGTCACTTCCTCCTGCAGCGTCTTCTGGTCTCGCGGGAATTCTGCGGTGGTCAGGACTTGTTTGATATAGCCCAGGATATGATATCTATCATTCTCTCCCTTTGGCACAATCGAGATCAGTTACAGGACCTCAATTATGCTTTTGACTGGATTGTATGTCTAGCCATAGGTCTATGGATGCAACATTTACTTACGTCTGTATAGTCTGTATCATACGGAATGCCCAGCGCAGGGATTCTGTGTATTGAACTGCTCCGAGCTTGCAAACTTGCACCACCCTCACCAGCTGTTCACTCGTCTGTTCAGCTGTCGCGGTCCTCGGTCGTTCAAAACCTAACCATGTTCGGAGCCCTACTTGACTGGATACGGCCTACGGATAATAATGCACAGCTCAGTAGAAAGTTTAAGAAAGTTCTGCAGAGGATTATTGACGCTGTATTCGACTCTCTGGGACCGTTGCATGATAACACCGATGTCCGCCCAAGACCTAATAATGAGCATCAGCCTCGAAGACAGTATGGCCTACAAGATGAGCTGGAGCAGTCGCGAGGATATTCGTCTACCGCCATTGACAGCGAGCATGATTTCGATCTTGCGCAGGCCACCATCATTGATATGGATTGGCTGAACACTGTAGATTGGACACAGGGAGCTTGGCTTGAACAGAGTAACCAGCCTTTTTAGACCTAATATATGCTCAATTGGTCGATATTGAGTCCATCGGGGTGACTCTTGAGGAGAATTTAGCCAAGGTGACTCCTGTGCGTGGTATAAAAATGTCTACCCTGAACACCTTGGTAAGATGGAATCATTTAACGTCGTAGTTTACGGTGCCTAACTGGAATTCCATCTAATTATTTAGCCGAGACCAAGCCTACATGCGCAAGGACCCTCAAAAGACTGAAGATTGAGGATACAACCTTCTCGTCTTCGTGCTTGTGCAAATCAAAATCATGCAAGTCAGTAGACCCGTTCAACATCGACCTCAGGTTCGCGGAAGCATATCTGTCGTTCATATCACACGTCAGCTTCAGACTCCTTCCCCCTCTTATTTAGTGCTGCCTTCTGCCGATGATAGTTGGTTGAAGATAAGAATAGTCGGTTCCCCCGGAGCGTCGGAGTGGATCCGGAGTCCGAAGTTATACATGCTGTACAGAACTACGCTATACTATCTCCAACTCGCCAGACGACAACCTTAATCAAATACCGACTGTCCCTTATATTGTGCTCATGATGCTCAGAAATGCCCTCCAACCTCACATGAACACGGCAGTTGAACAGACCCAGTACCGGCAATGGATCCCGCTCGTTGCTTACCAGTTGAAAATCCGACGGTGCCATTTTGGCATAGAGACATTCATGAGCTGCATGATTACCGGACAACAGAAGACCTTCCGGCCTCCAGCGATGTGGTCATAATAGGCGCTGGCTACGCCGGAATCAGCACAGCTTACCATTTAGTCAAAGAAGAGGCCGGTGACAGCAAGACCAAGCTATCGGTCACCATCTTGGAGGCACGAGGCGTCTGCTCAGGCGCAACAGGACGCAATGGCGGCCACCTGCGACCCGACATGTACAGCCCCATGCCCAAATTCATCGATCGAGCTGGCATCGAACGCGCTGTCGAGGTGTCAGAATTCGAAGTCGCACACATTAAAGCCATAAAATCCTTGGTCGAAAGAGAAAAGATCGACTGCGACTTCACCCTTACCAGGTCCATTGATGTATGGTGTAACGAAGAAGATGCCCTCAAGGCCAAGGAAAAATACGACATGCTGGTCTCCCACAATCTGGAGTACATTAAAGATGTATTCTTCGTGCTTGGCAAGGATGCAGAGGGCATCTCCGGGGTCAAGGGAACTAGAGCTTGCGCCTCTTTCACTGCAGCTACTCTCTGGCCGTACAAGCTGATCCTGCACCTCACCAAGTCGATTCTTGAGACTGGTATGGTCAACCTACAGACTCATACGCCAGTGAAGGCGGTCACACGGCAGACCTCTGGCGGGTTTATCATTTCCACTGCACGTGGCGCAACCTTTGCTCGAAAAGTGGTTTACGCAAACAACGCTTACGTCTCGGGGCTTCTTCCACAATACAGCCAAGCCATTGTCCCCTGCAAGGGGTTTTGCACTCATATTTCGGTCCAAGGGGGAACAAGACCACCGTTACTGAACAACTCTTACATCGTGCGTGACACGGACGGGGTAGTGTCTTATCTCATCCCTCGTGCTGACGGTAGCATTGTTGTTGGAGGAGCGAACCTGAAATATCGCCCCTTTTTAAAGCAGTGGTACAATAACGTGGACGATTCTATACTCATTGACGAAGTTAAAGATTATTATGATGGTTATATGCAGAGGACTTTCCATGGCTGGGAAGACAGTGGCGCCAAAGTAGATAAATCCTGGACTGGGGTCATGGGGTACAGCTGGGATTCTCTCCCTCATGTTGGTGCTCTACCAGGGGAGGATGATCAGTATGTCCTTGCAGGCTTTAATGGGCATGGGATGCCTGTGGTGTTTCTGTCGGCATTGGGTGTTGCAAAGATGGTTAGAGATGGTGTTGCGTTTGAAGATATCGGCGTTCCGAGACTGTTCCAAACGACGCGGGAGAGACTCGAGAAGGTCAAGAACGGCCCTGCAGGAGGGGATATAATCGTCAAGGATGCATGATTGTTTTTATGCTTAGTGCTGCAGGGATAGCCCACAATGTATAGAATCTAAGATACCAAGAAGCACTTCCAATAACATTCCTTCTGGCTAGGTATTGATGAAGGTTCTGTCGAAGATGCCTACGGTCTATGCCTTCTATACAAACGAATTAAAGATCTAGTACATCCATGGACGTAGATAAGTGTTTTTCGATTGGTAAGTATCTACTGCTTCTAATCCACATCTGTGCTCAAGCTGAGCTTCTCGTACTTGATGAAATTCTGTCGCTCTGCCTCCAGCCTCGCCAGGATGGCCGGGTACGCATCTGAGCCGAGCAAGATCCTCAAGGGCGGGTTTTCCATGACGGCCAGTTCGTAAAAGACCTTTGCGGCCTTCTTTGGATCACCAGGCTGGGTTCCATTCCGGGCCATCATCATGGCTTTGGCATCGAGATGATCGTAGTCCGGATAACGGTCGGCAAATGTCATTGAACGACCAGCCCACTCGGTCCTGCAATTCGCCAGAAATGAGACATTATACACAGCATCTCTCAGTGCGAACTTACCGGAAACCACCGGGCTCAATGCAGGTAAATTTAATGCCCCATTCCGGCTTGACCTCCTTGGAAAGTGACTCTGTGAAACCTTCAACTGCCCATTTGCTTGCGGCATACATGCTGAAGCACGCGGCTCCCCGTTGGCCACCGACGCTCGTCACTTGTTGAATGACACCGCCGCTAGGCTTCTGCTTTCTCATGGCGGCAATGGCTTCCCTTGAGACGTTGATGACACCGAAGAAGTTGACTTCCATCTGCGTCCGGATTTGCTCGTCGGTGTATTCTTCGAAGCATCCCGTGAGGCCGTAGCCGGCATTGTTCACGACCACATCGATGCGTCCAAAGCGCTCCACAGCCTTGGCGAATGCTGCTTTGATGCTTTTTGGTTCTGTTACGTCGAGTTCCAAGGCTAGGTAGCTGTCCTCTGAGGTCTTGTCGAAGTGGAGAGCCGCCGGTCTGCGCGCGGTCGCCACGGCAATGTCGCCTCGGTTTAGTATCTCTTGGACCAGGTCATGGCCAAAACCGGTCGAGGTGCCGGTAACCAGGAAGACTCTGGGCATGATATGGTGATGAGTCTTGATGAAGGCGGCTTGAGGAGGTTGTGCAATAGCCATGATGGCTTCGCGGGCAGAGACTTTATGTGTCACTGTGTGCACCTACATTTGTTAGAGCCGATTCATATGCTCCTCGACAATTTACATCGCACGCTCCCCGAATTGGTCGAATTGCCCCTTATCTAACGGAGTGGACTCCTGGTCATCCCGCTTCGGACTCCATTTTCCCTGTTTTGGAACTGCTTATCTTGCCCCTTCAAGATAGTCAGTCATGTCGAATATCGGCGTCTATGTGACCTTTTCCTTCAGCGATACTCGACCCTCATTCTCGACCGGTGATGAACGCTACCTACCACATGGCTTATCTGCATGGCTATAATCTAGGCATAGATACCTAATCACCTGGCAAGGTCCGGGCGCTTTACAGCAAGCACTCTTAACAAAGTAGGGGACCTATAAGCCGAAGAAATCGCCTTGTGAGGTTTGCCATAACTCTAGAATACAGTATCTGTCTGGAAAGCTCTATCTTTGAACTTTGTTTTCTACGGATCACTTTACGATTTCCACAATGGATACGCACGTCGACGCAATCCACATATCGACCAAAGACGAGAAATCTACTTCTCCCGACGTGGAGGCGCCTCTACAAATGGCTGAGCAGAGCAATGGTGAGTTCGAAGAAGTTAAGGCGTTAAGGCAGGGCCTTCATCAGAGACACATCCAAATGATCGCCCTGGCTGGCACCATTGGAACGGGTCTCTTCCTCAGCTCAGGCCGAGAAATTGCTCGCTCTGGCCCGTTAGGGGCGTTCCTAGGGTATCTTGTCATGGGCAGTGTGGCTGGTACCGTCACGCTCGCAGTAGGTGAAATGGGAACACTTGTTCCTCTGAACGGGGGCATCGTGCGCTATGCTGAATTCTTTGTTGATCCAGCATTGGCATTTGCCAATGGCTATAACCTGGTTTACTCCTACCTCGTGTCCATTCCCGCTGAGATCGTAGCCGCATCTGTGCTGGTGCAGTTCTGGTCGGACTTGAACAGTGCCATCTGGATCACCATCTTCGGCTTGATCATGTTGTGCACTGCTCTGGTCTTTGTTCGTGTGTATGGAGAGCTCGAGTTCTTTTTCTCCACGCTGAAGATCTTGCTGATCATTGGAGCCAACATCATGGTAAGTGATAGCCCAATCTAGAGGAATCGCTCGACCTAAGAAGTTTTGTATCAGGCTCTCGTCATTACTTGTGGTGGCGGTCCCAATCATGAATCCATCGGGTTTAGATATTGGCGCGATCCCGGTCCGTTGGTTCAGTACCTTGGGATCAGCGGCTCCCTTGGCCGTTTCTTGGGTGTCTGGACATCCTTGAATAACGCTCTTTACGCCTTTTCAGGCATTGAAACAATCACAGTTGCAGCTGGAGAGACCAAGTCTCCGAGGCGAGCTATTCCCCAGGCCACCAAGCGCATTTTCATTCGAATCTCTGTATTCTACAGTATGTTGCTTCACACAAACACGCACACACGCAAAAAGCTGAACAAAGAAAATGAAGTTATGTTTGTTCGCGGATCTGACTTCTTTCATCTAGTCATATCAATCTTCATGATTGGCCTCGTCGTACCGTCTAATGACCCCAGTCTCGATCATTCCAGTGGCACGGCATCCACATCACCGTTTGTTATTGCAGCCACTCGAGCAGGGATCAAGGTTGTCCCGTCAATCATCAATGCCGTCGTCATCAGCTCTGCCTGGTCTTCGGGAAACTCAAACTTACTCGGAGGATCGAGGGTATTAGTTGGACTGGCTGTGCACGGCCGAGCTCCCAAGTTCTTCACTCGGCTCAACAGATTCTCAGTACCCTGGGTGGCAATTTCTCTGTACGGCTTGTTTATGTGCCTAGGATACATGACGCTATCTTCAACCGCAAGCACGGTGTTTGACTGGCTGCAAGACCTTGTCTCCATCACCACCCTAACCAACTGGTTGACCATCCTGGTCACATACCTCCGTTTCTTCTATGGCTGCAAAAAGCAAGGCATTTCTCGAAAGTCTCTACCGTGGGCAACCCCATTCCAGCCGTATATCACGTGGGCTGCGCTGGTCGTGCTCACCGTCTTTCTTATCACTGGCGGCTACTCAACCTTTATCAGGGGCCACTGGGACAACGAGACGTTCGTCTCCTCTTATATTAACATCCCTCTTTTCCTAATCCTGTATTTTGGATATAAGTATATTTGCAAAACAAAAATTGTGGCCTTGGACGATATTCCTATCCAGCCGTTCATTGACATTGCTAATCGCAACGTCGAGCCTCCACAAAAGCCTAAGAAAGGCCTGCACAAGCTCAACATTTTGTGGGGCTGAATGATCACAGAAAAGCAAAGCTTTTTATTATTCACCGTACAGCCTTTTGATGCAGGTTCCAAGATGTTGTTTCTGTGGTAGTGTGGTGATAAACAGGCTACAACAGTGTTCTAGGGCAAGAAATGTGTTTGTTTATCTTTACTTAGTTCAATAAGTTCGTTGTAAAGCACATAATAACAGTCGTCAGACTTCTTCTGTTAGAAGCAAGAATCTAGATGCGCCATGTATGTCGTCGCCATTGGCATCGGGAGTGTAGATGAGAAATCCAACCAACATCCGCACTGATCCTAGAATTCGAGATACCAGCACAATTGATCCAACTTCGAAAGTTGCAATGGAGCGCAAGACATGAACACATGTTATTGCCTAATTGGCCAAAAAGATTCAAAATAGTCCGCGCTGTCGGAGTCCCTCCGGAGTCCCTTCGGAGTGGAGATGATAGATAAGGCGTTGGCTCCGGACGTTTGATTTACGGGGGTCTATAGACTAGAGAAGTATTCTATTTCTATTTTTCACACACAGAGGATTTAAGACTTGTTGTTGAGCATCCAGTGACTAATATACGGCATTCCTCCTGCTTTTCATCTACAATTCCCAACAATCGCTCCATATAGTTCGTTGCGCGCAACATGGCCTCCCCCAAGAAGCACGTTGTCTTCGACGTCGTCGGCACCTGTGTGTCATTTGACGCCTTTTTTGATAGCATCGAACAGGCTATTGGGCCGAGACTCCTGGCGCAAAATGTGACGGCCAAACTTTTTGGGTTCGCGTGGATGCAAGCTGCTGAGCTCGAACACACGATGCTCCGCATGTCCAAGCGAGAGAAGCCGTACGCAGAAGTGTTCAAGGCGCTTTTCTACCGCATCCTGTTTATGGCTGGAATTGACGACCCGAGGTCCTTCGCAACCGACGAGGAAAGAGATATGTGTCACGCCGGCTATTCCAAGCTGGAATTGCGCCCAGGTTGCCGAGAGATGATGGAGAAGCTAAGAGAAAACGGATTTACTGTCTGGTGTTTGACCACGGGCGATGCGCAAAGGGTTGGCGGCTACTTCAAGCGCGCCGGTTTTGACATGCCTGCTGAAAACCTGGTCTCATGTCATGATTTCTTAAAGCCTGGGTCGTCAATCTCGGAATCCGCAGATACCTCTTCTATAGAGTTTATAAAACCTTCCATGGGCTCGTATCAGCCCATGCTAGACAAATTCGCTCCCGCAGATCAAAAGTGGTTCGCCGCTGCACATATGTGGGATGTCAGCGCTGCTGTCAAGGCCGGGTAAGTTGCATTCTTGTTACGGAGGGAGAGCATTAGAATATTTGAAGGTTAACTTTATACGTGTCGTAAAAAGCTTCCGCGGCGCCTATTGTTCGATCTATGAGAAAGAGTCTTGCATTGAGATATTCGACACCAAGATGGATGTCATGGCCGACAGTCTGTCCGAAATGACGGACAAGATCATTGCTGCAGCCTCGGAGGTTTAGATGATAATGTACAATTGTGAGATTAGATAACAAGACTAAGATAGAAATGACAATAGCAACTACTTAGAAGAAGTTTAGAAATGTTTCTAATATCCTCCAAAGCATCCAATAGCCGTGGTTACGATTCTCTGTCTATATGCGCAAGTACTTTGAAATGTAACCGTCGAGCATCAGATTCCGATGCTACTATGAAAGAATCAGCTTAATTATAGGTAGAGACACCTTGACAAGGCAAAATCATATTTGTTCTTTCCCCTTTATCTATATACAGACTGTGCCTCTTGAATCACCCCATTTCGCTTCTCCTTGACTGACAACACGCGATCAAAAACCTTCTCTAACCTAGCCATAGCCTCGTCGACAATTTGATAGTGGACGACAATCCTTCCACCCATCAATTTTACCCCTTCCTCCTTACCCGCGCGGATAAACTCGTCCACTGTGATGCCGCTATATGGCAGATCCAACAGGACCATGTTGGTTTCGACGGGTCGACTGACTGTTCCGCCACGACTGAGCCACATACCCTCGATGATCTTGGCCTTCTTGTGCGTCTCTCGCAATTGACCACCTTCACCACTGGGGCCTTTGCCGAAATTCTCCTCGACCGCTACGCGGGCCGCGGCGCAAATGATCCCGGCTTGTCGAATACCTCCACCAATGCTTTTTCTGACCCATCTACAGTGCTCTAGTATTCTTTTTGGACCGACGATGATGCTTCCGATGGGAGCGGCCAGGCCCTTGGAGAAACACATTTGGGCGGTATCGAAACACTCTAGAAAGTCGGTCAAGGAGCCAGCTCCAGCAGCTACCGCCTCCCAAAGCCTTGCACCGTCTAGGTGCATCTTGATGCCGTTGGAGCGAGCAAACACAGATATCCGACGAATTTCCTCCAGGGGAGTGATGACACCGGCCAGAGTGTTCTCTAGCGAGATGACACGGGTTGGAGAGACATGGATATTGTTGCTGATGACCGCGGTTTGCTTGATATCCTCGAGCGTCAGGTACTGTCCGTTAGCCGGGATACACGGCTGCATGTGCGCCTGGGATAGAGATGAGCAGCCGCCTGCCTCCGATTGAAGAATGTGAGATCGATGATGGCAGAGAATGGCGTGTGGCGGTTGCGTCAAGAGCGAGCGGAGGGCGATCTGGTTTCCCATCGTGCCCGACATGACCAGGAGACTGTCCTCCTTGCCCGTCAGCTGAGCCATGTACTTCTCAAATTCCGTCGTGGTCGGGTCCTCCTGGTACACATCGTCCATCAGCGTCGTCTGGGCAATTGCTTGCAGCATGGACAAGGTTGGAGTTGTGATGGTGTCTGTTCGGAAGTCGTAGGTTGCAGGCCCAGGACCGCACCAGGTGCTCGCGACTTTGATTTGCTCGGCCATTTGGCCATTTTCCTCTTTGGCGAGGGACATTTCCACGCTACCTATGACGAAAGAACAATGAATTGTGTTGCCGTTGACTTTAGGGTTTCTGCTTCGAGTTGAGTATCAGGAAGCCGAGGAGAGAAGCCCGGAGACGCAGTGAAGCATAATTATACGTCTTGCCCTGCCAGAATAGATAGATTTGTCTTCGTACCTCTGCTTTATGATTTGCTCCATTCCGTCTGCTTATCTATGTTCATCCGGGACAAGTTTCGGGGTGGATACTCCGTACTGAGCATAGTACTCCACTCCGTCGTACTAAAACGTAGCCTTTGTAAAGACAAACAAGATTAGCCTAATAGGGTAGAGCGTGTATGGAGTTGTGACAATTAGAGCGTAAGAAGTGATAGCGATGCTAATTCCAAACATTTCAGGTATTCCGAGAGTTCAGACTATGTCTAGGGGTCATTCCGAAGCAGCTTGCTAGACAGCGAGTCGGCAGCTCAAAGCAGTGCTAAACTCGCCGTTAATTTGACAAATATATATTCTGCGAACATGATAGAAACAGCATGCGTTGTGCTTATATGTCGGCCCGGTGGCACTACTGGAGGGCCTCTGGGAGTAGTCTTATTGAGTACCCCTAGGGCTCAATTTAGTGAAGATCTAGAACGAGCATCAAACTAGTCCAAAATGGGCTTCCTCTTCGGATCAGATCCACTTTGCGGCAGCAACGTGTGGCCGAGCGGGAAGCCTAGCCTGATAGGGCAAGCATAGCGGAGCCATGACGATGATCATCCCAAGATTTCGATCAGATTACTGCATACGGAGTATGGAGTATACGAGATCCACCACAGCTGTCCAGACTTCTGCTCAATGAGGATCCTTTTTTACAATCTCCATAGAAGAAAGTGTATCCTGAGTCGTGCCCTATGAAAGTTCTATATGAGCTTACTGCTGGATTGACAGGAGAGTATGGGTCTTCCATGTGGAAAGAGCATCGACAGGATGAGTTCTTAATCAGGAATGCTTTACAGTCTCGAAAGTGCTAGTCAGAACCACCAAGGCACCTTCATTGGTTATAACAAGGCTTTTTTTGCTAACAGGTGTCAGCCCTGAGCCCCAACCTTCCTTGAGGGAGGCATATCCACACCGCCAAAGAGGTTGTAGTTTGATGTATTTACGGCCGTAAACGTATTCAAAAAGGTGAGAACATTGCCTCAGTTTGAGGCGAAGTATCTAGAGTATTCATATAAGGCTAAGCATCCCAGAAGTGCATCTACTTTCAAAAGATCATAACTTCATCGACGTTCTTTCTTGAGTACATCATGAAAGCTACTATGTTACTCAGCCCTATTGCTTTAGGCCTCTTGTCCTATAAGTACTTGATACACCATGGAGTCCCGTCTTCCTTATTTTATAAGTCAGACACTAATGATCCAGGTCCAGCGACAATTGCCAGTCCAGCGGCAAACGGCGTGTCGAGAGCTGTGGTTGTCAACCCTCGCGCGCTGCCAGACGCCCCCAATGGCTATGCTCCAGTAAATATTACCTGCCCATTCAACCGGCCTAGTATCAGGAACGCGTCGACACTATCTCCTCAAGGCCTTTGATAACCGCACGGATGGTGCAACTGGTAAAGGCCAGATGGGTGGTCTGCAGTCGGCCACTTATGTTGCCGCCCTCAGCGGAGGTTCCTGGGCGCTGGGCTCGATCTTTGTTAACAACTTTACGTCGGTTGCTGAGTTGCAAGCTAACTTCTGGAACTTTTCCTCCGAGTCCATTTTCGTAGGCCCAGGTACTATGGATCCTGTACAGTACTGGGGTGACATCACAGCCCAAGTCAAAATGAAAAGGGCCGCTGGTTTTGTGACTAGTAGCCCAGATTTTTGGTAATCCCTCAACGCCTTTCCTTGCCGGGTATGAAGTTTCTTATCTAATCTTTACAGGGGTCGCATGCAAGGCTACTATTTTTTCAATGCTAGTGACGGTGGAGTTGACCTCACTTGGTCCTCTATCGCAAAGACTCAGGCCTTCCAAGAGGGTGTTATGCCCTTGCCTCTGGTGGTTGTTGATGGCCAGTATTTCAACCAGTCTGATGAATTGCCAACCCCTAAACAGCCCGTATATGAGATTTCTCCTTGGGAGTTCGGGACTTTTGATGAATCAATCTATGGATTCGCGCCACTGGAGTACCTGGGCTCTCGGTTTGTGAATGGCGTGGTACCAGAGAATGAGACCTGCGTGCGTGGCTTCGATAACGCTGGTTTCATCACTGGCACGTCGAGTGACATATACAATGAGAATGGCAGGGACATCGCGGTTACCTTGAATGATAGCATATCTTTGCTCTCGAGTAATACTTCTGAAGGCTCGGCCATGGTAGAATTGCTTTCTAATGATATACAACAATACCTCAGCGCCGTCAGCTCGAATAGCTCGAGGACGAATGGTCCTGCAGCCTACGATCCCAACCCTTTCTACCAGTACAACCAGGACTCATCACCATTTGCACATGACACGAGACTAACTGTAGTTGATGGTGGCGAGGACGAACAAAACATACCGCTCAACCCGCTCATTCAGAGGAAGCGCAACGTCGATATTATCTTTGCTGTTGATTCCAGCGCCAACGCCCATGTCATTTGGCCCAACGGCACCGCAATGATTGCCACTTATGAGCGTACTCTTGCCGGATATGCCAACGATACATCCTTTCCATCAATTCCGGACGCAAACACCTTTGTCAACCTAGGCCTGAACAACCACCCGACCTTCTTCGGCTGCAACAGTTCAAACATGACACGCCCGCACCCTTGATCGTATATTTGCCCAACCATCCAGTCACCTACATATCGAACGTTTCCGAGTATGTCACCAGTTACAACACCACAGCGCGCGACGACATGATCTTGAATGGCTATAACATTGTCACCCAGGCCAATGGCACCCTAGATTCCAACTAGACCACCTGCGTAGGCTGTGCCATTCTCAGCCGCTCATTTGACAGAACCAACACTACTGTTCCAGAGGCTTGCAGTCAGTGTTTCCAGAATTACTGCTGGAACGGAACAATTGATAATCAGACCCCATCGATCTATGCACCGACAGAGGCCGTACCTTCTTCGGCATCTGGATCGCCCCCAACATCTACATCTGCGTCTAGCATGGGTTCCTTGCTTGCTCCGGCTTCGTGGTCGGCTGTAGCAATGGTTGGCATCGTCCTCTTCGCGTATATCTAAGCGAGTAGCGCAAGATTTTGTCTGAGTTTTGAGGCTGAACGGAATTTCATTGTGCACTAAAATCTTGGATGCTGTAGTGCAATGCAATGCAATCAATTTAATTAGGTTATACCTTGCTGTGTCCGCCGGTGGTCTCCATGCTCAAGTGTATGCCTAAATATGCCGGCATCACGCGACTGACGGGTGTCGTATAAACCGTCATCCCACTCTGCCTTGCCAACACACAACGTTGGAAAAAATGGTAAAAAATATAAATAAAGCGCATCTCGCGCACGTCGCCGCACGGCATGTTCTATTTAAGAGAGCAATCGTGGTGCTATGCTGCGTAGTATGTTCGAAGACAACTATCGATGGAAGTTAGAAGTGAAAACAAAGCACTGCCAATCAAGATATGCCCTTGATCATCCGGAAGACGGTGCATGCTGATGGTGCCGGCTTCGACAATCATACAACTGCTATGCGCGATCTTGTTAAAGATGCCCCTGAAGTAGTTTATACATGTCAGAAGGTGTTCTCAAGTATATGTATAATCATGCAAACATTAGTCAATCGACGAGCACCTACGTAATTCCCATCATGTAAATCGCCATATGCTCGCCGTATAAGGCCGTTCATTGATTGGTAACCTTGTTATGTAGTATGGTATGTACATTATATCATTTCAACGGCGCGACACCGTTTTCATGGAGAGCCTACAGCTCGCTTGAAGCCGAACTGGCTCAGGAGGATGCATATACTATTCCCCAGGCCTTCAAGGTTCTTTTGTTCATCAGTCCATATACAGTCCTCTGTCCGATGAGAAACACAATCATCTTGCCGGCATATCCGAATAGTCAAGGTCGTTTTGTAGGAAGTTTGTTTCTAGGAACAAGCCTCGTCGATAGTTCCAACGCATGGGGAAAGACAAAGTTCACTTTCCCAATTCTTCCTTAAGAACGTCAACATCTAGTTCCTCCACGACTCCCAAAACAACGCCGACGGTGTCCAAAAAGCTATTCACAGATACCCGTAGCATGCGGTTCGTTGTCGCTCTGTAGGTGGTCTGGAGCACGGTCTTGCTTTCATCGTGAGCTCCGTCGTCTGCTGAGTCGGGCGATACGAGCGCAAAACTGCGATGGACAAAAGGAGACCGCTCCTTGTCGACTTGCAGGGCTCGAAGGGCAGCGGAAGCGATGCGGTTGGTGGGGAGAGGGATGCCGATGACCCTGGGAAGAGAGAGGGAAAAATTGCCCGTTAGTACTGACAGGGGACTGGAACTGGAATCAGGGCGCGACCAAGCTTACATGGAATAGGGAAATTCCACCTCTAACGGAGTGCCTGACGCCATGTTGCGTTGCGTATTGGCGAGGAGGTGCCGTGGTCGATGGTTGAAGTTGGTGAATTCTCGACTTCCAAGCTTGGAAGGCTGGCGGTGCGGGGCAGGCGGGAGTGTCGTCATTCGCCAGAAATGTTTCCTCACTGGGTATTTCCTATTTAGTATTCACTACTATTAGTTAGGTAGTACGTATATATAGACAGATTGAACGTATTATGCCTACGTAGTGCTGAAGGCCTGAGGTATCATTGGGTTTCTCACATTCTTACCTCTATCCGGGATGTATATATATATATATATAGAAATGTCGATACCTATATATATCCTTCCACCTTACTACTTCCTAGATGGTGGCTTAACAGCAGGCTGTATCGCTCTGTCCTGGATCATCTGACACGTACTTAGTGATAGAACATGTTTACATGCCTCCAACAACCACGCATTCTGTGGCAAATGACTGCTCACAGGACGCGGTTGGCGGGCAGCCTGAGGCAGCCGCCGTTGCCCTGTCAACAGACACGCGCTAAGCCGCATCGGGGCCATCACAACACCGCAGCCAATCAGCGGCGGCGCAGCGGTGGGCGGCCGCTTCATATTATGATTTGATATTTATGAGACTTGCAATACTTAACAACCTCATCCTCAACAATTATTATCCTCGCTCATTCCCGCTCACTTCCTCTCCTCTCATCTCCTTCTCGCTTCTTCCCCCAGCAAGATTCATCTGTTGCATCGCCTACTCTCAAGTCATCTATCCTTATCCTCGATTGCACGTGAAGCCAAGCGGTACCTGCCCGGGTCATGCAAGTGCGGTAGTTTGCTTCTCGCTTACCTCCAAACCTATCTACCGGCTCGCCAAGTATAACCAAAGGACCAGAACGAGCTGTGCTTGAGATTTCCAGAGACGCTCTCATCATGCCGTCGCACGCTGCCACTGCTCACGGGCAGGTGATCGAGTACATTCAGGGTATGAAGCTGCTTGTTTCCGCTCTCTCTCTCTCTCTCTTTCCCTCCTAGAATATGCAGACACTCATCCTGCGACTTTCACAGACCGTCTTTATCTCGCCTCGTACTCCTCCGCGCCAGATCCCTATGGCCCCCCTCCGTTCCCTTCCCAACAGTCGTCATCGCCATCAAAGCGTTCCAAGGCTTCACAGAGTCCCGTGAGGGCACCGAAACGGAAGCTACCCGTGTACTTTACTGTGGACGATACTCTGCTGTACAACGCATTCCATGCCGATTTTGGCCCCCTCCATATCGGCCACCTATATAGATTTGCCGTGCATTTCCACGAGATCCTCGGCGATCCCGCCAATACCGACAGAGCTGTTGTTTTCTATAGCAAACCAGACGGCCGAAGTCGCGCGAATGCCGCGTGCTTGGTCGCATGCTACATGGTTTTGATTCAGTCATGGCCGCCACACCTGGCACTGGCCCCCATCGCTCAGGCGGATCCCCCATACATGCCTTTCCGAGATGCGGGATACAGCCAAGCGGACTTTATTCTCAACATTCAAGATGTTGTGTATGGCGTGTGGAAAGCCAAGGAAGAGGCTCTGTGTGCATTGAAAGACTTTAGTCTCGAGGAGTAAGCCTTGCTTTTCTCAAGACATGGATCCCGTTTGGCATACTGACAGTGTGACAGATACGAGAGGTACGAACGCGTAGATATGGGCGATTTCAACTGGGTAACACCACATTTTATTGCATTCGCTTCCCCCCAACATCAACCAGTGGCGCCAATTCCTGCCAACACCCCCGAATACGCAGCTTTGCCTTCAACTCTCTCGCAAGTCCAAGCGTCGAAACTGCCGGTCTCGTTTAAAAACGTGCTTTCACATTTCTCATCAAGAAACGTCGGACTGATAGTGCGGCTAAACTCGGAGCTTTACTGTCCGTCTTACTTCACCGCACTTGGGATCAACCATATTGATATGATTTTCGAGGACGGCACATGCCCTCCGTTGCCATTGGTTCGACGATTCATCAAGATGGCACATGACATGATCACAGTGCAGAAGAAGAACATCGCGGTTCATTGCAAGGCAGGATTAGGACGCACCGGTTGCCTGATTGGTGCCTATCTGATCTACCGACATGGATTTACTGCAAATGAGATTATCGCCTATATGAGATTCATGCGTCCTGGCATGGTCGTGGGACCCCAGCAGCACTGGTTGCATCTCAACCAAGGTGCTTTCCGTGAGTGGTGGTTTGAAGATACCATGCGAGAGCGCTTGGCGTTGGCGGCACCGGTTACCCCTGGTCGACAAGTCACCAAGCAACGATCGAGTAACGGACAGACAGTCACTCCCCCGAACGGCGGCAATTCACGGCGGGCGGCGCTCGGCGAGATTGATAACAATGAAGCTGCCAACTACCACAACGATGAAAATCTGCCTGCACCGACGCCCGGTCAGCCGCGCAAGTCCCATCGTAAGGACTCACGCCATCACCCGTATGCCCGCAACGTATCCGGAACGCTGGCAGTCAATAGTGAATCCGAGAAGGATCGGTCGTCCCCCAAGCGGACTCAGCGAGCAGGCACTGAGCAAAGCGAAAGTGAAGAAGAAATCCAGATGCGCATGCTTGCCAAACGGGCATCCCGATCACCGAGTGCTTCGCCCAAGGCACGATCGATCAGCTATTCTACCACGGTCACTACCAGTTATGAAGTTCACGAAGACCGGGAAAACTGGGTCGAGTCAGCGGTCGTGACGCAGAAAACGCCAACAAGCAGTAGGAGTCCTATTGCCGTGGGAAAAGTGCGCGCAAGCCCGCGCCGCGTCACAGATAGCAAAAGCGATGCTAAAGGTGTCCGTAAAATCAGTGGCCGAGTGGGTAGCATTGGGACTTCATCTCCGACTAGAGTGAAGTAAACAGCTGCACTGGTTGTTTGATTCACGAGCTATGAATATGGACCCTATATATGCCATTGCCGCTTTAATATGCATTCGGGGTATTGGCTCTTCTATTCTCTTTGCTAATCTATAGATATCTTGAGAGTCTTGAGAGAAGCACCAAAACACGAAATACTTGGTTTCTCTCTGTATTGTTCAGCAGGCGCACTTGCCTGGATTTATTCTTTTTTCCCGTCTTTTGGATTTGGCTTGCGCGCAAACGGTTTGATTATGGGATTGGGAAATCTGCGGCGTTGTGGAATGTTATTTTTCTTTGATTTCCCTTTTTCTTTTTTTGACTTTCATCATCGATGACTGGGTATTTCTTCTGAGAAATGGTCATCGTGTTGTTTCTTTCTTGTATTCTTTTTTTCTTCTTCTATCCTTTGCTGATGACCTATTTGATCTTTTCTTGTTGCATGGAGTCTGCCCTTCATCCTCATCATACCTGTACTGTATACAACTGGACGTTATGCACTGGCGATGATTAACGAATGTTTACACGTGAGGTCAAATTCAATGATATCATCTGAAATAAAAACACTTGTAGTATGGTTCATATGAAAATCAAGATGCACATCTTGACTGGCCATACTACGCCCGAATGGGTAGATAGATAGATACATGAAGCTGCATTTGAAATCATTGAATATAGCCTCAAGAGTCCTGAATCAGCGACACACAATTGCCCTACATTCTGAGCATTAGAACATGAAGAAAAGGAAAAATAAAAGATTAACTCACCATCAACTTGCAATCCCTCATCATCTCGCCCCCAGCAACACCACGACAAACACTCGACCTGAAATACCGCATAAATTCCAACACCGACTCATAAAATTCCTCCTGCCACGCTCCATCCTTCCCGCAATCCATCCCATTCTCACCCAAATGCTTTAACGCCGAGGTAACCTTGCGCATCGCTTTGTCGCGGCATTTCATCGTGTTCTTGTCCATATCCAGACACAAATCGCGCCGACCGCTGCACTCAAATATCTCGCGCAGGTATGTCTGATGCGCCAATTTTGCGCTGCACGTGGGCTTGTATTGGATCGAGATTAGTTCGGGAACTACGTATTCGGATATGTATCTGCTGTCGCTGGGCCATGTGCCCGGTTGGCAGCCCATGTCGCAGATTTGCTTCCATTCGAGAGAGATGGCGTCGAGAGAGGGTTGAAAGGGGTTGTCGTCCTCAAAGATGTTGTTGTCATTGCCGCTGATGGGTCCTTCTGTGTTGTTTATTGTCTTGGAAGAGGAAATTGTAGAAGTTGATGCTGTCGTGCTGGCATGAATAGCTGTCGTGTAGAAAGTAAGGGCCGCGAGAAGAACGGTGTAGAGCTTCATTTTTGACTATAATCAAAACCTCTCGGAAGTCAAGCTGTTGCAGACCGTAAACTTTTCTTCCCTCCTCTTCTTGAGAGAAAGAAAATAAAAGTATATGTGGCTTCATGCCTTCGCTGCCCTTGGTAAGGCGTGCCCTTCTTTTTTTTTTTGGAATGCGGGCTTCTCCAGGGAGTTTGACGTAGCCCTAAGAATTAATCTGCAATCAGTAGCCTACAGATTTGACAGGGTGTGATATCCGTGAAATTGCCCTTTTTGAGGTGCTTAGTACATAATAATATTGATTTTCTATGGTATCGTAATAAGGCAATACCAGCTCGGTCCTTGCGTTATGAGGTTCTTTAAGGGGGATGGAGTGGTGAACGCCTGGCAAGGGCGTGTACCTTGATAGAAAAGGCCTTCCGTAGTTTATTTTTGTTTTAATCAACGTAATTAGTACTGCCTGCGAATCAAGGAAAAACACTGTAAAAACTTCCTAACCCTAACCTTATGTGAAGAGTGGCGATTCATCCCATGCCACCATGACATCAGCCCTCAATCATTTCAAAACACGAGTATATGATGAAAATGAATTTAAACATGTAGTACTAATGTTCATCCTCAACATACTGCAAAAGATCTTCTGACTTGACCTTTCGTTGTTTTGTTGACAGAATCATGGCAAAATACAAGCCTGGCCAATGGGTCGAGTACAGTCCTATTGATAGTACGCACCTTGCCATAGATTTTGATGCGTCATCTTTTTGAGTGTACCCGAGACTAAACAAATGAACGCCATTCTAGATCCCTACAGACACACCGGAGTCATTTCGTCACTGGTCAAAGATGACGAGGGAAATGTTACGGGACAATATTTGGTATCTACCTTGATTGCTATGACCCCAATGTGATTTATGGACTGACTTTGAGGCGACTAGGTTAGGGAACAAGACTTCGAGGACCGTATTCATACCGTGAACGAGAGATTTATTTACAGGGTGCTAGAGAAATAGATATAGGGAAGGTGACACTAGTTACACAAGTATAGTTACTTTCCCGTACTCATGTCTCTAGTTCAAACTACTGTATTCTGAGTGTCTGGTCTGGACCCCTACGTGCTATATTATGGAGCTTTAGTGGAAGATAGAAAATTGATGTGACGAAGAAATGAAGTTTGAAATACGGCGTAGGATTGTTTCCCAACCTGATTAGATATAGCTCAGCTGGTGAAGGATACATTTTACTGGTTACCTTAGTATAGGTATGGTTTATTGAAATTCATCATCAGGCCCATGGGCTAAGACAAAAATTCAACCTATACGAGTTCACGATAATACAGTTGAATTTCCCGAGCCTTGAGTAAGGCTACTGTATAAAGCCATATCGACGCCTTGCAATGTCAAATCATCTACATCTGCCGATAGCCCGGGCACAAGGAGATAGCTTTCTTGCGCTGTGTTGGCATCGAGAGAAGATGTACCTCGGTCTGAATTCCCCGTCCCGGATATATTAAGCGAGTCTGGCAGGTTGAAACATGAAGGTGTGCGTTGCCAGTCGGAAGTCACTGGCTGGGTAATGCTGATTTCATAGCCAGCTGGGTTGGCTAATTCCTCTTCATCTCAATTGAGTGAAGAGACTAATGGGTCACGAAGAACAATAAAGTTGGTATCAATTACTGATGATACAGAATCCAAAGGCTGTTCATCAGAGAGTATGTGGTCCGAATTGGAAGTGTTAGGAAGTTTAGGACGACTTTCGACTTGAATTGTCCCGAAGTACGGGATTTGTATACAGAGCACACGGAAAGCTTCACTCGTATTTCCGAGACATTGAGAATCATGTCTAGAGGCCCCTGCAGAAGCGCATATATGGTAACAGTCACCCCTGAAGGAATTATTCTCAATAGCGAGGAGTGGACGAATGATGTTTGAGATCTTCTGTGCAACGACATCACGACTTTGCGCCATTTTTTCCATGATCTCGAGTGTCTGTTCGAGTAGTGCGCGATCGCTCACCCGTTGATGTTGGATTGATTGAAAGCCAGTGAATCGTTCGTTTTCTTCTGATTCGTGCTGGTGGCGAGCCTGAATATGCGCGAGACACAAAGTTGTGCTTGCAATAAAGGCAACGAAGTCGATACCACGGCAATACGCAGTAGCTAAACCGAAGTTACGAAAAGAAACGAATTGTGCAATGATTGTGCGACTAGCGTTCGCGGCAGTCATCTTAGTGTAATCGTAACTTGGGTGAAGAGACGATGGGAGCATCATGTACGGCAGATGTAACTGGACCAGAAGGTGATGATATGCGAATTGATTCATGAGGCGTATCGATTCCTCCAATGCCTTTGCATGGTTTCCGGAGCATGCAGTAAGATCAGGGGCCATCAACCACCACTGTGACGGCATAGAAGCTGCAGCTTCCTGCAGCATCTTGTCAATTTTGTACGTTGCTGCAAGGTCAGTCCGTTCAGTACCGTTGCGCTGGATAATGAGACCGGCAGCAACGGCCACCATACGTTCCAGGCGCTCCACAGCCATGCAGCAGTCTATTGCCTCTGGACTAGCAAAGACGTTTTCGAATGAACCTTGTGGAAGGCCTAGCATTAATGACAGATAACGATCTGACAGAACTAAGCGGAACCACATGCAATCAGGATCAATACGATTCCGTGTTTCGTTCTCGAGAATCACCGGCGAGCTGGTGCCTGTATGAAGCCTCATCATCTGTGCTATCACCATAGCCCTACGGTTTGCTAGCCAGGCGCGACGCAGATTCCCAGCATTGTTGAAGTACATGCTCTCGATCATAATGCACTCGATGCCCTCGAGTGAGTGGACAAGATCATCATCGCTTGTCACGAGCCTAGTAGCAGTATCGAAAACGCGAGACATCATAGCGCGGTAGTCCAAACTCTGACCAAGGAGGTCGCTGGCAGAGCATGAAGGAATACCTTGCAGAAAAGAGCTTAGCAGCAGTAGCCTTCGTGCTATGAGAGTTGGATGTGATCCTTTTGGAGGCAGCTGGAGCATGCTTCGCGGAGATGGAATTTCCCTGGAGAAAAAAAAAAAAAAAAAGAATATGGCTGGCACACTATGCCGTGAAATAATATTGAAATATCGATGGGGAGACTCAATATTAGATCGAGGTCATTCTGCCTAGGCCACACACATAGGAGGGCACTGGATATGTCATCAAAATTGCTGGTTAGTAGGCTATTTATGTCGGGAATACGACCAGGTATTGTCGAAGGAGGAGGCTCGTAATCGGTGTCACATGGACCGACGGCTTCTCCTGACTGTATGTTCTCATTTTGATCCGGTCGAACTTGGTGCAGCAAGCCCGGCGTATGGACACTACTTCGGTTGACCAATTCTTCAACCAGAGATTCCATACGGCTAAGCCTATCCACCTTTCTAGTGGCTTGGGCTGCCTCATCATGAAACTTTTGGCTGATGCATTTTGTGCGCCGACTCCGACATCCATCGCAAATTGTCTCTGTAGGCGTCGCAAAAGTGCATCGGATCTTGCGCCGCTTGCATTCCCAGCAACTTTGGGTACCTTTGCGAACCTTGCGCCGTTTGGGCACAGCCGACGCCTCTTCCGTTGCGGTAGAGTTGCTGCATGAGTATGCGTCTGGCATCACAGTGTCCGTGCTTTTTCTCCCGGCTTCCTGTTAGACCAAAGTGGAATTATCAGTAAATTTTATGGACAACAAAGAAGTATAGAAATGACTGAAGAGTTGGTTGTTACTTTCAGCCGTGGAGATATCTCCGCCGCGGCGGAGAGAATCGCAGGTGGGGCGCGCGTATATGGGCATGCACTGCAAACCGTCTTCGATTTTGAGAATAGGCGTGCGATGGTAGTGGATGGCCACGAGAATTCCATCATGACTTTGACAACGGTTGAGGACCTTGCTGCGGTTGTTTCCCGGGCAGTTGATTACGAAGGCAGCTGGCCTACAACGGGTGGTATTAGAGGTAACAGAGTCACCTTTTCACAGATTCTCGAAATTGGCCGGAGAATTAGAGGTAAAAAACTACTTTTATGACTACGTAAAATGAAGACTTTGCTGACATATATTATACAGGACGCTCTTTTGCCATCGACAAGGTCCAAATAAAAGATCTGGAAAACGGAAGATTGGAAAACATCATGGGGTCTGCAGGCGGTCCATCGAGCAGTCTCTGAAGATCAGGGATTGGCCCTTCTCAAGATGGTATCCATTGGAATCTTACTGAGCAGTTCAAAAGGTGCATGGGAAGTATCTGATGAGATGAACCAGCTTTTCCCAGATTACGAGTTTACTCTCATTGAAGATTTTCTCGCAAAGGTATGGAAGGGAAAGCCATAGTCAACTAGGTCTTGCCATTGATTGAGCAGTACTTTCGTTGGCTTAGTCTATATATCTGACCGGTGTTATTGCAATGCTTTATTTCAATATACATTTTATTAGCAATCAAAACACAAACCTCGGATATAGAATGGAATCGACTGAATCAAAACTTATACAGACGAAATACGATAGCTAGTGAACAACGTTGGTACATTCCCAGGTTTCATTGTCGATGAACTTCTTCAAGTCGCTCAACTATCGGCGATTATAGCGTATTTTTATTAAAATTGATATAAGACATTCAGAAGAAGTAGACTTTTGTCTTTGACCGGCAGCCGAATGTTTGTGAATGATAGATACTATGTGTAGTAACGCGACATGTGGGTGCCTGAGGCGTCGAAACCTGTGCGACCCGCGGGGAACTGCGGGGAACTATGGTGGGGCGCGCGGCTCGTCCCGTATTCGACTCTTATCGATCGATCTGCCCGTTGTTTGCATTGCGTGGTATGGCATTATTTTCAACCACAGTTAGCTAAATTAACATGGAACATCATAGATTCACTAGAATCTTTGCGCACCTGAAGAAAGATAATGAAGGATCTGGCAAACATGGCAGCGAACGCAATACCCAACAAAAGCCAGCTAACATTCCCAATCATCAAGAGTTTACCGTTTCCAACAACAATCATTCCCTCTTGGGCGGTGAGCATTTAGCTAGTTATCTAGAAGATTAATGAGGCTGACTGAGCCTTGTTGGTTTCTAGGACTTGAAGCGACTGGATTAGACACCGATGAAGATACAATTCCAGCCCCAAACCCCGATCCATCAAAACCAGATTCCACTCCGACTAAATTCACTCATAATCATCTTTGGAACGAGGCATACGAGGCACTGAAGAGAGAAAAAGAAAGTGAAAAGTTTGTTGAAACATATGAAATATTACTACGGAAGGTTTTCCTCCAGCCGGCTGCTACGAACCAGGCGACTCAAAGTGAACTGGATGATGAGGCCTTGAAGACTCTCGCACATGACGTATACAGTAGAGAGGAACAGTTAAGATCGATTGTAAGAATTGGTCTAGAGAAAGTCCAAAAAGCCAAGGGAGCGACAGAAGGCTACGGGAAGTTCTTTGATCTTGTGGAACCCTTCAAAAGCGTAATTGGAGCTGGATTGTCGAGTGTTCCGCAAGCTGCACTTCCTTGGGCAATAGTATCTGCAAGCTTGGATGTAAGTGTTTCAAGACAAGTGTACAATTTGCTTATGATAAGGGATATCTAACTGTGGGGTTGAGTGTCTAGGTGCTTGCAAAGCCAGCAAGAACAAATAAAGTTCTATACACTGGAGTGAGCCAGGTGGTATCAAGAATGGACTGGTATGCAGGCCTCACAGAAAGCATTCTCGAACCGGAAAACATCAATGACAGTCATCCACTTGAGAGAGCTCGTCGGGAGCTTAAGAATCGAATTGCAAGTCTTTACCAAGCATTACTGCTGTATCAAATCAAAAGCACTTGTTATTACTACAGGAATCAGCTCTGGGTCTTTTTATCCGGTTTCTTAGATATTGATGATTGGAGTGGCGATTTACAGGCATTAAAGGATGCAGAGGATGCAGTTCGGAAAGACTGCGAACAGTACAATAAGCAGCATATCAAATCTGTTCTCGACCGGGTGCTTGTATTCGAGGAAGCTCAGATTGCGCTTAAGCGAGACATGGAGCGCGAGAAGGAAGATAGAAATTGTCTGCGAGACTTACATTGGATCGATCCACGTGACGAGATTCAAGATATTAAGGCGCGAAAGGACGATCTTGTTGATGATTCATACAGGTGGATAATGGATACAGTTGAATTCAAAAATTTTATTGATTGGGAAGATCGGGATGCACCTAATCTACTGTGGATTACTGGACAAGCAGGGATGGGGAAAACTATGCTGCTCGTTGGTATCATCCAAGAACTCACAAAAGAGCGCCTATCAAATTCAGATGCTCCAAATATATCTTACTTTTTCTGTCAGGGATCAAGCGGCGAGTTAAATAGTGGATTGGGGGTTTTGAGAAGTCTGCTATGGCTACTACTTGTGCAACAACCGCATCTCATTTCGCACGTGAGAGAGGCTTACAAGACCGCAGGAAAGAAAACATTCACAGGCGCGGTTGCATTTGAAAAGTTGTCGGGGATTTTGAAGAGTGCGCTAGAGGACAGAGAATTGGAACCCATAATTCTCGTCCTTGATGCTCTGGATGAATGTGACCAGGCGGACCGACCATCGTTGATTCGATTCCTCAACACTGTGCTATCTTCACCAAAGACAAAAGCAAGAGTTAAATGGATTATATCAACCCGTCCTCTTCCAGAAATTCAGATGGATATGAATAGCGCCGGTAGGTACCTCAACAGTATGCTTAGCCTTGACAACCGAGATCTTGAAGGGCCCATTAGCGCTTTCATTGATCACAAAATCCAGCAGCTTCGTGAGAAAGGACACGAAGAAGAAGATTTGAAAATGGTGTCGGATAGATTGCGAGAAAGGTCTGGCAATACTTTCTTATGGGTCTGGTTAGTATGCAAAGAATTGATGATTTCCCGGGTTCGTGCCTGGTCCGAAATTCTCGACAGTGTGCCAGACAAGTTGGCAGAGCTATACAAGTATCTGCTTGAGAGAATCAATTCATTCAAGCTCAAGGTGGATTCAGAAGACTGCAAAAATGTTCTTGCTGCGACCACGCTTGCATACCAAAATCTGTCTTTATCTGAGCTCGCAGTTCTGGCAAGCCTGCCAACCGAGAAGGATGCAAGACAGGCAGTGGACTTGTGCGGTTCTTTTCTAACGATTCGCGATAAAACCGTGTATATGATTCATCAATCTGCAAAGGAACACCTGAAAGACCACTTCGAGGAGATACATGGCATTGATCAAGATTCGGGCCATTTGCGAATATTTCAGCGCTGCTTGACAAAATTGGACACTACCTTACGGAGAAATATATATCAACTTTCAAATATAGGAGTTCTTTCCACTGATATTCAGACGCCAAATCCAGATCCTTTATGTTCAGTCCGATATGCGTGTCGTTATTGGGTCCATCACCTAAAGAATAGCGGAATAACCATGCAAGACGAAAAAGATGTTCACAAATTCCTTCTTAAGCACTTTCTCCACTGGCTCGAAGCACTAAGCTTGATGAAAATAATATTTGAATGCCGTCCTGTGATTAAGATGCTGCAGGGCCTTGTTGAAGTAGGTGAACTCAATTATACTTACTTGCCGGTTTCTTCTCACATGCATTTATTCCTCTTTTAGCCGGCGAAGGGTTCTAATTTGGCGCTCTTCCTTGACGATGCGGCCTGGTTTGCCATGAAGAGTCACGGCATCATCGAGACTGCACCACTTCAGGCATACGCGTCTGCGGTCATCTTTGCTCCAGAATCCAGTGTCGTGAAGAGTGTATTCGAAAAGGACGCTCCAAAATGGATTAGTAAATGGCCGCAAATGCCACCTTTGTGGAGCACTGAGATAGCCCGGCTAGTTGGCCATTGGCACTGGGTGAAAGCAATCTCATTCTCCCATGATGGCAAACTACTGGCGTCAGCTTCTGAAGACGACACCTTAAAACTTTGGAATCCCTTGACAGGAAGGTGTTTGCAAACTATTCTCCTTCAAAGCAAAGCTAGAGCAGTCGCATTCTCTCATGATGGGAGACTGTTAGCCTCAGCGTCCGAAGATGGAACAGTTAAGTTATGGGATCTGCCGTTGATGGTGGATGGCACGATGGAAAAGCAGACAGAAATAGTAAGCTTGAAATGTCATGCTGACTGGATTAATGCTCTTGTTTTCTCCAACGATGATAAAGTGCTGGTATCAGCTTCGAATGACTCAACTATCCGCCTTTGGGATTGGTCTATGGGACAAGAAATATCCAAACTTGATGGACACACCGGCGAGGTCACATCCGTTGCTTATTCAAATGATGGTATGCTCCTAGCTTCCAGTTCATATGATGGAACTGCTAGAATCTGGGATCCAAGGGAAGGTAAGATTATAAGAGAGTTTACTGGCCATACTGGCCCCGTGACAGCTGTTTCATTCTCTTATAATGGGCAAATGCTAGCAACAGCTTCAGCAGATACCACGGTCAGGGTATGGAATAATGTAACTGGAAAAGAGCGGTATATATTCAAAGACCATACAGAACGAGTTAACTCAGTTTCATTCTGTCAAGGCCATCATTTGTTAGCAACAGGATCAGATGATGGAACAGTCAGACTTTGGAACCCTGCCGAAGGGGACAGTCTCCAAATACTGGGATCGCATTCCCGGAGAGTCAGAGCAGTTTCTTTGGCACCAGATGGTGAATACTTAGCATCAGCATCATATGATGGCGACATTAGGGTATGGGACCCAGCTGGAAATAGAGAAATGGGAGCATGGGCAGAAGGGCATGAAGATGTGAAACAAATCACATTTTCTCCGGATGGAAATTACCTTGCGTCAGTGGCATATGATAAAATAATCGATATATGGGATCCAAAAACAGGCAAAAAGCTGTGGAGCTTGGAAGGCCACACTGGCATTGTCACAGCGGTGACATATTCTGGCAACAGTGACTTGCTGGCATCCTGTTCATGGGATCGAATGATCAGAATATGGGAGTTGAGAACGGGCCAACAATTACATGCCTTGGAAGGACATAGTGACATTGTCTCAACGGTGACATTCTCTCGGCATAATGACTTCTTGGTATCTAGTTCATGCGATAATACGATCCGAATATGGGATACATGTACGGGTATACAGCTACGTATCCTGGAAGGTCATACTAATACCATCTCAGCCGTTATATATTCTCCCAACAATTTATTAGTATCTACTTCTTGGGACGACACAGTGAGAGTATGGGATCCAGACACGGGAATGCAATTACGGGTTTTGGAAGACCATACCGACGCTGTTCTAACAGAAGCAATTTCTCGCGATGATCAGATGTTGGCAACGGGTTCCATCGACAAGACAGTCAGGATTTGGGACTTAGAATCTGGCAAGCCACTGTGGACCTTAAAAGGTCACGATGGCCCTGTTGAAGATGTGAGATACTCTTACGACAACCAGGTACTAGTATCTATCTCAAATGCCGGGGAAATCATAATCTGGAACCCAATGAACGGAAAAAAAATTCAAAAGACAAATCTTCACCATCCAGCCCGTGGATTTTGTTTTCAAGAGAAAAGAGGAGCACTCCTAGTATGGAATGCGTTCTTTCTAAGCTATGACATTCCCTCAATGCCAAACTCTCCAAGAGAGGATAAAGATTCGATCTGGGACCAAGAAAATGCTCTATGGTTCCCCCAAGAATATTCACCAACGAGTATTGCTTGTCATGGCGATGTTGTGGCGGTAGGATGCAAACATGGCAGGGTCTTATTCATGGAAATTCATTAGTTTATGCTACATAACGAATCAAAGCTGTAGGTAGTTATACAAAGGACGTACTCCTCTAGATATCCACAACATGATATTCTCACCGAAACTTCTTTTGGAAATTAAAGGAGACCGGCCCATTGCTGAACTGGCCTAAAAGAAACGTCATCTTTCTTTTCTTTCTTCCAAACTCGACTAGTTCGAGAATATCACGAAAAACGAAAACAAAATTCTGGGCACTGCCAGAGCATCACATTGCTAGTAGTAACTACTCCCTAGTTTTCCAGGTGCAAACCCGAAGGTATTGGAACTAGAGCGAAATGTCGACAGCGGGGAAAATACCAGCCAGAGAAACAGGGATGCAGCGTTGTAACCTTTCAGGTCACACGAAGACAAGATCGACACACAGTTCCTCCTCGATTCCCCGCGCTGGCCAAGAGACTACTTACTTGTTCTCCGCTGTACCCGCCTGATGCTCGCTTGCGAATAGTAATAACCACAGAAATGATATGTTTCGTCATAAGATCAGCATCCCCCTCTTTCAATTCTTCTCAACATGGGGACAAAATGTATATGCTTGTACCATGGTTTCATCCAGAATTTGGCATAACCTTGGAAATTGACTGTTCTCTTCTGAAGCGATGAATGTGCCACCGCAATAATTAGTAACTAGAGCAAGAAAGTTGAAGAAGTAGGCAGGATAGCCAGTGTTGATATTTAACTAATTATAAGCCTTCATAAAAATGTGGGTTGGGTACAATTACCCCAGATGGTAAGCAACTCGAGTGTTAGGGCTAACCGTGACTCCTCTTGTTTTTGCTACCCACTTTCATCGCACGCTGGCTAGCACTGCAACCACAAGAAAATTATTGATTCTGAATCGCAAATAAGCCATCAATGGGTGTCGTGAGTCTAACAGTCAGATCCTCCTTTTCAGCCTATTGTCTTGTGTCTTGTATCATGCGGACATGCTGCACGTATGTCATGAGACCCCTGAGTCCTCTTATTTATATGATTTTTTGTTAACAATATGTTAGTGTCTATCAATGATTAGGTGAAAATTTGCCGGTGTTCACGAGACTTTCGCTCTAATGGGTATGCCAGGGAAATTCTGCTTCCCCTCATCCCTTGCATTAAAGTATTCCAACCGAGGTGCATACTGCATGGTATATTAGGGTAACGGTTGCCTGCAGTAGAGAAGGAATGCGAGTGATCGTCGTATTTGTTCATTTTTGTGTTTACTTCCAATAGCATTCTATGTTCATACTGGCCTTCCACCCCGTGTCTTTAAAAACTTCCGAGGTTGACATCCACGCATGTCGCGATGATGCGCATGTCAATTGTTTTATTGCCTATTCTAGGCATCACAGCCACAGCTGTATCAACTAATAGTTGTCCAGGCTATACTCTGAGAAATATAGTCCAGACGGATGCTTCACTGACGGCAGATTTGTCCCTTGCTGGGGATGCATGCAATGCCTACGGACAGGACATTGATGATCTCAAATTGTTGGTGGAATATCAGACAGGTAGGCTTTAGTAGACCTTTGCCCTTTCCGTGCATGAACACATGTTTTGTTGCCTTTATACTTATAAAAGCATTCATCGGTATGCACGTGCTTACGAGATATCAGATTCCCGTTTGCACGTCAAGATTTACGATGCCCAAGAAGAAGTCTACCAAATTCCAAAATCTATACTAGATCCTCCCACCGGTGCACAAGGCTCATCTCGAGATTCAGATTTAATATTTTCGTACACGGAAAGTCCATTTTCATTTGCAATCCAGCGCAGCTCTAGCAAGGAGACTCTGTTCAACACATCTGGCTCAAATCTGATTTTTGAGAGTCAATATGTACGGCTTCGCACCTCACTTCCTGAGGACCCAAACCTCTATGGACTGGGTGAAAACTCAGATCCATTTAGACTGGAGACAGTAGACTATACGCGGACTCTTTGGAATGCTGGTCAGGCGTTTCTACCTCAATATACAAACCTCTACAGCAGTCATCCGATTTATCTTGAAATGCGGAATGGCCAGGCTCATGGTGTATTCTTGTCGAACAGCAATGGCATGGATATAAAAATCAACCGGACGAAGGAGGCTGGCCAGTATCTAGAGTATAACATCATTGGCGGTGTGCTTGACTTCTATTTTCTATCTGGACCTGCGCCGGCCGACGTTGCACGTCAATATGCAGGTGTTGTTGGCACGGTAGGCACTTTCTCTTTCGCTTAAACATCTATTTATATCCAATATTGCATACACTGTTCCGTTCAAGAGACTGACTACGTCAATAATCTAGCCCACTCAGCAGTCCTATTGGACCTACGGCTTTCATCAATGCAAATACGGTTACAGAGATGTTATGTGGGTGGCCGACGTTGTGTACAACTACTCCCAGGCGAGTATTCCACTAGAAACCATGTGGACCGATATCGACTACATGAACCTTCGACGAACGTGGACTCTTGACCCAGAACGGTTTCCGTTAGATATGATGCAAGAGTTAGTTACTTACCTTCACGACCACGGGCAGCAGTACATTGTCATGGTAGATCCACCAATATCATTGAACGACAGCAAGTCATACGACACCGCAGTGGACTCGGGGGCTCTGCTCAAATATGACAATGGCACATACTTCGTAGCGACGATGTGGCCGGGAGCCGTTTCGTATATCGATTGGTTTCATCCAAATGCGCAATCATTTTGGAGTGGACAGATTGGTTCATTCTTCAATGACGAGTCAGGAATAGACGTCGATGGCATGTGGATTGATATGAACGAGGTATATACCATATACTTTGAAAGCTATTGATTGAGAGCCGTTGAAACTAACAATTTCAGTAGCCAGCTAATTTCTGTGGATATCCATGTACAAACCCCGTTGAAATAGCCATCGAGGAGGATGATCCTCCAGCTCCGCCACCAGTTCGCACAACATGGCCTCCTATCCCCGGATTCCCGGCTGACTTCCAGCCTCCCACGGCTACTTCATCCCCAAACTCCCAAAAGGTAAAAGTGAAGAGAGATAATTCACCATCGGCAACAGGTAATATGACTGGGTTGCCGGGGCGAAACTTTGACAATCCACCCTATGCTATTGATAATGGTGTTGGTCCGCTGAGCGTTGGTACCATCTGGCCCGAACTTCAAGAATATGGTGGCTATGTGCAATATGACACACATAATCTGTACGCATCTGCTATGATTGCAATGTCTAGAGAGGGTCTCCTAGAGCGTCGGCCAAAGCAACGCCCATTCATCATCTCACGAAGCACTTTTTCCGGGGATGGGAGAAACTCCGGTCACTGGACTGGAGATAATGCCTCAACGTGGGCACATTACCTGCTTTCAATTGTGCAGAACATGGAATTCGCCTCGATTTTCCAAATCCCAATGGTGGGAGCTGATGTATGTGGTTTTAACGATAATACTACCGAGACGCTTTGCGCCCGATGGGCCATGCTGGGCGCCTGGTACCCGTTCTACCGTAATCATGCAGACATTTCTGCCAACTCTCAAGAGTTCTATCGCTGGCCCTTGGTCACGGCAGCAGCTCAGAAGGCAATAACGGCGCGCTTCTCACTATTGGATTATTTCTATACGGCGTTTTACCAGCAAACTGTTGACGGTTCACCAAAGACCATCATGCCCTTATTCTTTGAGTATCCGAATGACCCTAAAACTCTGAATATCAGTTACCAGTTTTTCTTCGGCCCATCAGTTCTCGTGTCACCTGTAACTGTCGAAGACTCATTGAGCGTAACGCTTTACCTACCTCCCGAGGACATCTTCTACGATTTCTGGACCGGCGAAAGTGTCACGACCACCGACAGCTCCGACATGCTCACACTTGACAATGTTACATATACTGACATTCCGGCACACATACGGGGAGGAACCATCCTTCCTCTACGCTCAGACGCCAAAAGTGCCAACACCACTGCTGAGCTGCGTACACACGATTTCGAGTTACTTATTGCCCCGGACGCCAATGGGAAAGCCTCGGGCAGTCTGTACCTCGACGATGGGATAACACTTGACCCACAACAGTTTAGTAACATCGAATTCAGTTATGAGAATGGACATTTGGTGGTCAATGGCTCCTTCGGGTATGATTCAGGTGTGCAGGTGAAGAGTCTCACGGTGTTGGTAAACGGTGCTGCTAGTACTAGCAATAGCAGCAGCAGTACAGACAGTTATGGCAGAAATGGCATTATTCAACAACTGAATCAGGGACTTGATGCGGGGTGGGAGGCAGACATTTAGGTATCTGTGTGACATGCCATGGCTTCAACATCGAAGCTGGTGGTGAATGCTAAAATCATTGATTATGCCAAGCACCCCTTTTTGACTGGAGCCAAAACAACAGAAATCTAATAGTGTAACTATTGCAAAGATCTTGTGAAAAGACAGCAATTATAATGACCAAATGCTAACGGGTGCTCAACTTCAATATCGGTTTCATTCCAGAGTCGTAAATGGCCCTATCTGCGTTAGATTATTGATACGACCAAGCAGAAATTCCAATTGACGGTACGCAGCGCCGGGGACATTGTGGAATCTCTGTTGAAAAAGAGAAGATTAATTAGTGAACATAGCACAGAAGAGAGAAGGGAAAAAAGACTACATACCGTGTCCAGATCCATACACAGAAGTGAATGTCAAACCACGCTCTGTATGCGCCTTGCCCAATATCCCTGCTCCTCCATCCCAGATAACGGGGTCCACGGAACTGCCAGCTGTATACGGAACAAACAAATCTTCGATGGGAGGTTTCTGGAAACCCTGTGCTCCATTCCAAGTCATGTTCTGGATAGTGGCAAGGGTGCCGTTCATGAACAACAAGTAGTCATACCAACCATTCCAGATTATCACGTTATTCGTGGCTTCAGTGACCTTCGGTAGTGGACCCAATGCACTGGGCACGGATGAGTCTCCAAAAGGAAGGATATTGCTTTCATCACACACGTCATAGTTAGTTGGCGGAACATGTAGAGCCTGCTGAACGTCACTTTGATTGAAATAGTTATTGGGACCGTCACCAAGCGAAGGGAAGCCAATTTCATCCCATAAATAGGGACAGAAATCAGTGAGATGGTAGATGTTGAAGCATGGATTGATGAGTGTGGCGGCCTCGACGATTTCATCCCAAACAAGGCAATCTGGGTGGCGATATGCATCGATAACGGTTGGCAAATTACTTGGGGGTGGATAAGTGAGGGCTTTGTTGAGAAAGTCGGTGTAGCCACATTTATTGCCGGTGGCGTGGATGTGTTTAGTAAAACTGTCGTTTAAGGAGAAGACGCTGGGAAAATGGTCTAGCGCGGCGACAGCAGAAGCTGGTGGCATATGTCATTAGAATAGCGAGTAGAAGAAGAAACATCTGCTTTGATAAGATTACCCACATACAGTATATCCTTGCAGCATCTTCGTTGATTGACGGATCGTTGATCTGAATTCCCTTCAAGTTGAAGTAGGTTATTTCATTCTGATTGATGAAACCCTCCTCGATATACGGAATATATTGGCCAACGTAACTTTCGCCAGTGAGGTATACCTTATAACCCTGCATGTCAAAAGTGTCAATGAAACGGCGCCAGAAGTCATTGAATTGATTGGACACATCGATTTCGTTATTCACTGACGGCGGGCCGGGCGAGTAGCCGGTACCTGCTGGCTGATCGATGTAGACAATGTTGGTCAAGTTGTTCCATGAGTAAGGGTTTCACACGGGCTGGTAAGTCCCTGACTGCCATAGAAACGGCCCATTTTCCTGTATGAGACCATCGAGGGAGCTGCAACCGGGGCCTCCATTCAGCCAAATGGTGATTTCATTTTGAGACGCTGGATTCTCCGAGGGAAAGAACCAGAAGAATAGACTGCTGTTAACATGCGGAGTGTTTTCAACGAGACCGGCATAGGACTCGCCAATGTCGAATGGGACTTGCGGGAAGTTGGTTCCATCGACGAGAAATTCTAACGCGAATACCGGGTTAGTGTTAGCAATAACTTTCGAGTGAATATGTGATTCTCACTTTGCGTGGTGTGTGTCAGAAATTGTAAATCGCTGGTATTGTCGACCTCGGTATTTTGTTTATTTAGCGCTGGGATCAAGGGCTTAGTTTTTCTTGACTTTGCTGTGATGATTACTCTATAGAGCCGCGGCTGCTATTGCGAGCGTCAGGCACACTGCAATAGTGCGCCTCGTGATTTGTCAATCACCAGTCGGAGCATATATTGCCGTATCAAACCGAAGGAGAGGAGAGTTGCGGTGGATTTGAATGCGACAAGTACGTGTCTTGGGTACCTATTCTTATCATCGACCCAGCCGGAGGCGGATTATCCCAGGCCCTCGCTCAAATTGAAAGAGGAGAAAATACGAAGTGCAAGGTAAATCATGCATACGACTAGGAATTCTTTTCATCAGAAGACGCAATCATGATATGCTCAGCCAGTGGAGCGACCGATCATGGCATTATAGCGGAACAGCTGCTGCATATCGACTGCGGTGGAATGTTGCATTGAGGGTCAGGGGCTTGCATAATGAGAGCCACAATCCCGGTGAGACACCCATTCGCATGGATAAGTAGATCAACTACGGGCTATGTAGAGTTATGCAGGTTGTTTAGGTTGGAGATCCTCGCAGGTCGCATCTCCCACCTCGCAGGCGGCGATCATAAGGATTTTTGAGAGCATTAAGCCGATTTCGAGGATCTGCAACTCAGATACGATGGGAAAACCGTGCATAGAATATCCACTCAATGAATAACTCTTGAAAACAAACGAAAACTAGCAAATTGTAGCCTGTGCTGCTGATGCATTGCAATCGCTGAAGTCCCCGAGCCGCTTACAATCGGAAAAGGGCCCGGAGGTTACCTGAAAGTCACACAAGCACTACTCCATTGAAAGGTTTGTAATCACCGCTTGATCCAAGCTCATTGCTGTTCTACTACCTACGTAGACTGATCAATAACTCATCTAGTTGTATACCTAGGTAATGCTCATAATTAGACATTGCCGGGGATTCCCGTACCAGCTAGTATATATATCCATAGATATCGAACGGTGACTACACTTTACACAGTCCAATCCCTGCGCCATTAGTACCTCATAAATACTTATCCGGCGCCCTGCAGACATATCTAGTATTTTTTGTACGACGCACGACAGATAGCGCCTTGTACTTCAACTCATAGGCCGAGGACTACCAAACCCTACCCTCGCAAGGCGGCGGTAGAATGATAGGATTTGTTGATCTAGCACTAGAAAAGCCCGAGTTCTTGCTGGATAACAGCAGCAACTACTTCATTCGGTCTAAGCCGCAGTACAAAACCATCAGCCCCAGCAGTGTAATTGTGGCCACGGATAACGGTGTTTCCAATCATGGCACGGGAGATCAATCGGACGCCATAAACTCCTTGCTGTCTAGCAATCTCTGATCTCTAATCTTCTTTCCTACCGGTATGTACATGGTGGAGGACACCGTCAAGATTCCGGTAGGGAGCCTGATTGTTGGCTCTATATGGAGCCAAATTATGGGCACAGGATCCCACTGCGAGGACGACACCAACCCCAACGTTATAGTTCAATCCCAAATAATGTAGAAACCGACATTTCGGTTTACGCTGGCCGGGGCTTTCTAATTGAGTCTCAGAGCTCAACTTGGCTAAACGGGACTGCCACCGAGCATGCACAGATGTACCAGTACCAGCTGTACAACGCTTCAAATGTTTATTTAGGCCACTGCAAACCGTGACTCCCTACTACCAACCGAACCCTCCTTCTACCGAGCCCTATACGGCAGGCGGCTTTCCAGGTAACGCGACGTTTAAGGATTGCTATACTGACCAGTGTGAGCACGCATGGCCTCTGCGTATTATCAACTCTACCGATGTCTACTTTTCTAACACGACGAAAACTGAATTTCTTTCTCAATGCCATGTCTTCTTCCAATGGGGGCATAAGGATGTTAGAATATTGGGGTTTCGGAACGATATTTCTTGAACTCCGAAAACGCATCTCCAATTGATATCACTCCCTACGACTTCCAAGCCGCCGTTAGCATGTCAGCATAACAAGTACAACTATTTTCTAATACATTCTCCACAGCTCGGTATTCCGTAGCTTGGCCCACAAATCTACGGTTGTCTATGTCATCTCACGCAGCAATCCTGGATAACATGACAGGTAGGTATATAACAGCCTACAATACATTTTAACGGAGCCATCTAGTTGCCATGAGTTCCAATGTTTTCAAAACTAAACACGAGATTCGAAGGACTGTTCCAGTAACTTCTTATTTACCTCCGCCAGCTCCTGCTGATCCGGCCCAAGCCCTTCTGGCGGATCAATGCCGTTGATACGCCACAACGCAGCCGGAGATTCTGCAACACAAAACTCCAAGTGAACACCCCTGTCAAGCGTGAACGGTTTCAGGATTTGATCGAAGCTAGACTTTATTCTAACAGCTGCCGCGGCATTGGTTGGATCCCACTGACGGGCGATGTGAAGGATCTCTATGGAGACTTTCTTGTGCTCGGGTTTCCCGCCAGTGTAGAAATTGGATGGAGGCAGAGGGAGGAAGAAGACATTGACGTAGAAGTCGGGTAGTCCGCCGGCCACATACCACTTAGTGACTGCTTGGGAGATGGCACTTTTGTCTTCCGGTGTCAGGGTGTCGACACTGTAGTAGACCTTCCAGAATGGCATGATGATTGATCAGGACGTGTTTCGCTGGGCTGAAGGCTAGAGCCTTAATATATGATGGAGGTGGAATATTTTATCTGAATGGTCTTTCGACTGGTGTTCCGATGGGCTTCTTCAGATAAATTCTGCCACTCCGCAATTTCCAGTTGGCGTAGTGCACGTTCTTAAATAACGACAACGTGCGATTGATTAATAAAACGTCGTCCGAAGAGATCTTCTCCTACGCTGAAAAAAGGCCGGATGCTTCATGCGATATCGACGGCGTCCATGTAAGTCGATTACTAATCACCCGCTGATAAGATACCGACAGCCAACCGATATCAAGTGACAGATAATCCGAGGTACTTTTGCGTCACGGTCAGGCATAATGGCTTATTCTTTCGCTATTATGTGTAAAAAAAGTTTTTGATGACATGGACATAGGCATAGACATAAACGCCACATCACGTCAGTACTCAAGCTCGTCTTCGGTTGTGCACTCCGATTGGCCCTGACCATGTTGTTCACTAATCCATCTCTTGCATTATTATTGCACCATGTAATAATTGATATGAAGAATTCCGCTACTTTTACAGCCGAGGCTACGTCTTTTTTAAAATTCTAATCGGTGCTTCATGTATGTTGTTCGTTGTGCTATAAACCTGGGTGTCCTGAATACGGATCTATAATTTCAGATGAGTGATCCCCGTCCTAGAGAATCTTCGAAAATAATGGATCTTCTAATCATTGTAATTGTAGTCACCTATAAATGAGTCCTCCAAATTCCGACAAAAACGTGTCAGCTGTAGCTGCACATAGGACATAGTAATAGTCTTGAGAAGGTTTCACGACAGGCATTGGCAGTGATATTCCGAAACATTCAAGTCAACCATGACAGCAAATAACGAAATAGTCTTGGTGACCGGCATCAATGGCTACATAGGAGCACATGTCGCCCTGAGTCTGCTCCAGGCTGGATACCAAGTTCGCGGTGCCGTTCGTTCTGCAGCCAAAGGCGAACGTCTCCGTCAGCAACCGCATTTCAAGGGATATGCTGACCAGCTGACATTTGTTGAGGTGACTGACATATCAAAGCCAGGGGCATATGACGATGCAGTGAAAGGGTAAGTAATTTTTTTATTATCAGTACCATACTAAGTGACCACGGAACTTGATGGGTAGAAACTAACAGGGGATTTCACAATTTAGTGTTGCAGTGATTGTCCACCTAGCAAGTCCCATATTTATGGGAGGGGACTATGAGTCTGTTGTTGCTCCGGCTAAAAATGGGACTCTAAGTCTCTTGAACTCCATACTAGACCATTCATCGCCCACCCATTTCCGACAATTGGTATATTTTTCCTCTATTGCAGCTCTGGTACGTCGCGATGTGGCGGGAAACCACATGTTCACGGAAAAGGACTGGAATCCATCGACTGAGGAGGGCCTCCGGGACATGGAGCCAGGCGAGCTGGGCAAGATATCCTATTTTGCATCCAAGGCCATTGCTGAACGTGCGGTTTGGGATTTTCTCGGCAATCACCAGGTTTGTCAGATCCTGTTATATCTCGGCATCTCGCTCTTGCAGTTGCGTTCTTGTTGTTATCTAACAGAATTTCTATTAGACCACCTGGACCACATGCATCCTAAACCCGGCCGTAGTATACGGCCCAATAATCCACCCAGTACCCTCACCAGAAGAACTGAACATGACCACAAAGCCTGTCTGGGATTTGCTTACAGGAAATGTCAAACAAGTCCCCGAAGCCCTTGCGGCAGGTGCTTACGTGGACGTGCGTGATATAGCCAGCATTGTCACATATGCAGTTGAGCATCCCAGCGAGGTAGCAGGTGGACGATTCCCACTTGTAGCTGGTTCAGGCCCACCGCAGGCAATTGCAGATATTCTACGTGACGTGCTCCCTGAAAGGCATCACTTAATCCCTGAAGGACAGAAGGGAAAAGGTTATAAGCCAGGAACATGGGGATTTGGATCGGATACGGTTTCTTTTTCGTCGAAACTTATTGAGAATGTGACCAAGATTGACTGGATTCCATTTGATAGGAGCATCAAGGATACAGTCAAGTCTTTTCAAGATGTGTTTGATGTGTGAATTGATTATCAGCACGCTTGCAGGAGTATGTCGTTGTGTTTCTATTTTTGCACATAGATTCCAGGTGGACCACCTAGATGTATATGCAGCTTCGAAGTAGGCTGTGCGGTGATATATTTTCCATAATGGTTCTATTATTATTTGATAATTCCCGTATCATACAAACAAAAGAAAATGGGTACTAGAGAAGCATGCTCAACCTCTACATTCAGACACTCCAATGCAATGCAATGCAAGAAAAATGGTATGAATCAATCAACGCGTATCCAACCATGCCAGATAAAGAAAAGCACGAAAAGATTAAACAGCCTCGGGTTTTCCGAGTTCAGACGATAGTTCCTCCTCAAGAGACCCCGCTGAATAAGTTCCCTTGCTGCCATTCGGAATCCAAAACCGCTTATCAATCCTCGTGAACAGAAAAGTGTACACGACGATAATTTCAACCGTGAAGTAGAAAATGTAGAAGCATGCTCTGTCCTCAAAAGAATAGGGATCAGAAGCCAGCCTCTCAGGCATAAAGTTCACGGCTGTCCTGAAGACCTCCCCTAGACACAAAAGGAAGGACGAGATTCCAACAATCCAGAGCTTAGCAGCCCAAGAACCGGTGCCGAAGTTCTCGCTATTAGAGGCTCTTGGTAGCACGGCAAGGGTGATGGTTATGGCTAGCGGAAGAAAGCTGAAGAAGGACAAGTAGGTCAACCCAACGAGAAGAGCATCGCGAGACGCGTCTAATGAACTCGTGCTCAGGGTGTAGTGCATATAGATGCTGGGTACTATGAGCATTACCAGCATGCAGGGCACGAGAATGTAAGCGCCTATAAAGATGTAGTGTACAAGTCGACTCCAGCCAAGCTTTGGAAAGGCGGCTCGAAGACAGCGCTGGGCGAAAATGAGCAGAAGGACAAACAGCACGAGCACACCGGCGTTGGCGAAGATGGCCGCAGCAATGGCAAGCTGTACATTGTCCAAGTTATATGCCCAGGAAATTCGCAGTGCACATGTCAGGCTTCGAGCCATACAAAATCCGAATGTTGCCGCATTAGGGATGAATTTGTGTTTTCGAATACGATTGATTTGAAATATGGTCATGTGACTGGCAGCGGCGATGAGATAGAGAACCAAGAACACACAGCAGATAGGGACGTCAACGCTTGTGTTGGGTGTAAGGCCTAGCGCAGCTGTAACACTGGGGTATGGTGGGCCGTTCTAAAGCAAGTCAGTAAACATAGGTGGTGCTTTCAGGGGGAACTTGCGCAAACGGACCTGTACCATTGCTGCGTCCATACTATATTAGTTATTGTTGTTGTTATTGCTGCTAGAAACAAATCTCAAAGATAGGTGTGAAGCTAAATCTGATATTGGTTGATTTAGATTCTCTATTGATGCAAGTACTGCTGCTCTGGATGGTCACGTACGCAATTATGCTTCCAATACCAAGTCCAGAGCAGCTCCATCAGATAGATATATACAGCAAGCATCTCGTATAATGCAAAAATTGCGCTCCGTGATTGTCCGTCGTCGCGCACGGTCTCAAATAAGACGACGCCCGACTGAATCGAGCGATATACCGAAACGTCAATATTGACGCTATTCCCGCCGTTGCACTTTTGCACTAAGATATGATAAGATGCGCTGGGTGTCATTCATTGGCTGATTGGTAATGTCCAGTGGGGCCTATACTTCTTGGCGCGGGCGGCTTCTATTCTCGCCGACCGCCGATGAGCCCGACCCGACCGAGCGCTGCTTTAGCCGCCCGATTGGGGGATTAGTTAGGGCAAGCCCTAAGCTGCCCTGTGTTGCATGATCACATCCCGTCCTTCTTCCAAACCGTGCATGTCCTATTAATGAATCCGCTTGGTTTCTGTTCCTTGCCAACTATCACCCAGACTATTGATAATCATTATTGATACCATGACAAATCAGCCCGCAGACAAAGAGCGACACAAAAGGCGGGCAAGTCTATGCTCGTTTCTACCATGTCCTCAAGACAGCAAAACCAAAGCAGGACACGGCTCGCCCAACGAGGAAACCCGGCGGCCCATCACGTGACACAGCGGGTTGTCTCGCACGTGACTCCACCCAGTACGCTCTGGAAGAAGGGCCGCGTATACTGTGGATATACATTTAGCCCCGCCCCGTGGGGGGCAGGTCAACTCCCCGCAGTCCCGTTGCTGCTCTTCCACGGCTAGCCAACAACAATAAGCGCAATCAACAGACGATCGATACTGGCTGATGACACCATGTCGTGCGGGGGTGGGCCCAGACGCTGGTTTTTTAATTTTATATTTGCAGAGCGATTATTCACACGCTGCTTGGCCCTTGCTCTGTGCTGCTCGCCGACTCTGGTTAGCAGCGCTCGCACGTGATCGTGGAGGAGCTCGCGAAAAACGCGACTTGCCACTTTCCACCGCCTCCACGCGGCCCCAGAATAATCCCCCGGTGAATCAATCCCTCTTGTTTGCTTGGAGGAAAGGACGCTACTTCCAGATGCGACCCAATAATCTAGATGCGACGCACGCTGCCAACAGCGAGCGATGCGTGCCCTTCCGCGCGACCTATATCCGTTCTGCCTACTCCGGAGCCCGCGCCATTTCGTCCTTCCGCTCCCCTCTATGTTATCGTCCTCCTTCGCACTACCTAATTACTGGCGACACCTTGCTTTTTTCCCCCGTAAGCTGAAAATCGCTAGGGCGCGAGCTAACTCCCCGCGAGCACCCTAGTCCTGTCAACCACAACAAACGGATATAATTTCTTTTCTTTTCCTTCTCCTTTTTCCCTTTCCCTCTCGCACCCATGGAGAAAACCAAGGAGGGTAGAATGGAGGACTTGAGCAACCAAAAGGTCATTGACGAGGAGGCGGCTTCTCCTGCTCTAGAACTTGCGTCTCGGCACCGGGAGTATCTTCTACAGAGGCATGGAACACTCGACCTCGACCCCGTCCCGGCTATGGATGACGCTGATCCATACAACTGGCCAACATGGAAGGTACGCCTTTTCGCCTGATTGCAGCCTACTCTTCTGGAACTGTCAATGCTGACGAGTTGTCGATTGCACACAGAAAAACATGAACCTCATCCTGGTGGCTTTCCATGCCATGATGGGCACTTTCACCGCTGCGTCCATTATCCCTGCCTATTCCGACATTGCAGCAGACCTAGGTATCAGCATGACTACGACTGCCTATCTAACTTCACTTCAGATTGCCATCCTTGGAGGCGCCCCTCTATTCTGGAAGCCGCTATCAAACCGATATGGTCGCCGTCCCATTTTCTTGATCTCCTTGATCGGAAGTCTGGTATGCAACATCGGCTGTGCCAAAAGTCCGTCGTATGGTTCAATGGCCGCATGTCGTGCCTTGGTGGCCTTCTTCATTAGCCCTGCTGGCTCTTTGGGCAGTGCTGTCGTGACTGAATGTTTTTTCAAAAGAGATCGCGCAAGGTATATGGGTGTCTGGACATTGCTGGTTACCTTGGGTGTCCCTCTCTCTCCTTTCGTCTTCGGATTTGTTGCTCAACGAGTCAACTACCGATGGATTTACTGGATCCTTGCCATTGTAAGCCTTCTTTTGTTCCCATTCTTCTTGCTTGTTGATTGTTTGCTAACCATGTTTTCTTACATCCATCGTAGGTCAATGGAGTCCAATTTCTTCTGTACACTTTTCTCGGACCGGAAACTCGCTATATCGGAGGGCCAGATGGTGAACCGGCACTTTCGGGATTCCGCCAGGAGTATTTGAGCTTCCGCCGCATCGACCCTACTCCACTGAAACCATATGAATTCATCAGACCCTTGACCTTTGTTACTCGACCAACCGTCATTATTCCTGCCGCAGCGTACGCCATGGTCTTCCTCTTTGGAAGTGTCATTTGCACAGTGGAGATTCCTCAGCTTTTACAAGTCAAGTTTGACCTGAATGCCCAACAACTTGGTCTGCAATTTTTGGGTGTCATCATTGGGTCAGTGTTGGGCGAGCAACTGGGCGGCCCACTTTCTGATACATGGATGCGATGGAGAGCTCGCCGTCAAAATGGACAATCTCCCGCTCCGGAGTTTCGCCTTTGGTTGAGCTACATTGGATTTTTGCTCACCATTGCTGGGACCGTTGTATTTTTGGTGCAGACCGAGAGATCGCCTGCCGGCAAGTGGAACGTGACGCCGATTGTGGGCGTCGCCATCTCTGGTTTTGGAAATCAGGTAGTCACAACGGTTCTGATCACATACGCCGTCGATAGCAACCCTGGCGAGCCCGCCACCGTTGGAGTCTTCATTACATTTGTCCGGCAAATGTGGGGGTTTATCGGACCATTCTGGTAAGAATATTCTCCCTCTTACACGAGTCTATAACACTTCACTAGACGGACACTGATTTATCCACTTAGGTTTCCAAGCATGTTCGATAATGTCGGTGTTGCTGATAGTGCTGGCGTCGCTGCTGCCCTACTAGTAGGAGTTAGTCTGTTCCCTACCATAATTCTTCAATATTGTGGAAGCGATTGGCGGCGCAACAGAAAGCCATCAACCACCTAAATTTACGCCTACAACTTCTATGATAATGCAACTTTTTTTACGTTCATGGCACCAGTGGCTATCTGGTCCCAAGTCCTATGCCTGTTACAATATCTCTCCTCTGTCGGGCACAGGATTATCCGCGATCGATGACTTTCACTGTATATAAACTTCGTGTACATAACGATAGAAATTACGACTATATCTACACAATAAACATGCCCGAGTCGTCAATATACCTGGTATCACACTTAACACAAAAACAAAAAACCATACCTTGGAACGCTCCTGTAATGCACTTTCACCTGCAAACCCTTCCTTCCTAAGGATAATTATAATTAACATCACTGGATGGCGGTGGTTGATCACCTTGAATGTTCCATTCTGCGGCCAGACTTCGCGCTTGAGCCATCTCTTCCTCTGTCGGCATATTAACGACCATCAAGTACAGTACTTTCTTTGTGCAAAAGTCAGTATCAATCCATCAACTATTGAACAGTCCGTCGTGAAATTGTTCCTACCTGACTGAGAAGCCTTTTCAAGCTTAACCCTCCAGGACCGCCACCGAGACCACCTCTCTGAGCCCGTGATGCTTGCATTTGAGGCTGGAATTCGGAGCCACCGTGGGAAGCTGGTGGATTGTTATTCTCGTAGCGATCTTGCTGATATGATGATCGTGATGAATACCCAGAGCTCCCATAGGCAGCAGGTGGATTCGCATTTTGGCCACGATCACGAACGGCCTGTGCAGCAGTGCCAACCAGTCCGATGAGCGCGCCGACTGGTCCTCCGCCGCCGAAACCAAGTTGTTGTTGTTGCTGCATTCGTTCTCCAAGTCGTGCGTTTAGTCTATCATTAAGACCCCCCATACCTATGCCTCGGCTACGCCCTTGCCATTGACCACCACCCATATTGTAATTGTTGCTAGATGGATTATAGCGACCCATGCTGACTAGTGAGTACAACGAGCCGCTATGTATAGGGTGCGTTGGATCAGCGTATTTTGAGTTAAAAGTCGGTTTCCCTCCCTGGGCAAGAAGACTCTCTGGATTCCCATCGACAAATTTGGCCTGTGCCCTTTTATCCATGTACTCGTCAACAAAGAGTTTGCCGCGTTTGAGCTTGTTCTTAAAACCCGCTTCCTTGGGAGCCGCGGCCAGATAATCTAGGCCTGGGTATACCAGTTCTGCGGTTTGCATAAATTCGAATTCGCTTGTAATTCCGTTGGAGGAACTGAATTTGTGCGAGGCTCTCCCTTGGGAGTTCATGGTGTCTTGGATGGTGGTGTTTAGATCCACGTTTGCGCGAAGACTGGTTGATGTGGCATCGTATGTCATTACAAGGCAGTAAAGTCCGCGAGGACGAAAGAATTCACTGTTGAGTTTATCCAACGCCTTGTTTTGTCTGTTAATGAATCTATTAGCTTGTTTCCGGCCTGGAATTCAAAGTCATGCATCTCGTATGAATTAGTCTTACCTATATCGACCTTGGGCCTCCATTGCGACGTTTGTTGCAACCATCACCGCCACAGAAATCGCAGTCGAGATAGCAAAGGGAAGAGGCTGTAATGCAATTGACGCAAGATTAATAGCGTTAATCCACGGATTGGCAAGACTCGCTTCGTTTAGCGTCTCAATAAAGTCCAGCCAGGCAGCCTGATCAATGCCGGCGTTCTGTAGGTCTGGCGCATAGGCGCGAACGAAGCCGCGTTTCTTGTTCTTGGGACGACGCTGTGGGATAACAACAGGATACTCTAGTTTTTGTACGGGGCGCGTCGCCATATCTGCTGAGTAAGGGGGGGGCTGGCGTTGTAAAAAGGCTGCAATGACTTTATCAGGGTTGGCCACCCCTCCTTTACTCTTCCGAGGTTCAGATCCTTCGACCACGGCGTCTTGGGCATCATCCAATTGCCACGCTCGCTCATCTTCGGTCTGAGCTACCGAATTAAATGCTTCTCGGGATGCACTCTCATACTCTCTTGGGGGAGATGGATATGGTGTCTGCGTTGTGTCTGGTGTTGTGCTATTTTCTTGCTGCTCTGTCTCTCTCTGTTTGCTGGCAGCCTTTTTGGCTTTGTTGTATTGGCGCACCTCAGACGCAAACCCAATGCTTGTAGTCACTGCTTGTGATAATTTGCCAAGGGGTCCACCGCTCTCCATTGTCAGTCTGTTGTGGTTTTATAGTATTCTTCAATATGATTTGGCCGAGGATTGGAAAGCGAAAAATGCGCGAAAAGCGAAGATTGATGGCAATGTCTCATTCAATAAAATCTGAAGGATGGAATGACAAAATAATACGCAAACTCCTGGATCCAACAGCCTTTTTATATCCCAGTCAGCAAGATGATATCTTATCTCTTAAGGGTTCAGTCAAGCTCCGAACTAGTTACCGCTTTCGGCTAGCATTGCGAATTGAAGTGGGGCCCAGCGGCCATGCATCGCGCTGCCATTGGCTGCACTTGCTTAGATCACTTTGTATATCCAATAGGAACGCAGTTTACAACGAATCGCCGCAGTTTACTTTTTTCTTAAAACTTTAGATTGAAGTAAGATGGAAAACTCAGCCTCCATTCAAGGTGCGAGAATAACATGGATGCCTAAAGAATTAGCCCCTGTGGATACATTCATTCATATTCAATTGACGTAGAACTCTTCAAACGCATTGATTTTCGACCAGTCAAAGCAATGAATTGAGAGTCTCTGGTTGCTGCCTTAAATCGGATTCACAAAACCCTATGTAACTGGGTATTGGGGCCGTTATTGAAACGAAATTTTCATCTGAATTCTCAGCCGCAGGAACCACGACCATAATTATATACGAAGGAGACACGAATTCTATACTTGATTGCCCGATTTCACGGTGGTCGACCAAGGTACGTGAAATTGTTACCGGAAACCATCACTGATTGGCCTCTGATTGTAGGAGATTCCTCAACCAAGCTTTGATTAAAATATCCATTACAAGCTTGCCTATATACATGATAAATATCAGTCACATGCGTGTATGAAAAATGATTCCAACAGTTCACACAGAGTCTATCAAAACGAGGTATGCCCCAATCACCAACATAAGCCAAGAAAACGCAGCGTCGTAATGCAGGAACAGGCTCGTACGCTACTGGGGTGAAATGCACTTTTAAACAGCTTAATTGGTGGGAGTTACTATTAAATATGAACGCTTTCTTCAAAGGAATTCTGTACTACGTATATACAAATTTTCTCGAGGAACGGCGTTTGCCTAAGTATCGTCAACCTATAGGTTTAGCTGTGAGTATACGTGTCTTTGCGCAGAACAAGATAACCTTATGTACGCTGGATATTCACAACATGTTCAAGCGAGACAATTTTGCTTCCTATAGCACTAAGAAAAAATTTGTCATGATAGGAGAAAGAAACTATGATTAAATCTCTTTGTCATGCTGTACTGAGCTCTCAAGGTTGACCTCCGTCTCCTTGAATTTTCGGGCACTGACTCTTCTTTCAAACAATAAATCCAGCTCTTCATACGTTCTCCCCTTCGGCTCTGGCAAACGAAAGTACGCCCAAACCGTGCATAAGAAACACAAACCGGCCCAGAAAAATCCAGCTTTTCCCTTCCAGTTCCATGCGGACGGATTAAGCATATATGGAGTTATCACTCCATTAATAATTCCAATCACATTGTAAAGATTTCGTCCGAGCACGATCGTCTTAGTGCGCAGACGACTAGAAGGCATTTCTGCAACGATAGAGTAAGCCACAGTGCCAACGGTAATGTCGTAGAAAAGCGTGTAGACTAGTAGCAGAGACCCTATCACCCAACCGCTGCTTTTAGACGAGTCAGTTGCAGCGACGATACCGATCACTAGGAGGATAATGAAAAGCGCCGTGAGGCCTCCAAGGTATAAAGTTCGCCGTCCGAAACGGGACATGAAAAACCAAGACGCAAAAACACCGACTATGGCAACAGCATACAAAGCCATTGACATGTCAAATGAATAGGAAACAGAGAGTCCCGCCTGTTGAAAAAAATATGAAGAGTAACCCATGAAAGCTGCGCCACACAGATTTTGAATTGCCCATGTGACACAGACAATCTCAGTGCGCCGAAGATCAATGCCACGAAAGCAGTCATAGTAAGATGTGCCTTTGGTAAGCTTTCGATCCAAATTATCGGTATGAACCATCATGGCAAGTGTCTGGTCAACGTCAAAGTCCGAGTCTGCTGACGAAGTCGTAAGTCGCAGCAGAGCTTCTCTTGCGCTTTCAACTCTGCCTTTTCTCACCAGCCACCACGGGGACTCTGGAGCAAAGAAAATGCCAACTAATAACGGAACTGGCCACATCCATTGCAAGGCGAAAGGAATACGATACGCCCACTGATCGGAACGACTGAGCAACCCGCGTAGCACGCCAGTCGCTAGCAACTGCCCAACGCCCCAGCAGACGTTTACATACGTGGTCAAGTAGCCTCTCAACACAACCGGACAAACTTCAGATGCATATGCTGTTGTGAGGGTCTGGAAAACCCCCCACGGTATTCCCATTAAGATTTCTCCAGCTTCCAAGCTCTCAATGTTCTCCGCAAAGAAAGGGATGAAAACAAACCCAATCAGTGCAGTAAGCGACGCAATCATGGTAACCCTATATCCATACCGTTCAGACACGATTCCATTGATGAATAAGCCTAAAATTTCCCCAACATTCGCCCCATTCGACAAGCCAGATTGCCATGCCGCCGTGATTTGGTAACTACCGTCTGACATTCGCTGTCCGTAGCGCTCTGCAAATGCCGGAAATGCATAGAAGCTTTGCATTAAAACGACATCGTAGCCTTCCATCACTATTGCAGTAGAGAGTAAAACGGACCAGCCAATTGCTTTTGGGTACAGGTGAACAGCCTGCAGCAGCGTCATTCTGTGCTCCTGTGCGGTTGCTTCGAGAACATCACTAACGAGTTTGTCGTCACGCAAATCTACATGGGTCTTCTCAGTTGTGTCAGCCATGACTTCGCTATCGCTTGCCGCTATCGTATGGTCGTGTGCTTGATTCAATTCAGTGCTGTGCAGTCAGCTTTGTCCGGGAGGGAGAAAGTTTTTATAAATGCCACCCTCGAAGTCGTGAGCTTCTTTCCCCGGCGCCAAAAACTGGGCAGGTCACATGAGCTCTCGCGTGGCTTCCCCGGATTTACGAACAAACCAAAAATGCGGGGTAAAATAGTCACTAGTCGATCACTTATACACACTCATTGTATCTCTAGTGCTAGAGAAAGGGACAATGAAGCCCATATTCTTGTTGGCGATTGAAGGTATGAGTTGAATGCGGACGCATCCATTTGAATAGCCATCAACTTAGCGTCGAAGAGTGATATCGCTTATACTAAGGTATAGTTTTAGGGGTAAGGAATTGCTATTATTCATTTTCTCCAAATTAGGCACAATACCCAGGACTTCGTCATGATAAAGACCAACATTTCTTTTCGTGTGGTGTGTTCCGTAGGTGAAAAATGACTAAGAACTAGACTTTTCCACAACTCGCTGATGTCTCTCCCAAAGCAAGAAACACGAAAGCAATGCAACACTGGAAAACGCTGTCAAAACAATATTCTGTCGATTGAATCCCTCGCTAAATGCAACAAGGACATCATGCTGCTGTCCCGGCGACAATGACTCAATGGCTGAAAATGAATTTGATATAGCCTGCATTTCATCCGGACTGATAACCGTCGCCAATTTGCTTTTCACATGGCCGTTGACAACCGTGGAACTGCATGATTGTTAACTTTATGCCGCTTACTATTATTTTAAATATGGGATGCTGGTTAACTCATTGCAAGACCAAATGTGCCTCCAAGGACGCGAATTTGCGTTATGGCACCCATAACCACAGCTACAGAGACGCACATCGAGATCAGTTCAAACCTTCGTTTAAGAGTATGTACGTATAGTAAAGCAAGGAGAAAACCAACGGCGATCATCTTCATGGGCACGAGCTACGCAAGGGTTAAAATTGTGCTTAGCGTTAGTCCAAAACCAAGGCCCATTACTGCCTCGAAGCCATATTGTTGAAACGGAAATTTCAGAGTGGCTGTGGACAGTGAGCAGGTCAATCCAATGCCAATGACCTGAGTCACAGGGCCTGAAATGATGATATAAAACGGAGGTACTCTCCAGATGGAGGTTAGCTATCTCGAGATAAGCGTGGCAATTGCAGATGTCAATAAAAGAGGCACCAGCGTGATACCAGCGTGATACCAGCGTGCTGTGAGCTAAATGCGTAAACCGCCTGGGCTCTTTGTGGATTATTGACAACCACCGAGGTGAATGGAAAACTTAAGAATGACGCGCTATTAAATGTCAGATACTAGAGAGAAAAGTAATATGATAATGGTAATGAGAAAGTTTTCGTACATACGCAAACATAGACGCCATAACACGACTTCTCAGAATCCGAGGTGGGAAAATAGGTTCAGCGTTTTTATGCTGTCTTCGTTCTAAGCAGTGCTCCCAAAGAACAAAAGCAGCAAAAAAACCTGTCCCGATGATGATAGTGGCGATTATGCTCACACTATCCCATGCGCCATTATTACCTGCACTTTCAAAGGCATAAACAAGCAACGTAGATGAAGCAAGAAGCATGGCTACACCGAGACCATCTATCCGCTGGAGATTTGACCAGGACAGCTTCCGTCGGACAATCACTCTGATTGACACTTTTGGGTGATTATTTCATGTTGCAGGCAGCATTAGGCCAACGACTGAAATTGCAAGAACCCCTGCTGGCGCACTTTGAAACTCGGGTTAAAAGTCGGAAAGCATTTCAACGTATCATAGTTCAAGAGAATTATTTTCAACCCACTTAAATAAGAAATCCCACCTCTATTGTCCATTCTCACTGATTACACCTCCCATCAAGGGACCAACCACACTTGCGGAAGCAAAAACCGTAGATACGACCGCAATATACTTTGGAAGCTCACTCGTGGGGACAAGAGTAGGTCCAATCACGAGTGTCATGGAGTATATTCCAGAAGCACCAAATCCCTGAAAAGCGCGAAATACCATGCTGATTCGATAAAATGTATTGATTATTCTTCCCATACCTCTTGAAGATAGTTTTTTAACTCACAGTTCAGTGATGTTTTCAGGCATTCCACAAAGTATAGAGAACAGCGTGAAGCTGCCGATTGCAGTCATAAACACTGTCTTTCGACCGATTATATCACCAAGCTTGGCATATATTGTGAGAAAACCTGATTGTATCTCGTTTCGTGAATCTTCATGTCGTCTAACCAATGCTCAAAATTGTCATACATACCCGTATAGATCAGTAGATACGTCGTCACAACCCATTCCCGCATAGCAAAGCCACCCAGTGAGTTAGTGACTGAGACCAATGCTGTACTAACGATAGTTGTCTCTATCGTAGAAAGGAAAAGCGCCAGCCAGAGTCTAGGTATGTATTAGACAGGTGTCTTTTGTTGGCCTCCTTACCCGACAATTACCAGATGACGCCGCCATCCTGTCAGATATGTTCTTGTTGATTTATCATCTGTGTTTTCGTTTACTATAATACTCTGAGGTGTCTTTGAAGTAGTTAGATCTTGCGATTCGTGATTTAGCCCAACTGATTCTGATATGTGCTGGTCGTGTTGCATATTTGCCGAAATATAACTTGAGGCTGCACAATGGGAAGCAGCTGAGTGTATTTCGAAGACAAAGATATAAATTGGGCATTGAGCAGAAGAAGCAGAACATCTCACACTTAATATAAGAAGGTAAATGGTTGTTAGCCCTAACTATTCTATCTATCTCGCATGAAAGCCCTAAGACAGTAATCCATGCGATCACCTGAATCACACGCAACATTTTGATCAATACTTTAGTTTTTGGTGTAACTAGTCTCTTACCGTAGTTGCTAGATAACAGGGCAATTTATAGGCTAGCTAAAAAAGGGAGCTCCATCCTCGGTGAGTCTTCCATGCTCGACGGATGACTGCCAAGTTGCCAACTAGTTACAATAAACCAACTTTAAAACTGAGGTGATTCGCACGCCATTTATGAGAGTGCGATGGGTGCTAGGACGCTTCTCTTGCCCTGAGGCGCCTATATGCGCGGGGCGCTTGGGGCATCCTTGAACGTTTTCTGGGCCCGAGCCGAGCCGGGCCGCTCGTCCTCCCGCCGGGCTAAACTTCTTTCAACATCAAGATATCAGAACAATGTTCGCTGACAAAGTCTTTCGGGTTTTGACAGCTTTTGTACCTTGCCTTATGATATAGTTAACTAGTTGCTTTGAATAATACATACATTTCCACAGTCCTCGATCTTTTAAATTAGTCCCAGACAGGTAGTGGTGACACTCGTAGACAATGGATGAAGAGTCAAGAGTCAAGACACACAACCACCTATCACTAAAGAACTCGTACCTAGTGCTCTGCCATCTTAAGAATATACATACCACACAAGCCAGTGCATCGCACTGAATTTAGAGAACTGGAGATGTCAAAAATTATGCTCAACCAGGGACGAGCCTCGTGGGCGTTATTTATGGAACTTGCCCCGATGATCCACTTGGGTCCCAGCACAGCCTCCTAGAATGCAGCACTGCCATCGACGCTTGAACTCTAAATATCCGTAAATTATTGCGGCAGGGTGCCGTCACTGCCGTGCTGGGTTTGGCCCCCACTAGCCGTTGTTGGTGAATTGGTCACAATGCATCTATAGTCACTTTTCAGCCTCAGCCTCGTCTATATATGTGTATAATTCCGACTGTGGCTACATTATCAGAGATTAATTAGACTATTAATAAACGAGGTTGCATTGGTAACTAGAATTCCAGTTCAAGTTACATAACCCTCTCATGTTTTCTAGTCCGTACCTAGGTAGTAACTTGTATTTATTTGCATCCTCTATTCATCGATTCCTTACCAACATGACACCCAGCCTCAGGGACGTAGGTTAGAGATCAGAAGAAACGCGAACACAAGGTTTCCAGGAACGAGAAAAGACAGAAAGTGAGGTAAAAAAGAAATCCAATGGCCGAGTTTGTGTCAGCCATCGGCACCATCGCTGCGATGGCACAGATGGCCGAATACGCGGCAAAGGCCTCACTCGAATTCTATGATTTCCTTTTAACGATTAAAAACGCCCCTCGCGAGGTTATGGACATAACCCGTGATATTCAAACATTCAACAAACTGGTCTGCAATCTTCAAAGCTCGTTGAACTCGCCAGCCGTGCAGGAAGTCGTTGACCGAGATGTCGAGATCAGTAATTCGCTCCAGTCGCTGGAGGAACCGATCACGAACTGTTGCGATGTTTTCAACAATTTAATGGCAAAAATGCGTCCGCATCTGAAGGAAGAGGAGCCGCTGTCGGAGAAGCAGCAGCAATCTGTCGCAGACAATGTCGCTTCGGCGATAAAACCGAGTCGGAGAATTAGTCGAGGATCCGTGAAATGGTATTTCAAAAGGAGGGAGGTGTACCAACTGGTAGGCCAGTTGGAGCGCACCAAGTCCACTTTTGCAGATGCTATGGGGAGCATTACCTTGTAGGGACTTTTCTCCTTACTCTTGAATGTCCTAGGCTTGACTCTAACAATAGAACTGGAAGGCTCCTAACGTTGAAATCATCTGCGCTCAAGTCAGAACCATCTAGCTTTGCCCTTTCTTCTGCAAGCACTCTTGTTGCAAATGATGGAACACCATTTGACAGTGATGCAGGCACCGCGCTTCTACATTTCGCCGAAACAGCATCCGTTTCGAACTACTCAGTCTCTCTAAAACACGGGCCAGATGCAACGGAACCCAAACAACCAGAGCTTCATCGCAACAACACTGCTTTGACCAAACTACTCATGCAATCAGTCCAGGAAGGGTCCATATCCGACACACGCGACGCCTTAAAAGTCGTACATGTCGACAGCCAGGATGCCGATGGACGAACCGCGCTGTCCTTTGCAGCAGAATTGGGGCGTCTTGAAATTGCAGAGTTGCTGATTAGTCAACACGCCTCTGTGTCGATTCGGCAGTACACCAACAAACGGAGGGCCAAGGAAAGACCGCATTTCTTGCAGTACGGTGGACGAACGCCTTTACACTGGGCTGCAGATTGTGGCAGGCCAAATATTGTCCGTCTTTTGTTGCGCAATGGCGCCAACCCTAATGCTCGGTCAACTAGCGGTCGATCTCCATTGCAGGAGGCAGCCATGCGTAATCGAGTGGAGGTCATAAAGATTTTGTTAGAGAATGGGGCGGACATCAATAGCAGAAGTTTTAATCATGTATGATAACTGACCCTTCCCACCCCATGTTACTACAACCCTCACTTCATACTTGCCCGATTATCAAATATATCTTACGCTAATATTGGCTATAGGGCTGGACACCGATGCACGAAGCGGGACTGCATGGACACAAAGACGTTGCTCAACTGCTCTCTGAAAATGGCGCGTGGCTTGATCCCCTAACGCAAGGACAGATGAAGACGCCGCTGCATTGCGCAATGATAGGAAAGCAAGCAGTCGTGGCAAAGATGCTACTAGAGTGGGGATCTTCTCCCAACGCTCAGATGTTCCATGATATCGTGCCCCTTCACATAGCAGCTGCTGGGGGTTGGGTGGTAGGGATAGAAATGCTGCTAAAATCCGGCGCATTGGTCAATTCGAGGGATGCTCTTCTGCATGAAACCCCTTTGCACAAGGCAGCACGTAATTTAGAAACGAAAGCCATCGACACGTTGCGCAAGCATGGCGCCAACGAGGAGGCAAGGAATGTGGATGGCCAGACTTACCGGGATATATTGGCTTGTGCGCGTGAAGCACCTGAATTCTGGAGTATTCCTGTTGACGATCCATCCTTTTATCGTTGAGCTGTCAATCATAATGAGTAACGAAGAATTGCATATTTAGATAATCAGATAATACCTAGAGATGGTTCGCTTGAAATGATATTGGCGATGTTTTCCGACGTTAAGACGTGAGTTAAAGCTTCTAAGCGCCTATAGTCTAGGTAACATGCATAAAAAAATGGACAAGCTATTTGTTTTCCTAAGAAATGAAAAAGAAAAAAAAGATTTATAAAAGAGAAATACAATCTGAATCAAGCATGCAATTAGCACCCCGACATTGGCCGAGCTGAGCGTCATCCAGGTTGGGGCTACCAGATCCACAGAGTGTTACGTGCGTAGCCGCATTTACAGCGTTCCGACAACCCGAGATATAGCTATTTATTGCTCTGCACACCCTTGCATAGCTGCTCGTCAACTTCATCATATTTTATTGTAAGCGACAATGTCTGAAAACATCATCACAATCCTGCAACGCCATCCCTTAGCGACGGCCTCCGCAGCCATAGCCCTGGCAGCGGCCATCCCTGCATATCGGGACTACCGGCTTTACAAGTCCTACGGCGCCGGTGGCCCGCCTCACAATGTCGTGGGCTGGTATGTCTCTAGGTTCATTATCACTCCGTTCCGTCAGGAGTCGATCAGCACCCAGATGTACGAGGAAGCAATCGATAAGGGCAAGAGCAAGTCCTACATTAGTTTTATGGATGGCCGACTTCCGCGCCGTAAGGGAGGCAGACCTGCTATAGGATCTCACGCCGCGCCAAATAGGCAAACTAGCCAGATTCCCTCTGACGAAATGAAAGAGGTATGTCCGTCTACGACGCATACAATATGTCTATCTCCATTGAAGGAGGCAGTGAATCGATCTCTGTTAGGGGGTGCATTCTAATTCGCGTAGGATCTCTTAACGGCCTTCAACGACTTTGCCGCCAAAAACTCGCATCTAGTCAGGCTGGCTCCATCACGCCTGGAAGGAGGACACTCAGAAGCCATGTGGCTCATTGATGGCATTCCAAAATCCCCCGAGGCGGGCTTTACCAAAGGCGAACTATCTCACATCCACACAACAGGCGACCATTCCCTTCATTTAATACTCTCCGAAGCTGACGCAAAGGAGGTTATTGACGCTGGCTGGGGCCAGCGCCACCCGATTGCTGGATACACCATTTTGGGGCACAACGTCGCTAATCTGCCGTCGACGTTTCTCCATGTCTATGCCCCCAGAAACCAGGAAGAGCTCGATGTTGTGATGGAAATCATCCGGGCGAGCGTGCGCAATGCGTCTTTGGGCGGCGACCCGATTCCGTAGCCACGTCCGTACATAATTATTCCTTCTGGCCCGGCGATTTTGTCAATATTGATATCCCAAACATGTAAAATAGAATATGATATAATGACTCCACTCAATCTAAGCGACTTGCTCTTCAGAATAGGATTAGACAAGAAAAGTGGGCGTCGGACATGTCGCCGATCAAGCATGTTGCGGGGAATGTGATGAGGCCTTGCAGATCTCGACGCCAGCTGGCAGTATGTTTCGTTGGCTAACAAGAAATCGACGAGATATAACCGAGTATCGAACGGAACATAGCGTTGAAAAGGATAACAGATATAATAATGGCTTTTGCGCGGAGACTGGCTATTCTACCGGGTGGCCTAGGTAGGGTAGAATACCGCCCAACTACGCATACATAGAGCATACCTAGGAAAGAGCGAGTGTTTTTAACTAAATCAATGCTTGCTACATCCAGGTGGCATAGGATCGATTACCGGCAAAAAATTGATCCAACAAGGGTCCAGGCTTGCCATTCTCTACGCACCGTTCGAAGTCAGACACCGCGATGAGCTGCTCGAAACGAGATACAAAGGGGCCGGAAACATCGACAACATCCGCATGTACGAGTGCGACATTACGTCGCCCGAGTCTGTATCAACAACGTTTGATTCTCTGAAGAAAGACACAACAGCTTTCCCCAGTATCTTGATCAACACCGCCGGCTATGTCTCCCTCAGTGACATGGAGTCCACGCCTCCAGAGGAAACCCTGAAACACCTTCACACCAACGTGCTCGGTCCGATGCTGTGCTCGCAAGCATTTGCGCGACTTTATTTCTCGACTTCAAAGGCGGCTTCGTCACCACCGCCGCCAGGCCGAATAGTCAACATATCCTCGCAAGCAGCGCACGTCGCGCTCCATCGACACGGAGCATATTGTGCTTCCAAGGCCGCACTGCTGGGGTTGACACGCTGTATGGCATCGGAATGGGCCGGTCGAGGCATCACATGCAACAGCGTGTCACCAACCGTGGCATGGACGGCCCTTGGACAGAAAGCTTGGGGAGAGGACAGTGTGAGAGACGCATTCCTGAAACTGATACCAACCGGGAAATTTGCGCTTCCGGAAGAAGTTGCCGATTCGATTTTGTTTCTCTGTCAGGCAAGTGATGGTCGATTTATTAGGTGTGGCGTATTTTCTCATACGACTGAATAACTGATTGTTGATTGCGGCAAATAGGATTCAAGCGGTATGATAAATGGTGCGGATATCCGGGTCGATGGGGGATATACAATTAGATAGACGAAAATCCCTGCTATCTGCTTGTACAATCGGTCAAGTGTTCCATTTAATTTGCATCTTTTCCATGGATACCTCGTGGCAGTCGATTTGACCAGGTGCATATATACAAATGATGTATATAGCAGGCCTCGTTCATTCATTACATAGTAAATGATCCTTATTATTGAATAACTACACAGTTAGTTAGATGTTCACTAATTAGTCAAGTCCTTGGTTAAATGTTAATACGTCCGTCCCCATAAGCATTCACCAATCAATGCGGCTCCCGAATGACCAGGAGGGGTAATCACCGAGCAGAATAAACAGATATAGATACTCCTCGCTTTTTACCTACTTTTGTTGTTTCTACGAGAGCCAATATCTCATCGGCTGATTTGTTCGTCCTTCCGCAAGAGAGATGGCGATAAACCGAACATCCATCCAAATGGCCAACAAAGCCGTGCCGCAAATTCTTCAGATCGGATCTCTCAGGCTCAATGGCTTCCTCTCAAAGCACGGCGTGGCCAACTTCCTTAACATCCCCTATGCGCAAATTCCCGCTCGTTTCAAGACGGCGGTCCTGTATGATCCGGCGTCTTTGACTGGCGATCTGGATGCAAGTGACTATGGCCCGCGATGCCCCCAGCCCGCAGACCCCATTCATGGTGTCATGCAGAATATGTTCGAGAGGCTGTCAAGCGAGCAGTACCCTAGCGAGTTTGACTGTTTGCACTTGAATATATACGTACCGCCGGACTTTGAGCACCTTAGAGAGAGACTGCCGGTTTTTGCGTACATTCATGGCGGGGCTTTCAATTGCGGTGACAACACCACCGAATTTGGTCAGTTTCCTTGCAATGTCATACGAAATCAATTTACTCATCGAGGACTTTGTGTGTTCTTCATAAACAGACGGAAACCACCTTGTCAAACGATCTATGGAGCTCAACAGTCCGATCATCATTGTCACAATCAATTATCGCCTCAACGTCTTAGGCTTCATGTCATCCCGAGAACTCGCCGCTGAAGCGCAAGCAACGGGGGACGTGGTGATCCGAAACCAGGGTCTCAATGACCAGCGGCTGGCGTTGCAATGGATTCAGTCACATATCCATCACTTTGGTGGGGATCAGTCTCGTGTTACTCTCTCTGGGGAGTCAGCCGGCGCAGCCTCAGTGATTTACCATCTCAAAGGCGCCGATGCCCTTTTCCGCCAGGCAATCATCCAATCAACGCCGTGTCCTCAGCTAAGGTCGCTAGATGAATCACAAGCAGTATTCGATAAACTCGTTCGCTCCGCAGGCGTTGAGCCTTCTGCTCCGGCCGCCGTCAAGCTAGCGGCCTTGCGAAGCTTGCCGGTGGACAGCCTCATCGCTGCAGCGGATATTCCGGGGCCTTCATTCCCTATCGAAGACCCCAACTGGTTTGCTGATAATGAACAGAGCATTGAGAATCCAGCGCAATACTGGGGCTCGGTGGCTCCCTGGTGCTCTCGCGTGATTATCGGTCACACTAAAGATGAAGCAGCTTTGTTCTATTTGCCTTCGGTGAAATCCCTTACCGAGACGGAGCTCACTCAGACACTTGGAGAGCTATTCAAGGATGATCGAATAGTCTCATCTCTCCTGAATACGCAGCTTTTCCGATCAGCCCCATCACCGTTACGTGCCCTGATTGCGTACTGCACTCGCCAGGTCTTCCAATGGCCAACTCAGAGTATAGCTCAGACTATGTCCGGTCAGGGACAAAAAGTATATGTCTACTCAATCGATGTGGAGGATCCCTTTCCTGGACTACTGCAAGGGTTTGTCTGGCATTCATTTGGGGTCCCAGTGATGTTCTATCAGCCCTCGTGCCAGAAACACCAACAGCTGAAAATCACCACCGACATGATGAGTGAGAAGCATATTGATTTCATCTACGGCAAAGAGCCCTGGGAGGAATTCGGCGTTGCTGGAAGAAAGTGGAGCTGGAATGGTCAGGATTCAGGTTTAATCGATGTAGAGAGTATGACTGACGACGTTCTTGCTCAACTGGAAGAAAAGTCCCTAAGGGAATGTTATCTGCAGAGGAGCCAACTATTACTCGAACATAGCGTGCATATGCAGTTTACAGCTCAGTGAATCTAATGCTGTTCGGGATGAACCTGCAGAAATAGACGAGCGGCTATTGGAATAGAGGACGATTTAAATGGGGGCTTGTATGTTCATCTGGCATTTTTCAGCTACTTGACCGTTTGGTGCGGCGGTGGCAATGATTGCAAAGGCAAAGATGAATGTTGTCTCAAGTACGTAGCATTACTGAGTCAATACGAAGAGACGCTGCATTATGATACTACTTTTCAGATGCACATTATCATGATAATTCTAGGATATTCTAGGATATCCATAACCCAAGCGCAACCCATCCATATACTCATCTCTCTGTTACATATCAAACAGCCCAATCAATCCAATTTACCTACACTTTGGGAATCCCTCAAGGCACTAGCAGAGCCAGCAAAAAAAGAAGAGCAAAAAAGTAAATGTTTGTGTGAATGCATCATCCGTGAATCGAACACGGGCCTCGTCGATGGCAACGACGAATTCTACCACTAGACCAATAATGCTTCTTGTTGACGAGGCTTCCAATAATCATACAAGTTCGCATCACTAAAGAGCCGATAATAATCGACTTCCAACGGCCGTTGTAGTCCATCGTAAGGAGTCAAAGAGAAAGCGCGAGCCACCAGCCGTAACGAGGAAAAGCACGGACTCAATCGTTCAAAAGCAATGGACCGTATGTGCTGGTGCGGTCGATTTGAGCAAAGACTTTGGCAGCGTAGTAGACAATGAGGTTTATACCAGTAAATTGCTGCATGGATTGCAGACGTATGCTCAATGCTTTGCGGCGACGGTATGGCTTACCAAAGAGCAGGGAGAAATAAGAAGGCGTAGCCATCATTCCGCGTTCATACTCGGCCAAGACATTGATTTCCATATTTTCAAACTGGGCAACAGAGGCATTCTGAGCACCTTTCCCTTACGGGATGGCAAGAACCTGCCAGGCTTCCTCGTTGTGGCCGTGATGCATAGCCAACCTGAGACGGGGGGGTTCAGGAAGAGAAAGGATCAAGAAGCCGACTGTTGCGCCGAGGATCAATTATAGGCCGAAGCTCATGCACCAACCGGATCTCAAAGATATCCAGCGCTCCGTACTCAACCCAAGTTGTTGAGTTTTCCACTCCGAGTCTGGGGATGGTTTGGCAGGCCGCAGATCATAGATGCGCACCCCTGCGACACACGCTAGGCTAATATTGGAATAGCCGCACGCTGGCCGTCTTCTGCGAAATAAGGCGTTATGATTGGCCTATCCCGATCACGTAGCTCCCACAGACCACGTGCCGCAGTGTCGGAACATGCCAAGGTGTAGTCTGGATGTTTTTAATTCCGGCTACTCAGGCCTGAGGCAGTCAACAACGTTGCGGACATGATATACACAATAGAGCTCCTGCCGACTGCCAGACCAGCAAACTACAAACAGAATACTAGTTCTATCTGTCAGTACACGGAGTTGTACTAGATATATTGGTATTTAGTTACACCTTCGCCATGCCTTCGTCAACGACTACATTAATAGTTGTTTACATATATATTGCGGCGGAGTGCCCCACGGTGTCTTCCAACGTATAGTAACTTCCAACCTTGAGACAATAACTGGCTGCATGGCCATTGGTTTTGTGGGAGAATAATGACAAAGGAATTGATAAGCTGATTTTTTGCTGTTTGAAAGAAAGGGCAGAAATTATACAACTTATGCCTTGGCACTATCTAGGTAATCAAGCGGTCCAGCCTAAACATGTGCGAATGTAACCATGTCGAACGAAACACCATGCAAGTTGGCTCTGTGATAAAATACTGAGGCATCATTGGCTCACTCATCTCGATCTATATTTGACGCGCTCGTGGAAGCCATGCAAAACTCGCGCAACACCATCGCGGGGTTTAATGGCGTGATACCAGGTTGATTATATCGTGATATGTCAGCGGCACGTGTGCCTGTCTAACTAGGATACAAAACACTCAAAACAATGATACACTTTCCATGTTTGAACGACATCTGTATTCATCAATAGAATATAAATTCAAAACCATGGCAAGTTATCCCGACGGTAATCTGCGCATTGCAATTATTGGCGGCGGGCCAGGCGGTCTTGCAACGGCCATTGCACTCTCTGCCCTACCCAACGTTGAGGTAAACCTGTACGAAAAAGCTCATGAGCTGCGCGAGATTGGTGCCGGTCTCAACATTGGATACAATTCCTGGCGGGTGTTGGAGATACTGGGTGCAGATAGCAATATCAACGGACATCTGATTACTGAAGTTCAGCAGCGGTATGAACTCTCTGACAACGAGCCGCAGTATTTCATTTTCATTACTGACTGTACTCGTTATATCGTGAGTTAGCAATGGGCTAGATGGCACTCTTGTCGCCAAGCGTGGCCCATCTACATTGCCACTGAAATATCAGTCACGCCGAGCCCGCAGAACTCGGTTGCAAAGAGCGCTTCTCGATCAGGTTCCAGTTGATATTATCCACCTGCGCAAGGAGCTCACCTCGATAGAAAACGTGCCTGAAGGGGGAGCGCATTTGGGGTTTTCTGACGGATCAGAAGCATTTGCCGACCTGGTTGTTGGCGCGGATGGAATTCGCTCGGTTGGTGATACCAACTTTCTATAAAGGACTCATAATTTTAACTCTATCTTGCATTATCGACAGGTCGTAAGACAAACAGCATTTCCGGAGCACAATATCAAATTCAGCGGAATCACCATTTGGCGTACTCTAGTGCCTCGATCGCTGCTAGCACATATTCCGGATATCCCTACTTGTACGTCATGGTGGCATGGTCCATCGGGTCATGCATATTTCTCGCCAGTCGACGACCCATCAAGGACAGAGCCAGAGGACGAGATGATTGAGATTTCCTCGCGTACTATTGTTGATCCCGAGACGGATAAAACGAGACGATGGAGTTGGGGCGTTCCCACTACGAACGAGCACGTGGAATCGCATTTTACTGTTGGTCAAGTCTCTTTTCTCTAATTACTCAAACCTAACATTCTGTTTCTAAAGCAGCATTACTAACCGGTTGAGGACCCCATTTATAGAATTTTGACCCTAGAGTAAGGGAAGCTTTAGCAAAAGTCCCGAAAGGCAACTGGAAGGAATTCTCTGCTTTCTCTGGGCCAAGACTCCAAGAGTTAACCGCCTGGGACAAACTTGTTCTAATCGGAGATGCAAGCCATCCGTTGACTGGTATGTCAGTTCCTATTCCCAAGAAATTTAAGAATAGAATAAACTTCAAGTACAAGGACATAGTCTAATGCCCACTGGTCTAGGTGCATTTGGTTCAGGAGCGGCATTCGCGATGGAGGACGGATGGATCCTTGCGCGAAGTCTCGAATTTATCTTCCCCAGTTTGCAGGGGGAGAAGGGATCATCGATCTCAACGCATGATGGAATCAAAAAAGCATTGGCGATATTTGATTCCATTAGATCACCATACTATGCTCGCATGTGAGTCGGTTTTTACACTTCAAATTGAATATGTAGTCAGAACTGACGTGGAGCATTTAGGTACGAGTATCTGGACAACGTGAGCGCCAAGGCGAAGGCCAGAGGGAGTACCTTTGAAGCCAGACTGAAGTCAAGAGTAGAGGCTTTCAGCGAAGGTGGCCTTGATTGGATTTATCTAAACGATATTGAGCGCGTGTGGAACGATTGGCTGGAAAACATGGACTCAACGAGACGAGAGAAAACTAACAATGTCCGCATCGAATCTAATCTCTAATCGAGAGATTTGGTAGATTTGGTTTAAAGACAAGTTATGATCGTATAGACTAGAGAATTAACTGAATTAGACTGACAGTGGATACCTTAGGTTGAGATCGTGTATGTAGCGCAGAACCGTCCCTGGGGTTCCTGTTTAGCTTTAGCGAATTCATCCTCGTGATGTCTTCCTAGAGTAGGATATGCACACATCCTTTGCCCTCATTCTCCCCCGCCCTCCCTTCAAGACCCTATATCAAGTTGTTAACTGCCTAGGCAGCATCCCAATAAAGTATGAAGTATATGTATCTGTAAAGGAGGATGTTCCTGCTTCGGTGCAACCTCTTCAGTCGAGAAGCCAATATCATTGAGTGTGAATGGAAGCATAGCAGTTATTCGCAGCTTGGCTACTTAGTCTAGTATGATTAAACCGGCATCTACAACTATCTTCTAAAGCGCTAAATTAGCACAGCTAAATGCCGGCGTAATAGAACCGGAGTAATCGGCAATAATAGCCTCAACAGCTGCATAAAGACCCGGTCCAAGCAGGAACAAGCCACACAACAAGATGAACAAATGCATAAGCGTCTTCACAGACCTGGCAGCACCAGCGAACAATTTCGTTCTGTAAAGATTCCAGTATGCAACAGCATAGAAGATGAAGCCGAAGAAAGAGTCGAAGGCGGCGCCAAGAAGAGACAAGAAATCGCCCATGCTAGGAACGACCTCGGAAAAGATGAATGCAATGATCCAGATGATCGCCATAAGGCCAATCCAAACACCCCAACCGACAACGGTGTTGCTGTGAGCATGTTTTGAGTTTCCCATGACCTTGAAAAAGACGAATTTCGCAGAGACATTTGCGTAGATAGCACCAATAATGAGCGTAGGCACAATGACAAAGGCAAACGAGGCCTTCTTGTATGATACGACACCGAGACTGCCAAAAGCTGGGGCGGTCGAATATTGCCCTAGATACCTGAACCCGATTGCAGGTGGGACGATGAATAGCACTACCGAGATACCGGTCAAAACGGCAAGCGCCTTGGGGAAGTCTTGTGGCTTCTCCATCTCGGAGATGAATGTGGGGAAGAGGATTTGTGGAACCCAGAGGAATGTGATATTCAAGACGGCGTTCATGCAGTTGACCCACGTGGTTCCCGGGAGTGGGAAAGCGTAAGTTCGCACAGGTCCGTCGGTGGGATAGTCTCCATTGTAGCCGACGAGCGGCGCTGCCTCGATACCGGCGAAAATCAGGAAGAGAAGAATGGAAATCGCCATGCAGAAAGCTGTGATACGGAAATCAGCACATGCGAATAAAGAATAAAGCTAGCCATCTCCTACATGAGAACATCGACATGAATGAGACATGGTGGAGGGTTCTCGGTAACGACAGCACAATGCCCATGATCATCACGATGACCGAAAAGACAACTGTGCAGAGTGAGTGATCCGAAAGTGTGTTAAGAACCTTGGCACCGGTCAGGATGTGAAAGCCGATGAGCAGAATGTTGTTGGCGAGCAGCATGAACGCAGAGAATGCGTATGCAATTTTGCTTTTTCCGAAGGCGTAGTAACCAAAGTCACCTGGCCGGGGAATTTCCATTAACTATGATGATCAATTACTGCGTGAATACTGTGATTAGAGCTTACAAATATCCTTGATCTGCGGGTATTTCATGATGAACTTGTGGAGAGTCATGGAAGTGGTCCAGAAGAGCACCCCCGATACAACCATCGTGATAATTCCGGGCACCCATCCTAGAACACTGTTCATTCAAACATTAGTCTTACAAAAGGTCTGACTTGGCAGCAGGTTTGGACTTACGAGAGCGACCACGATTGGGACATAATAGCCAGACAGACCTGCTCGCCGGCAAGCAACCAAGCGGCCTTTTGCCAGGACATGGTCCGCAGCTTGATGTCATGTTTGCGGTCTCCAACAACAGTCAGCAAAAGTCATAAATATGGATATTAGGGGACCATATTGTACCTTCAACGATCAGCGCATTGATTGTATCAAGCGTGCTAGTTCCGTCAGACTCAAGCCCCTCGTCATAATTTGGCCTCTTTTTGTCGTCGGACTGAGGTTGAGACATGGCTGCGATGAATACAGTTCCGTATAGTGTACGACTATGGATGCGAACTTGTAACCTCTATAAAAAATGCCAAAAAGAGAAATCCTGGGAGAGATAAGCACCCTTTTAAAAATCTATTTTTCCATGCATCATCCCGTCAGCCTCAGGCCATGCTCATATAAAAGGCGCGCTGCGATTGGCTCGTCCGGGTCTGGGCGGATGGCGTGATAATGCCCCAAATGGTGCCTATCAAACCCTGGAGCATTGGCCAATCAGCTTGCGATTATAGAGCAGCAAGCCGCTCCGTGATTGGCCCAGTGGATAAGGTTATCTTATCGTCTGTTCAGGCACAAATAGGCTGCGGTGCCTGATTAATGTGGCATAAGCATGTGCCTGAAGGAATATATTAACTCCGGACTCCGGCCATTCTCTACGTCTGACAATCAGAAGCATCTACTCGACTTGAATGATCACCTTGCCAAAGTGCGATCCCGAATACAAATACTGCAATGCCTCTCGCGCTTCATCAAACGCAAAGACACGGTCAATCACGGCATGCAGCTGCTGCGGCTGGTAGACCTCACGTATCATTTCCTCCATCCTGTCTCGTGGGCCAACATTGATGCCCTTAATTGCTGCGTTTTTCCGAATCAGGTTCAGGCCATTCGCCTGGCCCTGCTGCACATCGTCTGTGACGCCAGATAGGACGCCAATTGCACAGATGTTGCCGCCTGCTGCGACGCATTGTATACTCTGGGCCATCGTGGCAGGGCCACCCGTCTCGAAGATGATGTCGGCCCCCTTTCCAGCGGTAATGCGCAGTGCTTCGGTTGCCCAATCCGTGATGGTTTTGTAGTTGATCGTGTAATCGGCACCGAGCTGACGGGCACGTTCCAACTTTGCGTCAGAAGACGACGTGATGATGACTAGGAAATCATCGAAAGTTAAAATAACGTAATTTCTTATGACCACTCAGAAATCCCCAAGAGAGAAACAGTGGCAAAGGAGTATATCACCCACCTGTTAACCCTAACGATTTGGCCTGCTGCAGACCTGCGATTGCTACACCGCCTGTACCCAATATCAAAACGACAGTATCTTTCCCCCTCCGCGGACTTCCAATGCCCCGATCCCAATTCAGTGCCATCCACGCCGTGGTAGCCGCGGTAGGAAGGGTGCTGGCATCTTCAAAAGACATATAATCCGGGATAGCGACTAGTCCGGACGACTGGAATACCCGATACTTAGTGAGCACCCCTGGCTGCGGAATCCCAATTCCAGCGGCTTGTGCCTCGGTGGTGGCTGGTCCCGTCAAATGTGTTGGTCGCATGAGACTGAGTACTCTGTCATTTTTGCGCCATTTCGCTGCCGCTGCTGCACCGCCAACCCGCACGATTGTGCCGCTAGCATCTGAGGCTGGGACTATGCGGTTTGATGGTGCTTTGTATGATCCACCGAAGTCGCCGTTTATTACTAGGATACTTTCATTTAGTCCGGTGTCTTATCATATGGACATAAGTTTCGATGTGATCTGATATGGAAGGGAGTGATGGCATGGGTCTCACTTTTCGCATCACGATGATTTAAAGCGACTCGACTAATTTTTACCAGGACTTCATCATCTTTTAATTCAATTCCGCTCGGCTCGGGTATCGTGCGCAGCTGGAGCTGTTTGATACCATCCAGTAATGTTGTCCATTCCTTCATTTTGGCTTGGTTTGCTTATGGCCGTTGCTAAATCGTCGGGAGTCTTAGGGAGATCACCGATAGTGAAAAAATAAATTCGTTTTGAACACAAACTCAGTGAGGCTAATGGTGAGAGTCTCTATACTCACCAATATATTTATATTCCAGCGTTATCTGAACTCTGGGGTATGATTACTAATTGATATGATGAAAGCAGTGGAGCGTCTCCGGGTGGGAGTGAAGTCTAATTTTGATGTTGGATGTTAGCTTGTCCAAGGTGATGAAATGTAACACTCCTACACAAGTATTTCCCGCCGAGTATACTATTGAATGGAATCGCTGACAAACTACAGAAGTAAGGAAACCCCATTATAATATCCAGAACTTCATCGATGGTATCCAAATGTTCAGTCCTAGCGGTTCTCCTTGACTACATCATCAGCAGTAGTCCAAGCAGCCTCACCAGCTTCCAAATTTTTATTAAGGGCTACTGGCATCTGATAGAAGATCCAGCAAGAGATGTAGTTACAAATATCACGACTTGAACGGAATCCGTTCGCCGATAAATCCCCGATCTATTCACTAGCGACATTACCTAGCTGGCACAGCGAGTTGATCATGGCAATAGCAACAGTGCGCTCGGCAGGCGGGCGTGGGATAGATGAACTGATTTACGAGTACAGAAAAATGTATCTTGCATACATGCTGGTCTGGAGGAAAAGTGCTACTTTGCAAGCTGCGACATTGTATGTCGACATGTAGATGATAAAACCGTCCATGCCTCTAGTGATTGGGATTATGATATCACCACGTGGCATACTTTGGCCTATTTCCATCGACTCCTCTCCAATTGCCCGATTACCAGATCGATTCATTGCCATACTAAACGCTCTGTCTTAGCTATTTTGCCGACGAGGCCACATGTCTCCCATCTAAATGACGTGGAATTTTAAAAATACTGACTGCTACTTTGTGACAGGTAGAGATATGAGTAGGCTGTAATTATATGTACTATTTTCCTATCCAATATCATTTATTTAGCTAGATTGCCAGCTTGCGAATCAGTCGGAGTTCTTCCCGATAAGACCCAAAGCTTGTCAACTATCTCATTTCCGACGTGCTGGCAATTCCACCTGGTTGAATGAGAAAGATGATAACGATATACGAACCATTCTGCCACGTCTGTATAACCATGCAACTTTGATGCCATAAGTGCCATTATAAAGGTGGTTTCAATAGTTAACCATGCAAATCGCATCTCTCGATGACTAAAGTTGCCCCGCCTCGTCGGCGCTTGCGGGGAAATTGCCGGTGAAAACGAACTACTCTATATATGAATACTTCACGCTCGTTCTGTTCTGCTCACAACTCGGATTTCATGTCGAAGTAGTCAACTCTTGAATACTCACAATGAAGCTCCTCTATCCTACCTCCCTTGTTCTCGACATCCAAAACCTCAAGGGATTTTCGGTCACCCTCCATCCCTATGATGTCAAAATCCCCATTCCGGAGGAGCTGATTGATGCCGAAATTATGGTAACATGGACCAACACTCCGGAAAACCTCAAGGACGCTGCGAAACGCATGAAGAACCTTCGCTGGATTCAATCTCTTGCTGCCGGACCCAATGATGTCCTGGCAGGTGGTTTCGACCCTCACAAGACTACAATTACCACCGGCTCGGGTCTACATGATATCCCCGTCGCCGAGCACACACTCGGCTTACTTTTGACTGCTGCTCGTCGGTTTGACCAAATGCGTGATTATCAACTCCAGAACAAATGGCCGGGACACCTGGGCGGCTCGTTCCCGCGCAACGATTTCACCACGTTGCGCGATGCTCGTGTGCTTATCTGGGGGTTTGGCAATATTGCGAAAACGCTCGCACCGTACCTGATTGCTCTCGGGTCTCAAGTACGTGGTGTCGCTCGACAGCCCGGTGTGCGCAATGGCATTGAGGTTTATGGCGAGGATAAACTTGCCGAGCTTCTTCCACAAACCGATGCCCTGGTTATGATTCTCCCGGGGTCTGAGACGACGCGCGACGCGCTGAATGCCGAGAGACTCAAATTGCTGCCAAAGCATGCATGGGTGGTGAATGTAGGACGGGGGCTTTCTGTCGATGAGGATGCGCTGGTGGATGCGCTAGAGAAGGGTGAAATCGGTGGCGCGGCGCTGGATGTTTTCAAGACAGAACCACTTCCTGAGTCGAGCAGGCTGTGGAAAGCACCAAATATGATTATTTCACCTCATGCAGCTGGTGGAAGACCTCTAGGCTGCACTGATTTGATCGCAGAAAATTTGCGACGATTTCTCGCTGAACAGCCTCTTAAGAATACGATCTCAAACTGATAGTAACCGGTATATCATAATAACCTTTAGATATATGACTAGCTAGGAATATAGAATTTATATATGGGTGATCACTCCTCCTGGAAGTGGGCTTATACTTCGCGTAAACCCTATGTTTAGGCACGTAAGGTAAAGACAGACACACGTCGAAGAAATCAAGATCATTATGGTACATTCACAAGAATATTTCTCATATATTTTACTAAGGACACCAGTCAAACAGTTATAGATTCCATATACTAGATTCTTCCGCTTAAGATTGATCTAATTCGCTTCCGGCCCAACACTTCTCACCGGCTTCCTCTTCTTTTGTTCACTCTGCTCTCTCTGGGGCTACTGAATACGATGAATACCATACACTCCATGCATGGAACCCACGGGATATTGAATTTATGGAGAACGCACTACATTGGGCTAACAGCCCTAATGAATCCACAGGTAACGATAATGTTCAGAGTATCCATTGCACAAACTTGACATCAGAACAGAGCCAAGCATTAGATACAAGCGCTCTCTGATTCTTGTTTGGTGGAATGTCGTTTGCGTGGCATATAAAGGATGTCTGTTTTCCAACATTGCAGCGAACGGGGAATTGGCAATTGTCATTCGCAATGCAACAAACATGGATGCCGATGCATTGATGGGTAGATGGGTGGATACAACTATTGTACTGTCCGAGGCCTCGATAAAAACCCCGTCGCCCTGGATGATATGATGGATGCAATGTTTACTCACATCGATGTTCTTCAGGGAAGGCCTTTAACGTTATGACCCATCGGCTTAATCAAGCCGTCGCTGGCTGTCTCCATTATTCTTTCTTGTGTGAGAAACCTGCAAGCTTTGGCGCAAAGGATGAATCATTTGTAAACCTTCACCTACATCCTTTGAGTGCATGGACTAGGCTAATTGAAATTGACACGGAATTAGGATTTTCTTTAAGGTCCCTGATAATCAAATTCGAAAGAGGACAGTTAAGGCCAGCAAATTTCAACACGCTTCGTTGGACATCGGTGTCTACATCGTCGATAATGTAGGATTCTACATATCAAGACAAGATAAACCGATCATCAAATGCGCGAAAAATGGATTGTACACGGAAACCCAAGGTCTGTCAGAGTCCTTTTGGCCTGGTGAACTTGGTTATAAATACACCACATTAGACACAGAACACCATGCAGCCATATGTAAGATATAGGGAGATGATCCTAAACAAGGCATCAATGAGATTATGGAGAGCATAGAAATAAATTATTACAAATAGCTTAATACCGCTAGCATTATTCCGTAGTTAGTTATGAATACACGCTTAACTTAGTTAATCGATCTCTTGCTGAGTCTGACGCAGCACTACGCATGGAATTCCTGAAAAGGTTAGCTCGGACGTTTTTTTTTTTTTTTTTTTTTAGTATAGCTTCGAACTTTCCAAGGTTCTAAGAGTCGTAACAAATTTCACCATAGGAGTATAGGTCCGCCGTGCTAAGTTAAAATTCCAATTGACCATTCGTTATAGACAGACATGACTCCATACGAAGGTTCGTTTAGCGCTTACCTCGAACCAACTTGCGAGTTCCATTCAATTTCATTGTGATGGGATTCCGTCCGGCTCCTACTTAAATAATTCAGTATTGACCCATCTTTCAGACAAGGTAAGACACTCTCGTTCCTTTGGCTAAGTACTGCAATGCAATGGAGGTGATACCAGCTGCCCTCACAGACCAGCAAAAACCCATCGATAACATCCGTACTCGCACCTTCTTCATCGTCGACAATTGCCTAGACGAAACCACGCTCAAAAATGCCCTTGATTCCCTGATCCGCCACCATTGGCGCAAACTAGGGGCACGCCTGGTAAACCGGTCCTCAGATGGACTGCTGGAATATCGTCTTCCACACAAATTCGACGATGACTACCTCTTGTTTAAGTGGTCGTCCACCGAATTCAATCATCCCATAGACGAATGCCCCGAGTTGAAACTATTTCATCACCCTCCTCCGGCCGAAGATGGAGTTGCGATCTTGGATCCCGTCAGTGAAATAGAGAAGGTAGTTAGGCCGGATTCGTGGCCCCTGGAGCGAAAAGATGAACCTCCAGATGCGCCCATGCTCTACATACACCTGTCTCTTTTCACCGACGCAACAGTTATCGCGACTAGTGTTCCACATCCGCTTTGCGATCAGTTCGGCCTCTCAAATATCATGCGAGCCTGGCTGGGTCTCACCAGGGGCGAAACGCCCACACCAATGGTCGGCTATAACCAGGACGTACTGGCTACTGGGAAGGAATACAACGATTATCCGAGCGCCGAAACGGCCAGAAAGGGAAAAGTCAGGTTATTCTTGCCACTGGAGTACTGGCTTGTGGTGTTGTACTTCATTCCCGAAGTCATTATCCATCCTAAGGAAGAATCAAGCATTATCTTTTTTCCACGTCCCTGTTTACAGCGGCTACGTGAGCGGTACACTGCAGACCTAACCGAGAAGTACGATCTCAATCCAGGCCTAAGCAACAATGATATTATTTTCGGTGTTCTTACAAAGGTAGCTTCCAAATCTTACTATTCTTGTGGCAATATATTGGATTAACTGTATCATCTCTAGCTGGCTCGCATGCACGATCCATGGGCTCGGACAATGACATTGACACAAAATATGAATCGTAAATTCCCCCTCCTTATTCTCCTTATTCTCGTTCTCTGTGAGAAAACAAGGAGAGGAAAGAACTGTTGCTAATTGTGTCAATTACGAATTAAAGTACGAGGCCGCGTTCCCCAGCTATCAAGCGATGAGCAGAAGCTTGGATTTCTTCACAACGCCTTATACCCTGGAACCGCACGCATACGTGTCAATTCATCCACTCCAGCTAGTGATATCGCTTACCTCAGTCGTCAAATTATAAATGAAGCGACCGAACCAGATTCTAAAGGAATTGAGATCGGCATGGCTGTAACTCGCGAAAAGGTTCGACGGGGACAGCCAACGCATGTCTGTGAGCCATTTGATCGATCCTACGGTACGACCAACTGGTGTGCTGCCTGGAGAGGATTAGACTTGAGCTGTGGTACTGGAACTGCTCGTAGTAGTACCGGCAGCATAGCGGATGGAGGAAGCTCGAAGATGTTGATTCTCGGACAGAGTAAGGAGACAAAAGCTCCTGGACGATGTTAGTTTCCCCTGCTATCTATTACTTACCATTGTTTCTCAATTCCTCATTACTATTTTTAAACTGCTACAATAAATGGAAGCTAATCACAACAACCGGGACAGTTTTCGCGACCATTAATTGCCAAACGGAGGAGGGATTCTGGTGCGAATTTTGTGCTCCGCCAGCAGCTATGGCATTGATCAGAAAGCATCTAAAAAATGATCCGATGTTGGAGTATTTTTAATTCAATTAGTGTATGAACATTGATTATGTGATTAGGAGTTGTGTTAGTTTGAATATAGAATTTGAAACGTGGTGTTTAACATTGGGATGCAATAGACACAGATTGTTGTTTTGTCTTACATAGTAGTAGGATTAAAACAAGTGTTCCACCTATATTAATCTTCCCTTTTCTGATAACAAGGCTGTTGATTCAAAAGTCATTGGAGCGTATGCGACTTTTTGGTGAGAGGTTCATCAGATGACACTACTCTTCTATCAAGATTACTTATTCAATAAAGGCTCACATTGATTGGGCCTGCCTGAAGATAAACTTGTTGTTCTCCTCAGAATGGTACGATGAAAAATAATCGTTGTAATATAAATCCTCGCGAGGCTTGCGGTCCGTTGATAAATTGTCGAAATGCCGAAACAGCCTACCAAGAGTAACATACAATTCGCAATATGCTAGACTGTAACAAAACACACAATAATGTCAGCATCTTCATGTCCAAAGAGAGCTAAGTAGGCAAATAGACGTGGTCAGTCAACTTACGGCATACCGACACACTGCCTTGAACCCTTTCCAAAAGCGACAAGGTTGTGTTCGGCCTTTCTCACTGCAGCGGACTGACCCAGCCATCTCGAAGGATCAAAATTTCCAGAGTCGGGGAAGATATCTTCATTATGATGCATTGTCCAGGAACTCATGCTGACCAGTGTCTTCAAGAAGTTAGTGCCATACGAAATGCGCGGATTAACAAGACAACAACATACTCCACTAGGTATATGATACCCGTGAAATTCGGCTGCAGAATCGGGAACGACCCTTGGAAGACGTCCAATGACTCCATAGGATAGCCTAAAGGGATCCGTCAGCAACTAATAACACTCATATTCAGGCTTCGGATAACAAACCTAAGCGCCTCCTTGATAACGGCAGTCTTCCAAAGCGTCAACTGAAAAGAAGCTCATGGTCTGTCTTGGAATATTTACTTACAAGATACGGCAGTTTCTCAAGCGTAATAAAATCTAGATGAGCACTCGCGTCTGGAAACGCCTCTCTAAGCTCCGCGGTCAATGTACTATAGATTTCCGGGTTCAGAACAGTATTGTAGGTAGCTACGGTCATTGCATTGCCTGTCGTATCGGCAGCAGCGGCAAGAATGATATATGCTTCATCTTTAAGTTCATCTACCGTGGGCACAACATAATTCTGAGCAGCATCCGGGCTAAGCAGCTGGTGAAAGATCGTTGGTCGTTCTTTTGCCCTTTGGGATCTTTTGTCCACGTCGATATCACTCTTGACGCGGAGAATCTGCCGACGACTGCTCTACATAGGCAGACAAAAGAGTCAGTAATTGAACAAGCAATGATTGTACTGCATCCCTTGAAATGTATGTTCTCACATTGTGTAGCATCATCATTCTTTTCAACGGTCCATCGATCATCTTCACGAGCCAGAATGGAAGACCAAAAGCTAAGGGCTGCAGAACAGGAAACTGCTGGAAAAACCAGAACCCGGGACCAAAGTCACGGATCATATTGAAGAAGTCGACACCGAAGTCAGATTGATCCAAAAAACTGTAACAATTATCAAAAGCATAGTCGGTAATTACGTCGACCGATATCGCTCGAAAACCATGATGTAGGTCAATATAGCCCTGCTCGCTCAGTGCAGACCGAATGCGAGCTTCTAATTTGGTTGCTTTTTGCTGAACCACTTCTTCCAGCTCAAGAACCCTCTTGCGCGAGAAGAACGGGTTTAGTGCCGCGCGTTTCACACGGTGTGCTGCATTGCTCGCCATGGTAAAAGTTGCCTTATCGGTTCCGAAGGCGTGATAAAAAGGTGGACTTTTCGAGTACTTAGAACCAATGCGATAGATCTCATCGTAATTCTCCGGATCACTGAGGTGGATTTCATCGGGGGTAATGCGGATAATGGGTCCTATAAGGAGAACAATGAGGTTAATTGGCTCTATGAAAGTAGATGATATGCATAGTTTTGCATTGGCAGTAATGATTGATGCATGGCAATGCACTCATCCATCGATTGTCGATACTTGCTCTTACCATATATGTTGTGTAATTCTTCTATCTTGATGTAGAACTTGCCTCTGCACCAGAAGTTATAGAAGAATGAGTATAGGTGAGTGACTTTGGCGTAAAAAGGGCCTGGGATCTTCGCCAATGGGTGAAGATATAGGCGATAAAAACAAATTGCTATAGAGTAGATAATCGATACCACGAGCACGGTACTAAACAGCAAAACTACCTGCCGTACTGGCAGGTAGCTGTTAGAAAAGTCATCAACGGAAGTCGTAGTCATAGTCACAGTCATCTTGCTGTGTGAGCTTTTCTTATTTGACCCGACTCGCCACATGGAGTTGCAGACTAGTTAATGTACAGGTCAGCGTCGCTGTACCTTTTATGCTAGCTACTTCTACACACGACCTAAGAGCCTATATTAGGCTGATTTCGAACCAAGGGACTAGTTGAAGCTAACTGCATACTGAATACGAGATGTCACAGATTGGTGGTAAGACTACAGCAGGCTCTGTTTTCCAGAGTGTCATGTCCGAGCAAGTAGTTTTGCACGTTTTAGATGAAAGTGGATCAACTTCGGGATGCCATGTGGGGTGTGCCGAGGAGGTTAAACTAAACCAGGTCTAGCTAGTCGGACGGGGCCGCCATTCGTGCTTAAAGCTAATGCTTGTCTCCCGGTGTCACATTTCGTCATGTATTTGAAGAACGGAGTACATATCGGTTAGTCTTCCAATCTGTAGAATGTATATGCAGCAGCCAATCATTACTCTCAATAGGCTGTCAACTGTGTAACGTCGATGCACTCTGATCAGCGAAATGAATGGTCTACGCCTTGGTACTCTGGCCTGTGCGAAAGTCTTTTTTCTGAAGAAAAAGCCTGAGGGGGCCGAGTGGAATGCCTTCCAATACTCATTGTGACAATACCTATAACAGGCTGCAAGGATCATCAAAATAATTTACCTAGCTACAGTACGCGATATGTTGTAATTAAGTAATTAAATCATATTTTGTTCTCTTTGATTTTGTTTGACTAAAGAAAAGAATTAGGTAACTAATAGCGGCCCAATTTTCAAACGGGGGTCGTTCTGTCACCGGATAAACCTCTCCCATTGGCGAGAAGAACATGGGATTACAGCTTACTCCTCGTTATTATTTAAAGTACGATATAAGCCAACATGATGAATATGGAACAGAATGTTTACTGAATCGTGTATATTCATAATTGGTGATCCGGGAAATAGTCTCAGGTACTTCTCAGTGGCCGCACTTCAAAGCCGAGGTCCTCGTTGCGTTACTTGACACGAACATATGTGGAATGAGGCGCCCTTGCACGTATTTTAATGGGCTTATCGCTGAAAAATTCCGTCACTTGACCCTTGAAGATTATCAGAATAACGATAATAAGAGGGGTCGTGTCGGAAAAATGCTACCTTTGGGTTCATAGCTAAACTACCGAACGAATAAGACGATATGAAATTGCCTAGGTGGAGTAGGGAGGGGAAGGTGTGCTTAATACACCCCTCAGACGACATTTTATCCCAATATAGCCTGGAAACAATACCACAATCCCCAGTCAATTAGCATACATAGTTAGTTCATACAGCAGGGGTTTAACTTATCTTAGCTAAGGATTGGCTGACTACTTATTATTCTGGTTTGTTCTCGTCTGAAAGCCCTGCCTTTGCACGCAAGATGAGTGGGCTAGTCACTCTTGTACCTCCACCTCCCAAGTTCGACATCTCGGCAAAGGACTTGGAAGAAGATGCAAATGACCTGGTTAATCATATTCAGAGAACGACCGTTAGCCTGATTAGCTCCTGCGCAGACAAAATCCCTGACTTTGAGACGGTTATCTTGCCGTTGGCTGGCATCGACAATGAGATCAAGGCACGAGTACAATACATGGCTCTATTCCAAGCCATTTCTTCGAGTGCAGATGTCAGGAAGGCATCCTCCGTGGCGATAGATCTCGTGGACAAGGCTTATATGAGCTTATTTCAGGATGAAAACCTGTTCGCTTTGGTGAATCGCGTACGAGGTAATGAGTCGATGCGCATCAGGGATGAAGAGGACAATCGGTTGCTTGACAAATTCCACTGGATGTTCTTGGAAAACGGGATGAATCTAACAGGCAAGAGCCGTGATAGGCTTACCTGGATATCTCGTCGTTTGATAGAGCTTCGGGTCAACTTCATGGAAACCCTTGGAACAGATCAGGGCTGTCTATGGAAGAGTGAACAACAACTAGCTGGCGTGCCTTTGGATAGACTGTCGACTGGAGTGGATGAAGACGGCCGAGGGGAGTTGTATCGAATTCCTCTCACCAAACCAATTACCACCCTTATACTGTCTGAGTGCCAGATCTCGGAAACACGCAAGGATGTTTTCTTGGAGAGCAGTTCCAGATATCAGGCCAATGTGGATATATTTCGTGAGATTATTGTTTTGCGAGATAAAGCATCGCGTTTGTTGGGTTTTCCCTCCTTTGCAGCCCGTAAGCTGGCGCGGCAAATTCTTGGCCCGCCTAGCCGCGTAGATGAGTTCTTCCAGCATCTTCAGGATGCGCTGAAGCCATTGGCAGAGGCAGAAATTCTGAAGCTGCAAGAGCTAGCGAATACCCGTAACCCTATTCACCTCTGGGATTTTGACTTCTACCACACAAGGATGCTACAGGAGCAAAACCACGTGGATCACGAACTTATATCACAATGGTTTCCTGCGAAGATGACGATTCAGCGTATGCTCGCTATATATGAGCAATTGTTTGGCTTGCAATTCAAAAAAGTCGATGTTTCTGAAAGCTCTCACACCTGGCACCCAGACGTAGATCTATTCTCCGCTTGGGACGAACAGAATACCTCTTTTATCGGATATCTATACATCGATATCTTTTCTCGTGCCGGTAAATACAACCACGCGGCCAATTTCAACATTTACCCAGTATGTTCAGAGTGGCTGACAAGTAAAATTCGTCATGGATGTTTCTAACGCCGTGCATAGAGCTTTCTAGACTCCGATGGAAAATGGGCTCCAGTAGTGACGGCACTCGTGTGTAATGTTTCTCAGGCAGAACCAGCCCTGTTGAGGCACGCCGAAGTCATTACAATATTTCATGAACTGGGACATGGTTAGTACATCTCGTATCTGTCAAGTGCGTGGGTGAGTTTAACAAGGCAGTGCATACAGGGATACATGACCTGGTAGGCAAATCAAAATACGCCACCTTCCATGGGCATTGCGCGGTAGCGGATTTCACTGAAGCACCAAGTCAATTGTTGGAATACTGGTGCTGGGTTCCGGAGTGCCTCCGAAGACTCACATGTCACTACTCATATGTCTCCCAGAAGTACTACAGGCATTGGTTGGGCCGCCAGAAAGAGAAGAATGTAGCACAACCACCCATGGAAATAGACCCGGCGCTGGCTCGAGACCTTGGGGCCACTAAGCAGCTCAACCAGGGCATCCTGACTCTCCGACAGGTCGCATTCAGCAAATTCGACATGCAGATACATCATCCGGCTTCGCATGAGGATGTGCAGACAATGCATATTTCAGAAGCTTACAATTATTTACTGGAAGATACAACCGGTCTTGGTGGACCCGGAGAGAGCTATGATTGGGGTAACGGCTATGCGACTACGTCGCATTATGTATGGGGCCAAGAGGCTAGCTACTACTCATACCTGTTGTGAGTTACATTCTATCCTCCGATGTCGATTTCAAGTGCTGACATGGCAAGAAGTACCCGTACACTAGCAGCCGACATATGGTCAACGTGCTTCAAGGAGAATCCTATGAGTAAGGAGGCAGGCCTAGAGTATCGGCGGCAGATCTTGAATCACGGTGGTAGCAAGGATGAGCGTAAAGCGGTGGAGAACTTCCTGGGGAGGGTTTCCACGCCGGAGGCATATTTGCGGGACATTGGTATTGGCTGCGAGAAATGACGAGTCTCAACAAGAGAAAAGCTGCTGTTGCGAGAAGGCACTATTCCGTTTTGGTCAGTGACGCTAGACCAGAATAAATCTAGCCTGACGGACGGGCCGCCGGAATGTTGCTTAATTCTTTATCACTGTATGTATGCATGTGCGCGGAGAACGGAGTTTGTTTCCGTTCTGCAGCCGTGTGCACTGGCAGCCAGTCATTGCTCAATCGACTGTTGACTGTGTAACACTAATGCGCTGTGATCAAGTAATTTACGCCTTGGTTCTTCGGTCTGTGCGTTCTTTCAGCAGAATAGCCTTGCAGAGATGATTGAGACAAGACTTGTAAGTACAAAGCGCCCAATTATTTTCCAAGCCAAGTTCTGAACAGTCGATAAGCAAGAAAGGAAGCAGGGGAGAGAAAAAAAAAGAAAGGAAAATATGGCCATTGTCCGAGGCCATGAGAGAAGCCAAAGTCGAACATAGTTTAACTTAGCTCATCTGCGGGCTTTTGGGCATAAACGCAGACCCTGTAGCATGCGTACATCATTCAATTAGTGAAAGACCAAGCTGAAGAGTTATGCATTGACGTACACATCAAAATATGCATGAGTCTCGGGGTCGCGGAGACCTTTTCTCATCTGAGCTAGAAATACTTGGACTTCTGTGTAGGACCACTGTTGAAAATATCCGAGTCGTAGAGCGAAGGTAAAATCGTCAGCAATGTGGATCAAGCTGAAAAGCTATGTAGATCAGGGTTGAAACGACTTTTGACTCACCCCCATTACCCTAGTTAGAAGAGCCATTGCCCAGCCCTCAATGCCTTCCTCACAGTGGAGTTGATTCCATCTGCCGAGCTTTCGTAAATGCGCACTAGAACTCCAAGTCCCAATAGGTAATTCGTATCTCGTCTCCACGACATTCGTAAATCCTGCATCTTGGAGGTAGCCCTTGGCGAGGTCTGCAATACGAAATGTCTTCCCGAAACGTTCACCGGCATCTATGAATATTTTTGACCACACGGCAAGCACATGATCGTCGGTGACACTTCCATCGTGCGATCGAAATTGGATGGACATTTCCAGCTGGTCAAACCAGCCGCCCGGCCTAAGATGTCTGAGAACCGATGCGTAAAATGCCGGCCAGTCGGATAATGCTCCGTACAGTGACCGTACATGTATCAGGTCAAAAAGATCTTCTGCGAAAGTCCAGCTATCGCTAGCATCGTCTATCTCGAAACGCACATTTGGCGGGATGAATTCCGGCTGGATCGGTGAGAGGTCTGTTCCGATGACTTCGGCAGAGGGAAATTCATCGGCAAAATCACTAATTGCCAAAAAAAGAAAGGGAACCGGGTCAAATTTGGACTTATTAAATGACCAGAAAATCAATAGGTTAGACATACATAGCCCATATACCCGTTCCTGTCCCGACGTCAAGCACTTTCTATAGCTTGTTAGCACGCAATTCAGTCCTTTGACTTCTCTGTCGCTGTTATGAAGGTGCTATACCTGTACACTCTTATCAATTGGAGCAAGCATGAGCTTGCCGTCTAGCAATAATGTGAACATATGATGGCTGTATTCCGACGTCGGTTAGTTAGACCTGCATGGGATATGGTCGACCATATACGCACGCAATATCAAGTTGTTCGTTTTGCTTGTCGTCATTGGGCCCCCTGAAAATTAGAGCAAAGGTTATGTTTGTCTAGTGAAGTGTCATTCGGTACATGAGATGGACATACCAGTATTGTCCTTCTCGGTAAGAGTGATAACGTCTTCCGTTCTCAAACCGATACGAAGTAATCTCGCTTTTCAGGGATGTAGTATCACTAGCACTGTATACATAACCGACTCATGTTATTAGTATCATATTAAAGCAAATGAAGGTGGAAGTCTCTCACAAATCTTCTTCATAATCCGAACCAGGCTCGTCTGTGTCATCCTGTGCAAATTTAATTCAACGCATTGTTGAAAATAGGAAATAATCTTACCACTAGAGCTACATGTTGCTCAGGGACACCTATTGGACCGGCTGTTGTTGCCGTTGTAGGAGCTGTTGTAGTAGCAGAAGTAGTTGTCGTTTGCAGCAGAGCAATGCCACCTAGTTCGCTTCCAGAAGGTGGAACAGGATCGGTCTGCACACCCACATCTTGCATCACCATTGTAATGTGTACAGATCCAGGGTTCTCAAGAAATGGAAGGGATATAATTTTTTTCCTGTCACTAGTGACGGTCTGGTGCAGTCACGACATTCTATAAAAGAAGGAAGAGGAATTCTGGGAGAAAATGCCACGGCAATAAAGACATGGGCGAAGATCGACCATATTCTTATCTAATGCCAAAATAGGCACTCCGAAAGTCCGGAAATATATGGAGTACGAGCGTGGTGGCTTCGATTAGTGCTTCGGCACTGACTGCAGTGCTAGCGGCACGACTGGACCCATTGGCACTCGCAGACTGATGTCTTGAGAAATTGGTTCAAAAGCCAAATGTGATAGATCAGGTGTGCATGGGGAAGTATTCGCAATAGGCAATATGTCCTTGCCCCTCTTTGCTCGCCTTTTTATTCATTAAGGTCTATTGGCGTCAATGGATTTGTCGGTACCTAGTAGCCAGGTCTTCTACCATTTCCTTGTATGTGGAGGCATAGGCAAATTGGCTTTGTGCTCTTAGTGCCGAATCAGTCCCATCATTGCCCAATAGCATTCATTAGAGTAAAACTCGGCTAAAAATATTGGACATGGAAAAAATCAAACTATTTTTTTTAATTTGTATTCTTTGATCTTCATATTTTAGGTCATCGTTCGCGCTATTTCAATCCCCTAGATCTGTAATCGTCGGCCTATGAGCTACTGGCATAGAAGCTTTGGTTCTGCCTAAGAACTGCGGAGAAACAATGATCATTTTGAGAACTATTGAATACGAAATGTCCGGGTGGGTTTGACATTTGAGATGAATATGGTCCTAAGCCTGCATATGCTTGCCTAACTTCCGTATATCGATCCTGATTCACCCGATCAATCCTGACAGACTCCTAATATGCAGAGATAGCACTGGCAAAGGATGAGTCAATACCTGTTGCGGCAGTCTTGACGGTAGTTGCGTCGGTTGAAGTAACCTTTGCCTCCAGAGCGATTAGGAGATCATTAGCGAGGCTCTCCAGGGTCTTCAGGTTAGACTGCACGGTGCTTGTGAACCCAATGGCCGCAACCTCGGACTCCTAGATCAGTTCTCAGCATATGAAAGCACACCACACCTCCTCATTACCCTACTAGATAAGATGAGTCACCGTGCAATGGATACGAACGTACCTTGTCGACCAGATCACTGAGAGTGGTGGCAATGAGAGTTTGCAAAGACTCTACTTCGCTCGTGACGCTTGCGCTGTCACTGTCATCAAATGCAGATGAAGCTTCCGTGTCGGTTGTAGCGGTCTTTATGTCAGATTCAAGTGTGCTGACATCACTCAGTAGTGGGAGGGCTGTAAGCAGAGACCCGTCCCAACCAGTAATGTCCGAGTCCAATTTTGAAATGTCGTTACTGACAGTCTCCAAGTCCGTCAATACTGATCGCTTCACTATCGGACCACAATCGCAGAATCACGGGCGTCTTATCACTTTTTCATTGGGGGAATTATCTGCAAGATCCTGCATCGTTACAGTCAACTTCCTTGGTCGTGGAGTCATCTGAACAAAACATCGTTTTAGACATTTCTTCTCCATGAGGGGTAGGTTTATAGACGTTCCTAGTGACGACTCAGAAGGATCTCTCTATAGATCTGAATAGGTGGAACACATGTCGATCCATTAGCACTAGGCTGAGCTAAAATGAGCTAGATTGAAGACGCGCCTTCACTTGAGACCCCAGCAGAATAGGATCGTGCTGCTCGTGGATAATCGATGAAGGATGGCCTGTAGATGAGACGTCCTCGGTAGTCGTTTTGACATTTGATAAATCCTACCGTTCCAAGGTTGTATTTTGCACGTTGGTGACAAGGTACCCCGCCAACTAGATTTACCCTGTTTCCACATCCAACGAGATCATGGCTTGGATTGACTTTCACGTTTCTTCTTGACTCAAATGCGGGGCATGTTATGTTGTCTCGGTACTCCATGGATTGAACAGAGCGAGTGCATTTCCGGCAGGGGGCTTCTGAGCAAAATTGACCTCAATGCATCTATGATTAGGGCTAGGATTTATTGTCGGCAATTTTGGTTCTCATCCAAGGTTTTCTCCAATTGCGCAACTTCCATCAAAATTGGACAATAGCATAACAAGCCTTCGCCAGGATTACTGTTGTTACGGAACTGCTTACCTAGATAAAAAAAAACAAAAGAAAACTCCCGCCGACTTATATTCATTAAGTATAAATCTGTTGGTTTTTCTGTAAACTATGCGCTTGGTTGCACTGATACGGTATCGTCGGGAGCAGGACCATGATTCCAAAGTGAGTGAGTGTATAGCTTCATATCGAGCCATGTAGGTGATCATGTTGCTTTGCGAGCTAGTCTGAAGTTAGTGCGACTCGCGCGAAAATTGAACATAGCCTGTAAGATTTGGGACTTGAGCCCAACGTTCGCGGCTTTCATATTTATCTTCAATTCGCTGTTCTCGGCAACGCCTTGGGCCTTCAGATGAAAGATAGTGAGCACTAAACCGGCTGGAAGTGGGTTTCGCTAATTTAAATTATCACAAAAGCGACGCGATTGGGACATGGGAATCTTCCATTGAGCGCAGCCCACAATCTCAGCAGCAAGATATTTTCCGAAGGACTTTCATCACCCATAATGGCACCAACAATTCTCCTCGTCCCGGGTCTTTGGGAAGGCCCATCTGTATTCGACAGTCTTTCATCACTCCTGGCCGCCGATGGATTCAACACCGAGGCCGCGTCTCTCCCCAGTACGGGGTCCACTTCTCCAGGCAATCCGACCATGAAAGATGATATCGATGCCATTCGTCAACATATTGTCTCATTGGTCTCCCGAGGCGACGATGTTTTGTTGGTATTGCATTCTGCCAGTGGCTTTCTTGGAAGTGAAGCAATGCAAGGATTGGATATGAAACGACGCCAAGAACGAGGAGAATCAGGCGGCGTGGTGGGAATAGTTTTCTTGACAGCGGGCCTGATTCCGGAGGGACTTGCACACCAGACACCACCCTTTTTCGTTGTTGAGGTCAGTTTCGTCTTCCCCGGTGATTTCATCTTCAGTTTTCGACATTTATTTTCAGGTTACAACCGAGTCACTGACGCTTTCCGTTTTTCTGCTAATTTAGGGTGGGGCTGCTCACTGCATAACGCCAGAAACGTCTTTATTTGGAGATCTACCAGAGGACGAGAAAAAGAAATGGCTGACATTGCTCAAGCCCCAACCCTCTCAGGGATGGGATGATACAGTTACATACACAGGCTGGAAAGATGTACCAAGTGTATACCTTATTTGCGAACAGGACGCATTGCTGCCCGTGTTCCTACAAGAGCAATTCGCCGGTTTAGCCAACAGCAAAATAGTGCGATGCAGTGCTGGCCATATGCCTCAACTCAGTCAGCCGGAGAGGGTTGCGGAAGTCATCAAGACAGCCATTGCTGATTTCTCAAATTAAGAGTTAGGGCGTTTATAGACTCCAGCTAGCATGGAGTGAGCCTCGTTGAGGGCTTTCCGATTAGTGAATTGAACCTATATCATTACAGGCTTGACAGATACAATTCTCTCTGGTCTAAAGACACACGTATCAAGAATTTGAGCACCCTAACATTAGCCGACTCGCTGACTCTTAGACACTACTGCTGCAAGTCTCGCAGTAGCGCGCCTGCTAAGTCCCAAGGAACCAATCTTTTGTAACATGTAGTGGCTTTCCGAATTTCGATTTGTTTAATTTGCAGTAGTTACTACTACCTCGGAAATTGTTCATGGTTTTCCCATGGGCCCCATCACCCAGAGACCTGCTAGGCTGTGAATAGCATAATTCAAATTTGAGCCTTATTAGCTGTGGCCCAGGTGTGCAATCCACCGCATGGAGAATACGGCTACGCCTACAATGTAGGCGATCAATCGGCATTAAATCAGTTGGCACAAGAATGTACGGTAGTCAACGGGGCCATAGTGATCACAGACAGATACACCGGACCCTTCTACCTACCCAGCATTCAAAATATCACAGGTTTGATTCGATCGCAAGCAGACCTTTCTCTCCTTGAAGCTACGCCGACGTCTATCGATCTTCCGGACCTCGAACTTTTATTTGGCAGAAGGACTTTTAATTTGAACCATCTCGCTAATCGATGCTGCTGCCTTGTTTATGTTTTTAGCATAACTCTCAGTCTCCACTCACGACGTGTAGGCAGAACCTCACAGCTGGATCACGGAGCTACCGGCGATAACATAATGTATCCGAACATTCCCTGGTTGAACAAACGAAATGTTTGCTTTCTAAGCAAGAAAGTCGCCACAATGATATAAATGTCCTAGTAATCTTTGGATTCACTGTCCACAACGAAAAATCTTCGCGTGTTCCAAAGTTTCAAGACACTCTTCTTCTGTATCTAGGTAGATTTTCAATCGCCCACAATGCCACCACCAAAAGGAACCCCGAACCCCCTTGAAGGCCCTGGTAAGTAGTATCTGGTATGCGGGAGATGGATAAGTAAAGCTTACTATTGTAATGGAATGCAGGAGACTATGATGTTACACCCACTGTCCACAGTGACACCTATCCGGAAATCGACCCTGCAAAGACTGACCTCTCTGGGAAGGCTGTGCTTGTCACAGGTGGATCACGAGGCATTGGCCGTGCTATAGTTCTTGCATATGCACGAGCTGGTGCTTCTTTCATCGCTGCAGCAGCACGCTCTGGTACTTCAGAACTAGCAGCGGAAATTGAGACGGCTGCTCTGTCCGCTAATCGGAACCCCCCAAAGTACCTTTTCATCACGCTTGATGTCTCTAGTGTTGAGAGTGTGGAGGCAGCAGCGGCGGCCTTGGAGAAAGAGTTCGGCAGATGCGATGTCATCGTCAACAATGCTGGAACATTCGGTGACTTTAGTCTCCTTGGTGACTATGACCCCAAAGCCTGGTCGAATGTCTTCGATGTGAATGTGCGAGGTCCATATCTCGTCACTCACGCGCTTTTACCATTAATGATCAAAACCGGTGATGCATATGTTGTCAATATCTCGAGTGTTGGGGCCATCCTGACTTCACCTACAATCAGTGCATATCAGATTTCAAAGACGGCACTTTTCAGGCTTTCCGAGTTCATCAATAAGGAATATTCGGAAAAAGGGGTCATTTCTTTCGCAGTTCATCCTGGTAACTGTGTTACGGATATGACTGTCGCCGTCGGTGCAGACCAGGATCCCCTCTATAAAGAAGGTTTGTGTTTTCTTTTATTATCTAGCTAGCCCTGTAATTAGTCTTTTGTACTAACCTACATTCTCTAGTGTTTGTTGATACCCCCGAGCTCTGTGCAAATACACTCGTGTTTCTCACATCCGAGAAGAGAGCCTGGGTTGGGGGGAGGTATATCAATGTCACCTGGGACATGCCCCAATTGGAGGCCAAACAGCAAGAAATAGTCAACGAGGATAAGCTCAAACTCACTTTGAAGTACTAGCTCTAGCACCTAGTTCGGATATATAGATTACTTTCCATCGGAGCTTGGAGTATTTTGGCTTGCAACCATTCTTGGATCCAATGATTTTGAGATCACATAGGTAAAGCAGACACTTCAAATATACTATCCAAATCATCTCACGGGCTCAAGCAAATACAGAAAACATCAGACTAGTATGATAATATACCAAGTTAAAAATCTAGTGATTCTTAGGGTTAGGGCTAGTGTTAATCACGGGTTGGCAGTCTTCCGCTTAGTCAGCGGAATTATTCTTTCCGTCACTCGCATTGATCAGAATTGATTCAATGAAATTACGGAAGATCACATTCCGAACACTCAAATAAGTATACTGTATCAAAATGTGTATATAAACCTCGCAAAATGTCGGTAGCGGAGTATTGATATTTTAAAAACAATCATATTTATTCCATCAAAGAATTACATATGTGTCTTCTCAGAGGTCATTTGCTACTAGCTTCTTGTCATTACTACATATAAGATATCCAAATACATACATCATGGCAACTTCCGCTATCGACAGCATTCTTCAGAATGCATATGAAAACGGTATTATCCCTGGTGCAGTTGTTCTTGCGGCGACCAAAGACAAGGGGGTGGTCTATTCCAAATCCTTGGGACTACGGTCTTTCGAAAAAGGCTCGAAATCAGAACCCTTGCAAATCGACGACATAATGGGACTATACAGCGCGTCTAAGCTGATTACTGGAATTGCTGCGCTTCAAATTTCTGAAAGGGGTCTCGTGGATCTGGACGAAGATGTCGCCAAAATCCTTCCTGAACTTGCATGTCTCAAAGTGCTGACAGGAATGGATGATCACGGAAAGCCGATTATGGAAGAACGATCGGCGAAGATCACTTTAAGGTAGGTCAAAACGATAGTTGCAGCATATATAAACCTAATGGGTGTGAAAATACGACAGACAATTGATTTCACATTCTGGTGGTGTTACTTATGACTTCTTGACACCTCTCCTTATGAGATACAATGAGTCTCAAGGCCTAGATCCGATCCGTGCATGGACAACCACAGTTGAAAGCTTCTCCTGCCCACTTGTCGCCCAACCAGGTACAGCGTGGAAGTACGGTACAGGTTTTGAATGGGCTGGGTATCTGGTTTCGCATTTAACGGGAATGAGCCTTGAAGAGTACACTAAGCAGAATATTGCCGCACCTCTTGGAATCGACGATATGACATATTTTCCAAGGAAGAATGAAAGTTTGAGATCCCGAATGGTTTCAGTGACACGCCGAGATCCAAACGTCGAAGACGGTAAGGGAAAAGTAATTCTCGATACACATCCAGATATACTGGGCGCTGTGCAGGAGGAGCTTGGGGGCGTGGGACTATACACATCGATGAATTCATACATGAAGGTCTTGTGCAGCCTACTCGCCGATGATGAGAAGCTCCTGAAAAAGGAAACAACTGCCAAGATGTTCCAACCTCAACTCACACCGGCTGCACAGAGATCCTTGCAAAGTAACTTCGATCACATTGCCAAGGGAGAGGAAGTAGGTGTGCCACCGTATGTAGGCACATTTCCGCAAGTCAGGTATGACTTTGGGCTGGGAGGCATGCTCAGCATGGAAGATATCGATTCCGGATCCTTGAAATGGAGGAGGAAGGGATACTTCTTCTGGAGTGGGATGCCAAACATTTTTTGGGTAAGCCTTGAAGTTATGACGCCATGTGGATATGACTATTCCATGATACTAACTTGTATCTTAAGTTCGTCGACCGCGCGGCCGGTGTTTGTGCCATTTTTGGGACTCAAGTTATGCCGAATGCCGATGAACAGATCCGCAAGGTGATCAATATGGTTGAAAAAGAAGTGTACGCCAAATTTGCTTTACAAGCGTGAGTTTGAAGTCGTCGGTTCTTTGATAGATCCCACATATCCAAACATCGTTTTCAATTGCTTTGAACGTAGAATGCCTGGAGAATGGGTCACTCGAAACACTGCCGGTTATGTGTGTAGGATAATTTGTACATATAAATAGCCAGCCGTTCGTATCTGCTTTTATTCGTCTTTTTATATGGCTTTCATTCGATAAATGGTAAAAGGCTTTTGAACGAATAAATTATTCATTTCCGCATAATGGACTACCCAGCGTCCGGCTTCTAGAAAATCAAGGTGTCATCCATAAGAAAAGAGTCATAACCAAACAATGGGTCCTGATATGACCAGTAATTGTCAGTGTTAGCCTCGCCGGCTGATGGCAGATTATCTTGAATGTTTAAATTAATATTACTGTCCGCCTTGGATACAGAACCAGCTGCAAGCTGATCCACCTGTTCGGCATTGATTGTCTGCTCAAAATCGAAGCTTTGGATAATGGCATCAATATCCAGTTCAGACATCATAAGATCGAAATCGCTTTGAGAAGTAGCAATTATATGGTCAAGGTCCTGCGTAGCGCTGATCGGCGTGTTAATACCCGCCCCTGGACCTGTTGTTATAGTAGATACGTCGCTTCCATTGTTTTCGGTTTCATTTTGCTTGGCTCCTCCGGCAGTAGAAGCAACACCGACCTTCTCACTTATGCTAACGTTTAATCGTCGAGCCAAGCGAAGAAGAATCTGTCTTGCCCTGCGGGGTGCACGACACACGCCTTGTTGTTCAGATAAAACATTTAGACAATTTTGAAGACTCTGATGTGCCTCGGAGCCTTGTCCATTCTGCGCGGCAATTCGGACATGGATAGTCCCGCTCACGTAGGTTGCATAAGACATGAAATAAGGCACCGTGGTGATGCAAAACTGTTGCAAAAAGACACGCAGTATGCCGTCAATTGCCGAAGCAGCAGCGGCGCATGTGGTGAAAGCATCGCGAATTACAGACGCCGAGGTACCGCGTATATGTCCGTCAGATACAAATGGACGGTGTAATAATATCACAAGGGAATGAAACATGGACCTGTAACATGATTGATATATCTTTAGCGTAAGTCCCAGAGCATTCATTAAGGGGTGCTTTGATGGGTAAGCATACATTAAAGATAGAGCATGAGGTGTCAAAGAAGACGACACCTTGGAATTGCTCATGTTCATGTCGAGATGTTCTGGGAGCCCCTTGCGCCAATGCTCGAGCTCACTATGGAGAGACTGTGCTATACTGAGAAGAGTAGTAACATTTTTCTCCCCGAAATTCTCTCCGTATATACTGGAGAGTATCTTATCCATTATAATCGACAATTTGCATAGTTGCTCGAATATAGAGACGCTTCGCGTGGAGAAACCTGTCGGGACATCAACTGCTGAGTAGGAGAGCGCACTAAATTGTTCCAGTTCTTCATAATCATCCAAGAAAGAAATGGGTACATTGACATCGGACCAGCGCAAACGAGCAGGGCGGCCTTGGTAAAGTGCCTGGACCTTATCTTGGACTAAAAATATGCGTTAACCAATGATACTATGGATTAAATACATAGATTATACGTACCAAATGCAGCCCAAAATAACCTGCGGCGAACCTCTAAATGCTCCGGGGGGAAATCCTTTTTCATAGCGGAAGTCTGTCTATCCGTGTGAATACCGAGATCGACAATCATGTTGATGGCAAGCCCAGAATAGAGCCAGGAAAGGCTGCGTTCATCGCACCACGTAAAGAGGGCATCTGACATGACCAACAGGGCTTGGATTGTCGTGATTTCACTTTTCATCGATACTGGAACTGGCACCCCAGCACGAACCGGTGATGCCAACAATTCTTCAGCTCTGCGTCTAAAAGGGGATACTACGGCGGGAAGCTCAAGATTGTCATCATCGTTGGTAACGGCGATCCTTGCACAACGAAATTCAGCTCGAGTCGAATTTTTAGCAGCGGCAAAATATATAGCGTTCAGTAGTATCTTTGAGAAATAAGGTCCATTACAAGCCATGTCACGCATGAATGCCGGCCGATAAACTAGTGATCCCATAGCATGCTGTCTATTCCAGAAGACCGATAAAAGATGCATTCCTAAATCGGGGTCTACGCCGTCAAAATCGAGTCGGTTCGCAGCTAGATCGATGGGCTCCATTTGACCTAGTAGACTGACTTTAGTGACAAAGGACATTTACAAGAGGGTGGTAAAATGTAGCGTACGCTGTTTGATACAGGCACCAAGCAGTTGGAAACTCTTTGAACGGTCAGCAGTTGCCCCCGGGTTTGAACTATTGGTGATCTGATGGTATGACTCGTCAAACATAGCACTAGAAGGGCCGTGAAAATGGACTTCACGGTCACCAGTCGACAAATAGGGCGGCTGTTGATTTGCCGAGGCAGATACCGGAGTATCGGGCAGATGCTGTACACCCTCGATGCCATCATCAGTCATGGTTTCCTCCTGATAATTCCGAGCATTTTGCATTTGGTCCGCAGTGGGTTTCACTTGCGAACTGAGCTTTGATAGGGATATCTTAAGCTCCTCATTCTCTTCTTCCAACTGCCGGATTTGCACATTGGTCGGCCTAGAAAGGCAAGGTAGATATATTAATAACTTTCACCGACGCAAATAGCTCGAAAATTGTGTCTTGTCTGAGACGGGTACTCACCTAACCTTCTTCACGCGTTCCGAATAAGTACAGGTTTTGCCGTGGAATCTACAGTTCTCGCACGCTGGTTTTACATTATCGCATCCCAACTACCAATAACGAGTAAGAGATTAGTACCTCACTACCCAATCTTGGTGGAAAAAGACGAGAACAATACCTTTCTCTGGCGGCAGAAGTCACACGCAATTCCTGCACGTTTCCGCTTGCCGGTGGAAACTGGCGAGGATCCAGCGGGCATTTTGTAGCTATTATGTTGGGCACTAGGCTAAGGCAATCACCTTGATGATTGGATTTGATGGAGCCAGTGCGTAGCAGTCAACCCAGATGAGGCGAAGAATAAATTCGAAAGAGCAATGTTGGGAAGTGGACAGCGGAAGGCCGCAAGGATTTCCCGCCTCAGCCTCAACCGCGCGGGATCCACACATCATTTCGCTCGTATCCGCAACGTTGGACATACAACTATCCTGCTGGCACAGCTCTGTCCCTAAATCAGATCTCTACGGTCTCCTGCATAAGCCGAGAAAAAGAGAACCTAAAAGCGAGTTTCTTTTATTGTCGATTCTAGCGAATAGCTAGATACAACCAAAAAAAAGACAGTATAAACAGGTCATCAACGCGTTCGAAGAGAATTTTTAGGAGAAATACAGCCTACGATAGTATTCTACCTGATATTTTATCTTTTCATTTAGGTCGAGAGACACACGGTACCTAAATACTTATAGCATAAGCCCACGAACCAAAGCAAAAATATCCGATATACATTTGACTCATCGCACCATCATCTTTCGTTTCGCCAATTCAGATTTAGCAAGCGTCTATTATGGTCTTCCCCCCCGCTGGCTATAAGATATCCGAGCTGTATGCTGATCGTGGGCATCAGCAACTATCTTCGTGGGAATATCTTTGAAGCTATTATCATCTCATGGATCTGAAGCTTGGGTGTTCCTTCTCATCTCCTTTCTGCAATCCAGGTTTATTTGTTGGTGACTGTCCTAGTAGCGGCCGAAATACCATCGGTACATTAAGTACATTCATTCGTAGATAGCGTTAGATAAAGCCTGGTTGCAATTCATTGACCAAACCGAGTTGATCCAGTGGGTGACTCAGCAGAATACTTGCGAAGACCTAGGTCCCAAACCGCAGGTTCTTTCTTTTCAAAACTGTAAAGTCTGGATTGTCGAATAACTAGTTCCTCATTATTCATACAAGCATAGTAAATTCTGGCATGTTGAGGAGCGACACAAGAGATCATTAAAACCTGGTTGAGGCAGACCGCATTAGTTCACAGGAAATTGTGGAATTTTATGAACACATACCGGGAATCTGGCTTCCGAACTGAAAATGAGCTCGGATTCTTTGCTCGCCTCCTCGGGCTCCTCTTCCTCCTGTCGCTGCTCCTCCTCGTGTTTCACGGTCTGAATAGCCCGGTTTCTCATGGCAGTGAGAATTACTGCCAGTTCACCTCGTAGCATTGACCCATTGTAATCCTTGTTACCCTGAGAAGTCAACAGTATTACATGAAGCAAGATGGCATCAAAGTGCTCCTTGTCGTACTCATAGATCATTGTGTCCCAGCCATCGCGCCAGAGGTCATAAAATCCAGAGTCTGCCAACAGACCTTGATACTTACTGTTTCAAGTTAGAATCTTCAACGCCATTGACACTCATTTTGAATAACACTTACTGAACTGGGGTTATACCACGGAACTCAGTAAGATTTAGGTCTCCCGGGGGTATTTGTCGTCGAATTTGTGCGCCTTCAGCCCAGTTCTGAATGCGATGAGAAAAATACCCGGGACAACTGTATGGCGATGTATTCGCATAACCGGAGAGGTCAGGCGAGCCATATTCGACGAATGTCGTAGCAGCTTGTCTTGATATAGGGTCCATAGCGTCTAAGTCGATAGGATGATCTCCGAGGCTCTTGAAAGGGGAGAACAAAACTGGGGGGAGAGCCATATTGGGAGTTAGAGACTCAACAGAGCAACGCCAATTGAAATCGTGAACGTCCTCGAATACGTGAGGGACCAGAAGTATGGCCTTGTCATCTAAAAGCTGTTGAGGGACAACGTTGTCCTTTAACAGCTCCTGTTTCATCTTGTTGCTGACAACATAGCTCCATAGGGATTCAAGCTTCTCGCGCTGGAAGGAATTTGGGATCCCCATTTTTGATTTGCGGATGCATAGAGATTCAGGTGGATTGAGTCGGTACGAAAATCAGCGGATGCCTCCCAGGCAGCCATACACAGAACAAGATGAAGTTAGGTGATCTTAGTCGCACTGTTTTGGGCTATATGTATTTTATGACGGGAAAATAAATATCTTGTAGAGATAGCGCCGTAGTGTTAGAATGACAAACAGGCAAACGCTATGGGGGCGGATTGTATGGAGTTGACCAAACAAATACTTAGGAAACCACATATAACAATATCAGGTGCATTCTAGTGTTCCAAAACTGCAACGAGATTTACGTCACATTCGCCAAGTTCAATGATGACCGGTTGGAATATCTCGATTCCAATATCGTGAAACCTGAAAGTTTTATGGATATGTACCAATATGGGCCGTACCATATTGATAAAGCGGAAGAAATGAAGCAGGTTGCACCAATACTTCTAGCGCCCCTTCTATAGGGAATACCCTTTTGATCGCATTGGTCACATTGATATGGTTGAGGGAGATTACACTGCATGGGAAATTTTCACCATCCCGATCCGATAATTCAAGCTATGCACGTATGTTGAGGATTGATTCAAATAGTTGGATGGGCCAGCTGAGTTAAGTAAACTGTGTAATTAGCCATGCAATTATAAAAGCCTAAGATTAGCGGATCTCATTCATTCAATTTATCCACTATCTATCCAGGATCAGGGAAAGGGCTAGTCTCTTTGCTCATAACGAGCTATCGAATAATTTATATCTTCAAGAAATCTAAATCGTATACCTATTCAGTAAAGGGCCGAAGAGTTTCCATAGATCGTTTCATTAGATATGTGTAGTATTCGTCGGAAAGCAACGCCGAGTCATGGTCAATAATGAACTGCAGGCGATCTGGGGTCACATCTACATCTTTCATGTCGGTCACCGTTTGGTTCAGTGAATAATTGCGGCATGAACTATACCGAGAGAGCCTTGTTATATCCAGTCTGTTTGAGTGTAGCCCTCATTTCAGCCCAGTTGAAAGCCCCATCTCCAGCTGCTAGACGATTGTGGTCTGCAGCATGAAAATCGACGATGCGCGAATCACATTTCCGCATGGCAGCAAGCATATCTTTTTCCTCCAGAGCCAAATGAAAAGGGTCAAAGGCCACTCCACAGTCATAGCCGACCTCGTCTGCAAGGGCCAGTGCTTGGTCTGTTAGATTTAAGAAATACGTCTCAAATCTGTTGAGGGGCTCCAAGCCAAGTCGGATATTCTTTGTCTGGGCGAATTGGGCGACTTCGCGCAGTCCTTCAACAACCCATTGCCACCCGATATGGTAACCACGTCCTTCATGTATTGTACGGTTTCCTGGCGTTGCTTCGGGTCACTCGTTGTGAGATCACGAGTCCCCTGCATGATCGTGACGGCGCCCCAGCATTCGATGTTGTACTTTGCTAACAGACTTCCCTTCGATTTCAACGCCGGAGTATCCGAGGCTGCTCAGACGTTTTAACGATGTCTCGAGAGACTCTGGACGCATCCAAGTGTGTGCTGCTAAATGCATGGTGTGGATATTTTCGGCAACTAATATAGCTATAATGCTTGTGTATGTTGTGGCTTGTCCACCTAATAGAACAAGAGAGATTATCTGGAATACCTCGCGGGTAGATTGAGCGTTGGGGATTTGAACGAAAACAAGTTGCAGGAACAGATGCAATAAATACCTGACGACGAAATAGAACATTTATGCCAGAAACCCCACCAAGGGGCCTCATTTTAGTGGTATGATACTCGAGAATTCCTGTTTGATAACTATCACGGATTATTAATGCCGCTTTCTAAGCGGAAAGTAACGTTTCCGATCAAGTCCTAATGTCCACCTTCACCTCCAATAACAAAACTGAGAGGAACGAAACATTCCGTTCCCTCGTCACTGAACCGGAAGCTTTTTCCTGTTCTAGTAGCGTACGCGACCGGGCGAGTAACAGCAGACATGCCAGTCAAGTTTGCTATGGTTACATGCCACGCGATTGGAAGCACTGCTATTCCAGAACCGTCTGGATAAGATTTAGCACATGTATACGAAGTAGTTTCTATCGGTCGTGATAAAAGTTGAACGTACCCAAGTGCAGTTCTGCGAAGAAGTACTATTGGACTCTCGGTGCTGCCTTTTTCCACCTCAATATTGCCTGAACTTGCATTCCCTGTCTCTAGTGAGTTCCATCAATCGACAATAAAAAAAGGGCAATAGTAAAACTTACCATCCACGTATACAGCTCGCCTGGCAGCAGTGTCAAGTGATCACCATCCATATCCAAAAGACGAGTTTGGTTGGTACCCAGCCAGTTGGGGAAAAGGGAAGTTTCCACTGTGTGGTTGATATATGGCACCAAATCCCTCGTAAATCCCACATCGTAAGTACCAGCGTATGCAAGATTATGTTTCGCCGCGTTGGCCATTTCTTTGTCGGATCCGAACTGATATGCCACTTTATCGAACATCTCAGGCCCGGGCCGCATTAGATGTGCCGACATGTATCCATCAGGACTATACGTGAGTAAACCTGTTGCCTCTGGGCCCAACGGATATCGTGTGATAGTCATAGGCCCGTAGATTTTGAGTTCATATGATTCAAGGCGCCAGGTTCCTGAAAGCTTCTTGCGAAGGGCCAAGATGTTGGGATGTCCCTCTGTGTTGTATTCATGCCCATGAAATATGTGAGTTTGAGTGTTGTGGAAACGATTCGCGATGTTGACCGATGTAAATACTAGGCCAAGCAACAACGTCACCAGCCATCTCCAACTCAATCCGGTGACCGCCATTGAGGTATGAACGAGACGCAATTTCGTGGTGAAATCGATATATCAATGTTTACTGTATGACTTGGCCGGTAGGCTAGTCTTAACGTAAGAGAAGACTACCTACGCGACTATTGAGCGGATGTTATCGGGGACCTATAACATACCTAGGTACATTTAGGCCTAGGTGCGTAGTGGTATATGTATTGAAGGGAGACTCGCTGGCGTTGTAAATCGGAAGTCCTGCCGATGGTCGCCTCAATTCTTCTTATATCCCAAGTACCTAGGTACTATGATTACTCATAGCGGTGAAGGATTGATTCGTGTTCATCCATAACTCTGGAATTGGTTACCCAATTATCTTCACCAGATTGCAATAATGCTTAACCTGATCCACTATCTCAACAATTCATTCAATCAAAATCCAGTGGATGGCTATCTAGGAAAGCATTATAGGTTACAGCTGGTGCGGCTATTTAGGGGATTTGGAAATCATTTGCACTGATTCAATTTCGTTCGTTAACAATTATAGCTACTATCTGTTGCTCTAAGCAACCTTTCGAGCAAAAATAGCCACCTTGTTGGTTCTTGAAAAGCCCAGTCCTCGGCGACACCTTCTCGATACTAATTGTAAATCTCGCCGCGAGTTGCCGCAGCTTCAATGTGACTCCGATCCAGAGCACATCAACTTCGGATCTAATGTAGGCATGCATGTTGTGCGTAATCAATTCATACGGCCGTATTATTTTTTATTTAGTAACGGGAGACTTTTGCGAACCAATCCTGGCTGAGTATTCATACGGGGTATGCACATTGCTAATGTGGCCGACATTGTCTCGGACTAAGTAAGTGGCCTGAAATGAAATCTCTACGGCCGTTAGTTCTACTACGCACGAAGCATGCTGATCTCTGAGAATGTTGAATCAGGTGGCTGGCGTGAGTTCAACGATATCCTTGCGTTTGCCTAGCCGAGTAAAATGGATGAGAGTGTGGGGATTTTGCTTTTTCTTTTTTCTTGATGTATTTGCTTTGTACCTAGGTGGCCATTTGTGCATAGATATATGTGAATCTTGCTTAATCCGGTCTTCCAGCATCTAACCTTGGATATCAAACCTTCTAATTGACAATATAGGTAAAAAAATCCTGGAAATGTCAGATTTGTGAACAATATACGTCGTACTGGAGAGTTTCCTTCAGGTAAGCTTACAGTATAACTAGGTGCATGTTCCTGCGCCAGTTTGCGTTACTTATCTAGGTAGATATGGCAAAATAGGAAATGAAAAGGAAGCAGGAACGATTGTATATTAACCTGAGTAATCAACCCAACACAAGAACTGTTTACATACTATGGGCGACTACGGCACACTGCACTCGAAGGGCTACTTGTATCAGTCTGGCTGCATGCTGGCATTGACCTCACTAATCCCTATGAGTTCTCGGAAAAGGACTTTTATCTTCCAGCAGTTATTATAAAAAATATGACCGCATATTATCTCTTATCTACTGTTTCCCTGGGCTTCTGACTTGGTGGAGGGCGTCCCAAGAATATCGCACTTGATTACACGCGGTCCTATACCTGTGTAGTCGACGATGCGGTCAAAAGTTTGTAGGGCGTCGAACAAGCGTATAGCCCATTTCCATTAACAGCGAAAATCTGTCCGATCCAGATCTGCGGGCCACCACTAAATGGGATCAATTGCTAGTTCTTCGGATTCCAATTGCCCTAGCGTTCTGGAGCCCACACTAGGGGATCAAGGAACGACTCCGATCTGCCAGAAAAAGAAAGACCTTGACGATGGTACATGACAAGAGCAAAGTATATGACGGATGTACCAGCACGATCCCTGACAGTATCAAGGCCGTCGGATCCTCCGCCACGAGGAAGTACAGTATCCAGAACAGCTTGTCTGGTAGCAAACGGCATTGTAGCGTACAGAGGCTGTGTCTCATTGATGATGAACTTGAATTACTCCATACCTTTGACCTCTTGGCACGTTGGGTGGTGAGTTCTCCCTATTTTCTCCGAGATGATGTTACGGAGCTTTGTCACCACTGTTGGGTTACGAGCGAGCTCGAAAAATATACAGGCCAAAGAGTACGTACCCAGTGTCGCTTCCGGCAGAAAACACATTTGTCAACTCATACCTAGCTATCTTCCAGTCCGAAGACTGCACAAAACATACGGATAAAGTCTCATAACCAGTAGGAAGGCTTTTTAGCCATTTAGGCCAGTCTAGGTACTATTATTGTATCACACATCCACTGCGTTGCGGTTTAATACTGTTCTGTTTTCCTTACCAAGGATATGCAATCACCCCCATGTCGCGCGCTACTAGGCGATGCGGCATAGCCTAGTGAGTTAAACTGGACAACGCTGAATTCAACAGTCAGTCAAAGGCTTATTGCGACTGTACCTCTTGCATGTTCCTGTCATATCCTAAATTGCAGCAACAAAGAATGTGACATCACGTTCGCTGCTGGTGTTGCCTCGGAAGATGTGAGAAAGGGCTAGCAAAACCAGCTGAGCTAAGTGACTAACATCAGTGCCGGTGCTGACTCGGTAGCTGCGACGCTGGGGTCTAAACTCGCGAAGCAAATGATGGTGGCCGCAGACGATATCAATCTGTCGAAAACCCTCAGTACTACGGTGTTGAAAGTTTGGCGGTGGTTGGAATTCGTGCCTCTGTATTTTCCGTGATCTTCAGTAGAAACTACATCTTCGGTAGCATGAGCAACATCCGAATCTCGGGGCTTGGTCGAACAATTATGCAGGCTAGTAATAAATGCTGATAATTAGATTGTAGCTGATTGTCTAAAATTTTGCTTTACTGATTCAGTATTCCATACTTCTCTTACTCTATGAAACCAGTCTCTCTCCAACACTTCGAGGACTATCTCAGAATTCACGAAGCTATAAACTACCATAATCATGTCACGTACTTCTTCCTAGACCTACTAACCTGTCCCATGACTATCTCTATTGCATTACTAGGGAAAGACGCAATTCCAAGAAAGTAGTAGTGACTTCAGACCCCCCTTAGACATTCCCTAGAGTTTTGTTTTCCGGCTCGGACTTCATTCCAGATATATGATTCACTTCTGTGGCAGGAATTATTGGCATGCACAAGACCACCATTTATTTCTCTTGCACAGCGAGAACTCCCCACCTTGCCTTTCCATAAATTTTCTTCCCAGTATGATCGAACAGTGACCACCGCTTGTCTCTCCAAAGGCGAAGTCCTGGAATTCTTGGGTCGACTGGGCTGTCCGAACGCCTTTGCGGTCAAAGAAATTCTGCAAATAAGTGGTGCCCGCCTGGCCGGTCCAATATGACTATAGGAGCTGCAGTGTCAGGTGCGGTAGCCGGCCTAACTTAGGCTGACCGTACGAGTGTAACATAAAGTACACAGAAAAGAGCTAGATTAAACACGTGAAAGAGGCTTGAAGTCCATGCGAGGCGCGCGTTATCTTCAAGAAGGTAGTTGACAATCGCACACTTAATCAGGGCAAAGAACAGCCACGCGCCGTACAGGCCAAGGACAATGGGTGCAGTCTAATTTATTAGTGCCTTTGGTGCCTAACGTCTCACAAGAAAATATTCCGGCGTCACTCGCAGCTACTACTGCCCTACCTAGCACTGCGATGAGATGCTGGCTTTTAATGTGTACCTGCGTAGCTCGGACTGTACATTGAGCCCATGTCAGGTTCCATGGCTTGGGATGTTGATCACTCTGCTCGTTGGGGGGACTTATTAAAAGACTACCCAGAATCGAGACGTATATCTGGGATTGCAACTGGGAGTCGAGATATTTACCCACACACTAGGGGCGTGAATAAGTCATGAATCATGCCACTATTTAGGGCGTTTATAGTTGATTGCTGACCGCCGTATGATGCGAATCAACCTAGAGCGAGCCTGAGCGGCGAATCAAGTCAGCCGCGGCATTCTTTATGTCATTGCGCTGCACCCCCCTCCCCTATTAGCCACAACATGCTTTCAATAAGTACTTCCATCGTTTTTTTCCCAGCGTTTTTATCTCTGAATAAAGTTCTCAGACTTATTACTTGTCTTTACAGGCCACAAAAGCAACGCAAGTCTTTCTTCACCATGTCGCCGGCCCAACAAACTACAAACGGAAAGGCAAAAATCTCCCATTTCAATGACTGGCCAAATACTCAAGGGGTGAGTTGTTATGACCTTAGTATTGTACTTCGAGGAGTAACTGGTGACGTAGTTTGATGTCCGGTATCAAGAACTCGAGCCCACCGAATTGGAAATTGTAGGCACCATTCCTACATATTGCGCGGGCGTTCTATTTCGCAACGGCCTGGGCCCACGCGAGATCGAAACAGACAACAATGGCGTATACAAAGTCAGTCACTGGTTCGACTATTTCTCACAGGTGCATCGGTTTCAAATCCACGCGCCAACTGCAGAACATCCCGATGTGCGAGTGACACATAACTCGCGCTTAACTTGCGACGGCCTAGTAAAGCGTATCAAGAAAACAGGTTATCGAGGTGAAATAACATTCGGGGCTAAATATGATCCTTGCATGTCTGTGTTCCAGAAGGTACAGTCCTTCTTCCATCCGACACCCAAAATAACCCCCGACGGGGTCGACGTCTGCGTAACACTGTCGGCCAACTATCCCGGGCTTTCACCTACGGGCACCAAGCATGAGCAGCCACTGCATGAAAATGGTGTGCAGACATTGTGTAATAAGTCCGATAATTCGACCATCCAAATGCTTGACCCTGAGACATTGGAACCAATCGGTATTGCGCTTCAGACGGTTTTGCATCCTTCCCTCAAGGGCCCCTTAAGTGCTGCACATGCCAAAACAGATCCAGTTTCCGGGGAGGTGTATAACTACAACTTAGACTTAGGCCGTATGGGAACATTCCGTGTATTCATGGTCTCGCCATTGACGGGAAACACGAGCATACTTGCAACTATCAGTCACCCCGCGACATATGTTCACTCTTTCTTTCTGACGCAGAACTATGTCATCCTCTGTTTGTGGAATGCCACCTTTCGCAAGGGAGGAATACCGATGCTGTTCAACCACAACTTTGTCGACTCGCTGGCCGACTACGATAGTACAAAACCAGCCACGTGGTTCGTCATCGATCGTAACCCTGGTGGCCGCGGAGTTGTCGCGATCTACGAGTCTGAAGCATTCTTCAGTTTTCATACAATCAACGCTTACGAGGAGGCCTCGCCTCGTGATCATAGCAAAACTGATATAGTGGCGGACCTGTGTGCTTATGATAGCCTAGACGTTCTCAAACGATTCTACATTAACAACCTTCTCTCCGACTCCCCGACGGCCAAGTCATTCAGCGACCCATTTAATAAAAATGCTCGTGCAGCCTTCCGTCGCTTCCGTCTTCCACAGCTTCCTGCAACCCCCAACAAGACTCCCCTAAGCGCCACTAAAGAGTTTTCTCACGAGAAGGGCATATGTCCCGAACTGCCCAGTATGAATCCTCGAATGCGACAACACAAGCACCGTTACGTTTACGGAGTGACTGACAGCGGGAAAAGTACATTCTTGGACGGCCTTGTCAAGTTTGATGTTGAGACGAAAGCATCCCTATTCTGGAGCGAACATGCTCAGACTGCCGGCGAGCCCATATTTATTGCCGACCCAAATTCGAATGAAGAAGACGCGGGAGTACTGTTGAGCGTTGTCCTAGATGGAGTGACAGGAAAGAGCTATCTACTTGTTCTTGACGCAACAACTATGACTGAGATTGGCCGCGCGAAAGTGAACGGCGTCGTTGGCATGGGATTTCATGGGACACACTTTCCCAGCATCAACTTATGAAATTATTGCGTTGTGGCATCTTATTTGTCTTCATGTACCTGCCATGAAAAGTATATGATATATATCTAAGCCTTGACATGGTTATATCACTGTATTTCGATTGAAAATATATCTATATTATTGCCTATCGACACGGTATCTATGGTCGGCGCGCTTCTCACAAATCTTAACCCTAAACCACCTGTGCAATTATCGAAGAATACTATGAATGTTTTTTTGATGAAAAATATACGCGTACACGTGTACACAGACAGAGAGGCAAACAAAATATACTTCAATGTTGCAAATTGTTCACAGCTCTATCTTTAAAATTGAATGTTATAACCAAATACTGCTTGTTACTATGTAGAGATAGAGACTTAAGACCTTGACCAATCGACTTTCCATCCTAGACGACCACCTCCTATGTTTCTCAGCATGGTTGTGGACCTGCATGATATCCTAAATATACTCTATGTTACGTACAAGAAAACTATTTTGTAGATGATAGCTGAGTGACAGCAGATTATAACCGCTACTTCGGATTCAGTCTGCAATCCACCACCGGCCCGAAATCTCACCTAATTGGGCGAATAAAAGCCTCGGAATACGTGGCCTAGTTGAGCCCTCCTGGAGAAGCATAAGTATGGCCTCAAATGGCCCCTTGAACATTCTTTTTAGTTAGATATGCAATTATATAGTATTTCCAATACTAGCTTATACAGCGTTCCGAATCCGTCGTTACTAAGATAAAGGGAAAAATAGTTCGTCCGCGGTTGCCAGATCGATCCGCACGATCTTGTCCCGGCCCCACTGACTAACGGCCGTACGAGTGGGGCACCGTTCGGCCACTTTACCTCAACTAAACCATACCCACCCAGATAGTACACTCGAATGTGGCCGTTACAGGGTTTGTCTGTGCTCTACTATATTAATCTTAGTTCGGAAACTCATGGCTAGTACGCATCAAATGATTGAAATAGTATTCAAAGTAAGACTCGCAATTCTTGAAGTTATGGATGGCTCTTTCAAATCGCTACCGGATTACGTCGTTGGAACTACGAAACTATGACAAATTGCAAAAAATTATGTTTATGGTATGGGGTATACTTATTGTCTATCTTCTGTATCAATCTTGTCCCTCCAATGTATACATGTGCGACAAAAAAGTAATTATGCGTACATAGTTGTAACAAAACCATGGAAACGACACATTTACTGAACGACAGGAGACAGGCTTTGGAGAAAACCGGGTCTTGGCATCTATTAATACCACGCTGTATCGCCATCTCTTTTCACCTAGGATGCCGCAAACTTGCTTCGTGCTCGGAGGTTGGCACCATAGTGGCAGAGAAAAACCATTCCGATGATCCCGAGTACGGACAACCCAGCCAGAACTGTAACACCTTTCCCAATACCCAAATGAACAAACATATATCGCGAAAACATGACAAAGCCGGCAGCTGTTATGCCACGCGTGAAGTCGCTTGCGGCAAACAGGGATGCCACATACGTAGGATAAGACAGTGGGATGTAGCAAATGACTGTTTGGAAAACAACGAACGATGACCCTGCATAGAGGACAATGCCAATAGTTGGGACAACCCAGTTGATAGAACTTCGGACTGTCCACGCGAATAAGAAGAGGCCGATAGTAAGTGTTATCGAGGCAGGGATTGCGGCGATGAGGCGAGATTCCTGTGTTGGAGGGTGGCTCCTATAGTACGGGAACCACGAGTACTTGAGATAAGAACCATAGAGACAGGCTCCTATCACGCATCCAATAATGATAGCAAGGAATAGAAGACTTATAGCTTGCTGCGACATGTTGTATGCCTCACTGTAAGCAATTGGGAAAGCCTCAAAAAACGAGTAGTAGATAGCGTAGACCATAGAGGTATAGACACAGATATACGCCACTGCAGGGTCTTTGATGGCAATCTCGGTGGGTTTGATTAGTGCGTCGATAAGAATGGTTTTAAAATTTAGATTCTTCATTTCACTCGGGGCATATATGCCTGAGTTGCCAGTAATTCGACGCAAGCGCTGGGCACGATGAAGCAGAATAGTTGCATGAGACGTTTCGGGCAACAGCGAAATTAAAATAAACAGGAATGGGGCCGACATAATGAGAATTTCCCATAATGGCCAGCGCCAATTGGTGGCAACGGCGTACGCTGCTAGGAGTGGCCCGACTGCTGGGCCACAGTAGAAACCACCGACCCAGTATATGAACCCGTAGGGGGCCGCAGACCAAGAAAAAATATCTTGAATGGAAGCTCCACCACTAGCTAGACACGGACTGCCAAAGAATCCTTGAAAAAATCGTAGGATAACTATAGCTGGAAAGTTGTCAATGAAGGGGAGAATAATAGAGACAATAACGAAGAGCAGAAAAGAGAAGACATAAGGAGGGTTGCGACCAATAATTGCAATCTCACTCAAAGGTGAAAAGCCCATTGGACCAGTAGCATCTATAGAGCATGTTTCAGTTGATGTTATCAAGTAGTATCTGCGTGAGGGAGAAAATACCCACATCCTACGACGTATACTGCCAAGGTAAGCGAAACAACTTCCTCTGAAACTCCGTATCTGAACATCATAAACTCATAACTGGGGACAAAGACAGAGGAGCCACAGTATACGATAAACGAATAAACACTATATCGAACGTTAACGACATGTCCAGTAGTCAAATTCTTCGGGTTCCATAAGTACGAGACAGTCAGGCTTACGATATCAACAAAGTCACCCATGTCTTTTTAACAGACGACCAATTGAGAGGATTTTCAGGATCATCTGATCCATACCAGCCAACAATAATATCGTAGCCATCGTTTGATGCATCTGATTCGGATAGCCCTTGATCATCTTCTGGGGAGACGAGGATTCCTTTTTCTAAGTCGGCTTGTAGCTTTGTTTTCTCAGCATCACCTGAGGTCTGGAATTGCTCAGGGCGGAGTTCAAAGCCATCTAATTCTTCGGGGTATATCAGGAATCGATTCCTAGTTACCATTCGTATGATGTTTCCCAATGTTGAGTCGCGAACAAGGCTTGCCATGGCTGGCTAGGATCTCAAATGGGTGAAAAAGGTAGATGGGTTGCCGGAGGCAATTGAAGGGCACACAACTGCAAGAGCTTGTAAAACGATGAGACCCTATATAGTATTTTGGGTATTATAGCTGGCGATGGCGTCGTCTTCTTTGTTCTCCAATTTTTGACGTATGAAGCTCCTATTTTCTGTTTCCTGTACGGGATTCGTGCAACCAAAGACATGAAAGGCATATTAGGACACCCATATTACGGCCGTTATAAGACAGAGCCCCCTTTGAGCGGGATGTACTTTGTCCGATAGCGCCGCAAGGGGCATAAATTGATAGATTGCGTTAACCTAATAGGGTTAATGCTCGAGATCGTGGGGTCGTAGTGGGGCCGGCTTGGAAGGCCGGGTAAAGCCTAAAGAACCCGATCCTCGGCCCGATGGGTCTTCAATGTTGTCCGATATGTCCAGATACAGGCTCGTCGTTTGAAATAGTTTACCAAGTTATTCAAGGTTTATCCTTCAATGAAATTGTCTATCTTAAAAGTTCCAAGGATATTAACGCCGATTTGTGAAAGTCTTTGATTGCTTATTGAGCTTCAAGCTCCTCGAACATCATCCCATGTGAGATGAACCGTTGTGTGTAGCTAGCTTATCAGTCATACTCTAGCCATGTGGTCTGCGCTGGTACTAGTGTGTTAATACTTGAGGCACAACTATCTATGATTTAGGGTTAACTAGGCTGCAAACATGAACTTGTATTCCTTCAAGGCGAATAAGGTCACTATAGTGAGCCAGTCCCAGGTAAGCTAGTCTTTCTAATCTCTACGTTTTAAGTGGTAAATCATACCTTGTATCAAAATCTATTGCTAGCGGTGTTGAAAATCAAGTCATTCTACCCCGGACCGTACCATTTCCTATAGTCATGTGCTCACAGCGCCACAGGAACGAGCTGCGCTCGAGTCACTTTATTAGTTATCCAGGACGAAGGGCCATTCAACGGCATCATACGCTTCATGCTAGAAGCTGCGCCGGCGGCATATTATTTGTTGCAAGACTCAAAATATCGCATCCTCAAGATACATTATATTTCCAGTTGATTCTATTAAACATGGTAGACCAATGAAATCGCTGGCTGATGCATTTATCTTGAGCCGTAGTCAGAAATAGATAATCTTGAATTTACCTTGACCCTTAGTCCCATAATTACGCCGTAGGGGAGTGCCTTTGTCAAAGCTTGGTAGAAAGATGTTGTCCTGATTTCTTAGCGAGGTTGAATACTGGGCCAATTGCATTGAGTATTGTCTTATATAGTTTGGCATCTGCTAGGTGAATGACCGGCCCGGAGAGGCAAATTATACCGCGTGAATATATACGTTGTGACGAAATAACTCATAGCTTTAGCTTCGTTCAAAGAAGACAGTGGAATTGAATACGAGACATATACCTAATTACGTTGCGCCAATTGTGTAGAACAGCGCCACGCAGTACGTTTGTCTCAAAGAGAATCATATTGGCGTGCCTGAATTGCGGTTAAAGTATTCTCCTACCGCACTAAAACTGTATGCAGCATATTTTGGATGCACTGGACCATCTTCTTAGTTGTGACGATCGCGGGGAATATAATCTCCACTGCGATGCTCCAACTTTTTCAAGTTCTGTGGGATACAAAGGTCACGTACGCACCGAGATTTTTGATAGTACCTTTGATTAGACGCATATATATGGGTTGTAGGAGTAATAATACGCGCGTTGGTGTCTTTTCTATAGCTCCAAAAGATGGGTTGTTGAGTTCCATAGGCTCGAATACCCCGCGCTGCTGGCTTCAGAAATCATACCTAGGTAAAGCTTATGTCGGTGAACGGGATGATCTCCGATGTGACAGCACATTGGCAGATTTTATTTTATCCGGTCCAACTGTAAAGGCTGCGTCCAATAAAAAGGCGTCGAGGCACAATCGAACACTGTACACTTTATCTGGACGAGTACTGATGGTATGTGGCTCATTAGATGCCCACCTTAATAGTGTTTTTTCGGCAAGGTACGACAGTTATAGTACCTTGTAAATAAATTTTACTGTTCCTAGAGATTGTGCAAGCCATTCAGAAATGATAATTACGTGTTAGGGCTTGTTCAGCCAGTGAGCATCAGGAAGGAGGCAGGGGCTGACCTTTAATCTGGAGATAGGCCTGACGACACTCCCGAGTTCTTCTTTCTTAGTATGATTGTATGCGGTTTTTTTTTAGAAGCCGAACCTTAGGTATTCATCTTGACAAGCGGCAAGGTGGAAATGCCTCAGGATAATAACCGTTTTCTCCTCTCTTGTTTTCCCTTTCTGTTCTTTTCTTTATTCCTCTTTGTCCCTATCTATTCCTAGCTAAGTGTTATTTACATTGTATATTTTTACAGCTTCCGAATCGAGCCCTGGTTCTCCCAATTCTCATCTTATCAATATTTGAAACAGAACATGATAATAGAGCTATACAAATACTACAAGAATCCTATGCATTAACGTATCCTTGTAGAGCCTGCAAAGCCCGTAAAAGGATAGAGCTCGAATCCTGCGCCCCAGCATCTGGGTGGCACTCGTCCAACTCCAGCTCAAAGACATGATCGGCCCCAGGAACGGGATAATACTGAACCGCAGCACTCCCTTCCTTTAACTTCGCGACCAGTTTCTCGCTTTCCTGACAGGAAATCTCCCTATCAGCAGTTCCATGCACGACGACAGTTGCCGGGAAAGAAGGCCCAAATGAGCCAAAGTCGAGCGGGAAGAGTCCCTTCGCGCGTTCATCCACCGCATTTTCCAAGCCTACACTCATTACTTGCCGCCCAAAACCAGATAGTCCAGTCAAATAATCCAGGAATATCCCTCTTTCTAGGATTGCATAGAGCAGTGGCAATCGTTTCCTTGTCAACAGCTCTGCTTCTGACTTGGGAAAGTCCTCTCCGAGACTAGTATCCCCTTGTGCAATCCTCCTGGGTATCTCATCTAGTAATTTTTGCGCCATAGCTTGATCAACCGTAGTATCGGGGAGTGACAGGCTCTGTGCCCATTTCTCACTCCCTGGATCGGTGAACGGGTAGAGCAGGAAAAGCGCCTTGGGTCTCGGGATGCCGTTCTGCGATGATTTTGAAAGGCTCAGGGCACTGACTAAGGTGCACCAGCCTCCAGCGCTTGCACCGGCGACGATTATACGTCTAGGGTCTGCATGACACTCCGGGTGTAGGCCAATGAGCGAAGTTGCAACCCATTCATAGGCGGCAATGGCATCTTCGGTTGTCGCGAAACCGGTGGATTCGGGTAAGACCCTGTAATCCGCCGATACTAGTGTCCATTCATGGGCAATGGCATAGTTGAGAAACCAGCTGGGTATGGCAGCGCGGCTGCCTGTGACCTAGTCATGATGACACTTGAGCTTGGGGGTGAGCCTCTGGGTATCAGGGTGAGGAACGTACAAGATAGCCGCCGTGGAACCACAGGATTACGGGCTTGGGAGACTCTGAGCTTCCAGTGTTTGCGGCAAGGTATACGTCAAGATGGATATCTGTGGCTTTGTCCGATTTATAGACGTGGGTATGCTTGACATGCGGTCTAATCGCCATGGTGTAGAAAGGACGCCAGATCTTGATCCGAGAAGGCCTTGTCAAGACAGAATATATCGAGAGAATGAAAGTACGTTCCTGGTCCAAACCTTTGTCTTATATAGTCAAAATTTTCTGCAGCCAAGTTGGTTGCTATAAAACTAGCCAAAAGTTTAAATAGATAGACCTACGCTAGGCACGCACCCACCTGCAAATGACTCATGATGAGTATTTAGGACAAGCTTTGCCCGTTTTCATTCAAAGGTCAGCGCTCGAAAGCCCGAAATAGTTTTGTTGCTCCATACGCAATGTTATGTTATATAAGGTTCTTCGACTGGTGGGTTACTAACGTGCGCGCAGGGACCTTGGCAATTTCATTGAGGCACCATTACTATATATCTAGGTACCTATTTTTACCTACATATGTATATATATGCGCACATCAATGGATAGCTGTAAAAAATTCGTATATAGAAGACATCGCATTGTGTGGATGGCGGGGTGGGTGACGTCATGGATAGTGTGCTATATACATTCAGCGCTTCCAAGTTTCTTCCTCCAAGTTCAAACATCATCACATTCCCTTAATCCAACATGACGTCTAGCATTATTTGGCCCAAGCAATATCTACCCGGAACAACTGACAACTACGTCTCTAACGAGATCTTCGTGCCTGGCATCACCGCCGAGGAGGTGTGGGCAAATCTTTCCGACATCACAAAGTGGGAGTCCTACTACGAGAATGTCGGCCAAATCACCCCTCCGGCTACTGGCCCGAATTTGAAGAAGGGGGACAGCTTCAAATTTTCCACTTTTGGATTTCCTCCGCTGCAGTCTGAGGTATGGGAGTCTGTAGCTCCCACCGCGACTACGCCGGGCCGTCTCGCATGGCGTTCTCACCAAGAAGGTGACGAGGACAGTGCGCTGGAGGTGTATCATGCGTGGATTATCGAAAATACTGAATGGGACGTTGTGCGTATCTTGACTCAGGAATCGCAGATTGGAAAGCCCGCGGCCCAGCTGACCACCAAGAGGCCAAATCCGATGCTGCTGGGACATCAAGACTGGGTCACCGGTCTTGCCCAAATCACCAAGAGGGGAAATTGAATGTGTCGCAAGGGATCAATTGTCATATAGTGGCTGCTACTGCGGCATGTTTGTTCAAATACTATTCGTAAACAAACAAGTCTTTTTTCTGTCTACTATGTAGCTGCTTGGTGCTGTAACCTTGCATTCTAAATGTATTCCCAGTCCGAACAACACAACAACATAGTGGCGGTCTTCAATCGACGTAGGACAATGAAGAGATCCAATATAGAGCAGGGGTTGTATATTTGCTTGCCTCTGGTACACTGTCCCAATATCCTTAATACCTTTTCTAGCCTAACTGACCTTCTCCCGAACCCCGCTGGCCAGCCATAGATGATACTCTAAAACCCCTTGTGCTCTTGAATTTCAATGGTACGTCATATGTCCTATTACTTTAGAAACATTCCGTATTACAACTTTGACATCTAGTATGATAAACTCTCTTTGAACCCCTGTTCAAACACGATATCAAGTATCTTCTTGATTCCAACCTCGGGGGGTTCCCTTTCCAGCCACAGCAGCGCCTGGGCTGCAACAATGCGGACAACTACATCCATTCCTGAGATCACTTTCCATTTTTGTTCTCTCCCAGAAACAAGAAGCTTAGTCGATACACTTGGGATATAACACATGTCCAAAAGAACGCCCTTTTTCTGTCGAGCTAGGAAATGATTATATACCTTAAGGCACTCAATCTCACCTGATTCTGTAGCTGGATAGTCCGGGATTGTGCCCACCATAAGATATGGCGTAGGGAGCTTCTCTGCCGCCTCAACACTGCCGATGTACCGCAATTGAATCCCTAGCATGTTTTCTCGAGATGACGAAATGAGCTCTTCGGCTTCGGCCTGTAGTCGGTTCGCGATGTAGATTTCTGATGGTTTCATCCACCGCCACAGTGCATAAACAGCACTGCGAGCCGCACCTCCCGCTCCGACGACAATTGCTGGAATATTGTGAGCACTTTCCGTGATTCCTTCGACATGCTGGACTAGGACGTCACGGATGCCGACGCAGTCAGTGTTCGTGCCAATATGTTTGTGCCGACCATCACTGTGGTCCAGCCGTACAAATGTGGTGTTGACAGCACCAATCACGCGAGCCTCCTCCGTCAATTCGTCCAAAAGCGGCTTATACGAGAGCTTGTTGGGCATAGTGATGGATGACCCCAGAAAGTCTGGCTGGCCGCGCTTGTGGATGAAATCCGCTGTAAGATCGGTGTCGACTGGAGAAAACTTCCATTGCGAGGGCACAGATTGGAAAATGATGGGCACCAGGACTGGAGACAGTGACTTTGCGTTTGGCGTACCAAAGAAACAGACCTGCAGAGGCTCATTTAGCGAATCTGGCGTCAGCGGCGATCTACCATGTCGGTAGGAGGTTCTAAGGAAATTATCCATCTTGGTTTGTGTTGTGCTTTTCTTTTGCTTCAGGGCATAATTGACAAAAGCAAATATTTCTTGCTACTTAATCCCCGCATTTTCTTTCTAACGAGCGGCGCCCAAATAGGTTCAGTCGGGGTTCTCTCCATGGTCCGGCAGCATAATTTGGCGGCCCGGTTAGGACAATAAACATTAAACATACTAATTATGCTAACTACGGTTATTGATTTGTCAATTCATGCTATAAGTCGTGGCCTTGCTAATATAGTGGCTAATAATAAGATATAAGTCTGATATTTTAGCTCACACGATTGCCATCATGCTAGATTCTAAATTCTCTGTGGCTCTCGTCGGAGGAGGCACAATTGCGCCTTTCCATGCACAGCACCTGCAAAGCTCGCTAGTTCTCGAGCTGATCGTGATTATTGACCCGTTTTCACTGGGGGAGAGGTTAGCGCAAAAGCTTGGCACATCGTACTTCAAGTCAGTGTCGGTTTTACTGCAGGGCCTCCCTGACCGTCAACCAGATGCGCACATCGTCTGTGTCTCATCAAGCTTGCACACCTCCGTCACCCAGGAACTTCTTGAATGCGCTGCTCCCAAGGAAGTATTGGTTGAGAAGCCCTTTTCAACCGACTCCAAGTCTGGTTCAAATGTGGTTGAACTGGCTCGTCAAAGTAACTATACCATCCTGGTGGGACATCACCGACGCTTCCACCCATCCACATCGACAAGAAATTAAATCATTGCCTCTGGGCGGATTGGCAGCGTGACGGCAGTTTCGGGGCTGTGGACTACGAAGAAAAATAATGGCTACTATTCAGAGGCTTCCTGATGCTGTACCCGCTCTGGCGGTGGCGGCCCTATCTGGACCAACTTTGTGCATGATTATTGACATCTAACAATATTTGATCGGATCGAGGATTGTGCGTATCTTGGCTATAGCTACCCATAGCCACCGAGAGCATGCAGCTGTAGACAAGGATGACTTGATGGAGGAGGGGGCAACGATCATGCTCCAGTTTGCTAATGGGGTCGTTGGCACATTTATTGTCAGCGACAATGTCGCAAGTCCACGTGGCTGGGAATCTGCGACCGGTGACAACCCAATGTTCGCAAAGGCCGGTGTTCCAGCTGATTCTTATCGCATTCTTAGAACCAAAGGCACACTAAGCGAGCCCGACAACATTCTTTAGACTTATCGGCCTGAAGACGCGCGGACACGGGATTGGAGGCTGGCTGGCATATACCAATGATTCGCGAAGAGATCCAAGTCAATGACTATATTCCGTTCGAGCTACAGGTGCACCATTTCGGGCGTGTTCTGCAGGGCGTAGAGGAGCCACGCTGCTCGGGAGATGACGGTCTTGCTGCAGTCAAGGTGTGCGAAGCTATCACTGAGGCTCTCAAGAAAGGTGATGGGATACCGGTTATAGTTCAGTAGATATCCTGTTTTTGCTACGCTATCTGAGTTACTACTAGATGTCATAACTAGTACTCTTTGATTAACTAAATACGAGTCTTTCTTTTTTTTAACAGATGATGTCAATTGCAGGAAGTTCGCGGATAAAGAAATGACCGGCGGGTGAGCGTTCTTCCTCCCCGGTCTCCAAAAATAGGCACCGGTCCGGTCGACGCCTAGTATACCATATACAAAAATATATGCCTAATTTGTGCGTCATAGTACGGCTCGAAAATAAAGGCAGTATCCAAGATATTTATTGCATATTTATATCGGTGCGGTCTCATATGGCCATTACCAAATGTGGGAAAGGGGAAAGCTTGGTCAATAAACTGAGGTTGACGTCTAGGATTACCGATAAATGACAACATAACGGAATCTACTTATTGCTTAAAGACTGCCCGGACTCCAGGGGAAACTAAACAAACGAAGGAAACAATGGGAAATTAATAAAATGCAAAAGAAGGACATGTCTGCCAGAAACGAGTTCGGCATCGCCACACTGTCCCTCGGCAACTGGCGGGAGCATAAACTAACCCCACGACTCGAAGCAGCAGCCAATGCTGGATTCAAATGGATCGAGCTCTTTGACGAATGCTGGGCTGCTTACTTGGAAGAGCATGGCCTCTCGGGCAACCAACGCTGGGAGCCTACAGAGGACAATCTTAGACTAGCCCGGAAGCTGGGCGAACTGGTGAAATCATTAGGGATGAAAGTCGCATGTACACAGCCTGCGCGTCAAGTGGAAGGTATCAAGGACCCAGTGGAGCGGCGACAGAGCCTTGATATCGTAGCCAAGCGATTTCCATTCATGCGGGCCTTTGATACGGATCTCGTGCTCATGTGTGCCAATATTAGGACTGACAGTGGTGTCACCACCGATCCCAAGACTGCTGCCAAGGATCTAGCTGAGCTTGGGGATATGGCCACCGAATTTTCAAAGGCTGACGGTGGCCCAATGCTGAGAATTGGATATGAAGGGCTGGCATGGGCAACGAGAAACAACACTTGGTCATCGTCATGGGAAGTGGTGCGATTCGCCAATAGACCCAATGTCGGCTTGATTCTGGACGCCTTTAATATCTTGGCCGTGGAGTTTGCAGATCCCTATAATCCGGCAGGCCATGGCAGAATATACCCAACTATTGAGCAGTCGATTGAGGTTCTCACTGCATCCCTTGCCAGCCTTGTTGCTACAGTGCCGGGTGACCGGATCTATTTATTCCAGTGTGGCGATGCCGAACTAATTGATCCACAGCGACTGAAACAGCAACTTGAAGAAAATTCAACGATGCCTGCACTCCTGCCATGGTCGAGAGCACATCGATTGTTTCCGTGTGAAGCATCAAAAGGGGGTTATATGCCTGTCGAACTAGTTGTTGCGGCCATTGTCGCTACCGGCTATACCGGACCTATCTCTCTGGAGGTTTTCAATCATTCTTTGAATCTACCAGGCGACGATATTCCTATAACCCATGCACAGCGTGGGATTATGGGGCTTGAGAAACTTATAGAGATTGTGCGAACAATGCCGCGGTTTTGGCACACACCAGCTAGTATTTCAAGGGAGACAGTGAGGTCAGTCCTCAATAGGCTTGTTGAAATACAGAATCAATCATAGATCAGATCAATATTGAGACTCTTGAATGCCAGTACTTCCGAGAATATACCTGTGACTGTACGGAATCAAAAAGAACTCCAGCTTTCAAGGACTTTCGTCAAAGCTAGACTTCCTAAGACCACACCGTTCATATCGGTTCTCGTCATAACAAGTTCAAACGAATTGGTCGTCCAGATAGTATTCCGCTATTACCTTTCTCCAGGATTCCATACCTCGGCTAGCTCATTCAGCTGGGACTCTGCACATAGATGCATATTAGTATTTCAGTTTCGGGCATCCAATATGTGATCATAATGTTACGAGCGCATAGATTCAAAAAGGAAAATGAAAAAGACATAAAAATAAAAAATGAAAAGAAAGAAAAGAGAAGAAAATACAGGAAAGGGGGGAAATAAGACTGGAGCAATGTTTACGATGGCCGCGGGTTCCACAAATCGACATTTGAAAACCTCCATGGATCCCCAGCCTGTATACCCCAGACCAATCACAGCTTTTGCCACATCCAAAGCTGGAAGCACACCGCAAATTCCGTAGGTTCACGGGGAAATGAGGCAATTTTGAGGCTGTGTCATCAAGGCTAGCTGGGCCATGTCAACGACTGGATAGCCAATTTGCTCAATGTCTGCTGGCGTGGCATCACTAAGCTGGAAATAACCAATTTGTGCTGGCGAAACTGTATCTCTGAGCTCTTGTAAACTGGACACGAGATTAGATAGACCACCTGATGTCAATGGCGTGATCAAATTAAAAGGGTCATCAGCAACGCGTGCAGAGATATGGTATGTGTCTAGACAAGGCTACGTTCGGAAGGTCTACAAGGGTTATGATCTCGTGGATTTGTTGCCACGTATTGATATGGATCCCCGACGCCATTGCCTCGTAGGCAAGTACAAGATCGTACTCTTGAGCAAGGAGTCTAGTCTCCGAATATTTTGGGCAATCATGTTGGGTTCTGGGGTTATCGTTGCTTGGTCCATAGGATAAACGCAAGAAGGGATCTAATGGAGGAAAGAAGAAATTCGGAAGTGGTTGTATATGACAATTTTATAGTGCTTCACCTGGAGAATAGGAATGTGCATTATTTTGCACAACTGACACCAAAGTTCCGACTCCTGTAACCCTTTGTCGACTTTTGTCGGGTCCGCAAGTCCGTCGAAGAATCCAAACACATTAAGGGCAATCAAAGGGAGTGACAACGAAGAGGCTTTGTCGTAGATTGACTGCTGCTACACGGAGCCGCTTTTGACGGCGCATGTCCTGTTGGATGGAGATGATTCTTGACTGTACTTCAAGGTATTCAAATGCCAACTCCATTCGAAGCCATGAGCTTTAGCTGCTTCTATCTTGTGATATATTCCATGGCCAGCATGGGACTTTCCCAGCGAATTGGAAGCAATTGCTACCTTGGGCCGTGGCATTGAGATATTGACGAAGTAGTGAATTCTGAGGTTTATCCCGAGGAAGATTGACGTTGATAAACCAGAAAGCAGTTGTGTCCACCGGCGGTCAAATCAAATGTACGGAGCATGGCATCACATGCTCTATATTCCTTTCCACTTTGCTTTTCAATATGTAATTCGATATCATTATCAGACAAGTCGAACCAAGATGCTCTGTAGCGAAGGCTTTTTGCATCGCTTCCACAACAGGCATGTCGTCCTACATATTGGCTCGCTGAGACTGCCGCGAAAAGACGCCCGGACTTGCCCTCGGCAAATAAACTAAGACAACAATGGATGATGAACGCAGCAAAGCACCGTGGCCATGACTGATCGCTCTAAGACTGCAACCAAGTAACACCAAGAGAGGCCAACTTCGGGCCATGAGACAACGCGCATACCGAGCCGGGCAGCTTGCGAAGCCTGTCGAAAGCTGAAAGCATGTATGAGCCCTGCTGGTATATTCACGTGCATAGGTAGGAAAACTCATGCTAGTAAACGCAGATGCGATGTATCCGACAACCAGGACAAAAGAGTGCCTTAATAGATCCATGTGAGAGGTGTAAACGCAGTAACCGGCCATGCACAACCCCCGGACGCAAGCTCCAAGGCCGAAAGCCAGGAGCTTTCGGCTGGTATCATAGTATCTAAAAACCTGTACGGAAGACGCAATCAGAGCTACGCAAGGCAAGAGCATCAGTCGATGGCCCCAACCGTATCCGGGAGATTACTAGTTCTGCGGACGCGGAGGAAGAGATGGATACCCTCCAAATGCTTCTTAGTGATGAGCCGGAGGTTCCGATGCAGCTTGTGCTAATCAAAAATTTCAAAGACGAAATATTCATTAACAGCAATAAATTGGATGCTCGTCAACCGTCATCATCACCACCATCGGAGATCCGGTCCACATTGCAGTCCCAAGCAGCTGTGGATGAAAGTCGAGAGCTGACCAATAATCCTCTTGCATCATTGGCAGATCCGCTGGAGCTGCACAGGCACTGAATCTACGGAAAAGTGCAATTCACCTCATCGCCGATATCCCATGAAGGATCTTCCCGATGCCAGTCATCGGCCTTTGCAGGTTCAGAGATGGCACATCGATTCTTATCACGTCCCAGCTATGTCTCACTTGGCTTGCAGCTCAGTCGAAACTCATTAGAGCAAGGACTGGAAAAGATCTTTGCTGCTCCCAGTTAGTTAGAAAATCGACATTTAGATTATTTTAAACCCTTTCCTACTGGGGCTCCTCGGGATGTAGGGCCTGATTTTAATCCGGTTGATTTGGGACTGGTTACGATGGAGGAAGTGTACTATCTTTTTCCAATATAAGTTTTACTTAGACAATGTTGTGAACTAAACGAATAATCTTCGACTAATACACAAGTAGATACTTTGCTCGATTACATCCAGTCTATGGAAGCCTCGATCCCATTCTACATACGCCGGAGTATGTAAGAAGCCTATCTGCTCTTTTATTTATCTGGATGCTAGCACTCACTTGACACTTCGAACAGTCATGCGATGTACTGTCTAAGAAACATCGCCTGCTCGGCGATAAACTGTCTAAACACATACACACTTCCGGTCTCAAATTAGTCGAGATTGTGCAAGGATATTATATCTTACTTCAATTGGCAACTCCTGCAAAGACTAGAGCAGAGGAGATTATGGTTGTACACCGATTATCCATTCAGTATTGCAGCGGAGCTGAGGTTAGATCAACGAGCTCGGAGGCGCACTAGAATCGCATCTCCTTCACCACATGGCCCCTTGGCTAGTTCGGTTGGCGACGAGCTTCTAAATGAGGATTCGACCTATTCTATGGCCAGCGTCTAGCTCGCAATCGTGAACGTACCTGGTTACGCATACTCTTCTGGGAACGTGCTAAGGGCGCCGCTTATAGTCGCATTACAGTATTTCCTGAGCTCACTCAGAATATCGAGAGTTTGTGGCTCCATTCACTTGCAGATTCTTCCGATAAATCTACATGCGCGTTCATAATTCTTTGTCGAGAGCTAGCGGGGCTTTATAGTGGTCTTGAAAAACAGTTATCCCTGCCTCAGCCGTCCAATCCACGCTGGCATGTAGAATTGGTCAATATTGCCCTTCAGCCGTGGGCGCACAGATAGCCATCACGCTCACCATATCGTCTATTGTGACAGCACCTACAACTGACCTCTCGGCGGTTTGTCTATATTATGCTTACATCTCCGGGAGGCTGTGGACCTTATGCTACGTCTTCTATTTCGTCTCCAAGAAGACCGCCTATGAAGAGCAAGACCTCAACTCCTTTCGTGATGACTGCTTTAATGCCGGTGTTAAGCTCTGCGAAAGAGCGGTGGGGAATTTACGAAGAATGGGAGAGCCGGTGTACACCATGGTGGCTCCAACATGGACCATGATTCCATACGCAGCCGTTCTCGCTATTCATGATAAATCCCTATTTTAACTGGTTGCCAGTGAGTTCGTTAAAATTCAAAGGCTCACTGAGCACCTGGGCAGCTTAGGAAGTGCCGGTCTGGATTGTAATATACCGAGGAGGCTTCACTATAAGCAGCACAAAAATGACAGCAAGCGGGAAATCAAAACCGTACCTGGCAAAGGAAATATCACGAGTGCGTAAAATGCATGCCATCAACAGGATTCGTATTGGTTACTTCTAGGATGCTGACAAGAGGTTGACACTCCTTTTAAGTCTTATATATAGGAGAAAATATGGATTGGGTGGCTTATGCAGACTAACTCGGATAATGCGTATAGCTAGCTACCTAGTCATTCTGCATATTAACAGTGGATACTATTTTCTCTTTGTTGTCGACCTTCTCTGCCTGGGAAAAATCTCCCTCCTCGATACATTCCTCGGATGTCACCAGCATCCTGGGAACGAGCGTCTCCCGCGCCGGTACCAGCAAACTCAGAACAGAGTATACACCAAACGAACTCAAAAATCCATAATAAAAGTTGAGATCGGTGATATAAACCCCACCTCCAATCGATATATCAGAGTTCACTGCATTGATCAACCCGGGAAGGGTAGGCCCAACAGCAGCCACAAGTCCAGCAACTGCGCGCCAGTTGATTCCGTACCAATAAGCGTATCGGCCACGAGGCTGATATAGGGCCGGGATATCGATTGCCTGACGTTTTACAACGAAGAAATCTGCGATTAGAATGCCCTATATGCTAAATGTTAGGAATAACAGGTCGGCCGCATGGAGAATAGCATGGAAAACAAACGTACGATAATAGGGGCTAGGAAGATGCCCATTGAGTTCATGAAGCTGAGCAGCGACGATGCAGAGTATAGAATTTTCCATGGAACCATAGCCCAGCCTCCGATTATCGTGAGGATAATAGCGCCTCGCTTGATATTGATCCATTCCGGCCATAAACTTGCCATATCGTTTGCGCCGCTGATGACAGTTGCGGAGATGTTGACGCAGACTTGTGCCAAACACCAGCTAAGGCCGGCAAAGAATGCAGCTGCCCTACCAGCAGGACCTTCCCAGGTATCTATAATCGAGATTGGGTCCCATAGATAATCCCCGTAGACCGTGTATGATGCGGATGTAACAACGATGCCTATAATAGAGACCCAGCTGCAAACGACAGGGAACCATATACCTTGTGAGAGCGATGTGGTCGGTGCTCTAACATATCGAGTAAAATCAGGTATGTTCGTTCCGACAGTCGACCTTTAAGCAACAATATTAGCACTTGCTTTTGGTGTTGCTAGTAGGCAAAACATTACCAGCTAGCTGTGCAGCTGTTGATTGACCACATAATCAACCACGACTTTGTTGGTCCGGACACAGTTGCTTTCTCGTTCCAAATACTGCCTGAACCGCCGGCTCGAGAGCAGATCCAGATCACCATGCCCAACATAGTGGCCATTATCATCACACACTTGATCACAAAAAGCCCCTTCATTCTGTGTGGTGGAATCGTCAGGAGTGGAAATTGTATAGTCCAAATTATAAAATACGATACCATCTCCTGCGTCGTGATTCCAACGGATTCCGGGATATGGTTCGGTACATCCCGGTATGATGGCCATATTGAGCGAATGACTTGCGTTGTTGGCGCTATTGCGAGATAGTTGGTAATGGCATGCCAGAAAAGACAAGTTATGAGGCGTACGACAACAGCAAATTTTGCGAAATGATAACCAAACGAGCTTCGCGCAAGGACGGCGAACGGCACATGTGTCTTCGAACCCGCGTACCCATTGAGAGTCATCGGCACAGCCATGACGCTGGAGCCGAGAATAATACCCAAAATTGCCTCGCGCCTTTGTGTTTTTGTTATTCGACGGTTGTAAGTCGCGTGAAGTGGCACGGGCAAGAGACATTCAATGTTAACTCACCATGTCAGTCCAACTGCAAGAATTGTGCTCCCTGTTTCCCAGCTCTGAACACTAATCACATCACTGATCCAATAGCCTAAGATTGCCCAGCTCGTCCAAGTGCGACGCTCTGGCGGAGTTACATCAAGATCGATGTTTGTCCATGTTCCGGGAGGAGCCCAGCTAGACTCCTGCTTGGGCAACCTCCAGCCCTCCAGGGTTGTCTTGCTCCTTATGATAGATCCCAATGCAAAACTCCGTGTTTGAGCTCTGCGACGCATTGTGGAGGTAATATACATTTCCGTGAGGTAGACAGGTCGGAATGTTACTCGGCGACAGACCTTTCATAAAGAGCACCATGCTGGCGCAAAGCCGGAATTTGCGTCCAATATATCGTTAAAGACCCATCCTGGGTGACACGATAACGCCTTCAACATATTTCTAGGCTCTATCTTGGCGGCCAAAGCTAACTATATCCAATGTGTTGGTAGAGATAGCGTCCTTAGATATCTGCCGGTTTTCGGATATCCCCGACCTCAGCGGGGCTTAACTAGTGAGCTAAGTAGTTTGTCTGCAGAGTTGGAGTAGATAAGTATACCACAGCCTATCTCTATGTATTCCATCCCCGACCTGGTTTAGTTGCAAACAAACTTCGGTTTTTCGAAGATACCGGAGATAGTCTTCGTTCAGCCTTCGCTAGCTTTCGTCCATCATTGCTCCATTGCTTTGACACTGTCTGGGATTTAGTTTATGAGACATACAGAGGCACACGGTCTAAAAAATACGTTCAATAAAGCGAAAACGTGATTCTGTTGACAAGCTTTCAAGGATTGGGCTGGGAGGCCGTCCTTAAAATTGGAGTGATAGCGATATCTTTTTGTATCCCACTGTGATCGGGATCCTGTCTGTAGCTGACTTTGATTTGCTACTCCAACATTGCATGAAAGCACAGCGCGATAACAGATTTCCCACAATGTCATCCAGACCGCTCACAATTCCCGTGATTGATATCGCGGGATATTTAGCAGGAGACAAAATTGCAACGGCTTCCATCGCCTCTGCAATCTCGTCTGCTGCCAAATCACCCGGCTTCCTTCAGATCACTGGCCATGGCGTTTCTCCGCAATTGACCTCTAAGATGCTTGAGCGGCTGGCCGCCTTCTTTACCCTTCCGATGGAGAAGAAATTTGCACTCCATAGAAACAATTCCGCAGCTCTACGAGGATTCGAGGCCGTTGGTGAACAACAGCTGGAAAAGGACTTTTTGGACAGCAAAGAGGGATTTATGATCGGCCCCGAAAGCCTTGCTGAGGACGCAAAGTTTCTACAGGGCCCAAATCAATGGCCGTCAGAATCAGAAGTTCCGGATTTGAGGGAGAGCTTGATGGAATACTTTAGCCAAATGCAAAAGTTGAGCAAAAATATGTTCCGGCTCATCGCTCTGGGGTTAGAGCTCGATGAGCAATATTTCGACAGGTTCGTTGATAGTAAGGATTGTATGTGCCCCTTGAGAGACAGGAAATGCAACGAGCTTGTAATTCCTTTGCTAAATTACAGTAGCGATTGCTATGTGTCGAGCGCATAGATATCCACCCACAACGGAGGAAATCTCCAAGAAATCGAGGGGCATAGGGGCACATACAGACTTTGGTGCATTGACCCTATTATTACAAGACAAAGGTAACCCAGCCCATTTGCTGTTCGGGGGCTTGCGAGAACTTCGCTGACTAGATCTTAGTTGGTGGACTAGAGGTTTTCTATCGACCAACTGAGACCTGGCACCCTGTTGAGCCTATCGAGGGTGCCTTTGTTGTGAATATTGGTGATATGCTAGGTGAAATTCTGCTCTCTCTCAAGATAGGCTGCCCTGCTAATAATGTTAATTTCATCTAGAGCGATGGACGAACAATAATTACACGTCGACACTACACAGAGTCATCTCTCCCGTGAGCAACCAATATCGATACAGCGTCGCCTTCTTCAATGAGGGGCTCCTCGATCAGATGATTAAATGTATTCCCACATGTTTAAAGCCAGGTGAGAAGCCACTTTATGAGCCAATACGGGCGGAAGATCATTTGCGGCAGCGGTATGGCAACAGTTACAACTAGCGGGTTTGTCACGAAGAACAAATGTATGTCGTCCGTGACCAACTATGGTACAGAGGCACATGACTATAATCAAATTGTGATGTATGAGTTAAAATAAGAGGAAGTGGACATCGAAGCTCTCTATAGCCTACTACACAGCACTGGTAACGCACAAATAGTTGCCTATCTAGGAATAGACCTAACCCAAACGGGGAATATCAAAGTATCGGTTTTATACTCTATATCTTTCCCAAGATAACATCTCCTGTTTGACTGCGAACAACATCTCTTAATTCTTGTGCATTGCCGCTCATTCTGGGAGCGTTGCCACCGTCTGAGCCGTGTCTACCCCAAGCCCATTTACGGACCAACTCAGCATCTAGCTTTCCCTCAATTGAGTCAAGCACCAAATCTCCAATGATAGGCAGAAATTTCCACGCGTGAGCAGAGCCACCAGTTGCTATGTGCAAGTTCTTGGTGTGTGGATGAGGTGAAATGATGAAATCTGCGGTGGGGGTCTGTGAGATCCTACATCTTGTGTTAGAATTTAGGCATATTTCTGTTCTGACCTCAATTATAAAAACCATGCCAACTCACCAACACAGTTTTGTTCGGTCAAACTTTCGTCCTGCAATACTGGGCATCAATTCCCTCAGATTGTCTCGCAACGCATTCTCCGCATCTTGCGGGATCACGTCAGTAGGGTTCGTTACCACAGTTCGTGGAACAGACACTTTGATATTGTGGCCTCCCTCTGGGTTTTCAGGGTCAGGGATTGTGACCGTGTTGCAGTAACCTGGAGATCGGCGCAGACATTTCATCTCACTATTGTAAGGTGGGAAAAGATTAAAACCTGTACTTAAATTCGTTGTGATAGACATATTCTTCCACCTTTCGCATTCGTCTGGAGTGAGTGGTATCCATGCCACCTCGATCGCAGATGAGTATGCTAGTTCTTCGATATTAACCAGCGTGTTTGACCATGCACCAGCAGCAAGCAAGACCAGCGATGCTTTTAACTGCCGTCTATCTTCAAGCATAACTCCGGTCGCAGTCTGACTTTGTGGGTCTTTGATTATATTTCTGACTGGAGTGCCGCAAACAAAAACTATATTCTTCCGTGCTAGACACCGTTCGTAGTATACCCGAACTGATGCTTCCGCATCGATGAAGGCATCTTCTAAGTTCGTGTACCCCCTAATCCACTTCCTCTCTCTCTCAAGCTGGTCGTCAGGCACTGGATTAGAAGCGACTCCATGAATGCGTCGAAAGACCTCTTCGGCAGAGTTCATCTCAATAATTGAGTCAGCAGCATGTTGTTTTCGGACGTTGTCCAATCCACGCTGCCAAAAATCAAACATTTTACCCGGTTTCCCATCACAAGCAAATGTCATGCCTTGCTTGAAGTAGTATGGAGCAAGATCGGGATCAGCTTCTATTTTCTTTTGTGCCTCTGAGGCCAGGCGAGCATAAATTGGGTCGGGGTAATCTGGTCAGTTAGTAAGGCCCCATCCGACCGGAATCACATCACTGACGGGGACTGTCATACCAGCTCGGATGCACCGGGTTGTGTCGACACTTGTACCGTCAATAACAGGTGGAGTGAGTCTGTCTATCACGGTAATTTGATAGTGAGGGTGGCGTTTGGAGATGGCGAGAGCTGTTGAGAGGCCGAATATGCCAGCACCGATGATGATAACATCAGATGGAACTTTGGTCAGATCCATTTTCTTACATGCAATAGACTTCTTTGATGTTGTATTACCGTTCTTTTTGTGGTTTTATGTCTTGTTGCGTGCAAACGGTGCGTTGCTGTTAGGTTCAAATACCCCAAAGTATTTATGCAATAAAAGAATCGGGCAGTAGGCCGATTGGGTCGGAGAATGCCTATCAACATCAAGTGACTAAACAAGGTGCACGTCATTCGCAGGCAAAAAGCTTCAGTAAGAAAGACGTACTTAGACAAAATTAGCTTGTTCCTGGCTACTTAGAAAATGTTTCCTGAATGCATCATTCTACAATGGCATGTCTTTTATGAAATTTCAAAAAGATTACATACTAGTGGGGGCCTATATACAGAATCATGCCCGCTTATTCATCCCACCATATGCTCCCTAGGCACCGGTCTTTGATGGATTCCTCTAGGTAATATATCTGAAACTATGATTCTGCTTGTCTGTCAAATCAAGGAAATCGTCCACATGTTCGTCCTCAGCCATCTCGAGTTGGCTGGCATCTTGGGCCTTGTCACGCTGTGCATTCTCCCATTTGCACACCAAGCCATATATACCAGCCAAGACAATACAAACGCAGTAGCACAGAAGCATGGCAATAACTGCGCCGGTATATTTCGGAGCTTGGTCGGAAATAAAAGTCTGTGGGCCTATAAGTTGTTATTAGGAGCTTGATTCTAGAATTGCGGGTTTTTGGAGTTCAAGCATACCAACGATGTTACCAACAGCATATGCCACATAGTCCATAGCGTTGACGGTGGTCTTTTTCGATCGACCAGCTGTATTTGCTTGGAAAAGCGCAAGGCCGCAAACGTAGGGAGCCCAGTACCCGTAGAGCATATAAATGCCTACCAATTGAGCAGCCGTGTTTGAACGGGGATAGACTGTCCACGTCGTTAAATGCAATCCTTTTTTTTTTTTATTTTTGTGCATTCCCAGATAACTAACCATATACTAGAATTGTTCCGATTAATGGCATGATTAGACTTGCCATAGTGACCAAGGATCGGTACTTGGTCGTCCTTCCAGCCAGCCAGCTGAAGAAGATGCCAGAAAGGGTAGAAACGACACCTGAGTATAAAATCGTTAACACTAAGAAGCCCATCATACAATTTCCTCAAGATTTCAATATTCATACCAGTGGGAATGGTCATCAAAGACGAATCTTCCGACGAAAACCCAAGCGAATCAATGATAATAGTAGAGAACGAGATCAGACCACCGTTTGGAATATTCACCGCGATGAAGAAAATCCACAAGATCCAGTTCTTCCAGTCAAGGACTGCTTCCCAAGACTGCTCCCACTTCCAGGTTTTATTCTCGATACCTAGTTTCTCGCCTCGCAGCCGCTCGATGGCGACGACTTTCTCTCGTTCGGACAAAAAGAAAGCCTCGGCCGGTCCATTGGGGAGTATGAAGAACATCAACGCACCGTAGAGTACGGTGAAGCCACCTACAGCCAAGAAGATATACTTCCATTTTGGAAGAGTCGGGTGCGTCAAGTGTCCGAATGCAAACGAGATGAGACCGTTGCCAATGGATGAAGTGACTGCACAAATCATTGCGTTGCGTACTGGTTGCTCTTCTTTTTTCCACCACATCGTGGCTATGATTATCATCGCCGGTAAATCACAGCATTGGAAAAGGCCCAGAAGAAAACGACAAACGAGGATGGATGCTGGATTCGTGCATGCGGCATGACACATTTCTACTACCCCCCAGAGGAAGATATTGGCAGCCAGGTACTTCCCAGTAGGGAGTCTCTGTAGAAGCCACAGAGTTGGAAAGATTGCAATCAAAAAAGCTACAAGTATAGACACGGACCGGTCTATTAGAAACATCATCATGAATTTCTTTGATTTTCGACTTACCAAAATACATAATCGAACCAACCCAGCTGTACTGGTATCCAGTGAGTCCGAGATCCTTCTCCAGTCCGTATATAGCTGCTGTTCCAATGCTGATAGACAAAGTTTTGTAAATTGTGGTCAGCAAAATGCATAACACGAACTTCAACATGACTTGACTTACACAACCTTGTCCCATCCAGACAACTGCAGGCAGACAAAAAGCATTGGCACCATGTACCAATCAATCTTTCGCCTGACAGCGTCCATCTCTTCTTGCGTGATAGGTGCCTCATCATGCGCATGTGCCAGCACTTTTGCAGCAAGGTCGATATTCTTGTCATCAACATCGACAAGAGCTTGAACATAGGCCGGATCGGGGTTGATGGCAGCATCTTCCATGTCGGCGCCGACGGAGAACGTGGACTTGGTATTCTTCTCCAAGGAGCCCATACTTCTCCAAGCTTCGTTCTCTCCTAGAAATAGAGTATATTCCTTGCACAATCGTATTCTTCGCCGTTTGTTGGGACACCAGGGTCTGACTCCGTTAATTCACTCATCCGATGCTGATGCTCCGAAATTCTTATATACATAACACTCTAATTGAAAACAAAATATCGGCAAAGACCGACCTTCAAGGCGTGGTATAGAGAGCAACTCCCGAAGACTTGATGCTTAGTGTAGTAGCTAAGGGATACGAGCTATGGCCTTTCGGTGTTGTCCGAAATAAACAAGTCCTATCTATCAGTGGTCTCCACCACTGTCCACTACCCACTTGAGCGGTTTTCTAATCTCTACAACGCCTGTTTTGATTCCTTGTTTCGCATTGTAGCCATGCCCAATGCTTTGTCGTACCCCACAGTAGTACGGTACTTGCGTGCCATCCCCCTAAATGTGATTCCGATTAAGCTGTATGCGGGGTGACTTTGATCAGAATCACTTTCGGACAATGGCGACACGTCGCATGGGTAGTGATGCCTTCCCCTCCAAAAGCTTACCGACTGCATTTCACATATAAGACTCATAGGATGGCATGTGTTGCGATCAAGATAGAGCTTAAATCAAATCCATTGGTGTCTGTTTAGAAGAATAGCAAGATATTGGCAAGATGCCGTTCATATCAGACGAGCACGCAGATAAGAAGATCAAGGTTTATATTGGTACGAGTATTCTGCAGCTTTTACGTTGCTATTCTACATTTTTTCTAATGATTGGATATTCTAGATCGCGGCGGTACATTCTGCGACTGTATAGGTATAGTTCCTGGGCGAGAGGATATTGTTATCAAACTTCTATCTGTCGACCCGACGAACTACGATGATGCTCCAACTGAAGGAATCAGACGGCTCTTGGAGATCGCGACAGGAGAAGCAATCCCAAGAGGGCAGAAACTCGACACGTCAAAAATAGGTGAGATATCTTGTTTGGAGAGTTATCTCTTCGAAACTAATTATGATCATCCAAAATTAGAGTCTATCCGCATGGGAACGACGGTGGCTACCAATGCTCTCCTTGAGCGTAAAGGAGAGAGGAGCGCCCTGCTGATAACCAAGGGATTGGGCGAGCTGATGAAAATCGGGCACCAGACTCGTCCTCATCTTTTTGACTTAGATATCAAAAAGGCCGACGTGCTTTACACCGAGTCTGTCGAGGTGGATGAGCGTGTTACTGTGGACGTGGAATTGGCTGAGAATAAGCATATCGGAACAACAGTGAAGGGCCTCAGCGGTGATACAATCCGTATTTTGAAACCTCTTGGTAAGATTTATGTTCCTTGGATTCAGGTGTAGCCTTTCCTGGGCAGAGATAGTTAACATCAAACAGATGAGAAAGAAGTCACAGACGCCCTCCTGAACCTCTATAACAAGGACTTTCGATCAATAGCTGTGTGTTTGGCACACTCTTATACCTATCCGGACCATGAACTTCGCATTGCAGAAATAGCAAGAGAAATTGGCTTCACACATATATCGCTATCCTCCCAGTTGACGCCGATGATCAAACTGGTCCCGCGAGGCATGTCAGCAACGGCAGATGCATACTTGACACCCACAGTGAAAAGTTATATCAGTAGCTTCAGTGAGGGATTCGAGGGCGGCTTGGCTTCCACAAAAGATCTCCAATGCCAATTTATGCAGTCTGATGGTGGCCTTGTCGCATTCGATCGTTTCTCTGGTCTCCGTGCCATTCTGTCTGGCCCTGCAGGTGGTGTTGTTGGGTACGCCAGAACAAGTTTTGATCGAGAGCAGAGCACCCCGGTCATCGGATTTGACATGGGTGGCACAAGTACCGATGTCTCGCGATATGCAGGCCGATACGAACATGTGTTTGAAACTACGACTGCCGGTGTCACCATCCAGTCGCCACAGCTGGATATCAACACTGTGGCTGCGGGTGGTGGTTCCATCCTGTTTTGGAAAAATGGTCTCTTCAAAGTCGGACCAGAGAGTGCTGGTGCTCACCCCGGTCCTGCATGCTATCGTAAGGGAGGCCCATTAACTATCACGGACGCAAACCTCTTTTTAGGCAGACTATTGCCAAGTTACTTTCCCAAGATATTTGGTCCGACCGAAGACCAGCCTCTGGATACGGAAATTGTAGCATCCAAATTTGCTGAGCTAACCGAGCAGGTCAATAAAGAGTCTGGGAATAGCTTTTCGCCCGAGGAAGTTGCTATAGGGTAAGATTGGCAACCTGCTGTCTTCCATATCAAATGCTAATTGATCGTTAGCTTTCTTAACGTTGCCAACGAAGGCATGTGTCGACCCATCCGTTCTTTGACTGAAGGCCGTGGCTTTGACACTCGAAACCACCATCTTGCAGTCTTTGGTGGCGCTGGTGGTCAACATGCCTGCTCTATAGCGCGGAATCTACGAATCAACACCGTGATTATCCACAAATACTCTTCAATTCTCTCCGCATATGGCATGGCGCTAGCCGAAGTTGTACATGAAGCACAGGAGCCCAGTTCGAGTGTTTTCACAGCGGAGTCTCTTCCACTCCTTAGAGAGCGACTATCACACCTCAAGGAGAAGGTCAAGGAGGAACTGCTTGAACAACAATTCAAAGAGCACAACCTGCGGTATGAGCGCTACCTTAACATGCGCTACCAAGGCACAGATACTTCATTGATGATTATGGAACCTGACGATGGCGATTTCGAAGCTGCATTCCTGGCTCACCATTTGCGAGAGTTTACTTTCACAGTCCCCGGTCGTCCCATTCTGGTAGATGACATACGCGTCCGGGGAATAGCAACGGATGACAGGAATATCGCTGAATTAAAGCTTATGAGTCAGCTAAAAGAGGCCAAAGAGCAAGCAATCACACAGGATAATTTCAAGCCCAAAGACTGGGAGGAAGTTTATTTTGAAGAGACCAAGAGAGTCAAAACCCCAATCTATCTATTGAATGAGCTTCCCAAAAAGTCTGTCGTCCAGGTAAGGAAACTTATTGGCTATTGTCTGCGACTCGATAACGAACTTTACTAATGCTGAACGTAGGGCCCAGCTATTATCTTAGACCAAACACAAACGATTGTAATTCTGCCAAACTCTGTTGCAACGATCCTCGACCAACATGTCATTATTGAGATTGGGAGTACAGTCACCCAAGAAGTCCAAACTGACATTATCGACCCCGTGCAACTATCCGTCTTTGGACATCGGTTTATGAGCATCGCGGAGCAAATGGGTCGTACTTTGCAAAAGACAAGTGTCAGCTTGAACATCAAAGAGCGCCTTGACTTTAGCTGTGCCATTTTTGGCCCAGATGGTGGACTTGTTGCTAATGCACCGCATGTACCTGTTCATCTTGGCTCGATGCAGAACTGTGTACGGTACTTGCATGAAGTGAACTTTGGTAAGCTGAAGCCTGGAGATGTATTGGTGTCTAATCATCCCGGTGAGTAGTTTGTTTCATCATGCATGTTATATGCGTTTGTATATTTCTTTTATTAATGTATCAATAGAGGCTGGCGGAACACATTTACCTGATATTACTGTCGTCACGCCCGTTTTTGATGATGAAGGAAAAGAAATTATTTTCTACACTGCCTCTCGTGGCCATCATCGCGATATCGGTGGCCTAGGTGGAATTTCCGGAAACCCCAATGCTACCTATCTTGAGCAGGAGGGTGCCTTATTCAAGTCCTTCCTATTAGCATCTGGTGGCCGGTTTGATGAGGAGGGTATGTCTTCAGCCTTGAAGCTCTGTACTGGTTTTTCTTCGTCTCCTGTTTCTAACTTCTTAAAAAAGGCATCACGAAAATCTTAGTCCATGACCCAGCTCAATACCCTGACTGCGTCGGCTCCAACAGTATCAGTGACAACCTCTCTGACCTGAAAGCTCAAATTGCTGCTAATCATAAAGGCTCAACTCTCATCCAAGAGCTATTTGTCGAATATGGCACACATGTGGTACAACGGTACATGGCCGCCATTCAATATACCGCAGAAGTTGCAGTGCGCACATATTTGAAAAAAGTCGCCAAAGAACGCCCGGAACCTCTCAAGGCGATCGAGTATCTCGACGATGGAACCGAGATTCATCTCGAGATCCGCATCGATGGAGAAACTGGAAGTGCGGACTTTGACTTCACAGGCACACACCCTGAAACATACGGAAACCGAAATGCGCCTGCAAGTCTAGTCTACTCAGCTATCATATACGCCTTGCGCGCAATGATAAGAGAGGAGATACCCCTAAATCAGGGATGCTTGGCCCCGATTAATATCATTATTCCCAAAAACACTGTCCTGTCGCCTTCCTGCGGCGCTGCAGTTTACACTGGCAACTCTTTGACCAGCCAGCGGGTAACGGATATTGTTTTCAAGGCATTCCAAACTTGCGCTGCAAGCCAAGGTTGTATGAATAGCGTTCAAATGTACGGTGGTGAAAAGGCTAAGCCCGGTGAACCCTTTGCTGGCTTCACTTTTATGTATGGAGAAACGATATGTGGTGGAAGCGGAGCTGGGCCGACCTGGAATGGTGTTTCAGCAGTACACACAGTATGTTCCTTTCCCTTTCACCCGAATTCATGATCCAAGGGCATGTGTAATGCTGACGATGAGAATTCCTAGAACATGACGAATACCCGTGTGTCAGATCTCGAAATCCTCGAAAAACGATACCCCATTCTGGTTAAGCAATTCTCTATTCGTCATGGCTCAGGCGGTACTGGCCTTCACCCTGGAGGAAATGGTGCTATTCGAGCTTTTGAGGCACGAGCCGCTATGACATTTTCTCTCAGTTCTGAACGTCGAGTTCACAGACCATATGGCATGGCTGGTGGTGGACCAGGCATGAGTGGACGCAACCTCGCGTTGCTAAAGCTGCCAGATGGAAGTGATCGATGGGTGAATGTCGGTGGAAAGGGAATAGTGCAGTTGAAATGTGGTGAGCAGCTGTGGGTGAATACGCCTGGTGGTGGTGCCTGGGGTGCCGTTTCAGAAGATGAAGCGCAGAACAAGAATGGTGTCAGTCAACAATTGCCTCAGTACTGGAGAGGAACAGGAAGTTTGCATCAGTATGCTGCCACACAAAATGAGGGTTGATCATTTTTTGTGTTGTCTCTCGTGTTGTGTATTTCAATTCTAGGGCTTTGGATTTGAATAGATTGTTTGTCTTATAGCTCTCGACGCTTCGCTATAAATCTGGTGATTGTCATGAATAAGTACACTAGGTTCCAAGATGTAGCGCATACCCAAGTAGTCCAAGACTAGATATCTACCTACTCAAAATTAGCTCAATGTTATTAAAGAAATTGGAGATGTTGCAATTAACAGTATCGATACAAGGAAATTTGAGGTTTTCAACATAAGTTAGTAGGAAGCACGCATCAATAAGTAGAACCTAGGTTAAATTTCATAGCCTAGAAGCTTCACTATTTACTCTCCAGTCCCTAGGAGAAGCCATATCCTGCTTGGCCAGAACTCTGGGTCCCCCTTCTCCTTCTTGCAGCCCGTTCCTTTTGTTTCCCAGTGTTAGAGCCTTGTCTTCTCTCCAACGCCACATTTTGCCGTAGACTGTATCCTGCCCTCTACCTTCTAAGATAGGGACAATTTCTCGGCCCAAAATGGGAAGAAATTTGAATCCGTGTCCACTACCACCAGAGCAAACAAACATCCCGGGTTTGTTGGGAACATGATCAATCACGAATGAGTTGTCGATACTGTCCGTATACCAGCACAACTTTGTGGCGGAAAATTCGAGGGGGAGGAGATCGGGTGTATTTATGCTGATGAACTCTGTTTTAACAGCAGATTAGTATAATTCAGTACCTTTTTAGGGCTAACAGATACATTACCCTTGATTGAGTTCAGAGATTTCTTTGGGATGTTGCTTTCCTTTTTGTCCGTAACGTGCGCTGTCTTGGGAACCGAGATTCGCTGGCCATCCCCCACTGTATCGTAGTTGGTCCATCTATACATTTGATTGTCAGATAAATTTAGTGTTCTCAAAGATAGACAGCGCCGAAACGAGGTATACTTAAGCTCACTTCGTTGCTCTGTATCCGAATTTAATAACGCCCTCCTTGGTCCTCGGTAACATATAGACACCTTTCCCTTCCTTCATACCCCAAGTGAGGACGGGCATGTTTTCCGGTGCATACTTTTGCCACAAATGCGGCATAGTAACTTCGTCAATATGAATGGTCGCAACTGAGCCAGCCGTTGTTTCAAGTAGACTTCTGACCTCAGGGATTAATGTCGGCGTCCATCCTCCACAAGCAACAATGACCATGTCGGAGTGATGCTCAAGACCATCTGCCGTTTTAATACCGATAACTTTGTCGCCGTCATCTACTATCTGAGTTACTTTGCCTCTGGTGGGATCTTGAACAAAGTGCACGCCTGCCCTTTGGCATAAATGCCACACCCAGTGACATGCTTTATCGGCAGCCACAAAGCCAGCAGTCGAGTCTAGCACAGCTGTATTATAACCAAGTCTCTTCTTCTTGTCCAGTGGATCAAGCTTTTGTCCCCATCCACGGGACCTTGCTCTCAGAATGTCTGCACGTATGCGTTAGATCAGGAATTTTCTTTTTTTAAGATATCAATTCAGTCCCTGGAAAGAGAATGGAGTCACACCTTCTGGGTTGTCACACATATATTGCATTTCTCTCAACCCCTCCTTCTGCATATTTTCCAACGTCCTCAATTCAAATTCGCCGTAATCCTCCGTAGCACTCATTCTAAGCATACCGGTTGAATACCACAGCTTGTCCTCTTTTTCGAGCCCAGCTGGCAAATTGTTGGTTCCTAATTCAATTTGCTTATTCCAAGATTTCCAAATCTCCCCAGCTTCATAGGCTAGTCGCTGATAGTCAATTTCTGTGCCGTAGCTTAAACGCATTATTTTGTTTATATCAGCAGAGGCACTGTCCAAGCCCGCAGCTGGATTGAATGAGTTTTTAGCAAGAGGCTGCATGTCGAACACAGTTATGTCGGTGTACTTGGATCTGGCAAGCCATAATGCTCTGTCCTCGCTCGTCTTAGTCAGGGTGTCTCGAGATTCGAAACGAAGAGCAAGGAAGGACTGGAAAGGATCTTACGTGGATAGACCAAATACTCCTGATCCGACAATGATAATTTTGGAGGAATGGGATATCCCTGGCTTGCTTGATTGCGCCATGGTGAAAATGCCGTTTATCTGGTGAAACTCTTGAAACTCTTGTTGGCTTTCTGCCTGGTGTGTGGCTCCAATATATCTGCAAATGGAAGAATCAAAACGCAGCATATATCAAGCATCTAGATGCTTGAGGAAGTAATACCCATGCAACTAGTCACATCGTACACGTCTCCTCAATAAGTCATGCAAATCGACCAATCGCATGATGCATATGTAGAGCCAATCGGACTCCATCCGATCGTTCTTCTTGGTCGTTTCGGCGTCGTCCGACACTAAGATAGCTCGAAGTCCAGACCATGCGTCATTAGCATCATATAGATATCCGTTGTCCTATCTTGTTTCCTAGCGCGCTCTGTTATCGATACATTATCTCTGAGACTGGAGTCATAGAGATAACCATCAAATATCTATTGTCTGGTTCGTGATTGGCAGGAGGCAGGATATATAACCCTAATAACCCTATTTGCCCTAGAGAACGGGACCACTCATCCCTAATGATAGCATGCTCCGTAGAGGAAAGAAGGTTACCTAGCCCTTCAACTATGTGCTACTCATAAGTATGTCAAAGATATAACTCTAGTATTTAGCTTGAGACATAGGGAGTGATAGATAGCATATAGTTCCACTAAACCCATGTAGACAGTGACAGATTACCGGGATCTCGGATAATACTCAAATCAACAAACGACAAGTCATCTCCTGCAGGAGCCCAGGGAAGATCTACAGTCATTTCATTGATTTCATCATCACTACTCCGACTGCCACTAATATTAGTCTGGTCGAACAATATCGGAGGGGGTAGGCCAGTTTCAGTTTCGGAAGGGAGAGACCCCATGAAATTATCCCGTCTTGAAGGATGAGTGGTATTTCTTGTTTCGTGTATAGCTGGCACTACACGTCTTCTTTCTAGCGTCTCATTATTTATTGAAGGCGGAGAGGCAGATACAGAGCTCGAAGAGCCATCATGACGAGGAAGAGAATCACCGGCAGCATTGCTAACCGCTTCAAGTGCAGCTGACGAAATGACATCAAATGCATCTCGTTTGCCCTTCGCCGCAGGAAATCTTTCAACCATGGCCCAAAGCGCAGCTGAGCAGGAGTGTACGCTTTTTTCCACCGCTCTGAGGGTTAGCCTTTGCCGCACTAGAGGCGAATGTGAATAGCAATATAGTAACGCTGTACCAGCAGCGAAAAGGTTGTAAACGGCCTGCCAGAAGAGTCGAAGTTTATTTTCTCGGTGAAGTTGGCGATAAAGCCTAATAAAGACAGAAGCTGACTCTGCAAGTTGCACCATCGCATATTCAGACGGCTGGGGTATGATAGGTGACGATCGGTAGAGAGTTATAACGGCTTGATGGTAGGCTAGATTGAGGACCTCGGGAGGAGCAATGTTGCTTGGGGGCGCACTGCTATGAGGGCGGGGACTTGAGGACTTCCATTCTTGTAATCGTCTATGCATGTCTTGTTGCCACATGGTATAATTAATTGAAGGATATGCTGCAGGTCTGTGTTCGTGGAGAGTAATTTGAATCTCGGACTGAAGTTGACGGTATCGGAAGTAGTGAAGGCTAAACGCTTTCTTTCCGATTGCGCCAGTTTCTTGGTCGTGTATACCCTCAACCGTAATCAGATCGTCTTGAACTGGGCTCGGAAACTGAAGCAAGACGGTATTAGATTGGATGCCTTGAACTCAACAATGATTGATGAGAGTGCTCTTACCTGGGTGGTAATTGCCCCGTCTGAAAGACAAAACGGTCGATTCAATATCGAACCAACAGTTCTATCCATGGAGTATACAACCCAGAATACCCTTCTCCTAGTATCTAAGGTTAATGGGTCAAACTTCCCAGCAGGGGCTTCCTGATGAAGACCCAATTCAACAGCTAACCGAACAGCCATTCCGATTGTTTTCCAGGTAGAGAAAACGCTCGGGTGAAGGGAAGAATATTGAGCAATTAGTAAGAGTATTTGAATCCCTTCGATGTCAGCTGGAAGTCCGATGTCGTCCAGCGAACGCAATGCTGTTGCATAGTATCGCTCGCACAGAGAGGTCGGAACACCAGTGGCATCGTGCTTTTGTAGCGTTAGCAGCGCCACAGCGAACACTAAGAAGGAGTAGGCAACCGCAAGCCTTTCTTTGCGGTCATTCTTTTCAACGCCGAGATCATCGACAGGCTCCCGTCCCAAATATGTATAAGATAGTTCCAGGTTTGTGCGAAATGTTGGTTCATGAAGAGCGGGTGAGCTAAAGTTTGCAAATTCAAAATATACAACAGTCAAGTGTTCAGCGACTCGCTTTTCTGGCAGGGACACCGGTGCAGCATCGAGGTTGTGAGGCACGTGAAACTCCACGTATTTTGTCGATGGTAATAATGGCGTGGGTTCGCTCTGTCCCTCCAGCGCCTGCACTATATCAAGAGTTACTTCGGTCCTGTGTAGCTCCGCGAAGAGTAGTTTATTGAAGTGTTCGTCAGTGCGAGTCTCGAAACGGAGCATTCTTGACAAAGATTGCGACTGATCTTTGAACTTTGCGTCTAATACTGGTTGTATCACGCTTTCAGGGGCTGGGATAGTTTGCACGGGTCCTTCATGCGTGATGCTCTCATGTTGCTCGTTTTGATCGGAGTCGCTGTCAATGCCGTATCTTTGCAGCTTAAGTTCGAGAAAAGCTATTCGCTCTTCCAGGCTGTGAACGTAACTATTTTGGTGTTTCGGCATAATGAGCGTCAATTACCCTGATACTAGCAGGCATTGTAGCCGATGCTATTACTGACCTCCGCGGCACATGTCTCTTTGCTACCGCATCGTAGCCGACGCACTCAACACCCGCTTTTGCACAATTGCCACATATCTGTGGTAACAATCAGCATCAAACCGTGGCAATGTTCCATTTTTAATGGAGACTGATTCCGCACCGGAAGATTCTGATCGCATCTCTGCTTCCGTTGGCGACAGCGGACGCAGGCAGTGATGTTGGATCGGGTTAAAGTCCGAGGATTGCTTATCGGTCTGGCCCGGGCGGCAGGCATATTCGGGAGCAGCACTCTGCGTGGTGAAATGTTTGTTGCATCAGTTGAGCTCAGATGCCACTCAATATGAAGCAAAAACTTACAGAATCTCAACGGCAGCTGTGGTGGAAGAGAACGAATAATCCAAAACTTAGCTGCGATAGTAACGGGGTTTGAGAGACGGCGATTGGCTGCGAGCTTCCCCGCACAAGAGGGGACGAGATAAGAGATAACCGGCAAATTGCAGTGAAGTATACAGAGAATAGAATATTTTGATCAGCCATACCGTAGTGTATTGATTTAATATATGTTTCCTTCGTTGAAGGCTGTAAAAATATCATCTAATTCGAGGCCATTGCCGTGCCAAAACAGCGAAGTGCCAGTGGGTGATAGCCAATTCCCGTCAGCATTATAGCCGGAATGCAAATCATCTTCCCGCAGTCCAATCACTGAGGTAGAAGGCTGTGTCTTATGTGAAAGTAGCTGGCTTACGGCCTCATCGGGTTGAGGGTTCGAGTCAATCATTGGTCTTGGGTCGATGATAGTGTTTTCAATAGCGGAGGGATGAGGCCACATGCCGTTGCCATCGTTTCTGCTGGGCTGCAGCACATGGAGAACTTCTTCTACTGTCGGCGATTCTTCTGCAATGGGTGGCTGTAGGCTATGAAGTGCGGATACCTGCTGGCCAACTTGTTGATACGAGACTGAACGTCTCTCTTGGTCGTCCCGAACATTCAAATCACAACCACCTAGAAGATACCGTCTGATAGATAATACTTGACGAGCAACAGCCTCGTCATTCGACGATTCCATGTTGACGGTCTCTCCGGCAACAAATTGATCTAGACGGCGTAGCGCGGGATTGAACAGTCTTTCTAGCTCAAGTATCATCTGCTTGACCTGTGGCCATCGATGTAACATTTTATTCAAGACCATAGGGATGGCGTGCATGAGCCTGAGGATCTGCACAGCGATTGTTGGATCCAGGAAGGATTCTTGATGTCGCCATATCAAATCAAGACCAGTATGCGTCCCCTCAACAAGAACAATTCCTATTTCGAAGAAATGCCAGCAGCAGAAATGCCAGTAAAAGAAACTCCCCTGCTGTGAAAAGCGACAATATTCAGAAGCATTGAATATTCCCGCAACCATGCATTCGCGACGCATTGCATTAGATGGGTTGGGCAATCTTGGAGAGAGACGATTCAGCCGCATTCGCTGATAGTTATACATGAGATATCGAAACTCTATTCTACATGCAAATTGGTGACAGTCTAGCATCTCTCGCCAGGATTCTGCTCGGGCTCGAGCGTCATTAAGCCACTCCGGTGCAGCGATTCGCGAATCCCCGCAGTTTTCCGCGTGTAGCATCCCCAACGTTATCTCTGCCTCTAACTGTCTGAAGGCATACAGATAGTTTGCGAGGGCAGCTTTGACCCCATGTTCGGTCTCGATGTTTTTCAAGGTGGGATAACGAACGGAGATGTTGACATTGAAAACACTAGACGGTTTACCAGTCAACATGTTGTTCTGAGCATCTAGAACATAGCACGTCCAAAATATCCTTCGTTGGCTTTCCAGATTAATGAATCGACGAAGGTTTACCGCGGAGGGTTCCTGATGTAGACCAAGTTGCACACAGAGCGCCATGGCTGCTCGAGAACACAGACCAGAGTTGACAACGGATGGGTTAGCGAAGCCATAATGACAAAGCAACATGATTGCCTGTAGCTGCACCAGAGGTCCCTGTTCCAAGACGGAGTCGAGACTCGTAATTGCCGTCTCCCAGAACTCATCTGCGGCTTTCGTTGCTCTTTCCTGATCATGTCGGATCAAGGTGTGTGCCTGTTGATAGCCGGTCGGTTAAGACAACCAGTGCAGAAGTGAGAGACAAGTTCCGAGACGTAACTCACACTGATAGAGAGAGCCATGCACACAACATACAAGTCGAATTGAGTCGCAGTTCTGTCGTATACTCTGTTGCATTGCTCTACAAGTTCCGATTCATCAACAATCGGGTACTGCGCCAAGTAGAAATCGGCGTAGTGTTTCAGCATAATGTCAACCACATTGCGAGGAATTGACGCTATATCCCTTCTCTGGGCTACAGCCCGAGCTCTAAGTGTAGGTACATCCACCGCCGCCGGATCGCGCACGGGGTCTAACGTGGGAAGCAGCGACGGTGAAATATATGGAACTGACCGCCACGACTCCGTATTGTAGCCAGCATCGTACGCACGGTCACAGCCATTTCTCAAACTTATCGATGCTAGCAATTGGCTCCTGTACTGTGACAGAACTCCCGGTATGAGTGCTTGCTCAACACTCTGGTCGCCCGCAGCGTGACATTGTAGCTTGGCCAATTCGATCTCCAAGTGGGCTACTTTGTTCTCCAGGAAAGCCACAAGGCTCCGCGGCTGCTCTTCTCCCTTGGTCGCATCAAACCCCATACAGTCGACGCCGACTGCAGCACATGTTCCACAAGTAGGGTACGCCAAGTCGCACCTGATCTTGCGCTTGCGACATCGTGCACAAGCGCGAGTAGCCCGGGGATTGCGCCCGGATGCCCTCACGTCCAACATGGATGGCTTTGGGGCGATGTATGCGAGCGAGTGAGTCTCCAGTGCATCGTCACCTTGCACGACGTTGGTTGAGAGCCAATCAGAGGCTGAGTATTGTCACTAGGGTCACGTGATTCGGAGCGCGGTCCGATATTGAGGCCGTGGCAGCCTCAGGCAGCGCGATCAATCCAGCTGAGTCCACAAATCGTCATCGACGCCTTCCTGGTCTGCATCCAGGCTTTGCGTCTGCTTTACCTTGCTCCTCGCAGCTCGAATATGTCTGCCCCTGCACAGACATGCGTGCGATGCCGAAGTCGGAGGACGAAGTGCGATTTACGACTGCCAAAATGCGGTTCTTGTCGTAGGGCGGGCGTGGAATGCCTCACCGTGGACCTTGGTCTGGGTGAAAAGGTTCCTCGAAGGTAGGCTCCTGTTGAATGGCCCTAGGCTCTTGGGCAAGACTAATGATGCTCGAGCTGCTAGCTATATACATTCGCTCCAGCAGCGAGTGCAAGAGCTGGAGGAACGAATTCGTCTTCAGCAGGACACTACGCAGTCTTCGCAAGTTTCCTCCGCACAGGAAGATGAAGCATCCATACAGGAGTATGACTACATGGGCTTGGGGACGTCTTTAACGTTGTTTGACCAGCTCAGTCGATTGCCTGCCCTCTTTCCGCCAGCGACTGCGGTCCTTTCTGCAGAGCCTTCAGGAAGATGGAAAAACCGAAAGTCAAAGCCTCTAGCTCTCCCTTCGTTACCCATTGAATTGGACAACCTATTGCCTCCTACAGTACAGAGACACTTGTTGAATTTCTTCTTTGACGCAATATCAACTGAATTTCCACCTGTCTTTTCACAGCAACAACGATCCATGTTCTTGCTGGAAACAAATACCCTTCTAGTGTCTCCAACTGCACCTAACACGTGGCTGCGCATTATCTTGCTCTCTATATATTCTATCTCCGCTCGCGTCTTGTCCAGAGACTTCTACACAGACTACTCTTATCTTGAGAATATCTGCTTGCAAGAAGTCAATCGAGCGTTTCCGATCCCACAAAACAGTCATATTTTCGTCTATGACAAGCATGCCCTGGATCGGGTGACGATTCTTTGTCTATGCATAATTCACGAACTAGTAGGTGCATCCAGAAACAAAGTCTCTTCGGATGTGTTGAATGCAGCCCAGACACTTTTGGCTATCGTACCATATATCACCAAAAGTGATGAGGATGATCAACAATCGGCATCGCGGCTTGCATTTTTCCTGTCTCAGGTGGAAGCGTGGGTTGCCCTCGTGTTTTTATTTTTTTTTTCCCTTGCAGAGAAAAAACACTAAATATCTTCTTTTAGCTTGCTTTGTCTACACTTCAAGCGCCCGTCTGCTCAATACACTGCGCTTCGCAGTCATTCAAATCATGCGATTACGTGGCTAGACGTATCCATGGAAATTGTACAATTATTTCAAGGTGATTTTGAAAGCCGTAATGAGAGTAGCATCGAATCTGTCTCTTCTCTGTGGGACAAGATCTCACGGACAAAATTCCTATTTGAAGAATCAACGTTGCTGCTGAAGCTCTACCTACATCCTGCCTTTTCCAGCAACCTGGCTTGGCTCACGAGTAATAGTCCGTCTGATGCTTGTCCCTGCTCTATTACACTGCTTAATCGGGTTGCTCAAGCAGCTCGGTCGTATCTGGAATACATAGCAGCAAAACAAGAATCACAACAGCCTATTATCTGTATATCTCTGGCATTGGAGCGCGCCCTCCAAGCGGGTTTTGTTTGGGTTATTTACATACTTTACAGCGTTAATCATTCCAGAGATGTCGACCAGAAGGGCAGTAAAACTCACGCAATACACGGCATGAGTGGTTCGGGTTTGTTGGAGCCACTGATCTGCTGCCAGTCTATTCTACTCTCTCTATCAGAGATGTGGAAGCCTGGCAGGCCTTACTATTTGGTGTGGAACATGGTTCATAACAAGGCAGTTAATGCATTTATGCAAAGCGCATGCAATTGTGGACCTGAGAAATGAAGATTGGGTGAAAATATTTTTGCGAGCAAAGTCTCACACAATATAAGTATTAGTGAAGAGATGATTGCTCCCACTAGCCCTACCGACCGCTGCTGCTAGAACGTTTCAACGACTACGGGCATAATATTTGGTACTTTTCACTCATACAATCCGCGCGTTGCCTTTCGTGAGCGTTCTATACACATTTCAAGAGACGTAACATATCTTCGCCGTTCAAGCTTTATTTTGAACCGTTTCGACAGGGCAGATTGGACCGATCGGTCCTCATTGAAGTGGATGTAATCGACATTTGGAAGGGCATCAATGGACGCCTTGATATGAAAATGAACGATCAGACGAACGTATGTTGCGTAAAGGAGTCGATTAGAAATTGCAACAGCCGGACACATGCGGGACCCAGCTCCATAGGAATACTGATATGGAGGGCCAGGTTGTTTCACAGTATGGATCCCGTCCTCCAGCCATCGTTCTGGTCGAAATAGATGAGCATCAGGACCATAGCAAACGGCGTCATGATTAACGCTTTGTGTGTTGATATGTACCGTGAGTCCCTTGGGAATTTCAATACCGCGCCAGGTGAATGGCTTCATGGTCTGTCGTGGTGGAAGGAGTGGAATGGGACAATAGTAACGAAGGCCTTCGCGTACCAGAGCGATAACATAAGGAGACTTCTCTTCAAGAACGCATTCATCCCAAGCTGCCTCAGTGCTGCCATGGTGTTTCAGGATGTCCTGGAATGCTTTTTCCTGCATAAGCTGGCCTTCATCTGTAGAAAGCCAACTGATGCAGGCGTTGGCAGAAGTGGCTAGCGTCTCGAAGCCACCTGATACGAAAGAAACGTTTATAGATTTTATTTCCGCCTCTGTCAGTTTGGTGCCACTCGTGTCCTTCAACAGGCCTGCAGAGATGCAATCTGATTTCCGCCCGGCCGAGACAGCGTCCACGACTTTCTGAAACAACTCGTTCAGCCAGTCATCGCGGACAGTCCGGTCATTCAAGGCTATCTTCGTCCTTGCGCTATTTGGTAAATAGCGGTAGAAAGGGACGTAGTCTTGTATGTTATTATTGGTGGATCGGAATCTGATAAACCCCAATGAGCACAACACCCAAACGGCATAGAAGATCCAGACACGGGAGAATAATGACTTACGATGAGACCGATCTTGCTACTCATAGGATCTTGTGCAATAAAGGATCTTCAACGCTGGCAATTCGAGTACCATAGCACCACATCAAAGTCAGATTCAACGCCTGACGCTGGAAAAATATTCGAGGATCCACCTCAGAAGCGCCGTGGGCCGCACAAGCAAAGATGTCGTTGACCAGAGCCGAAGTTTCGATATCTAACATGGGAGCTGATCGTTGGATGGCCGGGCGAGTCATCAAGGCACCAATAGCGGTGCGCATACGTTTCGTTGATTCATTCCACGGCGCTGTACCAACCGTTCCCCCTTGGGTCTTGCTTACAACACTGTGAAAAGTATAGAAAAGTGGACGGTCAATTGTTGCCGATGCATTCCTCACAAAGAAATCCTGCGCCGCTTCGTAGGAGTTGACAACCAGGATTCGCCGATTCCCAAGCTTCGCTTGTAGCACTTCATACTTGTTCTCTCTATAGAATTCTTGAAATGCAGATGGGTGGTCAGAGCCAAGGAACTTCAGATGACCGTAGAAAGGGATTGCCTTAGGTAGCTCTGGGATTCCTTTGATTTTAGGCACATCAGTGCCATAGGCGACCTTGAAGAGCCAGGATGCGAAAAGTGAGAGGCTCGCCACAACACAGAAAACCTGCCAGGTTGCCAACTCCGCTAAGTCTGTACTGTATGTGTTGACCATCGCTGTATCACTTCTCTCAACACAGCAATACTTAAATCACACCTTTAGTGTCTCTCTCCGGTATCGCTAGTCTGATCTCCGCATGGCTTGTATGGAATTAGCTTTACTAAATATTTCAGAAAACTACAACTCAACAGACATTATCCTGCAATATGCTAGATAAGCCATACCATAGCCCTTCCAGCTTCTTTTGGCCCGCTCTCCACAACTTGCAGGCACTAGGGCTGTTGCTTATCGACGACGGAGAAAGCCGATGCCATCAACGGAAGAAAAAAGCCCTTTTCCATGATTGGCAACCTGAAAGAGCTGCCAAGTTTGAAGTCTAATCAAGATAACACCAAATATACGAGCACCAATAGTTGAATTGCTTGCTTCTGGCCGGAAACGAAGGCGGGAAATTCTTTCTTACACAGCTTGACCGCAGTGTTGTCCGTCTTTGATAAATGAATAGGTTGCATCTTTACCCTCCAATATTGCAGGCTGGGATTATCGTCATTGGTAAAAAATGTCTCATTTAAAGGCTGAAAGCCTGTTTTCGATTCCTGGCAGAACCGCTGTCATAACCGGTGGAGGTTCGTTACATCGCCGTTAAGCATCACCGACGTTAGTTACATATAAGATGGGAAGACAAAACAATCTAACGCAACAACAGGAAGCGGCCTTGGTCGCATCTGTGCCAAAACATTTCTATCGAATGGTGCATCTGTGACAATCATCGATCGCGATGCCTCCAGGCTTGAAAGTGTAAAGACAGAGCTTCAACAGATCAAAGAACAGCTGTCACTCAACGGTGAAATCAAAACCATCCATGGTGAACTGGGTAACAAATCCTCTCTACAAAAGGTTGTTGCCACAGTCCGTGAGATGCACAGTGAAATTGATATCTTAGTCCACTGTGCTGGGATCAGGAAGCAGAACAAAATATCTTACGAGGTCGGCGAACCGCTTGAAAAGTTGTTCCAAGCCACAGAGTCATTGGCATATGAGGATATCGAGATGTCATTTCGAGTCAATGTTCTGCCACAGTATTTCCTGACTTCCGGTTTGATCGACTACTTAGGTGCAGCCGCAAGGAAAGGAGGTGGGAGGGGCTGCGTGATATGTTTCAGCAGCGTAGCTAGCAAGCACAACGGACAATTTGTTCCAGCATACCAAACCACCAAGGCATCAGTCGACCACCTAGTGAAAATCATGGCGGCAGAATTTGCAGACTTTTATAGTAAGAGGACGCTTCTGGATCTTCAAAGTTTGTCAGAATCTAACTTCCTTTTCCACCGTCAGTCCGAGTCAATGCAATCTCACCGGGCCTTTTTCTCTCGGCTATGAACCCGTCTGACCCCAATCATCCAGAGTCGAATATGCGGTATGCCAAGGAGATGCCTGCGCGTCGGGCGGGCTATGAAGAGGAGATGGCGGGCACAGCTTTGTATCTGGCTTCTCCGGCTGGAGGTTATACGACGGGCGATAACATGCACGTTGATGGAGGCCGATTGCTAGTAGCTGCAGCCAAGATATCATCACGATTGTAGATACCTATGTTGGTATTGATTATGGACGAGACTCTGTGAGGGGCATCCATTGATTTATATCCATTATTCTCGTGAGACTTCCAGATATACCTAGATATACGATCACATAGGATATCTGCAACCTAATAGTGCGCTGCCTAGGAATTTGAGGATTTCGTAGATGAGAAGAATGATCATTACTTGTGCTTACATTACCTATCTTGGATATGTATCCCTATATGTACTTACTACTGATGATCTACCTACCTATCCTGATCTACTTGATGCTGTTATCGCTATACGGTGCAGTATATAAGTAGCTAAAATATGTTAATAGCTAGATATAAATAATCATTAAAAATAATCAGATATTAGGTTTATTTAGAATTTTAGATGAATAGAAGCTGTTCCCCAGTAAGGCGTCAACCTCGACACCAAAGAGATAACATGGAGTACCTGTTAAAACCTCTCCGCCCCAAAGGCGTGGCCAAGTGTTACGACATGCGTGTATATACGATTAGAGGAGCCAATACAAAAGAAAGGTATCAAGGCTTACTAAACATATACCGGTAGTTATTACAGCGAGATACTGGTACATAACACTTGCCGAAGATAATATGGTACATATAGAGCTAGATCACCCCCAATTCCACGGTACACAGGGAGATTGGGGATGCCCAAGCAGATATATATTCACCTTATAGGTATTAATCCATGTCCATTAGACCATAGCAACAGCTTCACCGTTCAGCTTCCAGACTCTGGAGTCTTTCATAACAAATTGTACATTTCTCAAAGCCTTGATGTCTTGCAGAGGATTTCCGCCCAAAGCAATAATGTCTGCCCGGCAGCCTTCCTCAAACCATCCAAACTTCACTCCACACTGTTGTTTACCACAGCTTTCCCATCCCCCTACCGTGCAACTTTCAAGCACATCCTCAATGGGAATTCCGGCCTCAATCATTAATTCCAGCTCTCGCACATTATCTCCATGGGGGTAAGTACCAGTATCACCACCGCAAGCGAGACGAACGCCGATAGTATGGGCAAGTTTCACTTGCTTCAGGATTTCCGGGAAACGCTTCTTGTGCAGGTTTTCGCACACAGCTAGCGTGGGTACAAAGATAGTGCCTTTTTCCTTCATCAACTGGAAAAGCTCCTCATCTGCAAAATAGCCATGCTCAATCGTGTTAACGCCCGCTTTAACAGCGCCAAGCGCACCTTCGATTGTACCGGCGTGGCAAGCAACAGGACATTTTGCCAGTTTGGCTTCTTTGACTATCATGTCCATCTCTTCTTGGTGAAATAGCAGTACATCAGGGTTGGGCTCCTCTGGTGGATGCGTCACGCTGTGGACGTATGGATGTTGTTGAGCCGGGGGCCATCGCATGATACGTCGGCGATAATCCGCAAAGAATTTGATGATATCGGCGCCCTCAGCGATCCGTCTGCGAACGGCTTTCTGAGCTTCGCTGGGTCCATCAACCGGTTCACTTCCTTGGGGCAAGCAAACCCCGTTACAGGCGTTCTCGGTACGGGACTCATACGAACCCGTGCTTGCTAGCACTTTGGTGGCCACAAATAGTCGAGGCCCGGGTATCAAGCCACGAGAAATGGCGTCGCGCATGTTTGCATCCATCGAGCCAAGGGATTCACTGCCCAAGTCGCGATACGTTGTGTAACCGGCCAGAAGTGCGACACGGCAGTGGTTCACCGCGCGGACAATTCGCTCAACGACGCTCTCATCTCGCTTCTGTTGCAAAGAAGGTCTCTCGTCGTAGGAATGGAGAAATATATGCGTGTGGGCATCTACGAACCCGGGCATAACAAACTGCCCTCGCAGGTCGAGGACATCCTCGGATGGTGACGAAGCGATTCCTTCGTCGGAGGAGCGCTGAAAGACTTGAACGATGTTTCCGGTCTGTCTATCGACAATAATGCTTGTATCCTGCAGAACCCTTTTCTGTTTAGGATCAAATAATTGACTCGTGTGGATTGTATACTGAGCCATTTTTTGAGCGAACCCTGCAGATGTGTAGTGACGAATGTGGAAAGCACTGCTTGATAACTTCGAGCAGCTCAACAATTTTTGTCACGACAGGCCCCCCTCATCAGCCACGTGAAACTGGTTCACTCAACAAACAGAAGTGGAGCTACATACGGCGATAAGAGAAAAGGCCAAAGAGCTTCTGTGGAGAAATGTCTGATGCATATCCCGACAAGTCCGCCGACTCGGAGACATGGCCGGCCCAGTTAGGGTTTGCTCCATTTCGACGGAGAAAGCCTTCGCGTATCTCCGCTTATCAGGAACAGCTCATGCCTGTACGAACGAGAAAGACTCAAGATTGGGGAGGGGTTGAGGTTACCAACAGGTTATCAACAGGTTATCTCCTCGACATGTAGCGCGTTTGTATGTCTATCTAGGCTTTTTGTCTGGATAACCCCCGTAAGAACGTTCCCCCCTGCGACAACTTCCAAATCTCCACCCGGGCTCTAATTGGCGATAAGGGTATTGCTATTAGTAGGGTTTTTCGTATCCTGCGTATAAATTATCATGAAAATACAAATCATCAGGCCCAGTCTGTCGACTTTTCGTCGACCCGTCTAAACCAGCCATCACCCAAGAAAGTCACCGGGTTACTCGCATTTCCATAGTCTTAGAAGCACGGCATCGCATTCATTAACTACGTTGGTTGTTAGAAAGTATCTGAAAAGAGAACACTATGACAGGCCCTGATCCACAAGCCTTTGAAAAGCCCGACGAAAATATGGAAAAAGTGGCCCCTGTCATCTCTCGAGACCGCTCGGAGATGGAAGGCCAGCTCAAATATGACAAGGGCACCGATGAAGCCTTGAAATTCATAGGCGGCCATGCAGTGGAGGTTACGGAGGAAGCAGACAGAAGAGTTCGTCGCAAAATTGATTCTCGTCTTTTGCCATGGTAAGTGAGAATTGTGGCAAACTTGAAAACGTTAAACGAGGGGATCCGCTGGCTAATTAGCAGTGTTTTCAGGATGTGTGGATTATACCTCTTGCAATACCTTGACAAGACCGCTCTGTCATATGCTTCCTCGATGGGTATGAAAGCCGATACACACATGAGTACCAGCGAGTACTCGTGGACTGGATCAATTTTCTATGTTGGATACCTGGTGTTCGAATATCCACACAACCGCTTAATGCAGAAATTCCCTCTGGGAAAATATCTATCCATCTGTGTCATTCTCTGGGGTATGGTTTTGTCCGCGACAGCGGGGACTCAAAATGCTGCTGGTGTTTTGGCCGTTCGCTTCTTTCTTGGTGCCTTGGAGGGTGCAGTTACTGCCGGTAAGGCCTCATGCCCCATTGCATTCACTCTCCTAAAGAACTTCAATTAAAATTTGCTGCCTTTCGCTTCTCGATAGGATTCGTACTAGTAACCTCACAATGGTACCCATTGAAGGACCAAGGCACCCGGTGTGCTATTTGGTTTTCATTCAACGGCGTGTCCCAGATCATCGGCGGTGTTCTAGCGTATGGCGTTTATACGGGCTTCGAGAAGGCGCACTACACTTTTCCCTCATGGAAGGCAATATTCCTTATTCCAGGTCTTCTAACGGCTGTGTGTGGTATGTTCATGTACTACTTTATGCCCGACTCGCCCGTCACTGCTCGTTGGTTGACGGAGGAGGAAAAGCACATTGCCGTGGAACGGATTCGTGGAAACCAGCAAGGAATTGGAAGCAAGGTTTTCAAATGGAGTCAGATTCGTGAGGTGTTTACGGATATTCGAGTAAGTTATTCTTGCATGCTTTTTACCAACGGATAGGTTTAAGGTGTGGCTTACATTCTGTGGCTTACAGACATATCTGATATTTTTCTTCATGGTGACCGTCGACATTCCCAACGGTGGCATCACTGTGTTCTTCACAGAGCTCATCGAAAGCTTTGGTTTTGATACTGAAAAGACGTTTCTCCTCGCCATGCCCGGCGGTTTGGTTGAGGTCATCTCCCTCATCGGGCTCTCGTACCTAGCTAACAAAATAAATAATCGCATGTTCTGCGCAGTGATTGGGCAGCTTTTCGGACTACTGGGAATGGCGCTGATGATGGGCCTTTCACGAAGTGGTGTCACAGCTTATCCCATCGGCCAGCTCGTTGGATATTATCTTATGATGGGCAATACTGCCACAGCGTTGACGCTGGTTCTTTCGGTTATCTCTTCCAATACAGCCGGATACACCAAGAAGACCACTGTCAACGCCATTGCCTTGGTTGGGTACTGTGTTGGTTTCCTAATAGGACCCCAGACCTACCGTCAGTCACCCGCTTATCCTGATGCCAAGTGGACGACTATTGCTATGTGGACCTTTGCACTGCTCTGTTGTTTGGCTTTGTATTTTGTCAACAAGAGGGAGAACGATAGAAGGGACAAGTTAGCAGCTGAGCTGCCGCCGCAGCCCGAAGGGCAGGAATTTTTGGACTTGACAGACAAGGAGAATTTGTACTTTAGATACAGTCTTTAAGGATTTCATTTCGAGTCCAGGAAAAACGCCATCCCGGCGTCACCTCACCACTGATTGGACAAATATCATGGTTATATATTACATATTATTTCATACTTTTATGTTTGTTGTGCACTTGACAGCGGATTAGTAAATTGCCGCTACCGAACGCTGACGCGGCGCCAAGTTGCTAGCGGTAACAACTTCATCTATTTAATTGAAAAGGTAGAGTAACTTAGTTTGATTGAGCTTGCATACTTCCATATACTAACCTCGGGTATTCTGCCATTCGAATGACTGGGTGCAATGGATAGATCGCTCGATGGCCGTTGACAATAGGCCACGCTGCAGCGCTTGAAAAGTCCCCGTGAAAAGCTTCATTTGAACGATGCTTCCTGTTTTCGCGGCCAGGAAATGGCCCTGGGAGCCAAATCACTCGTCGCGCAGGGGCCTCCTCCCAGTGGCATCTGGTCTCTTCGTCTTCTTGACGGCCATCGCGTCGGTTTCCTTTTTGCTTGCGCCAGTTCTGCGACGCCTACACTTGCAGTTCGGGCTCACCCTCTTCGACTACGGGTTTTACGGCCTTTATCCGACACGCCACTATGTCAGTTTCGATCTCGCCTCGCCTGACGTGGAATTGGCCCGCTGGGATTCCCGGTGTAGTGATGATTACGTTTTTATGGCTCCGCACGGTAAACCGATTGAGGGATCCTGGCCGCTAATTCTCGATGCCAGGGGCAATCTGGTCTGGACGATGCCCACGGTCGACACAACACAGGATTTCCATGTGCAGGAATACCTTGGCGAGAAATATCTCACGTATTGGCACGGGGAGAACCTAAATGGACACGGATTAGGTTCATGGTCTATGGTTTGTAATCGCTGATTGAGAAACCTCTTCTAGTGCTAACTTGAACAGCTGGATTCTTCCTATGTCCACCGATTCGAAGTGGTGACGATAGGCGATTTCGACGGCGATCTGCACGACTTCCAAATAACATCGAATGGCACGGCGCTCGCTGTCATCTATGACCTCCAGGCCGCCAACCTGATGGGTCAAGGCGGCCCGCAGTCTGGCTTCATCTACGACGGGGTCTTCCAGGAGATCGATATCGCCACCGGCAATCTGCTCTTTGAGTGGCGCACTTCACAGCACGTCCCGCTAGATTCGTCGTACAAAACTCTCGGGGTTGGGGGCAAGGACCGTTCCCTGCCATGGGACCCATACCACATTAACAGCATCGATAAAGATGAGGCCGGTAACTATCTCGTCTCTATGCGCCACACGCACGCTCTATATAGCATCGACGGCACGACCGGCGAAATTCTGTGGACGTTGGGCGGGAAAGCGAACCAATTCATAGATGTTTCTGACGGCCAGGCCACCAACTTCGCCTGGCAGCATGATGCGCGTTGGCGTGACAATCGCACCATTACTCTGTTTAACAACAACGCTAAGGATTTCCTCGGTCCTGTAACTCAGAGCCGCGGTATGATACTCGATATCGACGTGTCGAACCGCGTTGTCGGCCTACGCGCCTCGTATTTCCACCCGGAGGGCCTTCGCGCAGCTTCTCAGGGCAACGTGCAAATCTTACCAGACTCGGGCAATGTGTTTATCGGCTGGGGTCACTGTGCCGCATACACAGAGTTTGCACCGGACGGCGAGGTGCTGTGCGACACGCACTATGCCCCCTCAAACTGGTTTCAGCTGAGCATCTTGTTCTCGTACCGGGTCTACAAGAGCAGTTGGGTTGGCCGCCCGCTGACTATCCCCGCGGCAGCTGTTATTGGGGATTCGGTTTATGTGAGCTGGAATGGCGCCACGGAAATCGTCGCCTGGCGATTAGAGCTATGGGACGGTTCAGATTTGAATGACATGAACTTCTTGCCCTCCACCATTGTAGAGAAGAACGGCTTTGAGACTAAGATTGAGCTTCCAAAAGCCCTTCCCAACATATATTTTCGCGTTGTTGCGCTAGACGATCAGCACGACGTCTTGGGGAGGACAGAGGTCCTTGCGAAGCATCGCAAGACTACCTTTGCGGAGGCGCTGTGGAATATTTGGAATATGATGTCCCGCGCTGTTCTCATAACGGTCTTAATGCTTGTATGCTGTGTGATACTGGCCATCTTCTGGATATGGACGCTATGGCCGAGTCGATTTCGTTGTCATTTGGGACGACGATTCCGCTTTCAGCCAGTTTCGACCGACGAGCATACGGCTATACCACTAATGAACAATAATCATGACCATGCGGATTAATGCCTTGTGTACATACATCTATACCCAAGTATATATAATTTTATTTGCGTTGTATTTAAAATAGAGACGTATGGAACACCTCGGTAGGGAGCTTTGCATTGTTTGGCTTCCACCTCCTCACTTAGGTATGCACCTATGACAGAGTCTAGATAGACTCGTGGAATTAGCGTGACTGATAATGATTTTCCATGATTGAGTTTCGCCAGTAAAACGAGAGTGTCGGTGGACTTGGTAACCCCCGCTCTCAGTAAGCAGCACCGGATTTTCGCGTTTCTCCGCCGCTATTCTGCGTTTCTCCGCATACAAAAGCGTCTGCTTAAATTGACCGGATTATTAACCATCGACCTTCTCCGATGTAGGTTCTTTCAGTGCTTTGCTGTTCTTGCGCGATTATTAAAAAGTGCCCGGCAGTCTAACACATCATGACTAGAACAGACGGTAGACCCTACGTCGCCACTCTTCGCCTTCGGGGCTCATCCCCATATGAAATCGGCCTTCAACATGGGCAGCAGGCCAAGGAACAAATCTACAATAACATCAGTACTTACGGTGCGTTTTTTGACGAAACCGCGGGCTTGCATAGTTGGGAAGACGTGAAGAAGCGCGCAACGATCTTTATTCCGACACTCGAGAGGTTATACCCGGAGATTTTGAAGGAAATCCAAGGCATTGCAGACGGGGCACAGCTCGACCGAGAAGATATCCTTGCCTTGAACGTGAGAAGTGAAATTGCCTTGACGAACTATGACAACTCACCTAAAGAAGAAGGAGAGAAAGAAAAATTACCCCCAGCAATAACGGATGGGTGTACCGCAATCGCGCAACGCTCGCAGGATGGGCCAACCCTGGTTCTGGCGCAAAACTGGGATTGGATAGAAGAATTACAAAATGGAATGGTCATTTTGGATATCATCACACCGGATGGGAAAACGCGTCTGCAGTTCCTCAATGAGGCCGGCTTAGTGGGTAAAATCGGCCTCAACTCACATGGAGTTGGTATTTGTATGAACGCGATTCGCTGTGGTGCACTTGCCACTAATCGTTTACCAACGCATATTATGGCTCGACGTGTCTTGCAGTATGCGAAAACTTTTGATGAAGCCGTGAAAATGCTTGACGAGTTCGGCGGAGCTTGTACCTTCAATTTGGTCGTGGCGGATGTGCAGGGCAAATTTGGCAGTGTCGAGATTTCGCCGAATGGAGTTTCTATTATCAGTCCCCCGGAAGATAACGATACTAGCAAGGTCCCTGGAAAGGGACCTCTCTTTGTAGCACATACAAACCATATCATAACACCACCTACCGACTTCTCTCGCGGACCTATATACGACCGACCGGCACCAAACTCGTTCACCCGTCTTGAGCGAATGTCCGAGCTCACTTGGATTGATCTTCAGGGGGGTAGCAGTGTCACGCTGGAGTCAGTCAATGAACGACTAAAAGATCAGCAGGGCACACCATATAGTATCTGCCGTGACAGACCTCCCGGTGCAAAGGGAATGGAGAAAATGACAACGCTGGCCACTGTGTTGATGGAGTTTAATACCGCGACGAGAAAAATTATGCAAAGTCACATTACGGTTGGTCGGCCATGTGAGGAGGGCATACAGAAGATAGATATGGATTTTTAGACCAGCCATGTTGCAACTTATTGGTGTTAGCTTGGTCGAGAGAGCTACAGCAATGGAATATACATCAAGGATTGCCACATATCCGACACTTTTCAATGAACAAAATCTTTTCTAAGCCATTCAAGATTAAGCCAGCAACCCGTAACATCCTTCCGTTGGTTAACAGAAAGGTCATCATTATTACTTCGACCCTCTTTGATCATAGTTGGCAAGATTAGGGCTAGGGCTAGGGCTGAGGGCGGCGGCAGATTAAAGCCGCTAGCCAAACACGGTATGGTTGCCCCGCTGTCGCAGAATTCTCGAACTTCGCTGCAACCCGCATTTTTTCTTTAGCTTCAATCACGATGAGAGTTTGTGATAGTCACTATTCCAAATATGGATTGCATCTGGGGATGGTTGTTGTTGTTGTGTACCTCTCGACATAGACCTGCATGGACCGAAAATTTGTTACGCTGTCTCGCTTCAGCTCGCTGTTATTCTCATACTGTAAGATAAGATGTTTTGGCCCTATCTTGGCGGCAACAACAATCAAAGTAAATTGGCTTATCATTCACCTCGTGGGACGTAGCATTGGCTGTGCTGGTGGAGCGTAGCGTAGCGCTTCATTGGCAGTCGAGCGTCCATGGTGTATTCTGGAGATAAGGAAGCTGGCCCACTTGAAATCTCCGCCGCGAAAAAGGCCGACCCTTTAAAAAAACCGCTTTCTCTCTCTCTCTTCCTCTCTGCTTTTGTCACGTTAACGCTGTGCTATCCGACCATGGCGTCTCTTGTGCGGCGAGCGAGAGCAGCAGTCAAGCTGGACATTGACGAGGTTGATGCAGAGAGATCGCGATGGATCAATGAAGGTACATCTGTCGCTTAGGCACGCGACCGTTGGAAAATGCTGATCTTTGCTGCCAGACCTGCTTCCAACGCCTCCAGAACAGCAGAGTAAGCACACGCTCACTCGCTACTTAATGGAGTCTTTGCTCATGAAATAATAAATAGCCTGGCGCTGGTGGAATTATCTGACTTTCTACTGGTCTATCTCCTTCACCAACTGGACCTTGGGATCTGTAAGTGCAGGCAGACATGTGGAAAAACCGCGTTTCCTCGTTGCTAATTTGCTAATCAATCAATCAGACAATGATCGGCGTCGGTCTTAACTGGTGGCAGGCCATAATCGTCATCTTTGTCTCCCAGCTCATCTCGTCCATTGCCATGGCCTTCAACTCACGCTGCGCAAGTGTATACCATATCGGTTTTCCTTGTGTAGGACGCAGTGTCTTTGGCATGTGGGGAAGCTATTACTTTGTCGGTGCAAGAGCGATTCTGGCTATCATTTGGTACGCAGTTCAAAGTATGTCTACCTTTTCTCTGTCTTGCTCTGACAGTTCTGGCTAACGCCTTGTCTCCAGTGTACTCCGCCGCTAATTACATGTACAATATGCTTCGTGCCATTTTTGGCCATAACTTTACCGATATTCCGAATCACCTGCCAGAAAGCGCTGGCATCACCACTGCCCTAATGATGTGCTTTCTCCTCGCCTGGCTGATTCATTTGCCCTTCTGCTATTTCCGCCCCTACCAATTGCGCAAGTTTTTCTGGTTCAAGACCATCGTTTCGGTTCCCGCCATTTTTGGACTGTTCATTTGGGCCATGGCAAATACCAGAGGTCGTTTGGGTGGAGGTCTTTACTCATCCTCCTCGTCTAGTTCCAGCGCCGTGGCATGGATGATCTTGTCAGCAATTAACAGTGGCATGGGGTAAGCTAACCCTTTTTTTTAATCTCTCCTCAAATTTTAGAACTCCGAGTTTGACTTGTCGGGCTTAGGAACACGGCAACTTTAATCACAAACCAGCCCGACTATGCAAGGTGGGCTCGTAGCAGAGGCGCACCTCTTTGGACGCAACTTGTAAGATATCTTCTTTCTGATTTTGAGCCATTCACTTCTTGTTTCCCCTGTTCTAATAGCTTTAGTTCTCCAACCCATTTTCCGTGACTCTCTCTGCCAGTCTGGGAATTCTTTCAACTGCGGCTGTAAATCTGAAATTCGGCACGGATGTTTGGTGCGTCTGCTTGTCAGGAATATAGTTGGCAGTTACATGCTGAACTAACGCTTGCTCAAACAGGAATCAATGGGACATGATGAATCTTATTATGGACCACTACTGGACTTCCGCCGCTCGCTTTGCCGTTTTCCTATGCGCCTTTGCCTGGATGGTCCAGATTGTGGGTGTCAACATTGCGGCCAACATGATCGCCTTTGGTGCCGACTCTTCCATGTTGTTTCCTTCTTACGTCAACATGCGTCGCGGCCAATTTCTTATCGAGATTCTCGCTTGGGTTGTTTGTCCTTGGGAAATCCTTGCCTCGGCTACCAAATTCACAACCTTCCTCAGTGGATATGGTTTGTTCATGGTAAGAATTCGCAGCTCACTGCCATTCCCACTGACTATTATGTTTGTAAAAATCTTACTAACTTTTTTATTCTAGGCTAGTGTTGTAGCGATTATGGTATGCGACTGTAAGTATCTTTTATTTTTAGGCTCATGTGTTTTTACAATCACTTGCTAATATTTCAATTAGACTTCTTGCTCTCAAAAGGCAACGTCTTCATACCTTCACTTTATAATGGTACCTCGGCCAACAAGAACTATTATTACACCAAAGGCGTGAATTTGCAAGCCGTGTTAGCTTACATCATCGGCATTGCATTGCCTTTCCCCGGTTTCTGCGGTGAACTAGGCGCGAGTGTTTCCACAGCAGCGATACACTTGGTCGATCTAGGCTGGATTTTATCCTTTGCCACATCCTTTGTGTCCTACTATGTCATTTGCAGCATCTGGCCGACTGACAATATCAAATACGTGAGGGAACAAGGGTACAAGTTTGAGCAGATGGCTTCCGAGGCTCAGGTAATAGAGTCCGCTGATTATGGCATGTATAACGATAACGTTGTGCGGGATGATGTGTATATCGAAAAGAATCTGTCTTAGGTGACGGTTAATTTTAGGCATATGTGACTAGTCAATATCAATATGCACGTGTATACAGCTAGTTGCCCAAGTCAAAACCAATGCCATGGATTCTTATGAATTCTATGTTGATAATGTTCTGCAAAACTAAGTCGTCGACATAAAACCAGCCATACCTAGCTTCAACCTTAAGCATTGAAAGAAAAGGTTCGGCCCGGGAATCGAGATCCAGGGATCCACCCGTCCCGAAAGCCCACTCGAGCATTGTTTAGCTACTCTATGCGTAGTAATACTTCCTTTCACCAACTTCAGTATTTGAAATGACAAGTTTTTATTCAAAAGGATATTTCTAGGCATGTGACTATGAGAACCTATCCTCTAACGGAGAATAATGAAGGCGCCTCGTCAGCCTTGGATTTCTTGAGGAATAGCCACTCCCTCCAATCAAGCTGGCGGTGTGGGCTCCTGTGCATGGATGATGCATGCATGAATATTGCCTCAGCGAGTTATCTGCAGTTGCGTCAGCGAAATAGTACATTGATCGCCACCAAAGCATGATACGGGTTCCGTACGGAACGAGACTCGCCCATCTGTAGTATTGGGAACCTATAACCACACTTCTATCGACGACATCGAATTGTCGTATTTATCCCTGACCACCCATACTAAATATGACGTATTCTTCGAGAGGTATTACATGAAACACTTGAGAAATCGTTGTCCTGCATTAGAGTAGCTGCACAAACTCTTAATCTTGTGGATTCTTTTCCGAGATTTTTTTTTCCTGATCAGCAAGGGTTAGCGAAAGATATACATACGGTGTCCGAAGATCCATAGAACTATTACTAGTCACATTCTAGAAGAGGCCAATGTTGTAAGCCAATGTCAAACCGAGGGCCTTAGTGTAACAAGACTACGACTTCTCAGTCATCCAGTGTCACACCGCAGAAGTGGTACATGCGTAATGATTGTATATTTAATGACAACCCGATATCCATACAGATCCACATGATTTTCGACTACTACAAAGCTCATATAAGCTCACTAATTTGCTTTATTGAATGTTTTATGGAAGTATCTTACTGACATCAGTGATACAACGAGAAAGTCAGGATGAGGCAGCAAGTCGGTGATTCGTTACCCCCGGGAGATTTTTATGTAAGTGACAGATCAATTGCTACAATGAGACCCAAGCTGAAAAGAGACTGGCAACTAGGGCATCAGTGTGTATCTCCCAACATGGAGAGACACGTTGTCATGGGCTGAGCGACGTCCAGAGTTCTTGGCTAGACTGAAAACCGGATACCCTCGATTCTTTATTTCGTACGTGGTATTAGAATTGGCTTCACAGCTGCTGGAATACAAAAAAGCCACGGCATGTAACTCTGGGAGGAAGGATTTGTCTACGTCTTCGGGACCTTTACCATCACACTTGCAGCTGGGGCTTCTTCTGCCAACTTATCGAACTGCAATCGCTTGCCTGACGTATTTTCACGGTGTTGGCAGTACTGACAGTGAGATTATTCTTTACACATTCACTGGTGACATTGTCAACGTGAAAGAAGAATACATTCCATCTGAGGAAGCGCCCGACAGGCAGCTGTACGCTGTCACATATCCCGAGACCTTTGCTTCTCAAGGAAAAGCCTTCTGGCAACACACCGGAGCTGGTATTTCAAGTCGTTGTGCTGTATACTGGCTAGAACATGCGCCTTTTCTTAAGAACAAGAAATTTGCACAAGGAACACCCGCAGAGCTGCCACTCGAAGACGGTAATCGATCGGCGATCATGATTCGTGAACGGATTGCAAATTCCTTGTCGTCCCAGGTAGAAGACGTGACTTTGTATCCGACCGGTATGTCAGCCATTAGCAACACATCACTTGCCGTACGCAGTTTGCACAGCGGGGAGAATGGCCTGCACCGAGTGGCCATATTTGGGTACGTACTCAGTGATACTTGTGGGATCGCTCTTTTCTGACAGATCTAACCATCTAACCCTGTCACTAAAACAGGTTCCTATACGTTGATACCTTCAAGGTATTGAGTAAGATTCACGGCATGAAATGTTGTTTATACGGTCATGGCTCACCTGAGGACTTGGATAAGCTTGAGACAGACCTGAATGGCGGCTTGTTTGTTGATGCGCTTTATACGGAATTCCCTGGGAACCCTCTACTGCGATCACCCGACTTGGAAAGACTGCACAAACTCTCCCGAAAGCACGGATTTGTTTTAGTAGTTGATGACACAGTCTGTACAGCGGTTAACGTAGCCCTCTTTCCTTACTGCGACATCATCTGTACAAGCCTTACAAAGATGTTCAGCGGCGGCTGCAACGTTATGGGCGGGTCCTCTACCTTAAATCAACAGTCACCATGGTATGCAAGGTTGAAATCTGCTTTCTCAAAACAAACCCGTGAGCCTTACTTTCCTCTCGACGCTATGGTTATGGAAAAGAACAGCCGAGATTTTAGGGAGCGTGTTCTAAAAGCGAGTACGAACACAGAGATGGTTGTCGACATTCTCAAAGACCATCAATGCGTGGAACAAGTTTTCTATCCAAAAGGAAGCTCGTCAGAGCATATTTACAATAAATTTCGTCGGAGCGAGGGCGGATACGGGTTTCTGGTTTCCATTCGATTCGTGGCACCCGAAGCTGCAATTGCATTCCACGATGCGTTGGATGTGGCAAAGGGGCCGAGTCTTGGTACGAATTTTACACTCTGCTGTGCGTATACATTATTGGCCCACTATTCAGAGCTAGATTGGGCTGCCCAATATGGAGTTGTTGAGCATCTAGTGAGAATAAGTGTCGGGGTCGAGAGCCAAAGTCACCTCAGGGACGTTGTAAATAAGGCTTTGACCGCTGCTGAGAAAGCTATTGCTACCTGAAAACCGAAAGGGTGCCTCAGATTGGCTAAAAATAAATTATTTTACATTAGCAGATTTCTCTTTCATATATTCTGCTCAATTTGGTTATACATTCGTAAGGCAGCAACCGCAATCGGAGCTAGTATGCAAACCTTCAGACAACATGAAAGATCCGAGACATCCACTTAGGAAGCATAGATGACTTTCCATTTCCGCCAGTCTTTGAAGAGCGCGACTGATACTGTTCATCATCCCGGATGGACTGGAATCCACTCTCAAAATCTAATTGGGACAGCGGGATCACCTTGGATTTCATAAAGACCTTGAAAAAGGCATATAAAGCTAGAAGGAGTGTGTCAGAGTGCCACTTGAATCAAACCCCACGATTTCGGTATTATACTGACCGATGAATATGAAAATATTGAGATAGCATGTCAGAAATCCAGAGGCCGTGAAGTTCCCTTGGACGAAAACATCGAAGCCTGTGAGATATCAGCAGCGGTATCAACGGATAGGTTCATCAGGTGGGAACAAAAACGTACCAGAAAAGAATACAATCAGCGTAACCATGATTAGAGTTGCCCAGGCGTTGTATGGTTGTAGCGGGCCGTAATATGGAAGTTCTAGCTATGCAGTTAGTGATTTGTCGTGAAGGGACCCGAGTATGATGCTGCTCATAAAACATACGCTTGCGTGAGATGTCCTGGGTCTTCAAACCGTAATAGAACCTCAAGTACGTGATCTCAATCACAATCCAGCCAATAAGTCCAGCTACAGTCGTGATATTGACAAACCAGCCAAAGACAACGGAGCTATTGCTGCCCACATTCAGATACACGAGCGGAAGCAAGAGGCATGTCAAGCCAACGGCATAGTGTGGGACACCGAAACGATTGCACCGTTGAAAGATTTTGGGTGCGTGGCCATCCTGGCTTAGGCCGTATAGAGTCCTCGAGGCAATGAAGACACAAGCTGAGCCGCTGCTGAATGCTGACGTACAAACAACGGCATTGATAATGGACGGTACAACCGAAACTCCGGAACGTTGGAAAGCTATCACAAATGGTGACTGTTGTGCAGTCCCCGTGGAGATTTGCAGTTGCGAATCATTATAAGGACTAGTGACAAACGTGAGGTGAGCTGAGTGGTCGTCTGATATTTGATGAAAGCTGGAAATTGGACCTACACGATCATCCCGACTATGAATATACTGAGCACATAAAAAAAGAAAACGCGGAAAAACGTCTTGCGCGTCGCGGCGGGGATAATCTTTCGCGGATTCTGAGTCTCCGAACCGGAAATGGCGACGACCTGAATGTTTCCATAGCTGAAAGCAGCTGAAATCAGCACATCCCATATTGCTAGGAACCGACCCGTTGAACCTTGGTCAATGTATGTGTTAAAAGCCCCTGGAACTTTCCAGTATCGAAAGCCTATACGATCATGATTCGGGGCCCCGCCCAAGTCAATAACGAGTCCGCCGATAATGAGTCCGATGATCAACATGATTTTGAGTGATGCAAAGACAACTTCAGACTGGTCGACGTTAGAGGAATCCAACATCACAGATCTGGTCATGACGTACCTCTCCATAGAATCGAACTCCGCATAAGTTGAGCGATATGATCAGAACAAGGAACACAGAAATCCAAACCGCGGAGTTGATAGAAGCATTCCAGAATTGTATGACTGTAGCAGCGGCACTTATCTCTGCCGGCACCGAGATGGCCATTGTGTACCCTAACGAGACACAGGTAAGCCCAGTCGGACACTCCGGGGCGATGATGTTATGACTCACAAAAATTCCAACCGGTAGCTGCACCTAGCGCAGGCTCGACAAATTTCGTTGCATGGCGAACAAATCCACCTGTTGATGGCATAAACGAACTAATCTCTCCGGTAGTGTAGGAGACACCGGCAGTGACGAAGCCCATTATAATGTAAGCAATTAAGGCACCTGCCGGTCCTGCTTTCGCAATCACTGATCCGGAGCTCAAGAACAGGCCCGTTCCCTGGAGCAGAAGCAGTCAGTGATTCGGTGCTTGGCTGCGCAAGAAGGGATATGAAGGACAAACAATCATCCCTGCAATTGCAATCATATTAATATGGCGTGACTTCATGTCACGTCGGATCTCTTCCATAATTCCTGCCGATGATTCAACGCCAGACTCTATGTCGGGTGCATCATCATCGCTGGAGCCGGAGGTGTTGAAGCCCTTAGTCTGCTCCATTTGCATAGCCTTAGTGGTTGACATAGTGGTAATGGAAAATGTGTCTGGACATATAGGACCTCATGAAAGTAGTTATACTGTCGAATCTTTCCCCTAGGGTGTAAGGAGTAATCAGTTCCACATGGACACTGATAACGGCCAGTGCTCTGCGCCTTTCAGCTGATTGTTGATTGGGCGTTACCCAGGGGAACTCGACCGCGAAATCGGAGTGTGCGAGAAATTATTATTGCTTTTTCCCTCCGGCGTCTTGACCGATGTTCTCCGCCGGTAATATTAAGATAAGATAATTCTTAGTTGCCGGCGCTGAACTAAGTGAGACGCCGGTGGTGAACAAACTTTCTATACTCCGTGTTCACCACAAGGAATCATAAGCTCGAGTGATGCTCCAAAATATCCGCCAGTCAAAGAGCAATGCCGCAAGACGACTCCTTCCAGCTCTATGACCTCCGTGTCGAAGTTGTTTGCCAACCTGGCAAGAGAATATTATGCGGGGCGAAGCCCGGGGACTATTTTACTCTTCAAGGGGAAATGATGCATTTGCCACCAAATCAGGGCATTAGTATCTACAGCTTGTGTGAGTCTAAGATTCTGAAAGCAGAACCATGGCTTTGAAATCGGTGCTAACAGTCCATGCTCGAATCAGCGGCAGTGCTCCCCCTTCTACCAGCCAAGCAACGCGTCACTCATAATAACGATTGGATGACAACAGATTCATTGATTGCTTGTCCTGATCCAAACTGCCCTTCGCAGCTGAAGATTACAAGACAGGGTATTCGAACTTTCAGCCATGCCGAGACGACAGTCGTGCCGCTTCATCAGAAGACAAACCCATCAGAGAATCTATAGTATTCCTGTTGGGAGGATGAATCAGTCATTGAACGGAAACCCGTCCTGGACAGTGAAACCAGCAGCGGTGAAGACATCGGCCCATGCATTCTCAACCAGGTTACGATCCATTCTTTCCGAAAACCCTAAAAATTGTGCATTGTCATCCGCGGAGTTTGAAAATTGCAAGGAGCTTGATATTCCAGGCATGTCAATCAACGATGAAGGCGTATTATGGTCATACTGGGCAGCTGAACCATCGGAGTAATTGTTGTTCCTATTACTATTCCTAGAGTCCCCTGAATCTGGCATTGCCGCGTCTTCCATTTGATTGCTTTTAAGATTCGTCCGTCGTTTTACGATTTCGTCGTAATTAGATAGCACCTTGCTCAAGAATCTGCGTTGCAGAGAACAGCTAGATCCCACAGGAGCCGACTGCTGAGAAAGTGTTGCGCTGGCAGTGCGAATCGTCTCAACCACAGTAGGCTCAAAATCGCGAGTTATATGCGCTGGGGCTGATAGTAGTACCTTTGATTTTTCATGATCAATACATCATTATTTGAGGGAATGGAGCATCTAGGGCGAGATTTTCTACCTTTATCAGAAAAGCAGCCGAATATGCTGTCATGACGTGTACAGAGTCCTGAGCGAAATATAGACGAGAGGCATACTGTGAGACTAATTTAAGCATGCTGACGGCGCTTGATAGGCTGGCCCATAATGTTTCTAGATGATATGTTATGTTGTGCTCATCATTCGAATTCAAGACTTCCTGAAGTGGTAGGGCATAAAGTTGGAGACGCAGATGGGCACCGTAGAACCGAACAAGAAAGTAATGACAGCTATCGCTTTCTATTCGATTATGAGACGGGTTTATTACAGAGGAGAGATAAAACATACCATGGCACAATGGTAGCCATTTGTCTTCCCATTCGTTAATGCGATTGCTTATCATGGTCAAGAACGAAGTCATTCTAGGAGAGTTCATCTGGCGCCTTGATCCCAGAAGCATGAAGACTTCAGACGTTAATAAGCGGAGTGTGACAAACGCGCCAAGCAAAACATCGTTTTTAATCGCCAGAGGATCTCTGCACCAAGGCTGGATTGCCTCGATAAATGTATTCCGTTCTATCATCCAGGGCTTTCCAGTCTGCAAACTTATGCTAGGTTTGTTAGTTTTATCCACCTAAACAGCCATCCAGGTATCGTAGAAAACCTAAACTTACCTACGATCATATACAAAAAGCACGAACCAGGTTCTCTCCTCATTTCTTGCCTTTCTAACCTCGGTTTCCGAGGGCCTGGCTACTGAATATCTAGGCCGCAACCCAAGTCTATGCCAACCGAGATCCATCCCCATCCTAATGACATATCCCAGATTGAGCCAAGTCCGAGTATCATCTGGCTCTTTCCAGTATGTGAGGATGAGAATTGCTTGCGCAATTTCCGTAGATTTCGCACCACGGCGGAAGCTTTCCGCGAATAGATCCTCGGCGTGTTTGAGCAAAGGCTTATATAACGCCGGATTAAACATCTTGGCAGACACTGCCAGAACTGAACTTAGTAGAAAAGACGATGTCCGGCGGGTGTATGTGAAGGTATGGAGGATCGGATCCAGTTGGCTGATGTATGGGTTGAGGACGTTGATGAAACTCTCGAACAAAAATATAGCAATGGATTCACCGATAAGTTCCATTTGGATGGGATCTTCGGTTGAGATAACGGGAGTCTCTTGCTCTTGTCCGGGGGTTTTGTCTGAGTCTCCAAGGATGCTGAGGAGGGAAAATTGCCCATTGCGTATGGCATTGCTATTCAGTAGCCCTGAAGGCTGCAGGCTTGTTGGACCAGCCTCACCGCTCTCAGGAGGTGTATTCGTCTCTATTGAAGAATGCTGCATTCTTTTGTCCGAAGTACGATTTCTGGCCAATCTGGCCCCGGGCTTTCGCCCCCGTCGATGTTCTTGAAAGACGCACTCCAGGGTCTTCCGCGTACACCGGTCACATTTTGTTTCTCCCTGTCGAAGGCAACATTTCATCTTCACTCGGCGACAGGCCAAGCACGCGTTCGTTGCGTTCATTATTGGGAGCATTTGTTCACAGAAACGCCATCACGATGCAGTGAGAACTTCGAAGGGGCAAGCAACCACGACTAAACTACGAATGGACTAGTTAGGCAGACTAGTGAACAAGCCTCGGCCAACTTATCTTCTTATCTCCCAACTCTATCAAGTGGTGCCTTAGGCTTTGGGCTTATCACCCAGAGTGACTTTGGTACTCCGCCGGCATTCAACCGGTCGCCGGTTTGATATCGAGACGGAGAGACGCCGGCGTGGATCCCTGATTGGAAACGCAATTTGATGCTTTTGACATTAGATGGCCTTAAAAATCCGTCCTCCTGTCGAGTCCAATAGGCCTATTCTATTACAAGGAATTGAAGCTAGCTTGTCGACAAACATCCAACGCTGTCAACTTGCGCTCGTCTGTTAGCAAAGTGCAACGATGGCGGTCGCTCAACAACCCAGGCAGCCTAAGCTGGCTCATGTCAACATGATGACTGATACAGTCATTGCCAATTTGACGCCAGAAGCTTTACGCTCGATAATGCGATCTTTGCTCGCTGTCCAGCCGGATTTAACTCCGGCTTTTGAGTCATCGACGCGAGACTATCTTCACTCGACGAAACCACCATCACTGCCAAGTAATTCTTCGACATTGACCAGCTGGGACCCGTCTTCGACAAATGCACAGTTCTCTGCTACACAAGCACGAATTCGCTGCATGGTCGGCTGCGGCCTTTGCTATCAAAGTCTACCCCTACTTCGCGATTGTGTCGAATATACAAGGTCCATAAAGTGTGGTACTGGCAAGAAATCTTGTATTGGTGATGGCGAGTTTGACTGGAACAAGATGATAGCAACTCTGGACGCGGATATAGTACAAGCTGCCACTGCTGTTCAGAAGACACTGGCTGCAGAAACAGGGGCTAGGGAACTTTCAGCGGACGAATCCCTCCTAGTGAAAGGGCTTTATGAAAGCATCATATCTTGTCGCCAAAATCACATGCTAAACACCAATAACGGCCATCTTCCATTTGAAAGGGGGCTAATGGCCCTAGCTAGTCTACTCGGCTACCTTCCGGTGGAAAGTCAAAGCAAAAAACAAAAGACACTCCCTGTGCCACTGACAAGTAAAGAAACCTTTCTCATTGGGGTCCGCCAAGTACCTCGCATATTCTCTGGACTATGGCAACTATCCAGCCCGGCATGGGGCTCAGCAACGACACAAAGTATGAATGAACAGTTTGAGAAGACAGTTCGCAACGGCCTGACTGCTTTTGACATGGCGGATCACTATGGCGATGCTGAGATCATTTTTGTAAGTTTTATTCTGTTCTTTGTGTTGAACTTTACCCGACTTACAATACAAAGGGCCGTTTTAGGGCTTCATATCCTCACGCCGATGAATTATTCACAGCCACCAAATACTGCGTATTCCATCCAATCAAGGTATCTCGCGAGGTAATCCAAGCAAACGTCACAGAAAGATGTCAAAGACTTCAAGCAAGCAAAATTGATCTTCTACAATTCCATTGGCAATTTGTGAGTCCCTTTTTCGTTTGCTGCAGAGTATATGCTTGTCGTACTAAGTCTTTCTTTCTGCTATGGTAGTATGATGACCAGAACTACATCAACGCGCTACGATTTCTGCAGGAAGATGACCGCGTAGAAAATCTAGGTCTTTGCAATTTTGATACTGAACATCTTCTACGAGTGCTCAAAAGTGGAGTGTCCATTCAGTCCAACCAAGTTCAGGTAAGATTCATTCTACAATATTGCACGAGTTAGTCATGATGCTGAACGAATAGTTCTCCTTGATTGACTGTCGTCCCACGATCAAAATGGGACAAGTTTGCGAAGAACATGGCATCAAACTGTTGACGTACGGTACTCTGGTATGGAATAGTTTCTACTCTTTATTGCAAGTCATCAGGCTGATATTATGCGAATTCAGTGTGGCGGTTTCCTAGCTGAACGCTGGCTAGGTAAAAGCGAACCAGGTCTCTACGACGACGAAATTACCCCTAGTCAAAGAAAGGTCAGTTCAACCACCTCAACATTATATCGACGACGGGCTGACAGCGTGAAGTACTATTCAATGATCCAATGCTGGGGCAGTTGGGACCTATATCAGGAGCTACTCCGCACGTTGAAAACCATTGCAATCAAACACAATGTATCAATATCCAACGTTGCTACACGATGGGTACTCGATTTTCCTTATGTTGGTGCAGTCATTGTCGGTGCTCGCATGGGAGTTAGCGAGCATGTTGATGAAAATTTGGCTAGCTTTGGATGGTCACTGGACCAGGCTGATCGTCAGGCGATTGAGGCTATTCTTGAGAGAAGTGGTAAATCACAAATGTTTGAAACAATGGGGGACTGCGGTGGAGAATATCGTTAGATTACATGACTAGACAAACTGAAAAAAAAAAAAAAAAAAAAATAAGAAGTATGCGTTTGAGAAGTTAGTCTCTATTTCAATGTCTTGCATAAATTAGTTCAAATCATCACAAACGGCATAAACCTAGGCTAGGCTGCGATTTGGTGCCTAACTAAAAATCTAAGACCCTTCTAAATTGCTATCTATATGGCCGTTGTTCGATTTCCTGTACTCTGGCAATTGCTTCTAATTTCACATGTAGTATGGAGGAACAATGCTGGTGAACACGACTAGGTGGTTGGCTGTATTTACGAATATTTAGTAAAACAGAAACGAATTTAGGCAACAGTTTTCGTCCTGCTTCCATGCGCGTCGAATTTATGCAGATAGGTGCAGCGTAATGCAGGCTGACGTGGCTGGTACTTGTCTTTGAGATTCCATCCCCTTCTACCTCATCAGAAGAAATCAGAGATAAAGCTGAGAGGAATTCCTTGACAAAGTATCCTTCGGGGAAAAATATCTTTCTTTTCTTTTCTTGGTTTGCCTGCGTGGACTCTTTTTGAATTTCTCTCATGACTCACAGCCTAGGTTATTGTTTCAAGGGGGCTGAGGTGTGCGGGTTGATATCAAGGTTGGAGTTGAGTGACAAGAATTGGGGTCAGGGCGGACAGAAAACAACTGAAGTGAAGAATGACTTTGGATTTTCAATCACTTCCTAAGGAGCCACCATCTGCTCCCCGAGCAATGACCTATCCAACGAAGGATGAACTTGAATTTTCCTCGAGTTTTAATCTGCTCAGAGCATTTGGTCTCTTCCATGGTGACGATGGTGACGATGGTGATAACGACATTGGCAGAGCTGAAGACAGCAATTTTACAGAGATAGAACTACTGCAGGGATACTTGATTGGTGTTTCGTATCTTTGCGATATAGAAAAAGGAGGTAACACTGTTACAGCCGCGGCCTTGTCTAACGACCTCGAGCTATACCTTGCTGCCAACAATGATCTGCATCCAAAAATCCAATCTTTTATTAGCCGAGTCGTCCTGGAAGAACTGCGAACTGATAGTGTGGAAAGTCGGCATAAAGTCGCCGAGAGGATACTCCGCGAGGCGGTACAGCGAGCAGGGAAAAGAATGGAATTTTACTTCCGTAAACTTAAGGATATCTGGGGAAAATGCAGGGTTTCTGTTGAGGATCAATTTAGAGGTAAGAAAGCAAAGGCCTACATCGTTTAGGGCAGGGTTACGGAGTGGTACTGACAAACATAGGAACTACGCTCATTTCTAGTATTCAATCGTTGACAGAGGACCAAGATTATTACAATTTGACAGTTAAATGCTATAACGCACGGGGAGAACTGCTTGATGATCTAAACCGTGCGGCAAATGGTAGAGAGGACTGGAAACATCTTATTCACTATATTGGACGACTCGGAGCGCATAAATATCATGTGCTAAAAATCGTTTCAGCATTCTCGAGACTTAAATTCTTGAGGGAAATCAAGCGTGTTGACTTTGTCCAATCATCAAATAGAAGAGCTTTAACGCTCCCTGAGAGTTCACTTGATTTCGCTAGGCTGAGTAAGAAAGTATGTGATGATCTTGAGAAACCTCAAAAAGAACGAGAAGCGTTGTTCTTATCTTTGATGAGAACTTATTTTTGCAATCCAAAACCGGATGAACCCCTCCGCGAAAATCAAACGATTTCTACACACTTTTTTCTTGACAATTGACTCGTGGTATATGTACAATACTAACCTCGTCTAGAGCCTTCATATGGGCATGCGATAAGACAAAAATAAGAAAGCCGTCAGGCCTGATTTGAATCTAATTAAGTAGATTGAATAGGTTTGAAAATAGTGAACAAAGCACTCAATGCTCAAACTGAGTCTGGTCAAAGGAAGATTAATGGCAAGAAGAAGGCATGAATGAACAAACGCTCGTATATTTCAATTACATATGTACCTGTGTAGAGATCTTCATGGTACGTGATTGCTCGTAGCACTCGCTGTTCACCAGTATAGCTTCGCCATCGACTATCTTGCTAAGATTATTGTAGGATATAGTGCGGATTTTACTTTATTTCTTGCTCTGTTGCCGAAGGAATTGGCCGATGTCCGGACCCAAAAAGCTATGGACGTGACTTGTCCTAGGAAGCTGTCAGTATCAATAAGCGGAATTTCTAACTTGCGATGCGAATGACTCACATATGCCCGGTATTGAACCAAAAGTACTCATCAATAGGAATGCAACCGTACTTTTCCGGATTGCTGACTTCATCTGGGTCAGTATAGCCCGGACAGTAACCAGTCGTGTTATTGATCCCATATTCCCTTGGACTGTCTAAAATGCGGTTTAGAAACTTGTTGGCATCGTAAAGAAAGGTATTTGTGTCATCGTATCGAGCGCTAAATGCCTGCGTTTTCTGTTGCAGTGTTTCGTCCCACCACTCTATCATAGTTTTGTTGGGACGAGGGTCAGATTTGACCACATTCAGGGGAGTCCGGTCCAAGGGAGGCAGATTTATAAAAAGGAAGTTCCGATACCCAGCCTCGTATATAGGCTCTGCGCTTTCGGTGAAAACGGTGGAAATAATTTCATCGTAGAAACTAGGAAAAGACACGTTTGTCCACGTGCTGGTGTCTCCGATGTCATTAATTCCAATCCAGATGGCCACTAATGCATTTTCCTGTTGTAAACTGTCGTGTTTCTTAAACTGGGGCTCTATCCATGTTAGGAACTGCTGTGTTTGGTTGACAAGTGGCACTGTCCACTCATGGTGCAACGCGGTGCTAACAGTCAATATGTAAGCTCTTGTACCGTAAGACCTGCTCTTTTGGATAGTTGAAAACTGAAAACTGACAATTGTTCTGAAACATCGGCACCAGCGAATGCAAAGTCCCACAGCTGCCTTTCACAACTTTCAGGTTTCGTCAAGCCCGGACTCAGCCCACATCCTGTCAAGTATTCAATCCAGTTTGGTCCACCCTCTGCCGTCCCATTAAAATTCTGAACAATTTGATCTGACCACAGTTCCGAGGGTGTGATGGAGAACTGGCCCGGTAAGTAACTGCCAATAAAACTGTAGTCGGTGTAACCATTGGTACCCTGCACGTACGTGTAGGAATCGCCGAATGCAATTCTATTCACGGGATTATCAGCTCAAAGGTGTGCCAGATTATTATGAAACGCGCTTACAAATACTTAATGACGTCCCAGTCAAAACCACCACTAGATGTGTTTATCACTGGCCGACCATCTGAAACCTGCGCTGTGATGGATGCCAGAATGGCGATTATCTTCCAAAACGAGGTCATCCCAGAATGCGATTCCCAGTTACATTTTTTGGTGTGTGACATTTGAGTTTATCAACTTCAGAGCTTCAGTTGTCTTCACTTCACATTTGTTGAAATTGAACATAGCCATCTCACTATGGATAAACGATGGAGGTTCCGCATCCTTGTTTTATTGGGGAGGTATTGCTCGTATCTCTTTGCTCACATCGGAGGGAACGTTGTAATTGTGATTGGAAAGTCTGAAAATTTCCACCAACCATGATGCTTTGGGGGTTTGAGGTTGAAATTACGTAGATGTGCACGTCGATCTAGAGAGCATCCCCTCTTTACCCCCGCATTTTCGCTAAGAGATGTCCCGATGACAACAGTTTGTACCTATATTATCAGTCATTGAAAGATGGTAGTTAACGTTGCCAATGATTATATAAAGGCCTCAAGTAGGTATTACATGTGTAGAGATTTCTTTACTAGGCTGATTTATCTCGAGTGCCTAGGTACTGTTATCGCAAACAGAATGGTTATATGCGAGCTTTGGTCCCACTCGTATCGAGGGTCAATCTCAATAGAAATAAAACCTGCATCATATACATATTAGAAGGACATATTTTTCCCTCTTTGACGGTAATAACCTTGGAATGCAGCCTAGCCTTGTCTAGGTAGTATTGACGGTCTGGAAATTAAATTTTAAGCAGCCTACAACCACGCAGTTAATAGCACAAGAGCTTCGTATCATTAGATGTGCAGAGCCTGTTTAACATATTCTACAAACTACACGCGTAGGGAAGTGCATGCATAACTGGGGTAACCCTAAATCATTGCCCTAGCTATATGACAGCGGATTATGACCGCTATTCCGAATACAGCATGTAATCCACAACCAACACCGTATTTCACAGAGGTGCACCTAATTGGCCAGAATAGGCATCGGATACGTGTCTTAGTTGACCTTTATTCTGATCATAAATATAGCTTCAAGTAACCCCCTGAATATTCTCTTTAGTTAGATATGCAGATTATATAGTATTCTTAATACTAGCTAATACAGCGTTCCGAATCCGTTGTTATGGTAGTATGTCTTAATGGTATTGGATTTTACTGATTTAGAAAAGGAACTGGTTAATAGGATATAAGAGCTTATAAATGGCTGAATCCTGATTATTAAAGTTATTCCTGATCTATGCATCTGAGAATCATATTTCTGCTAATTTATAGTTTTTATTGGAAATGGACACTGGTAATCTCATTAAAATATTATAAATTTGGTGTTGAAATAATGGTAATAATTTGGAAGAAGGTCAACTTGATTGAACAATTATATTAGTATGATTGATTTGAACCAATTTAAATTAAAATAAGATAAGGAAAGATTTAGGAATATATTAATCTTAATTTTAAGAATTTTAAATTAAATGAATATCCTCCTACTCTTAATGATCTTAAGAATAAGATTAAGAAGGCTAATTATAAGTGGAAAGTAAAAGAGTATAAGAAAAAGAAATAGATTTTTGAAGTTATTTTTTTTTATATAAATAAGTTAATTAATATAATGGTTTAATCCTTAATCTTTGATAAGAAAGAGATCTATAATATATTAAAAATACTATTAATTTATTTTAAATTATTAGATTAAGAGATATAGTGTAGGATTATTAATAAGTAGATTAAATTAAAATTAGGACTATTAAAAAGCAAAGATCTTGCTATTTAGATATTAGATTAAATAAAAATATATAGTAAGGCAAGAAAATTTAATATTAGTGATTTCTTAGATTTAATAAAGTAATTTTTATATAACTTTCTTAACTTTATTAAATTTAATTTTGATAGCTTTTATTAAATTTATTTAATATAAGTTAAGATTATTAAAAATATTATTTTTAAGATATTAATCTTTTGATTCAATAAGAAGGTTGTTAATTAGATTAAAAAAAGCTTAAATTTAAAGATATATATAATTTAAAGAAGTGAGAAACCCTCTAGTAAAAAAAATTTAAGGGATTTTATATCTACTAGTCAGAATTAATTAAAAGAGAATAGAAGTAATAAAAAGAGTAATTAAAAAAATAATTAATCTTGCTTGTGTACTTTTTCTAAAAATCTTTATTCTAGATAGAAAGATTACTTATACTATAATAAATAGATTTAAGAAAAAAGCTAGGTTTTTAATTTAAAGAAGGCTAGAGTAGTAATTAAGAATGTTATTAGATATTTTTTTCTAACTAAATTTATTGAAGAGTATAAAGTATAATCTTTAATAGAGTTAAGAATATATAAATTAGTATATTTTTAACTAGGCTAATCACTTACTCTAAGAGAAAATTTCTTTTATTAGATTAATAAGGATATGCTTATAGAAAGTTTTATTTATAATAATAACTTAAAGAATTATATTTACAATATTAGAAATTGATTTATTATTTTTAAAGATTTTAACTTAATTACTAACTTTATTAATATATTAGAAGACTAAATATTAATATATAGTATTAATATGATTAAGGTCCTCTTTATTATATTAGATAGAATAGAATTTAGATAGCTGATAGTTTTTTATAATATATTATACTATCTAGAGATGTTAGTTAGCTTTATTTCTATTAATAAATATAAGGAAGAGGGTCTTTATTGGGATAATTGTAATAATATTCTATATTTTTTAAGGGAAGATTTAGAAAGGGTATAAATTATAAGAATCTCTAAGTACTATAGTTAAATTATTATTAAATATAATAAATTATTAATAAGCATGACATATATAATTAAAAGGCTAATTCCACACTTAAAGTAGATTACTGAATTAATTGCTTTCTATTAATATTAGTATAATTATCTAGGGCACCTTAATAAAAAGGTTCTCACTTATTTTAAGAAGAATGTGCAAGAAGTATATATTTCTAGTAATTTTAATATATTTTTTTATAAATACTGCAAGTCAGTAAGAGTATTAATCTAAATCTTATAATAATTTTAAAGGATTAGAAGCTTATTTTAGGAGATTGTTCACTTTAATCTTATTTCTATTAAAAGATTATATAATAGTATAAAGTATATGATTTACTTCTATTATCTTTATTCACAATATTATAAAATTATTTTTATATAAGATAAAAAGGTTTAAGGACTAATTTATGATTTCTTAAAAAATCTTATAAGAAGAGATTTTAATATTAGATTTACTTATATTGATAATAAGTAAGTACTAGAAAATAAATATATCTTATTCTATAAAAAAATAGATATTAAATAAGAATATACTATAGATTATATATATAAGTAAAATAGTCTAGCAGAGAGATTTAAAGTATTTCTAATTACTCTTATAAGAGTCCTTATATATAGAGTGAATCTTTTATATTTACTCTAGTTAGAAGGACTGCAGTATATAGTTTAATTAGTAAATTAATAACTAAACTAGTAACTTGATTAAAGAATACTTTATAAGATTATTTAGAATTTTTATAATTAGAATAATATTCTATATTTAAAAATATTAAAAATCTTTAATTATAAAGTATATTAAAAGATTCCTGATATTTTATATCTCTAAAAGATGGTAGAATATACAGAGATAAAATATCTTATAGAAATTAAATCTTTTAATATTTTCTAGGTTTAGATTCTAGGTTAATAGGCTATTATTAGAACTTATGATGTTATATTTAATAAAGATACATTTTTTAATCTATTCTAGCTAGTCTGATGATATAGTTTATAAGAATTTATTAAGTTTAAAGAAGTATTTGATATTATTCTAAACTTAGGGGGTAATCTAATGAAAGAATTAAAATTAGATAAAAAGATTACTAAAGAATTGGAAAATGTATAGAAATCTACTAAATAGACTGCTTTAAAAGTATAAAAAGAGGCTTTTAAGAAATTATACTTAATATATCTTCTAATATTATTAATAATTAATTCTAGATATAAGTAATTTTTAAATTTACTATTAAATTAATCTATTTAAAATGAGGAATTTTAAATACCTATATATAATTAAGAAAATGCTTGCTTATTTACTCTAAAATCTCTATCTCCTATAAAAAAGGCTATTAGTATATTATATAATTATGATACTAAGGCTAATATATAACTCTAAGCTAAAACTTAATTATATAATAATTATGAGTATGTACTTAAATATAATGAGATTTTTATTATATTTAATACTTCTAATATTATAAAAGATAAGAGAAGTTATAGACTAAAGATTAAGTTAAATATAAGGTTTTATTTTATTATTTTTAATACTGTATTAAATATTTAGAAAAAACTAAAAAATAATTCTCTATATTTATATTAAGATGAGCTTTTTAAAGTTCTAAACTATTAAAAAGATCTCTTTAAACTATCTCAAACCTATTATAAAAGATTTATAAAGGCTATAAGAAAGAAATATTATATTTTATTAGAAAGAGGAATATTTAAAGAGATAAGAAAATTAAATATTAATCTAAATCTTAAATATATTAAGATTTTGCTTTTATGTTACATATTTATATATAAATTAAATAATAATAGTTATTTGATATATTATAAGGCATATCTTTATATTAGAGGTAATATATAGCTTAACTAAGATAATATTTATACTGTTATAATAAGTATAAGGATAATCTATTACTTACTATGTCTTATAATTATTTTTAGATATAGAATAGGTTAGTATAATATAGTTAATGTCTTCCTAAATACTTTAATTAATAAGAAATGCTTTTTTATATACTTTCCTAAAGGTATTAAAGGGAAGAATAGATATATACTAAAGCTATTAAGAGTATTTTATAGCCTTAAATAATTCTCTTAACTATAGTAGAAAGAATTGATAAAAATATTTTAGAAATTTAGCATAAGATAGTGCTTAGATAAGATATATCTTTATTTAAATAAATACCTTATTATATTCTTTTTTATTAATAATATTATAATACTTTATAAATTAGGAAATAAATATTATTATATCTTATTCTGGGAAAAGGTTATAAGCAAATATAAAGTTAAGAAGTTTAGAGATATTAAATAGTTCTTAAGTATAAGAATTATTTAGAAAAAAAATATAAGGGCTATTTATCTATACTAGGATTTCTATATTAAGAAGATTATAAAATACTATAATCTATCTACTAATAAACTGCTTATAATACTAATGATTACTATTAAATTAATATTCTATAAAGATAAAATAATATTTTCTTAGATTATACTTTATTAAGGAAAAATAGGATCTATGTTATATGTAGCAATTATGATAAGATCTGATATTGCTTATATAACTTCCTATTTGAGTATGTTTATGCAAAATCTAGTACTGGCTTATATGAAGGTTATTAATTATATATTTCTATATCTTTACTGTATAAGATTCTATGTAATATGTTTTATAGGATTATTTAGAACTGATCTGATTTATATAATAAGCAATATAGCGTTTGCTAATTATCTAGATTAATATAGTACTAGGGCCTTTCTTTTTAAGCTATTTAGAGGTCTAATTAACTGGATTTCAAAGAAATAAAGAACTATTATTACATTTATTACTAAGATTAAGCTTCTTGCCTTATTTAATATAGAAAAATAGCTTCTTTAGTAAGAATAATTCTTTAAAATTATTAAATTTAATGCTAAACAGGATTCTTTTATTATTAAATGTAATAACTGTCAAATAGTATACTTAATAATTAAAAATAAAGTAATTTAAATATGCTTTTATTATATTAATATTTATAACTACTAGCTATATGAAAAAGTGTAAGATTAATAGATTAATATGCGCTGGATTAATACTAATAATATAACTACTAATGGCCTTATTAAATCTCTTTTAATTAAAAAATATAAAGTCTTTATTAAGTATTTAGAATTAATTAATATAAATTATTATATTAAACTCCAGCTTAATTAAGAGCTTTATTAATATTAATAAGATATCTAATATAGGGAATCTTTACTAGGTCTAAAAAGATAGCTTACTTAGTAAAATGACTAGCTAGTATAACTTTTTATGTCTTTTCTTCTCTTTTTATTAGTTCTTAGTTTGATTTTTAAACTTATTACTCTTTTTATTACTTCTTAATACCATATTTCTATATAGACTGTTAGATATTGTTTTTTTTTTTTACTTTATTCTTTCCTATTTTAGATTACACACTAGAGGGATATAATAGCAGATTATGACTACTATTCTGAATATAGCATGTAATCTATAACTAACACTGTATTTTATAGAGATGCATCTAATTGGCTAGAATAGGCATCGGATACATGTCTTAGTTGACCCTTATTCTGATCATAAATATGGCTTCAAGTAACCCCCTGAATATTCTCTTTAGTTAGATATGCAGATTATATAGTATTCTCAATACTAGCTAATACAGCGTTCCGAATCCGTTGTTACTATACGAAAAAGGAATAGCGGCTCATCAACCAACGAGCGGGAAGTTTCAACCAAACAAAAGCAACAGCTGGATCACGTGGTGCTACTCAAATACTCTGTATTACTGTGACTACGCTTTTCCTTGTAAGGTTATCTCAAGCCAATCAGAGAGCGCAGAAGTACATTTTCTGCCCCATTTTGTATTAACTACTCGAACAGTTTTTGTATTGAACAGAAACGAATCATTCCATAACCGGATTAGCCTCCATTGAGCTGCAGACCCCATTGGCTAGATTGATTGAGCTAAGTCTAGAAAGGGAAGGTTGATGTCCGATTGGGAATATCAGCAACACCAGCTAATCAGAATTCGATACAGCAGTGTAGCGTGCCATGTGCTGGCTTATCATGGTAGCTCTCGACATGCGAGGAGTAGTAGTAGCACAGACTGCTCAGTATTGCTTCTGCGGAGTCTTCGCGACTCGAGAAAATTCTTCTTCTGTTGCTGCTCTTTCCCCCTGGCCAAGCGAATAAACTTCAACTTTTATCGTGTACGGTTTTGCTGTCACCATGGAGAGGTCTATTGGCACCATGAGCACTGAGCAGCCATTTACCAGCAAAAAAGAGGGAGAACTTACCGAGGTGCGCTTGCTTCACCATGGCGAGAATGATCTGCTGCAAGGCGAGATAGTCGACCAGGTTCTGGCGTCAAAGATGAATCTTATCAACGATGTGAGTAAGAAAGGCATAGTCGGGCTTGGGACGAGATTCAAGCAGCAAAAGGCGGTATGATTTATTCAAAGCGATTAATGAATACTTGCAGGCGATTGACGAGATTGGTTTTACGCCTCATCATTGGAAGCTGTTTTGTCTAAATGGATTTGGGTATCGATGCAGACCATTTTTGTCGCATGTTCACAGCTAATCCTATCGCAGATATGCCGTTGATTCCTTGATTTTGCTCATCCAGTCGATTATTTCAGGAAAGGCTGAACTCGAGTTTCAGCCATCTTATAGTACCGGCCTGACAATTGCAGTGTATGTGGGTATGCTCGTGGGCGCGTTGTTCTGGGGTTTATCAGCAGATGTCATCGGTCGTCGATTCGCTTTCAATGTTTCCCTCTTCATATCATCAGTCTTTACTATCGTGGCCGGCGCGTCGCCTAATTGGGTTGTGTTGGGATTATTCACCTGTCTCAGCGCCTTCGGTGCTGGAGGAAATCTGGTCTTGGATACTGCTGTCTTTTTGGAATATCTTCCTAGTAAGGAGCAATGGCTGATCACGTTGATGGCAGCTTGGTGGGGTGAGTATCTCGGATCAAGAGTGCCCCAAGTTGTAAAAGGGGGAGCCAGAAGAAAGATACTGATATCTGTTTTCAGGTTGTGGTCAGCTCATTGCCGGTTTATTTGCCTGGGCCTTTCTACCAAACTACTCTTGCGCATCAGCTGCTACCTGCACTTATGACAATAATAAAGGATGGCGGTACGTCTGGTATACCTCCGGTGCCTTTGTTTTCGTTCTTTCTGTGCTTCGTGTTACCATCATTCGCTTGCAAGAGACTCCGAAGTTTCTAATAACCGATGGTCGTGACGAACAAGCTGTCAAGGTGCTGCAAGACATTGCCAAAAGTTACAACCGACCATGTAGTCTCACCGTTGGGATGTTGCAACAACTTGGGACTTTACAACGCCCAAACCAGGGTGCCAAGAGGCAGCGCTTTTCCTTTTCCGAGTTGATTTTCCATTTCCAAGGCCTTTTCTCTACGCGCAAAATAGGTCTATCGACGGTCCTGGTCTGGTTCTCATGGCTTCTGATTGGACTGGCATATCCACTGTACAACGTTTTCCTTCCCACTTATCTGGAATCGCGTGGTGCACAATTCGGAGTCAACAGCGCGTATCTCACATGGAGGAACTATACACTGGTCAATTTTTCCGGCATATGGGGTCCCGTACTGGCAGGCTTCATGTGTCGGTCACGGTGGTTTTGGGGTCGGCGCGGTACCATGATTGTCGGTGCTCTCGTCACGATGGTCTTTTTCTTTGCCTATACCCAGGTGCGGACTGAAAGCGAAAATATTGGATTCTCGTGCACCGTCAATTTCTGTTTGAACATTTACTACGGTACCTTGTATGCGTATACGCCCGAGGTCTTCCCATCCGCTCATCGCGGAACGGGTAATGGAGTGGCTATTGGATTGAATCGAATCATGGGCATTATTAGTGCCGTTGTGGGAGAGGCCGCCAACGTAAGTCCTTTTCTCTTTTTTTTTATTTGCGGCCGTGTGCTGTTGAGGTATATACTTATCTCTTTTTGCAGTTGGATACCGCCGTGCCGATCTACATCTGCGCAGCACTTTACGCAGTCATGGCCATTGTAGCAGGTCTTTTTCCATTCGAACCCTATGGTCGACGTAGTTCCTGATTATCCATGGGGTGTATATATTTGCCAGTACGGTGTACCTCGGTAGAAGCAGTGCCAACTCCCAGGACAAGAGCGCCCACCCCATCACCGCTCGAATATATAGATATTGTCAGGATATTCAAGCTTCGACATGACTAGTACTGACTGTATTACCCTTTATTTGTCTAACACTACGTACCTAGGTAGGTAATCCATTCTATTGGTTCGCGGGGGGGGCTAGCCCTAGTCTATTGCCCTAGTCTGCTTACTAAATCGGAAAAGCGGCAGGGGCAGATAACGCACGTGACACAATTTCCCGCAATTGGCCAATCGGCGCACATCGAGCCTGCAGTAATATATCAAACTTCAATGCGTGATATAACTTATCAACTTCAAAGTTCAGACATGCTTTACCGTGGGACAAACCCAAATCATCGACGCCGGCCGTTGGTCCAGCTGGGTTGGAACTGGGAACAGCTTCCTACACCGGCTAGAAGCTCAGCTAAGCTTCGTAGGCTTCTTACTCCGCGTGCATTGCTCCACTGAGCTCCATTTAGCGTGCTTTAGGGTATCATCGTGCTAGGCCTGGCGAGGAAGGAGCTAGTCAAATCAGCTCCGATAGCTGCGAGGCTGTGATCGCGATATCACCTAACTCTGTGAGTGGATGGTCAATGGCACGGAACCGCCGCAGAATGGCTGTATGCAAGCCTGGGTTTGTCGCTTTTTTTTCGCTAGTTCCGAGCCCAAGTTATCGTTTGCCTCCGGGCAAAAGCCGTAGTTGCAATTCAAAATGAATAATAAATAGTGACCAGCTCCATCGGCGAGACAGGGGGTTTTGGTTGTACACTTCTTCTTTTGACTCATCTCGTGTATCATATTCGTTGACAGAGAAGAGCCATGTTGTGGCAACACACCCTTGTCCACCTTTCGGTGCTTACGGGTGCCGCTTTCTCTGCGTCGCTTAGCCATGTACTTCATGAGAAGAGAGACGTCCCTTTGCCACACTCCCGACAGCGTGTGCACGGCGACGCCATTGTCCCCGTCCGAATTGGTCTGAAGCAAAGCAATTTGCATACTGGCTATGACCGTCTAATGGACGTTTCCCATCCCGCGTCCGAGAACTACGGAAAGCACCTGACCAAAGAGGAAGTCAATGCGCTCTTTGCCCCCGCCGACGAGACTGTCCAAACCGTCAAGAGCTGGCTGCTCAGCTCTGGCCTTGTTGGCGACGACGAGGTTCTTCATTACGAGAACAAAGGATGGCTAGCCATTGACATGCCTGCCAAGCATGCCGAGAGCTTGCTGGGAACCACGTTTTACGAGTTGGAAAGCCCTAATGGAGAAATCCGAATTGGTTGTGACGAATACTATCTTCCTGTCCATGTTTCTAACCATGTGGACTATGTCAAGCCCGGTGTAAAGCTTTCTGCACCACTAAAGAAGAGACAGTCATTTGAGAAACGCAGCAGCCCAGGACCTGCAGCACGCGGAGGTCACCATGTGCCACATGTGCAACCACATTCCCCCGGTTGGACACTTCCACCTGCTGCTCAGGGTCTGCCTCCCGATCTCCAGAACTGCGGTGTCAACATTACCCCAAGCTGCATCAAGGCCTTGTACGATATCCCGGATGCTATTTTCAGTCAGCCCGAGAATGCCATGGGTCTATTCGAGACTTATGACACGTTCGCCCAGGAGGACATTTCCCTCTTCTTCGAGCATTATGCCACCAATGTCCCCTCCGATACGAAACCCAATGTCATCTCTGTTGACGGGGGTACCGCACCGGTTGCACCTAGTAGTGAGCTGAACGGTGGAGAATCCGACATCGACCTTGATTTATCAATCTCACTCATCTACCCCCAGTCGGTGACCGTCTACCAAGTCGATGACCTGCCAAACTCCTCGGGTGAGACAAACACGACTGGCTTCCTCAACACTTTCTTGGACAGCATCGACGGCAGTTATTGCAGTTACTCTGCCTTTGGCATCACAGGAGATAGCCCAGGTATTGACGCTTCTTACCCTGATGACCTTTCCGGAGGCTACAAGGGCCAGTTGGAATGTGGTACATACGAGCTCACTCGCGTGGTCTCCATATCCTACGGCGAGGCAGAGACTTACTTGCCGAAGGCATACGTTGAGCGTCAGTGCAATGAAATCTTGAAGCTCGGCCTACAGGGCCACACCATCCTTGTTGCTAGTGGAGACTATGGAGTAGCTAGCTTCCCTGGAAGCAACGGTGACGAAGAAGGATGTCTCAGTTCTGATACACAGAACGGAACCATCTACAACCCTGACTACCCGTCTGGATGTCCTTACATCACAGCAGTCGGTGCCACCAGATTGTACCCCAATGACACTGTTTATGACGCTGAATCCGCCATGCAAGTCAACCTGACTGCATTCAACATTGCCACTGGTGTTACTGGTTCCGTCGGGACTCCCTATGATTTCTTTGCCACTGGCGGTGGTTTCTCCAACTATTTCACCCCTGCGCCTTTCCAGGCTGCCGCTGTCGCCGAGTACCTCCAGAAAGACTTGCCATTCCAAAGCTTGCCCTACTATGAGATCAACTCAGATGCAAGCAATATTGGTGAAAACGGAGGTGTCTATAACCGCATTGGCCGCGGTTATCCAGATGTATCTGCAAACGGTGCTTACTTGCTCACTTTTGTGAATGAAACGGCAGGGACCTACTTTGGTACCTCTTTGGCATCGCCTATCTTCGGCTCCGTTGTCACCTTGATCAACGAAGAGCGTACTGCAATTGGCAAAGGACCTATTGGATTCATTAACCCTGCATTATATGAAAGTAAGTTGGCTCTTCTCATTCTAAGTCTCTTAGTAAAAAGCAGCAATACTGATCTCAAACCCCTTTTAGATCCATGGGTCTTGAATGATATTACCAACGGCTCGAGTAAGTACTCTCTAAGATATCTTTTGTTGCTCTTATAAAACCAAATCATGCTAACCAAATTTTCTTTTCTTTCTCTAGACCCCAACTGCGGTTCTCAAGGTTTCCAGGCTTCGACTGGCTGGGATCCTGTCACAGGACTAGGAACCCCAAACTATCCTCGCATGTTGGCATATTTCCTAAGCCTACCATAAATTTCTAGAAGAGGATATTTTATTGGATTCTACTCATCAGCTAAACATAGTCACAATCAAATAGATAATCAGTTTCGGTACTTAGAATAAGAAAGAATGGCTTTTGAGAACAGGAGTCACATGTAGCGTTATTTCCATGTAGTCAATCCCTAAACTTCATAGATACCGAGTCCCATCTTTCAACGCCAATAAAAATATATTGCAGTAGTTGCATCAGATTAAACATGACACAACCTTCCATTGTTGTTCCACGAGTTTGGCAACGGATCAGTAACTTGGATCTCCCAATCCTCAGCCCCGACAGCGGTCAGAGCAAAGAAAAGGCCCGTGGGATCATACCGTTGCTTCAATTCATACAGACGAGGATAGTTCGTTCCGTAGAAGGCTTCCTGCAGATTAGGCTCTAAAAGATCGGCTTCGCTCATATAAGCCCCCGAGTTGGGTGCAATGTCACGTAGAAGATCCATCCAGTCAGTGACATATAGAGACGAGTTATAAACCACCTCCCAGCTGGATGCTGGGTTCCATTCTATGCCAACAAGTATATGTGCAAGAGCATTGCGCCATGCTGGAAGAACAGCGTTATCTGTCGGTGGTTCAATTGCGATGCCTTTTCCGCTGACTTGGAATCCCAAAATGTAGAGGCCCTGTACCAATCGTCAAGCTAGAGTTAGAAATACGAGCTCAGCACGGCCATGACTTGGGGGGTGAGTATACATTGTCAATTGCATTCTCATGAGCAATAAATAGCTCTCGGCGCAGTTCTTCGTCTTGGAAAACATTCCGGGGAATGAGCCGTGAGCCAAACTTGGTTGCATCTGTGCCTACGTACTCTTGAGGAAAGGCGACGACCCAGACATCGTGACTGCAAGGGGGAAAAGAAATTAGCTGAATGTACATTGAGTAATCAAATAACAATATAGTTATACAGAGGAGCAGGGCCATTTGGACGGACAAATTATCAGCATGGTTATACCACGGATTGTATGTCACGTTCAACTCATCAAGCACGTTGAACCAAGGAGCAAGTAATTCCCGAGTCTCTGTTACTGTCATATTTGGTGCAACGAAGGACTCCATTCGAAAATAATAATCCGTATTTCCCGCGTAGTCAGTGCCGACTTCCACTGCTGATGCCCCGAGATAGTAATAGCCATATGTGCCGGCGTCCACGAAGGTTTCAATATTGTCGATGTAGGCCTGTACTGCACCCCAAAAGGCATCGGGGCCAGCGGTATCATCAATAGTAAAATTGAAAGTGACTGTAGTAGTAGGCAATTTTGGGTACGCTCTCACTGTCATCGAGACTACAACTCCAATTGTGCTGCCACCGCCACCGCGAAGCATCCAGTAGACGTCTGGATTTTCGCTTGCAGTAGCAGTGACAAAACTGCCGTCCGCCAAAACCACTAGACAGAGAAAACGATCAGCCTTTGTGCAGTTCGTGTCATTCTCTGAGAGCAAAGAAAGCTACCTTCCAAAGCCAGTACTTGATCCGCGGCCATCCCATACAGACTGCTCAAGGGAGAATGGCCACCTCCAGCCGTATAACCTCCAGCCAAACCAACGGTAATAGCCTCGCCTCCAACAACAGTCACACCTAGGTCCTTTGCAAACTCATAGGCCTCAAAGACTTGTATACCGGCACCAACCTTGATAGCCGGGCCGTTGTAGCCATTGGCAGCCTGAAAACTAGGATAGTAGGCTTTGTCTTTCAACCAATGGGTCCAGATTGAAAGAGCACCTTTCCCAGATGCCTTTCCATTGAAGTCGTGGCCAGTATTTTTAACAACGAGGCGAATATTGGAATTCCGCGCGAAGTTCACCGCTAGTTGGATTTGTGCAACTGTCGATGCATTTACCACATACGTCGGGTAAGCTCCCTGGAGGCATGAACCGGTGTAAATATATCCTAATGGCATGCAGGAGCGTCCTTCGTACAGGGGCGACATTATTGAGGTCGGGTCGATCATGCTAGAATTTGATTCAGTAATTTTGAGGTTTGTACATTGGCAAGCTCTTGAAACAAAACTTACTGCAGATCCGAGTTCATCCATTGTGCAGTGATGGTGGCGCAGGTCTCGACATTGTAGTCAGACCATTCGGGGTAGCATGCAGCAGCCAAGGGTTCTGGTTGAATCAAGCTACCTTCCAGAAGATCATTGAATGTTTTCCAGACTGTATCAGATGGCCAAAGCGCGTCACCTGGTAACAGTTTGCAGCTATGCGGGAGTTTCTGGGCGTCTGACAGGTTCTTGAAGCTGGGCCCAAATGAAAACAGATCGGATATAGTTTTGTTTTGGATAGATAGAGCTGCCCGTGAGAGGGTTTCGTCCGTCAACTGAATAGTCTCACAGAGGAAAAGAGGCGGCGCATAAGAACCCCTAGAAGCTATAGGCGTCGCGACTGCACCGAGTGGTAGCAAAATGAAGTAGAATGACTTGGTTTCCAAATACATTGACGCCAATATGGCGAAGAGGAAAGAAGCGAGCTTCTTCATATTGTCCTGTGTGCGCGGCATAAGAATGGGTGTTACTAGATGGTGGAAACTGAACAAGCAGCCTGGTTTTTATATGGAATGACGCTGGGATTTGTGCTACACACTGGCGTAAAACTTGTTTACAATCACTAAGTTCGTATGCTCAACTATAATATCATATGCCAAGGTAGGCATCTTTGCCCCGATCCTCCTAGATGAGTGGTGGATAATTTCGGCCCCTATTCCCTCTGTGAGCCAGTCCGAGTCAGGCGTGAACCTCATGAAAATCAAGTAAGACAGCCTTAAAGAGCCAGAAGATCCACTGTGATGTGCAGTAATGCAACAGTCATTCCCGGTCGATACCTAGGTAGACAGAGGTGTATTGCCCAAATAGGTAACCTTGGGCGGTAGTATAAAAATGTCAATCTCATCAAACAACGCAACTCCGAAGTTTTATCTAAATCTACTTCAGGTTTAGTAGATGCATCAGTTGACTTGAGTAATCCAAGGGTTTCGAGCAAAAGATAGTCTGAGAAACAGAAGCGAAACATGCTTTTTCCCTTGCGTTTGTTCAAAAGCCGAATCAGCCAGGCAAGGCACAGAGTTTTGTTTCTATTTTCGAGGCTCTGTATTTTTACACGACTATTATATAATCGACACCTGTTACTTATATTGTTTTCCGAATTTCGTCTAGACGTATAATGAGGAGAAATACTCGATATATATTCTGGCAAGGTTGGGTGCACTTCAAGTTCTCACGTGTACACTGAGGGATGTAACCCATCACAAGCTTTTCGAGAACAAACTAGATGCATACTGCATGTATTCAGACCGGAAATAAAAAACACAACTGTCCTACCACGAGCATGGCATGCTCGTCTGGATGCAAACGAACAAGGCTCAGCTGCGGGCAATTCTGATTTCACCGACGCCAGCCCTGGTTCCCGACGACCCATCCAACCAGGCACTGCATGGGAAGTCTCAGTAGCTTTTTCTTTTCTTTTTTTTTGCTTTTTCCGTCCTGCTCTTTTCTTTTTCTGCTGCGCATGAATAGGTTAGTTAGTCACACGGACATCACCGCTACTCTTTTGGGGTATCATTCTGGATAGTCAGAGTCCAACTGGGTCTGGCATGCAGTCATCTTTAAGCGATGAAAGGATCGAAACTCTCGCATAGCTAGCTAGTCTTGTGAATTAAACATGGGTATGAATATGATGCATCGATCTTTTGCAAACGTGAGAGAATATGCAAGGGTGGAGAAATGCGAGATCTGTCTAGTTGCCTAATTTAGCAGTGTTAGGGTTCTGCGATCAGGGACCATGAAGCCTTCTTAACATCTCGAAGGTATGAATATTATAAGACAATTACGATTGCAGTCTGAATGTTTTTGTTGATTTCACTTCGTCAAGCAATGTCTTGACTGTCACTTTGTCAATTGTAATGGATTCGATTAACCTCTATGCTGCTTTGACAGAATAGAATACACCAATACCACTTGACTCATCAATAGTAAATCATTCAATCCTCTTCCTTGAAGGGGAAAATGAGAAACAGAAAAACCAAAGGAACAAAGAAGAAACAGTTGTACAGTAGCACGTGAGACGCCAGCCAATGCCCCTTCCTATATTGCCCATATTTCCCTATTAACCAGCCATCTTCCAGTGTCATCTATGGAAGAAAAGCAGATTTCTCTTTAAAGAAAAGAAGAGGATGAAAAAAAAAGCATGTCAAAATAAACCATACTCCTGCGACTATCACCGCCACGATCATAGATCGTCCTCTAAGAACTTGTAGATAAACTTGAAATCCGCTTTTCGTCGATTCATCCTGGACAAGGATAACAAAGAAAAGTCAGAGGTCGAGATTCAGGCGGAAGACGTAGAATGATGGGAAAGAAACTTACCATGTGCTCTCATAGTCGAAGAATCGATATGTACCTTGTTCAAACTCTTCCGTGATCATTTTTGGTTCTTCGTGACGTTGAAACCATGTTTGATATTGTTTATGGAATCGCCAGCTTTGGTTCTTCAACGACTTTGCGGCAAGATATTGCTGGTAAGTGCCTTGCTGGTAGTAGAAGATGTAGAACAAGGTGTCGGTATCGATGCGTCCGGTGTCGTATAGTCGGTGATCGTCGAAAATCGGGAGAGGCTCTTGCGGATAATAAAGCGGCGTGTTGTAAGGATTTTGGGGTTTATAGTGACGCGGTTTCTCCGCATCTCCCGGTTCCGGACACGAATTTAGCGAGGCTGCGAGGAGTCGTTGTACAGACGCCGATGAGGAATTCGCTTCGCCCCGGGTCTTTGTCGCTTCGAATGATTGTATTAAGTCCTGAAGCCCTGGCGGTAGATGATAAACCGAGTGCTCCTGAGAAGCTGCTGCAGTCCCCTCCTTAGGCGCAGCATTACTACTCGGCGCCTCTTGCTTCGAGGTCCCCATTTCACGCTTTTCTACAGCAGGGGTTGATGACGCAGCTTTGTTGGTGGCTACGTGCGTAGGTGCTGGCGATTCGTGTCGAGAAGTTTTCTCCGTTGGCTCTGGTGTTGATACAATGCGAGAGGCCAACTGTACTGATGTAACACCTGGAGAATACGTTGAACCAGCTTTGGATACTGGGAGCACTGATGATGATGCAGGGCTAGATCCTGGCGGAGGAGGAAGTGGTGCAATACCAACGCCACTCCGATCACTCGCTGCCGCTGCCGCTGCAGCAGATGCATATTTCAATGTCTCACCGGGCAACCGAGTCGGTAGAGGCGCTGGTTTCATGGTATTCGACGTCGCTGCTGGTGTCGTTGCCGGATGAAGGGTCGCAAGTACCGGAAGAGGGGATTTCATTTGTGTGGAAGGTCGTCGTCCTGACACGGAGTCTGCTTTAGGTTTCGCTCGCGGTTCTGTATCTTCGTCTGGTATAGATTGTGTATCTTGCGAAGATACTCGGTCATTGTCAGGAGCAGCGCCGAACTGGCCTTCCTCATCGCCGAGATTCAAGTCATCGTAGAGTGTCTCGTCTTCACCTGAGTAGTCGATATTGTGCCCATCCTCTACGTAGTACTTAATACTGTCCTTCAAGTCAACTACCTGGGCTGTCTCCACACCACCATTCTGCAGCGACCGCAGTAAAAGTTCCAATTTATTCACATGCCACCTATGTCGTTCTGAGACTCGAGATATTTCTTCCATCCGATTCGTCTTTGTGGGGTCCTTTTTGCCCTTCTTGAGTGACGCATGAAGCGTTTCCTCTTCAGCCTCCATAGCCTCGATTTTCTGTTGGAGTTCGTCAACCATGCTCGAAAGAAAATCGCAGGCGTCGGCTTTTTCTTTCTCTTTTGGATCCAGTCGGGAGGCGGCTGATAGTCCTTCTTTCGAGTACGCCTTTGTCTTCATTTCCTTTTCGACGGCTTTGAACTGCTCCATACACTGCTAATAGTTAGTGTCCTTTCTCTCATAGGTAACTTCTTATAGACAAGCGCACTGTTTCGATGGCTTTCCTCTGCTCTAGCAGAGGCGTTTTGTCCTTGACTTCGTTGCCAGCGGCCCATGATTTGATCTGGTCTCGGAATCGCTGAAGCTTCTTGATCTCTCGTTTCAAATTCTCTTCAAGCTTATCTCGTTGCGTAATATTCGTTGTCGATTTGATCTTTTCATAGATGCCTTCGAAGGTGGCGATACCTTCAGCGACCTTCTTGAAGGTCTTGTCGATTTCCTGTTGTGTCTTGCGAGATGCCATGGTGAAAGCATTCAATTATGATGGGCTTGACGCAAAGCCGGAAATGCAGCACGTGAACCAGGTGCCGGCGTAGATGGCAGGGTGACTGTATGGCCTAGAGTAGATTGGGTGGCGTACAGGGACAAAGAAGTCAGGGTCGTCTCTGACTGTGATGGCATGCAAAAGAGATCTTTTGGCTTGTGCCGTGTTGCTCGGAGGAAGCCGTTCAATGAAGGTGCATGCTGTGCTGTGAGCGCGGGCCAATAGGATTCATTCTGCCATCCAGACCGCTTTCGCTGACATCAGTATCAGAAAATCCAGAGGATAGTAACTATAGTTAACTATACATATTATGTATAACTAGTTTGCGTCGGTCATACACACAGATTCAAGTCATTGCAAGAAGTAGCACACCCGATGCCTGGTGCGGAGTACAAGCTGTCTGGACTGAGAGATCTGTTCGGATAGTGCTCACTTGTATGTGTATTATCTAGGGCTTGGTGCGGTGTCCATGAAACTCTGCGCGTCATGGAATTCCTGATGCTATTTGATGTGGATCAAAAATTGTATAAATGGTTGCTTTGGGTACTGTTCATATACAAGCACCTACATAATTTAGTATCTAATCCTCTGCTACCAGGGTACCGATGACAGCCTTATGATTCAGAACCGAAGGTGGTGATGAATTCCCGCGGCACCTTTCCAGGAACATTCCTTCTCGTTTCCAGATAAAAAGGCACAGCTAGACGATATTTGCATGCATCAGATTTCCGACACTGTTCAAGAGAATAGCATGGATGCCATGCAGCTGAGCATTCGGATACGCCTTAGGTTTACGGTCTGGTCTCATGGCAAAGGCCGCGATCCATTAAACAAGTAATGTACCGTTACGTTGTCACGCAGATTAATATGTAGCCATCTTGTTTACTATCCTAAAGAAAATCAGGGTTCGAAGAAGAAAACGAGACTCCTAAGTATGAAAATAACGCGACGGCAGTTTCTAGTTTTGTCAATCTTGTAATCGTGGGAATGGGGAACCCCTAAACGGAGACAGAAACACCACCATCTTCAGAATCTGACCACATCTCACTCTCTGAGCCGTCCAAAGAGTTAAAGTCGGACTCGAGCTCTGATAATTCTGAATAGTCTGACTCCATCGAAAAGGCTTGGTGATTCATACTCTGCAAATCTGTGATACCGGTCCTGGAGTCGGGATGCCAGTGGCTGTTTCTCGAGCGTTGCAAAACATGATTGATAACCTGCTCGCGAAGATCTTCAGTAATTTTGCTTAGGATCTTCCTTTGCTGTATGGCCCAGTCATCCAGGATGGGACCGTATTTCACTTTCGGGGGGCTCCATTTCGGCCAGACCTTTTTGTGAGACGACGGAGTCACAAAGTAAGCAGGATGGTGCTTGAAGTACAATTCACAACAGAGGCATGCCGGCTTACTGCAAGCAATGAAACGGTCGTTTCCAGCAAAGCGTAGTTTTGACCGATGAAAATGCTCCAAGACTTTGATCTCGGCATGCACATCGGCATCAACGCCAGACCGCTTGTAACAGCCCACAAATTTGTTAAAGGTTCCGGAGACTTTATCCAAGTATATGAGACCTTCCTCGACCTCTTCTTTTTCGTTGGCATTATCTTCCCTGAACATTCGATTCAGGATGCCCTTGAGATTTGTATGTGTGTCACGTAAAGGTATCTGTACGCCGGGAAGATCAACAATCTCAACCGTGCAGGTTTGTAGTATATGCTCGATATTACGAGAGTCTTGGATAAGCTCTCTCGGTGCTCTTATATGGTGCGCTAGCCTTCCGATGTAATGCTGAACTAAGTAAAAAGACGATCTTTGGCCGTCTAAACTCAGGCCTCGCTCTTCGCTTGAAGCAAGAGATTTGAGTTCGGCAATCATTGTCGACCGTCGATTGTCGTATGCGAAGTAACAGAGTTTGATCGGATCATCCTGACCAAGGATCTGTTGCAGCATCTGAATCAAGTCATTGTATACTTCAGAATTGTCAGCTTCGATTGTAGAATGGGTTAGTCAGGTCATCGAACTTGCCTTCTTTGTTCGTCGCGTCCTGCAGCTTCGAGATACACAACTCAGCCTGAGTCCGTACACGCTTCCATTGCTCATTTATGCGAATTTTGGCAAAATCTGCACAAATCTGAGTGAATTCACGCTCCGTGGCGTCCGGTTCCAATTCGGCAAGGTGGCTGGCAGTAAGACACAAGAACTTTAACGCAGACTTGAGAAAATCTGCTATGTTTGGATGTTTCCCATTCGAAGCGAGCCAGAATACATATTTGTCAACGCGCTCTTCCAGTCCAATAGCGGTACAAGACTCTCCACCCTGGGCAAAGTCACACACAAAACAGAGATTCTCCAAGAACTTCCGTCTCGTTTCTGTGACATCGTTGGAATCGCGCTCCCGGCGCGTGTGTACACCTCTCGTCTGACCAAGTGCTTGTAGAAGAAACAGCGGCTCATAAAAGCGAGCAAGGATTCTTGAAGATTTGTCTAATCGCGGACGGCCAGTACGGCTAGGTGTGAGCTCTAGAGCTTCTCTGGCTGTTTGTTTCATGATGGCAGTTCTTCGCAGGTGGATTATCGTTGAATGTTGGTTATGCGGAGACAAAGAAGTCTGGGTTCTACTGACTGGGATTGGAGCTAATGAAGAGATTTTGGCTGAGACATCAATGCCGCACTCTGTTCTTTTATCTAGAGGACTACACGTCGACTTCACCTTGCAAAGGCTATCATGCAGGAGGCTACTATGCAGGAGGCCACCATGCGAGAGGCCACCATGCGAGAGTCGAGTCCACTATGCAGGAGGCCACTATGCAGGAGGCCATCATGCGAGAGGCCACCTTGCAAAGGCTATCATGCAGGAGGCCACCATGCGAGAGGTCACCATGCGAGAGTCCACTATGCAGGAGGCCACTATGCAGGAGGCCATCATGCAGGAGGCCACCATGCTAGAGATCTCCGTTCAGAGAGCCATGAAGCTGAAAAGCATCGGGTCTAGTCCAGAGACTTCTTTTTCAAGGGTACAGGAAATGACAGGTACCTACTATTGCCACACACACACACACGTAAGGCCCAATCTTGAAAATTATGCTTCCGAAACTGAAAGTCAAAACTACTCTACTGGGAAAACTGCGGATAGTTCGGCTTTTGCTCAAGTCAGAAGGATGCATTGTATGATCAGTGTAGACGTTTTTGAGAAGGGTTATTTGATCTTGTACAACTACAGCTTGCGGAGATTTAAGCGCCTCCGTCTTCCAGGTAATATCCCTTGTCCCATTCGTTCTCAGAAGCTTCAACCAAAGGACACGAGAATATCCGCGAAGGCTCTTGAATCTGGAAATTGAGATTTTTTATTGCATGCTCATAGTTAACGTGAAAATACAGACATTGCCCTCTCGATCAACAAAGCATTCGTCATTCTTACAAACACCGAATGCAATCTTTGTCAGATACCATGAAACACCGCTTAATCTTTTTCAAGAATGCTTGTTTTGCATGTGCCTTTTAAGATTGTCACGTCGAGTAAATGTACGACCACAATGCTGACAATTTGCTGATCCTCGACCTTTGGTATGGTGCACCATCACATGACGAAGCATATCGCCTCGTTCTGCAAAACGATAAGCGCACGTCTTTTTGAGGCATCGAACAGGCTTCGAATGCCTCTTCATGTGTCGCCTAGATGACGGTCAGCTAGACGACCACTTACTCATGCCTCTTGCGGTTTACCTACTTCAAGTGACTCTTGTCGTGAAACAAGAGCTTTGACTTGCAGCCTGTTGTCGGACAATGAAACATTCCGTCGGAACTCGGCATGATGTGGTCAATGAAAGGTACTTCGGCTTGTATGAACTCGAAATGCTTCGGCACTGTCTCTGAAGATGTTGTAGCGTTTCTGCGTACATTCTCTTCACTGACATGACTCCTCCCAACAGGCGATATTTCCTGAGCCTCGCCGCCTGAAATGCCCACCACACTAGATAACGAACCTGAAGGAGCACTCTATACAGGCTGATTTTCAACAGATTCGTTGAATGTTGCGGGTGAATTCGGCAGATCCAGAAAGAAAAAATCGTTGCCCAGAAGTTGGGTCGGGTCATTGTTTGCGAAATCCGGGTATAGAGACAAACTGAAACCTAATGACTCATCAAAGCTGTTTCCGGCAAAGGCACTTGTCATGGCGTTTTCATTTGAGGTACCAGAGAAACTGTAGATGCCATCGTCGAGCTCAGGGATCAAGCCATCGTGGCTAGGAATGGCAGAGTGAATATCGGACTCCATCTTGATTGAATGGAAGAGTGGTCACAATAAGTAATTGAAGTGGGCAAGCTCTAGAATTTATAATTGTTGATGCCACTCCATTATCTATCCATGCACGAGTGAAAGCCCTGGCTTGCATTTAGCGACGACATCCCTGCATCAACCCCTCTCGTTGTTGACTAGGACCACACCCACATAAGTGCATAGCTTTGCCTCCCTCTAAGCCCTAGACAGGTCAGAGTCGCTCAGTCCGCATGCCTCAAACAGTGAGTGCACGTTCGTCTTCTGTGATTCACCAGTGGTATGTTCTTGTCTCATCTGTAGAGACCTGGGAGCCTTTGGATAAGGGCGTACCGGGTTGAACATACAATGACCAATTACGCCTACCTACGTGTCCATGCCTTTTGACCGCCAGGGTTTTCCGTATTCCATGGCTTGTTTTCCGGTCGAAATCCCTTCAGGACGCTGACTTGACCGAAGACCGGAGCCAGATGAGATTGGACAGTCGCATACACGTCCGCAAGAGCCAGGAATACGATGCTAATCTTGCGCATGCATTGAGCCTATGACCACACGCCACGAGACTTCGCATAAACTGCGCGGTGGTAACTGTACAGATAGGACGGACGGGTCATGTATTCGAATTTCCCCGATGCTGGGAACTATGTATTTCTCGCTCGCTTCCAGCGGCAGCCAACTCTCAACCTCGCACAGGAGCTAATGAACATTGGTCGTAGATAACAGACGAACGACACAACGGGCTTTGACCAGCAATGATAACATGCTGCCAAGGTATACTTCTGCCTTGTATGGAGAGGAGGCCGACACAAAGGTCGAAGTCACTATCGAGTTCGGCGCTCTGGTAACAACGCGGATTGCCTGAAACAAGCAAATCTAAACAAGGGAGTTCATATTGTCTTTTCTGGAATTACAGTTTGTAACAATCTAATTTGCATTGCACCCTAAATTGACCCCGAAAAAAAAAAAATAGAACATCGTTTTGGCCACTTTTGCATAAGTTTAGAATTTAAAACTTTCCTCCTCGAGTTACCCATGGCCGAAGTTGACAAGAGCAAAAACGCAAAAATATCTCACAGCAAATTCATGACAAAGTAAAAATCTCGCCGAAAGAGAAAAAAAAAAAAAAAAAAAAAAAAAAAAAAAGGAGAAATTCGATCTTTCTCTTCACGACAGCCGTGACACATGGAATTAATCAAGGTTGGTTGTGTTGAACAATCTATTACCGGTATCAGTGCCCCCTTTGCCGGTAAATTTATTTTCGGACAAACGAAGCGCAATGAACGACAAGTGAAGGAACCTGCAGAGCTGCTGGCTAATCTCGCTTAATGTCACTGCTTCGGACTGTATGACACCAGCAATAACTACAATGCGGACAGTGGCATGGAGTGTTCGGATATATTGCACAAAGTCTAAAATAGATTTGCCACTGTTCACCACCGAGTCAACGAGAAGAATCGTCTTGACGCTGGATAGATGCTCTGGTAAGATATCAGTTGCAGCCCGCGCATGTAGGAATGTTGCAGAGGGCAATGCATCATTAACGCCCAGCGCCATCGGTTCACCACCGCGCATCAGAGCTACAATCAGCGTGTCTTTCTCATTGAGAACACGATACCCGTCAGTTTGGTGGCCTTGAACATGAGGAATTGGAAAGGTTTCCAGGCCCAAAATTTCGGTGCAAAATTCTGTCGCGAGATACCATCCAGCTCGGTAGTGCGCTTTGCGCAAATCTGGGCCCGAGAATGCTGCGTTCCGCATAGGTGTCATAAGCAACTTTGCAGCAGAACGATGACTTGCGTCAACAACATGAAGCTGGTTCCAGTGAGTAAATATCGAATTGATGATGGACTGATCAGACAATTGTATGAGAGGGAGCCGTAATAAATCAAGACGCGGAGATGCATGGCTTGGGAGAAGGACCTGGCGCGGATAGAAACCCCCTTTTTTGATAGCATTGGCTAACGCGTCATCCATGCTTGCACTCCTCGTTGCCTGCTCACCCGTAATGACAACAGCTTGATTCGCAGCTGTCAGCATCCCGAGGTCTAGAGGACTATCACCAAAGGCCCAAACAGAAGCATTGCAGGTGCTGCGTACATGCTTTACTAGTCTCTCCTTTAAGTTCGGTGTCATAACGAGGCCATCTGACAGGCGCCCACCACCGATAATTGCAATGGAGCTGGAGAGCTGCTCCCTCTCAAGCACCTTTTCCCACACTCCACGAATACCACAAGTGAGAACAATTGCACGAATGTGTGTTCGGCCCGCCACTAGGCGCAGTAGATATACCAGATCCTGATGCATCGTTATCATCTGGGCTACCTTTTCGCAATGTTCAATGTACTCGTCATCCCCGATGGCTTCTTCGCAGAGCATGGTTGCTTGACGGAAGGCCGTATATGAGTATTGCAAAGTACCGCTAAAGAGTCTTTTCAATGGAGAAATTGTGTCTTTCAAGAACTTCAAGCTGGGTAATGCTTTCCAGAATAACTCGCCACTGTCCTGCGCTGCCAACGTCTTGTCAGCATCTAGAAGTAATACCGTCTCGGGCCTAGTCGCAAGGGCCTTGTCCATCTGTTGCTCAGCGAGTCTTGCATTAAATTCTTCCGTGTGATTGAGAAAATCTTGAAGTAGGGACATGAGCTTGCCCGAAGAATCTCGACCTGGTGAAAAGATTGCGAAGATGATATGATGGGCTCTACAGCGGTAACGCAACTCTTCAATTTCGGCCTCTTGCCACTTCTCCAAGTGTCTGATTGATGCGTCTGGCCGATGCTTTGCTCCGTCATTAAGTCGATACTCCGCAATAGTTTCAGGCGGGACATTTAAATACACAATATGTGTATACGACTCGAGATCAGCCTGGGTGCAGACCCATTGGCCGGTACTCTCTTCCTCGGGCCATAACATAGCGTGCCCAGCAACTATGGCAACTTTGCCACTGTCGCGGGCTTCCTGCTTGATCTTGTTTATGGCACGCTCTCGAATGTTGGTTTGCGATTCTTCGCTCAATCTCTGGAATGCCTTCAAACCCCCGGGTGTCACATCGGCAATGACTTGGCTACCGTCGTAAAACATGAAGGGCTCTTGACCGAGTCCTTGCTTCAGAGTTTCGAGCAAAAAAGATTTTCCAGAGCCTGGGATACCGTATAATCCCACAATGGTCGGCTCCGAACGTTGATAAGAGCTGGGCGGGTCAAGAGGGTCATGTCGTTCATGTGCGGCATCACAACTCTGACACCTCTGGAGGTCGGTAGATTGCATGGTGATAGTCGACTCAGGTAGAAAGAAAACGGTCAGGGACGGAGAAGTTTTGTAAGCCAGAAGATTGAAGGTTATGAAAATCTTCAAGAGTAAGATGAGGACACAAGGGCGACATTAGGAGGGAGAAGCTGTGCTCCGGCATATTCATATATAATAGACCCGAGAAGAAGTGAGAAGATGATTGGATGAAGGGAGAGGCAAGTAAATCCAACACAAGGCGAGAAACAATAACGATAGAGTTAGAGGCAATCCTGGCAGCCGCAGAAATCGCGCAGTGGCAGGACTCCCACGTCGACAGCTTCCGCATTCAAGAGTCATTGACATGCAGATACGAGCGTTATCGTTCCATTCCCAAGCAAGTTTGTCAGGGAAGAAGCGGCCAGACTTTTCTGAGCTGCCTACAGACTCGCTGGAATCTCTGTGGATCGATCTGATGGCGGCAGGCCACTTCAGCCACCTTGTGATCCCTGATTGGGTTGATAACTTCGCGAACAGAGCTGTGATCCTTGACATTGCAGGCAAAAGCTGCAGCTCTGAAAAAGCACCATCGCGAAGTATACTTGGCGACCATGTAAGCATACACTGGTGCCACGCGTATTCCAGCAAGGCTGGGTAGTGAGCGAAGTGGAAATCCGTCATACTGGGCTCGTTTGATCGAGAAGAGGACGTCTGCTGTTTCGCTCAGCTTGGGCCAGCCTGCTTCTGCACGCCGGCGTTCTTGGAGCTCTTCCCGGAGACGGCATTGATGCCAGGAGGCTTGCGACTGTCTTGGGAGATTGAGTACTCTCAGCCAATAATGGACTGCTCTCTGGCCCATTGAACGCATACCTGGCAGTATTTGATGCGCTTGTTGACTTCGCTCAGACGCAAGTTTTGTCCTGAGCTGCGAGGGATTAAATGCACCGGAGGAGGATCATAGTTGCTCCGAGGCATTCTTGCAGTGATGGTCTCCCGCATTGATGATCTTACAGCGATTCACTCGGCTTTTGTAGGTGGCCTCCCGCGTCAAGCATTCTCACATAGCCAGTCCTGTGGATTGGTGCAAGGTCTGTGCGGTCAATATGACTGATCTGTCTTTGGACCACAATACCCCTGTTTTGTTTTTGGTTCGAAAACGAATCCCAAACCACCCGGTTGGAGCAGCGTACAACGAACGAGATTCCAACCGTCTTCTCAACCGTGCTCTGAGCCCTTGAACTTATTGAACTCTTTGTTATTTTTTTTTTCTGTGTTCTATTGTATAGAATTCTTACAAGGGACTGAGAATGACTATCTCATCAATCAATCTGTTGGTTTATTCTGTTCTCTCGCTGCTTTATCAAAATCATCTGTAGACACTTAACGCACTTAACCCATTAACATATCACATGGCCATGCTTCTCTTGTTCATAACTGCGGCTCTATGCCAGAACGCTTCTTCCACCGTCCTCGGTCAATCTTTCTCGAATCTTCACTACCATATAGCCTGCACCAAGTTTGCACCGTCTCTGTGGGCGAGAATCCTCTCCCGTGCTGATCAAAATCGCACCCGGGGCAAAAAGCAAGGCTTCTCCCACGCTGAGATTGACAATCTGGTTGATAAATGAGTATTTACTCGATATTTCAGGCGCCAGTGAGCCTCCCTCGGCTTTATTCGGTGCTTTCCCACCCGGCTGGGCTCCCAAAGCTGCTGCAGCCACATGTCCTTCCAAGACACGTAACCATGCCGGCGATGAGAATTTGTGAACAATGGTGATGGAACAAAGACTAAGAAGATCGCTCGAGATCGTTGGTTCCTGCGTAGAAATGAAGATACGGGCGCCTAAGTGCCGTTGCAGCCTGACGGTGGAAAGGAGAGTGCTGGTGAAATTGTGAGATTCAATTGAATCCTTCATGTACTAGACACATTGTGTCAGTCAGTGTCCAGACTTGTGAATATGCCTCAAGGTTTCAAACCTTGTGCGCTTCATCGAGTGCGACCACTCGGCCAACATTGGTGTCCTGTTCCATGAAAATCTCAAAGCAGATGTTGAAGAGCGAACAAGCCGTATCTGGAGAGATACAAGGGCAAGAAAGATCGACAATTGTGAGCTGGGATGACTGGTAAGGACCATTAGTAACCTGGACTGATTTTTTTTTTTTTCTTCTTTTTTTGGGAAGAATTTACGTCCTCACCTCTGGTACCCAACTTGATCCTCCCACTCGAGTTTTTGATTTTCCCTTAGGATTTCCAGAGTGTTTCCCCAATGTCACTTGTTGACGAGGCATAAAACTCTCAAGAGTCTCCAATCTTTGTTTCAAGGGCTCAAGCTGGCTGGGAAGAAGATCAGCATCCAAAACCTGTCTTTTGAAACTATGATAGTCAAATTGAGAGCCAGTCTCCTGCTGTAACAGGCGCATTTCCCGCAAAATGCGCTGGACGGTATGCATATATAGAGGCACTGTGCCTTTCTCTTGGCCTACCGCCATGAGATCAAGCATACGCTTGGTATTTAAGTTGTTCTGGTCAATCTGCAACGGTTCGACTTGTATGTTGAACCTAGAGTATGTTCTCTATAGTAGGTTTCAGTAATGCCGCGCATGACCAGGAGGGAATTTGATTTACCTGGATTGTCCGCAGGTTAGTAGGTGCGCACAGAACTCTGGCCTTGATGCCAGGTTGCGAGGCTAGAAATGCCGCCTCGCACGGAGAGCCCCCACCATCACATATGAAGACATCATAGTGAAACACAATGGCTGTCAACGGGTTTGAGAGTCGGCCAGCGTTAGATTTCAGCAAGCAGCCCTCGATGAGGCAGGAGAGCGTGTGGCTTTTACCAGAGCCTTGGGATCCGCAGATGAATGCACTCGACGGCGACGAAACATTGAAAAACACCCGGGGATCTCGTTCAATTTCTTCATCCGTAGGGTGAATAAGTTCCGGATGCTGTATCCGCTTCAATCCTGCTAACAGCCCAAACTGCGAGGGCACAAGGTCAGGTTGGCGCAACAAGGGTCCCGTGAATGTCGGTGCTAATCTTGTCTGATCCTCTTGCTCGTTGTCACCGTGGATTCGCAAAAGGCTCATATGATACGCTAGTTGGGCATCTAATGGATGTTCGGTCACTGTCAGAGAAGCATAAAAGAGAAAGCCGAAGCATGGTGTTCTACTCTGAGACTTTGCATGTCAACGTACCATTATTTACCCCTTCACGCGAAGCATTGGCCATCTTTCCTTCTTTTTCTTTCCGGGAATCAAAGGGCTGAGGATCTGACAATAGGGTAAAAGCTCTGAGGATGCTCTGGGTACGGACTGTTGATCAACTTATATATAAGAAAACCTACGGGGTTAATGGTCAAAATCAACTACATCAGAACTGTCGAGGGGGTTGAAACGCCGAATCTCGCCGCATATCATGTGCGAAATAAAGTGAAATGGCCAAGAAAGAGAAACCAACTCATAGATGCGTCGAAGGGGGGGAGGGGCGGGTGTGAAACTTGAGTCACTGACTTCTGTAATGCATGATGATGAAGACTAGAAATAACCTCCATCGGTGATCTCCGCTTAAGTGGAATGACTCTTTCAGAGATACAATCTCGTATTTGATGGCCACCCGCAGTTGTGGCCTCCGGCATGATGATGCTCGCAGACCCAAAATATGATCAACCCATGCAAAACTCGAATTCTTGAATGAGACTTGTGGTCTGTATTACGCATTCCAGCATGTTGCTTCACGAATTGAAAGTGCAGTAGTTGCTGTCTCGGCTTTCACCTAGCTAGGAGGAAGACTGCCAATCGCGCTCATCTCAGAGACTTCAGCCTTTGGTCTATACGTACAGATGTGGATATCTCAGGCAAAAAGAAAACCTATGCATGTGGCACAAGCGGGTCATCCAAGCATAACGGGCGTGACCTATGCTCTATCGATGTCTGGGAAATGTGAAGCAATTTCTCTCAACGTCAGGTTCTGGCTATCTAGCTCACGGGGTTTCGGCCTCAGGCTCTGCCACGCAGCGATTAGCTGCTGAGCATACGTGGATATGCGTTTTCTATCCGAATCTATTCCTAGGCCGAAGCCAATCCCAAGCTACGTTCTTGCAACCCCTGTCAAATCTATCAACCTAAGTAATAATATTTACACTAAAAATATATAGATGATTTTACTACTTATGATATAAGTAACCGGGAAAACGATGACCCGACATGCACGGTTGGCCGCCCCACCGTGCGTCGGGGCCTTCGCTGATATCAGTGACGCTGGTGGATTGCAGTAAGAAACTTCACTCAAGAACAGTGCTATTCCCAGAATCTCAACCATAATTTCATTGGACTATTATATTTCCTTCCCCCTCCATTGTCGCCACCCTTGCAGTGGGCTCATGTTAGCTGCATATCTTGTCTTCAACCTCGTTGAGAGCGCCACAGTGGGCACTTTGCGCGGCCTGCCTTGACAATTGATGTTTTTATGATCTGCTTGACTAGACGCAATGAAGGGTACTCTACTTGTTTACCATTGGACTTTCTATGAACTTCTCTTACTGACGTTATTACTAGCTGTCCTCCAACGGGTCAAGTCGGCCTCCGTCACAGTCGATAATCAATTGATTTCGTCCATCGGCCGAGGCATACTTGTGTTTGCCGGGGTCGGCAAGGAAGACACTGAGAAGGATGTTGACTCCATGGCAGCTAAGATACTGAAAGCTAAACTCTGGCCCGATGAGACGAATCCAAATGCTTCTGTATAGTATACTCTCGTCCCCGCGTGATCCATACGCGACTCTAATGCCTTCTCAGTGGAAGCGGAATGTCCAGGATATAGAAGGCGAAGTACTGTGTGGTCAGTTTTATCTCACTTATATCCACCTCATCCGGTCACTTTCCTAACTTAAATCTCCAACCAGTATCGCAATTCACCCTGTACGGACACCTAAAGAAGGGCAACAAGCCCGACTTCCACAACGCCGCTGATGTTGAAACTGCCCGCCGGCTCTATGATCGCTTTGTTCAAAAAGTCGGCGACCTCTATAAAGCCGAACGCGTGAAAAATGGCGTCTTCCAGGCTATGATGGAGGTCGAATTGAAAAATGATGGACCGGTGGGTGTTGATTTCCGCAGCGAGGATGGAGCGGTAGGACTTTTTGTTCTCCTTCCAATGCGGCTTTTCATAATCCATCCTAGATGCTTGCTAACTGGCTTCTTCAGGTAACAATTGAAATTACTACGGATATGCCCAAGTCCGAGAGCAGCAAAAGCAATGGGAAAACTCTGAAGACGCAGACGGACGCAAACGGGCAGAAATATGTCGAGTTTGAACTTCCGGCGTCGCTCTTGGAGTGATCACCCAAGGTGATACTTTTTTTTTTTTTTCTTCTTGCATTTTTTCACTTTTCTAAAAACGGGTAGGCGTTGGCATTTACATAGGTCAATGGAGCAAACTGTAAATAGAGCGGGCCTTTGGTTTTGGATTTGGGTGTATATAGATACTGAATTACGAACTACATCTTCACAACCATATCATTTGGTGTCTTGTTGAGATGACCGTTGCTCTTGCTGGCGATCGCATGCCATTGATCAGCTAAAAAAGGGAATTCATATTAGCCTGATATTGCTGTTCAACTCGACTCTGCAAGAGCCTTTCGTGGCGTAAGAGCAGCTGGATAAGTTCCCGATTTCCATTGGGCTGTTGTTCTTCATGCAGGCGAAGTGTATGTAGACCCTGTAATGCCTCGGAAGTTGAGATACGGGGAGTATCTTGTATCAGCTCGCCCTCATCCTCGTCCGCATCTTCACTTGCTATAAATTGACTTAGAACTAAGGAATCAATGTCTATTACGCCATCTGTGACCACCTCATCTGCGTGATTTAAGAACTGATTCGTCTCCACAACGTCACGAATCCAATTTCGGAATTTCATGTTCTGGAGGCTAGTCGAAATCTCGCGGTGCAAGTTTGACAGGTCAAGTTTTGCATCTGTTTCTAGATCAAGCGCCATTTTGAAACAGCTTGCAATTGTGATATCGTCAAGATCGACAGTCCAGGACGTGATTGCCCAGCGGATTGCCGTCAAGATGGTTATAGTCATTGATGGATGGACGGCACGTTCGAACTCCATTGCCATGTATCGAAGCCACTCCCTTTTCCAATAAGCTTTCCAAGTATATAGAATGCCTCCATCTAGCGGGTGATATCGTGCTGTTGGGCATCCTGGGAGCCATATAACAAGCGTATTCTGCAACGCTGAGCCGACTTTTTGAACGGCAATCTCATGAGCAGAAAACTTGTCCATTAAAAGAACTACTTTGCGGCCTTGCATCTGGGCGTCAAACCAAATGAGCCATTCCTTAAAAATCTCACTAGTCATCCAAGCCTGTTTGTTACTTCGCCAAAAACAGCCTAGATTTTCAATGTTGACTTTAGCTTTGGAGAATGCTCTAGGTTGTTTAGCAGTCCCGATAAATAAAGGAGGAAGGCGTTCTGACGCATCGGAATTGCAGCAAAACAAAGCGCTTATTCGTGCCTGTTCTTTTCGGCGGTCATGAGCAGTACGTGTCGCCAAGTTCCGGTCAGGGGTCATTCTCCAAAATAGGCCGGTTTCATCACAATTGAAGACGTCTCGCGGCGCGAAAGCCCTGAGAAGTTGGCGAATTCTAATCATTTGAACAGCCGCTGCCTCTGCAGAATCTTCGGTGTCGGTGTTCTGCTTTCTAATTCTGATATCGTGACGCGACTGAAAGCGTTCGAGCCAGCCGTTGCTCAACTGAGGAGTGTCCCTTCCAGGGTAGATGTCAGGCCAGAATTGCTTGGCCTTTTGACGGATGATCTCCTGTGATAAGCTCATGTTTTGATTCTTAGCGCGTCGAATCCATTCAGAAAGCGCTTGTTCCAGCTCTGGCCAGTTCTCAGGACGGTGCCGTTTAGCGTCAAGAGGGTGCTGGCCCTGCAAATCGTCCAGGAAGGCGAAATGCGACGAGAGGATTCGAGATATTGTGGAAAGATTGATTCTGCGGCCATATTTGTCTTCAAACCACGTCGCAAGCTCTCTGTATGACATGCCAGGTTCCGAACGGTGCTGGCTTCGGAGGGCAATTTTCTGCGCGTTGGTGATGGCATTTCGATGCTTCTTGACTGCTTCCTCTGGCATTTTGAACAGGCGTATGTCAAGCACCTTCTTATAACGCGGGTTTGCTTAAGCCTTTTAGGCTAGCAAGAGGCTATACTTTTCTTAGACTAGCGTCCTCCATGAGGGGCAGCATGTGGCGCCTTGCCTCATACGGTTAGCCCTGATCATACCTCCGAAACTGCGGGGCTCAGCAGTGACCTTGGCAGCCTTAGGCAGGCTAGATGGAAGCTTCGTGAAGATCAGCTTTTTGTGTGAACGACTTCCTTGCTTGGTTTCTTTTGTGGTCAACCTCTTCTTCCTCATCCTGAAACCACCCTCAGACAGATCCTTCTCGCGCAACCTGTGTGCCTGTGTGCCCCGTGTGCCCCGTGTGCTAAACCGATTTTTCATTTTACATATCCATATATCTATCTCGTTAGACACCAAACTCACCGAAATGGCCACCGCAGGTAAGCCCAGACCTGATCTTTTTCGATGAGTTTCGAGCAAAACGAGTTAAACACACTCAACCCTTATTCAGGTCGTCCTCGCGTCTTTTTCGATATTGAAATTGGAGGTAAACAGGAAGGGCGAATTGCGCTCGAGTTGGTATGTCTTGTTTCCCTACTTAATTTGCCCGACAGCTAGCTGACATTGAGCCTTTACTACAGTTCAATGATGGTAAAAAATACTCCAGCCCTTCGCAGTCACTCTCTGTCTATATGACATTACCCCTAATAACGCTTTGTTTTCGAGACAGTGGTCCCCAGGACAGCAGAGAACTTCCGTGCTCTATGTACCGGTGAAAAGGGCGTGGGAAAGCAAGGGAAACCTCTTAGTTTCAAGGGTATATATACACAATTGGTTGATTGAGGTCGTTGGACGCAGCTCCTGATTTTGGATGACAGGATCAATTTTCCACCGTGTCATCAAACAATTCATGATTCAGGGAGGAGACTTTACGGCTTTCAACGGAACCGGTGGTGAATCTATCTACGGCGAGAGATTCGAGGATGAGAACTTTGAGCTTAAGCATGACCGCCCTTTCCTCCTATCGATGGCTAATTCCGGGCCCGCCACGAATGGTAGCCAGTTTTTCATTACCACAGTCGAGACGCCGCACCTGGACGGCAAGCATGTTGTGTTCGGACAGGTTATCAACGGAAAGAGCCTCGTCCGGAAAATCGAAAACATGCCCACACAAGCAGACAAGCCCACGAGTGACGTTGTTGTCGCTGATTGCGGTGAATTGACGGGTGAGGAGTATGCGAATGCCGATAAAAAGGCCGTCGATGCCACCGGTGACCCATACGAAGATTACCCGGCGGATTATGATGGCGAGTTGACGGCGCCATTAGTCTACGAAATTGCTTCCAAGCTCAAGGAGCTCGGTAATACAGCCTTCAAGAGTGGGCAGTCTCATGTCGGATTGGAGAAGTATCAGAAAGGTCTCCGATACCTCAATGAAACGCCCGACGCCGATGACAAGGACCCTAAGGAGCTCAATGGCCAACTCAAAGCGTTGCGATTCACTCTGCATTCCAACTCTGCTCTGCTTGCCAACAAGCTGAAGAGCTTCAAGAACGCTAAAACATGGGCTGGTTACGCATTGGAAACAGCCTCGGCTGCTAATGCTAAGGATGCCGACCGCGCTAAAGCTCACTTTCGCCGCGCTGTGGCTGAAATAGGTCTTAAGGAGGAAGACGACGCCCTTAAGGACCTGGAAGCGGCGTTGAAGCTTGCTCCCAATGATGCTGCCATCAGCAACGAAATTGCACGTGTAAAGAAGATCATTGCTGAGGCCGAGAAGAAGCAAAAAGCAGCTGCTCGAAAGTTCTTCTCATAACGAGGCTTCATCAATGGTATGAGCATGACTTGTAACAAAATGGGATCTACTCTTGTACCCCGGTTTAAAAAGCCTATGGTTTTATATATCGGGTTTCGATGGGGAATTTAGGAGAGAATAGCGTTTGGTTGTTCCACCCCAAGATACTCTGACCTGCGGTCTGGTGTCTGAACACTTAAGAATCCGATAGATCCAAAAATCAAATGTTAACTACGAATCAGTCACCGTGATAAAATAAACTTTTGTTTACGTATAAGCTATATACATACATAGCGTTTTATCCAGACCGAGCATTCTTTGTACTGGTCAAAACCACGCGACGAGCATTCTAACCGCCATCGTCGTTGTTTAGTTAAAGAGCCTTTATCTGCAACACAAGCCGTATGCAGCGTCACTGCCTGCTTCCAGTGATCTTTTCAGCTTCTCCAGCGTCTAGTTATTCCCAAATATAAACCGTTTGATGACGAGCAACGATTTAAGAAAACACTTTTGTTGGACTTGAAGACACATCCACCCGGGGGCTTTTCGCCTGGTCATTACTGGGATTCTTCACATGAGAACTATCCAAGGCATCCAGAGACAGTTGCAAAAACTCATGCTTGTTCTTCCACGTGATTTGTTTCTCGGCAAATCCCTCACTGTGTTCAGGAGGTGGAAGAGGGTCGGTGATTTTTGTGACCAGGTATGCAGTTGACGCTTGAGCAATTCCGTACATGAGCACGCCAATAAAGGGGGTCTTGAGCACAATTGTGAAGGCAAAGGCAAAGCCGAACAGGACTCCTTCGCGCTCAATAAACCATTTTTTCTTCTGCTCCTTGTCGAACTGGATGCGGCAGAAATATGGTTCAAGCTGAGAATTCCAATGAATGTTCATTAGCGAATAGCACCGGGGGGTTTTTTTATTTCAATTTACCAGATGGTAGGAACTCACCAGTTCTCGCATCAAGCTTCGTGATGCATAATAGCTATGTAGGAAGAAGACAACATACCGCCTTGGTAATACTAGCACCGACCCAAATATGACCGCAGCTGGGGTTGTTCCTAGGGTCTCTCTGGCATTGTAGAAACTTGCTGCAGGCATCACAAATCTTCCGATTACGGGAAGCAGTGACAGAATGTATATGCCTAGCCACATAGCAACCCTTCGGATGTATCGATTTAAGAATGCGATCAGCGAAGTGGTGGTTGGCTTTCGTGATCGTGAGGGAGCAGTAGGTCCCTTTTTGGGATACTGTATGAGGTTCGGATAATACATGTCCCTTAGATTTTGAGGGTCATCGGCTTTATGCTTCTCTACATAGGTGACATCGGCCCATTGAAGGGACAGTAGAAATCTTGGTTCCAGGTGTCAGTTCAAGTGCACATTTGGCGAGTCGGAAAAATAAATTAGTCTTACATATCATCTAAGGTAGGAGTAATATATCGCATGAGAGTCATGAGAAGGAAGGGCACTTGGAGGACCGAGTTGGATATAAAATCCAGGCCTTCAATGAGCTTATCGTCCCAAGTAACATCGTTCAGATCAACGACCACTGAAGCGATTTGGAGGAAGATTTTGACAGCGATAATCTAGTACCAACAGTCAATTATCTGATTCAAAAAAAAAAAAAAGGGGGG